ATCGATGTCACTGCTGATGAAAAAGATGGCGCATAAACAGATTATTAATGAAGGGTTCGTTTTTCGATAATTTCTTGGCGCAAATAACGCCACGCTTGTCTCTGGGTAAAAAGGGGCGTGGCACAGTCCCTGGGGTCTTGGCATTCGTAGAGATCGCTCCTCGAAGGTGACGCGAAAGTATATAGTGATTTAAACGTGTTCATAGGGTTTGGCGCCCGTCATGATAGTCGACCATGAAGTTTGTGGAGTAACATTTGCAAGAGTACAAGTTGTGATCATTTTCGCCATTTGCTCTAGTTCAAACCGCCCACAGACTGTGTAGGTTCTCTCGTGGTTTCCAGAACATATTGTCAAACAAGTTGAGCACACCGTAACGGTGTGTAGTAGTGCTCCTACAACAAGGTTGCATATTTTCAATACTCACTGGCGCTCGCCTGGCTTATTGATCTCTATTTATCCAGCTTTTCCTGTCATGGAACCAGCTTTATTCGCCAAAACTCTTTTGCCAGAATTCTGTAACAAAGACGGCACGGTCTCGTAAGTCCGAACGCTCGATGTCAACATTTTAATTCGCATGCATCTCTTCCACAGCAGTCTGTCTTGTTAGCTGCCTGTGAGTGAAGCTACCGGGGCGGATGATCTATGGTAGGTGCAAATTAGCTACCACATTAGCTGCTAAACGCAAGGGTAGTTATCAAGCCCCAGACTTGCTAGTCAGTTGCCGCTAGATTTCTTGCTGCTTTCGTGTTTTGGGCTGATATATCTCAAAAATGACGCTGTTTTAGCATTGCAAAAAACGCCTATCTTTTTTAAATGGTCAATTCCGAGGTAGGATATTTGCAATCCGCAGTACAGTCCGATACCAGAAACTCTCGGAATAAAAGGCTCTTCTTTCCATCGCGAGTCTTCGACCCGTCTCCGTTCAGCCAGTCTTCCATCAATCTAATCAACGTTTTCCAAAGTTTTTGAGTAGCACTTTATGTTCTGCATCATATAATGCAATCATTCAAAAAGTTACCGATGTTCCTGCCACGTTTGTCGTAGTTGAGTTGACTCGGCTAACCATGGGAGAGAACATTTGGCGGCATATTGCGTCGGAACATGTGCGTCTGCTATGCTTAGGGTGTAGTTCAAGCACTAGCGCGCCGCCTCTATTGTTGTGGGGAGAGTGTATAATGGGTTACTACTAGCCACATTTCACAGTGTAACAGACTTTGCAGCCATTGGAAAATTCAATCGAAGACGGACGAGAAACAACGCCCCAGAGCCAATTTAGAATTTTTTAAAAAGCTGAGGAAGAATCGTAAACTATTGTGCAGCCACTCAAGCTCGTTAGATTTCTACCTATTTTCTCAAGTCACGTCAGATGCCACTTAGAATTGAAGTGCTGTCGCTGGTTTTTTGAACAGTTTAGCGCAACTTCAGAATAATCAATTTGTAACTGATAGCTCAAGACTCATTGACTGTGCTTGACCGACGAGCTGCCTATACTGAACGAGTTCGAGAGAAGACACAGTATTTGGTAATTTTTAACGCTGGTGCTCCCTTTTCGAAGGCTTAGAGTCAACTACTAGTGTCAGTTGAAAGTATCATGCAAATCCTTCGGAAAATACCTTGAAGAGTATTCTCAAATGCTGTCACGCAGGATGTACAACATTAGTGTCATGTCGCGACAGAATCGCCTTCGACGGTGACGACGCTTTAATCTATATTTTGTTTTGCTTGGCGTTACGAAAACCAACACCAGCTGTTCACCAGAAAGAATACAAAGCTTAGCCACCGACCAGGTAGTGTGTGAACATGGAAATGTTCGCAATGAAACTCGGGCACTAATTGTCAGCTCAAACTTTGCAGCAGGCTTCTCCTTATTAACAAATTCACGGCATTCCCGAGGCTCGCAAAAGCTGAACGTGTCTTGAACTCCACATGTCGGAAAAACGCCTGCTTGAACGGCGCTAATCGACTACTGGTGTCAACTTAGAAGCAACTTTCTCGAATTCACTTCTGCTATCTCCGGCAATCTATAAAGTATCATGTCTTGGCAAAATGATTGTTTACCTCTCATTAGTAAGACTGCAAAAACCACGTTTCAAAAAATAAATCGGAACGAGATGCTTGGCACTACTCACAAGGCGCTTAAAGCAGTACTCTCCTTACTAATGGTGTCATCTTATCAGTTGATCCTCAGAGGCTTTGACATTCTATTGCCTCGAGAGCTCAACACTTTTGGCGTATATAAAGCGCTGTTTTGCTACGCTTGAGCGATAGTGAATTGCTTGATCTCAACCCCACGACACAAGCACAATGACAATCGGAACACTATACGCCTGGACTAATGCTAGAGGGATGTTGCCTCGTGGTCTCATCGACTGGCTAAAGATCGATATGACTATTGCCAACCCTAGTGACAATGTTGAGGAGTTCAAAAAACTATTCCCGCTAGGCAAAAATCCAGCAATATTGGGCAAAGACGGTTTTGAGCTGACCGAAGTGATGGCGGTTTCGTATTATCTGGTCCACCTGAAGGGTGATCCCGAAGTTGAAAAATCACTTTACGGAAATACACTAGAGGAGCGTTCGCAGGTGATCAGACTCTTCTCATTTGCAAACCAGGAAATAGCCTCTAGTGTTGTGGCAGTTGTGACAGCTGCCAGAACCAATGCCAGTGCCGAACAATACGATGAAAAACTGTCACAGTGTCTCGCCAACTTCGGGCTTATCGAAAAGTGCCTAACCAAGCACGAGTATTTGGTGAATGACCAAATCACAATTGCCGATTTGTTTGCAGCATCACTTTTTGGCACTCTTTTTGGCTTTGCGCTTGGGAAGGATAAGTTTGGTGGCTTCACCAAACTGCAGCAGTGGCTCCCCAAAGTGTTGGAACACCCAACGCTCAAGGGCAGAGTGAATGTGTCAAACTTCAAAGAGCAGACAATTGCGCCTAGCCAGCAGTGAAATGCTAAGAGAACATCTTTAAGCGCTGGTAACATTCAAGTGACAAAAATTGATTAGTATCCATAAAGACTTGCACGTATGAATATAAAACTGTTATTATCTGCTCTCAAGCGTGCATTCCAACATACGCCAGCTCTACGGTTGAGAGAGTTTTTGAATGTTTGAAAGCACCAGGCCTTTATCTTATATCCTAACTTTCGGGAATGTCAGAGCACCGTCCCGAATGAAGTACACGTCTTTAATAGTGGAATATGTTTAAATCATTGTTCAAGCACGATTGAGAGCCATGAACTGGTTCCCGCATGCTTGCAGATATCTCTTGTTTATCCTGACAACAGGGTCCTGTTCGTTGCAGACGACTTTGAGGGAACCAATATATTGTTTTGTTTAATCTCAAGTATCTCATAAGAAGATGAACAGCGAGTAATGAACAGCGAGTCTCTACTCCTAAGACTCCAGTGCTTAATCCCCCAGAAACATCGCCGTCCGTATAGCAGCTAGCAGCTTCAACGATCAAGACTCTGTATCGCGCTATCGTATTTGGGAATTCTGTTTTCAATGTTGCTGTTCATTTTACTCTTCTCGACTGTCTTCAACGTAATGTAATGATTGTCGAGAGACTTTGCACTTGTACTCTGCATGCTTCTCAACGCTTTTCACGGTGCTACCGATGTTGGGACAGGCTGAGGGTTTTTCAATCTTCAGGCTTTGTATAGCTGCCAGTTCGAGCAGTGGAAATTGTAGGCTAATTCTGAGCATGTAGCCCAGCTCACAACCACCGCTTCGATCGTTTCTGGTAGTTTGCAAAGTTTCACCTCCGAAGCATGGTAGGTGTTTACTTTGCATTAGTAAGACGGCAAAAACCTCGTTCCGAAGTGAAGAACATGTAAATTCTCACAAGATGGCTAAAACTGCTTAAGCTGAATGAATTTGGACCGAAATTCTTGTCGCAGTGAAAGCTCTTTCACTTTCCAGCCCTGTGTATATAAAGCGCCGGTATCGTACGCTTGAGCGATAATGAACTGCTTGATCCCAACGCCAAGACATAAGCACAATGACAATTGGAACGCTATACGCCTGGACTAATGGTAGAGGGATGCTGCCTCGCGCTCTCGTCGACTGGCTTGAAATTGATATGACTATCGTCAACCCTGGCGACAATGTTGAGGAGTTCAAGAAACTATTCCCGCTGGGCAAAATGCCGGCTATTTTGAGAAAAAACGGGTTCGAGTTGACAGAAGTGATGGCGATTACCTACTATCTGGTTAATTTGAAGGCCGATGCGGATCTTGAAAAATCCCTTTACGGAAACACACTGGAGGAGCGGTCACAGGTGATACGCATTTTCTCGTTTATGAACCAAGAAATGGCATCCAGCGTCAATTCACTTGTGACGGCTGCTAGAACGAATGCTAGCGTTGAGGAATATAACGAGAAACTGTCCCTGGTCTTGGCCAACTTTGAGTTCATCGAAAAGTGCCTAGCTAAGCAGGAATTTTTGGTGAAAGACCACATCACAATTGCCGACTTGTTTGTAGCATCCGGTTTCGGTACTCTTTTTGGCTTCGCGCTTGGAAAGGACAAGTTTGGTGGATTTACCAAAGTCCAACAGTGGCTCCCCAAAGTTTTAGAACATCCAGCGCTCAAGGGCAGAGTGGATGTCTCGAATTTCATAGAACATACCATTGTCCCCAGTCCACAATGAGGCGTGAAAGTTAGATGTTTGGCCATGCGTGATAGATATTCAAACCATATACGACTTTTGATAATTTTACATAGCGACCTACGTTCAAGTTAAAACCAAAGCAGTTCGCTCTGAAGCGTGGCGGGCAAAGATCTACCAGCTTCGCAGACAATATATTCTAACAAAACGCTTGACAATACAACATGGCTGGGCTTGTCTTCTGATCTAGTTTAAGCATTTCTATAGAAGCTATTACAATTTTCTTTCTTATATATCTCATTAACTTGGTCCTACGAACTAATACCAATGTAATTAAACTGAAGTCGAACCTGAGATGGATGGGATGGGAAACGAAAACCTAGAAATGTTTCTCGTTGAACAATTGTTGACAGACCCAGCAAAGAATACACATGCTTCTTGATTACCGATATTCTTTTTGCATATAACAAATCATACATCATCGCTGAGCAGATCAATGCCAGGGAGTAGAAAGCTGAAGATGATAAGGATGAGGCTCGGATTCAGTTTCTAAGACGTGCAATCTTCAGGGTAGCACTCAATAGGCTCTTACTAAAGCTAATTCTACGCCAAATTGGAGAGGTGTGGCTTACGATTTCAAGCGCGATGACTAATTCTTGGCAACGCTGGTGCATGCCAAGCTTACCAATGCCAAGCTATTTCCAAATGTACTTAAACGCAGGGATGCCCAGTTGCTAGAGGACAAAACTCGGTCAATATGATACATACGCAAGCAAGATAAAATGGCTTTCGGTTTCAAGGTTCACAACGCTAAACCCAACGAGGATTTGAAATGGTCCAATGCTGCTGCTAACAAGCTTGATTTGAAGGGTTTGAGAGTGGCAGTAATTGGAGGCACAGCAGGCATAGGGCAAAGTTTAGTCCAGCTTTTTAGCAGCAGAGGTGCAGAGGTTGTCGTTGTTGGGAGAACTTTCAGAGACCAGAATCTAAAGAATGTGTCCTTTATCAAGGCAGACCTGGAGCTTATGTCTGAGGCCAAAAGAGTCGCTGAAGAGCTTGCAAAAAAGCCTCTGGATTTGGTGATACTGACAACAGGCATCCTTGCTGCTCCCGAGCGTGAGGAGACTGCAGAAGGACTGGAGCGTGACATTGCAGTGAGTTACTTGAGCAGATTGGTGATTGTCCGCAATCTTTTGCCCCACATTGAAAAGAGTCACAAAAGCCTTATCAAGAAACCAAGAGTCTTTATTTATGGATTCCCCTGTGCTGGGGAAAAGGGAAGCCCCGATGACTTAAACTCTAATGTCGACTACGAGGGGATGAAAACACACATGGCCACAGTGGCAGGTAACGAGGCTCTAGTGCATGACACGGCACGCCGCTTCCCAAACATTGGCGTTTACGGAGTGAATCCAGGACTGATCAAAACTGCCATCCGTAACAACTTTTTGGGTTGCCGGGTAGTCTGAAATTCGTTTTTTGTTTGAAAGCGTCAATTGGCCTTCTATTTCAAAATACAAAGCAGTATGCCGATAAGAATGTACCAATGATGGTTGCTCCCGAGCTGGATGATCATACTGCAGCCTTTTTCGATAGCTACGGCAAACCCATTCTTTCCGACGGTTTCCCTGAATCGTATGTTGAAAAATACATCGGCAATTCAGAGCAACTGTTGAAGAAAGCGGGCGTTCCATACTACTGAGTTGTTGTGAAGTGGTTGCACTCATGATATAATCACTTTCTATTTACCTGCCTCGGGCACGGATCTCTATTTGCTTCTTTTTACTCGAGATAGAATACTGACATCTATATGTATTAATTTATCAGTAATACGTTATTATCAAAGACCAATTGAGCTTTAACATTAATTCAATGCTTTTTGCCCTGCTTTAAAGCAACAGTTGGGCCGAAGACAGCTTCCCTCCGATCATGTCCGGTTATCGAAACCTGTACAACTGCATTTATGATTTAACAGCAGCTACACACCTGTTATCATCTACTGGTCTAGTCACTTCACGAAGTCTGGCATATATCTAGGCTGCTAGATCCCTAGCTCTTCGACGATCATATTCTTGAAATCTCCTTTCTTGCCCGCGTCATCACTCTAACTCAAGGGTCCGCAAAGCGGATTTGATCTGACCGGCCGACTTTTGCATAAGTTGCGTCTCTTTTTCATCGAGTGAGACCCCGAGGACCTCGTTGGCACCCTGTTTGTTTAGCCTGGTGGGAACACTCAATGCAATCTGACTGCTCTCCGTAGTAATCGCCAACCGTAGAAACCGTGAGAGCAGCTCCTGTGTCGCCCAAAATGGCCTTCACAATACGAAGGATTCCTGCTGCAATCCCGTACGACGTGTATCCCTTACGCTTGATAATGTCGTAAGCGGCGTCTCGAGTCTGCTCGAAAATCCTGTGGAAAGTGGCCTCGTCGTAGTTGTGGTTCTTCTGTTCACAGTAGTCACGTAGTTTGAGTCCATCGATGCTTGTGAGCGACCATACGGGTACTCCTGAATCGCCGTGTTCTCCGACGACACAAGCATCCACGCTGTCGGACGAGATCCCAAACGTGCTCCCCAAGGATATATTTCAGACGTGCGGTGTCAAGCACGGTTCCAGACCCAATGACTCTGCTCAGTGGGAATTTCGATGCCTTATAGCTCACATACGTCAAAACGTCGACTGGGTTCGTGGCTATGAGCAAGATGGTGTCAGGAGCGTACTTGGCCACTTGTGGGATGATTTCCAGCATGATACCGGCATTTTTAGCTGCCAAATCCATTCTTGTCTGGCCATGTTTTTGGTTGATGCCACAGGTGACGACAACGATGGCTGCCCCAGCACAATCCGAGTAATCACCAGCTCTAGATTTCGTTGTAGAAGGTGCAGCATGGTTCAAATCCATACTTTCACCTTCCGCTTTGTCTTTGTTGACGTCAATAAGAACTATTTCGGATACTATGCCACTTAGAAGCAGGGTATAGGCTGTGGCCGACCCCACGCTTCCTACGCCAATTACGACGATTTTGACCGCCTTTTGCTCTCCTGAAGCCATTGGAATGAGAATTGGCAGCTTTGAGTCAATACCACAGAGAGCTGGTAACTTATTTCACTACCAAAGTGATCGTCCTTCTCCTTTAAGGCCAGATGTATTTATATTAGACTAATATCGAATAATGAACTAGCCTGTGGCTACAAGGGTTATGCCCATATTCGAGGCTCACCCGACCTCTATCTATTCCAAAATAAGTAATGGATTTGCAAGCCGTCATCAACGCTATACACAGCAGACTTTTCGCTCTAACAGTAGACTGGATAAGAATTTACAATTCAACGACTATATAAGAACAACTGCTCGAGGAAAAGAGTGTTTATAGCACATTTTGTATGCCAACTTCTCAAGATTTCGTGTTGTTAGTTCTTCGCTTTTATTTCGCAATACAATGGTGTTGGAACTTCATGTTAATTGAGAATACCATAAAGTGACTTCTCCACGTTAATCACACCAAGATCGTCAAAACAGTAGCTTTATCGCTTTCTCAAAGGTCTGAATGGTTTTGGATAAGTCTCTCTTATGGTTTAGTTTCGCTATCTCGTTGTGGGTTCATTCTAGCTTATCAACTTTTTTAGACCAGTAAGCCATCATCTAATATCGGATCTATCATAGATAGCACAATGGCCTCAGCGCGATGAGCTATCCACTAGCGATCGGCTATACATAAAAGTAGCCTGTATATATGCCATCTCCTCTTTAAACTTTCTAGCAACTGGGATAGTAAGCTCAAAACTCGACCACCCTACACTCTATCTAAACTATGTACCTCCAAAACACACAGAGGTGACTGATTTCTCTAAACAGGCTGAAATCATCAAATGTAACCCACTGGGCATTATGTTTAGCTATGCAGCGCCCAGTAGCGGGTTGATGGGTTTCATCAAGGGTACTGAATCTACGTCTGTCGATAGTGAAATGTGTGCAACACATGTGCCTTTCGTATTGGAACAGCAAGAGGGTGGGAAACGTAAACTGGTGGCTCACTTGGCAGCGGAAAACCAGCATATCGGACTCCTCGAAAAAAATCCTAAATGCATGGTCGTTTTCCAGGGCGTCAATTCCTACGTCAGTCCCTCCTGGTACCCACTCAAGAAGAAAACTCACAAATTTGTTCCAACGTGGGATTTCGCAACAGTTCACGTCTACGGCACGGCCAGAATAATTCGGGACAAATCTTGGCTGCTAGACATGCTCAACCAGCTCACGGACCAAGAAGAAGGTAAAAGGCCTGATGGAGATGTATTTGAAAGCAAATGGAAAGTTTCTGACGCCCCGGAGAAATACGTCGACAGCCTGCTCACCAGAATTGTTGGTCTAGAAATTGACATTACCGACATTCAGTCTAAATTCAAGCTCCACCAGAATGAAACTGCTGTGAACGTCAATGGGGTATTGGAAGGGTACGAAAAGGAGGTCGGTGGTGCCAAAGGCCAGGAGCTGGCAAAGATCACACGCGACAACTATCCACATCCACTTGGATAAGTAAGAGAACCAAAGATTTCACCAGGTTCATGGTAGTCAACGCAAGCACTTCTTATTTATTATATATTATTACATCGGACGCAATGTCTCTCACCAATACTGCCTTGACTCTGACATTCCCTCCGAACGCATCTTGAGCCCCAACCTTTTATATCTTGGAACTGTAGAACATCCGCTTCAGGTAGTTGTACCACGTCGGACGCATCAGACTCCGGTATTGTGCTTTTGCATCATCATCGACATTCGCATTATCATTGCGCGCTAAAAGAACTCGTCTCATTTTCCACCCGCGATAAGGCAACAGGGAAATGAGACCTCCAAAATACATGCACACCACAAACACTTGACACCGCAAGTACGGTCTGCTAGATGAGAGATCTCTCAATCGCAGCCCAATAATCTCAGCAACAATTGACACCGAACCATTCCCAAAAAATGCATAGCCCATACCGGCAGCAAACTTCTGTATGCCGACTACGTCTGAAACAAGCGGGACAACATTGACGGATCCGACTCCCGCGCCAAAGCCGAGCAAGATGCAGAATGGCACAATCTCGCTGAATCTGGTGATATTGAACCAAAAGGGCAGCAGTAACACAAGGTTGTAGACCATCAACACGATTGTTGCGTTACATCTCCCGCCATACTCCGAAAACCACCCCATGAAAGGTCTTCCAATGGCTTGCGATCCGTTGAAAATAGCCAGCGCTATCGTTGCCTGCTGGGTGCTCAGTCCGATCGATGAGGCGTAGTTCGCCATGGAAAACATGAGAATTACGTATCCTATGGTGGTGAGCGACGACCATATGGCACAGTAGTGGAGAGGCACGATCTTGAGAACGGATTTGTCGAACGACTTCTTCAGCACTTCTATGGCGCTTTCCTCCTCCGTGTCGGTACTAGACGGCGTGCGCACTTGAACAAAACAGAGTGATATAGAGTTGAGAACGAAAGTGACCACAGCCAACATGCGCATGGCCCACTTGTGGTCACCAGTACGGTTGATCATGGCGTGTATGGCGAGGAAAAACGAGCCGCCCAGTCAACCCCTATGTGACCAATTCCGTTGGCCAAAGCTCTTTTCTTCAAAAACCAGCTGGGAATGACGATGGTATTGGACCCGAAAATGATGCCAAACGAAATGCCTAGAAGAACCCCGTAGTGACATACAAAACGCCCACAGATTTGGCAAACGAGCTGGAAATGAACGCAACCGCCTCTACCACAATTGCGAACGCTAGTGTCGGTTTGTACCCGAATATTTTCATGCACGCTGCCACACACGGCAGTAGAAGCAAAGTGAGTCCTATCACGATACCGCCAATGATTGCAAAATCGGTCGGGGTGGAATTTGGGAATTAGTCCGACGACAAAAAGTACGACAAAAAGATGCCGAAACAGGTATTGGGTCCCCAGGTTGAGAAGTTCATTGTTGCAACACATGCACAGCAAACCCATCCATAACCACCGTCTGGCGGAGGATCCAAAAACTCGTCTGCAGCGTAAGGCCCATCTTCCGTCTCATAAGCTTCTGTAAGTTCAACTGCATTGGCTTCTTTCTGCTTTTCACTACACTCGTCCAGTATCGGATCCTTCAGTTCAAGGTTCGCCATTAACTCAAAAAGTAGCCAGACGTTTCTTGAAGAAATGACAGCGTTAGCTAGAGATTCTAAAACACTTTGCTTACTTCTTAGAGCTTAATTCAAAGCTAGAATAGACATCATCACTTGTGCTCATCGCTTTTTAAAGCTTTTCGATATTAGAGATGACTGATTAGGCCTCGAGAGATTGAATTTCATGAAAAATCCCACTGGATCGCTAAGACGTGTAAACGTGAGTGTCAGAAAGTCAAAAGCTGATAAAATGTAAATCGAGCCGATGACATCTGTGAGGTCTGGAGCTAGCTCCATTTTGCTCGAATCTGGCTTATGACTTTTGTATTTGATCTGTGGTGTTGTAGACCGGTCCAGGTTTTGGCGATGACAGACAAATATAATGTAATAATTGATTATGAGCGTCTTCGAAGACCTTGGCAGAAGTGTCAGAGCGGCCATCTTGGAAAATGAGCAGCTATATTTGGGATTCAGGACGTCTGTAGAAATGCTCATTTGATATTGTAACGGTTTGTATTTTCTGTTTCGGAAATCATTATCTTTTTAAGCTTTGACACTCCAAGGAAGAGAATTCCTTCACTCGTCTAGGTCGATGACCGGCTTTTGAGAAGGATTCTATTATTGATATTTATGCAACAAGCTTCTAGCTCCTGCCTGCATCGCTGAAATGCAACGAACGAAATAAATAGTACATGTGTTGGAAATGGTACACCCAGCTTGCTCCTTTCATGGATAGATTGCTAGACCTTGAGCACTCGATCCAGCGTTGGATCCGACACTGAAAGACTGAGAGACTGTCTTGTTGTTACCGTCGGCCACCGAAACAACCGCAATCTCAGCACCTTGTCCTTGCTTGGCACCTGGAGACAGAGCGTAAACGTAGCTACCTGCTGCAGCCAAGTCAATGTAACCCGTTGCATCGTTGGCGCTGGTAGTGTTGACAACAGACAATATCGAGGCATCCGTTAAGCTCATTTCAACGATGTGATTGACTAGAGGGTCGGTAACAAAAGCGGAGTTGGACACTGGCGAGATAGCGGCCCAGCAGGTAGCCTTTTGGTCGGAAATTACCTGCTTGTGCAAAAGCTGGGCGGAGTCAGTGTTTTCGTCCACAGAAATGATGACAGCACCAAAGCCAGGGTCCGCCACAAAGTATCTGTTCGACTGTCCGATCTGTGTAAACCCGAACATTGCGACAGTGCCATTCAATGGACTCTCGATGCGGGAGGGCGCGACCTTGGCTTCGCCTGTCAACCATGAACCGGTCACAGGGAATACAGCCAAGAATCCGGTTTTGTTCACGGCGGGACCACTCTTGACAGTCACAAGAAGTTTAGTCTCGTCGTCAGAGAACTTTAGTTGCGATACGGTGTCTAGTGGGCCCGCTGGAATTTCAGATTGGTCTAGATCAAAGGGTCTCAAAAAATCTAGCTTACCGATCCCCACAAATGGCGAGTATGGCCCACATGCAACACCAGATCTGGTGCCACTTGTGCCCACACAAACCAGGTTGTTCAAAGCCGACGCCGCCACCGATACTGGGAAGTCTCCAGGAACAGATGCGGGTGAACCTAGCAGTGTGATGTTGGTAGGGTCTTGCTCATCTATGCTGAACAAAGATACGGTGTTATCGCCAGCATTGACGGCAAAAAGCTGTTTCCAACAACGGCAACTGAGCCCTGGCTGCTTAGACCGTCTGGGCTGGCGGTCTGGTTGGTCGCAGCGCTAATTTCGCTGGCACCAGTACCGTTAGTCCACACCTTGAGGCCCTCACTGAGGGTCCCGTTTTCGTTGATTTTAACAGATACGATAGCATTGTCTTTTTCGTTGGTTTGGAAGTACAATGCTTGGCCATTGGAAACCCACTGAGACGCAGATGAAGGAGGAATAAACGCTGGTAGCGCTTCAACGGCTTGGGTCGCGATGGCGCCCAATAAAAGGCCCAGTTCGATGATTCTGAGCATTGGTGTGAGAGTGTTGGTTGGATGATGTTTTTACTGGCAGAATGAAGGAACACAACAAAAATGTCATTGACAAAAAACCACTGCAAGCGTTAAAGTCGTTGTTCTTATACGCCGAGATATGGCTTTGACTCAGTCTATGGCCATTTTCCCGTTAGTAATACAATCAGCGAGCCAAAGTCGGCGGAGCACCTTACTCTTGACATTACCGGTTTCTAAGCAACTTCATTAACCATCAAGTTCTTCGAAATCTTGATAATTTCGAATTTTCTTGGCAAATGCATCTATATGCAGGCTTGATCGATATCTGCAAAGCCACTGTTCAGGGAAATAGCCCAGAAATCGGGTTAATTGCTCGCGACATGCAAGAAAGCGTTTGGAACTTCCAAGTGTATGGAGCTCGATGACGGCATCGATAAGAGCTAATGGGCGAGCACTATTACAGACTGGTGATTAGTAATTTTTAGGATCGCCGTTGACGAGTTCTTTTTGATGGCAAATGTGATGAAAACTGGCCGCAGTCAACTGTAAACATGGGGTTCTTAATGAGGAGTTTTTGCCAAGTGTTTACCTCTCGTGCTACACGCCTTCATGCACGATACTGACGCCGCAAAACATGGTTCTACAAATTGGGTTTTCGATTGCGCACGCATTTTGGCCACGAGGATTGAGTTACTGTGGTAAACATTGTGAAATGAGCCGAGTCAATCTGTTCTTGGGCTTATTGTTACTTAGTAATCGTCTTGTTGGCAGACATTGAAGGTTAGAATTCAATTCAAAGCGTTTTGAATTATGGACAGCGGGGACCAGCAATGTGCTAAAAACAGCTATATTCTATGAGATGGGCTCACAAGGAGCAAGAAATTGTTTGTAAAGATGTTTTCCTTACTGTTCATTGTGGAATGAAGGTGACGTTCATCAGTGGTGAAAGAATCATTATGTCTTTGACATATGAATATTGTCTTATCGTCATATTAGTATAAAGTGATCTGAAAAAACAGCGAGCACTTTACACTGTGAAGAGCGCGATGCACAGTGTGGGAGTCTCTGATGAGTGAGTAACTGTTGAGAGCTTCATCCATATCAAAAACCTATCACTTAGAAGCCCCCATGACAAGGCCGCGTTGGCCCAATTTTCATTTCTCTTCCCTCTTTATTTCGATTCTTCATTTCCCACGACATCCACCGGGTTTGACGACGTTGCTGTAGACCTCATAGAGATAGTACAAGTAGCTATCGACGTTTTTGACGGCAAAAGTGGCATTTTTGGAAGCCATTTCGAGGACTTCGTCCATTTCCTCGGCGTACTCGCCAATGTACTCGTCCAAGTTCATGGTTGGGACGTGGAACAAACGATGGATCATGTCGATTCCCATGTACTTCGATGGAGCAACGGTAGCCATCCCGCCCTTGGAACACATACTGTTGGAAGGCAGCTTGCTTTCGTAAAAGAATCGCAAATGACGGTTTCCTGGGTGGCATTGAGTCTATGATGACCCGCGTAGTAGTCTGGGTTAGCGGCGCAGAGACCGTCGATGTCGTCGCATCGGAAGAGCACATTTTCCTTAGGTACCTCTGCAATGGCCTCCAGGACTCCAACCACAGCGTACAGGTTGCCACTCCCAAACCACCTTTTGTATATCTGGTCTTTGTCTCCATAAGCCATCAGACGGGCTCTTGCAAGAGCTGTGATGTTCATTGTTTCGTTGAATGCGCCCTCCAAGACTTTCAGATGCTCACCACTGCAAGTACTTAGAAAAGTGGGATATTGTGGATGATCCCATCCCGCGGACTCCACGTTAGGCCTTTTAATGACCAAATCGACAGGATGGTTTGTTTCACGGTCCGCTCTTATACCAAAAACCATGGAAATTACGGTCATTGCAATTAGAACAACGGCGACAATCGCACCTATTCCATTTCGAACAAACGATTTGGGAGCAATTTGATCTTTCATCTTGGTTACCAAATGTCCTACCACATTCAGAATGCCATACTCACTGAATTACGCTTCTTATGACAGGCTTCTCTCTCTTATAGGTTTGAACACATACCAAACGTTCTTGAGTAATAACCCTGAAGGTGGTATTAGCGGTATCTTTAAGTTAGGACCCTGGAAGACCCTGCATATTGTCTATAAGGGCATCTGAAAAATGAAAAAAATGCCATTTTTAACGAAAAGCATATGTCTCGGAGGACAGAAAACGACGTACTAGAACACTGCAGGGAAAGCTGATTAGAAGACCTGTTTTGTATTGCACCTATGCGTTCTGCTCTTTCGAACACCTATTTCTTTACATTGGTGCTACTGCCGTTTCCTAGGAAAAATTCCTCGAGCGGGCTAGGCCGCATGAGATGAGAAGGGTCGTATGAAAAGAAAAAAAATGGGAATATCGTCAGCCGCAGAACTTTTGGGCTGTATGGTACTGCAAGGTACAGGATGGGCCCAGGAAATGGAGACAACTGATCAGCAGTGAGCATTTCGTTTTTGAAACCTTGTTTATGGCAAAACCTATCGGGTTTGTCAACATCAAATCAATATCCACCTGCAGTCTTAGTATAGCACGAGATATATATATAAGACTCTCATGTGCTGAAACTTTTATTTCTTATGTCTCTTGTCTTCTCACACTCAGTAACGGAACAATGAGAAATCATCGAATCCTGACTTGGTTTTGAAAAATTGCTACACGACGATTTTGGAGAACCTAGGCCTCTAGAGATATGTGGACCCCTTTTTAACACCCTCATTTCAAACCCTTTGCCAGCTTCAAAATCTCGCTGCTTTCCACCACCTGAACTTTGTCTGTGCGCGAAGAGTCCAGTGCCAGAGCGACACCGACTTTGCCGACCTCATCACCATACACGGGAGTGCTTAACAAACCTTGCAAGCTGGTATCGTAGAAAGCAGCTCCGATTTTGGCAACAGCTGCGTTGAAAAAACCCTTGCCCTTGTGTCTTTGCCCCAACAAAGGTCCAGGACGTAGAATGATGGTTTTGTCGAAGTCGAGCGCTATGATGTCGTTTTCGATCTCTCCCTTCGTCTTCAGATAGAAAAAACGCGAATTGACGTCCGCACCAACCGAGCTGACTAGCACGTATGTCTTGCACCCTTGGCTTTTGGCTTTCTTGGCCAACTCGAGGTTCAAATTGTGGTCCAGCTTGTAGAAGTTTTCCTTGCTGCCGGCTTCGCCTCTGGTGGTGGCAAGACCGGAAAACATGATATTTGCGTTCTCAGGAAGCTGTTCAGCCCATGTTGCAGAGTCTTTAACCACGATACTTTTCACCTTTTCTGTTTTGAACTCTTGCAATTCATGTCTGGTCACAGTGGTGATGGAGGAAAAGGCAGGCTCCGCGACAGCGTATTTGAGAAACGCAGAGCCACACAGGCCTGTTGCACCAAGAATGAGGGCGTTGAAGGACATCGATATGTACCAGCTGATCGAATGGTTGTTTAAAAGGGTTTTGAGAAGGCGATGAGATGAGGGTCTTAAATGTAAGACTGTAATATAAATAAGATAGGGAATTACCGGGTAAAGGAGCGGCACGAAAAAAATAGTGATAAAATCCTTGAGCTTTTAAAAGTACTTAAGACGTAGTTGAATGAGTAGCTTGGTTATATCACAGCATCAGTATATCTAAATCCCGATTGTGATTTTTCTACCGCCCGAAATTTCAACTATCTTTCCCGGAAATTGAACATCTCCAAAACGTAAGACTTGCAATAGGCAGCAGTATCGGAATTTCAATTAAACATAGAACACCGGATATACAGCTACTATGTGGTAAGAATGAGAGCGCTTAGTAGAAAACAACTTATTTTGAAGTTTTCATAACTAGCAAATGTAAGGTGAACCAAAATTATATGTAGGAGTATTTTCTGTATCACATGACTGTCCGCAACTTGGACAACGATGACACACCGGTTAGACAAAAGGTTTGACTGACATCGATATTTGCGTGATACTGGGCTTAAAACCCCAGAAATGCATGTCTTGTCATACTGGCTAGTCTCCATGTAAAGGTGGTTCATTCGTACGGGGTGATCAGTACGTAATGTACTAGTAGCAGCACAATTGTTTACTTCTGAACACTTACTAGGACATCAACTATTCTTGTCAACCTGGTCTTTTCTAATAGTTCACCTTTTATTAATTAACACTATGTACCTTTTATCTCTCCATCCTGCTTTGGGGAAAGAATTTTATCATCATGGAATACAAGAATCATTGCAGTGCATTCCAGCGAGCAGAAGACATTGTTAAAATCAACAGCTGCCTAGCACCTTTTTTTTAATGCTCAGTTAGCTTAAGCCCATTTACCAAGCAGAGCCATGAGACCTGCGCCCAGAATTGTGCAGCCAACCATGAAGAGAAGTCTTGGCACATCATTGGTTCTGTTCTCGTCAAAGATGAAGTCACGAGCCAGCAGCTCAACCAGACCGGTGTATATTAGAATACCAGCGGAGATGGCGTCTAGAACACCGGAAACAATGTTGACTGTGTAAGAATTGCCGTCGTAAGTGTGTCTTACACCTAGACCGATGGCAACACAGATGGGGGTAGCCAAACCATAGGCGATACACAGAGCATATGGCCACCATTTCTTGGTTTTAGGGAATTCGATAGCAGAAAGTCTGGCACCGATACCTAGACCTTCGAACGACTGGTGGAACACAAGCACGGGGTACAACGAGCTGAACTCGTCGTCGGTGGTTCCGAGATTCAAACCGATCATGACGGAGTGGAAAATAACACCAAACTCCAAGACCAAGAATGCAGCAATTTGACTTTCGAAAGATTGGAGCGTAAGCTCAGTGCTGGCGTCTGAAACGACGTCGTAGGATTTTTTGCTCTTTTCATCGGAATCTGGGAGGCCTGCGTGCATGTGGTTGTCGCCTTCTAGGTCTGCGAGATGTGTGTGGGCGTTGGCGTTGTTGATGTTGGCCTTGACAATGGTGTCCTCGATGTTGTCACCGCCGTGGTTGTGGGTGACGCCGAATTTGCGCTGCACGAACACGTCACTGAAGAGATCGACCAAAAACACGACGAACACGGTGATCAGCACGATGGCTGGACACCAGGAGTAGTCAGCCCAGTGGCCGTTACGGCCCACACACGTGCTGGGGCCGATTTCGCCATATGCAGGGTCCAAAAGATGGATGAAAGCGGTGGCCACAATCACACCGGTACCGAAATAACGTGCGAACAAGTACACATAACGAGGGATTCTCAGCCATTTGACTTGCGATGCAATCACCGGGAAAAGTGTGAAAAACGTCGAAACCACGAAAATCACTATAATCGAAGAAATACGAGCGCCGAGCGACCCACTGTATTCGTTTCCACCGAAGAAAACACCATCGATGACACACACTTTCCAAGCATCCGTCACGTCGTCGGATCCCACTGGCACTTCATCTGGACTCCATTGCATCCACCATGGACTAGTAGCCGTATCGGACATGGTATATTTGTTATTAGTGCTGTGAAGAAAAAAAGACAAATGAGAACAAAGTGATTAGTGCTGTTAGCTCACTTATAGGGTTCTTTTCCACTCAAAAGTCCGGCTGCCGAGATCTTACAGATTCTGTAATATCAATTCCATTCCAACTAGTTTCTGATCTACTCCAGGCTTCCGGCTCTTGCTTCTTTTATATGTTCACAGGTGCTCATCGCGACGCATTAATTTTTGAATGGTGTGTATTGGCCAAGTGAAAAAAAAAGTCTGCCATTAACCACCAAGGTACAATATATTGAGTGTGTATGCGAGTGTGTATGCGAAGCAGAAGTAAAGGCATTAATCGCTAGGGCAGAATAAGGCCAAGAAGGAGTAGAGGGAGAAAGCTTTCAACGGTAGCTGGGAAACTGGTGACGAGAAAACAAAGGCGCATGATTTCCGCATGCCAACGGGCTGAGAAAAGCAGACGGCCGTGCATGATGCGTGCAGCTCGCATGCCACGGCTGCTGGAGTTTGGCACCCTGTAACCGGCAAGGTAAAAACTGGCTGATGGAATCTTATGGGCCAAGAGAACGGAAAGACTCTGACAATGAGGGACCACAATGTTCATCTGTGTGGGATAATGACGATGGAAGGACGGACTGTTGAGAAGAGAAAATTCACGGTGCAGAACCGTGAGATCTTTGACCTGGAGGGTGTCCGGTGCGGGATAGTGGATGGATTGTTTGCAAAGTTCAGCTTGGCAAAGACGTGTAAGATCGTGTCTCTGCTAGGCAACATCGTGCCAATCGGGAAAAATAGACTGTGAAAGGGAGATCTCTGAGGGAGACATATTTCACATCGGCACATGTGAATCAGCGATGGCGAGAAAATAACGGAAACATAAGGAAAGAAAATAGGTTTTTTTTGGTGTTTGATGAAAAACTACTGTACTGCTTATAACTACTACTCAGCCAAATAACATTCAGCGTTGGTGGATTTAAAACGTTTGTGAGGGTGGCACCAAACTTGTCTCAGCATTTACCTAGAGTAATGCATCGAGTGGCCCTCCTTTGGCAACTGCATGCCGCACTAACCGTTACCAAGTTTCTCCTGCCAAGAGCCAAACGCACTTCCTGTGTGAAAAGTTAAATCATGATTTATCAAGTCGCGCTACACGGAGTTTCTTCAAATGCACCACACACACGATAACGGTGAACATCCGAAGCCTCTCACAATACTTGCCACATGAACATTGGTCTCTGTATGTGTTGACATTGATACTCTCTGAGTTTTTCAAGAAAATATGTTTTATCAAGCTCAAAGGCGTGTCCTGCATGCTAAAGTGCACTAGAGCTTGCATTTCCAAAACTCACGCCATATTACAAGCAGTGCCAGGTCCTCTTATCCATTCGATGCCCTCGAGTAAGTTCTCAAGCGGTGGCTCATCATCCGATTAAGTCGCCGATTGTTTTGATGCATTAAGACAACAAGTTCTTGGCATATATCAATTGGTATAAACGAGAAAAAAATATACACTGCCAAACGCATACAGTTATCTTAATCACAATATGTTACTGCTCATAATACGTTACTCCTCATAATACGTTACTCCTCATCATTTACTTGAAGAACCAACTGTTGGAAGCCTGCTCCCAGCCATCTTCAACCGCTTTTCTGATGCGATAGGATCTGGTCAATAACGTTCTGTCCAACGGCATCTTCAAACTCAGCATCGTCCAAGTTGGATTTAGGACCGTGATAAACCTTGTGCTTGTAAACCCAGTAGTATATTAAGCTACCAAACCAAACACCACCACAGATCACGCAAGTGTAATTCATCGTTTGCGCATCCAAGCCTGCGGAGTCGGCGGGAAACATGATTAATATTATGAGGAAGGCTTGGAAGGCGATCGCTGTCCAATTTACAATTGGTGACAAGACTTTCCCCATGTAAAAAGCACCAGGTCTGAACAAATCTTTACCAGTTGTCAATCTCAAAATCATGGGGGTCATCCACGCCAGGTAGTTGCCGCCAATACCGAGGGAAAATAAAGCATTAGAAGCAGCTCCGCCAATTAGACATAGCAGGCCGATGACAAGAGCGATGAAAGCTGCGAACCAAGTGGCTCTGATTGGCGATGAAAGCTTGTTGTTGACCACCTTGAAAAATTTGGAGAACGGCAGACCGTCATCCCTTGCAAAGGCCCAAATTTGTCTCGAAATTGCGGTCAAAATGGAACATCCCATGATGAACTGGCAAAACGCTATTAACGTCATGATTGCAATGGTCCATTTTTTTCCTAGAGCGTTGTAGATAATCTGAGCGATTGGTGCACCAGTTTCGGAGTTCACGATTGCATCCACACTAGGCCCCATACAAGCGACAAGTGCAATGCAAATTAAAAATCCTAAAATCCAGCAAGCAGAGATAGATCCAATGATACCAATGGGAACAGCTTTGGATGCATTCTTCGCCTCTTCGGACATGTGAATACAGGAATCAAACGCGCCAATGGTCCATGCCGCCGGTTGAAGGCCCGCCAGCATAAACTGCCACCCGTCAGACCAAGAAGTTGTATTTTCCCATTTACCGAAAATAAAAGCGCCGTCATTGAATGGGAAGTCCGACTTGGCCACTCCGATAGGGAGTACAATGAGGAGAAAAGCGATCAGCAGCAGATTGGAAAATATGCTGAAAGTCTGGAGTTTAGATACACCCAGAGTCGCAACAGACGTCACAGCTAAACAGCCGGCGATACCAGCGACGTAGACACCATAAGTTTTACCGTTAGTGATTTCAAAGTCACCTCCTTTGGAAATCGCCACGATCGAAAGAATTTCTTCTGCAAAACCGTAGATGATAGAGCACAGACCGGCAGACAAGGCCAAACTGTTGGAGTTACCGATCACGAAACTGAGCACGGCCTTGTATTTCTGAGGCGCGTAGTAGTAAGTGTAGTAGTACAAACCTCCAGATGTTGGGATTGCTGAAGCTAGCTCAGACATCGACATACCAATCATCAAGATAAAGGCACCACTGATGAGCCAACCCCAGATCAAAGACACAGTACCTCCGCCATAACCGATCAACAGCACGGATGCAATACTGGGCAGCAATCCCATGATGGAAAACGCCACACCAAAAACCTGAATGGTGCTGAAATGTCTCTGCAGTTCTTGTTTGTAGCCAATTTCAGCCAGCAATTCTCGATCGTCGTGTGCCTCTTTCGCGTTGATGTAGTTAACTTCACCAGCATGTTTGGATGTGATTGTTCTGAGTGAAGTGAGCGGCCGGACTTCGCCTAACTCGGTATTCGAGCTAACCTGTGTAATATCTGTTAAACCCTGTTGTTTTTCCATATTGAAAGTGATGGATGGTGGTTCAGGTTTCAAATGCGAAAGACAGTCAATCTGAACCGTGAGGGCTCCATCCTTCAACGCCGTCTCGCTTTTAAAACATTGTGAATACAGGTGTTGTTTCTTATCAGTCAGTGTCTGTTAATATCAAGCCAGGTCAGAATTCCGTCAAACCATCGTTCTAATCTGAATAAGATTATTACATATCTAATCATCCGTGACCAAGTCGAAATAGCTATCAAATGATCTTATCTAAGGCTCTAGGAAAACTGGAGACTTCCATTGGCCTTTCGAGTTCATCAACTCAGTCAAACTCCTAAGATAGCTCACATGCCCCAGTTTGTTTATGATAAGAAGCGGAGCTAACATGAGAAGTAGAGATAAAAAATATAGGGTGATTAGAAGCGGCGGGAGATGAACTTGATTAAGGTCACTGATTTGCGCTTGCTGGAGCCAGTGCATCTATCAGTGACGACTCTACGGTTAGCGTTCGCTCCAGTTTTGAATTCGATAAACATGTTCAAGAATTTACTTGATATTTCTCGGTAGGCGGACATCTTTCGGTGTCTCTTGATTACTGCTACGCTTGGAGAACAAGTTCAAAATAGGTAAGACCATCATACAACGACGAACACCCTCACTATTAGTAAAACCATGAAAATGATGATTCCGGACGTGTGTGGACGGCCCATTATTAAGGTTGTGACTGGTATCTCAAAATAGTCCGTCCAGCGTTAGACGAGCAACTCGCGTCACCGAAGGCCAAAGATCGTCATATTGCTTTTCTGTTGAAGCCCAAGAAGCTCGAAGAATTTCCCATGGCTTTTACCTTCTGATTGCAATTCAATCTCATCTGCCAAGTTTTGAGTGATAACAAGCAATCGAAGGGGTACACACACAAATGCTCCAATTGGGAACGCATGGCTCAAATCGGGCCACTCCCGTTGTATAGATACGGGTTAATCATTATTTCAATTACCGTCTCTCGACTTGTCTTATCCTTCGGTAACGGGGAAGCAGTCAGATCCCCGGAAAAACGGTAGTGAACACTCGCCCTTCTTGCTTTAACAACTCAACGTTCAACATGCAGCTTTCCGAGGAAGCTTTGGCCAATGCAGTTTTGTTTGGTTGGCAGAACTATGGCCATATATGAGCTGTGGAAGGAGACTGATTTGAAAGGAAGTCCCGCAGGGACAATGAATGGCCTCGTTGTTTGAAAAGCGCGGCTCATTAGACTTCTGAAAAAAGCCCCGTATAAACTTCATTGATGTCTTCTGAAGAAGCACACACTATCGTAGATCTGGATGGGTTGGGATCATCTGTCCAGCACACTTGGCATGTAGTGGAAGCTACTGAAATGACACATTAGTACGGAGTGATAAATGGCTTTCATTAATGCAAGAGCCCCGCATCACAGCTCCCACTAACAAAACTCCGACAACAATTCAGAATTCAGGTATAGCCGATATTGCTATCTCTCTCCAGATTCTCCTGCCAGGATTTTGTTAAGCTATCTTTGACAGCTTCACCTCGTCGTATTTCTATCCTTCGCCCCACTGCGAGAAGTTACAAATACAGAGTGACGAAAAAACTCTCATGAAAACACTTCTAAAGATATCAAACAGAAGTAGCTATCAGCAAGCTCAGAGTCGAATCGTCTACATTTCTGCTAGACCAATGGGATTGGTTTCTGCTTTGAACAGCGCAGGGTTATACATGAAGTCATACTGCTTGCAGCCATCAAATTCATCACACACAACAAATTTTCAAATCACTAACGTTCTGGTGAGATGAGGCACTATTTCCAGGGGAACTGCAGTTGTTGATGTGCTCTATACTTTGGCATCCACTAAAACTATGTTAAATGGCCCTTCCTTGACTCCAAAAAGAATCCTCTACGTTCAGAGGTGATGCGGTAGTGCATTTTTCTTTTTTTCTCAGATAAAGCTCGTCACCAACCTACTTCAGAGCATTGGTGTTGCTTACTTTGCTTGTAAATTCGCCGATTACATGATCACATTATTACTCCCGTTTTCAATTGTCATAGTAGCCAAATATGTGGATTGACAATCAAAAGCCTTGGTAATAATTAATCTCTCTTTACACCTAGTGTCATCCTAGTGTTATTACGCGATGGTAATATGTAGTGGCATGCTTTGAGCAGCGCGGTGCTGTGTGAGTTTGTTATGACTTATCCTGAAACACCCAAAACTTCTCGAAAGTTGCGATGATTTCAGCGATTTCGAGGCACTGAAACCTTGGGAGATGAGACTAGTACCGTATCAATGCCTAAAGGCGTGAGTAGGAAGTAGAGTTCCTTCCCAAAAATTTTCTATTTGGAGATGAGCATACATTTTCTTTTGTTTGCAGTAGATTCATCGAAGCATATATCGAACTCGATAGATGGCTGTGTCAATAGAGCGAGTTGAGCGGATTATGATGCGTAGCTGGGCAGCAAAAAAACGTTTCGAATGTATCGAAACCCAATCGCATAAAGCTAGCGTAATTGTACTTCACCCCACTATTGTTGTGTCTCGGCCGAACTCAACCTTTCTTTATCAAATCTACTGATTTACTCACTGTCTCTAAGCCAAATTTTGTCATGTTCAGTGACTAATTGCTCGCCAGCATGAGCCGTCTTCGTCTTTCTAGCTCTATGAAACACATCTATGGTCCTTTTCGTTGTATAGGCTTTACTTTTACGCCATGACTTGGCTAGCGTCACAACTCTCGCCTAGCTCATCGCCTTTCTCAGGCCTTATATACTCACGGCTAGAAAAAATTCGATATTTCCCCTAACTTATTTAAAATTTTGGATATAAAAAGCGTTGCATCGAATATCAAAGTTCGGATAATAAACTTTCGCCTTCAGAACAACAGATTTGAAGCTCGAAAGCGAGCTAAAAGCCAATAGAGAAGCGTGAAAATCGGCTCAAATTCAACAGAAAGGGGGCAGAACGCTATCTGACACGCTATACTACTGTATGGAACGAAATAGCAGCATACCAGTACGTTGCACACCGTGGGTGTACGACGACATTACAGCTTGCCACCGTGTGTGGATTGTAGGATTTTATGTCCCGTTGGTTCTTATAGCAGCATCGGTGGCATATACAGGCTACAAAGTGGTCAAGAATTCGCGGAGAACTCACGAAAAGCCAAATTACGCAAGTGAACTGGCGTTAGATGGCGATGACGAGCATAAACCATTGTTGGCAGACAACAATGGGGCTAGCTACCAAGCGCGTGGTGGAGATGGAAATAATGACTCGCAACCCGCGAAAAACACACTCAAGGAAGACCATTTTTCAATTGAAAAAATCAAGCTAACAGATGCTCAGGGTAAGCCGCACGGCATTGTACAAGTTGTGAGACGTGGATTCATCGAAAAAACACGAGTGATTCTCGAGTTTCTTGCGTGCGTGGCACAGCTTGCGATCCACGCGTTTGTATGGGCGCGTTTCGCAGGTGACTCCAGCGAATTTCCTCTGGGTGCAATTGTTGCCCGCACTGTTCTGTGGGCTTGGTTAGTCGCGGTAGTTGTCCTTCGTCTTGCCAACATCAACCAGCAGGTTCAATGGATTTCCAAATACCCTGGAAATCTGTGGACCGTGTCATTTGTGTCTTATATGATCCTCTTTGCCACTCAGGTGCTACCATTACGCTCTTACCTGATAGGGCACATTGATGACCGTGTTGCACAACAGTACACGCTGTCGCAATTTTACTTGAATCTGGCTTTGTTTCTGCTACTGTTCACTGCCAAAATCGGGAACAATTACGCATATCTCTACCGTACCGACGCCGACATTACCCCATCCATCGAGCCCGTTACATCGATATTTAGTTTTATCACATGGTCATGGCTCGACGGCTTCATCTGGGAAGCAAACAAGCAGTCTATCAAGATCAAAGATATCTGGGGTCTCATGCTTGAGGATTATTCGCTTTTCGTTCTCAAGAAATACAAAAACTCAATCAAAAATAAGAACAGAAGTTTTTCCCACAACTTGTTTTGGTTCTTCCTCAAGTACCTCGGACTACAAGGTTTCTGGGCGTGTTTCGATAGCGTACTCAGTTTTGTTCCCACATTACTACTAAAACGCATCCTCGAATACGTTGATGACCAATCCACTGCGCCTAAGCATTTGGCATGGTTTTATGTGTGCGCCATGTTTTTCTGCAGAATCGCGGTTGCAATCTGCCAATCTCAAGCTCTATTCCTTGGTAGAAGGGTCTGCATTAGAATGAAGGCCATCATCATCTCGGAGATTTATAGCAAAGCGTTGAGGAGAAAAGTATCTCCAAATACTTCGAAACCCTCTACAGATGAGGTCGATCCACAGGCTTTGAACTCCAAAGAGAATGTGGATGCTGACGAAGAATCCAGCACTGCCAATCTAGGTGCCATCATCAATCTAATGTCTGTGGATGCCTTCAAAGTCTCTGAAATCTGTGCATACCTACATGCTTTTGTGGAAGCGTCTATAATGACGGTCGTAGCTTTGCTTCTTCTTTACAATCTGTTAGGGTGGTCCGCATTGGTTGGCGCTGCCTTGATTGTGGCACTACTCCCCATAAGTTTCAAGCTAACGACATTACTAGGACAGTATCAAAAAGAGTCTTTGGCTGTTACAGACAAGAGAATTCAGAAATTGAACGAAACCTTTCAAGCTATTCGTATCATAAAGTTCTTTTCATGGGAAGAAAACTTCGAAAAAGAAATCCAAGATATTAGAGATCAAGAGCTGAAATTGATTTTGAAGCGTTCTATCGTATGGGCATTAGCCAGTTTTGTTTGGTTCATCACCCCAGGTTTGGTAACGTCCGTAACTTTCGGCGTCTACATTTATCTGCAGGGTCGCGTTTTGACTACCCCTATTGCTTTTACCGCTCTCTCTTTGTTCGTGCTGTTGAAAAACCCACTTGACCAGTTATCCGACATGTTGAGTTTCGTTATACAGTCCAAGGTATCTTTGGATAGAGTGCAAGACTTTTTGGAAGAGGAAGAGACTGAAAAATACGAACAAGTGACCGTTGGTAGCAACAGAATAGGCTTCGAGAACGCGACTTTCTCTTGGGATAAGAAAAATGCTGAATTTAAACTGAAAAATTTGAGCTTGGACTTCAAAGTTGGTCAATTGAACGTTGTTCTCGGTCCTACGGGATCTGGTAAGACGTCACTGCTCATGGGTTTACTTGGTGAAATGGACTTGATAGACGGAAAAGTATACACGCCTTGCCTGGACGCTAGGGAGGACCTCATTGTGGAGGCTGACGGTATGACGAATTCGGTAGCGTACTGCTCCCAAGCTGCGTGGCTGTTGAATGATACTGTAAGAAACAATATTCTGTTCAGCAGTCCCTTCAATGAAGCAAGGTATAATGCTGTGGTGGAAGCTTGTGGTTTGAAACGCGATTTCGAGATTCTGAATGCAGGTGATCAAACTGAAATTGGTGAAAAGGGCATTACACTCTCGGGTGGTCAAAAGCAGAGAGTGTCTTTGGCACGCGCACTGTACTCGTCTTCTAGGCACCTTTTGCTAGATGATTGTCTCAGCGCTGTAGATTCACATACCGCTCTATGGATCTACGAGAATTGTATTTCGGGGCCTTTGATGCAAGGTAGAACCTGCATACTCGTGTCTCACAATGTGGCATTGACATTGAAAAACGCTGATTGGGTGGTGTACATGGAAAATGGTAAAATAATGGATCAAGGCGAACCTCTCGAGCTTTTTAATAAGGGCTTATTGGGACAGGACGAGCTTGTTAAAACCAGCATTCTATCTCGTGGAGCGTCTTCGACGAGCTTAAGCCGCAAGGTAGCCAAAAGCGGTGTTGACCTAAGCAAGCTGAGCAGGAAGATAGACGAAGAGAGTAGTTCACCCAAGAAGGATCTACCTACGGAAGAGGATAAAATAAAACTAGGAAAGCTCATAGAGGAAGAAACTAAATCAGAAGGGGTTGTTAGTCTGGACGTTTACAAATGGTATGCCAAGTTATTCGGTGGATGGAAAATGGTTTCATTCTTGGCTCTAGTTTTCTTGATTTCACAAGGTGTCCACATCTCCGAATCGCTTTGGGTTCGTAAATGGGCATCACACAACACTTACGACGCGATCAAAAGAAGTGCCGTCAAAGCTTTCTCTTCAAAGCTTGTTAGCTCATTCCTTCCCCTAGGCGCACAGGAATTGCACGTCGAGGTGGATCCTGTGCTGACTTCGACTGTTGCCAAGTCTGATCTCGTATCTGTTACAAAAACAACCGCACACTCCACTGCTTACTATCTTTCGATTTATTTCCTCATCGGTGTTGCTGTTGCTGTTATATCAGCCTCTAAGACGATCATAAACTTCGTTGCAGGTCTTAATGCGTCAAGAAAGATATTCAACCTTGTTTTGAAAAAAGTTCTCTACGCAAAGTTGAGATTTTTTGACTCTACCCCCATTGGTAGAATAATGAATCGTTTTTCGAGGGATTTGGAGGCGGTTGACCAGGATTTGACGCCTTATATGGAAGGTGCGTTTGTTTCCTTGATACAATGCTTGTCGACTGTCTTGTTGATTGCCTACATCACTCCTGGGTTCTTTTTTGTTGCCATATTCGTTGGTTTGATGTACTACTTCGTGGCATACTTTTACATGGTCGGATCTAGAGAACTGAAGAGATTTGAATCCATGAGTCGCTCGCCAATCCATCAACACTTCTCTGAAACACTGGTGGGTATCACAACCATTCGTGCTTTTGGGGACGAGCGCCGCTTCATGGAGGCCAATCTTGAAAAGATTGACGAAAACAACAAGCCATTCTTTTATTTGTGGGTTGCCAATCGTTGGTTAGCGTTCAGAATTGACTTCATTGGTGCAATTGTTATTTTCGCTGCAGGTGTATTTGTTTTGTTGAACATCGCCACCCTAGACTCCGGTTTGGCAGGTATTTCCTTGACTTATGCGATTTATTTCACTGAAGGTGCCCTGTGGCTCGTTAGGCTGTATTCCAATGTGGAAATGAACATGAACTCTGTCGAGCGTTTGAAAGAATACATGGACATTGAGCAAGAACCTCACTTTCAGAGCACACACAATCCACCTCCAGAATGGCCAAGTCAAGGTAGAATCGAGGTCAATGATTTATCTTTGCGTTACGCGCCAAACTTGCCTAAGGTTATCAAGAATGTTTCATTCACGATTGAACCCAACGCTAAAGTTGGTATTGTGGGTCGGACAGGTGCGGGTAAATCCACCATCATAACTGCTTTGTTCAGATTCATGGACCTGGATAGCGGGTACATCAAAATTGACAATGTTGATATCACCTCGATTGAGCTCAAGAGGCTACGTCAGTCAATAACTATCATACCTCAAGACCCCACATTGTTTTCCGGGACTCTCAAATCGAACTTGGATCCTTACGATGAGTACACCGACAAGCAGATCTTTGAGGCATTGAAGCGCGTGAATCTTGTCACGCAGGAAGAACTGGACAATGCGAGCACTCAAACATCAGATGCCGCGTCTGTTAAGTCAAATGTCAACAAGTTCTTGACGCTGGACAACGAAATCACTGAAGGAGGTAATAATCTTTCTCAAGGGCAGCGTCAACTGGTGTGTCTGGCAAGGTCTTTGTTACGGTCGCCTAAAGTGATGCTTCTGGATGAGGCCACGGCGTCCATCGACTACAATTCAGACGCCAAATTACAGCAGACAATCAGAGAAGAGTTTTCAACCAGTACAGTTTTGACCATCGCCCACAGATTAAGATCTATTATCGACTACGACAAGATCCTGGTGATGGATGCAGGCGAAGTTAAGGAGTATGATCATCCTTACTCACTTCTGTTGAACAAGAACAGTATTTTCTACAGCATGTGCGAGGACAGTGGTGAACTGGAGTCACTACTTCAGCTCGCCAAGGAATCTTTCGTGAAGAAGCTAAACTCCAAGTAGTAAATGGTGGTTCAAATTCTAGACGTCAGTTCAATTTTAATTAGAGTTAGATAGATCCGGAAAAATAATTGAAATTTTGAGAGCTAATTAATTGATTTCATTCAAACCATCTTTGAGTTGCCGGAAGCTGGAAGGATTTGTAAAATCTGTTCTGTTTTGACTAGAGCTTTGTTGCGGGGAAGATCGGATGTTATATATACTTATTACTGTGGAAACGAATTATGTGTCGCGGTATTCTTTGAGTGCTGAAAACACCCCAATACAATCACTTAACGGATCAAAAGCTGTGGGAACAAAGATTCACGTAAGGACATGCAATTCAAATCCAAACAGGTCTTTAATGACCGCTGACTCGACAATCCTGGTTGACAGTATCTAACTACACAGCAGATCACTTCTTACGTACATTTGTAAATTAAGTCGAAACACTGACACTGGGATCTACCATCTTATCAGCCCAACTGGAGATTAACCAATCACATTTTCAAGCTCCCCATCATCAACAATTACTCATAAATGTACCCAGATCTTGTCTGTAACAGCCTTCACCCCTGTAAACACATCATACTTTTTCCAGTCGTCGGCCGACAGTAAATAAGAACTATATAAATTGACCCAAATTTCATTTCAGTCGTATCCAAACCAACACATTCTACCATAACTATAATAAATCCCAATCTGATTCGCTGTAAATCTCGAGTCCATCCGGCTCCATTGCGAATACACACAACGTCACTTGTTGTTTCATCAAAAAAGCGCCTCGGCCGAGCTTATCGATTTTTCACGTGCCATTCATTTAATTTGTCGTCGTTATACACGAACAAATGTATATCTTGAAAGCCTATATATATAGAGGTAGAATTCCCTTTAAACTGCTTGTAAACAAGGTCTTCCTGTAATCTTGATCAACACTTTCAAGACAAGTTCGAATTCTATAGGAATACCTCAAGAATAACTCAAGAATACTCAACGTTTTTTAGAATCTTTACAAGTCAAAAACAATTTTCAACGTTTTTGCCCATTACCTTCTAACTTCAGCACATTAAAATCAGTTCAAAAATGTGCAGCTGCCCTTGTGCTGAAACTACTAAATACAAAATCTCCCAGCTCCCTGCTGTGGAAGTCGTGGCACTCAGCCGCGGCGTATTTACAGTCACACACCTCTGATTTTTGGCTACCGGATACCTCTCGCAATGCTGGCTTTCTATTTTTTTTCCTCTGGACAGTTTTTGTCCGGCTCACATAAGCTCTTCTTAGTGGGTCGCTAGCGGTCTGCTAGCTGGGTGGGAACATATGGGGGAAAGCTCGTACTTGCACGCTTACTACTCTGACAATGAATTATCAACACCATATCAACTATAACTACAACTACAATTACAACTACAAGCGCAAATATAAGAAAGAACCAGCACATCCCAATGAAGCCCCCAAGTAAACCTTCCAAAACACACAGAATCTCGCACGTCTGCGACCATTGCCGTCTCCGCAAGCTCAAATGCAGCAAAGACAAGCCTTCCTGTGCTCGTTGCGCAAAGCTCGGCCTGCAATGTGTCTACACCCCGTTTCGACAAAACAATCGCGATCCAACAACCGTCAAATCTCTGGAATCGGAGCTTTCCTACGTGAAGGCTCAATTAGCAGCTTGTTCCAAAGCCCTGGGTGACACGCAAGCCACTGTCACAGTGCAAGCCACTCCCAGGAAGCGCCATATCAACTGGACTAATCTAGTGCGTCCCGTACGCGTTCATGGCGTTTGGAGGACTTACTACGCTCCTTTCAGCGATTTGGCGTTGTTCGCACGCGACCCACGTTCCAAGATTCGCGTGGCAGACCTGTTTGAGCAAAAAGAAGAATTCCCCAAGCACCTCAATCAAAAAGAAGAGCTTGTACTCAGTATGACAAGACTTCTCCCCGAACGACATATTTTACGCGAAAGCAAGCTCGCGTTCGAAACTAACTTTTACCCAAGCTATCCCTTTTACAATTTGACCACCTTCCAAGAATATCACGAAGCTTTAATTCAAAAGCCTTTACTCATTGAAACAAACACAACGTCAATATGTTACTTTGTTATGACATTTTTGATGCTTTGTCTCACTGAAAAACTCGCTATCGACCCTGATTTAATTGACGGGTGGATCCAGCAAACACATATTGCGTCACACCCTAGTGAAGGCAATTTGGCCTGTTTGCTGTATCTAAGCCTTTATTCGAGTCCCATGAGACTCTCTTTAAGTTCCAAGACAAGACTGTCGAACGACATTTGCCGAATGGCTCTGGAGATGGGGCTTTTCAACTCTGCAAAATCTCTGAACAATATCGACCTGCGACAAAATTTGTGGATGGGATCCGTGATTCTCACAGAGCCTACAGCTTTTGACGACCATTTCATTAAAATATTCAATGAGGCAACCCCACCTGCCAAGTCACAGCTAGCTATACGCTATCGTTTTACTACCAACCTCTCAACGGTCTGGAAATCTGTTTTGACTGCGTCCGATGGCTTAGAAGAAGCCATGCTGTCTTTATCCAACTACAGTAAGATCCAGCCACAAGACAGCCATCATAGCACCACGTTGGTGGCTAGCTGCAATTTGACTTCTTCTACCACAGAATTCAACCTGCTCTTAATGCAGTTTCTACAAGAGGAGCTGTATGCCCGTGATACAGATCATCTTAGGAGACTACTTCAGAAATCATTCGACGAACTATTGAATTGTTTTCGAAACTTCCTTTCCACTGCAACCACACATCGGTATTTGTATCTCTCCCAGAATGTCTTTTGCCTGAAGTCACTTGCTTCCTACGTTCTCACGATGTCAGCTAGACTTGCGACGGAAAGCAAGCCCTTTGAAATCACCGAGTTACGGCATAAATTTCAGCAAGCTGCTGAAGCCTTTCCTTTCAGCGTTGACTGGTGCCATCAGATATGCAGGTTGCTTGATGACATACTTAGAGATGTGGACTCCAATTTTTCCGAATCATCAGACGAACCTACAGAGAGCATTCTACCGGACTTCCTCTTAGAAGACTATACTGCGGCGTTCAGCGCCGGCATCGATGAGTTATCACCTTCTTTGTCTCATGAATCCTTTGAATCCATTTTGACTGAGTCTCTGACGGGTTTTAGCGAACAATTGGATACAGGGTTTTCCCACCTTTTTCCAGATTCCACCAGCAATTCAACTGAAGGCGAAGCGGATCTTGAGTTCAACGTCTTCGCATGATTTTGAGCCATTGAGAGCTTGTTTAGGCAAACTTTAATATTTCTACCTATACATTTATAACAATCCTATGACCTGATTAAATACCAAGAACAAACATAAAATCATAACCCAATATCCTCAGGGGCTTGGCACAATTCGTTCCATGCCGAGGGAATGTGTGACCACGTTGAGTATTCTGATTGAAGCTCATTGACTTGTAGTAGCAGCCCACTTTCCATGTGCCATCCTATATGGCAATGGAAAGGCCATACCCCAGGGTTATCGACAACAAATCTTATAACAGCGTAGCCGAAACCAGATACATTCAAGACATCTCTCGCAATTGGATTGGTAAAATCCATTTCGCCACTCTCGTTGTCATAAAAAGACTTTCTAAAATATCCACGGTCAGCACTTGCCAAAACCCAAAATTTATGTCCATGTAGATGGAAAGGATGAGCACCGTCATCGTAATTGTTTATTATAAGGTCAACGATGGTGCCACGGCTATCCAAATTGATCAAGTACTGACCCTCATTCTTACTTTCCAGCTGTGGGTTTTCCAGTAGTCTTATTTGGTTGTCATTCGGGGTTGTCGCTAATTCATTCATGGTAGACGATTGGGCAAGCGGCGTATAGGTCATGTCGTTAAAGTAACCACGATCAAGCTGATTTGCCTTGATCAAAAACGCAACGTCTAAGTCTATCATGATATCAGGTCTATTGGAACCATTTTGAACTTTTGGAACCTGGCCGTCAAGTGTCTTGATCTGAGTTTGATCAAAATCACGACAACGTACGTCACCACCATTGTAGGGCCAGCTCTCGCTGTCAGGAATCACTTCAGCTGATTTTTCGTAGCTGATAATAGCACTAACTGACGTATCGAGATTAGGATTACTCTCGGCTAAACAGAACCCATTGAATCTGACGCGCATCCAATATTGCGATAATTTGGTGTCCTGAGGCTCCAAGATAAATGAATATCGCTGAGAAACAGATAGGTCTATTGACTCGAGAGTTAATGGCTCGGTGACAGTGCCGTCCGCTTCAACCATTTTCAGCTTATGGTGGTCGATGGCAAAGTTGAACGGTGCGAAAAAACCAGCATTGATAAGACGAATGCGATATTTCTTGTGTGGGTCAAAATGGAGCACGGCTTGGGCCTGTGGGTCAAATTGTTTGGCCGTATGCTGGTCGTTGGAGTTACCATTGGGCACAACGTAAGTTGCAGAGTCATACTTGAAATTGTTGGTGCCCTGAATCAAGCCACCATCTGGAGTGGGCTCGGTATTCTCATTGTCGGGCCCCAAGTACTCTGCAAGGTATGCATTGGCAGTATCGTGGTAGTAGTCGTTGACCATCACTACTACTTCGGCGTCGTAGTCGTCGCCAATGAGCTGACGTTCCAGAGCCGAGTGCACGACTAAGGGTCCAAAAACGCCGTCGGCCTGCTGGGTGCCATAATGAGAATGATACCAGTACGTGCCGCTTTGATTTTCATCCAGATGAATCTCGTAGTCGAACGTTCCATTATTGGCGTCGATGGGACATTGGTTGATGAACGCCGCTCCGTCATAAAAGCTTTCGTTTTTGTTGAAAAAAAGGCCATGACAGTGAATTGTGGTCGGTATGCCCTGTGCTTGAACGTGCAAAAACAACGTATCGCCAGCGTTGGCTTCGATCAGAGGACCAGGATACTGACCATTGATGACAGTGACGTTTCGCACGATGCCGTCTGGAGCGACCTCTGCGACTGTTGATACGTTTAAGTAGTAATGACGCTCCACGCCTGGACTCTGATTTTTCCAGTAGTCCAGATCAATCGTGTAGTTTTTCTGGGTATCAAGACGCCACGAAACCGTGTTGTCACTATCGCTTTTGGTGTCGTGTGATTGAAGAAGCTCTTTCCCGAATTCCACCTTGCCCAAGCACAAGGCAATTACGAAACAAGGCACAACTATGCAAAGAAGAATCTGAGCCAGCAATAGAAGTCTGGGTCTGTTTTTGCGGTATTCCGAAATTCGCCGAAGGCCGTTTTTGGCATCGGAGTCCTGACAACGCTGTTCTTCCCAATCCTCTAAGGCGACGCGCTCCAGCTGCAACGTAGTTTCGGAATCCCGAACGCCGTTGTCAAGGTCTTCTTTCACGGAGCTCCGAGACATCTCTTCAGACGGCAGATGTTGTAGTCTTCTTCTTCTTTGAGGAGCACCGTGGGTTCTCGTTACTCACGATACTTTCTACCTAATCTTCTCCGGAACCCCGAACCAAACCCGTACTCCTACTTAAATTTTCACCTACCGCTTTCCGTGTGTATACACTATACATATATTCAAAGCACACGCTAATAACTCTTAGCCAAGACTCATCGCGGCCGTATCAACGTACGCTCGAATAATGATTCTTGGTCCATGTGCGTAATTAAGGGCCATGTGGGTCAAATAGAAAGCACCAAGACCCAACGGAATTGTGAAACTAAATGACAACACAAAATTTGCAAGCAACAGAAACACGCGTACACAGGTAATCACTTGCAGAATTGTTCTATTTTATCGGCATTATTAGCGGTCTCGAACAGCTTCGGTGATACTTGCACAATACCTGCTGGCGCGACATACTAGTACAAAGTGATAACATTATGAGCCGACGACACCGACGTCGATAGTGATGTCATCGTGTACCCTCTAAAACCAAACAACATTCTATTTCTCTCGACAGCAGAGTGTTCTACAGTTTGTAACATCTCATCTACACCAATTGTTTAGCACTCGTCTCTTTCCATCTCTTCCTCTCACAACCCTGTGTGTCACACAGCTTTAGTCTCCACCACGCTTACCCGTAATATTTAAGAACTCAATATAGTAAATAGTCCTATAATATCTATCTATGACATGCCTTTATTAATTGAAATCATAAATGACACGGGCCGTTCTGTTCAAAGATGAAGAACACTCCACGTGGAACTGCATTACCACCTTCTTGAGCCAGCTGCAATACTGCGTGTAATGCAGAGTTCTTGGCTCCTGTGTTGCGTATATAACTGGGCCTTTTTGCCCGCTTCCAAATGGACTTTCTGGTGAATTCACGAAGGGTCTTCATCTACAGCTTTTTTATCTCTCCATTGCTCATCATCAACCAAACTATCAAGGTATGAGACTCAGTAATCAAGCCGGTCTTTTGATTGCGGCATTGGCTACCGCCAATGCCGCAGAGTCTGCTTCTTCGAGCAGCTCTTACTCGCCAAGAACGTACTCTACGTACAGTCCTTCGGCATCGGACATTGCGCAGGACGCAGCCAAGGCTACCTCGAACCATCGCACTTCAAATGTTAAAGGTGCTGCCGCCAACCGTATTTTCCAAATCTGGCTAGAAAACACTGACTACGACAAAGCTGCTGGCGATGAAAACTTGGCGTGGTTGGCTACTAAGGGTATCACTCTTGACAACTACTGGGCATTGACTCACCCTTCAGAACCAAACTATTTGGCCTCTGCCGGAGGTGACTACTTTTCTCTCAACGACGATCGTTTCATTACGCTTCCGTCCAACGTGTCCACCGTTGTTGACTTGCTAGACACCAAAAACATCTCGTGGGCCGAGTATCAGGAACATTTGCCATACACCGGGTTCCAAGGCTTCAACTACTCCAACCAGGAGACCTGGGCTAATGACTACGTCAGAAAACACAACCCATTGGTGTTGTACGAATCCGTCACCAACGACGCGGATCGTCTTGCTAACATCAAGAACTTCACAGAGTTCGAACGTGATGTGAACGGCTCCACTTTGCCACAATGGAGTTTCATCACCCCAAATATGACCAATGACGGTCACGACTCTACTATCAAGGTCGCTGGTTCCTGGGCTCGTGGGTTCTTGGAACCTTTGTTGTCCAACAAATATTTCATGGAAAACACCTTGGTTATCCTGACTTTTGATGAAAACGAGACCTATTCCATCAAGAACAAGGTCTTCACCATCTTGCTCGGTGGTGCCGTACCAGAAAGCTTGCACGGTACTACGGACTCCACTTACTACGACCACTACTCGCTATTGTCTTCCGTCGAAGCCAACTGGGACTTGCCAAGTTTGGGTCGCCATGACGTTGACGCCAACGTTTTCCAGCTCATCGCCAATGCTACTAACATCACAAACAAGGCTGTTGGCACCACTTACAAACTCAACAACCAAACTTACACTGGTTATTTGCTTGATGACAAGATCGGCTTCCCTGCCCCAAATGTCACTGCCATCAACAAGAACGGTAAGGGCGTTTTGCAGAAGATTGTGTCCGTTTGGGGCTCTGAGTATTCTGCTCAAGTTTCTGCCAGCTACTTCACATCCACTACCACTACCCACTCTGTGGCTTCATTGACCGATGCAGCGACCATTGCTACTTCCGATGTTCAAAAGTCTGCTACTGTCAGTGGCTCTTCCATTTCTGCCAGCGTTTCGCACAACTTAACCTCTATTGTCTCTGAGGGTGGTTCGGGCATTACTGGTCTAAGCTGGACCTCTTTGGTGGCCCTGATGGTGTGCTCTATTTTTGCTTGAGCATCTCAAAAAGGCTAGAAACGGCCGGAAATAACTGCCGATTCCCGATGGTATGACACCGATCGGGAACAATGACAGGAATAACTTATTTATTATTATTGACCTTTTTATATTGATAAACCTAGAATTCAAATTCGTGCTAACATACTGGGCTTCTAAGATACTTTATAGAGCCGGTTCTTAGCAATTTGATATTTCTAAACGCTTCAGCTGGTGCAGTTCCGCGCTATATGCTATAGATTTTCTGTCGCTGACGCAGGTCATCTAATAAGCGTCAGCGACAGCGCGAGAAAAGACGACATACATTTCAGCACTCACGGTATGTATGCGACCATAAGAAGATAACGAATACAGCCTGATTGACCAAATCCTAGGCAACAATTAGACAGCAGCATAATAGATGGAAGTGATCAAATGTCAGTCTTCTTGACTCTCCGTAACTTGGGCTTTTTTTTTTCGGATTTTCGAAAATACTATGAAAATGCGCCTTAAACTGGCACCTATGAAACTTTGAGAATCATGATAGAATACTGGTAACATCTGTACTGATGAATTTAGTCAGTGGCTGCCATGAAATAGACTAGTTTGTAACTGGGCTTCCGCTAAACATAAAAATTTCACCAAACTTCCAAATATCAATAAAACCGTGGAATTAGCAGCGCAAAGCTCTCTTACGTTTTCACACTCCACCCGAACGTTGAAACAGATAATAACAGCGCTCATTCCAAGCTTTCTGGTGTTTCTTGTTGTTCATTCTTTTGAACATCACTAAATTCCAAGCATAGCTGTAATACTCATACACGAATGGAACTCATCGATTTAAGAGAAAGATCGGCATGCTCGAAATAAAAGCGTTTTTGTCAAAAGAGGTCAAGGGCATAATGAGTTCAGGGACCGTGGAGCACTGTATCCAGTGGGCTCAAGATAATGGAGCTTACATCGATGACAAAATTGAGTTCAAAGAAGATGCTTTAGCTGGGGTTCATGCGATTGCAAAAAAGTCCGTAAAAAGCAGTGATCCTCTTTTGAAGATTCCCAAAAAGTTAATTTTGCGCCGCAGTTTGGCAGAAGATCATTTTGGTGTAAAGGCTACATCTGAGGGGAATCCAAACGCTCTTTTGCAACTTTATTTGGCCAAATTGAAATTTGATAATACCTGTTCAGAGTCTGCGTTTTTCGAACCATACTTGAATATTCTTCCCACCGTCAATGCAATCAATTCGCCCTACTTTTGGAGCGGTCAGGAACTTGCCGCTATGAAGGGCACAGAGCTGTTGATCAAGACCAAAAGAAATCTGAAAAAATTGGTCAGCGAATGGTTTGATGTTACTACAAAGGTGAACGCTACCGATGAAGAAGATACTCAGTTTTATCTTGCATCGTCGTCGAGCCCCAATTCCGATATCACAGACATGTTAAAACGGTCCAACTCGCCAAAGTGGCATAGCTTCGAGGCATACTTGTGGGCTTCATACATCTTTTCTTCTCGTGCTTTTCCTGAACTGATTTTCGAAGGTAGCGCAGTTGAAAACCCCAACCAGGCCTTTTTGCTCCCTGTCGTTGATCTGCTCAATCATGCGAATGGGAAGAAGGTCAGCTGGAAAGACGACATCAAAGACAATGCGGTGACCTTCACGACCAGCGAGACACTTTCTGCAGGCAAAGAGCTCTTTAATAATTATGGTGACAAGTCGAATGAGGAACTGCTGATGTGCTACGGTTTTGCTTTTCCTAATAATGAGTTTGACACTACCACGTTGACGCTTAGATTTCCTCAAGAGCAGCTGGGCGCTTTCCACAAAATGGGCATCAAGCTCGACGACGTTAGCACAGAGGACAGCTCCGTTAACTTCACACTATCAGTAGAGCAAGCACTCCCTGCAGAGCTCATCAAAGTTTTCGGTGTATTGAATAAGCTCACTTCAGAGGCGTTTTCGACAACGCGAAGCACTCTAGAGGGGACGGTACAATTGAATGGTATTTTAGATCAGAAACTAAGCTTTTTCAAAACTGCATCCAAACTCAAAGACTCTCTTAAATCTCCAGAAAAGTCCAAGTATGCGAAAGCTTACCTGACGGGACAAAAGAGAATTTATCAAGAAGCTTCAGACAGCATCAAAAAGTACCAAAAGAAACTCATAAAAGTGTCAAAACCTGTTTCATTCAAAACTCTTTTCAAGCAGGATGTCCCCTTCGTAAACAGCTTGACACTCACATTTGGAGTCGCCAAGTATGATGATTTGCTTGCTAAGGGATTTTTGCAGCAAGCTCTTCTTTTATGGTTAGTGAGAAATTCCAACGGGGGACTACAGTACAAAGTTCCAGAATTTATTGATGCCACTTTCCAAGATGTGGCAGCTACCATCGTTGTTGAGAAAGAGGACGTTCAGGAATATCTGCCTTTTTACAAAAGTCTATTTCCTCAAATTACCACCAAAATACCAGAGGTGTACAACAAGGGAGATTGGGGGATCAAAAAATTCATCATTGCCGGCACTGTTATCGACAGATTGGTATGGACGTTGCCAACTTCACAAGAGGCCCTTTTTTTCGAGAAAAAAGCAGTTTAAGCGGAGCCTTTTGCGTTAATGGGCATAACAATGAAGCATTTAGAAACGATAATTGGGTGTCTTAATGTTTTACTTTTACGTGAAGCTTTCTATATAGCCATCTGAGAACCGTTAAAACGTTAAACAAACTTAGTGAGAGCCAGCACCTCTGCTGACTCTGTCCAAGACGGATTCGTAAGCTACTTCGGAGAAATCAGTACCTTGAACGTCGGTGGAAACACCGTTCAATGCTCTTCTTAGGGCATCTTTGGAGGAAGCGTACACCATCTTAGCTCTGACTGGTGCAGTGTCAGGAGACCAGGTGTAGAAGACAATCTTGGATCTTTTACCCTCGTTGCCACCAATTTCGTATTCGAAGTCATAAACTGCGTACAAACAGTCGTCCTCTGGCAATTTTTCTAGAAAAGCGTCGTAATCCTGGGCATTAGAGGTCTCCTTGACGATAATTTCCGTTTTGCTATCGTTAAGGCCGTACAACACAAACTTGTATTTCTTGCCCAACTTTAGGTCGTTGAAAGCCTTCATAGATTCGTCTGCGACGGCAACACTGATGGATGTTAGTATGAAGCTGCATTCTGCAGCGGATGAGGGCGAAAAAACCACGAGAAACAAATCTTTTGAAAGCGGTATGTGAACTTGTAACAAATGGGAAAAACATGACTTTCGACCGTTTTCCAGAGCTCAATTGGTCGCAAAGCCTGGGACCACTTACAATTGCAATCATCACAATCCTGGTCCTCAACATTCGTCAGACTCATACTGCTCGTTAAAGCAGATTCGCACATATTCCATTGTCTTTTGCTTTCTCAACTTCTAAAAGGGCTAAAATTCTTGCTTCTGGGCCGTTTTCGCTCGTTTTTTGACGCCTGTGACGCTGTAGACACTGTTCAGGCTCCATAACATACCCAGATCTAGACATTATAGGTTAATTGGTACTTGTTTACACTTAGTTCTTCGGTTTTCCACCCCACAAGTAAAATGTTGTTCGTCAAAAAGGGGTCTCTAAAGGGGAAAAATTGTGTATATATACCAATCCAAAAGGTTACCCGGAATCTCGAAATTATTTCAAGATCTTGACAGCCGAAGTAATTTGGCTATTCTTAACCTATAAAATGAGTGATGACAGTAGATATTTCAATGGTCATTAGAAGTAATGAGAGAGAGTTTAGCAGCTTTACAGGAGCGTTTGGCCCACATTGAGCAATGTACAGGGTCTGTAGAATGTGGGGAGTCCGAAACGGTTTTAAAAAAGCTACAGGCTCTTTCGAACGAGATCAGACGGATGTGTAGAGATGGCACTACGTGCTCCAAAATGGTTTGGCAACTTTTGGATACTTACGGAGACAAAAGTGGAAACCAACTATCACAAAACCAGATCATAGAGCTGGAAACATGTCAAGACTCGCTCGCTGATATTCTGCGACAATTGCAAGAGCTCGAATTTTGGTATCGAGACGAAGATCTCGATCACGCGCTCTCGTGCGGTATACTGGATAGCAGTTTAGCTGGCGGCCGCCTCAAGTTGTCTGAGCTGCCACGACAGTTCGCGCAAGTCTCACGGCTGATAATTGGAACTATGAACCTTCTTCAGCGATTTGTGGATTTTAATGTGAGAAACAACAACTTTTGGAACGATACTGAGCGACGGGTGAGGTTGCTGGAAGCTGCTATCAGAGCTCAAGAGGACAGTAGAGCCGTTTGATACGGTTGTTGTTTCTGAATGCGCATGTTTGGCTCAGAGCATGCTTGTCACCGACTCTCCGCGGACTTAAGATGCACACTGCTGGCTCAGTGAACAGCTTTTACCGGTTAGATTATTCATTATTTATCAAGACAAAGTTCTCTATATCGATTTGTTTGGACAATCGTCACGACGAAGCTGCATCCTTGGCAAGACTTTCGAGCAGCTCGCTGACGTTCGAGTCCAAACGCTTCTCTTCATACAAGTAAATATTTGTATCGTAGTCGATACTCTTTTTCTGAATGCATTCCGAATTGTCCACTTTCCTAACGGCATCCAATGACGTTGTGATTTGGAGCTCGAGCCGCGTGCAAAATTGATACAGGCGTGCAGTATCGGGAGCTAGAGGCTCCGGAACTAGCAAGACCAATCGATGGCCACGCGGTGTATCGTCCGGTCCCAATACTTCATTTTCAAATTCCAAAATGGCCCGAATAGTTTCTACCATTCGTGACCCCTCTTCCTTATTTTTGAGATCCTGGCTAGGAGAGGTTACAGAGTCCAAATTTCTTGTGGCACGCCTGAATTCGAAGAAAAGGTTAGGATAAAGACTCTTTATAGCAGAGCACTCTGAAAAGACCGTTCCAAGAACCTGTATCATGGTATTTTGACGTTCGAAGTTAGGTTTCGAGGCGCTTTTAGCAGCACCCCGCAGTTCAGCGTTGAGGATGACATTGTAGGTATTGAGGCGAGCTAGGAAACTGTCGAAGTAACCTTTCGCTTTTACCAAATTATTTATGTCTCTATCCGAGTAACCTTCATTCAACTCTTCCAAGTCAGCAAGAATTTGTGCGTCCCAGGAGGTAAGATTTAGCGCTTTAGAGTCGAGTTCAACGTTTCGCAGCCGTCTTCGAAGTCTTTGCATGTTCTCAAAGATGCTATAGAGAACAGAAATCTTGCAATACTCTGCTTTCAACTGATATTCCGTGATGTTGTTTGAAAGAACTGTTGCCCGTAGAATATCGGCTGAACACATGGACTTTTTCATAGATCCCGAGGAGAAAAAAGAGCCCGTTTCAAGAGCTTTGAATACCCTGGACGTACTTTTCAAATCACTCTTAAAGCCCTCGGCAGGTCTCAATGGTATGAGACGGTTCTTCTTCGTTTCCACATAATCCTGATTGACACAGCACATTTTTACTTTCAAAATCTCCGCTGAGTTACAGCAACGTGATGGAATGACGGCTGCCGCACCCAATGAGTTTGCGACCGGCTTGCATCGAGGCCAATCTAGTTGTGGTGCCAATGCTATGAAATTGGCTTTGACGTCAGAATTATCGGGTATTTTCAAAAAAGGTAAGGCATCTCCCGTCACCGGGTGATGAGTCGTTTGATGTCTGAGTTTATCGTAACTCTCACTATCAGTTACTCCGATTGCCCTGCATGCCAGGGAAAACTCAAAAGGCGGCCACAGTACCTCGAAATGTTCGCCTTCAGAGGTAGTTAGTTTTAGGAAGCGATCCCAATTCTTGCCGTCCTTGCCGTCCTTCATATATGTTCCTTTGGTCTCTGTACTGGAATACACTGGTGCAATTCGGTTCTTGAAGAACTTTCTTATGGTGACCCAATCATTTATGCTTTGACTTTGGTAACGATGGGCATCGCGCACTTCAAATCGGAGTTCTACAGCCTGTCTCTGAACAGTATCTTCCCATAAAACGGCTTGCAAGTGTGCAACAGACATGGTTTCGAGCCTGGCAGGTAAAATCACCGTTTTCTGCTGCGTTTGCTCATTTTTGAGGTCATATAGGTTGTTAGCTCGTTCTTGCTCTATTTTAACCGCATTTTGCTTATAAGTGAACCTTCGTTGCCGCGACGAGTTTCTATAGGCCATTCTCAGCTGACATGTCCAATTCGGCAGTTGAGTTTTGCTCATAAGTTTCCAGTGACGCGCAATCCAGGTTGAGTTTTAAGATCGATCGGAAACTTGTTGGCTAGTAGTAGTGTTGTGATGTGGTGAAATGGTAATTTAGGCGTTTCTGGTAAAAGAGGTCACATGATGGTGCTTGCCAGCTGGATGAGTACCTGAAGAAAGGCTCAAGAGCGTGGCGACAGAGCTATCAAACCCGTCTGTAAAGAATTTAACAGTATTCCTGGCAGCTGAGCTGTTGGAAGTAGCATTTTTGGTTCATTTGGTCCGCTTTTGCGGGGTTGAATTCTAGTTTGCGCTGAAATCCTCGGAGTGTTTTTAAGTTTAGATGTCAGTTTTAACACTGAGATTTGTGTCACTTTCTCTTTCGACCTATGTTCATCAATACCTTATTGATTTCACCCGCAACGTCATTTGAATAGCGCCAATTGAACCCCGACTGCCTGCACTCAAATAAAGTCAAGCGGACGTCTCACATCACAGATGTGTCCCCCCTAGTACATATTTTACAGCTTCCCTGCTCTTCTAGTAAAGAAAGAGAGTTTTCTCTCATTCTACACTTTTGTTTCTGTTCGTTGGCACCAAAAAACCGCTATCATTCTCGTCAACCTTTTTGTTTGATTCTTCGAGCTTTTTTCGGTTCGTAAGCTCAATTCATCAGAATTCTGGCGAGTTCTAAGTGGTTCAAGTGGTTGAATGGGACTTTTCACCCAGAATCGCACTCAAATCAAAAGCTGGAAATCAATTGTTAGACATCGCTACAAGTACAGCACAGACTCCGTAAAAGGCTCTTAGAAATCAGCAGAAAAAGCTCTGTGAGAAAACAATCATTGTTCAAGATTCAACAAATACATCATCCTCGCCTTGCACATCAAGTTTGCAATACCTTTCTTTCAAGATTGTTTGTTTATCTTGTATAATTATTGATGACTAGAGTCACTTGAGTAAAAGTATGGCTTTATTATCTTGAAATTAACCTATAATCTATATAAATACCTACAATGCTGAGTAAACCAAAGTTCAACGGAATGGAAACCTTAAACTAAACTCAACTACTCTTATTTCAACAACTACACACCTCACTTTTAGAATATCGGTATTTAAGCTCTTCGAGCCCGCGATATCCTATCAATCTTTCAGATCTTCAATCTTAAAGCAAGAGTATACCTTAAAATGGAACTCACAGATCAGGATCCTCTGACACTCAAAAAGTTACCAGGTTCGGAGACCAGCCTTGAAGATTTCACAGAGGACTCGTCAAGATACGGGTCTTTTTCTTCATTGCAAAGCACCGATCTGGTTGAAGACGGGAATTTGGGCTTCTACCGCAATGAGGTGCCCCAGGGACGTCATTTGGGAGTGTTTTCCACCATTGTGCTCTTCGTGTCGCGAATCATAGGTTCCGGCATATTTGCAGCTCCAAGCAGTGTCTATGTGGGTTGTGGTGGCAACACAGCTGTGTTCCTTGCAGTTTATTGTTCTGCAGCTGTCATGGCCTTTGCCGGGTTGTATCTGTTTCTGGAATTCGGCTCGCTGATTCCGCGTTCTGGCGGGCGGAAAAACTTTCTTGAAGCGGCCTATACCAGGCCAATCAGAATGATGAGCGTTTCTTTCACTACTTACACCGTCCTTATGGGGATTGCAGTGTCGAACGCCATCGTTTTCGGCAAATACGTCTTGTATGGGTCGGGTTTCGACGAGGAATTCGTCAACAATAACTCTATGGCTTGCAACTACATCGGTGCTGCCTTGGTTATTTGCATATCGCTGATTCATGGATACTCTGTCAGTACAGGAATATGGGTTCAGAATCTGCTCGGCGGTCTCAAGCTGGTGTTTGCCCTGATAATCAGCTTGAGCGGGATATACGCCGTCGCATTTTACAAAAGACAAGAGGGCTTCTCTGAGATAAAAACTGTGGAAACGCTGTCGTTGTTCCAAAGTCACAGCACTATTACGATATCCTCACTCACAACAGCTTTCATTCAGGCTTTTTTTTGTTTTGCAGGCTGGGATAGTGTACATTCTGTGGCATCAGAAATCAAAAATCCGGTCAGAACTCTTAAAATTGCAGGTCCTTTGTCGTTAGGGTTCTGTTTACTATGTTATCTGTCCCTGAACGTGGCATATTTGAAGGTTTTCACTTATGAAGAGTTCAAAGCGGCTGGTCCGCTGGCAGGTTCCATCTTGTTCACGCGATTGTTGGGCGAAAACATTGGGCGGAAACTAATCACGTTCGGTATTGCTTTATCAGCGGGTTCAAACTTGTTCGTGGTCGTTTATTCGACTTCAAGAATGAATCAAGAATGCTTCAAGGAAGGTTTTTTGCCTTTCAGCAAAATTATGGCGAGCAATAAACCATGGGGCGCACCACTTTATTCCTCGCTCCTATGTGCTGCACTTACCACATTTTGGCTGCTACTTCTTCCGTCGACGGGCGGTGCGTATAGCTATCTGGTGGCGTTAGAAGGATATGCCAATCAATTGGTAATACTTCTAGTTGCAGTGGGTCTTTTCATCTACCGCAGAAAGAACAGGGACGAAGTGGCGGCCATCCGCGCATCTTCTGTAGGCGTTTGTGCGCTTATCATTCTTTCTATCTACCTTTTGATCGGGCCCTTCATCGGCGATCAGCACGAGGCCTCTGTGAAACATTTGCCGTCATACCCTATAGCAGCACTGTTGCTCATAGCGGTTTGCATCACTTTCTGGCTTGTGAAGTTTGTGGCACTCCCTAAGCTTCAAGGGTACAAGCTAAAACGGAAACTTCATATTATGGATGACGGACTAGTCGCAATACACTGGTGCAAGGAATATAATTTATAGACTTAAATAGCTTTCGCATAAGCCGGTTTCGAATTTTCGAATCTGCCGAGCCCCAGATGTTTGGACGTAACCTGTTAATAAGCGAGTCGGAATCACCACTATCCTCACTCACACATTTTGCAGGAAATGCTGGGTTTGCGCAAAAATGGGCAATATGAAGAACTCCACCTCTTGGCTAATTTCTGCATCATCATTCAGAATAAACGCTGGATCTCGATTTGTGGACGACCGGTCAAGATCGTGGTGACTGAGGATCTTCTCTGAATTTCAACATTTCCATGTCCTGTGAGATTGGCATATTTCGTGTGGCTTATCATGCAATCCTATGAGTCTGAAATTTGTAATTGAGAAAACAGACCAACCTTGATGCAAATAAGTTGTCAGCAACTTTACACCGCTCGTGAAACCCGTCGCGTCCCCGCCACTAATGACACATACTCGCCATCTTCATTAAAGAATAAATCAACTGCGAAAATCAACCTTTCAAAAGCGCCTCGCGCGCTTTAAAACCTTACCATCCTCTACACGTCACAAATCCTACCGCTACCAAGAGCGATTTCCTTAAGTTCCGCACAAGGCTTCAACCTGTAATACAGTCGTATATCTGCGGTGAGCAACATGCTGGTGCGCGACTAGTTGGTTCTATGCCAGATAAAAGCTTGGCTAGGGCAAAATACCAATTTTTTATGGTATTTCATTCCCTTTCTGCTCGTTTTCAAACCATTTGTTAAGCTTTTTTAGTGAAACCAGTTCATTTCGATCTTCAAGTCGCTGTTACGGAGTCAGAAACCATTTCAATCTTGAATTTCAATGTTAGGCCTTTTATACTCTAATTTTGACAAAATTAAGGGAAAGCTCTGATTTTTTTCGAGCTCAGAGTATATAAGGCGAAAGAGAGATGCGATGAGCTAGCGACATTAGCGAATGTTACGATCTTGAAAGGCCTATGCGATGCAATGGGAAGTGAAAATGCATCAAGCGAGAAGGAAAACAGGTCTCTGGTTAGGTTAGATGATGAGAGCTCGTTTTGGCGAGCATTTTGCTTCCAAACATGGCGGGTTTTAGCATTAGGACAAAATAAAAACGAATGGTTTAAACTCAAGCGAGAAGTGGAACGCTTTAGACAAAATGGGGTGTTGCGGGCAATGGAACATGTTGAAAGCAAAGTATTGGAACGTAATATCGAAACGCGGTACCGATGGCTCACGTCAATGGTTGAAGGTAGACGGTTTGTGCCGATGAGCGCTGAGTTCGCGGGGAAAGCACCATGGAATGAAGCCATTGTGGGGGAAGAAGAAGCGGAGCTGGTCAAAAATGACAGCGCAGCACAAGTTTCATCCACAATTTCTCAGAATAGTGCTATTAATGATTGTTCATTCGTGGCAAGTATAATAAACATCAGACAACGAGCTCCAGCATCATTGGCAATCGAACACCCATATCCGTCGCTGTTCAACGTCAATTTGCACTTCAACGGGGCTCCCAATCGTCTCGTGCAGGTGCGCCTTTCAGACCTGACAAATAGGCCCACAGTCTGCTCTCCAAACGTAGCAGATAAGGCTTTGGAAAACGCGTACATGCAGGTGAAAAATAATTCCAGTTATCAATACAGCGGCTCCAACAGCGCTCTAGACACATTTCTACTCAACGGGTTTATTCCTGAGGTATCTGCAACTCATAAAATCTCAGTCAAGCGGATTGCTTCGCTTTTCAAAAGTGCATCATGTCTCATTACGTTAGGAACTTCCGGTACGGTGCAAGACTCAACTTTACTAACTAATCACGACTACCCAGTAACTGGCGTAAGCGAAGAGGGGCTGCTGACGATAAGAGACCCATTAGACGAACGCAGGGCTTACACGGTCTCACAGGACCGCCTCACTAAGAGCTTTCGAGTTGTATATCTCAATTGGAACGCTAAAATGTTGTTTGCGAGACATTGTGCATTCTCTTTCAAATATGACGCTTCACAAAACAAAACATCCCCCAGTCTCATTGACAAACCCATATATCAGGTGCAGAATCAATCAGAGGTCACAGAACCGGTTTGGATCTTACTGGAGCGACATATCAATCTCTCCGCATCCGACAGTGACTTTTGTCACCTGGAGCTCGTCTCACCAGACTTGGTATCACCGCAGGATGTTAGAGGCTCAAATCTTGGGTTTTACCTGCTCAAGCTTGAATTGCGGCCTGGAGAACGCAAGTTGGTAGGTTGTCTGTCCACGGTGTCTGCCAACTATAGCATCCATTTCTACCATGTCTCAGACCGCGTAGTGGCTCAGAAATATGATAAAAACCTCAATTTAGCTTCGTTGGATGACGAATGGGATATAGTTTCCAACTCTGGTCCCTTTTCAAATGCTTGCTACTACATGAATCCGACTTTCGAGCTAGTCATCAACGGTACTGGCCGGACGACTCAGTATGTTGATATGCAGCTGGTAAGCTACGCAGCCGTTGCGATAAATGCGCAGGTTTTCCATTCAGAAGACCTTGAATTGGCTCGTCCCATCCTCACTGATAATACCTACGAGTCGAAAATTCATATCAGGCGATCCGTACCTCTAGCGACAGACACTCGTTACCATATTATATGCTCTACTTTTCAGGACGAGTTGAAACCAGAAAAGTTCAAGCTCGTCGTCTTGGATCCCTCTGGATGCAATGCTATAAGTCTCAAACGCGTCTACCCGCAATTCGGTCCTCATCGCTACCGTAACAAGTACGACTTCGATTGGCGTGGGAAAAACCGCAAAAAACTCAGAGTTTCTCCCAGGCTGACGACCAAAGCCCAAGTTCGTGTTTTAGCGCTTCAGCCCAACGCCCCACTGTCGATCAGGATCAACGTTTTCACTAATGACAGCAAAGCTGCCGTTTTCACTAGTCATGAGTTTTCGAAGGTTCCAAGGCATGGACTGGTTATAAAGGATATGGTATTGAAAGCTGAAGAACCGCTGGTAATGCTTATAGAAAAGCACGGGCCCGTCACAGCCTTTCAGGATACCAAAATGCGCTTGGAGCTAGGCTCGGACTTCGACGTCGTGATGAACGAGGTCTAGTTTTTCAATGTTTACCTGTGAAGCTAACCGGATCAAAAAGGTGAACATGTTGATTCCCAGTACTAACAACGTAAAGAGCCTGATAAAGGGCACTTTCACACTACTTTAAGCCTTGCAACGATCGTGGCAAAGCCTTTGCGATGTCATTTCGACTGTCCAAATCTCAATGGCGCTCTATTGAAGGTGAAAATGACGAAATTAAGCCAGAGTTTGAGGAGACAGCTGGCGAAGGAGATGAGGAGATTAAGGAGTCCCGGCTGCAAAGTTTGATCTCCTTACTAGCAAGCTCCCCGTATGACATTTTCTTGCAGATAAATGAGCAGATTGAAAGTGTAGATTGGGATTCCAAAGCTGAAAGAGGAGCCAAACGAACTGGTAATCTACTGACGGCATCATTTTTCGTTACACGGCTTCTTCAGGATAATCTTATCAAGCCAAACATTCACAACATTGGCAAAAAACATGATTCGTTCGACTTGTCCAAGTCGCAAGCCCTGCGAAACTTAGAACTTTGGTCGCAGTCCGCTGCAATGGGGCTAGCCGATTCTCACTTAGAATGGTATTGGGAGTTTTTAAGGTGGTTGAAAATATTGCTTAGAGCTTCGTGGGCTTTTTTACTGCTTTTGAATCTCATTATCAGCTATAAATTTCTACTGGCGAGGTATCAAACCTACTCAATGTTTTATTGTCAAAGACGTCCACGCTCGAAAAACGTAACGATAAGGTCACTGAACGATTTGGGGTATCGCTCGGCTGAGGATATTTCTAGAAGCTCACTGTGGCAAATGATAAAAGCAGTCTTTCCGCGCAAGCATGCCAAGAAAGAGCAATCATTGGGAAAGTTCTATTACGAGCTGAGAAAGTGGAGACCAGGTAAATTTTGTGCTGCACTTTTCAGTACGTTCTCCCCGGTTTGCTTGATCTTTCTCACAATGACAGAAGTGTCATTCATTTCCCTCTTGCCACTGCTAGCTCACCAGTATTTATCGTTTTTGATTATCTACGAGCGATACGAAGGTCGTCTCGATGATGAGGCGTGCCTTACCGAGGCCAGCCATGCGGAAATCAACGAAAAGATAATAAAACCCAAAAGTTCTGTCAAAACTCAGGATGCCATGGTTGACGCAACGCCCTACGGAGGCAGATCAGCTGTATTTTTTCCGTCTTTCACAACAACGAGATCTCATATCTTCCGGACTCATACAGTAACAGGAGACTTGATCACAGAGCGTTATAATCCTGCCACCGAAGTATTTGAAGACATCGAACCTGCCGATTTTGCTAAGAACTACGTGAGTAGGGAAGCTATAAATATGCAAGACAGAACACCCAGGCAAAAGGCCATCAATGGTGCCGCTGTGCGTCCTGTTTTTTGGAGTCGACAGCCCAGTCCTGGCAAGAACGTCACGCCATCGAGATACATGTATTCCAAAGCGTCGCCGGCGTCTGCTCCTCTAACGCCCAACCTAAAGCCTTTGAATGGGGCTGACTTTTCTACAATGAATAACGCCTCTGGCCATATGAATAAGAGCGGTAGCACACACTACGATTTGAGTGCGTCGCGGTTGAATAATAACTCCAGACTGCGGCGTAACTCCACAAGCCCGATCAAACCTGTCGGATACATGAATGCAACGGGATTGCGCGGTATTCACAGGCCAGTGATTGAGGGAGATAGCTCCGTCTCTTTTAGCATGGACGGTATTCAAGCAGATCTACCCTTTGAGGACGTCGTTCGCCGAGGTCGTCGTACACACATAGATAATCGCTTTTCAAGAGACTCTCCCACGGGTCGTTCATCAGCAGCTTCTTCTCGTCGCAGCAGCATAAGCCCTTTGAAAAGCGCCGGCAACACGTTCAGAGGTGATACTTCTGATTCGCGACCACCTTTTAGATGAAATAGTTTACGGTAATTAAATTCGGTCAAGAAATTAAACAGGTCAGCTCAACGCAGGTTTTATGAGATTGGGCTTTATTTGTCCATATGCTATAACTCTACTATAAGTCATTCCAGCCGAAAAGCCAGTTATTGACCTTGGCCACGACTCCGTTAGAGCCCTTGGACCGCTCTTGCTGATCCTCCTGTATTTTGGTTTCGATGGTCTGCAAAAAGTTTTTGCCCTGAGTCGGGTTTGTTCCATTATTAACAAAAAGACCTTTCCCATCTTTCATGTCTAGCCTTTGAGATTTCAAATAGAAAGCATTACTATCGTGAGCGTCATGCAGTTTCCCTGGTGTGTCACCCCCTATTTGAATACTGTTTACACCGGCGTTCGGTACAGCATGTGCAGCAGGACTGAAACTTCCAACATCATCACTTTTCTCGATTGTGCAAGATGCTAGCTGTTCCACTGCACTTTTGGTGTATGGCACACAACCAATTAGGCACCCTCCATAAACAACACCGTTCTCTTGCAGGGCGCGCAGTGCCGAAGCAGCCGAATCATAAGTGAGCTTGATCCAGCCATCGCCAGTGAATATTGGATATTTGCGGCGGTTACCGCCGTCACTTGCGTGTTTGTTGCGTAGTCTCAATGTAGCTGCATTGATCCCTGAAGCGCCTCTCAATACTTCAAAATCTTCGAGAATTGTTCCAAACTTGGAAAATTGAATGATAATCTGGTTGAAGATTGATTCGGGGTATCCAAAAACTATCACAGCGCTCTCGCCGCGCTTTGTAGCGTCTGCTACTCCCGTGCCATTTGCCGAACCATTGAACTGCTTCGATGGCTCAGCTTGTGGAGTCTTATCGAAGACGTTAGGAAGAGCAGAAGCGTCGGAGATTTTTTTAGATGGCCCTAGGGACTGGCTGTTGAATGGCACATCGGAATGTTGAGCCGGCAACATGGATCCGAATTCGTCTTCTCGTTGCCAGTCATATAGCGATTTTGTTGGGGGAGCCTCGTTGGAGTCTATCAGAATTGCATTGGGTAAAGAATCTCTGAGTTCGTGAGTTTTTTTATTAGTGTTATTGTATTCGCCGTTGGATCGTCTAGTGCCAAAAGTCACGGCTCCAAATCCACTTCCGTTTGTTGGTATTGTTGCAGAGTTCCCTTGTTCACCTGCGGATTCTGATGGTTCTGATTTAGTGGACCGCTTCACAATAGATTGTGGAATTGTACGTTTCCGTGGGTTGTTAAACCACGACGACTTGGATGCTTCTGGGTTTTGCTCAAAACTTTGACTACCGCTTCCTGCACCCAGCGCTGGAACATGAACTGGTTGTTGATGTGGAAAGGCTGAACTTGACTGTTGTTGCTGTAATTGCTGCTGTGGTACGTTGACCATCAAGTTCGAGAACCTGTTGTCTGAACGGGTACTGGAACCGAAAATAGAGGACATTTTGGAGTCGTGGAAAAAAGCTGGACTAGCAGAAAAGTCCAATCTTTCTAGTGGGCCTATTAACAAGCTTCGTTGACGCCACTGGACAAGGTTTACCTGTTGTTCTTGATCGTTGATGGGATGTTGATTTTAAACATCCTGAACATTTTTCATAATCTATAATATCATGTGTCATGTGACGATGATCGTGGTAAACAGTCTGGATCTCACAAGCACCAATGCTTCGAGTGATCAACGATTGAGAGGGACAGTCTATGTCTTTAATGATTGAATGTTTCAGTTTCACGCTTTTCTCGTCTTTTGGTGACTCTCGGTGAGATTTTCTGTGAAAAACGAGCTCGCAAATTGATCACTAAAAACTGATGCTCCCGCCATTTGACGGCCGATTCAATGAGCGCGGTATGTGCGTGGCTTGTAGCGTGGCTGATAGGAAGATCTGTAGTTTGCGGTGGTGCGAGGCGGTCCCTGGTACGTTGAAGCCGGCCTGCGGCTGCTTATTGCGCTCACGTCCTCGCCACGATTCTTGAAGCGCTGTTTCATGCGCTCAAATTCTTGTCGTATCGTAACGTAGCCCAAATGTATCTTGCCAATGAAATGATCGGCAAGTCTGCGGTCGGTATCGAGTCTTGAAAGATAAGCGCCGCAGATTTCACACACCTGTAGCTTCTGTTGGGCACTTTGGCCCACATTTTCGGCGATATCCCGTACGCGCTTTGCTACCTCTTGACGATGTTTCTGGAGTTGCTGGACCTTCACGGACTGCGCCATGGCCTTCGTGAGCTCATTGTTCTGTAGTAACACCTCTATTTCCTGCAGCATGAGCCCTATCTGCGAGTCCGACACTTCCAGTTCACCCGTTACCCGCTGGATTCTTTCCCTTTCCTCTGGTGTGTGTTCCAGTTTCTTCAGGGCAATGGCAACCTGCCCGTTGCAATCGTTCACAAATTTCAACAGGATCGAGTAGTACTCGCGCTCGAAATCCAGGAACTCTTCCCCGTTCTTCACATCCCGTTCGTATTGGATCTTGTGTTTTGCCAAATGCATCTTGGGGCACTTGCCAAGACTCTGCTTGGTACCTTTGAACAAATCATATAAACACTCGCCGACCAAAAACGGCTTGCATATCCTGGGGTCTTCTAGCTTCATTTCGCCTCGGTAAGTGTTACGATGCGACGATAGCGAGCCCTTGCCCATCAGTTGCTCGATGATCTTCTTTTGTTCAGCCGCTGCAGTGGTCATCTTGAGCTTGTAATGATGGTGTAAATTGGCGAAAAACGGCCCAAAAATAACAGTTTTTTTCACCTGAATTTGGACTTGTATGTTGAAGCAAAGCGTCCAATTGACTAAGAGCTTCGCTAGACACTTGCTGGTGGTCTGTCGAAAGTATCAACTTGAGCTTTTCACCGATTCCCTCTCGAGATATAGTATGCTCATCTCATCAATATAGATCTTCAATTTAAGATTTTGAAATCACATGATCAATATTACATTCGTATGTGGTGACTGATTGTCTTGATTGTCCACGAGTACAGTAGATGAGTACCTATCACGTGTTGTTTTTCAGTTATGTCTTTACATACGGCAAAGTCTTCAAGAACAAAAACACATCATCCCTCATCTGGTCTTTTCCTTTACCCTTTCCTAGGTCAACAAAGCTCTGAAAACCCAGTTGATGCTGAGCATTACAGTCTTAACCATTTCAAGTGCTCTTTACACTAACGAATAGCCCGTCTCGTGTTGTGCATTTGTTTCTTTACTTCTCTGCCAGTCTAACCACACACTTAAAGTGTCGTTTTACATCTAAAACATGAATTTAAACACCCTTCACCAAACAAATAAAAGAGGACCAACAAAGAACAACTTGAAGGTACTAGAAAGCAATCCGGAACAGCTCTTATCAGTCCGGGACCTTATGCGACCATTTGAGAAAAACTCTATCAATCGATTTAAGCAATTGGAGGCCATTTTGGCCTTCGGCGGCTAAATTTGAGTTTTGCGAGGTTCACTCACAGATGAAGCAAAAGATGCGAAAGCTGCAAGTAAAGCTCAAGAAAGCAGGTCAGAGTGGGAACCAACTCATTATGATTGTGTTTACCTCTCGACGTCTAGAATACTCATATTGGTGGGTGCGTTTTGCTTTTCAAGATTCTTTTTGTCAAAACTTCTAGTACAAGATAAGTTACTTGTACCAAAAACAGCTGTTTTGTGAGAAGTTTGTTATTCTAGCCGCGGAGCTCGCAACATGGGAGATTCTTTGATGACAATAAATCGAAAGAAAAGTTCCTTCCTCAATGGGTGTAGGGAAGCCCCAAAATCTTGCTGGCACCGATAGAAGGGCTCAAATTTGCTTATATGCTTGCTTTCATTTGTTGGGGTCACCGCATAACATCCGAGGCATCTATTCTTCCGAATGGAAAAGCCTGGTCTGGACGACAGTGTGGAAGTCATTATAAACACAGTACCAGTATGACGTCCCCATCATGCACTTGAGGTTCATTGTCATGCTTTTGCAATCAGACGTAAACTTTATCGGGCTGAGTCCCTCGAAACGACGTATTTGATGCACAGGTCATACTCGGGGGAAGTTCGTTGACGTTGCAACAAAGAAGGTGTCTCTGGAGTCAGTATAAGTGTATGAGGATTCACACGTCGCTTAATCCAAAGAAAATTTCAATTTAATCACAACGGCTAAGACTCGAAGAACCAAGATCTGTGATCACAAGATATGTTGCCGTAAACGCTCGAGCACCAAAGACAATATATCCATAACTCACCAAACAACCAATTATATACGTTATAACAATAAAAGTCCTTCGCCAAGACCATGGCAATTGTGTCCAGCAAAGCTAAAACAAAGGTTCGACAATATACTGACTATCCGCATTTAAGAGTAATGCTTATAGGAACTGTGTCGTCTGGCTTTCCACTGACATCACACTCTACATTATCTACCCATGCGCAACCCGTTCCGTGCAAAAGTATGTACCCTCGAGTACTTGAAAAATTGTTTTGTAACCCGGTAGCAACCGATTTCATTTCCCCGTAGAAAGTGGGTACTTTCCAGATCCGAATTCGAGCAACCCGTTTCGTATCTCCTTTGAAAAAACGGGTCACATGAATGCTTTTCGAATCTCGATTCAAGGCCATCCATCTCTGATCTGCCAACTACATAGGTCAAACAACTGTCACAGCAACAGGCTTCTCACAAGCACAGGGCATCTTACAGATACACATCCACACGCTGTCGCTCAATGAATGCTACTGTCAAACTATGGCTGAACGCAGGCTCCTTTGCCCTGCGAAGTTTTTGCCTTGTACATGTTATACACTCGCACTTCTACGAATTTACAGAGACCAGAGGCGAATCCATGCTTCCCACCCTAGCTGCAACCAGCGACTATGTGCACGCATCCAAGAAGTACAGGAACGGAAGGAATTGCCAAATAGGAGACTGCATAGTCGCCGTAAAGCCCACTGATCCATACCAAAGAGTATGCAAAAGAATAACGGGGATGCCTGGAGACTACATACTGATTGACCCCAGTGCAAAGGAGGGCGCAGATTTGGATGTCCAGGCTTTTGATTCGTATATTCGGGTCCCACCCGGCCATGTATGGCTGACAGGCGATAACTTATCACAGTCCCTAGACTCCCGCACCTACAATTCGCTTCCCATGGGCCTTATAAAAGGCAAGATAGTAGCAGCCAACGATTTCAACAAGCCGTTCTGGCAAGACGGTGCGCTTTTGGGTTTCCGAAGAATCAAAAACACATATTTGGACGAGGTTTGAGGGACGCCATGAGTATTGTGTTAGACTATTTTAATATTCAAGGTCCAGCATTTTTAGACTGGCAACTAAGACTGAAGTAGCTTGGCACCTGCAAAAAGACTGCCTATGGAAGCGTAGAATGCATGTTCTAGCGTCACGAAGATGCTTGCTCCGAGGTAGTACTGCACGAACACGTATTCCATGCCGATGACGCTACCAACGAACGCTAGCACGTAAATAGTTCTCGAATTTGTGAGAGGAAGACGGACGGCTGTGAAAATTCCCAACATTTGCCACGCAACGATCACAGCAGCGAAACATGCGGCTACTATCACGCTTGTGGAACGAGTTACCCATGCAGGTGCAGTCTTGGCAGTGCCCTTGAAAATGTGTGTGATTTGCGGCTTGGGTCCCATTCTGGCTGGCCAAGATGGCTTCTTTTCCAATTCAAACACCAAATCCACGTCAAAAAGCTCCACAAGCATGTTATCGGACGATTCACCGTTTGGATTTGCCAGGACCAGCGTGGCCGAAAGAGCCTCCTTCGAAACAATAGACAGGTACAACAAGGGTTCGGGAAGTTTCTCAATGGGGATCTTGAACTTGTATGTAGAAGTTGCGCTCTGTACGTTCTTTATTATTGGCTCATAACTGACTTCCACACCTTTGGAAATAGACCCAAACAGCAAGACTGCTTGTTCTGGAGCATCTTCAGTGTCAATGGAGAAGTTGACCTCTAAAGTTTCGTTTGCTCGATCAATCTTCAATGGCTGCGCTGGCTTTTCGTAATTGCTGGAGAGCGGACTCATTGCCAAAGGGTTCCTACGAGAGGAAGCGAATGCAACATGTGGTTGTTTGACGGTCAACCCTGCGGCGCAGTGGATGCTTAAAAGAGCAGAAAGCACAATCTGAATGAACAGCATGATTTCAATGTGAGAACCACTGAACGGATGTTTAATAGGAATGCGACCGATCTAACCAACGAACTAAACGTCTGCCACGTTATGGAAATAAGTTTGGACATTTTTCACTAAAACATGCTCGCGTGACTTCGACTCGAGATGTCACTGGTGTAGAGGGCAAAACTAGCAAGACATAGACTCTTGAGGCCTAAGATAACACTTCTTTCGGAACTTCGGCTCCACGAATTTCAATGGGCTGGCTTGTGTCTGAGCCTTCTTTTCGAGATAATTTCGAAATTTTCGAAAACATGTCTTGTCTTCTTGATCGGCCCTTTTCGACTGTTCCGACGGACGGCGGGATCTGGTCAGCGGCGAGTCTCAAAGGCTTCGAACTGTATACTGCGTAGGACTGGTAAACCACTTGAGCAAACCTAAAGAATGCATTGCTGAAAAACCCACAAACCATGACACCAGCAGCGAACGACAGCGACAAGACCATTAGCGGGACAATAAGGATTGTGACGAGTGCAGTCACCGATAGAAACACAATCACGTAGAATAAAGACAACAGGATCGAGAACATCGACATGATTGATATGAAGATGATGGCCACGGGAGAGAATGTCGCCGCAAACGTAAGTATGAAAAGGGCGTTATAAGGATGATCTCGAGCGTAATTGAACGTCACGCCCGCGATGAGCTTCAGTTGTTGTTTTCTGGTCAGATCCCGTAGTTTTCTGTTTGACTTTAGTTCAGGATCATTGGCAGGTTCTGTAATCAAGTGTCTGTTAAAAGGTAAAAACGTGTAGTGTCAGTGCACAGAAACACAAAAATCCAAGAGTTTGAGTGTCAAAATGTTCCGCGATAGACACACACCACGTTCGCAGTTCGTGTTGCTTGTTAGTAGGCATATTCAATTAACTCGTAGACAAAATGTCCATCTTTTTGCTTCGTTTTGGTATGCACATACTGTAGTTTGTTGGCCAAAGCACTTCCTAGCAAGCTGGCGTGGACTACAAGTGTCCAAAACCCAGTGTAGAGCTTTGCATATGCAGAATAAAGCTTGGACTGGGTGTCCAAAACGACTTCTGACCACGACGGCTGTATTTTTTCCTCATCGGAAGCCTCCCAGTCAAAACTATTGTGCACGCTTCTAGTGGCAGAAGTAGTAGCGGCAGCAGCAGCAGCTGTTGGCACCAAGTTGAAGTTGGGATCGACTTGCTCACATAGGAGCTCGTCCAATACGTCGTAGTGGCGGAATCCGTCGCTTACTTCTAGTGAACTTTCGTCCATGTCCGAGCCTTGTCTTGTGTTTTGTACTTCGCTCATAGCCGCTGAACGTATGGTTTCGACGCAAAAATCGCCATTTTCGAGAAACGAGGTGGGCCAGTTCTCATTGAGCTCACTGTGCTGTATGCTCGACCCATCTGGCTGAAAGACTGGCGTAGTGGGACTAGCCAAGATCTTTAGTTTGGTTGTTCCGTTAACGTTGGTGGATTTGCTCGCCAAGACCCGGTTTTTGGAGTTTTCCGCTAGTTTTTTCGCGCTAGACTGTTTCTTGTGCTTCGGTTTATTCCGATTACCCTTTGGCATAGCTGTGGAAGACCTTATATGCTTGATTTAGTCAACTTTTCGATCCTGAGTGGTGTTGAAGCTTGTTTCAAGAGAATATATATAATAACCTGGGGTATATATATATATATATAGAGTATACAACTTCAAGAATAAAAAAGCTCGAGGGAATACACATCTGATCAGCTCAAGATCCATTGCAAATAGCACCAATGGCTCTGAATATGTCTGGAACATGGTCTAGCGGAACCATGAACCATTCCCTGTGTCTTTTGGGCTGGTTTAGATGGTTATTGCACCCGTAACAGTAGATTAGACCTTGACCGTATCTGTTCCATAATAACTGGTGGATTTGGGTCTCTATGAGCTCTAAGGACCGTCCATTGGCAACGTAGAAGCCCCCGTCGCGAAACCCTCGTATTTTTACGGTCCCACGAGACCGGTCGGAAAGCGACATCTTCTGGAAAAGACGAACCAGCGATGATGAGCTGCGTTTGTGTGAGGCCCGATACAGCTGGTTGACTTTGGACAAATCGATTCCGGTCACAGGATGCTTGCAGCTATTTTCCCATTCCAAAAGTCGGGCCAAGACGTTCGTCTTGCGTGTCATTCCAACTTTCAAGAGAATCTGGTCCTGTGCTGTCCATTTAGACAACGCCAATGACTCGTTTTTCCGCACTATCGAGTAGTCCATATGCAGCCATTTCAGCGTGTCGCGACTGCCATTGACAATCGAGTCAAAAAGCTGAGAGTAGGTGTAAACATAGATGAAGCCTGGCACTTTTGCATACGTTTTCTTGGTCTGAACCTGTGGGTTTGGTGTCTGCTGTGATGTTTGTTCTTGCGACTGAAACGCGTGCCAATGACAAAACCGATCGCCTTCTTTGAGTTGTATTTTACAGCGCTGTCGCTTTCTCGTAATGCCTAAGACACTGGACCATTATAACGGTTCGATGTTTCTCACTGGAAGTTCGATGAGATGGCTATCTTAAACTGTAGTTTAATTACAGTTAAAAACCTTACTTCAACATTTACTTCAAATTCCCAACTTTTTGTCGAAAACAACAGTCTTTCACCGTTCGATACTGCCACGATGTTGATTGAAGAGACCTTCCAAGACGTCAAAACCAGTTACAACACTAACTTGAGGCTTTATACCTTTTCGCCCAAGATCCAGGGCTACCCAAACGCTAAATTTCCAGGTGTGCTATGCTTTAGCGAAATTTACCAAGTTACGGGCCCGGTAAGAAGATTTGCGCAACGGATTGCCGCCCAGGGCTACGTTGTGGTCGCTCCTGCCATTTACCACAATTTCGTGGGTCCTGAACCTTTGGCGTACGACGCCAAGGGAACTGATATGGGCAATGAGTTCAAAATCGAAAAACCGTTGGAGTCCTACGATGAGGACACCAAATTGAGCTGTGATTACCTTTACAGCCTGCCCCAGTTTGACGGCAAGAAAATTGGAGCCACCGGCATGTGTTTGGGCGGTCATTTGGCGTTCCGCAGTTTGCTTGACAAAAGAGTGACCTGTGCAACCTGTTTCTTCCCCACCGACATTCACTGTAAATCGTTGGGCAAGGGTCTCAACGATGACTCGTTGCAACGGGTTTCGCAAGAAGTATCGAAGGACCAGGAGCTAGTGTTGATTTTCGGCACTCTGGACACGCATGTGCCTCCAGAGGGCAGAGACCTCATTCGCAAAGAACTGAGAGACCATGGCGTGAATTTTTCGTTTTTGGAAATTCACGCTGCGCAGCACGCGTTCATCAGAGACGAATCGAGCAAGGGCCGTTACGATGCCGCTATCACCGAGAGCTGCTTGGGGTTCTTGTTTGAGCAGTTTAACAGAAGGCTTTCCCTAGACTTGGGAGACTTTGTTCCTGTCGGTGGAAAAGTTGAGCATGTCTGTTGAGCGTGAACGACACCAAGTGCCAATGGCGATAGAAGCAGAAGAGAGGGAAGAATGCTGATACTACCCTCTTGATGCGATGTTGTATTGTGTCTACGTACGACGTTCCATAGATAATGAAGATTTGGGACATAGGAGATTGGATTTTGTGGCTGTAATTGGGAATTTTGCAGTGGGAAGAGTCCGATGCTTCAATTGGAGCCAAAAGCTTTTGCCAAGAGCTTCAGGACGATGACCTGCGGTGCAAACTGTTTGGTCAACCTGTCATCCAAAAGTGACTGCGGAAATTGACGTTTGGGTGTATGTAAAATTGCCGTTATGAATGGGATGGCATAGGGACCGATTACGATGGCTTAACTAGCCCGAAAGACTGATGGAGCTGCCCTTGAACCAGTGACAGAGAAGGACTTTTTTTTGTTGGAAAAACTGACGCGAGTCACGTGGTTTCAGACAAGATCTTGAAAGTAGTATTTGGTTTTTTCGAAGCTCTTACACGCAGAAGGATGAGGACTCAAATATATATATATATAGAATGACTCTCGTGTATTCCATTACACTTGTCTATCCCCTCTTGCAAGAGATGTGGGGTTTGAATACTTGGACCGCAAGCATCATTTTTGACGTCACACAGAGTATTTTCGGTCCAGTCACGTGACCAAACTTCAAAAGATCAGATTTCTTCTTTCTAACACTGAACCATTCACATTTCAAACCACTTTGTATCAGAATGCGTCCCCATTTATATCATTCCATTCCCAAAAACTCTTTTCACCCTCACACTTGCGTTTCCACCTATTAAACATCCAAATTTTCCTCTCCACACGTGATTATCACATGTATAATATAACTACCCCCCCCCCCCCCCCCCCTCCCATCTTCCACGATGAAAAATTTTCGATTAATGGCCCTCTATCCAAACTCATCCAGTGAAAATCTAACTAAAGGCTCGAGAAGCTCATCTATAAACCAAGTTAGCTATAACGAACCCGAATCAAAGCCCGTGTCGTTGTCGTCAGGCTTGTAAACCCCATAGAAATCGACAACAAATAACCAATAACAATGAGACCAATCCTACTGAAAGGACACGAACGTTCTTTGACACAAGTTAAATTCAACCGGGAAGGAGACCTGATCTTTTCTTGCGCTAAGGATAGCGTTGCTTCCGTGTGGTATGCAATCAATGGTGAAAGATTGGGAACTTTTGAAGGCCACCAAGGTACGATCTGGTCGATCGACGTGGACAGATTCACGAAGTACGCGCTAACTGGATCTGCCGATTTCAGTATCAAGCTGTGGGATGTCGAAACTGGCCAAAACGTGTACACGTGGAAAACCAAGACTCCAGTGAGAAGAGTGGAGTTCAGCCCTTCAGGAGACAAGTTTTTGGCTGTTTTGGATGGTGTTATGGGTTACCCAGGTAGTGTGTCCGTTTACGAGGTTCCTCGCAACACCGAAACGCAGCAACTTTCGCAAGAGCCTGCTGCAGAGCCTGCGTTCGACATTCTAACGCACGAGGGCTTTGAAATCGCCTCTGTGGCGGCCTGGAGTTTCCAGGACCGTTTCATCGTCGTGGGCCACAAGGACGGCCGCATATCGAAATATGACGGTGCCACAGGGGAGTTCATCGATGCTCTAGAACTCCACACCCAGAACGTCAGTGATATCCAGTTTTCGCCCGATGGAACCTATTTCATCACCTCCTCAAGAGACAGCGACGCAAAACTCGTCGATGTCGAGACTCTAGAGGTGCTAAAGACGTACGAAACAGACTGTCCTTTGAACAGTGCATGCATTACGCCTATCAAGCAGTTTGTCATCCTAGGTGGTGGTCAGGATGCCAAAGATGTCACAACCACCAGCTCGCGCGAGGGTAAGTTCGAGGCCCGTCTATACCACAAGATTTTCCAAGACGAGATCGGCAGAGTAAAAGGTCATTTCGGTCCACTAAATTGCGTGGCCGTGAGTCCCCAGGGTACATCGTATGCGTCTGGTGGTGAAGATGGTTTTGTGCGTCTGCACCACTTTGACAAGAGTTATTTCGATTTCAAATACGACGTGGAAAAGAGCGTGGAGGCTCAAAAGCATATGCAGGGTTTGGAATCCAGCGCCTAGGTGAGAAAGAGTGGTAAATAGTAGTGATAATTGTAAATTATAAGACGCAACAAGAATAGTGGAAGGTGAGAAAGGGGAGTATAGACAGAAAGAGAATCAGGAGATAATAGTTTTTTTTAATGGAGTCTCATTTGGAAATAGTTCTATACCTTCTTATACGTCTACTCAAGAATTGTTTCCAAATGCATTACTACGTTTCTTGAATTTTCCGATTCGTGATATGAATTGTCCGGGAATGGCGGAGAATCTGAAGTCTTGATAGTGTATCTTAAGGTTATCATATAATCAAGATCTCTGGTCCTTTATGATTGTTTCTTTCGCAATCAAGCTACGTTAGTTGCGTTTCACTGATGCCTCTGGTAGTGGTTCATCATGGAAGAGATGTGGGTAGACAGCTTGAATTTAGGGATCCGTAAAGTACCCGAGATCTAGAGTTCGTTGAAACTGATATCAAAGCAGGTAGCTCGAATTTTGAACTCGTCAACAATGACATAAGAGTCGGTGTCCCATTTAGAAAAATCTACAAGGGGAGGCTCAATGCTGTATAAAGTAACGGGACTGAACAAAGAAACAGCCCATATTGGCAATCTAGTTCGAGGAGCCTTTGGTGGTTTAAGGAGAGAAATGAGAACAGCCCGTACATCCTCACTATATACGAATTTCATGAAGGCGTTAACTACTAAGAGTACTTTCCGCAATCAAGCGGAAAACCAGGTTTTAGAGTTCTGATTTGGGTGCGTCTGCGAAAATCAAAAAAATCAGCTTGAAAGTGTATCATTCCCGACCAATAAAAGAAATATATAAGACCCACACTCCGATCACTATATACGCCAACTGCTTGTCGTCTCTTCAAGTGCCATCAATCCAATAAGCGTTTATCCTAGAGGGAGGAAATGAGAAGTCCAGACGAATTCAGTGAAAAAAGGTTTATATACGTGAATATGAAATCTCGAAGAAAGCTTCTCATCCCCACTCGTTTTCTTTGGCCCATCTCCTACTATGGTTTGAAAATTGGAATGTCAGGGAACGGAAATGCGAAGAATGTATAGTGGGGAGTAAACAAACACCGGTATTTGGATGGGGGTCGCTGAAAGCTTGCGTACGAGGAAAAGAAGAGAAATTTGTGAGACGGTTTTCGATTTTAATCAGTGTGGCATTGACCTCTTGGATCTGGCGTCAGATCTCGAAACGATGTGATCTGGAGCACGTGACACATGACAGCGACAGAAAGATAAATTCATTTGGCTATAAGGACAGTTATTCGATCTAAATGGAGGGATGTTACCCAGAGTCTCATCACGGAACTGCCGAGACTTCATCAGAGTCTCACAAAGAGTATGCACAATTAGTGCTATTCAGAATTTTTCAGAGTATTAAAAAAGAACTACCTTGTGGAATCCATTCAAGGACTCAGTCGGTGCGGAGACACATGTGCGGGGAATAACGTACGGAAACTGGCTAGTAGGCGCCCTAAGAACTAGCATGTTCTGGAAAATATAAGCGTATCAATTCTACTAATGGAGTCTTCGTCCTTCGTCTGTGCGATCTGGATTACCAAATATAGAGGAACGTTACGTATATAGTGACGACCTACTTGAAACCCGTCTGCAACCCGCTTGCAGCCCGCTTGCAACCTTTCTTGTCGCAACATCATCCACTTTTCTATACATCTCACTCTTCCTCGTCTTCTTCTACTTCTTGCACTCACTGCATACTTGTACAGTCAGTCGCGCTTTGTACGAAATCCGGTTCAGTAATTCTATAATTTTATTTCGTAAGTTACTGATTTGACATCTCTTTCGACGGATCGGAATTTTCAATATTACTTATTACACGACTCATTCAGAACGACAGTAAAGAAGAGTATCCATATGACGGTGATATTTGTCACGATAAAGATGCTTAAAAAGAATTGGCCAAATTGAAATGGCAATTACTTGGAAGGGTCACTTTCGTAACTCAACGTGCTGTGTAAAATAATCATAAACATTGAGCCAATCTAAAAGGTACCTTTGTACGGAAATATGAAGCAAGTTACTGACACTTTGTACGTCAAACGACCCATAAACTACCGACGTCCCGAACGATCAGTACCTATTAGCCTTTTTCAATGGGTCGCTTACTTACTGAGTCGCCAAAAATCTCTACTCTAGTAACCGATTGTACAAGTATGCACTCGATGTCACACAAACAAGCCGTACAAAAGTACAAGCCCCAAATACGTCCGGGTAAGAGATTCCCAGTTAGAAGCTAGGTATATCCGAAAAGTACCCGATTTGCCCCATTTTTGGGATTCATTCTGGGATCCGTTCTACTATGTCAAAAACCACCAGCTCTCACATTGACAGCAACAATCTCAATGATTAACTACTATCAGCTTTTCAATGCATACCTCTTTTGACTTTTATATTTTTCAAAGTATCCGGCCGCTAAGTCTCCCCCGCAACTTTATAATTCGCTTGGTATTCCCTATATGGGGGTCCGGATCAAAAAACCACGGTCGTATATAATTACGACCCGATTGGGATCCACTAAAAGGTTTTCGGTAACCTTTCCGTCGAAAATGACTTCATTGTCCCCTACAAACTCCGTTTTCTTCTCGGCCGTACAAACGCACATCTTTCCGCTTTTCACTTCCGCTTTATACTTCCGCCTTACTTCCTGCAATACTTCTTTCCCGCCACCAATTAGACGCATTCTTACAACAATCCATTCATCCCTACTGTCCCTACCGTCTCTTCTCAACCATCTTTCCAAGCCCTTCTTCCTAGCCCTCTTTCTAGCTCAACATTTCCCATTTACTATATTATCCTCTCTATAGCCAAGCACACACGCCGTGCAGGTTTCCAACTATGGCTGCTAATCGATGACCTGAACTGAAATTATTTCATTTTCAGGTCATGCTTTTGCAACTGATCCGTACACAATGACAAATATTAGCGAAAAAAAGAAATAATTTCTTTTTTTCCGTCTTTTCCCTACGGTATAAACACTCCCGATATATTTTCAGGAAACGATCGCGGCGTTTTTCGGTTTTTCGGGTGTGTGTGATATAATAGGCCTTGGTTTTAATAATTTTTCATTTTATTGAAACAAGATCTTAAACTCATCTTGAACTGATCTTTTACTCATCTTTTCAACAAAAAAGCAACTGCTGCTAGTGGTGTTTATTCCTACTGAGTGCCGTGTGGTTTAGTGCTTAAGTGCTCGTTGAATTCGAATCTGTTTAAAGCAGAAAAAAAAACCCGGTTTTGCTAGGCGTTTGGATATAGTTCTGGGTCAGGTTTTTCTTCTCCTGAATCAGAGTTTACTCACACCCTATTGATAATATTCCAGCCCTTTTAACCCTCCAAAGAATACTTTCTTACATACATACACATTCGCCGCCAATGTTGCATTTGACTCGTTTGTCGTCGGCCCGTTTGGGGTCGAAATTGGCCACTGGCAGCACTACCAGAGCGTTTTCACGCTCTGCTAGATTGCTGCAACAGCAGCAACCTTCTGCTGGCCGCTCCAAGCCCTCGTTGCTCAAAACCATCGGCAAATACAGCCTGTACTCGGTGCTGGGCTCGGTGTTGGCCGGAACCGGCTACGTCTCCTACAAATTGTACAAGGAGAAGAATCCATCGCCCCAGAAACCGCAGAGCGCGACTTTCGAAAACGGATCGCCAAGAAAGACCCTGGTCATCTTGGGATCCGGCTGGGGTTCCATCTCGCTGCTAAAAAACCTCGACACCACTCTCTACAACGTCGTGGTCGTTTCCCCCAGAAACTACTTTTTGTTCACCCCATTGTTGCCCTCCACGCCTGTCGGAACTATCGAATTGAAGTCCATTGTTGAACCTGTTAGAAGCATTGCCAGAAGAGCTCCCGGTGAGGTCACTTACTACGAGGCCGAGGCCCTAGACGTCGACCCCACCAAAAAGACCGTCAGAATCAAGTCTCTAAGCTCCGCCGAGGAACGTGCTGAGCTCAACTTGAACTACGATTACTTGGTTGTCGGTGTGGGTGCCCAACCTACCACCTTTGGTATCCCCGGTGTTTTCGAAAACGCTTCTTTCCTAAAGGAAATCCCAGACGCGCAGGAAATTAGAGTCAAGGTCATGAACAACATCGAAAAGGCCGCCACTCTGGCTCCTTCAGACCCAGAAAGAAAGAGATTGCTAAACTTTGTCGTCGTTGGCGGTGGTCCAACCGGTGTCGAATTCGCTGCCGAACTACAGGACTACATCGACCAGGATTTGTCTAAATGGATGCCCGCTTTGTCCAAGGAGCTAAAGGTTACTTTGGTCGAAGCTCTGCCCAACATTTTGAACATGTTCGACAAGTCTCTTATCCAGTACGCCATGGACTTGTTCAAACAGGAGAAAATTGACTTGAAAACCAACACCATGGTCAAGAACGTGACTCCCACCACCATCACTGCTAAGTGTGGAGACGTTACTGAGGACATCCCTTACGGTGTCCTTGTGTGGGCCACCGGTAACGCTCCAAGAGAAGTGTCCAAGAATTTGATGAGCAAAATGGAAAAGCAAGACTCCAGACGTGGGTTGTTGATCAACGACAAATTGCAACTGTTGGGTGCCGAAGACTCCATCTGGGCCATCGGTGACTGCACTTTCTACCCCGGCTTGTTCCCAACTGCTCAGGTTGCCCACCAAGAGGGTGACTACTTGGCCTCTGTCTTGAAGAAACAATACAAGGTCGACCAGCACAAGTGGCAGTTGTCCCAAAACCCTGCTGAAGCCACCAAGCACCAGGCTAAGGTTGACAGATTGCAGTCCCACATCGAACCTTTCAAGTACAGTCACCAGGGTGCGCTGGCCTACATTGGTTCCGAGCAGGCCATCGCCGACCTTGCCATCGGTGAATCCATGTACCAGTCTGCGGGCTCTTTCACTTTCTTGTTCTGGAAGTCTGCCTACTTGAACATGTGTTTGTCGTTCAGAAACAGAGTGCTTGTTGCTTTTGACTGGTGCAAGGTCTCGTTTTTCGGAAGAGACTCTTCCGTTTAAATTGTCTGTCTTTACGATCTTACGCCCAAATGTGTTTGTTTTGAGTCTTACTCGGTGAATGAAACCTCTTCATCGAACGTATCTTTGATCGCTTGATTTCCCTACTCCTGTTGTATCTAATATCTCTTCTAATCGGGAATAATCAAAAGGCGGTGAATGAGGAAAAAAGGAGTTACACACTGGTAACTATCTATTGTTTATATATTCGACGTGAAATGACAAATAAGACATGAATTGTAGCTTTTAGCAATCGCCATCGCCGGAGAGAATCGCCAGAGAGGCAAACCTTAGCGGGAAAACTTCCGGACTCCACGCTTCATGTGATTTTGGTTTCAGAGTTGCCACTCCCAAATCCAAGCTATAAATCGTCACTTTGGCCCTCTTCTTATACAATCCTTTCGAATTTTGTGCTTTCGGAGTTTTTGATGCTGTCAAAAGTATATATAAGAAAGCCTTTAATTACAGATATTCTTCTTGAACTAACCATAAAATACAGAAACAATGAGTTAAATACCCCATAAGAACACCGTTTTGCCCTTCTTGAAACCCTCTAATCCACTTGAAAAGTCTCGACAATGCTTGTGAATAGCACGCCATCTTTTGAACCATGCCCCATTGTCGATTTTTCATGGACTGTTGACTTGACGTTATCCGCGGATAGATGATGACTTTTCTAGTTTTTGAGACCAGTTAAAGCATTGTATACAATCCAATTGTTGAACTGAACTACTTTGGATCACTATTAGAAGGTTAGTGGTCGCACAATCGTTGGTCATTCACGTCTTTGCAAGCAGAACGTCTCTTTCCCTATTTTTTTGAACAGTTAGGATCGATCAAGGGGTCAAATTGAGACCTCTTAACGCCCAAAAGCAACAGGAATACTCAAAAAACTTGTGTTTTTCTTTGCAAAGTCTGCAAAATCTGTTCAAAACTTCCATGTTCATCACTAGGTGACAGAACCCTTCGAAACTATCCTAAAATTTACCCAGGACCTGCAATTTCATCGCTTTTTTCCAGTCAATTGACCATCAAATCATGCTCAGATCCAGCCAAGACTGTTACTAACCTCTCAAAGCTCTTAAATCCTCAGGACTATGCCAGAATCTTTGAAAGACGAATGATCATACCCACTTCCACGTGACTTAGCCGCTCGCTCGCCATCGTCGCGTTCCCATCTCGTACATCACGACATGGTCCTTATTCCTCCTAAATTAATATCTGGAAAATTTTCAAGGTCAACACCAACAACACTCAGGCACGACTTGGACCTTAACTTCAAGTTCATACAAACCATTAAAGTCCGAGCGCAGCCGTCAAAGACTGGAACGCAGGTCAATTGAAGTGGTGGAACTCACATAACTAAAAATGTCGAACGAAGGTGAAGAAGATCTCTTGGAATACTCTGACAACGAGCAGGAAATCCAGGTCGAGGCTTCCAAAGCTGCAGAAGCTGGTTCCGGAGACGCCAAAGAGGCCGGCGAAAACGGCGGCGAAACTGGCGACAAGAAGGGCTCCTACGTGGGTATCCACTCTACTGGTTTCAAGGACTTCTTGCTAAAACCTGAGCTATCCAGAGCTATCATCGATTGTGGTTTCGAACATCCCTCTGAAGGTATGTAGCCGACGAGCATTGGCTTTTTCTATCGAAGAAGGGTGACTTTATCAACCGTTTTGTGCGAACTTTACTAACATGTCTCTTAACCTTTTTAAACAGTCCAGCAACACACTATTCCGCAATCCATTCACGGTACAGATGTGCTATGCCAAGCCAAGTCTGGTTTGGGTAAAACCGCGGTCTTCGTGCTTTCAACATTGCAACAACTCGACCCTGTTCCAGGTGAGGTCTCTGTCGTGGTCATCTGTAACGCCAGAGAGTTGGCATACCAAATCCGTAATGAATACCTCAGATTTTCCAAATATATGCCAGACGTGAAAACGGCTGTGTTCTACGGTGGTACCCCAATTGACAAGGACGCCGAGCTCCTGAAAAACAAGGAAACTGCTCCACACATCGTGGTGGCCACTCCAGGCCGTTTGAAGGCTCTTGTCAGGGACAAGTTGATCGATCTATCCACGGTTAAGAACTTTGTCGTCGACGAATGTGACAAGGTTTTGGAGGAACTAGGAATGCGCAAGGACGTTCAGGATATCTTCAGAGCGACCCCAAGAGACAAGCAGGTGATGATGTTTTCTGCTACGCTTTCCCAAGAAATGAGACCTATCTGCAGAAGATTCTTGCAAAACCCGCTCGAAATTTTTGTTGACGATGAGGCTAAGTTAACTCTGCATGGTCTACAGCAGTACTACATCAAGCTAGAGGAGCGCGAAAAGAACCGCAAGCTTGCGCAGCTTTTGGACGATTTGGAGTTCAACCAGGTCATCATTTTCGTGAAATCTACCAACAGAGCCAATGAATTGACCAAACTTTTGAACGCTTCTAATTTCCCTGCCATTACCGTCCACGGTGGTATGAAACAAGAAGAGCGTATTGCTCGCTACAAGGCCTTCAAAGATTTCGAGAAACGTATTTGTGTTTCGACAGATGTGTTTGGTAGAGGTATTGATATCGAGCGTATCAACCTCGCCATCAACTACGATTTGCCAAATGAAGCCGACCAGTACTTGCATCGTGTTGGTAGAGCCGGTAGATTCGGTACCAAGGGTCTAGCCATCTCCTTCGTGGCGACTAGCGAAGACGAAGAAATCTTGGCCAAGATTCAAGACAGATTCGATGTTAAGGTCGCTGAATTCCCAGAAGAGGGTGTCGACCCATCCACTTATTTGAACACTTAAACATTACTCCAATCGTTGGGATTAGATTTTTTTTAACATCAAAAAGATAAAAGTTAGTGGTTTAAAGTAGATCAAGTGTCTTTGGCTGGAAAGGACTGTGTAAGAATAAGGAGAAATGAACGCTTTCATGTAAGATCAATGTCAATTAAGTTGCGGGCGCAACAGTCGTAGTGTACATAGTATAGTGTTATTATCAAGTTGCTTTGTTCTGTAGGGTCGAACCGCAAGATCATGATCGTGGCGAACGTCTAGTTATCAATCTGGGCTCGAGCTTGACTCTTTCACTAAAACAGTTTTCATGACGGCAGTGAGCATTGTCACATTAAAAGTCAATACCGTTTTTCAATGAGGTACGAATGTCTGATGAAAGAAGGCATGGAAACTTGTAGGTCAGTCAGAAATGTGGGCTTTTAAGGGCTCCAGGCCCAGGTTCCACTAAAATACTGAATTTAGCGTCGGCCCGTTTTGGTCTAAACTTTTCATCGAAGGGTTCGTAATCTTGAGCTTCTCCAAAACTGTTTTGTCGTCAGCACAGCAACCTTATTGTTGACTGTCAGCAAATGCGCTGAAACTATGGAATTTAGGCAGAATGTTACTCGATGACTTCTCAGAGATCGGAGTCATGGAACTGGAACTTTTGGGTAGTGTTGGAATCGTTAGTAAATGAGGGCTCCTGGAGAGCGTATCCGAGGAAGGGCGACGGTTATAAAAACTGTCGTGTGAAATATCCGATTCCGTAGTTTCAAGAACGTTGGTAGGAACAGTTTTGCGCTCGCTCAGCACATGCGATGCTAGCAGCCCGAGTGTGGTTAACATGTTAGAGTTTTTATGCTGCAGCTTGGAGATCCGATGTAATTTGGGGGGTTTCGTTATGGATTGAGGAGTATGATGCAATGATTGTGGATTTGATGTTCCCGATCGATTCAACAAACGTCTTAGCTTGTTGATCTCCACGTTTTTCTCTCGGATGGTCTTCTTGTATTTGAGAAGCTTCAGATCTTGAACTCGAAGTTTATCTTGGAGCTGATGAGTGTTCATAACCAATTGGCATCTGATCCTTTCCGATTGTTGTTTTTGCAGTTCCGACTCTACTTCGAATCTGGAAGTGGAGTCCTTGATGCTTGATGTCAGCATCATGTTTTTGAATTTGAGGCCATTGACCTGGTCATTAGAGCTCGTCAGCAATTGGTTCAGTTTCTCTAAACTCTCAACGAGTTCTGACTTGGAGCACACAATCGAGTCATCGTTGTCGATTCCAGCGTTGGAATCGATTATGCGACTACAGGACTTGAGTTTCTCGACCAATGAGCCGGCTTCTTCGATTACGCCTTGAACGTCCACCGATGAACTCGAAGACAGAGAAGAAGTCTCCGAAAAGCTGTCTTTGGAGTTCACAGCGTGCTGGTTTTGCAGCAAATAAAGAGGTTCGACGCCCATGGTGTGTGTTGGAATCAGATATAGTTCCTGAACCGTTGTCGATACAACTCAAGAGTGTCAAGAATTAAGCGGCAGCTTTCTATGTAAGATTATACAGCTAGTAGAGATTGTTCCTACATAACTCTTTGTTGGGCCCGACAGCTACACGTTGATATCTTTCTTCTCTTTCCAAGTTGTCGACCAGAGACGCGAGTTTTCGCGTCTTGATCAATAACAGACGCGACGCGTAAATAAAAGCGACTATTTGGTGGAAATAAGATAAAAGACGTGGAGAAGCCATGTAAACGCTTTTTTCATGGCTTTTTTCGCTACTGGTGGATCTCAATTGCGTAACTGCTTAACGTTCGTGAATTTCGCCGTTTTCAAGAAAGATCGGAGTGTTTTCGAAGAGAAGTTGTCGTGTAAGATGGAAAGAAACAAGAAACTACGAATGAGGTGGGTTTCGAAACTTCTAACAGTGTATATAGAATCGTCATGATTTGAACAAAATTGTGTCCCTCTCGAGCTTTCGGTCCAGTTTTGTCAAATCAGGATGTGCTTGACTTTCTTTGTAGCGTAGTCACATCCGATTTTAAAAGAAGATGTAGATACTGTCATGGACATCCTTGAAAAAAAGACACGATTTCCACGAAACTCAGCTCTTGAAGTATGATAAATCTGGTAGCTGATCACCTCATTGGCCTTAGCTACGCGGGTCGCTAGTTTACGAAAAAGCCGGGAGTGTTTGCCGTCATTTTGGTCAAACCTATCGCCTCATTAGCCTAGGCTACGCGGGTCGTTAGTTGAAAAAGCCGGGATACCGACTTACACTTCTCAGGACACTTCACAATCACACAGGCTTGTCCCTGAAGATGGACGTCTGAATCGGACGTCAGTATATAACGTTTACCCTTGATTAAGTTATACAGTATGGAAAGACAGTAGAAACAGTAAAATACCAAGACAACGATAATGAAGATATGATGAGTCTGGTAACACCGAAATCTGGTATCTTAACGGTAGGATTTTTGGAATCTGGAACGAGCACCCTTACCACCGAATTTCTTTGGCTCTGGTCTTCTGGAGTCGGCGATCAACAAAGTTCTGTCGTAAGAGGTGAAGATCTTCTTCAACTCGTTCTTGGATTGTTCGTCGACGAATTTCTGGTGGTAGGCAACCAAACCCTTGGCAATAGCCTGTCTGATGGCGTACACCTGAGAGACGTGACCACCACCGGTGACTCTGACTCTGATGTCGATGTTGGCGAACTTGTCCAAGCCGGCCAAAACCAAAGGCTCGTAGACCTTGAATCTTAGGATTTCTGGTTCCACCAAGGTGATTGGGGAACCGTTGACCTTGATCAAACCCTTACCGGCCTTGACGTGGGCAACAGCAGTGGCGGATTTCTTCTTACCGAAAGTCTGGAGAAAGGAAACAGATAATGTTAGTAAAAAATTCAAAACCGATGGACTAGGGATTGGAGCGGAGGGGAAAGAAATGAGAGTAGAAGTTGTCGATTGCGAATGAACTAGTTGTTTCGATCGATCGTTTTGATTCGTTCTTTTTCGTCCGTTCGTGAAACAAAACCCAAATAATGGATAGGCATTGGATGGTTCTTATGGTATTTTGTTTTTGTCGTTGATCGCCTTTAATTTTCCATTGAGAGTGCGCGGATTGACCATTTTTCACGCTTCAAACCGCTAAACAACACAGAGCAGCTTCACAAACTAAGCATGGCTTCTCAATCGACGCATTCGTGCGCTGTTTTTCATCGTTGCAGGCCTCATCTTCTCGAAAACTTCACAAATATCTTCAACTATCTCTATCTCTTTCCCTGGGACGCTCATTCGCATCGGGCGTCTTACGGCCCGCACACCGCTCGCTCTTGGTTCGTTCTTTCACATACTTGGACACTTGGGACTGTGGACATCTTGGTTTTTTCGTCTATATGGCAATGATACCCTCACGGTCTATTCAAAGTTCAGCTGAAATTGACTAACCCCAGCTGTATTCGTTACACACCCGCTGTTACTGCCATGAAAGTTTTCACCAATGCTGCGTTTGGTGATCGTATTACCCGGTAGGCGAAGCAGGATCTCCAGGCGGAGTGCTAGGCAGAGGCTATGGACGCTAGTGGGAGGGACCCGCGAGAGCTAGACAGAGAGCCGGTGAGCGTTCCTGCCTAGCACTTTCCTGGCTTAGACGGAGAATAGACGGCGTGCTGGCGCGGCAGACAGTGAGGCGGCGATGATAGGTACGCAACTATGGGAGTTGACTTTTGTTTACCCACGCAAATATTTTGTCTATTTGTTTAGAAATTTTGAAAATGTTTTAGAGAATGTATGGGTGTTTGTTACTGTAGCAGTCACGACTCAAAAGTATGACTGCTTTTTTGGAAACATCCGTACATTTCTTGATGACAGACTATTTTTCTTGCGTGGGTGTAAATCAGCTGGAATAATAGCGTGCGTGGGCCACAGGGCGGAGGGAACAAGCTTTAGGCAGACGCCGTTGGTAGCACGCCCACGGAGAAGCTTACCAGGAGGACTGCTGGGCGGAGCCTAGGCAGAGTCCAGGCAGACATGCTAGGCGGACGCTCCAGACGGAGCGCCCCTTCCAGCTGGACAGGGCTCCGTCGAGCTGGTGTCGCAGCTCTAGCTGTCCTGTCTCTGGCCCGTGGAGGGTATCCAGAACATCATCAAATTTCACATACATGTTAAGATTTGGAACTTTGACTACTTTGGACGGTACAGCAGGAATCAAGCAACAATGGGTATGTTGAAGGGCGTAATAACGAGGAGAATAGTGTTTGCGACTCAAGCGACGACCGGCCAGCGAACGAACGAGCCAAAAATGACCGATTTCCGGTGATTCAGCGATGATATATGACGACAATGATGATGGTGTGGACGATGAGCTACCATATCGAAAATGACCAGATTAATGTTCTAGTCCTCCTGGCTACAGAGACCAGTTTATGGCTATAGCAAGGAGGCACCGACCGCTCAGACGTTAGCGGTTCGTCCGCGTCACAGATTTTCCTCCGATCTCAGGCTCTTTCCAATAGTTTACTAACTTTCTTTCCCCCCCTCAGCTATCGCTAAGAACCTACCAATCTTGAAGAACCACTTCAGAAAGCACTGGCAAGAGCGCGTCAAGGTGCACTTCGACCAGGCTGGTAAGAAGGTGTCCAGACGTTCTGCCAGAGCTGCCAAGGCTGCCAAGATCGCCCCAAGACCTTTGGACTTGTTGAGACCAGTTGTCAAGCCTCCTACCATCAAGTACAACAGAAAAGTCAGAGCTGGCAGAGGTTTCACCTTGCGTGAGGTCAGAGCCGCCGGCTTGACCCCAGCTTACGCCAGAACCATCGGTATCGCTGTCGACCACAGACGTCAAAACAGAAACCAGGAAATCTTCGACTTGAACGTGCAAAGATTGAAGGAATTCCAGTCTAAGGTTATCGTTTTCCCAAGAAACGGTAAGGCCCCAGAAGCCGAACAGGTGTTGTCTACCGCCGCCTCTTTCCCAATTGCCCAACCTGTTGCTGAACAAGGCACCAGAGCCGTTGAGGATAGCGGTGAGTCTGCCTTCAGAACTTTGAGACTAGCCAGATCCGAAAAGAGACACCAAGGTATCAGACAAAAGAGAGCCCAAGAAAAGGCTGAAGCCGAAGCTGACAAGAAGAAATAAGCTGTCACTGCTTAGCCTCATAGATCGATCATCTCTCTTATGTAAATTGTATAGTTGGAACCCACTCCTGCAATAGTATTTGGAATTAGTAGTAGTACCATCGGAGACTAATGAAGGGTCACGTGTGAACCTTGTTTCTTGAAATTTCCATCAAATTTCGAAGTCGTGGTGGGTATTTCCCACTTATAAGATCTGGTTTGAATACGACGGTATTTGTGGTGTACAACGGATCTGAAACCTTCTGACTTAGTCTACACAATCGGTAACATTATCTCAGGAATTGATGATTTGGTTCCGTATACAGTGATATGTTTGTCAACTAGTCAGAAGAGACGCTGTCAGTCTAGTCTAGTCAAGCCACGTCTGACCCAGAATACGTCGTTCTTGTAGCTGCTATATAACTCACACTTACACACACACACAGCTCACTAGAGTCCAAGCGTTATTAAAGCGTATACAGAGATACTAACAAAAATGCAAATCTAAACACCTCTTTAATCGAATAGACCGAATCCCATGTCGTCGTCGGATTCCTCCTTGGCCTCCTCAGCCTTCTCCTCCTCGGCTTCTTCGCCACCAGCAGCAGCGGCAGCACCACCAGCAACTGGGGCAGCAGCAGCGCTACCGGCAGAGAAGTTGACCAACAAGCTCTTCAAGTCCTGGCCATCCAAGGCTCTGGCGAAGATGTCGGCCCAGACACCTTCGACTGGGACGTTGGCGGCAGAGGTCAAGCTCAACAACTTTTCAGAAGAGATTTCGACTTCAGCGTCGGCCAAGATCAAGGCAGCGTAAGACAAAGCGGTTTCAACAGACATTATTTTCCGAAATGGGGGGGTTGGGCTTCAGAAAAGTGGAATAGAGATAATCAAATTAAGCTTTCGCAAACACTGGAAAAGCAGACTATTTCTTTGGTCTTTAAAACAGAAAAAAAGCTTGAGTTTAAGAACTGGAAGAAAGTGAAAAAAATCGATGCGCTTCTCACTTTTAACAAAATGCTCAAATTTTTCAATGGGACGAAAAAAAAAAGTTTGGTACTCGCGAACCGATGCTCGAAAGAAGTACTCGCTAGGAAGGGTAACGGACCGATTTGTTGACCCCGTGACCTTGGAAGGGCATGTGAGTTGCGCGTGACATTTTTGTATGCATATTGGGAACCGCTCCGCTAGACTCATATTCTAAGTCCTTTGATGTAGCAAATACTTGTGGAAACTTGACTTGTGTTATTCATTGTTGAATTAATGGTGTCACACTTTTACGGTCGCTGTGTGTAAATTGGCCTCTCAATTGCTTCTTTTCGAGCCGTTATTGTTATTGGACTCCGCCAAACTCAATCTTATGGCCTGCTCGATCATTTGGTTCTCAATCTCCGCTGCAGTAGCATTGTGCGGCCACGAAGTGCCATGCACTTGTGGATGATGCGTCAGATTTGCTGTCGTCTGTTGGCCGGCGTGGGGAGCAGTTTGTGCATTGACCATGGAAGATGCTTGATGGCCCGGCGTCACGAGCTGGTTGCTCACGTGGATCGCTGTAGCGTTGGCAGATCTCCGGGCTAAACGCATACGCTCTTTGTTCAGTTTGATCTGCCATGTTGGTCTCAAACAGTCCGAGGTGACCACTTTGCTGTCGGATGCGTCGAACGGTCCACGTCGCGCAAACGACTCGGTGGGCGCTTCTTCCGAAGCCTCGCTTGTGTCCCGATGCACGTAGGTGGAAGGAGATGAACCGTGAAGTCCGATTCTGCGGCTGGCTATGGGCTCGTAAACCACGCCATAGTCCGGCGTTGCGCAGTAGGGACAGTTGGTGGGTTCTGAAGTGAGCAGGTTCGGATCCTTTTCGTCCTCGTCTTTGTGGGTCCCATTCTCATCCGAGTCGTGTGGGAAATGCGGTTCTTGTCTCTTGATTTGCACAAAACACTCGCTGCAAATGGGCTGCAAACAGCACCGGGACAGATTTACCGGATTTGGGTAGTATAGGAAACATATAGGGCATTCAGAACCGTTTTCGTAAAGGTCTGCTTTCAGATCGTCGCTGGGCAAGAAGGCCTCTTTCTGACCCTCGGGCAGTTTCCTGGCCTCCAGTTTCAGCTCCAGAAACTTTTCGTTCTCCCGCTCTTGCCAACGCAGTCTTTTGAGGTGAAGTCTGGCATTGAAGATTTTACTTCTCATGCGACGCTGTTCGCGCCGCGACAGCGATTTGTCTATCAGATGGTCAAAATCACTTTGGGACAAGTTTCCAACGGGTACACCTTCGAAGGCCTCCATGTTCTCGCTGAAGGGCGCATGCAATGGCAAACCGTCCACGATTTTGATCAATTCTTGTCGAGTCCAGGATTCGTCGTAGTCTTGCAGCGGTGTGTAGAATGGCGCCAAACGGCGCTCCAAAATCAACGTTTTCACCACGGTTGCGTCGTAGTCCACTTTTTCCAGACTGCTGGACCCGTACGGCGCCAAGAACCCGCCGTCCACAGTTTCGCTGTATCTGACGATGAGCTGTTTGACATGCCGTTCTTTGAGCCGCTCTTTTTCCTTGGTTGATTTACGTTTATACGGGTTTTCAGCGCCTCCTGCAGCTTCGGAAGCTTCCGAATGCCGTCTGCCGTTCAGGAGCGTACCCACAACGGAGGAGGTCCTTGTATTGCGATGTCCTGTATTTCCGTTCCCGCTCCGATTCGGTAGCGCTGCAGATGTACTCATAGACCGTTTAGCCCGCACCGAACTTTCATCCTCCAATTTTCCCGGTACGTTGCCCATTTTTCGCTGATTCTAGGTGATTCTAAGTAAACCGTCTTGAAAGTTCAAGACAATACTTCTTGAAATATGCTGGATCGTAGTCACTGGCACTACTTTTGATAAAACTCCGAATTTCTTCAAAATTAAGCCAAAAAGCTTCAAAAAACTCGCAAAAAAAACAGATTCAACTCTGGCTCACAATTCCACAGTATCCCTGATTATTTGAAACTGTTTGGGGGTCTCACTTGCTTATTGTTGTAGTTTGCAGCTTTACTTCTGGGGAACAATTAGATATTTTATATATATATATATATATATATTCATTACTTATTTCTTATATATTTCTCAGCCTTTGTCTTTAATACTGGCCGGCCCCTATGTTAAAAACCGCTCGTTTGGAGGTATAGATCATCTGGCGACACGAAAAGAATTGACAGAGCTAGGTTAGAAAGGCGATTTAGAAGAGAAAGTAGTAGAATTGAGAACAAATGGTGTGTGCAGGGTGATTAAGCCAATCGAGCCAATCCCAGTGGTTTTTTCAGATTTTCGAAAATCGTATTTTACAATGAGTTACGTTGGAAAACGATACGGTTATGAAAACGTAGTCCAATCAGAACAGAAAATATGAACAGTTTGTGAAATAGCAGAGAAGCTGTCAAAGAGGGATGGAATTACTTCATTGCGGATCAATACATGGCTTAATTCTCTTATTTTTGATTTTCTAGAAAATCAAAAAAAGGCCGAAGAAAAGAAACACCTATTAGCAGGAAGGGTCGAGATACGATTGGAAAGGATAGTAATTTAAATTTGCGAGAAGATAGATGGAACGGATGAGTGAGATGGAGGTTGGTGACACACCTGTTGATCAACGATTTCGTACAAAGTGAGAAAGATCCTAATATTGAGCGTTTTTTTTCCCACTATGAGATGTTTAAACACGCTTACGTTTGTGGACTATTTGGACAAGGAATAGAGGAAATTTGAATGAACAGCATAGAAACTTTTTAAACTCGTGCATTGTTAAAGTGTCAGATTGGTTTTATTCCCTAAGAATTGTTTGAGAAGTCTCTCTTTAGTAAAATAAATCAATGATTCCAGGTCGTGCACGTGACCTCCTTGTTTGTCGATGAAATATATCTTGGTGGTTCTGTCTCTGTCGATATCACCTCTGAACATAAATGCTTTTGGAACCAGCAAAGCAGCATTTAACCAGTGTATACAACAAAGATTCATGACTCGTCTGTAGCATCATGAACTTTCTGTTAAAACTAAAAACGACGTAAGGATCGTTGCCCGTATCTCAGTGTCTTTCACCTAAGTTGCTGTGTTCTCGAATTGTGTCACGTGAGCAGCTTCATCTAAGCAAACTGGACGTTTTAGACTCCAGATCATGTTAATGCCCTACGAATCGAAGATCATCGAGGTTTTGGACCAGATTTCTTCTCTACACAACTAAGAATATTGCAGTGGATCGAATATTCAGCCATAATAATCTAACATAAAAAAAATAGGAAGAAACCCTAGGTTTCCAGGGACCGTTTCTCGGCCTCCAATAAACTCTAGCTCCACGCTCTGACATGCTGAATCCATCATGTTTATCCCCCAGGGTCTTTCATCTTGAACCACATATTCCGCTTAACCCCATATATTCCACAAATACCACAACCTCTCCAAGGATCAAAGAGCCTCAATGGCTCAGCGGTCCTGGAAGATGATTCGAAGGATATCAACATGGGCGTGTAACTCAGTTGGTAGAGTGCTCGCTTCGCATGCGAGAAGTCATCGGTTCGACTCCGGTCTCGTCCAAATTTTTTGAAATTAGAGATAGCCAGATATGCTTTTGTACGATCAAAACTTTTTGCAGTCTAATTTAGAAGTCTTTTGGCATTTATTTCGTGCTAATACAGTTGCCAGTGACCGGGTTAGTAAGATTAGCGGCTTTTATGTACCTTTCATGACTGGATGCGACTATACCTTGTCACTTTGAACCTATCCGTCACTGACAGTGAGTGTCACGTGACTCTCCTATTTTCCGCACTACATCATATCCGTTGTTATTCATTTCGACATTCTGGTCCTGAAGTCTCCAATTTCTCTCCTTTTCTCTCCCTGATTCCCTCATTCCTCATATTCATCATACTTAATACCATTAAATTACATCCTTTGACTTCATACGTTACATTTGAAAAATAAACTTAGCTCCAGAAAAATGAACCCTGGGCCCAAACCTTGAGTCACTAGACCGGTCCTTCTCCGATTCCTCCTAAAATTCAACCCCCCCTCTTAGTCTCTGCGCTATGGAGCGTGCGTGGCCATAAGCCGTTGTTCTAGCTCTATAACGTATCTTTTCAACGTATCGTTTTCTTGAGAAAGCGCTGCCACCTGTGCGTCCAAACGGTCGAATTCCTCAGCTTTCACCTCCAAATCTTTGATGTAGCGGTCTCGTCTTTGCCGGAAGGCCTTTTGAGCATTCCTGTTTTGCGCAGCACGCTTGGTGTTGCGCAGAGGCTTTCCGGACTTTCCGACCAATTGCGCTTCTGGGTCTGCGTCTGGGTCTGTTTGGCCATGGTCGCCCTCATTGTTGTGTGGAGACGGCGAGCCTGCAGATGGAATGGGCATGAGACTGTGCATTGGGAACTGAGCGTTGAGCTGGGACGCTGTTTGCGCCATGTATTGCGGCATGGCCAAGACATTTTGGTGGGCCCGCATGGATATCCCGGAATGAGACGGCAGATTATTGTTGCTAGCACTACCTGTACCAGTACCACCACTACCATCACCACCACCACCATCACCACCACTGTTGCTGCCGCTCTGGGTACGACCTGTGGGGTCCGATGCTTCATGGCTGGCTCCCATCACTAGCGGGTTACCGGTATGATGAGTATCATCCTGTACGACACCACTACCACTACCATTATTACCGCCCGTCACGTGGTGCACGTGACCACCGTTATTTTCCAAACCTGGATTACTATTATTTCCTGTAGTAGTTGACGAAGCAACATGATGATGATGATGATGATGATGATGATGATGATGATTTGCGGGCACATTGACCGCCACACCCGTGGTAATGGGCGTTCGAGAGCTCGTTGGAACCATTGTTACTGGCTCTCTTGATTTTGACTTTGAATTCGACGATGTCGAAGCCGTTGCCGTGGGTGTTTGTGATGTTGTTCCTGTTGTAGTTGTTGCTGATGCTGTAGTTGTTGCTGGCGTGGCAGCAGTGGCATGGCCAACATTGCTATTTTCCGCACCGGATGTATTTCCCATTGGAAGCACAGGCATCATCTTCTGTCAAGCTTTATGGCTATCTCACTGATTGTAGACGTTACACCTATTAGCTTGGATATCAGGTAGCGATGAGATAGATCTTTCTTCACGACCGCTATAGGTGGCTTGCTTACGCTACCATGTCTTATAATCACCGAGGCCTTTTATAGTTGTAACGTAAGCAAAGAGAAAAATATAGCAACACAGTTTTGAAGGGAGCGCGACTGGCAAGTCTAAGATCATGTGACCAGAAGGGGAAGAAGTTGGTTTTCGAGTTGGTTTTCGAGTTGGAAATCTAGTCGAAAGTCTTGTCGGCGACTAGAAAACGTAGAGGAAAAGAGAGGGAAGAAGGGGAAAAAAAGTATACACGTATCATGTGTTGGGGGAAGGTGGCTTTTGCAGAAACTTGAAGGGTACAATTTACTGCTCACAAAAAAGGGTTGCCGGTTTTGTGTGTTTTGCGTGTTTTTTAATTGAGGGTCACGTGACACTATGCTCATCATTATATACCTCTCTACGAATCCCATAAGGTACTTTCAATTTCTCTTTCTCTAGAGGCTAATTCGACCACCATAGAAGCATCGAATGTCAGAAAACAATCACACACTTGCATTCGGTACTTGGGATTTTTCGATTATTGCCAGTTCGGACAAGTTTGTCTTACGTCACGTGATCCGGACCAAAAGGCAAGGGATCATGAAACCATGAATCTGACTCTCAAGCCTAAAATCGGGCCAGCCCTTTACTAAAGGGCCAAGACAGACAAAGTTCTGCGTTCGTGACCTTTTTCATACTACTACAAAGCGTCGTAACCTGCTCTCACACTATACGAACTCATCGACCTCCCTACAAACCTGTTCGTATCAAACAGCTACCCACTACATCCCGCTCGTACAAAATAACTACCGTAAGACGCTTCTCAGATTTTCCGTATAAAACGCTCACCTCTCAGAGTTAATTTGAAACTTTGAACTCAGACAATAGACACTCTTCAACTTGGCCACCACAAACACACACACGAATTCTAACCAATCAATTCCTGGAATCGATGCGGGCCATCAACCGTCTTTAGATAACTCGTGCTACATGCAAACTAGGTGTTCCTTCACCAATGTACACAAGAACATTCACCAATTCACACCATCAACCCAGTTGCCTTCACCTAAACACACTGTTAACGCAGAGAGCTCACGTACTACTACACCTGCAACGCCACTCAAATGCGATGTGCGCTCCGTCGTTCTCCGAATCATCCCACAAAACACAGTTGACTACCATCACCCAAGCGCTCATCTGGCTTGGCTAGTGAAGCGGTGTAAGTTCACAATTCCGGAAACTCCCCCCCCCCCCACCAAATCTTCAGCTTTGCGGTTTCTACCCACAAAAGACCACTGCAGCCAGGCTACACTGAAACGTTAGTGTGTGTGCGTGTGTAAAACACCTTTCGATGCGAACTTAAACTCACCAGCAAAACGGAATAACCTAAGAAGTCACAAGTTTCGATGTTGGAAGCCGCTGAGATCAAAGAAAATACTAGGATTGTTGTGCTCCTAGCAAGCTTTCAAAAACAATGGCACCAATCGGTCGTGAGCCTCTTCCTTTAGGCCCTTAGGGCTCGGCGGCTAAAACGAAAACTCCGGGCTCTTGGATCAATAAGAATCACTATACACGAGCACGTCCAGGGCATATTACAAGAGTCACATGGTACTTTCCAGTCACATGCTTCTCTCTTTTTCGTTCCAGCTTGTCTCGGTCTTTCTAGAAAATACCCAAGGGGATTTGATGATTCCGATTTACCTACCACGGTGAGCACCATATAAAAGGACGCCGCCGGAAATTCAAACTCAGGTAACTCGCATACCTTTTCACCTTACGCATGCCCAAAGTTTGAAACCTCCAATTTCATGCTACGATTAACAAGGAATCCTGCTTTGCGCAGAAATGTGTGTCGCAACCTAGCGGTGCGGTCAACTACAGCGTTAAAGTCTGCATCTTTGTTGAGCGCTCCAGTTAGGTGCTCAACACCAAGAACTACCAATTACGGTGCGTTTCAATTGAACACCAAACGGTTCATTACTCTGAACGCAAATAATGCAGATCAAAGACCAGCTTTGGAACAATTTGGAACAAATTTGACTCAATTAGCGCAAGAGGGTAAACTCGATCCGGTCATCGGCCGCGATGAAGAAATTGCAAGATCCATTCAGATTTTATCAAGACGGACCAAGAACAATCCCGTTCTAATAGGTCGTGCAGGTGTGGGTAAAACGGCGCTGATAGACGGTCTGGCACAGCGGATAGTCAGCGGGCAAGTACCGGACTCTTTGAAGAACAAAAAACTGGTAGCGTTAGACTTGGGAGCACTTGTGGCGGGTGCTAAGTATCGTGGAGAATTTGAAGAAAGACTCAAAAACGTCTTGGAAGAAATCGATAAGGCCAATGGTGAAGTTATTGTTTTCATTGATGAAGTGCATATGCTGTTGGGACTAGGTAAAACCGACGGGAGCATGGATGCATCGAATATCCTGAAGCCAAGGCTGGCTAGGGGACTGAGATGCATATCTGCTACAACAATCGATGAGTTCAAAATCATAGAAAAAGATCCGGCCCTGACTCGAAGGCTGCAACCCATCATGCTCACCGAACCAAACGTCCCTGATTCGATCTCGATTTTGAGAGGTTTGAAGGAAAGATACGAGGTTCATCACGGTGTCCGGATCACAGACGCCGCTCTCGTTTCCGCCGCGACGCTTTCGAACCGCTACATCAACGATCGTTTTCTACCCGACAAGGCCATCGATCTCGTGGACGAAGCTTGTGCAGTGTTGCGTTTACAACATGAATCAAAGCCCGATGTCATTCAAACTCTAGATCGTGCAATCACTCGAATTCAAATCGAACTCGAATCATTGAAAAAGGAAACAGATCCATTGTCCATCGAGAGAAAAACCGCTTTAGAGGAAGAGCTAGAAACCAAGCAAGCGGAGCATTCAAGACTCACTGAAGTTTGGGAAAAAGAGAAAGCTGAAATTGATTCTATCAAAACCGCTAAGGCAGATTTGGAACAAGCTAGAATCGATTTGGAAATTGCACAAAGAGAAAACAACTTTGCCAAAGCATCAGAATTGAGGTATGCGAAAATACCTGAGCTTGAGCAAAAGGTAGCACATACTCAGGAGAAGGATGCAGAAAAGAATTTGTCACATGACTCCGTCACTTCTGATGACATTTCCATAGTGATTGCCAGAATGACCGGTATTCCTGTACAGACTGTTCTCCAGGGGGATAAGGATCGTCTGCTATACATGGAAAACTCATTGAAAGTTAGAGTTGTAGGCCAAGACGAGGCTATTGATGCTATTTCAGATGCTGTTAGACTTCAGAGAGCCGGTCTCACCAGCGAGAAAAGACCTATTGCAAGTTTCATGTTCTTGGGTCCAACTGGTACCGGTAAGACTGAATTGACGAAAGCTCTTGCCGAGTTTTTGTTTGACAACGAATCAAATGTAATAAGATTCGACATGTCCGAGTTTCAAGAGAAGCACACGGTCTCCCGTTTGATCGGAGCTCCTCCCGGTTATGTCATGAGTGAATCGGGTGGACAACTTACGGAGGCAGTAAGACGCAAACCTTACGCCGTGGTGTTATTCGATGAGTTTGAGAAAGCACATCCTGACGTTTCCAAGGTCTTGCTCCAAGTGTTGGACGAAGGAAAATTAACGGATTCGCAAGGACACCAGGTGGATTTCCGTAACACTATGATTGTCATGACCTCCAATATCGGTCAAGATATCTTGTTATCAGATACCAATGTCGGAAATGACGGCAAGGTAAGTGAAGCGGTTCAAACTAAAGTCATTGACGCCATGAAGAGTTCTTATCCACCGGAGTTTATCAATAGAATCGATGACATTTTGGTGTTCAATCGCTTGTCGAAGAAGGTTCTACGCTCTATTGTGGACATCAGACTCAACGAGATTCAGGATAGGATCGCTGACAAGCGCATGAAGCTCGACCTTACTGACGCTGCAAAGGAATGGCTGACCGAAAATGGTTACGATCAACTATATGGTGCAAGACCGCTAAACAGGTTGATACACAAGAAGATTTTGAACCCTATGGCTATGTTCATGCTCAGAGGTCAAGTGAGACCCGACGAAACAGTCCATGTCGATGTTGTTGATGGCGAGCTGCATGTAAGAGCTAATCATGAGCAAGGTGAGGCCATTGCTTCAGAGGAAGAAAACTGAGGAAGGAAACTGAGGAAGGAAACTGTAAATACAAGGTAATAATGGTACATATTTTGACAAAGGACGTTTTATACATAGGAATTGAATCAGCGGTGAGCAAGCCTTATGAAGTTGATCATTATGTGAGTGATGAAGTCCATGAAATGGCACTTTAAGAGAACTGAGATTTTTCGAGGAACTTCAGACGTCAAAGGGAAGGAATTCCGGTAAAACAAACGTTCTCTGAAACATCGTTTGTATGGAATCTTGGGAATGGTGCAATTAACATAATACGTATTTGTAATACAAGTGTATTGACGAGCGAGGGCCTATCTCGTGCGAATGATACCAGCAGCAATCAATGTTTGGATTTTGCTGAAAACGTCTGGGTTCTTCATGTGTTCCTGCAACGCAGCAGGGTTCTGCTGAGCTTGGGACAAGATGCTTTGCATCACTGGGTCTTGCATAATCGAAGCAACTTCAGGGTCCTTTAGAGCTCTTTCATAAGCTTGCTCTGGTGTTTCATTTGGATCAGAAGGCTGGAATCTTTGTTGCGAGGCTTTGACGTATAGTTGGTCAATCTCTCTCACGCTAGATCCCTTGTTGAGTTCGGTATCCTTAGAGCGGGCGATGTCTAGTGTCTCCATCGCACCCACAAATTCCTTAATTGCGATTTGTGCGGTAGCCTTTCTGATGTAAGCCCTGATGAAGTTCGGATCTTTGCGAATGGCCATCTCGCAGTCCTTGATGGCATCAGGAAACGACATCAGCTTGGCTAGTGCAGCTGCCCTATTAGAGTAGCCGCGTGCGTCTTCTGGAGCTCTCTTGATCATTTCGGTATATGAATTTACTGCGCCGGGCCAGTCACCTTTGGTGAAGAAATCTTTTCCTTGTAAACGAGCTTCTTCGGCCTTTTCCGGATCCACATAAGCCTCAGATTCACGAACCTTGAGTTCCTTTTCACAGTTTCTCAATTTGGTCAATGTGTCTGGGGTACGGTGCTCCGTTAAGGATCTTTGGTAGTATTCGATTGCCTTTGGTAGGTCGTTCAACTTCACGTATGCATTAGCGATACGAGCAAAAGACTTAGCAATGAGCTTGTAGTCAGCTCTCATTTCTCTGCCCTGATCCACGGCTTCTGTCAGCGTTTGGATCGCCTGAGAATAGTCACCTTTCTCGTACTCCGCGGCACTGCGGTTGTTCAAGTAGGTGATATCTTTGTGAAGTTCCCAGGCCTTGTTGTATTTCTCGATGGCTTCGTCAAATTGACGAGATTTGTAGAACTTGTTGCCCTCGGCTTTTTCCGCATCAGCAGCAGCTCTCGAGTCGACTTCAGGTTCATCGACTTCCATTGGTTCTTCTTTGGCAGCCGATGGCTTGCTTTCTGGTTCAGAGGCTTGAGACTTGGCGGGTTCTGCTGGGGCAGCAGCTTCCGCGGGCTTAGGGGCCTCGGCTTGTTTAGCAGGCTCTTCAGGCTTATCTTCACCACCCATGCTTAAATCTATGCCCAAAAGAGCTGCCATTATGGTCATCATACGTGGGTCCTGCAAAAACTCGGTACCCATTGCCTGAGGGTTGGCCTTGAATTGCAAAACTTTGGCGACAAGCTGAGGGTCCTTCATGAGCTCTGCGGTTTTGGGGTTCTGCTTTAGCTTCTCAATCATGTTGGGATCGTTGAAGAGCTGACCAAACCCTAGATCGGGCTGCTGTTGTCTGCTTTGCTGAGTGCGCTGCACGTGGTCCAAACCTTCTTGAGCAGCCTTGTTGGAAGCGTCTAGCTCCAAAGCTTTTTTGTAGCTTTTTTCGGCGTTGTCCAAGTTCCCGAGTCCCGAGTGTGCCGCACCAACTCTGTTGTAGCCCTTCGACCAACCAGGGTTGATCTCAATGCATTTTTCAGCGTCCTGCAGAGCGTCCCCGAAACGTTTTAGCGATGCATAACACGCTGATCTGTTGGAGTAAAGAACGTGGTTAGGTGTTTCCGATGCCTCAATCGCCTGCGTGAATAGCTCGGCGGCTTTACCGAAGTCTTTTGCTACAAATGCAGCATTTCCTTGTTTTTTAAACTCTTCAGCAGACATATTCGACTGCAATTTTTAACCAAAAAATGTCACTGGAAGTTCGTTGAAAAGCGCTTGAGTCAGTTGAATTCCAAGTATAGCTTTTAAAACAGATATAGCGGATTTGACAATCAATGAAAGGCTCTGCTTTTTATACTTTCAATTGATAACGATCTAAAGGTGTTAGTTGATCGACGTTTGAGTTCTGGAAAGTTCTCATGTAATTTGATTTTGAAAAAGTGGTGATAGCACTTCGAACGAAGGATGGAAAGTCATTAGAATTGAAAACTTGACAAACTTTCCGATGGAAAAGAGCTCATCGCCATGATTAAAAGTAGTTGAATTGAAGATCTTAGAGCTGTTTGGGGCGAAAGGAATGGCAAATAGGAACAGGGGAAAGGACCAAAGAACCCAGGCATTTTTGGATTGGGCTCAAACGGACCAGAAACTATGGATTTCTGACAAAATCAAGCTGCAGCAGCATCCAACAGATGCACAACAGGGAAGATGTGTCTTGGCAGAGCAGAACGTGGCAAAGGGTGAGAAACTCTTTGAGATCAAACGCGAGAGTGTTTTGAATGTGACCACATCGAGTTTGAGCAGAGAAAATTCCGAAATTCGCAAGCTTTTCCTGCACAAGCTGGGCCATTGGGAAGGACTGATCGTGGTCATTCTTTATGAGCTGAAAATGAAGCAGGAAAATAGCCAGTGGTGGCCGTATTTCCAGGTGTGGCCACAACAGGCAAGCATGAACAGTTTGATGTACTGGTCAGACGAAGAAGTGGCTCAGTTGAGTCCGTCCGGAGTTCGCAACAGAATCGGACGAGACGGCGCCCGTGCAATGTACGAGACCGTCTTGGAATGCATCAAAGAGCTCAATTTGACACAGTTTCAAGCGGTTACATGGGAGGAATTTGTACATGTGGCGTCGGTGGTAATGGCGTATTCCTTCGATATGGAACGCGCGGACTATGAGGAGGAAGATGAAGACGAAGAGGAAGAAGACGAATCAGGTCCGGTTTCTGTCTGGCAAGACGGGTACATCAAGTCTATGGTGCCAATGGCTGATATGCTGAACGCTGACACGCACAAATGCAATGCTAATTTGACATATTCGCCAGATTCGCTGATCATGGTAGCAGTGGATGATATCATAGGTGGGGACCAAGTTTACAACATCTATGGCGAATTCCCAAACTCAGAGCTTTTGCGCAGGTATGGTTACGTTGAATGGGCCGGTTCCAAATACGATTGTGGCGAAATACCACTTTGCACTGTTGTGCAAGCTATGCAAGCTTGTCTTGGATGTTCTCGCGAAATAATAGACAAGATCTTGGATCTGATACAAAATCGATCAGAGATAAGAGACGAAGTGCTGGAAGGCGAGCCTTTGGTGCTAGAATCTTACGACTGTTACGTGGACGGTCAGATTTCGCCAGAATGCATTACCTTATGTCAAATTGTGGCATGTACCCTTCAGTTGCCTCGTGCGGAGACATTGAGCGAAAAGGCTTTGCTCGAGTTTTTGCAGCGATTGGTCAAGAAAGCGATTCAATCAGTGAACTCGAATGAGATCACCAAAGTTTGCGCGCATGTTTTTGAATCCGCGTTAGACTTGAGACTGCGCGAATACCCAAGCCATACATTCCGGGAGCCTCCACCAGATAGTAAACCGCTAAACGCCCCAGGATACAGAAAAATCATGGCTGAGTGTGTATTGCGGAGTGAAGTCAAAGCATTTCAAAACAGCTCCCGGTCTCTGCGGAGCGAGTATCAATTGATCGACGACGCGGAACTGCTGGACAAAGTCAAAGCCGTCAAGAGAAAGATGACCTCTCAAAAGAACAGAGTCAAGTCGTCCAAAAAAATGAGAAAATAGCCTTTTGTTATAGTTTTGTAAAATAGATTCGGCTGGTGGGGGTTTCCACGTCTTGCACCGTGGCCATCGTTTTGAAAGAGTCGTCTGTTGCAGCCACAAACAACATATCGTCGTGCGTTGCCAGTTTTACAACACTCTCCTCTGTCTTGAGTAACTGTTCGGTCTTTTTGCGAGTTTCGATGTTCCACGCAAATACTTTGCCGTCGGAGCCTCCCGTGTACAGACGGTTTGTCTTCGAACTGAAGGCTAATGAGTTCACGGGGAAAACAAACTGGCTGTCAGTCAGATTCATTCGGTGACAGCGGAATGCAAGTCTCTGCGATTCATTATCGAAGCTTTCGACCGCTACCCTGCCGTCGACGGAGCTTTGTGCGTAGCCTTGACCTTGCTGCATCAGTTTGATGTCGCGGGTTTGGAATTTGAGACCCGATTCTTGTATCACGGGCTGGTCCATGTTTCTGAAATCGTAAATAGCCACTTTTCCTCCCGTGTAGGCAACCACTGCAACGTCATCGTTGGAATCGAGCGCAAGCACTTTACGGTTTTCCATCCGTTTTTGATAAACCACCTGTTTTTTCCTGGGATCCACTATTTGTAAGTTACCATCCCACGAGCCCGCTACTACATTCCCATTACTTGTGCTCATGGCACTTATTCCTAGCGTTGCATCGTCAGAGATCAAATCGAATTTCGCAGACTCAAAATCCACTTCCAGAATCTCACCTTGGACAGAACCCACGCAAACTTTCCCGCCCAGTGTAGATGTACTACTCAGAAGTCCATATTCGTGCTCTAATCGAGCCAAAAGCTTATTTTTCTCGTAATCGTAAACCGATGTTGTCCCGTCCCAGGCCGTAACAATCAAATGTGGGTTTTCTGGCACAACCAAAAGGCTTGAAACATAGTCTTTTGGACTGTCCAGTAAGCTCTCAAACTGCATAAAGCTGTAGTTCACAATTTATAGTCCCAAAGTTGCTTACCGGGCCGCTATCGATGCTTCCATTGCGACTTTTCACGTTGAGAAGCTCATCTGGATAATAATTAGCTTTAATGATGTTTAAATCTTTAACTTAAAATATCATCCATTAAAGACCAAACACCTTAAAGAACCTGGAGGGCTGTGGCCATAAGACGACGGAATGGATTCCGTAGCGGGATTCTTTTGGGATGATAGCTCCAGCAAAAAGTCCCGAAGTTTTGGTGGCAGTGGCGTCGATAATGGTGCCAAAAACCCCGGTTTTGATGAACGCAGAGGAAGCGTTGGGTCTACCAACAAGACTAGCACCACGACCGGAAACGCTACGGGACATACGACACAGCAATATCTGGCAGACAAACTCGTGGAGCGGTTGATCTACATGGCATTGCCACCCTCTTCGGAGTTGGCTAAGAAAACCATCGAACACAGAGTGGAAAATGGACGCAACAGACCAGGCCTTTCAGTGCCGATCATGAGCCGAAATTTCATTCAGATGAACTCCAGACTGGGACCGCCTTTCTTGGTAATTGACGAAATCATCAAAGTCCTCAACTGGACTAACAAGGCATACACACTATCGATGATGTCGCTGTTCACTTACACGGTTATGAAACCGCTGCCGACATTGACTAGTATTCCGGTTTTTTACGTGGTTTTCGGCATCATGGTCCCTCAGTATCTCAAGATACATAAACCGGACGCGAACTGCGTATTCGATTCGAACCCTCTCCCAGCGAGAGGACCTCCCCTGTTCCGCGCAGAAGTACCAAAACCGGTACCAGAGTTCAGCAAAGAGTTTTTGCTGAATTTGACAGATTTGCAAAACCATATGCTTCTCTATGTCGCGGCATTCGATTTCATCAACGCGATTCTGGCGAAATTTGCATTTTTCACGGATGAGGGCGTTTCAAGCGCGGCGTTTTTATGCCTGCTCGTATTGGCATGGTTTAATGCGCTTTTCATGGACTCTGTATCGAGACTCCTGCCCGTAAAACCTCTGATAATAGTTTTGGGGTGGGCGGCGGCTTTGGCGCTACATCCTCAAAATAGGGAATGGGTTTTGGGGAAACTTTACTCTGAAGAGACGAGATTGCGTATGCTTTTGGTATCGAGCAAAATAGAGTCAAGAGTACATCAATACTTCGAGTATCACGAACCGAAGGAGGTCCGTCAAGCGTCAATTTTCGAGGTCCAACAATTTCAAGAGCACGATAAATCGTGGGTATTATTGGGCTACTCCACTGACCATTATGCGTTATTCTCGGACTACCGAATTTCTGAAAAGGAAGTCGAAGACGCAGTTCATCAACTAAGCGACGTCAAAGCACCACTGGAATGGGAATGGCTTAAGGACTCAAAATGGGAACAAGATTTGGATCCCGTGCTGTGGGTTGAGTCCGAGTTTGTCGAATATGTCGATATCGATGTCGAAACCAAATGGGTATATGACGTGAATTTGGACGGCTCCAGGGGCGAATACAGGCGTCGGAGATGGCTGAGACGGTGTGCGCGGATTACAGAAGTTGATACCGATGAGGACTCGATTGAAACTTCGGTGGCCCAAGTAGATGCTCTGGGCAAAGCTGCGGGTTCTGTAACCGCATCTGCATTATCGACAGAAAACTCCAGCGCCAAGCCTACATTACGCACCACTACTTCGAATGGATCTCTTTCAAGCAACATTCAGAACCACGATACTGCGACGTTCAAAACTACCGGCGATGGTGGATCCCGGGCTTCGAGGAGTCTTTCCGATTTTCTCAGCGCGCCATAACCTAAGTTTTAGTCCATCTTGGGCTCCAATTGGGAGCTTTTTGAGTAGCATTTATTCACCTGTTTTAGTTGTTTTTCCTCTTAAATCACCAATCAGTTTTTCTGTAAAAAATCGTCCAGGCTCAAGGTAAGCGATCTCTTTTTGCTGGCCTCGGCCTCCTTCTTCTTGTTCAGCATGTTGGAAAGCGAGTTCATCTTCCTTCTTTTCGCTCTCTCCTTACCAGATGACTGTTTCTTCACCATAGATGCATTTTCTGTTGTGTGTGGCTCGACATTGCGGGCAGAAGTGCCTTTTATGGTAGGTTGACTCGTAGTTGTCCTCAAATCTTCACGAAATCGTTCGGCAGCCTCTAAGGTGAATTCTTTTGTAGTACTGCATTGTAAGCACTTGTATTCTAGTGTTCTTTCTGGCTTCGCGCTAGCTTTTACCTCTTTTTCGACAACTTGCATTTCGAGATTTACACCTGCAATGTGGACCACTCCACAACTTTCGCAAAACTTGGTTCCATTCGTGATGGAATCGGGCAGATTCAATCGGTTTCTCTTGGTACCGTTGTAAAAACTCTTGAGGTATAATCCCGCCAATTGTGGTTGTTCGATGCTTGGCAAGATGTGCAGAAGATTGTACTTGTGGGCGATATGGGTAGCTACAAATTTCTCTCTTTGAGAGCGATTCAGAGACATACTAAGAGGTGTATATAAATGGCGACTGCTTGATAGAAATGGTTAGATTTAGACTCGTTGATCTTCACTCGAGAGTTGAAGTTATGATAATGATGCTTTTCTATACATTAATTACAGGATCCATCTCATCGGTCAGATGACATTTTCGTGAAGACAAAAGTCCTGGAAAAGAATCAAATAAGAAAGGCCCAAAGAGATGGGAAATCTCCCTTAATTCACAGCTTTTGTGGCGGGGCAATGATTGTTGTCTTTTTAAAAAAATGGAGCCTCTTTGAAGTCGGAATACCCATTTTTTAAAAGATTTAATTCTGCGGATTACTGTCATTGAAGAGTCGGTGTTGAAAGTGTTGAAAGTTACAGCTACGGGGAAAAGAATAGCTACCCATAGATGGCTGCAATTTGGCGACAAAAAGCCCGGCATTTTGTTGCATTATCCCGATATTTCTCTTATCGAGCTTTTTCGTGACGCTTGAACTACGAATAATTGTTCATGAATGCCATTGAAATGACAGCGACGTACAAAGCGATAAAAACCCGGTGTCAGTGTTCAGTATGAGTGATAATAAAGATGTACTGGAAATGGAGACTCAGACCAGCTTTGTGCTCCTTCAGATCTGCCTGGTTGGAAACAAAGCCACAACTTCAACAGCTTATCAAATTCTTTTCGGGGACAAAACATTTGTAAAACAGAAGAAAAAAATATGGAAAAATGTCAAGAGGCGGAATAAAAGTCTTCAAAATTAAGACGAGCATACAGTAATACTGTCGTACTCCGACTCTTAGAGAATCATACCATTGTGTGGTTATCTACACACGTAACGTAGAAGAGAAAGACAGCGATCACTACACACGAAATAAATATATTTAAAGATCGTTTTTGACGAAATTTTAAGGTTCAAGAGGATCCATCTCATCTCATCTCATGTCGGAAATTGATGAAAGGACCAGGACAAGCTTGAGCTGAGTTCCATCCTTTTTAAGTACTTATCTGCTCCAGCCGATTCTTCTACGTCCAGAAAACATGAGTCCACAGCGCTCTGTAGTTCCCTTGGAGTCCAATCCCGACATTTTCACCCGCTTTGCTCATAGCCTGGGCCTCTCGTCTGACTATGCATTTCACGACATTTATTCACTAACAGACCCGGATTTGATGGCATTCTTGTCCCGGCCGATGAAAGCAATAGTACTTCTTTTCCCGCTCAATTCGTTTTTTGAAGCTGCAAAAGAAGACCACTCCGGGGATCAAACAGCCGATCTTGATACCCATGCTCCAACCAAGCAAAACCCGGTTTGGTTCAAACAGACTGTGAAGAACGCATGTGGGCTATACGCTTTACTACATTCTTTGTCAAACAACCCAGAGCTTCTGGAAAAGGATTCGAAATTGGAGCACTTTTTGAAGCACAATAAGAGGGTCGATAATAAATATGCCGATGACCAAACCGACGACTTCATCGTGTCCATTAATGAAATGTACAACGAAAACTCATCCCTGGGACAGACCGAAGCACCCAGCGCCGAGGACGAAGTAGACTTGCACTACATCACTTTCATTGACTACCAAGGTTGCCTATTCGAAATGGACGGTCGGCGTCCTAACGGTGCGAAGTTTATCGGCAAAGCATCTGCAGGAGACCTGCTAGAAGATCCTTTAGTCAAGAAAAGTACCCAATGGTACATGGACAATGCTGAAGAGAAGGCGAAGATGCAGTTTTCTCTATTGGGTCTTGCGCCCAAGTGGGATTAGCCTGTACACACTCTGATCCTTTGGCTTATATTTGACCCTTGATATCCACCTTTTTGGCCTTTTCATATTGTTGCATGATGGAGAACCTACTGGTCTTGGTGTTGAGGATGGCATTGTGTTCGCTTCCGTCTTTATCTTTGACTACAATGTGTTTGTCAAGACCGAGCTGATGCAAAAAGGCTGTGCCTATTTCGTAGTTCTCTAGTTGAAGCTCTGCAAACAAGAAGCTTAAAGAGATTTGATTATAGCTTTTAGAGATGGTGTCCAGAGCTCGAAGCCTTTCACGATTTACGAATGTGTTTAGCAGGCATTTTGAGGGACCCGAAGTGTTTGCGTAGAGTTTGAAAAAGGCGTGATAGTCGCCTACTAGAAGCGATTTCGCCAGGTTTAAAGCGTGCTTGACTATCGGGTGCCTGTAAATGGCCAGGTTTTCACTCCGCGAATACTTCAATTTCAAATCATTGATTGAGTTATGATTGTTCATCATCAAATGATATAGTATTCTATAACCCACGAACTCCTCCAAGTTTGACTTAGTCAAGTTTGGAAGCTCAAAAAGTTGCCCCAGCCTGCTTTGGCACTGATTGAACTCCCCAATGTCGTTGTTCTCTAGCGCTATTCTGGCATGCGTTTGATACACTTTCAAAGTGAACTGATTCTCTATAATCTGAACTCTCAAATCCTGCCGCAAAGACTTGAACTGATCGCAAAAATAAGAGTACGAGGCTTCCTTCTGCGTATACTTTCGCAGCACTAAATCAAAGGCTTTTTTCAAAATGTTCAAAGGACGCACCAAATTTGGATTGGGTTCCGATGTCAATCGCAAGTATTTCTTTTCAAGCGTTTGACATCTTCCTACGACCGGTTTGTTCTTGTCAAACTTGTAAAAATTAGTGGAAATGGCGTTCAAATTTGCGAAGTTTTCATCCGATGTGGCTCTATCATTCTTTGAAGCAGCAGATACGGCTGAGAACCGCTCCATGCGTTTTTTCTTTCTTTCCGCCTCTGCTGATTTCTTCGTGTTAGTGACTGCTGGTGGTAAGCCAGGGGCGCTATTTGGCCCCTTTCTATCAATGGGGCTTGGTGGAAGAGGCTTTTTCTTAGTACTGGCGATTGGAGGCGGAGGAGGAGGCGGTGGAACGACCGCCAAAGGTTGGCCTTTCTGCGGGCCGTCACACACCAACTGCAGGCTCGTAGAGTTCTTGGTCAAACAAGGCAGCGTTTGCGACCACCAATCATTTCGCAACTCCTTTTTCTCAACATAAGCCTTTCCGATGAGGTCTTTCAGCTGTTGGACCAAAATCAAGTTTGAGTTTTGATCAAATTTATTATTTTCAGCTAATTGAAAGCAGCCTAAAATGAACTCTCTTAACCCGGAGGGGTGTGTCTGGGTATTGTTTTCTATGATGCGTTGAAGCAGTTCCGTTCTTTCCTGATCTGTCAGCTCCCTACGCCTCATTGTTGTTTCCCTCTGGTCAACGTTTCGGTTTTGGCCTAGGGATAGTGGTTGAACTTGATTATATGGTTTCTGCTGTTTTGGAGCTTTCACCTTGCGTTTCTTACCGTTGGGCATATCAAAGACGTTTGACAGACTATTAGAGCCTCCCATAGCAGTCCGATCGAACCAAAACCTATGATGTTTTGAAGAACTTGAACGGACTGTCCTTCAAGATCAAGTTGATGAGATGTAATTAGTATATTGGCCTTCAAGAGAAACATCATGAGTACTAGCAAAAATGTACTCGAGCAGCCAAAAAGTTCAAGCTTCAAACAGAATGAGGCTTCAACACACAGCGCGGTAGTGAGATTCTTACCCGATTCTCTACTCGCTGCTGTGGTATTTCTGTATACGATTTTGAGTGGCTTTTTGGGCACGAGCGATTTGAGCTGAGAATTCTGCATCTGACATCGAGCCCGCTACTTGTTTGGCAAGCTCAAACACCAAACCATACAGGTTTTGCCTTCTGTAAGATATCTCTTTACTCCACGATTGCTGCTTCGCCAGCTCCTCAGCTTGTCTTTGCTCGTAATCGTAGTCTGTGATTGCACCTTCATCCTTCAGGCTGTTTAAGTAGTCCATCGTGTCTCTGTGGATGGCGATGACAGAGAACTTGCCATTGGAGTGAAGAGTCTGCTGCATGCGGTTCTGCAGAGCAGTGGTGACATTTTGGGCAAATTTGAGCTTGTCTTGGCTAGTGTTCACCAGATCGCGATGAATGATTGGCGCGGGACGAAGTCCGTCTAGTTCGTACAGCACGCCTTCATGCTCAATAAAGCTCGTGAAATGGAACACATCAGCAGCGGGACGATCTGGCCTTTGCTGCTTTTCGTCAAGAACAAACGGGTCTGGGCTGGAAAACGAGTTATGAACGTTCCTGATATGGTCGGAATTGGAAATACTCTCACCGCGTAGTTCAGAGTCTCTGAATGCAGAAGTGAACTCCAAAAATTCCGAAAGTGTTGATCCCAATTTGATTTCTTCTGGATGGTCCTTAGCGAGCGACAGCAAAGTATTTAGCACCGCTAGCGTTCCACATGCATTTTGAATCGTTTGATTAGCAAAAAATAGTGATTCTGGATAATCGTAGTCATATTCCCCCTGTACTGGTGAGTCCCTTGAGTAGTCAGCGGCATTGTATTGAAACAAGAATATCACTCCGTAAAGCACGCCTGCAAGCTCTTCCTGTAAGGTATCTAGCGTGGAAATTTCAGCAAATTCAACGCCAGAAACGCCTAGATCTTTGACAAGCTGTGTGAAGATTCCAGCATCCGATTCGATGGTATTCCAAGACATTTGGCGGCAGATGATTGATCGAGAATGGTAACTTTATGTGCTCTGTGCTCTGGTAAACCTAAGATAAAGTCATTTTGACCTTATTTCGTTATACTCTCTGGTATTTAAAGTCTATTGACCAGATAATTGGATAGATTAATGACTAGATAAATGAGTAGACGAATAAGTAGATTTCCCTCTCGATTCAACGCGATCCACTAGCCCTGGCCCGATCTCTTGAAGTTACTATGTGCTTGACTTGGAATGCTATCTCAAATCTGGCTGTGTCTTTCACTCATGTTGATTTTTGCGAATTTCGATACACTTCGTCTGTCCCGATGTAATTCATTGCAAAATACTGCATTGTCTGAAATCTGCAGAGACGCGCCAGTGGATTACTCCCCGTAATCCCCAAAGCCGATGAGTCCACCTCCCTGGCGCGAATGTCTGGAAAAATAATCAAAATCAATGGAAACTGCATTGGCTAAAAGCACCGCCCGCTGATCGAAGTCTAAGATTTGATCACTGAGCTTTTCAGGAGGGTACACACCTTGAAAACTCTGGGAAGAGTCCATTCGCACAATGTAGACACCCGTGTCTGTGAAAAGCTCTCTTCCAAGACCCACCCAGTTTCTGTCCACCGAGGCCATGATTTTGTTCTTCTCATCTATGAGGGGGAATTCAAAACTGAGAAACGGGGCGTCGATCTCTGCATACTGATTGAACGAGTCCCCAGCGTAACTGTCGCGTTGGAATAGCTCGTACCGACGCCGCCATAGGTGCCAGTTTTGAACACTTTCTCCAACCAGAGTCCCTGCTTCACCCAGTGTAGATGTAGACTGTGGAGTTGGAACAGAGCCAAACGGCGCAGAAAAACTTTCAGGCTGTGAACTAGATTCCAAAGCTACGTCATCGGGTAAGATGGCTTTGATGTGGGAATTGATCCACGAAAAGGGTCTTTTGATTGTCAGCAGCACATTACCCCAGTTATCGAACACGTCAACCACAAAGGGACGATGAAGTCTGTAGAATTGTCTCATCACAGCTTTTGCAATTCCAAAATCTCGTTCTTGCATGTAACCGATTCGATTCCCCAGGGCGTCCAATATCACGTATTTATTAGCTTGTTCGAACCCGAGAAATACGTTCATCATCTCCATTTGTCGCTCCACGACTATCGTGGGCTCATTGAGAATAGTAGTGGCAATCGGGTGATGAGCTTGGATGATAGTGTCAGTGGGTTCGCCATTTCTGATTATCGAGAAATTCGAGCTTTTCTCTCCAATAGAGCCTTTTGCTTCACGTCTGGGTAGGATTCGATGTCTTGTTGCTCGAGGAAGTGGCGAGTACCATCTGCGGGCAACAAATCGAGTAAACATGTCGGAAAAGCGAAAACAAAATCGTAGACTATTGTGAAAAAGGGAGGTATTGTGGACGGGGAAGACCCAGTTTGGAGCTGTGAATCGGAGAGTTATTGTCCAGTCCGGCTGCAATGAGGTGAGAGCCTACGCAATCGGCTTCTCGGGAGTGCTGTGTGGCAAATTGTGTACTTAAAGCGATGTATCCAAGTATCTTTTGAAATTAAAGGCCTTTAATATATTCATGTCATGGTATAGTCCGAAGACGTTGATATGAACTTTTCGACAAAGAAAAGGTTTTGAAGCCACCTTTTAGACGCAGCAATATTCTTTTCAAGAATAATAGCTACTGACTGAATTTTGACTAAGTGTTGGGTACTTTTGAGTTGGTTTGCGAAGATTAATGAATTTTTAATGAGAACGGTGTCTAGTGTCAAGAGTTGTGTGACGTCGGAACTCTCTTGGCGAAAAATTGCCTCTGTCCAAGATTTCTGACTTCAGATTAATTGAAGCCATTAAACTAGGTGACTAACAAGGACTATAGTCAAGTTCATGCCGTTTTTCACTTTACCTTCATCTTTCTATTCTCGAGACAACATATATGACAGTTGTGTGACCAAATGAACCACTGGGGTTTGGAAAGATATCTTCGAAGACCCAGAGTAATGCCAAAAATCAAATTAGCTTGTTCAACACTCCCACTCATTTTAAAAGTTACGTTTTCGTACTTGCTACCCGCGGCGATGGTATATATACTTATATTGTTCAGGAATAAATCGAAGACCTGTGTTGAGAGCTACAGATGAGCGTTCGAACCGCCGAAAAATGCATACAAAGCCCAGAACCTATCAAATAAAGCTTAAAACTGCCAAATACATGATTCTTGGCCAAACAGCTGCCCATTTATGATAAAAAATGCCTAATTTTCTAATCTGGTTGTCCTGGTCAATCAGCAGTATAATAATATAATAAAAGTCATTTTTCTAGCATGTCAAAAAATTTTATAGACGATGGTTAGTGAAAAACTACAGAAATCGAGCTCGTGGAGTTGACTGTGGGTCTCTTGGTGTTCCATAACGTATCCTCAACATACCATAAGTTTCAAGATGCTTCGATTCGTGGCTCGTAGAAATATTCACAGTGTCCCCAAGCTAAAAAATGACAGCTTAACCGAGAAAGGCATCCAGAATGTGTTGAGTGCTTCTGGGTTCAAAATTGCATGGAACGACTATCAAAAGAGCTTGTGTGACAAATTGACACTCGCCACAGCAGGAACTTCGTTGGAGGCATACTTGCCCTTTCATTTGGTGCTAAATACGGCCAAAAAGCCTTTCCAAACTCACATATTCAATCTGGCATCTGCGGCTCATAACAACCACCTTTTCGTCGAGAACATAATACCATCGTCCACGAGCACGGCTCCGTCCAGGCTGTTCAGAAACCACATCGAAGAACAGTACAAATGCACCTGGGAAGAATTCAAAGACGAAATGGTCCGGAGATCGGAAACAGACGTTCTGGGCCAAGGCTGGCTATTCTTGGTCGAAAACAGCGAGAAGGAATTGCACATAATTACAGTTCAAAATAACGGAACACCTTATTATTTCCCGCGCAACCAGTCGTTTGATCTCAACTCGGCTCTAAAACTCGAAGAGTTTTCGCAGCTGGAAGCCGTTCGCGCCCTGGTGAAAGAAGGCGGCAAGATCGAGGACTGGACCATGCCGCTGATCGCTGTGAGCTTGTGGGACCATGCTTATCTGCACGATTATGGCGTCAAAGGCAGATCCCAGTACGTCAGAAACGTGTTGGACAACCTCAACTGGTCTGTGGTAAACAGCAGACTATACTCGGGACTTTCGTAGGGCTCGAAAGAGAGAATGCTAAAGGAGGAGGACAAAAACAAAAAACGAAAGACAGGCTAGCTTTCCTACCACGCAGGTACGCGCTACATGCCTGTGAGCCCCATGTAAATAGCTCCTGTAAAAAATTTACGACCCTTTCCACTTTCACAATTCTTTCGCTGCGTGTATCACGAATCAAAGCACCTTCACGCCCACGATTTTGTTCTGTTCTTTCAACAAAGTAGCTCTGCCTCTATCGCGCAGCTTTTGCAAGCATAACTCACACAGTTTCTGGGGCATCTCATGAAATTCCCATTCGAGTGTTTCGTCACCCTCCAGTAGCTCATAAAGAGTTACTACCTGGTTCAATTTCCCTGCTGTCTCGAACCATTGAAGAAAGACGGAACTCCAATGTTCAAGACTCCTCCAAAGTATCAGGTACTGTCCATTATCGAATTTGACGGCTTTTTTAGTTTCTACCATTCTGTTCCAAATCTGATCAACGAAAGGGGCAGGTGCTGTTCTTTGAATAGTCTCGTTCTTGAAAATACTCTTAGCACTAGTTTCAAGTTCACCAACGATGGTTCCTTCTTGGCTCAGACACCAAGCTTTATTCTTCTTAGAGAACTCAAGTAGCAAATCGCACCAGGTTGTGAGCTGTTGTTCCCTGATCAACACATTTGGCTGGCACGTATAAAGCGGTGGAAAGTTGTAGATGGGAGGCAAGCTTTCAGCCATCTTACAGCTGGTCAAAGTTCTGAAACTTTATCCTTCAGGTCTTTATTCAAAATAATGGTAGTAATTATACTATTTCAATTCTTATCCTCTGTATCTTAGGAAGATCAAGTATCTTATGGAAACAACTATAAGAGAGCTTGAGGATCATCATGTTCGAGTACATCGAGAGCTTCTAGAGGTATTGGATGAGTTGTATCTTGCGAGAAAAGGGCTGAAAGCTCACGACCGATCGGCAATGGTTCAAAGACGAGAGTTGCAATGCTCGATGGCCACCACAAGTCCAATAGCTGAAGCAATGACAAACAATGGCAAACTAGAAGCTAGACTTTTGGATTTGATGCAGCAAAATTACGAGAAAGACGGTAGCGTCGTTCGTCACCAGGATGAGAAATTGAGACTGATATCGCGGTTCACAGAGGAAAGGATAAAATACGGAAAACTGCTTCAAAGGATCAGACCAATAGCTGAAGAAGTTCGGAGTTGGACAGCAGATGAAATCGATCCGAGAAAAGAGGCGGTTGTCGATGAAGGGGAGAGGTATTTGGAGAAAGAAAATGAGACGTTGAGAGAGTTGTTAGTCGGGATAATCATGCAAAGTGGCTATCAGGGCACTAATAAGACTGTCGATAACTGGCTGGAGTTTTTGGAAGAGATTGGGTGAGCATTGGTTAGAAGGGATCTTTGCAAAATGAGGGGTGGTGTATTTCATTCTACTACGGAGGAATTTTATTGACGAGAGATTAAAACTAAGAACTGAATGGAGGGTTGTTTGTTACTCAAATGTCAGTGAAACAGGATTTTTCCACTCGCACAAGAATTGCACGTTCACAGCCGCTTTGAGACGTTAGGAATCTGACGTATGGAGAATGTGACTTCCCTCTAGATTCCTGTCTCATCTTGTTTTAAAGCCCCCATCTCGAAATGCATTGATTAGCATCGCTGCAAATCAAGTTCGAGAAATTATGATACTCTTATTCTGGTGTTCATTTTCGTTGAATACACCAGAAATACTGGTGACAGGTGTGCTAATTATTCACAGTTCTAACAATCGCTTCTCGAGGAGCTGTGCCAACGTCATGAGCTTTTGACGTGAGCTCTTGGTGTGATTTTGAGAACGAGGTGAATCGGGGCGGTAATGAACTCAATTTGCTGAGGAAAGTCAAGTTGAGAGCACTTCGGGAAAGCAATGGTGCTTGATATGGTAAGGGCCCCTGGCGGCATATCAAAACCATGGTATCAGTACAGTTTACCTTTTAATCACGTGACCCTACAGGCTACAGTTGTAAGCCATAGTGATCAAGCTGAGGAGAGCAGTTTTTGAGTCTGAAAGATCAGTAGTGTCGCCCAAACTCCTATGCCGTCCGCTGTTGTGTTTCACTAGCCGTAAAAAGCCTTATAGCGGCTCCGCTACTTCCCCATTTTCCGGCCATATCGCTTTTCTTAGGCTCAACGTCACACTCCTTACAAAGTGATAGATGTCACGTGATTTTCTTTTACAATGACAGAACTGAGAAAGCGAGACGAGAGGGTGGAATCGTGGCACTTATTGACCCTTTGCCCCTCAAGCAAGATCCCACTCTTTCCAAAAGCACATTTTTTCATCTCTTTTAAATCACAAATCTTCACACCTTGCTCAAAAAGAAAACACCTCTCACGACTGTGCAAACAAGTACAGTTCTATAATCCAAATATTCACAGCTACAAAACTACAGAACTCTCATCAAAGCATCACCATTCATCACGCATCTTCCTCATCACGCGTCTTCCTCATCACTAAAACATTTCGTGTCCGACCTCGTCGTCCTGGCTACAACGTCTTTTCTTTTTCTTTTTCTTTCCAGCAGGCGATGAGCCGTGCAACACGACCACTAAGAATTTTTCACTTTTCGAAGACAAGACTATATAAAGATGAAAGAAAAGCTCTTCTTTCAAACCAAGTTGGTCAACAAATCTTTTTAAGAAGATCTCACTTACGTTCCTTCGCTCACCCCTTGCATTTGTCTTGATTCTTGTTTTTTTGTAGTTTCTTTCCGTGTAGATTTGAAGTTTCTAGCGTTTATATTCGTTGAGTTTTGCAGTTGAATTTGTGCGTGTAAGTTTGAACACTAGTGGCCCCATTACAAGAACTAAAGAAAGTATCCAAACACACTAGCATTCGCCCAAGATGAAATACGTTATAGTGTCCGGTGGTGTGATCTCAGGGATCGGGAAAGGTGTGCTAGCGTCCTCGACCGGGATGCTGCTGAAAACGCTTGGTTTGAGAGTGACATCGATCAAGATTGACCCATACATGAACATCGATGCCGGGACGATGTCGCCGCTGGAACACGGTGAATGCTTTGTTTTGAACGACGGAGGTGAAACCGATTTGGATCTGGGCAACTACGAACGGTATCTTGGTGTGACTTTGACCAAGGACCACAACATCACAACCGGTAAAGTGTACTCGCACGTCATCTCTCGTGAACGTAAGGGCGATTATCTGGGCAAAACCGTGCAAGTGGTGCCTCATTTGACGGATGCGATCCAGGACTGGATCGAACGTGTGGCCAGAGTGCCCGTGGACGACTCTGGGAAAGAACCAGAGGTGTGCATCATCGAATTGGGTGGTACTGTAGGTGACATTGAAAGCGCACCTTTCGTGGAAGCGCTCAGACAGTTCCAGTTCCGTGTGGGCAAGGAAAACTTCTCCTTGATCCATGTGTCGCTCGTGCCTGTTATCCACGGCGAGCAAAAAACCAAACCAACACAGGCTGCCATCAAAGACCTCCGTTCGCTAGGTTTGAACCCAGATATGATTGCATGCCGTTGCTCTGAGAAATTGGACGACCCAACCATCAACAAGATCGCCATGTTCTGCCATGTGGGCCCCGAACAAGTTGTCAACGTCCACGACGTGAACTCGACTTACCACGTTCCGCTATTGTTGTTGGAACAGAAAATGATTGACTACCTCAGCAAGCGTTTGAGACTTGATGAATTGACTCTAAACGCTGATGAGAAAAAGCGCGGGGAAAGCCTGTTGCGGAGATGGAAGGACCTCACAACCTCGATCGACGAGTCCTTTGAGTGTGTCAAGATCGCTCTGGTCGGCAAATACACCAATTTGAAGGACTCTTATTTGTCAGTTATCAAATCCTTGGAGCACTCGAGCATGAGATGTCGCCGCAGATTGGAAATCGTGTGGGTTGAAGCTTCCGATTTGGAACCTGAGACCAACGAGTCTGAAAAGAACAAGTTCCACACCGCATGGAACAAGTTAAGCTCAGCTGACGGTATCTTGGTGCCAGGTGGTTTCGGCCACAGAGGTGTTGAGGGTATGATTTTGGCAGCCAAATGGGCTCGTGAAAACAGTGTGCCTTACTTAGGTGTTTGTTTGGGTCTGCAAGTGGCGACTTTGGAATTTGCTCGCAACGTTTTGGGCAAAAAGGACATAACTTCTGCCGAATTCGATCTAGATTGCCCTGAGGAGAATCAAGGTGTTGTGTACATGCCTGAAATCGACAAGGAAAACATGGGAGGAACCATGCGTCTAGGATTGAGGCCTACGATTTTCCAAGCAGACTCTGAATGGTCCAAGATTCGCAAATTGTACGATGATGCCAGCGAGGTTCACGAAAGACATCGTCATCGTTACGAGGTTAACCCTAAACTGGTCCCACAATTAGAAGAGCACGGGTTCATGTTTGTGGGAAGAGACGAGACGGGTCAAAGATGCGAGATTCTCGAACTACGCAACCATCCTTACTTCGTGGCTACTCAATACCATCCAGAGTACATGTCGAAGGTCTTGGATCCATCGCAACCTTTCTTGGGACTGATAGCCGCTTCCGGTGGCGTCTTGGACAAACTAATGGCCGAGGAAAAGAACTCTCAAGAGCGTGCTGATTTTTGAACCAACCTGGTGGGCCAACCCGGTGTAGAGAATAGTAGAAGTGTGTGTCATACGAAATCCGAACCAAGAAAACAAAATATTGCATAGAAAGCAGGGCATTGTTGCACTTGCCGATCAATTGGACTGATGATTGGAACACCGCGTTCATGTTACTCTCATTGCGGAATCCGTGAGATAAATTTTCCATGAATATTCTAGGACATATACGGTTATTTATATGTATGTGTGAATCTTGACAAGAGGGACGTTAAACTTAGTTGCAGAGACCAATGACACCGCAAGCAGGTCTTGGGCCGGCGTTACCGGTCTTGAGAGATTCGTCGTTACCACCTTTACCCAAATCGTCTTTGCCAGCGTGCACAACAACGGTGCGGCCAACAACGGAGGATGGGCCGATCAATTTGACAAGGCTGTCGCTGATGGAACCCTTGGCAACACCGTTGGAGTCTGCCAAGATGTTACCCAGGTCGCCGACGTGTCTGACGTCGTCAGATGGGGAGCCGTGAGTCTTGTTGAAAGGGTTGAAGTGGGGGCCTGCAGAAGTGCAGCCGTTGGTGTTGTCACCGAATTGGTGGACATGGAAACCGTGTTCCGAGTCTCCGTTGAACCCGGTGATTTCGTAGCTCAACGTGGTAGGAGAGCTCTCGGACTCTTGCTCAAGATGCACTAGACCCGAAACACCGGCATCTCCTCTTAGAACAGCGACTGGAGAACGCGCGAAAAAGGTTAGTATACATAATCGTGGGTGCTGAAACCGAATCTGCGGTGTCCGAAGCCGTACGAGGACGTTTTGGACCGCTACGTACCTGCTTTGACCATTTTTATATCAGTTTTTGATTGTGATTGTACGTGGATTAACGTTGGATGAATAAAAAAGGGAAAGTGATGGATAGGAGGTCAAGTTCTTATTATTAATGGCCATTGTTTCGAGATTTGGTAAATGGTTCGTAGAGTGTGACTAGATGTTTTTATGTTCCGAGTAGAAAAAGGAAGAGAGGATTGAGTAGCTGACGCCGGCTACCTGACTGGATGATTGACTAGAAGATCATCTGGATAATCAACTGGACAATCGACTAGAAATGCCAAGCGTGGGAATACCGGTTATACCAACGACGTTGAGCATCGTGAACCGTTCGTCTCCCGTTCGTCTCCCGTTCGTCAACCCGATCATCGCCCATAGTACCAACCAGTGCGGAAAACCAGACAATTTGGACTTCTTCCACACGAACTCTCTGCTTAAAATTGTTGTTCTGCTATTCAACATACACACGCACTATAAAATGATGACCTGGAAAACCAGCTTCCAGACCAAAAACAAGAACGCCGATCGACCATTGTGTTTCTGTCAGCTTTGCATAGCATTCACCTATCTCTGCGGGGTTTCGGTTTCGATTGAGGTCCCACTGCGATCATCGTGTATAAAGTTCCAATCACTATCATACCGGTAAAGAGCCACATCGTCGCGTCCGCAGGACGTCTGAAAACCCTTTGAATCAGCGCGATAACGCTGTTGTTGTAGAAGAACCCCATGGTGTGAATTGGCTCTGGACACTGCTGCTCGTGGTTCCTTGTTTGAGTGGTGTTAGTGTTGATGAAGTTGAGATGAGATGAGATGAGATGAGATGAGTTTTATTAACTTTAATCTACAAGACATCTGAAAAACTGGAAAACCCTCTAAAAGGTTTCAAATACCGGGTTCTCATGCTACTTTTGAGCCCATTCTGCGGCGCTGGTCGCCTTTTGGTAGTCTTGGTAATTTTTTGCGCGCTGAAAACCGGTCTGGGAGCGATTTTGGACGTCGACACAACGGCCGATGTTTACGGCGTGCTGAACTCTAGTCAAGTGCCGGTTTTCGTCATGCTGTACATGCATGGATGCCGGTATTGCGAAGAGTTGGAACCCCATTTTAGCTATTTGCAAACACTTTTCCCTGAAAAGCTTGCGTTGCTGAAAGTGGATGGGAAACGGGCTAGCGGATTTGCCCGTGAAATTGGTGTGCGAAGTTTTCCGGAATTGGTACTTTTCGGTCCCGGAGAAGACTCGTATTTGGGCAAATTCCACGATTCGCGCGACCTGGTTTCGCTTGCGTCGTTTGTGAGTCGCAACACGGGCCTTATGGCAGAATGGCAGCACGAATCGCAGATCTGCACGCTGGACGATGCGTCTGCGCCGATCGACTTATCCCAGACGAACCTCCTGGTGTTTGTATCGCCGTGGATGGACCCCGAGCTTGTGTGGCTGTTTGCGGGCGAACAGTCGACCAGTGTTCTGAACAAACTGAACAGCGATGAACATGAGGGTGTGCAAGTGTACCAAATCGACGCTGCCAGCAGCTCCACGGCCGCATGGACGCGTCAGTTCCGCGTCCAGATTCTTCCCACGCTGATTTTCCTTGTTCCCGGGCCTTCGCAAGGCCTCTTTGAGCTGCGAATCGAATGGCGCGGAGGGTGCACGCGTTTAAATGGCCAGGCGCACGAGATTTTGACCCAAATTATCAGAAAGTGCGGCGATTCCAATACTATCCGCTCTTGCGGATGTCGTGAGTATCTCGAAACACTGCCCAACGTCAGCATTCGTGAGATATCTGAGGTTTCAGTGCTTCGAACGCTGGAAGACTCTAACATCACCGAATTTGATCCAAATTTGGCCAAAGAGGTCTCATTCGAAAACTTAACGACTCTGGAAGACGATTATGACGACTATGAAGACGATTACGACCTCGAAGAACAAGATACCTCTATTTTCGATACGTTGAGAGAACTTTAACGCTGTTAAAAACACGTCACGTGATGTCTTTTTCCACCTTTTAATTCTAAATCCAATTTACAAGATCTTCAAATATCTACTTGAACACACACCTTCACCAGTAACAATTCGAAAGTTGAAAGCTAAACTTCCGAGACTTCTACTCGACCCCGGACTTGAACCACGACTCGAGACAATCCGATCAACTTGAAAATCGAATCAAAGCTCCAATTGGCCTGAGTTCCTCACCCTTTCCCCCCATCTCTTTACCTCTGTTTTTACTCGTTTTGACTGACGTCTTTCAGCAACCATGTTCAACATATTCCGTATTCTGGGCGATTTGTCGCATTTGGCAAGCACCGTTATTCTGCTGAGGACCGTTATGAAGACTCGACAGGTGGACGGAATCTCGTTGAAAACACAACTGCTGTACGTTCTGGTGTTCTGCACACGATACCTGGACCTGCTGACGTTCCGTTGGAAATCCATTTACAACACGATCATGAAAATGGTGTTCATCGGTGCGTCCGTGAAAGTCATCCAATTGATCCAGGAATGCAAAACTAGAAATCCGGTGGCCTATAAGGACATGATGGCCCGCGACACATTCCAAATCAAGTATCTTCTGTTGCCCTGCGCGGTGATGGCGCTGGTTTTCAACTACCATTTCACGTTCTTGGAAGTGCTATGGAGTTTTTCGCTGTGGCTCGAAAGCGTGGCGATTTTGCCGCAGCTGTTTATGCTGTCGCGCTCTGGCAAAGCCGGCACGCTGACAACGCATTACATTTTCGCTCTGGGTCTTTACCGCGCGTTGTACATTCCCAACTGGATTTGGCGCTACTACTCAGAAGGACGACTTGAAAAACTATCGGTGTTCACGGGTCTGCTGCAAACTGCGTTGTACTCGGATTTTTTCTACATTTACTACAAGAAAGTGATCAAGGGAGGGGGTTTCGAGCTGCCTCATTGAACAAAACGAGTTGTGTAACCTTCTGAGCATCTATAAACGTACACACGCACCCCTGTACCTACATACACACACACACACACACACACACACACTTGAATGTATCCTTACTAGATAGTACTTACTTCCACATACACAGCCTGTTTTGATTATTTCTGATTTTTTTCGGCATTGCCATCTTATCTTGACCAGAACCCTCAGTCTCGCTTCAGCTCGAAATATTCGGTGCGAACGCCCTCCTTTGTGACTATCAGAATCTCTACACCGTCACCGACATGAATGTGCCTCTCTGTTGCTGACGAGAACGCATCTCTCACCAGCTGTACGACTTCTTCCACGGACAAAAACTTGACCGGTTTGCGTTTGGTTCCGTCGCTGTCGGGCTCGTATTGATTCTTGAAATTGACCTGGTTATCCAAAAACGGCATTATTAGAGCAGCAGCGGCTCCACCGGCGCGACACTGTTCTCTTTCGTACGATCCTACGGGGTCAAACGAATATACTGCACCTTTACCTTCTTCGTCCAGCCCCGCAATGATTGTGTGCACATAGTAAGGGAAAAATCGCTTTCCGTAAAGCAAATGCTGGATATTTCTGGCCGCGGACTTCATGCTCATTTTCTTGTTGTTGTGGTCGAAATGGTACCATTTCAAGTTATTCTGGAACCGCTTAACAAGCGCAGTTCCGTCAGCTGCAAACCCGTTTGCAGATATCACAATATTGTCGCCACATTCGAAAACTTTGGGCTCGTACCGCGAGTTGATCGAGTAGTCCGTGGTGTGTCTGGTGTCTCCGGCCAGAACTGCAAAATCCTCGCCTGCAATCCCTAGAATCGTACCCCCGTTGTCAGAGTACGGGTTGAATTGGTGCTCGATGGGTACATTTTTGACCTCGTTAGCGTATTCTGAAGCAATGGTGGTGGACATGATTTTGGTCTTTTTCGAACGCTGGAAAAAGGGACAATCAGCTCAAAATGCGAGCTTGCTGATACAATTGGTCTTGTATGCTAACAATGGCCCTATTGGTGAGTTCTGGATAGAGTTTTAGGGTATCTACTGGAGTGTTAGGTTTGCCACTTTTGGCTAGTTATTATAATATATAAATCTATGTATTTTTGAAAAGAGATGGGTACTCGAGTACATAAATTGTACACGTGACTAGTTCAGTGCGTACTCGAGTACTTCGTTCGCCAGGACGACAACGACAGTGTGTGTGCTTCTACAACTCAGTCGCCTCGATAGCATGGATGTAGCCATACGTGAAGGCCACCACATGCATCACGGTCTCGAAGTTGATGTGTTCGTTGACGGAGTGGATTGTCGAAAGCGTGTCCTCCATGGCAAAACCCGGTTGGTAACGATAAATGTTCTTGGTGAGTTTCCAGTAGTGGGCAGTGTCAGTGTTGGCACTCATGATGCTGGGAGCCACGACAAGCTCGCGAGAGTCGTAGCGAGACTCAGGGAACACGGCATCTTCGTAAAAAGTCTTGATGACGCCTGCGAAAACGGACCAAACCTCGTTTTCAGGCGACACCGGGGCCGACTCGAGCGGTTCGCTGATCTCAATAACAAATTCGCCGTTCGCGGTGGCCGCACGAAGCTCTTGGTCCGCGGTCGAGACGCCAAGATTGTATTTCTTCGCCACTTTCATGATTTTGGCAATAAATGCCTCCTTGATCTCTTCAATTGGGGTCTCAACGGCAACCCGTGAGTCCACAAACACTGACACCGTCTCTGGCAAAGCATTGGATTTGATTCCGCCATGAATCATGTCGAAGGCATGCGTACTGCGGAACAGATATTCGACTTTCTTACCTCCGGTCTCGAATAGGTATTTCAAGACGCGACCTCTGGCCTCTGGATCTTGCATGGAGCGCGCGAAATCTTTTTTCACGCTTGGACTCATCGTATCGGAGTTTTTGGCAATGCAACGGTAGTATTGCGAAACCGGATTCCGTTCAGTGAAAAGTGCAGGAAATTTCTCGCTTTCAATGTCTGTGATCAACTCAGCAGCGATGCCGATGGAGGTGTGGTCGGGTGGTACAGATGAATGACCGCCAGGAGTGTTGAGATGGATCCACATATCGAGACGGCCCTTTTCGGCGGTCCCAGGAGCGGCCATCAACACGTTATCGACTTCTCTTACGCCTACCACGCCTTCATCGATAATACTGAGAATGCCGTCTTCCCCGTAGCGTTCTAGTAAATTCTTGGCAATGTATGCAGCACCCAATTGGCCTCCGCTTTCCTCATCGAACCCCGATGCGAGAATGATGCTGCGCTGGGGCTTGAATTTGGGTTCGTTGACCAGTAGATATTCCAGTGCTTGTAAGATCCCAATGAGCTGGTTTTTGTCATCGAACGAGCCACGTCCCCACAGGGTCGTGCCCCACTCAGGATCCTGAGTGACATCGCCGGAAAACGGTTCGTGTTCCCACTGATCCCACGTCTTGCGCTCCACGGGCACCACGTCCTGGTGTGCGGCGAACATGATAGGTTTGAGCTTAGAATTGGACCCTGGCCAAGTGATGATAAATCCGTAATGGTTAACATACTCGATTTCCAGTTTTTCCCAAACAGTAGGGAAGTCCTTGATCAGTTGTTTGTGCAGTTTTTTGAAAGAATCCCATGTTTCGTGGTCAGGATCCTCTTCCGGGTTCACTGATAGGTCAAACAGCTCGGTGGGGATCCGCACCGAGTTTTGCAATTTGACCAGGGTTTCATTGTAGAGTTTCTGGTCGCCTAGCAGTTTTTGGATTTTTTGAACTGGGAACTGGTCCAATTTGCGAACAGAGTCGCAAATCAACGGTTCTGTAGGCTTTTCCGAGGCATTGTGGGCAATTCGGGTGGCTCCAAAGATTGACAGCGCAACTAGCACGGCCAGTGCAGAAAAAATCCAGTTTTTTCTGGCTCTCAAGGACCTGCCAGAGCCAGAACCGTCTATTGGTGTATAGTCGTTAGACATGTTGCAATGGGCCAAATTCAGCGGTTTTCGACTGCGAAAAGTGGGACAATTGAATACAAAGTAGCTATATACAGTGAGAACGATTGTTACGAAGCCAATGGGCGGCTTTTGTACGCTCAATTGGCGAGTTAAAGATGACTCTTCCTCACGGTTTTTACCGACGCTATCAACATTTCAATTTCAATATATGGTATTCTTATCACTGGTGTAATTTGCGCTGTCATCTGATATAGCGTTATCGATAAAGACCAAGAGGAACGAAAGCATGAAGCTAGAAGGAATCGAGGGGATTTTTGGATGGGAGTTTGGTATAGCAAGAAATGGGACGTTACGATTTTATGGATTGAGTTTTCTGCGCGTTTGTAGCTTCATTTTTCGACTTTTTGGATGAAAAAGTCAGTTTGGGTAAAAGTGATCTGCTACAACAATGGGGGAAAACGGGTTTGACCCTGGTGGGTGGGCTATTCGAGTGTGATGGGTTGTTTCTCACATTTGGGACTGATTTGTGGTGCGACTTGAAACACTCTCATTGAAGTTTTCATTGTGGTAGAAAACGTAGTGTATGCATTGTAAAAGAATATTAAATGTTAGCTTTGGTGAATAAATTATGAAAAATTGGCGTGATGGCCGGACGTCACGAAAAAAATCACCACACAGTGGTGAACGGTATCGTGGGTCTGAATAATTGTGCTGATTCACACTATTATGTACAAGGAGACTAGCGCTTCCTGTGGTAGTTTGGGTTTTCGTTAAAAATTCGTGAGAAATTATGGGGACATTCAAAAGATGTTACAGATTTTTTTTCTAGCACATCATGGCTATAGCAGACATGCGTTCTATTTGGACTGCGGGATGGCGTTGATGGTGGTGGTGGTGGTGGTGGTGGTGAGGACTCCAGTTGTTCAAAACCCGCTCTGCGTCGTCGTCGTCGTCGTCGAAAACGACCACACTTCTGCCACCACCATCACTGTTATCATTATTATCATTATTGTCATTAAAATCGTCATCGTCGTCGTCGTCGTCATCATCATCATCTTGGGCTACAGCCACCACGGTTGTAGTGGTAACAAAAGACGTACCGTTGTATCCAATATCCTCGTAATCTTCATGTTCATCATTTTCGTTTTCGTTGTCGTTTCCGTCTTCCCGCGTTGTAACGACCCGATGTGGCCTGTAGATGTGTTTGGCCACCTCGTACGAAGGTACCGACGGCGACTCAACACCATTGACATCTGTATAATAGCAGCTGTATTTGTTATCATAGTCATTGACATTGTCAGCATCACTGAAATAGTCGTAGTAATTGTCGTCATCGTCGTCGTCGTCGTCGTCGTCGTCGTCGTCGTCCGCTTCCGAATCCGAATCTTCAAAACTACCGTCCGAATCCGAATCCGAGTCCGAGTCCGAATCAGATCCCGAATCCTCTTGAAATTCCTCCAAAATTGTAGAATTATACGTCCGAACATCGTATTGCGCTTCTTCCAGCGCCAACCGGTCCAGCAGGTTAGCGTGGCCGACCAAAATGCGCAAATCCAAATCCGAATTTTTCCGGTCGCTGTGGGCACATCGTATCAGCTTGCTACGCGCCCGTTGCGCCAAAAGCATCCGCTCTCTTTCCGATGCCAGCAGCGAGCGTTGAAGCTGGTACATTTTGATTTCCTGTGTTTTTCGAAATATAGCTAGTAATCACTAGTAGATGTCAATATAAATAACATCAAATGTGAAAAAACTCGCTGTCATCGAAGAAAACCATGGAAAAGACGTGCTTCTCCCAAAAGGTACCGGTGTATACCTATTATATATATACTCCGAGTTCCTGCAATTTGTTCGCGAATAATTGTTGCGCGGACTAACTGCCTGCCTGCCGAACGCGGGTCCAAAAATGCCGTCGTTTTTCAAAGGTTTTTTTTTTCTGGTAATATTCTACCTCTGTATCACTAGCCGAGCCATTTGAGTTGCTGTTTTACTGGCGTCGTCTATGGACCAATGCCATCGGGCAATGAATGCAATGCACACGGCGAAACAGGGCCGAAAGAAAAAAATGATTCAAAATACTAGTTTTCATCACTATCCGGGGAAAATAACACTCAAAAAAGCGCAAATGTTGCGGAATGGTGTGTGTTGCTGCTGCTGCTGCTGCTGCTGCTTGGCGTGGAACACCTGCTGACGTCGTCGTTCGTCGCTGTAGTTTGGTGTTGATTATTTTTTTTCGTTTCTTCTCGGGCTGCGTGAGGCGTCGTATGGGGAAAAAGTAGATGTGAATGCGGAAGAGAAGGAAGGTGGAAAGATCAAAAACCCGCAGTAAGCCGAGTGCCGAAATGCGCTGAAAGGGTATTCGGGAGGGAGAGAGAGAGAGAGAGGACAGGAGGAGATAGATAGGAACGGCATAAACAGAGCCAAGGGAAATACGAACGGAGCGGGAGGACAAAAGAGAAAAGAAAAGAAAATGAGCACAAACACACACGCACACATGGATTGAACGCTAAATCCGGAAACCGGATCTGTAAATACAGAAACTATTATGAGGAAAAAAGAGACACGGGTGTTAGTTAAGATAAGAAGAGATTCGGTTATCTCACGTGATCAAGATTTTTTTCATATCACTTTGTATTATTGTGACATCATCTCAAACGAACCAATCATTCTGCGCCATTTTTGGCCCTTCTCTTAAGGCTTGTCGTACAGAATTACCCCTTCGTTCACATCACACTAGACGAATATTACCGATATTCTTCCCACTAAATTACTGTTTAACTAATCTATATGGAAAACTTTTTGAAATATTAAAGATGTTTGTCTAGCTTTACAGCACGAATCTATCAAAGAAATACACTTCTCAAACAGTGCTTTGATTCAATTTTCGAGCAGCGTTCTATAGCAGTTGTCAGCTCAATCGGTCTTGCGTAATTGTTACGGTTTGTGCGCTTTTTTCCCCGTGAATTTTGGACCATTTTTCGTCAAGTTTTAGTTTGATCGAGTTTCCCAAGCGAAACCTTGAACCTTGAACCTCGAACCGATATATCATCATAATTCTACCGCATTTCCCGTGTGTTTTCTTGTGTTTGTCCATCCCCTGTCTTCCTTCTCCGTGATCGAAAATATACCATCCTCCATCATCCCAACATGCTAAGAACCGCTTCCAGATCTGCATTCAGAAGAACCCTGGCATCGCACGCCAAACCACAGCTCACCGAGCTGTCCAATGGTCTCAGAGTCGCCACCAGCTCCAACGACCAGGCCGGCACCGCTACCGTCGGTATCGTGTTCGGCTCCGGTTCCACCGCTGAAAACCCTTACAACAACGGTGTCTCCAGCATCATTTCCAACCTGGTCAAGAGTGAGGGTGCTTTGCCAGCTGCCAAAGTGGGCGCCCAGCTCTCCACCCGTGTCTCCAGAGAATCTCAGTCATTCTTGGCCTCCTACACTGGCGCTGCCGGCCTCAACAAGAGCTTGGATCTATTGCAATCGCAAATCTCCACCGCTTTGGGTTCCGGTTCTGACGGCGCTTTCGCAGGTGCCATCCAGAAGAGCGTCCAGCAGGCTGAACATTTCGAGCTCAATGACCATGCCGGTCGTGTCCTAGAACACTTGCACGCAACCGCTTTCCAAAACACCCCATTGGCTCTGCCCGTAAGAGGTACTGTCGAGGCCTTGCAGGAATTGGAAAAGGTCGACATCGAGACTTTTGCTCAAAACCACTTCCGCAACTCCAACGCCGTCATTGTTGGTTCCGGTAACGTGTCCCACGAGGAGCTCGTCAAGGCTGTCGAGTCCCAATTGTCCTTGCAGTCCGGTGAAAAGCCAGAGCTAAAGAAACAATCGTCCTTCTTGGGTTCCGAGGTCAGATTGAGAGATGACACTCTTCCAAAGGCTTGGATCGCAATCGCCGCTGAGGGTGAATCTGTCACTTCTCCTAACTACCACGTCGCTCAGGTCGCCGCTGAAGTTTTCGGATCCTTCAACGCCGCCGAACCTGCTTCCCAGCTACAGGGTGTCAAGCTACTTGACGAAGTCCAAGAATACCACTTGGTAGACACTTACGACCACTACTCCCTCTCTTACAAGGACTCTGGTCTATGGGGGTTTGCTGCTGAAATATCGAACATTGGCCAAATCGACGATCTAACTCACTTCACCTTGAAACAATGGAACAGATTGACCATTTCCGTCACCGAGCAGGAAGTCGCCCGTGCTAAGTCCCTATTGAAACTCAAATTGGGCAGCTCCTCTCTTGACAATGTCTCTATTGCCAACACTCTAGGTGCTAAGACTTTGGCCCTAGGCTCCTCTCCTGATTTGACTCAAGTATTCGAAAAGATTGATGCCATCACCGTCAAAGATGTGAAAGCCTGGGCTTCTGCCAAATTGTGGGACCAAGACATCGCCATCTCCGGTACCGGTCAAATCGAAGATTTGCTCGACTACATGAGACTCAGAAACGACATGAGTATGATGAGATGGTAATCAGCATGACGACTTTCTTGCAATTCACCGAATTAATCGAAAGAATCAAAAACTCTAGAAACTGGTCAAAAAGATACGTTATGGAGCTCATGAAAAATAGACAGAAAAATCTGCGATTTGTTGGATTCATAAAGCTCGGATTCTAACTTTTCATATTCAAACCCACGACTTAGATATTATTTATCAATACTTGAAATACAAGAACTAAAGACATAAAAGAGATGGACTTGAAGAGGGTGGGACCATCACGTTAGCTAATGGTTCTGTTCTTTAAACTTCCAATTGACCTTAAAGATAACGTACATTATATAATCTATGAATTCAGGGTGGCTCATTGTTGCCCCATGCTGTACTATCTTTTCCCACTTTTGTTTGCCAGCGGGCTAGTCTTCTCGAGATATTCACCAGATATCGCTGTGATTTTCTTATTTTCGGATGATGATACGGAACTTGGAGAGACTAGCATCGAAATTTGTTGTTCGAGACTGGCGCTTTGAACAGCAGAACCTTGAGCGAACATGGGAGAATGTGCTAGCGTCGTAGTGGGGTTTATTGCCCGCTGTTTTTTTGGGGTGGTTATACTTGCCTCTTCCTTTTCCTCATAATCATAAACGTCCATTTCTGTTGGTTTCCGCTTACGAAAAACGTCTTTGGCGTCGAGATCGTCGTCTTCGCTCGTTGAATCTTCTTCTTCAAGGGCGCCTGCACCCTCAACCACTGGTTCGCGCCTGTCGATTGACATAGCGTCCCTTAACCCTTTTGTTCTTGCGTGAGTCGTATCGGTAGTTTCCGTGTCTTCAGTGGTGGCCTTTTGAGAATTCGGCATTTTCTCGTCGAGACCGTTCTCAGAATCACTACCATCATCGTCTTCGTCAAATTCTTGATCTTCATCATCTTCTCCATCTTCTTCGTCCTCGTCGTCCTCGTCGTCTTTCAACTCTTCCTCCGCAATATAGTCACCGTCCTCTTCGTCATCGTCTTCGGCTTCGTTGTTAACGTACGCCGTACCGATCTGTTCCGAGTGATTCATGTCGTCATCTTCGTCATCATCGTTTTCGTATCCAAAATTGACGCATACGGTGGCTTCTATTTCCCGTAAAAACGTTGCAAGGCCCTTTTCTTCGCTTTCGTTCACCCAGGCTATTCTTTTCAGCGATACATCGCCTGTATCGCTTCCATTTTTCTCGCAAGGGGCGTGCGACTCGTTTTCCAAAGAGCTACTCACCAAACAGCACCGTTCCAATGCGTTGACGAATTTGGCCAGCTCGTGGGTTTTAAAATATTTGAGAGGATGGTAGCACACTTCGCAGATTCTTTGTATAGTGAATGGATAAGTGTCATTTCCGGTAAACCGCGAGTTCAAATGGCTTGCTAGCCTTTGCAGCCGCTCAATCAATTGAGACGTATCATCCTGGACCTCAAAGATCTCTTTTGGAATGGTTTCGGTCATATGTCCCAGCAGCTCCGGTATAAGTTTTCGAGACGGGAGAGTTTGGAATACAGATGTGTCTTTTTCAACAACGATGCGAGTCAGGTTTTTATACAAGAAATCAGCCTTGATTCCCATCATGTTGGAGCCCATCAGTAGCTTGAAGAAGAGCTTCAAATGGTGGTGTTTTAGTTGTCTGGAGAAGTTGTCTTCTTATAGGTTTTCATTTGATCTGTGGTGTGTGGTGAGCGATGAGCTCGATATTATGGGAATTTGACAAGTGTGTCATGTCGTATACAATGATAATGAAATACGATTTTTTCAGTATAAAATGTGAGATTCGCGGCGGTTTAGTTAGTGTGGTTTATTTCGAGGACAAAATAGACATTATTTGGCCCATTTTTCCTTGGGTCTTTTTACGCGTTGCTTTGAGGAGGAGCATATGAATGTTAATGTAGAAGCGACGGGGTCGTACAAAGTGACTACCATTTTTTCTTGGCTATTTTTCATTCTTTTGAAGCCCTGGTGACTAGTGTTTGAGGCATCAACATGTGTGCGGCTGGCAATGTTGTATGTGGGTTCCAAGATATCCTTTTGTACTTCTTTTTTATATGTTGTAATTAATAGAGTGCGAAATTACAGATGTCACTTGTTGAAGTGCAACATGGAAGATTATGAGGAATGGGAAAAATCTGAGTGAAGAGTATTACCGACAAGTGCTCTAAAATACAAACAACTCGGACTCGTTCACTGTACGGTCATCAAAGGCGAATTTTTATAATGGCATCAAAGTCGTGCCAAAGTGATATTAAAGTCACGTGAACAAAACGACGGCGTCAGAATTGAAAAAGTATGAGTATGATGATTACCAGCGAAAACTCAACTCCAGTTTCCAGCATGGCACCACGTAGTCCATTAGAATGCTGTCAGTTTGTCTTGAGAGAGGGAATGGTTTCAATGTTTCATTATTCTTTCGTATTTTCATCATTTTGTCGATCACAGTGAGGTAGCTTCTTTTTATGCGACGACGGCGATATCTGGAAAATGTTCATACTCGGTGATCGGAACCCACAGCACACGACCACAGGCAAGAAACAATAGCGTGTGCTTTCAATGTGCTCTCACCCTTTTCAAAAGGTCCTGTTGAACCTATATTTATCTGCGTTCTGCGTGTAGAAGTCTGATCCAAATCTTCACCTGGCGTCCGATACATCTGCCAAATGTGCCAAACTAAGCTCGTTGTAAGGCGTCTAAATCGTACTATGACAACATCATGCAATTTCTAATGACTAGATTTCACCTCATATCACAGTGACCTTCCATGCTCTTCCCTCTTTTCTATTTCACGTATTGTCTGATGTGTATAAATACTTTGACAATAGTTTATTATAACTCTTCCCTGTAAAGAACACTTTTTGAAAACGAGAAACACACAAATCCTGAAGAATAAGACGCTTTTCATCTCATGGAAGAGGATGCTGCCGATCTGTTTCACAGGAATTGAAAGGCCGCATTGAATAAAGGATATTCTCTTTCTCTGGGCTATGAAAGCCGCTTTGATTCACCTTGCTACTGATTTACAAACCGAGTTCTGTGACGCTTGAATTAGCGAAAAAGGTAAGCCAAACAGCGTTTGAGCCTTTTTGACGGGCAGTCAACAATCACAGAAGCTATTCTGAGTGTATTTTTGCCGCCTTGGAGCACGTCTGTCTTTCTTTGAACGCTGTTGATTTTGCCGCCGAGACCTCTTTGTCCAATCGACTACGAACACGTGATCTTTTTTTCTGATAACTTAAATTTCCATCGATAATATTACTACTGATAATAATGATACCTGGAAAATTTTTGAAAATCGATGTACTACGCTTGGCTCTTCTATACAAAAAGCCAGCCAAAAGCGGACTCTCAACCAAGCTAAAGAGCCAAATGTTGGGTTTCCCAAAACAACTGCGGACGTGCCATGTGCCCAGAGTTATTCTGGGACAGGCAACTTGTCGCTTGGCCGTTAGATCATTTGGCTACACCCCCAGGGTAGCTTTACAGAAAACAACGTTCAAAGCACAACAGGCCCAAGAGTCCGTGGAAACAGCCGCCAACAACGGAGAAATCCCAGACAAAGAATTGGATTCGTGGCTGGAGGCCATCGAATCGCTCAGATCTGAGTTCACCGAGCAGCAGTTCTTGCCTGAGACGTCGCTGGCGGGACCCGGACAAACGAAAATCAATCTTTTGGAAGAAGCACTAAGTGCGAAAAAAACTTTTGAGCCCTCCGAAGAACAAGTGGCCGAGTGGGATAGCCTTAAGAAGGTCCCACTTCCCAAACGCAAAGACGAAACAGTTCAACATGTGGTCAACATGATCATGCGTCATGGCAAGAAACAGCGTGCTGAAAAGACGCTTTCCAGAGCGCTTTATCTGGTATACTGTTCGACACGCCAGGATCCCGTCCATCTTCTCAAAAAGGCCATGGACGACCTTGCGCCGCTGATGGTCGTCAAGACTTTCAAGACTGGGGTTGCCAAAGCGGCCGTGATTCCTGTACCGCTCAACAGCAGACAGAGAAACAGAATCGCGTGGAAATGGATTTCCGAAGGCGCGAACAAGCGGGCGTCCAGCGAGCTGGCCGTCAGGCTCGGGGAAGAACTGATATCCGTGTACAAGGGCAACAGTTCCGGTTTCGACAAGCGTGACCAAATGCATAAGACCGCCATCGCACACAGAGCATACATCAGGCTGAAATAAAGAGACTTTTTCCCCCTCACTTCACAATCACGGCATACCATTTCCTGTATATACACACATATATGCAAACGTATATATATGATCTTTAGACGAAAACGACGCACCCTGGTGCGAATGTTCGAAAAAAAACACAACGGACCAAAAAGGCGTCAAAATTGAACGCTTCTTGGACTAGAAAAGTCTCTCCCTCGCGTATGCGATTGATATCCCCACAATTGAGCCTGCGAAATTACAACCAATGTCCCAGACATCGAACTTTCGCTTCCCGTGCGAAATAAGCGATTGCGCAAGCTCGCTGCCTATACTAGCGAACCCGGAGCACACGATCAAAGCCAGCACGAATTTGTCAATCACAACGGACTCATTGATAGGAACAGCTTGTACACCTATTGATTTACAAAAGAGCCACGATTCCAGCGCAAATGCTGTGAAATGTGCTGCTTTATCGTGTTTGGATGTGATGAATGAGTACCTGGAATCAGTAGTGAGGCCTAAGCAAGCCCACTACCAAAGACGTCGCTAGCAGTAAGCTGAAGTATCTACGATTGATAGAAGTCATTGATGATCGAAACATTGTACCAAAGAAGGTGGTCCTTATACAATTCTTGAGGGCTCTATGGCGATGACTATAATATGATCACATTGTAGGTATATCAAGACATTTATTACCTGCTTCCAAATAGATTTTCGAAAAAAAATAACGACAACTGCAGGATTCGAACCTGCGCGGGCAGAGCCCAAAAGATTTCTAATCTTACGCCTTAACCACTCGGCCAAATTGCCGTATTTGATGAAGAAGAGAAAATAATTAAAAGCTATACAAGCTGGTAGGAACCATGTGATGCATTCGATATGGCGACCACTTTTCAAAACAAAGCTTTTCTGCAAATTTGTGTTAAGTATATCTGTTTGAACTCTCTAATATCCAATGATATTCAGCTTCTCACCAGCACTGCCGTTTGTCTCGCTCACTTTGTTCGATTCTCGCGTCTAGCCCGGGTGAGCATCTACTACGGATATCCCTATTTGCTAATTTATTTATATAAAATTCCAAGATCATCTAGACGATCAACACCATTCAGACAACGAAAAAGACGGTTCTATAGCGTTCTCTCAGCCCGTGTCTTCCGCCAAACTACTCACTCAAACAGGCCAATGGCACAGGTAACGTTTCGAGTTCCGCTTTCTTCGCAGGAACAAGAAGCATTCAAAAATGAGTTCAAGAAATTGGATCCCGAAGATCTTGGCATTGTCACAGGAGAAGCTGTAAAGCCATTGTTCAGTCAATCGGGACTCAGTGCTCAAGTTCTATCACAGATCTGGGCTCTCTGTGATAACGGCAACCAAGGATTTTTGAATTTTGACCAATTTAGCGCAGCATTGCGACTCATAAGCCATGTACAAGCAAATCCGTCTGTAGTGGTGTCTCCAGAGCTGTACCAAACGCCTGCTCCTAAAATTTCAGCCGTCTCAGCTCCTGCAGTGAACAACCAGTCAAACCTGTCAGCTGCCAGCACTGGCACGCCCAACCTTGGCAGCAACAATATTCCTGCGGTATCTCCGTACGACGTCTCTAAATTCTCCCAGCTTTTCGATCGGTCTACTGATGGGGCACCAAGTTTGCCCGGTGACAAAGCCAGGGAAATCTTTTTGAAGGCCAAATTGCCCACTCCCACGCTTGGCGTGATCTGGAATTTGTGTGACAGAAACGATTCCGGAACGCTGGACAAGTCTGAATTTATCATGGCCATGCATCTTATTCAACTCGCAATGACTAACAATCCGGCCGTAGCTTCACTTCCTGACGTGCTTCCAAATCATTTGTGGGGTTCGATCAACGTACCCGCGGCGTCAAGACCCGAGGTGAGTGCCAACTCCACTGGATTTTCGGTAAATTCGCCAGTTTCGAGGCAACCTTCGCTCAACAGAGTATCTTCCAGCACATTCTCAAACGCTGCATCCGACTGGACCCTTTCTTTTGACAAAAAACAGCAGTTTGATGTCATTTTTGACTCATTGGATAAAAATAAAGCTGGCACTTTAGGATCGCAAGTTTTGGTGCCCTTCTTTTTGTCTTCAAGATTAAGCCAAGACATTTTGGCCACAGTTTGGGATCTCGCTGATATTCATAATAATGCCGAATTTTCCAAAATGGAGTTTGCAATTGCAATGTTTTTGATACAAAAGAAGAAAAGTGGCATCAATCTACCCGATGTTGTTCCCGATCAATTGTTGCAATCACCCGCTTTGGGACTCTACACTCAACAGCCCAGCCAGCACCAACAACAACAACAAGGTCCCTTGCCATCTATCCCATCCAGGGATACCAAACCGTCTTTTTCAGATTCGACCCAGCCTCCTGCAGAAAGAAGTCAAAGTGCTTTAGGGGACTTGCTCACATTGAATGAGTCCTTTTCGTCGCCAAGAAATTTAGGGACACGCGTTGCCTCAGATGCCACTGTACAATCTACCACATCATCTGTCCAGTCCCCTTCGCGCTCAGAAACAGGACCCGGTACTAGAAGATTTCAACCTTCTTCAAGTTTTGGTCGGACTATTATACAGGAGGAGTCGTCTCCAGCCGCACTTGATTCACAGTCGGACTCGAAAGGTCACAACTCATACTTCAATTCCGCGCCTGTCAGCAATATCCAGGGCCAAGCTCCGCAACAGCCATACGTGCAATTGCAGCAACAAGGCGCCTATCAGAACCAGCAATATCAGGCCCCTCCTCAAGAGACCCAACTCTCCCAAACGCGTGCGGCTGCATCTGCTCCATACTCAGAGAGTACTTCACACACCGTACAATCCCCCGTCACTCAAGCACCTCCACAACAGACTTCACGGTCATCTTCATTACCCAGCGTTCCTAACTTCTCATCTCCGCCGCTTCAGCAAAGGTCTCAACAAGTGAGCACTGCAGTCGAGCCCGAAACGTCTATGCAGCTTTCACAGGCTACTACAGAGCTGGCGAATTTATCCAATCAAGTCGGTTCACTAACTAACCAAGCTACGCTGGTTAATGAAAGAAAAGCAAAGGCCCAACAGGAGTTGAAACGTATGAACGATTTGAAAGCTTCGATTCAATCAAAGATGGTAAACCTACGTGCCTCATACGATCAGGAATTGAAAGAGACAGAACAAACAGAGTCCCAGCTTGCCCAATCACGGTCGGAGGTTGAAGAGTTACAGAGGCAACTTTCGGTCGCAGAAGCAAACCATCACGCTGTACAAGGCTCTCTTTCCGAACTACAACGCCAACTTCAAGAATCCCAGCAAAGCAATGCTCAATTGAAAGAGAAAATAGGCAATTTGAATTCTCAGGCGTCCTCCCTACAAGTTGACTTGAACGAGAAACAACAGAAGGTTAAACAGGAGAGATCCATGGTCGATGTAAATAGCAAGCAATTGGACCTAAGCGATATGACCGTTCAAAATTTGAAGTCAGAGATTGAAGGACTTGAGCAGCATATTTCCGTTTTCCTTCAAAAGCACAAAGAATTAAACGATTACAGCTCAACACTAGAAACTCAACACGGCGAGTTGAACTCTCGGCATCAACAATTGGAATCAAGACATGCGGATTTAAGTCGGCGGGACAAGGAATTACAAGAAAGAAACCAAGAAATTGAAAACCAAGAACAAATTTATCACCAAGAAATTGCCAAACTTCAAAGTATGTTCCACGATCTCAACACGCAAAGAGAGTCTTTCGCCAAAGCCGATGAGGAACTGCAAAACCAGCAATTACAGTACGCCCAGAAAGTACAGGAGCTTTCCGAAAAACAAATGAAACTTGCAATGGGTGAACTGCCCGAGAATGCCAAGGACATGTCCACGGGTCAAAGCGGATTCTCGCGTGATAATGATCACGTTGCAAGATTCGTCGACGAAAGCGTAACAAACTCCCGGCTAGGAAACCAAGTCGACGATGAGAATAAGCAGGAGTCTGATGTCTTTGACAAGGACGTGCCCACTGTAGGATCTCAAACGGAAGTTGATGAAGAAGATGGAAGAACCAATGACGATCTAAGCACTGCTCAGGCTCTTGCGGACAGATTCGACGGTGATTTGAATGAATATGGCATTCCACGGACCGAGTCACTCACTTCCTCTGTTTTAAATAACCCTCCACAATCCGTTTGCGAATATCCTGAGGCGGACTTGAATCCTGCCACGACCGGTGCGGCTCCTGACCTTTCCGCCCCCTTGAGAGATCAGACACTAAAGTCCGAAGATGCAGAAAAGACGATGCCAGGCGGCTGGGCTGATGCTCAAGGTGACGAAAGTTTGGAACACGAAATTGTGGGAAAACCAGAACATGTGTCAACCGATCAACACTCGGAGGTAGAGACCATAAACAAAACCACCGATGATGGTAATGGAGATTCTACCAAGACTACCGAAGCAACTATTGATGAGGAGTTCCCACCAATTCAGGAGGTGGACATTGAGGAAAGTGACAGCTCAGACGAGGAAAGCAACTTCCAGGATTCGAGGGAAGTGAGCAAGGAAGGGGAAGGTTTGATAAGAAGTGAAAAAGGCGTAGAGCAAGATTTGCATGGCAAAAAAGAAGCGCTTCCTGCTGCTCCTGCGGATGTTTCGACAGTGCTAGGTGTCCAAAGTAAAGATGTTGGTTTTGATGACGAATTCGATGGCTTGGAGCAAGCAGCTCCTGAAGAGGACGAAGCTGGCGCTAACGAGTCAAATGAAAATGACTTTCAAGAAGAATTCGAACAGATAGAGCACAAAGATCTGGACGAAGAGCTAAACCAGGGAGGATTTACGGGTGCTCCACTTCAAGAGACTCAAGCTACCAGTACAGACGCAACAGCGGTTGGTGCAGATGAGTGGGCTGAGATTTTTGCCGGGTTCGGAAATGCCAAGCAGAGTCCCGCACCTGCGGCCAGTACTAAAGAGGCCGCTACTATCCAGCAACCTGTAGCTAAGAAACCCACCACGAGCAGCAACACGCGCGCTCCTATCAATCGCGGAATCGCAACAACTCCAAAGTCCCTGGCTGTAGAGGAACTTGCAAGCATGGGGTTTTCAACAGAAGAGGCCACCAAGGCCCTCGAACAGAACGATTGGGATCTTGGTACAGCTACAAACTATCTGCTGGACAGCTCTTAGACAACACTCAAAAGTCCGTTTCCCGTTTTTTACTCTAGTATTCCCAAATATATATGTATAGATGTTTCTGAGCACTAATATACTATGTCAAGCTTTGATGTTCTCGCAGCTCTATGAGCATGTCACGCAGACCTTCCTGCAGCATATCCTCCGACTTCTTCAGATCATGGCCCATATTTCTACTCAAAATATCCTCTAGCTCTTTATGCTCTTCTTCTAAGCTAGCTTTTATGTCTAGCAGATCTTGCTCCAGATGATCGTTCAGGCTGGACACTTTTGCAACTCTGCTATCCAATTGCTCGAGAAATTTTGTTCGTGAGTCATGTATGTTTCCATCCATGAGCTGCTGTGGTGTCAATTCGTCGATACAGGGCAGATCGAGATGTTTTTCATGTAAGCCCTCTTGAACCGTTTTGGCACTAGAAATCAAGTCGTCCAGATCGTTCAGTTTGTTTTCGATGTCCCTCTCCCTGAAGATCTCATCGAACTCTCTTTTGGAAAGCTCCATCCAGAATTCTACCACTTGTTTTTGACATGTACTGAGATTTCTCGCTCCAGCATCTGTAGCTGTGTAGGTTGGAAAACAAGAAGCCAGCTTGTCCCAACTTTGAACTTTAGTCACCGATTGTTGTAGGGCCTTCCGGCACACTTGGTTGAGTCTAGTATAGCGTATCCTGACCCCTTCTGGCATTCTTTGAAACCGTTCAATGCAGTGTAAACATGTTAGGCTCTTGGATCGATGATGTTGATATTTCATATATATATATATATGTATATATGTAAATATTAAGGTTGGACCCTGTACTGTTTTTGATGTTAAAATTCAAGGAATAAACGCAAAATTCAGAGCCAAGGGCCCTTTCTTGGATCCAATGCTTGTAAATTTGAGATTTATTGGGTTCTGGAGATATTGGCAGCTTTTTTCTGGGGTCAAATAGCTGATTGGGAAGGGTTTTCTGGTCGTTTTTAGAGTGAAAGACCCGAACTGAAAAAATCATCAAAACGATGTGCTTCAGGACATATGAGAGGGCTGTATTGTGAGTTTTCGAGAACGAGGTTGTGTTCAAGCGGCTTTTCCACACAGATTTGTTGCAAATTGTGTGTCGTGAGGAAAAGTTGACGTCAATTGGTGAAATTTGGATGAAAAGACGCTTTTACTTCGAGACGCTTCTACTTTCTTGACATAAAGCGGTATATCCTGGTTTGCATAGACCTTGCAAGGAGATTGCGCGGAGTCTCATGGTTTGTTGTCTGTTGATCTGCCTGCAAATTCCTGACACTCACGGGTTAGTATCAGAAATTGGAGTATTTGACCAGAACTGTTGCAAGATAATTGTCCAGCAAGCTAGAATATGAAACTATTCACGCTTCAATAACACGAACAGGGCTCCATCCCGCCTGGGCAAGAACATATGGTAAAAAACATCCCGCGACACGATTTTTCCAATAGCTCAAAATTCTTCGAAATTGACTGAAAGGATCTGTTTTCACCACTCATATCCAAAATTCTATCAAATACTGAACGCAAGATCCAACACCACCCACATTTTGAGCCAACTGGTGAAAATATCCTGTCCAACGGTCAAAATAGTGTCACTGTCTCTTGAGATCACGAGACTAGGATAATCTGATCAAATCTCATTAATTTACAAGGTTCTTACACACTACCCAGCTCTTTGCAACGCCGAGATATAGAAAGTTTTGAACTCTATCGACCTCAAATCCCATCTCCAAGCGCAGATTTAGCTGAATTGAGCTTTGCGTGTCAAGTTTACGCTGGTCAGCCAAATTTGAACGACATCCGTGGCTCACATCTAGCTTGTTTTACAAGGAAAAGGGCTCAGAACAATACTCATGCCGTTTACGCCCCCTCCTGGCTCAAATAAGGATCCACAACGACCATCAGTGCATCGACAAAATAGTTCAGACTTGTTTGATATCCAGTTTGAGGATTCTCTGGAAGCTGCATTAGAATCTCTGCAATTAAACCGCACAGCAAGCATCAACGGTGAGAATATCGAAATGAAAAGCATACACGCAAATGATGAGCAGGGCCGCCAAACAGATACAGATCCATTAATGCGCGGTGAGGAAGGCCGCAATTTTCATGGTCGGCCTGCTGAAAGTCGACATAACTCGTCGAGAAGCAAAAGCGCAAATAAAGCGTCATTTGGAGCCAGACTTTGGAATTTCATCAGGACATCGAAGGGCAATAGTTCATCATCTTTCAAGTCTACTGGCGGTGCAATAGAACTCAAAAATCAACAACTCGATCGCGAAATCCACCCGGGCACTACCCCCGTTTATGATAGATACAAATATGCGCCCAACGCTATCAGCAATGCTCGTTACAGCCCGATCACTTTCATCCCGATAATACTGTATGAGCAGTTCAAGTTTTTTTTCAATTTGTATTTTTTGGTGGTGGCTCTCTCGCAAGCTATTCCACCGCTACGGATTGGCTATTTGTCCTCTTACATCGTGCCGCTCGCATTTGTCCTGACGGTAACCATGAGCAAAGAAGCTCTTGACGATATCCAGAGACGACGCAGGGATAACGAGTCCAACAATGAGCTCTATGAAGTCTTGAGCACCGCTCAGCTCGTGCCCAGCAAAGACTTGAAGGTAGGGGATCTCATTAAAATTGGAAAAGGTGCAAGGGCACCTGCTGACTTGGTGCTTCTCCAGTCAAGCGAAGCCTCGGGCGAGAATTTCATAAAAACTGATCAGCTGGACGGCGAGACGGACTGGAAACTCCGACTAGCTTGTCCATTGACTCAACATTTGTCCCAGGACGATCTCTTGAACAAAATATCCATTACAGCATCCCCACCTGAGTCCTCGATCGGAAACTTTTTAGGAAAACTCACTTACAACTCATCACAGAGTCAACCGCTTTCCGTCGACAACACAATGTGGGCAAACACTGTTTTTGCTTCGGCAGGAACCTCAATAGCATGTGTTGTTTACACTGGTACCGATACTCGGCAGGCAATGAATACAACGACCTCCAGTGTGAAGACAGGTCTGTTAGAGCTTGAGATAAACAGCCTGTCCAAAATACTATGTGCTTGCGTCTTCATCTTATCAGTCACACTAGTGGCTTTCGCAGGTTTTGATAATCAAGACTGGTATATCGATACAATGAGGTATCTAATTCTTTTCTCTACCATCATTCCCGTCTCGTTGCGAGTCAACTTGGATTTGGGGAAGTCCGTTTATGCTCGTCAAATTGAACACGACAAAACTATTCCTGAAACGGTGGTGAGGACAAGTACGATACCAGAGGATCTCGGCAGGGTTGAGTATTTGCTCAGCGATAAAACTGGAACGTTAACCCAAAATGACATGGAATTGAAGAAATTGCACCTAGGCACTGTCTCTTACACCTCAGAGACTATGGATATCGTAACAGACTATGTTAGTTCCATGCCATCTCAAATGGAGTCTTCTTTAGGTACGGGTGGAGCAAAACGGGACATGCCCACCAGAGTACGGGATTTGATATCCGCGCTCGCTTTATGCCACCAGGTGACCCCGACTTTTGAAGACGGTGAACTGACATACCAAGCCGCATCTCCCGATGAGATTGCAATTGTCAAGTTCTCGGAATCTGTGGGGCTCACACTTTTCAAGAGAGATCGGCATTCTATAACCTTACTACACGACCAGTCCGGAGCATTTTTCGAATACGACATCAAGAAGGTCTTCCCTTTCAATTCGGATAACAAACGGATGGGTATTGTTTTATTCGACAAGCAGAGGCAAGAGTATTGGTTTTTACAGAAGGGCGCTGATGTGGTAATGGCAAAAATAGTACAAAGCAATGATTGGTTGGAGGAGGAGACTGGAAACCTTGCTCGCGAAGGGCTCAGAACACTAGTTGTGGGCCGCAAAAAGCTATCTAAGAAGACTTATGAACTTTTCGAGAAAGAATATAAAGAAGCTTCCCTGAACATGCTTAATAGAGAAGCTTCCATGAGCGCAGTTGTTGGAAGACATTTAGAACACAATCTCGAGATTTTGGGATTGACCGGCGTGGAAGATAAGCTTCAAGAGGATGTCAAATCTTCGATTGAACTTTTGCGTAATGCAGGTATCAAGATCTGGATGCTTACCGGTGATAAAGTCGAGACGGCTCGTTGTGTTTCTATTAGCGCTAAGCTTGTTTCAAGGGGCCAATATGTTCACACAATAACTAAGCTTAACAGATCGGAAGGTGCTCTCAACCAATTGGAACTTTTGAAAGTTAACAAAAATTCGTGTTTATTGATTGATGGGGAATCTTTGGGCTTTTATCTCGATCATTATAGACAAGAATTCTTTGATTCCGTGGTTCAACTTCCTGCTGTCATTGCCTGCCGCTGCACTCCGCAACAGAAGGCTGATGTAGCCACTTTCATTCGAGAAGTTACTGGCAAGAGAGTTTGCTGCATAGGTGACGGAGGAAATGATGTTAGCATGATCAGAGCCGCCGACGTAGGTATTGGGATCGTTGGGAAGGAAGGAAAGCAAGCTTCTTTAGCAGCTGACTTTTCGATAACCCAGTTTAGTTTTCTTTCCACCTTACTACTTTGGCACGGACGAAACTCTTACAAGCGGTCTGCCAAATTGGCCCAATTCGTTATTCACAGAGGTCTAATCATCTCTGTATGCCAAGCAGTATTCTCCATATGCTCAAAATTCGAACCGATAGCATTATACCAAGGGTGGCTCATGGTTGGTTACGCTACGCTCTACACAATGGCTCCTGTATTCTCGCTGACGCTGGATCACGATATTGACCAGTCGCTCACCAAAACCTATCCAGAACTATACAAGGAATTGACGGCGGGAAAAAGTCTATCGTACAAAACTTTTTTTGTTTGGGTGGCATTGTCGTTGTTCCAAGGTTGCATTATCCAAGGCCTGTCTCAGGGCCTCACAAGCTTGCAAGAAGTGGATTATATGCGCTTGGTCGCTTTGAGTTTCACTGCTTTGGTTCTCAACGAATTGATCATGGTTGCAATTGAAATTTACACATGGAATAAAGCAATGATTCTTTCCGAACTGGTTACATTTATCATATTTGTGGGGTCAGTGCCTTTCCTCCAGGACTACTTTGATTTATCATTCATGATCAAGCCTATATTCTACGGGAAACTTGCTACTATCCTGGGACTTTCCATCATACCAGTTTGGGCTGCGAAGGCTTTGCACAGGAAGCTAAATCCTCCTAGCTATGCCAAAGTTCAGCAATTTTACTTTAGTGCTTAGCTTAAAGGTGTACATCATTAAATAGGCCGCCTCTAACGAAAATCATAACCCTACACTATCAGCTTCGCTTTCACTGCCATCGCTCTCCGTGTTCTTGTCGTCACTTGGATTATTCTGGGGCCTTTGGAAGTCTCGGGCATGAGCCCATGGTATCGATTTGCTAAAGGTCTTGAAAAGCCCACTAGAGTGGGATCTTGCGACGGCCTGACCTCGGTAAGCTGGGTTAGGAGCTTCAGGGCCGTTGATTTCTGATAGAGAGTACCTTCCACTTGTAATAGACTCTTCGCTTTCCGATTCATCTGCCGCAGAAGTGGGGAATGGCAAAGATACTTCACCCGATACCTTGAAAAGGTGAACATTGGCGACGTGTTCGTTCTCAACACGAAACACTAGCCACACAAATCGACGAATTACCTCAAGAACAGCTAGGATAAACGACGTGATTGCACTCTGGTTGATTGTTGTAGGCGCCACAGCGTATACGATCCATTCAAACCTTATGAGAACGTCGAGCACCATGGCCGCATAATACACCAACTTTCTTCTTTTCCGATACGCTCCTGTCTTCCAGTTCTTGCGTCCTGCAAGATATAGATCATCTCTGAGAAGCCAATTGCGTGACTTGGGTTGTAATAGAGACCAATCCATAACAATATCCCACACAGAGGTTAAACTAGCGTTCAATGTTGCGAATACGATGAAGATGTTTTTCTTTGAAGTAGTGCGCGAGATCCGATACACGCAGAGTGACGCATAATAGCAAACACCTATAGCATACTTAATGGCGTTCAACAAATGAGGGAACCAGTCCCCCGAGTCTGAAAAACGCCTTAAGCACTGCATGAATCTCCAAAAGTTAGGTAGACAGCTCATAGCTCCCATTGGTTTCGAATGCGACGAGCCACACAATCCGTTAGGAGTACTTGAATAGATGCAGAAAAAAAGTGCAACGTCTCCCATAGAGTATGTTAGCGAGGCCAGAATATCACCCAGAAAGAAATCTCCAAACTGGACCGGGTAGAATCCAGAGAATACCAACCTCACGAATGTAACAAGTACCCATTTTACAGATTGGTTTAGTTTGTTCCAATATGGAATATTGCCCAGCGGTTTCTTGCCTAGAAAAGGCATCAAATAAAGAACGACTAGCGTTACAATCCATATGATCGAATAGGGTCCCAAGCGCTCAGCGTGAAAACTCAATGTGCTTAAAATCGCCAAAGGTATCAAAAGAACACAGGTGAAGTAAAACAAAAGAGGAATTTTGGTCGTTGAAAAATCATTATTGTAGAGCACGGCACCATGTCGAGATTGCATCTCACCAAACATGATGAATCTGTAGTTGATGTTGTTTTTATGCCAGACAAAACAGTCCAATGAAAAGAAGAGAGCCATAAGGAAGACCATATACCAGCCTCCCCACAGAGGCAACAAAATTTTGTGAGTAACTGAGAGAGGCGAAGCAGAGAACCCAACGAACAACGTGTAGCCAATTAGCGCCAGAGAAGCACCCAATAAAAAGCCACCAACAAACATTTGAAGGGTCGATCTGTTGAAGCGGTGGACCTTTCGCTCGCTTAAAGAGTATTCCAACGAAATGTTCTTCAATCTCGCTGATTTTTGCTTACGGTCCTTGGATGATAGCGCCAAAGTATCAGTGTACCAACTAGTCAATTGGCGCTCCCACGCCATGAGTGGATCTGTCGGTTCTATGTCTGGAGGTAGTTTCGACGGTAGACGCAACATGACGGAGTTACGCAAAGCTTGGGCTACGGCCTTGGCATTAGCCTCTGCATCCTGGAAAAGTGGGTACTTATTTTTCGCATACTCCATAAAATGGGGCAGTTCTTTTGTGCCGCAAGTCTTATCGAACTTTTTGACTATCTTTCGGAAGCCCGTAACGTTAACCTCTCTGTAGTTTTTAATGAGCTGGATCAAGAGATATTCTTCAATTAGCGCATCGGAGAGACGCTGCTGAATTTGACCGGCGCTCAAGGCGATGGGAGTGAAGGTTTCGCCGCGACCGATGGTAGACGCAAAATCCTGGCCCGATGACCGACCCATAAGACGTTTCAAAGGTATACCACTTGGTAGCGATGGCATCAACTCATTGTCACGCAGCATGTTCTCTACTTTAGAAGTCCACGAATTGCTGTGGTAAGTCGGAGGCGATGGACTAATGCTGTCGACTTTTAGAGAACCATAGGATTTAGAAGCCGCTATATTCTGGCCGCCACGATCAAAGGCCACCTGCTCTTTGTGGATCTCGTAGCGATGCATTTGTTGTTGAAGGACAGCAAACCTTTTCCCGCAGCGATCCAATTCCCACAAGTAGAAATCGTTACATTTTTCCACTTCCTGTTCGATGACCCAGCGTTCCACGAAATCAATGACCAATCGCTTCTGGCCCACTGAGTATGAGCTTTGCGTTCGATAGCGTGGACTACTTTCATCTTCCTGAGATGGCAATGACTCTTCAATGGAGATGCTACCAGCCACATTATTGGAGAGCGCTGCACTGGTTGCTATATTCCCATGGTAGGCTTTCAGTTTTTTCTTGCCGGCCTTGTAGTCGATATATTTGTCGATCCACTCTGGTACTGCAGACTCACGCAGATGTTCAGCGAATTTCATATAGCGTTAAAAGCTAATCCCGATGTAAAGTGTACGGGAAGTCAGGTTGAGGCAGTACACGAGAAGGCAAATCAGGTTTGAAAAAATCCGCTACAAGTCGTTGCGAAAATTCTGACCAAGATTATTGAATGATTGTTGCAAGATCTTGGTGCTAAGACTTGTGGAGCAGTCAAGTAAAATTGTATTTCAGCTTGTAATACCGAAAAGTAGTACCGACTAGCAAGTGTTTTCCAGCGAAAGGAAAATTTTTTAGGAGAAGACTTCAATTATGAGCGGGAATTTTTTGAAATCAATCCAGGAATCTTCACCAGATGCTCGTTTGTTGATTCAGCCGCTTCCAATTGGGATAGTCAATTACCCGAAGATGTTCACAGAAACTTGGCCGATCTTGACGATTTTGGTATGCTTGAAATGCTTAAAGTCCAAGGAACTAAAGGCAAATGCAAGTATGAATTTGAATTCAGAGCTTATTGTGAAATCGTGGGTTGTTTAGGTATCCGATGCTCATCTTCATCTTCATCATCATCATCACTTGGCTATATATCCATATTCATTATATATTGGCTTTAATTTGAGCCACTGACTACATCGTGGGAGACGCATAGCTCGTTGAAGGTGATCCGAGAATAAAGCATGACTTTCAACAATAAACAGAGGAATTTTGATGGTTTATAGGCGATGGAATCAATTTTTTTGAGACGGTTTGAATTGGGAGTTTCTTGGTGAATAAATTTCGCTAATTTTTGGTTCTTTTTTTGGTTTTAGAGCTTCACAACGCAGCTTTTTTTTGTTTTTGGATTATGATGGACTTGGAAATAGCACATGGGACCGGAGTAGATTCACTAAAGGTCGCCTGAAAAAGACGCTTTCACAAGGTTAGCACTAGGACTGGAAAAATCAAATTTGACGTTGTGACAGAATGGGAGATCACTATGGACGAGGGCGTCATTACCATTAGGTGCGACTGACCGGGAAGAAATGATCAGGATATACTGAAAATGGATAAAGACTTGATGTTCCAGTTTTTTTTTGAGCTACCCTGGACAGTCTTCTGCAATAAGGAAAAGGTTCACAAAGAGTTCCAACACTCCTAAAATCTGTGTTTGCTCTTGTAAAAAAAACCCATATAAGGTCTGTCACGTGACCAGAATCGCTCGACACGAAACTTTGATTTGTAGTTCTAGAAAATTTCTAAAACTTCACTGCCATAGTTCACATCATTTTCTAATCCCAGAACCAATTCTTTTCTCTAAATTCTCACACCATCTAGTACCTTTTATCTACCTCAATCCTGCACCTTTTCTTGTCTCCATCATTAATTGTCATAGTCGTGTTCATGTATCAATACTATATTGATTATCATAATAGCTCATTTTTTTTCAGCATTATGAACATCTTGAAAAATATGGTCTTTTTTCACCAATTCGCACAGCGTCAAAGAACTAAAGAAAGCCTCGCAGTTTGCTTTGCTAGAGTACCTCAAATACCATGGATTTAGTCAACCACTTGAACGACAGATTGCTGTTCGCCATCCCAAAAAGTACGTAACTTTTCCCATCAATTTACCTGCGCTAGAACGCTAGATACAACAGCACCATCGCGACGGAGCTATGAACCGAGAGTACTAACCACGGCGAGTTTTGTCTCGCTTTTCACAGAGGGACGTCTTAATGAAAAAGCCGTTTCTATTTTGCAAGGGTCCGATATCAGATTCCACCGTTCCCAGCGTCTTGACATCGCCCTTTCTACCAACATGCCTATAGCCTTGATTTTCTTGCCAGCGTCGGATATTCCAATGTTTGTGGGCGAAGGTAAGTGCGACTTGGGTATTACCGGTGTGGACGAAGTCAAGGAGTCGGAAGTCGATGTCAATCTAGCGCTAGACCTTCAATTCGGCGCTTGCAAACTGCAGGTCCAGGTGCCAGCCGACGGGCCTTACAAGAAGCCAGAACAACTGATCGGAAAGACCATTGTTTCAAGTTTCACCCACCTATCTAAACAGTACTTTGCAGAGCTCGAGGGCGTTCCTGTAGACCAAATTTCCACTAAAATCAAATACGTGGGAGGCTCTGTGGAAGCGTCGTGCGCGCTAGGCATCGCCGATGCCATCGTGGACTTGGTGGAATCGGGTGAAACCATGCGTGCTGCGGGCTTGACCAACATCGCTACTGTCCTAGAGACAAGCGCCCACTTGATAGAGTCCAAGAACCCCAAGGGCGACAAAGAACTGTTGCAAACCATCAAGTCGAGAATCGAGGGTGTCATGACCGCCCAGAGATACGTTTCTTGCCAATACAATGTTCCTACCTCGTGTCTTCCTGAAGTGCTCAAGATCACTCCCGGAAGAAGAGCTCCTACGATTTCTCAAATCGACGATGCCGGCTGGGTGGCCGTTTCTGCAATGATTGAGAGGAAGCAGAAGGGAACGGTCATGGACGAGCTCAAGAAACAAGGCGCTGCCGACATCATGGTCTTCGAGATTTCCAACTGCCGTGTCTAAGCCAGGACACACATAGTGTGCTGCTAGGCCACTCATCGTTGCCATTTTCTTTGTAAGACAAAATTGAATTTGATAAATACTAGTTACTGTTTTGAAAAAAGTAAGAATACAACTCGATTGTGAGTAGTAACACTGAGTTCTTTGACGCGAGAGCGGGTTTCGCCAACAAAAGTAGAAATAGAGGTTGTTACAGGGTAGAATTCGATGTGAATAAACAGGATTTTACATGTGTGTCGTAGCGTACACTGAGATTTTCAAGAAGAGCAGGGAATTGTAACTAGTAACTATCTCGCTAAAACAAGTTACTGATTTCTTCTCTACTCGAACTGAACCACATGTAATGCAAAGAACGTTTAAATGTCCGAGCTCGTTCGAGCCTCGAGAGAACAATGGACTAGAATGATTACGTAAACATATTGTAAATTGATATTTAGCGACTGCGTGGGCCAAAGTGATAAGACACGAGTTTCGAGACTATTAAGCAAAAGACTAGTTAGTGTTAGCTGGCTTAGCCTAGGAGCTTATGTTGTGTGTGACGATTGACAGCCTGATTTATTGACAACCTGACTCAAAACAAACTGCTTTCTTTATATTGTCAAAATGAAACGAAACGAAACGAAACGTCTGAGATGAGAACCGACAGAAGAGATTGTTTCGAAAAGATTGATCCAGAAAAGAAAAGAAGAAGTGTTTAACACATCAATATGTCCAAAATTTTGAAAAGCTGCGTTGAATCACACACACACATCCACACATACACGTCTCGTTCTCTTGGTCTTTTAAAAATCATTTTCGGCATTGTTAAGATGTGTGAGTCACGTGACCCAGACCTAAAATTTCACCAAGCGTATGAGTCCATATACGTTCCAAAAAAGAACTTGACAACAGTCACTATGGCGTGGCCCGAAATTCTTTCATAACCCCTTGGTCTTTAAATAATGTTCACCCCCTTCTCTTTCTCTTATCCAAGTTCAGCTGCTTATTTCACTATAGTCAAGAGCCACACTTGAATTAATTATAGAGGATAATAGGTTTATTCAGGTCACGTGACAAAATGGAATATTCCCAATTTAATGAAATATAACCACGATTGCCTCTTCTCATCCCATCACATCGCCCATAAGCCATCGTCCTGAAAACATAAAGCTAGTGTTCATAATAACCAATAGCTGCATCATATTAGAGCAGTTCCGAACTATTAAACTTGGTAGACAGCTCTAACGGTGCTTTTCAAGATCGAAAAACGGTCAAGAAACGGACAAACTAGCGAAGATTTTGGAAAAGTAGCGGCTTTTGTAAACTGATTCCACAAAAAAACTCAAACACAGGTCATAGACAGACTAGAGAGGCTACTTAGGATTTGAAAATGATTGCAACCAATATAGAGAATCCGGATGGTCCAGGACGCTCGAGATCCAAAAGAACTATCGCCGAAGTAGAAAAAAGCAGTGTGAACGGTCCTGAAACCGATAGTACCAAGCCAGATATACTGAATTCAGATCCACAAGAAGACCAAGGAGAAGAAGGAGAAGAAGAAGAAGAAGAAGAAAACGAAAAATCAGCGGCCAAGCGTGTATGTCGACTACCCGCCTACAACTTTCTTAGGTTCTGCTACCGTCATAATCCCGATATCCAGCAGTCTCCTACGCATACGGCATGTTTTCAACAAGACGAGCTACGACGTGCAAAACTGCGGAACCAGATCGAAAAATTGGAGCCTAAGCACCAACAACAAGTCAGCGACGCTCTGCATGGATTCCTAAGCTGTAGCGACAAAAACAGACGTCTAGTGCTGGAGGGAATATTGACCAACTGCTGTTTTCCCCAACTCTCATTCATGGCATCTGAGATTCAAAGCCTGATAAAGCTCGATTTCATCAGCATACTGCCCGAAGAGGTATCGCTCAAGATCTTGGGGTTTCTAGACTGCCAAAGTCTATGTAATGCCACACAGGTAAGTCGTCGGTGGAAACAGCTGGCCGACGACGACAGAGTATGGTATCACATGTGTCAGCAACACATTGATCGAAAATGTCCCAATTGCGGCTGGGGACTCCCTCTACTGCACATGAAAAGAGCTCGCTTCATAGAAACCGGCGATCCTGCAGCCACTACAAACAAGACTGGTACCACAGATGTAGCCAATGGTACAGTTGCAAAGAGTGGCAGAAAGACGCGACCTTGGAAGGTTATTTACCAAGAACGTTACAAAGTTGAATCCAATTGGAGAAAAGGAAAGGCACATGTACAGGAGTTCAAGGGTCACATGGACGGCGTTCTAGCGTTACAGTTCAACTACCGACTATTGTTCACAGCTTCTTACGACTCTACAGTGGCCATCTGGAATTTGGTCACTGGAAAACTGGTCAGGAGACTCACGGGCCACAGGGATGGTGTTAAAACATTGTATTTTGACGATCAAAAACTTATCACGGGCTCACTGGACCGCACAATTCGCGTTTGGAACTATGCCACAGGGTCCTGTATCTCTACGTATCGGGGTCATTCCGACAGCGTACTAAGTGTGGACTCGTGCAAAAAAATAATTGTCTCTGGATCGGCTGACAAAACCGTGAAGGTGTGGCACGTAGACTCCCGCACTTGCTACACGCTGCGAGGTCATTCAGAATGGGTGGGATGTGTCAAGCTGCATCCTAGCAGCTTTACATGCTTCAGTGGTAGCGACGACACCACAATTCGAATGTGGGATATTCGTTCCAATACATGCATAAAGACGTTTCGCGGACACGTTGGCCAGGTGCAAAAGGTGCTGCCGCTAAATATAGTGGACACTGAGCATCTGGTGGTAGATGCGACGTGCGAAGCTAAAGTTTTGCCTGAAGAAGCAGGAGAAGAACAGGAATCTGGACGCAACGGGGCTTGGGATGACTCTTTACCATACCCGTCCCATTTGCTATCGTGCTCGCTGGACAACACCATCAAGCTTTGGGATGTGCGCACCGGGGTATGTGTACGAACCCATTTCGGACATCTGGAAGGAATCTGGGATATCGCGGCTGACAATTTCCGTATTGTAAGCGGGGCACACGATAAGACCGTCAAGGTCTGGGATCTACAAAGCGGCAAGTGTATCCATACGTTTGATAGCCATCAGGCGCCCATAACATGTGTGGGCATAGGTGATTCAGAATTCGTGAGTGGTGATGAGTTGGGCTGTGTCAAAATGTATCGCTTTGATTAGAAGAATGATCGTGCAAATCAAATGAGATAAGATCCAGCCACACAGCCACACTGAATATTTGCATCTGACAAAACAATGACTGGGAAAATAGTGAAAATCCGCGCACTTATGGTTGGAAGTGCGTTTACTATATTTTCGTCGAAAGCGATAAGAACCAAGTGTATCAAAAGACGGTAAATCCGAATCTGACTCCAGATCTCAACCTACAGGAAAACTGCAATAACCCGAAATAATCCAATGGGGCTTTAAAACCGTATGCGGGGCTTTTAAATTATGCCACACACAGATTATCACGCTGGACGAAATTAGTATCAGCAGTTGTGCTCAACTTTTACACGTGATGTTGTTTCGAATCCTAAAAACCCGGACTATCCTTTCAATCCCTAGAACAAAGGTCAAACCTGTTCACATCGAACAAAAAAGAGTATTGCTCAAAAGTGCTCAAAAATAGCCCTCTTTTCACGGAGCTGTAACCGCAGTAAGGTTAATCTCCTCCTGAGCTCTCGGCACGTTATTTTTGGAGCTCAAAAGCACAATTTTTGGTGCTAATAACGTCTCGAGCAGTTGAATAATCGACAATTGCTCGAATAAAGGTTTCTCTAATAAAAGTTGGGGCGGGAAGCCATTGTGGACTTTTGCGCACTTGAATTAATTGAAGCAGTTGCATACTTTCAACACGGTTTTTTTGTTTTCTCTTGCGGGTTGAGAGGAGTACTTGGGTGTATTGTATCGAGCATTTGGTCTTCTCGAAAGCGAATTAAAGAAAAAGGATAAATCTCAGTCAATCGGACCTGGAACTGGATTAGAAAGAATCTTGTGTTACCTCATAATAGGATCGGCCGATTTACCAAAAGCGGTTGATTTTCCATCTCACAGAGTTCCTTTTATCCTACTTGGGATTTTAGCGTTTGATAAAGACCCTTCATGATGTACATCAGGAGACCACCGTCAACTAATGACCACTATTCAGCCAGATCTTTGGCGTTTCTGCACAAGCCTCAACGGGTTTCTCAGACAAAACCTACATTTCCTGAGGATTCTCTTAAGCGTAATACAGACCTCAATCGTGGAGCTATTAGTGTTGAGCATGATTCTTCAGATTATTTCTCAACAATTCCGCCAAGGCCCACATCTCAGGGAGACGAGGAGCCCACTGCCTCGCAGCTTAGAGTGGATCCTTATTTCCCCAGCAGTGCAGACACGGATCAAAATTTCAGGTCAGATCAAGCTGATGAACTTGTCAATGCACCTCCACTTGTGCGTAAGAAATCAGGTGAGATCGTGAAACCCAATTTGAAAATGGCACAAAGATCTCGATCATTACCGGCCACCCCAAGCGGCCGAGAGCCAGACAAGGGAATTGCTATACCACCATGGGGGCCGAAACGTAGCAAAAGTGTTCACTTTGACCAACGGGATGTGGTTTCGTTCAAGTATTTCCGTCAAGACGACTCTCCATTGGACGTGGCGTCTCAGGACGTGGAAGAAGGTCCCCTTGATGATACTAATTGCAAGCCGTTACTGGTTACTGATGTTAATGATGCGGACATGGATTCCAACAATGGTGAACCTGTGGATTTGACGATGACGATGTCAAATTTACGACTTGAGAAAAAAGCGTCAAGTGGGTTTGGTTTGAGAAGGAGCAGGCGGTATCAAAAACTCAAGAACAATGGAATTGCCAATGGTTCAGCGATAAGCGAACCGGGCTTGTATCATGAAAACTTCCCAATTCTTAACGTGGGCGATCGCACCAGTTTGAAATTGAACATCTTTCTCAATATTGCCAAAAGTAGCGACTGTTTTCTCCAGGAACTGTCTCTGGTGTCCGATCAGCACTACTTAGTTGGCCACATTCTGGTCAAAAACATCTATTATGATAAAAAAGTGGTTGTGAAGTATACGCGCGACCGTTGGCGCAGTGCAAACGAGGTAGAATGCGTATGGGTGAGCAGCGGTGATGATGTCCTACCTGGAAAAGGCATGGACCGTTTCAAATTGGTAATTGATCTGGCAACTATGTGCAACGGCCCAAAACGTGACTCTGTGACTTCCAGCACTTCGTCCGGCCTGATTTTGGCGGATTCAGTCGCCAGTAGGTTTGTCACATTGAGACTCGAGTTTTGTATTCAGTACACGACACGCAATGCAAACGAGCGATTGGTGAGCTGGGATAATAATGGTGGACGCAACTACATTATAGAAGTTGTGGCACCAAAACCGCGCATGGGGTTCACGGATCCTTTTGGCAATGAATAGAAATCAGGGCACGAGGATTTCAATGCACTTTAAGCGCACAAGCAGTTATGAAAACACCATATCATGATTAAGTCATGAACTAATGATACAGACTTATGATTGCATCACAAGGAAAGGAGATAATCACGGCGTAAGCTCATGATACTCTTTTTATTTTTCCTATGAGCTCGGATATTGCAGGTTCGATGGTCCGACCTCTTGGGTTGCTAGATACATTTTTATAAGCTCAAGATTTAATATTAAAAGAGTAAAGGTGTGAAGCTTGGATGGGGTAGTAGAAAGGGAAGTTGGTACGTGAATATCGAGAAGGGACTGTGATCTTCGCAGTGGTATTGAAAATGAGTGCAGATTTTCAAGCGCGAGGGGAAAGGTGTCTGAAAAAACAACAATCAGCAAAAAGAAAATACGGCTAATGTGGCGAGCAGCACTCTGTCTTCGAGAGAAATCGCACTAATCTTGAGTCATACAAGGCATGCTGGCTTATCATGAATGGTTTGAGTTTGATCAATGCTTATCACTGTCTGATTGGTATCACTATGTACTAAAGTGTCACTTAGTGTTTGTCGGGATGTGTGTACGCATAGTCTGGGTATCGTTTTTAATGGCTATTATCTGCAAACGGTTGGTCTGCTGCTTCCAAACAAAATCACATTTCCGTGTCACTTGCATCAAGGGTGCTGGAAAGCTAGAAACTCGGTACTTAAAGGTGGGTGTTTCTCAAAATCTGGCGCACCCATAGATCACGTGGCTTAGATCAATTGAGCGTGAAACTGACGCCAGGTTTAAGAGGTGGTCTATGATGGAAAAGGTTTTACGCAAACAGAGTGGCCAAAACTGGACAGTTCTAGTCTCTTTTCCGAATCTATCTGCTTTGAACTCGGTAATGACTCGAACCGTCATCAATATTCCACACCATTCGTGTCTTATGATGAGTATGTAGATCAGCTATTCATCGTTGCGAGCAACACGAACCACCAATTATCACCAAATGGCGTTTGTAAATACCTTTTAAATCTACGGCGACTACCGTTCTTATGTCATTTCCCCCTCATCACTCTCAAAGTTCTGAAATCGACAATTCGAAAACTAAAACTACAAAACCGGCTGAGAAAAGACATTCGACAAAGCTGGTACTCGATTTTGAAAAATAATTGAACAGCCTCAGTCAACCGTTTCACTCTTCTTCGATTTCTATGGCATTCTGCCCTAGTTGATCACGAGTACTTTTAGAACTTCACCACGAGTACTTTATTTACATTGCACCACGAGTACTTTCTTGAATTTTACCACGAGTACTCTGTCAAATTAATACTTATTTTCACTCATGAACAACTAACTATACAAGATACTAACCCATCAGCTCTACCAAATCATCAACAACAGCATCCCGGTTTTATCGCTCTAAAGTCTTGACTTCACAAACCGTTTCTTTCTGCTTCTCTCTCTTATTCGCTGACACTTCCCATATCAATCCCATACCCGCAGCAGTACCCGTTGGTCTCGTCACGATACACCTTTCTTGAAATGCACAAGACGTTCAGCAAGCTTCCTTAGCAACCTGTAGTTTAGCAGTTGGAAGCATAGCGACCAGCGCCACTTGGTTAACTACTTAAAAACAAAATGAGTAAGCACTGTGCAAACGCTTTACCCAACTGGGCAATCGGGACTTTTTTTTTCTCTCATGTGTCCCGGAAGGATTGCATCGCATTTGCATTGCATCCAAAGCTGCCGAAAAGTCCGCTGGCAGTTGGAGCCGTGGAGTTGGCCGCGATCTTTCTCAGGCTTTCAAACAGGCCTTTCCCAAAGGCAAGAACTCAGTAGCAGGAGCCCTGTATTGGTTTGCGCAAAGCTAATGGAGAAAGGTTGTAGTATAACAGAGAGCAATTCCGAGAAATTTTGAGAAGCACGGATAGACGCTCATAGTTTGTTGCACACAAGTAGCAGAGACACATACTGCGCAAATTAGTAACTCATACAATACTCTTCTTCATGGTATGGTGAACGGAAAAGCCGGCACAAGTGATCGATGTTGGTGGAGCGATAGGTGGGTATAAATGTAGAATAAATGTAGATCATAATTGTGGGAGAAATACAGAAGGTTTCGAGAAGATCACTGGGCTTTTCTCATTTGCAACTCCACTCGACTCAAAATTTAAGTGCTTCAAACTCTTAGTGCTTCAAACTCTAAGTGCTTCAAAATTCAATTTGCATCATGATAGGTGTACAAGATCTTGAAATTTACTTTTCGATGCTTGCAGTAATTTTAATGTTTTACATGCGTGCTCACAAAGCTACGATGTCCCGGTACAGAGCCCAGGTCCCACTTCTGTGAGGTGACAGATACCCATTTCGAATGATATTTTAATTTTAAGCCCAATCGTCCCGGATACTCGCTCTGGATAACGAATTCTCGGTATTGGCGCCAACGACAATGATAATAATGATAATTGAAGGACACTTCTCAGGACAAGTGCTATCCTACTTACTATACTTTAATAATACATAATAACAACACAGGTTTTATTGCGCATGGGGAAAAAGAAGAAAGATACGTTGTTGAATTAAAATACTCATGGTCGAAGGTCAGAATTGAATACAGAATCGATCGTGGTATGAAGCAAATGGATCGAAGGGAATTCCAATGGAACGTTTTGGCTCTTAAAAATGTCATGTTTATAGTGTCACTATGTACGACAGTGTCGTCGGACGACGAAATGACAGAAGCCTGCAAAAAATGAGTGCCAAAGGGTGAATGGATTATTTCGTCTCCGAAACTGTATGCAACAAAACTTTTGAGTAGTTGACGTTTGCAGCTACCGGATCTTTAGTGGGGAGAGGATCAATAACTGAACTTCGGCCTTTACAACACCATTCGTAAGTCCATAGCTCGTCTCGTCTGTCATGACATCAGAAACCAGACTTCAATTTCGTAGGAAGCGACCACTTCTTGAATTTGACTGTAAGTCCGAATTTGTTCTCAATTGTGCCAATAGAGTTTTTGAGTTGGTAGTTGAATTCGAATCTATCTATTAATTGTCAGCAAGGAGAAAAAATTCGAATGGCAGCGGTAGACTCAAAGCCATTAGGATGTGTGCAGATTTCCAGAAACGCTAAGAGCATGGTAAAGCATTTAAGATAGATAACTCACGTGCTATTCTCGTATATAGCGACTTGAGTGAATCGCCAGTTGATTTCACTAAGCTTGTGGAAGGAGCCTCGGTCTCAATAAGGATTCCGTTGCAGCGCTGGTTATTGATCTTATGAAGTTCATGTCTCTATCTCGTATCGAACAGATGCAAAATTCAGTTCAGCATTCAGAATTCTTGGGCATCTGAAATAACGCTGTATGTTACCATCCTAAATTGTGCTACGGGAGTGATAAGAAATAAAGAAACGCATACGACTATCTTGAACGTGTAAAAAATGGATACAGGCGTACACTACCAGTGACTTTGTAACCCATCCTGCTCCCAGCTTTGAAAAGCCGTACTATTATCACTATATACGTATGTGTCGTTCTGAAGGAAAACATTTTTTCATCACAGTTCCAGTATATAGCTCAAGAACACCCACAGCATTCAAAACCGTCTTTAAATTGCCATCGGACACTTGACTCATGAAACTCCTGGTCCAATTTCTTCCAATTCTTCCATTTCTAGTTCTAAACCTGACCCATCACTTCCCACGAACGTGTCGCTGAAACTTTTATATTTATTATATCTGACATCAACATCATCGATCTTCAAAACCGTTGATTTCAACACCGAATCCATTTCTACATGCAACTTCTCAGTACCCTCTTACACCACTAACGCTCAAATCGTATCCGATACTGTCCTTTTCCAATTTCCTGTCGTTGGTCCTGTCGTAATCTGCGATGGTTGCGGCATTATAGTCCGTAGCAAGCAACCCCGGAGGAACAACCGGTATATAAAGGGCTCAAAGATGATTCGAGCTTCGAGTTCAAGATCCAGCCCCTAATTCTCGTATTTACTATCTCGCCAACCGGTTCAGCTTCGACTGTACTCTGTTCCGATTTCTTCATTGTATCCCACTGCTACTAGCTAACATACTTTAGACTGTAACTACTAGTTTTGCCAGAAACGTTTGAGTATCTTGAACCAAATATGTCGGAAAAATCGTCGATTTTCAACTCTCCCAAACTATACTCTTTCGATTACTTCGCTGCCTGTACAATTGGCGGTTTGATCGCCTGCGGACCTACGCATGCTTCCGTAACACCATTGGACTTGGTCAAGTGTAGAAGACAGGTTGATGCATCGTTGTACAAGTCAAATATAGACGGATGGCGCCAGATTGTGAGAAACGAGGGCGGTCTCTCAAAAGTATTCACGGGTTTCGGTGCTACATTCATCGGTTACTCGTTTCAAGGTGCTCTCAAATACGGTGGATACGAATATTTCAAGCACCAGTATTCACAATTGGTTTCCCCAGAAACGGCCCACAATTACAGAACGGGGATCTTTTTAGCAGCTTCTGCATCCGCTGAATTCGTGGCAGACATTTTCTTGTGTCCCTGGGAAGCCATCAAAGTGCGCCAACAAACGGCTCTGCCCCCACCGTTTGCTCGCAATGTGTTCGATGCGTATTCCAAGATGGTCAAGGCCGAAGGATTTGCTAGTCTTTACAAAGGTATCACTCCATTGTGGTGCCGTCAAATCCCTTACACGATGTGCAAATTCACGTCGTTCGAACGTATTGTTGAGTCGATCTATGCCAGATTGCCCAAACCCAAGAGCGAAATGTCCAGTTTGGCTCAGATCGGTGTGTCGTTTACCGGTGGTTATCTGGCGGGTATCTTGTGTGCCGTGGTGTCACACCCAGCCGATGTGATGGTGTCCAAGATCAACAACGAGCGTCAAAAGGGCGAGTCCATGGGCCACGCCATGTCTCGTATTTACGGCAAGATCGGATTTCCAGGTCTATGGAACGGCCTTGCAGTCCGTATTTTGATGATCGGTACTTTGACTAGTTTCCAATGGTTGATCTACGACTCGTTCAAAGCTGCCGTTGGCCTGCCCACCACTGGTTAAGATAGAATGTCAATATTCCTAAAGTTTATAGTTAACAAAGTAGAGAAAAGACCGCAGTTTGAGACTGGGTGTGGATTTTGGTCTGGCGTACACAATTGGTGATGGTTGTTGCTCAAGACCACACGTTTTGGAAAAGCTCGTTGTCCTCGAGCGACGGAGCTGGTGTTGCGTTAGGGCTTGAAATGTTCGAGTTGTCTTTGGAACTGGGCAAGCTCATTCCACTTTGAGCGCTCGCAACGCTGGCAGACGAGTTTCGTGGTTTCGAATATAACGACAGGATCGATTTTTTTAGATCTGGGCGCCCATTTAGTTCACGGGGGGCGCTCCGTGCTGAGGTCGTGCGTGGTGGTTGTGGTGGTGGTGGTGTTGCAGTTAAATTGAGATCCACTTGTGAAGGAGTTGCCGAACGACTCAGAAGCGTAGCTTTTGCAGAAGAATTGGTGGTAGCAGACGAAGAGACCTGCTTTGGCGTCCCTGTCTTACCTATACTACTGTCTGTGCTATTGTTAGATCTCCCCAAATTTACTGTTTTGCTTTGCGAACCTGCTGGGCCTTCCCACCGTCTCAATTCGTACTTGTTTCTGATAAAATCCCCCAATTTCGACGGATCCGGTGTTGAGTTCTCGAGCTTGCACTCGTAGACTGCATTGGCCTGTGCGTTGTTTCCAAATTCCACAACTTTGCGTAAATGTTCCTCTTGCCACGTATCAAGGTCCACAGACTTCACTTTTGAGATGTGAGTGCCCAAAGAGCGATGAAATCCAGCGCATCGTATGCAAATAAACACTCCCAGAGACCAAGATGCCCATCTCGGGTGCGTGGCCGTCTTACAGTCTGCACAGTTCCCATTGGCCGGATCTCTCAATAGTGTAGCTAAAGCCTTACGGACTGGAGGTGCACTCATGCTATAAAGCTGTACAAAACTTGAGCAGCTAAAGAAAAGAAGTGTACTAGAAGTTGATGAGCGAGTGGCACGACTGGAGGCTTCTGATTGCTTTCAAAAGACGGTTTGAATTGCTCGGTTTTCGGTGTTAAACCGTCTATTTTGAAAAACCTGTCTAATTTAGATCATCTTCAATTCTTGCTCGGTATTCAACATTCCGTGAAACGGACAAAAAGGACCATAAAGACCCCAAAACCAGTGCTAAGCAAGAAATAAAGTACACCATTGCATTCTTGGGATCAAAAGCTTCATAAAGAGGGTACTTTCATCTTGTGTCCACCATTTTTAAGAACATTTTTTGCATGACTTCCGATAGAATGAAAAAGGTCCGATTCAACCTTCAAAGCAGTCAAAACGAGGGTTTTGAGGCTGAAGAACGGTCTCTTGCACTTGTGGAACAAGCAGAGCTTTCGAAACATACCGATAGCGACGATTGTTGGATCGCTATACATGGGAAAATATATAATGTCAGTGGGTATCTCAAAAAGCATCCAGGAGGAGCCCAAGTGATACTGAAACTGGCTGGTAAGGACGCCACGGTGCAGTTTGACGAAGTGGGACACTCGCTGGAGTCGTTGATGTTTGATTTGGGGCCCAAAGCGTGTGTGGGCGCGTTAATTCCGGCTTTGAAATCCTCCAACCCTCATGCGTCGGACCAGAGACTCGACCATAAACAAAACTCTATTTCAACGGAAACATACTCAGAAAAGTCTGACAGGGGATGGCAAAAATCGGACATCAAGTTTTCGGGACTCGCACACCCACATGAGACGATTTTACGACAAAACCCGAAGAACTACGAGCCCAAACAAGATTTTGAGGAACTTTCAAAGCCTCATAAAATAACCAGCACCATCGCTGCACTTGCAACGATAGCTTTTTGCATCATTCTACTACTCTACGTGAAACTGCGATGTGCCAACATGATCGATCATGTGGTTGGATTCGCACTTCCAGACGAACACGCTGACGACAACTACGAGATACCGAACTGGTACTGAACCGCCAGGGAATTTGCGTAGGCCACTCACAAATCCGTTCCCATCAATTCCCAAATTACAACCAGAGACTCAGGATTTCGATTTTTTTCCAATGGGTTAAACAGGACTTCGCTAGAAAAAGGAGGGCAAATTAGAGGGCAAATTAGAAACTCTCTAATTTCCGAAACCCCAGCATTCAGTGGTTTTGATTTTGAGGCACGCAAAAGTATCAGCCCAGGACGACACATTTCTAGAGAATCAAGATTTTTGAAATCTGAAAATTGCTCTAGAATCGCAATTTTTCAAGGAATTTCGCCAACCCCGAACCAAGTTTGAATTATTTCAATATTCATCAAACACTCGAGCCCGAAGAGTGATTCATTCAGGCTCGTCTTTTTTTTACTGACGCCAGCTCTCAGCAGGAGATGCTATTAATGACTCAGTTCTAAAAAATTTTATGAAAAATTCCAGTGTGGCATTCAAATCAACTAATCACCGATTATAAAAACAGACTAAATCCTAACATTGTGCCCACAGAAATAGAGCTCAGTTTGCACCAGATTGCTCGTCGGATTTTAGCAATAAAGACCTTTTCAACAATACCAAACAAATCCTTTTTCAATGTTGTCCAAGACGAATTGGATAGTGCAAAAATTCGGTGGAACCAGTGTGGGTAAGTTTCCAGAACAGATTGTGGATGAAATCATCAAGGTATTCACAACTCAGCTCCACAATGATGTGGCAGTTGTGTGTTCTGCGCGCTCAAGTGACACCAAGGCTGAGGGTACCACGTCCAGGCTTCTGAGAGCCTGTGATATGGTATGCAATAATGAGGAAGACTTTTCCGAAGTTGTGCGCAAAGTAAGAGAGGACCATGTTGAAAACGCCAGAAAGCTCATTCACGACCCAAAGCTGCAAGAGAAACTTATAAACGATACCGTTGCGGAATTGGAAACCGTTGAAAAATACTTGAACGCATCATTGGTTTTGAACGAGGTTTCCTCGAGAACCATGGACCTTGTCATGTCGTGTGGCGAAAAGCTCAGCTGTCTTTTCATGTCTGCGCTTTGTAACGATCATGGTGTGCCCTCTGTGTACGTTGACTTATCGTCAATAATCCCCCAGAACTACGAGTGTCCAGAAGGTACTCTAGACACAAGTTTCTACACATTTTTGGTGGGTGCTTTCAAAGATCGTCTGAGACCAGTGCTGGAATTGCAAGCCCAGGGAAAGCCGGTGGTTCCTGTAATCACGGGATTCTTTGGTCTTGTGCCTATGGGACTTCTGAACGGTGTTGGACGCGGTTACACAGATTTGTGCGCTGCGTTGATTGCCGTCGCTTTGAATGCCGATGAACTACAGGTTTGGAAGGAGGTCGATGGTATTTTCACTGCTGACCCCCGTAAAGTTCCTCAGGCTAGACTTCTCAGCAGCGTCACACCCGAGGAAGCATCGGAACTTACATATTATGGTTCCGAGGTCATCCATCCATTCACCATGGAGCAAGTCATTAGGGCCAAAATTCCTATCAGAATTAAAAATGTTCAAAACCCAAGGGGTGACGGTACCGTTATTTATCCCGACAACGTTGCCAAGAAAGGTGAAGCTACCCCACCACACCCACCAGTGACACTCAGTAGCTCGTTTTTCGAGCATAAAAGACGTGGTGCAACTGCTATCACTAGTAAAAGTGACATTGTTGTTGTTAATATTCATTCAAACAAAAAGACTCTCTCTCATGGGTTTCTTGCCCAGATCTTCAGCACTCTGGACAAATACAAATTGGTGGTCGATTTGATCTCAACGTCAGAGGTTCATGTTTCTATGGCTCTTCCAGTACCCGATCTTGAGTCATCAAAGGCTTTGAAGAAAGCTGTTGATGAGTTGAAAAAGGTTGGTACTGTCGATTTGACCAAGAAGTTGGTGATCATCTCACTCGTGGGTAAACAAATGAAACAATTTATTGGTATCGCTGGAACTATGTTCACCACTTTAGCCGAACAAGGAATCAACATTGAGATGATCTCGCAAGGTGCAAACGAAATAAACATTTCCTGCGTCATTGATCAGGAAGATGCGATAAAAGCACTAAAGTCAATCCATGCCAAGCTTCTTGATACAGAGAATAGTGAGAGCAGCTTGGGAAAAGCGGTTAACGAGAAACTGGAACAAATAAAAAGGCTTGAGTTGTAACCTTTTTTGAATGAAGATGATTTACGAAGAGCTACCACGCAACGAAATAACTAAATAAGATACCAAAAGGTGTCTAGCATATGTTTTATAGATAAACAAGGACTACAATCCGATATTCATTTTGAGTAGTGAGTGGCTCGTTTTTTCGTCATGAAACTACCTATGCTGGTATGCTTTGTTGTGAGTTGTTTTCAAGCAGTTCCAATTTATAAAGTTCAACAGCATTTGCAAGAAACGAGTGTCCTTAAAAGACGAATACTTGATCACCCATTTTGGAAATGGGTTTGGCCTTTTCATAACCAAGACTTACAGCGTTTCTTTTGACAGCGGAAACCATACCGGGAGGACCGCAGACCAAAATTTGCACGCCATCACCTGGAGCTGGCAAGTGTTGCTTCATCACATCTGCTGTGATGTATCCTACACCTCCGACCCAAGTTTCCCTGGTTGGCTTATCTAGAAGGTAGTGAATCTTAAACTGATCAGGGTTAGATTCCACAATGCTGTCCAGCTCCTTCTTCAACAGAATGTCATCTTCGGTTTGACTGCCGTAAATAATCGAAACTTTTGTGTGGTCGTTAGGATCAGAATGAATGGACTTGACGACTTGGTACATTGGGGCAATACCGGTACCGCCCGCAATCATACCAATTTGGGTGTTCATATTAGGGGTGTATGTGTAAAAGCCCTTGGGACCACGAACCTTGATCTTGTCACCGATTTCAAGCTCTCCAACCATCTTGGAGACGTTTCCTTGCTCATACGATTTGAGCAAAAGCTCAAAAAAGCCCACAGAGTCCGAATCCAGCGATGTGGGTGTGTACGATCTCATGATCTCCTTACCATCTTTCAAGAAACCTTGAATTGAAATGTGCTGTCCAATAGGTAGACCCAAAACATCGGTATGTTTGGGAAGCGCAAATCGATACACAGCAGTGTTGTGACTCAAAACCGTCTTGGAAATCAAAGGGAATTCGCGAAACTCGTTTTTCGCTAGCACAGGTACTTGTTCTTTTGTTGAGAAAACTCTGGAAAAGAGCAACAAGGCTGCGATAGCCACCAAAGCACCGAATATCAATGTGGTAGTGCTCATTGTGTTCACAAATTTGGACAATCGCTAGTCAATTGGTCTTGTAAAGTCAATGATCAAATCAAAACCGTTGGGAGATGTCAAATGGATATTCGTAAAACTTTTATCCAGTACCCAATTTCTCGACAGATCCTACTACCTGTGACAGAAAAAGCCAAGATGATAGTCTTGTTCGATCAAGACGGGAGACTCAGCGAGTTGGATGGCTTCAAAGCTTCAGGTGAGCTTGCAAGATCTAAACATCAAGTTTGCTCTTCTTCGCGCTGTTTAAGTTGTTTGGAAAGCTCTTTTACCAGCTCTTTTTTGCTGGTATAATTGACAGGTTTGTATTTGGACCTCGAGTCTTTGAGAAAAGCCAAGAGCGCATGAAGTTGGCGTAGCGGTAGAGTCTTGAACGTATTGTCTTTACTCAACAAAATGCACTCGGAAGTCTTGCCCATCACGATGTCGAATTGTGGAAACGTAAATTTTTTGGGAACTTTGGTAGCTCGCTCGATTTCCACGATTTGAAGCTGCGTGTCCAGGTCTCGTAATGTTAGAAAATTGCCCCCGATAACCAGAGAGTCTTTCGGTGTGTAAACGGCATGGATATATCCACAAGGGATCATGAAAAGGTCGCCAGAGGACAATTCCATGGCTACACCGTCCTCAAGTTCGTCCCCGAGGAAGACCAAATTTTGTTAATCACTATCGCACCATTCCGTGTAGCGTTCAAGGTTGTGTGGGGTTGGTGGGAATAAAATGAACTTCTTGCCTCCGGAGACAACTTTGTAGTAAACAGATGTGCCAGCGAAATCCAAGTGGAAATCTGTGAAAGCATTTTGTACCGACATCAACACATATTTGGTCACTTTTGGTCTTTCAGAGCTGTCTGGGACAGCGTCCCACACAGCATTCACAAGATCGTTGGCTTCCACCACGTTAGGTCGTTGCAACTCCGCGCTAAACTTGTCAATATGTGAAACTTCCAGAGAGATCACATTCCGAATACGATCACGGGTATCGATGGTACCGTTTGTGAAATACTTATTCCATTGTTCCATTGTCCAGCTGGAATTTTGTTGAGATTGCACGTCCATAACGTCGACTCTGTACTGATCCCCCAAATATTTGGTGACAGCATCAACCGTTAAAGTCTTGCCGTCGGGTCCTGTGGGAACTTTCATACCGGACATTTCAGGATCTAGGACCTTGAGTGGTTTTCTTATGGAATCAAATTGCTGTTCAAGCTCCGAGATGGTGATGACGTTTGTAGTGTTTTCCCAGCGATTGAAACACGCCAAAAAGGGCTTTAAATGTGGGTGCTCGTTTTTGGACCGCTTGGGCTCTCCTTCATTCAGAGATATGTAATCGATTTGTTTCTTTCTGCGTAATCCATATCGTTTGGGTTCTTCGTCATCTGCTTTATCTATTAATGTGTCAACCTTTCGTTTCTTACTGGCATCTTTAGTTTCCAAAATAGAATCACCGTGTTTGAGACAGTTGTAGCGTACAATTTGAGTTGAAGATTTTGGGTACGTAGTACAGGGTTCGCCCGCAATGGTCAGTAGATATTTCATCGGAACGCACGTTACATGGTCCCATTGATCGCATATTTCACACTGTACCCAAAGCGTTTTGGCTGGATCGTCCTGAGAGCAGAACGAACAGGTTTCGGAGGCCATGTAAGCGACTACAAGAGTAAAGAAAGATACCACTTAGGTTGTGTCTGGTTGGTGTTTTCGAGGTTAAAGCAGTGTAGTGCCGCTGGTTAAGTTGATGAGATCAGTATTTACCTTATTAAGATGAGTGAATCACGTGAGACTTGGCGATGGTGTCAGTTTCCAACTTGGCTCTCGGATACTGACAATTGAAGCGTTAAGAGGTGAGATTTCATGAGTTTGGCTTGATAGTGCTTATTCACTTGTGGTAGGTCAATTTGTTTGGAACGTTTGTTGTAGGGTCAATAGTGTCAAATATAGTAGTGACAGGATAAAGTCAAAGATCCAATAAAAATCAGAAAAAACAGGCAGCTGACCCTTGAGCATGGGAAATTGATAAATGAATTTGCAAATGTATTGATGAACACTTCTTGGATGTGTTGGAATATTCTGGGCGCTTTTCAAAAGATCGTTAGGCACGCGTGAAATTGAAAGGTTGGTGACTGAAAGATGAAGCTGAGGCGCGTCAGAGATCTGAAAATGAACAAAAACATTCGTCCAGCTCTGAAAAGATGAAATTGGGTATTCCCGTCGATCTTGTACCCTATTTGTTGGTCTGTGCCAGCGTTTTGCCTCGACGAGTAAAGCGTTTTGTCTCTCTGTCACTTTGTACTAAGATGTCATAGGCCTTAGGACCATACTTGTACATTCGGTTACTGAAGTAGAGTTTTTTGGCGACTCAGTAAGTAAGCGACTCATTGAAAAAGGCCAATGGATACTGATCGTCGGGACGTCGTTAGTTTATGAGTCGTCTAACGTACAAAATGTCAGTAACTTACTTCATGTTTTCGTACAAAGGTACCTTAGATTGGCTCAACATTCATGATTATTTTAAGTCTGCAAAAGCACCCCTTCTAAGCGATTGCCATTTTCATTTAGCCAGTTATTTATAAGCTTCTCCATCGTGACAGAAATCACCGTAATATCCATTTTCTTCTCCATTGTCATTTTTGAATGAGTCGTGTAGTAAGTGACATTGAGATTTCCGATTCGTCGAAAGAGATGTCAAAAACGTAACTTACGAGAAAACTCATGAGTAACTGAACTGAATTTCGTACAAAGCACGACTGACTGCACAAGTATTGCAGCACTGCTCACAACTCCTGCGAGTTTGGAGAGTCGCGATTCCAATACCTTTATACGACTGACTCGATTCCGAGAATCACTACAGACGGAAATGGACTCTAGGTGGACTCATGGACTCATGGACTCATGAATAGTCCTGAAGTACTTATGGGTTTATTTAACCAGGTGCGTCACTATAGTATAGAGTGATCTAAAAAACTAAGTAACCTGTGGGATGTCGCTCTTTCACAACTGTGACACTTCAAGAGCATTCCCCAAAGCCCATAGCGTCGCTGAAAATCATATTGAGTCTGTATCAAAAGCTTTCTTTCATATGGCAAATATCCTATCACTCATCGAGTACGGCGCAACATATTCTCAATATTGAGGAGATAACGAACCAAAATCCGGATGTGAGGTGCATAGCTGGTGTGTCACTGACGTCTTGACCTTGCAAAACCGCACATAAACCTGTCAATTTGAATACATCAACTTAATCCGCCTTATCACTCATGTCTAGACTGACACTCTATATCACGTTTTTCCATCCTGGCTCACGACAAAAAATTTAGTACATAGTTATTGATCAATTGAGCTAAAACTATCCAAATCCTACAAGTATCCAAACCATCGACAAGTCACTGCAACACTCAGCTACCACTGCCTTTATAATGCTATCTACAAGGAACTGGATTCTTAGTGGCACGATCAGGAGAGCTTTCTCGAAAACTGCAATCAAATCGGACTTGTCATTGAAGATTAAGCTCACACCAAATGAAAAGTCTCAAGTCAACCTGAAAAACACCAACACAAGCTCAAATGCGCCCTCTCAAATCAAAAAAGTGGACTCCAGGCTCGTGAAAAAGTTCCAAAGTGGTACAACATACGATCCCTTCGATTTCTCGCTTGCCAGACTGCATCTAGACAAGAAATTCGCATCAAGAAACTCATTCAACGATCTTTTCGATAAAAACGGCGTGGACCCTCTGGATCTGTACACTAACCCAGAGTTTCTATCACAATTCGTAACCTCGTCGGGCAAAATCTTGCACAGAGATGTTACAGGTCTTTCTGCCAAAAACCAGCGTCGTCTGAGCAAAGCCATAAGAAGATGTCAAGCCATCGGCCTCATGTCAAAAACCCACAAAGACGTCTCGTACCTGCCGTCAAGAATCATGGGCAAAATATGAAGAGTTTCCCAATACTCGCAATCTTTCCTGTAGATAGACTACTCTTTATTTCCTAACCACTCCATAATAAATAACTGAATGACATGCATAAAATAAGACATACTGTGGTAAAAAAATACCCAAACCGAGCCCTTCTCGATTGCGTTCATTTTCATCTCAAGAGACGTGAGTTTGGTCCTCTCAGTCTCACGTAGACGTCCGTCCCCCACCCCCACAAACTCTGAATGTCAAGTGAACCGTTGAACATCTCCATGTACGCTTTACACATGGGCAAACCAAATCCCATGCCGGAAACATTGCAGACATCTGCGCCAGGCAAAACATATGCACTCATACCGCTGTCTTTGGCATTCGCACTGACAGTGCTGTAGGAGTAATCGTACATGAGATCTTCCACTTCTGGCGAGATCCCGCCGCCAAAATCCCGAATGCGTATTTCGAGGTCATTGTCGTTGCGAACTATGGTCACTTCCACAGGTTTCTCAGCAGAATTATTTTCGCGGGTTGAGTTCTCAATGTGGGCGCGACTTGAGTTCTTCAATAATTCTGTCAAGACATACTCCAAATCCGTTGGTATGCAGGGAAACGTAACGTCTTGGCCCTCCAAAATCTTGATAGGTACTTGGTGGTCATATTTCACGCGACAAAGATCGCCAACAAACTCTTCCACCCGCAATACCAGCTCCGAAATGCGCATGTCCTTGTGCAGTATGCCGACTCGGGATGCATCGGGATTCTTCTGTGACACAACATTGAGATAATGCGTTGCCAAGAGTTTCATGGAGATGCGGTCTCTCAAATGCAAATTCAAAAATTCAAACACAGACTCCTTTGGGTACGACACCATTATTTCCTGAAAGCCGCGCGATAGCGTAACCAGTGTGTCTTGGTGATCGTCCAAAAACTCGGTGAGCTTCTGGGTCATGATCTCTTGGTCGTGCAGCCCGTACGGATAATTGATGGACAATAAGCTTTCTAGTGTCCGCAGATATAAACGATTGGTTTCTTCAATATTGGGGTTCAGCACTGCAATATAAGGGAGCCTTTGGATTGCAGCCAGGCGTCGACATGTGTATGTGAGAAGCAAATTAACGGTTTTGATGGCCAAGGTATACTTTTCATTTGCGGTCAATGGCACCTTATACTGCGTCAAAAACTCGTACGAAACCGGTAGAATCGGCCGTTTCGCGAAATCCTGAATCAGAAGCTCGATGTTTGACCGTATTCGATACAGCTCTTCAAATCCAACGCCCTGTAGCAGTGATTGTAAGGAGATCGCTTTGTGGGAGCCGTGGCGTGCCATAAGTCGACCTGCACTAAAATCGCGTTTGAGCGATCTTGTGGACACCCTCAAAACCTTTGTAGCTCGACTCGGGAGGCGGGATTGTTTCAGTAAAGCGAGCATCCCGGTTTTTGTCTGTTTCTGCTCAAAAATTGGCCACAGAGATGCTAAACGTCTCGTTTTTTCGGCTATCCAGGTACAACCCAGTCCTAGCTACACGATGCACTAGTTTGTTACTTTTAAAAGCTAAGCTGTCCTTAGTTATGACGGTTTGAAACTTTTCATTGACCATGACATCGATATATTTCAAATATTTAAAGATACTTAAAGGATCAACATTTATATCAAAAGCCAAGCTATCAGGACTAAAAGACTATTTAGCCATTGAATAGCATTCAAAGGTCCCATTGGCTACATATTCAGCTTTCAAAATGTCATTCAACTCATTTGCCGACTCTTTAAACAAGCGTTTCCAGGAACTTTCGACCCAGGTCTCGCAAAGAGCGCAGGATGCTCAACTTGACAAGAAACTCAAAGATCTTTCAACAGCTGTTTCCCAGAGAACACAGGACTTGACTACGCAATTACCATCGCTAGCGCAATCCACGCAACGTATGGTGCAGGAAAAATTGGGACAAGTGACGGACATCTCTCAATTGCCCCAAGAATACGTGGAATTGGAACACCGTATTGACCGCATCAGACTGGTTTATGAGAACTTTTTGAAAGTGACGCAAGTGTACGAAAATGAAAGCTACGATTATCCCAACAACGTGCGGGACTCTGTGAATGAGTTTTCTGCTGTTGTGGGATCGAAATTGCACGATCTATCGCGCGTCACGTCCACGGGCGAAGCGCAATCAGTGTTGATCTCCCCAGGACCTCACCGTGATCCTAAGACTCTCAACTATGCACTCAGCAAAGTGGCCCTTACTTCCAGCGAGTATCTCAACAAGTCTGTTGGCTCTGAAGAACCGGATTTATCGTCCAAGCTGCTCGCATACAGCGATGTCCAGGCAAAAATCGCCCAGGCTAGATTGCAACAGGACACTTTGATCCAAACCAAATTTAACAAAAAGTTGAGAGATACTCTTGCAAATGACTTGCAGGAGGCCCACTTGGCTCGCAAAAACGTGGAGCACAAACGGTTGCTGTACGATATCGCTCGCACGAACCTCGCTGCAGCGAAACCCGAAAAAGAGGCATCCCTTAGAGTCGAAATGGAGACACTTGAAGACGAATTTGCCCAGGCCACCGACGACGCCGTTGTGAAAATGCAAAAGGCTTCTGAATCGTCTCAATTCTTGAAGGACCTTCGCGAGCTAGTGTCCGCGCAAGCCGACTTCTACAAACAATCCTCTGAACTTTTGGCTGATTTCTTGCCACAACTTGAATCTGCTTGATTGTCTTTTTATATCTATAATTCCTCTACTTGTGTGACTGACTCAAACCTCTTCAAACTTTTATTCATTATCATTCTCAGCTTCATCTTCATCTTCGTCAGTGGTTTTGACGTCCCATTGGGCAGTTATATCCCATCTGCTAGACTTGGCTGCCCAGCTAATATATTTTATGAATTGCAAAACGCTCTCGTCTCTCAAAACCAAGTTGAAGGAATTCCAGCTGGGTGGCTTGTTTATGAGCACAGAATCACCAGTGTCATCGCTCTGGTAGACAGCCGCATCCTTGATATCTTTATTTTCTTCTTCATCGTCGTCTTGATTATCCATGTACAGTTCGTAACCTCCCAGTTCCCCAGACTCCCAGCCATCGGAGGGCGTTAAGCACAGAGTACCCTCCAAGACAGCTTCAACAAAGCCTTTCACATAGTCAAGAAGTTGGCTCTTGTTGATCTGTGTTGCGAGTGTGAAGTCCTTCCCTGGTCTAAATCTTCTGATCAGAACTTGTTCGCTTAGCGGAGAAAGCAGAGTAATGAGAGCCAGAAACTTTTTGAACGCCGTGCTTTCAAGGAAAATGGCAACATCAATTAACTTTGCCTCCGTGTTACAGTTTACTGGGTCCAAAGTCTTGGAGAGAAGTTTATAGTTAGGATTTTCTTCGTTGTTCAAAGACTCCAAAACATCCTGCTCTGTTTGGAAGTTTTCGTGCGACTTTCCATCAATGTACAGATATCTCCACTTGTGAGGTGGCATTGCGGTTTTCCATGGAGCTTCCACATTGACGCTCTCGTAAGGACACTCTTTTTCAAGCTCATCCCTTTTGATGAGTTTTTTCAAAGCTTCTGATCTGTCGTCATTCAAAAAGTCTTCGATTTGTAACTGCGACTTGGAGACGAATTGAGATTGTAGCTTCTGAATACCTTCTTCTGTTAAATGGTGTGCAGAGATAAAGTTGGCCAAATACTCCATATCCGCCTGCGACAAAAGGCTCAGATCCATTTTCGAATCTTTGTCTTCAGCCTCTGCGTCTTCTTCCGACTCTGGTTGAGCCTTCAGAAGCTCATCATAATGCCTAATTTGATGATATGGTAAAATGCTTCTTTCACTTTTGGGAAACTCGTAATCTTGTAGAACGTTAGACTCCAGTTGCGCAAGGGTACTGGTATTCGTTTTCACCCACTCGGCCTCCTCACCCGGAATGAAGCCTTTTTCGCCCTCTTGTGGGATGTGGTACCAGCCTTGGATGGAGAGACGGTGTTTGTTGACGTGAACTTCTTCAACGTCATGGAATGAGAAACCCGGTTGGACTTTGAAGAAGGCAATTTGGTTGAATTGCGGTACGAGTTTGGCGCTGTGGTCGCTGTGTGGGACGTTGGCCACGATGCTGGGGAAAAGTCGCAACCCACCGCCATAGTGGTCTTTCCACCGTTTTCCTGGCTCGGGCAGGTATAAAATAAAACTGACTCTTCTGGACCCAATCACATCGTCGTGCGTCAGCAAGTGGCAGCCCTTGGTGTAAGTGTTGATCGACATGTCCATCTTTGAGCCTGAGAGAGGGCCAGCACCGGAGACGTGCGAAATGACATCACGGTACACTTCAGAGTACAGGATTTCACGCAAGCGACACAGGCTGGGCAATCTAGACAGGTCGTTCCAGTCGAGCCCCGATAGGTTGGCCAGATCTCCGCTCTGGTTCACTTTGTATATGTCGGTTTCCTTATTTGTAAAATGAATTTCGGTTTCGATTTCCTTTCTCACGTTGCGCAACAGCTCATCGTCGACCAAATCTCGGATAGTTCCCCAGTTGTAAGGCTGCGAAGTTGCAATTTCGTGTTTGAGGTCTTCCTGAAACCCAGAGTCCCATATTTTTCCATTGAAAAGCGAGCGAATCTTGTCGTTTTCCATCGCAGGTTGTTTCTGAGATTTTTCAGTTCCTTGCGTAGCTGGTGACGTTCTTTTCATCTTGGTGGTATAGGGAAACACAGATGGCTATAGCTACCTCCTGGACTTGAAAGAATAAGCGCTGAGGAAAAGTCGCAATATTCGAAATGCTAGACTATTTATATACCTACAGCTCGGTGAAGACTTCGCGGAACGAGAGAGAAAGTTCGTTAAAGATCTCGAGATGAGCTGGGTGGCCTGACATTTAAAGTTGATGATCTCATTATTAACGAAGAAAAATTTCAATAGAGATATTTGGTGATAGCATTTCTCACGAAGGGTCTTGAGCTATTAGAAATTGGGAACTTTTGACCAGTTGCCGTGGATCGCGATTTCGAAGTATCTCTCAAATGGTTGGGACTCAGAGAAGAAAGGGAGGGGCAAGCGTTAGAAGTGAAGAGCAATAGTATCATCATTTGTATTTTCACTTTTGCTCTTTCAGTTTTCCTCGTGCTTTCTGCTCTGTATGCGCTCAACGACTTGCTTGTCAAAAGTGTACATCTGGGAAATCACTGATTGACGCTTAAGCACGCCCAGCTCGTGTGTCGCAAGGTCGTAAGCCTGCTGAATGGTTTCTGGATCCTTCAGGTCCTTGGTATTGTGGAACTGCGTGCGAGCCTTCCGCAGAAAATAGTTTTTGAAATTGTAGTTGTTGAAGCCATTGGCGTTCCGAATGATTTGCTTGTAAAGGGAAAGAACCTGGGCGCGAGAGGGGCCGGTCATTGTGGAATTTTGAATAATCTGTGAAAGAGATGAGAATGGAGTGGCTAGTTGTAGTCCTTGACAGCTTTTTCCCTCGGTCTTGTAGGTAGGTGCGCTAGACGTGAATGATCTTAGCTGCAGATATATGAATAATAATAATGGGGCCGCGCTCGTGTGTAGTGATCTCTTCTGGACATTGGTAGAATTAACGGATTTAAGAATTAATGGGTGGTTTATGTCGTATCTGGGAGACTTTAGTTTTGGAAATTAGAACATTCCGTGGTAATGAAGCGATTCCGTTAATTTAGGAGAGCTTTCCAGGCTTTTCGAGCCAAAATGTCGGCCCTCTGGGTGCATCACAATGAGTTATATAAATAACGTCCACGGAAAAGGCCAGTTGCTGAGGGTTCCTTCCGTATGTTAAATTCACATTTCAAATAGATCGAATCATCATTGGTGATTTCACTTGGCTCACAGAGCTTATAATTGTCAAAAATTGTCCTAGATATCTATCGGTGGAAGCGTAAGAGTAGAAATCACTTTTATTCACGTAGTCACGTGCTCGGACTTTGAATTCAAGTCATGTTTGAAGGGAAGGCCGATGACTACCACCATACTAGATTGCTCGAGTCAGCAACTCTTTCAAGTGTGCTTCTGCTCGTTTCTCAGCGTACTTTTGACCACTTTGTTTTTGAACAATTATGTACAATCGAAATCTAGCAGCATCTACGCCTAAAGCGATTTACAGGTTTTGAAGAAAACCGTCAACACTGCAACTACCAACAACACCCAGAGAAAAAAAAACGCTTTCAATCGATATGAGGGCCTTCTGGAGCCTTCTGAAACATTGATGATTGCTTGTCCAATTGGTTTTCTAACAAAATGAGTCTGGAATAGAGCATTTTTCATATTTTCACCAAAAGCCAAAAAACAAAGGTCCTACCCGGATTCGAACCGGGGTTGTTCGGATCAGAACCGAAAGTGATAACCACTACACTATAGAACCTTTTAAGGCTTGAAAGTCAAAAAACAATGTTTGGGCCATACAGGCATGCTCTAGTCACAGCACCTCATCTCATCTTCACTATAGTTGCATTTATCAATTTCAGCACCCGATGGTTAGGACAAACAGATCTCCTGTGAAACTCAAAGGGTCAAGCATAGTCCAATGAACTCTTTTTTAGAATACGCGCAGTGCTTTGTTGCATTGGCCTTTACCTACACAGCTCGTGTTTTGACCTGGCTGGTTCCGCTGCTTCTGCGCTTTGCGCAAACGCATCCCACGACTACAAATGTATTTGGCTATCTTTTGGCGGCTTATATCTCTTGGAAGATTATTTGCCATTTGTGGACAGTCCTAAAACGCATCATGCTAGCTCTCTTGGTGGTTTTCGCTGCACTTCTGTGGTCTCGAGGATTGCATCAAGTGGTATCACACGATGTTCCTGTACTCATGCAATATTTAGAACCCCACGCAAGCTTTCAAGAGCTATGGAATCGGTTTTGCTACTATGCTCATCCGACTCGCTTTACACAATACTACTCAACGGCGCTACAGCTGCAGTTGGAGACTCTCAGAGATCACTCACTACAGTTTTTGGCCAATTTGTCAAACTAGCAAACTGTACCAGGGGTTTGGACAGGACAGAAATTAAACTGTCGTTAGTTTCACGATCATAAGCAGAAAATGCAGTTGTTCTGCTTTATCCAAGAACTGGAAAGTCCTGAAGACCTAGATCACCGTGAGAACTATCATTCCTTCACTAACCTTCAAAATTGTCACTAGCGCGCCATTTTAGAACCAAATTGATCAGAATTCTCAGAGCTATTCAGTGTTCAGCCACTATTCACCTTTATTTGTGTTTGGAAAGCCGAAACGTGTCTTTGGTTTGGTATCTTCTCATCTTTTCGTTCACGATTCCATTAGAGCATTGAAATTTCATGTAAAAATTGACAATTTCCTCATCCTTAACTAATTCACACCAAAATCAACTCATCGAATAAGATCAAGAACGCCATGGTGAAGGATACTGAGTACTACGAACTGTTGGATGTCCAGCCAAATGCGTCTGCAACAGACATCAAAAAGGCATACCGCAAAAAAGCGATGCTGACGCATCCTGACAAGCACCCTGATGATCCAGAAGCACAAACAAAGTTTCAGGCGGTCGGGCAGGCTTATCAAGTGCTCAGTGATCCGGAGCTGCGTTCGAGATACGATCAGTTTGGTAAGGAAGAAGCTGTACCTCAGCAGGGCTTTGAAGATGCTGCGGAGTTCTTCACAACAATATTCGGTGGGGAGGCCTTTCAAGATTGGATAGGTGATTTTTCTTTCCTCAAAAACCTTACAAAAGGAGCCGAAATCATGGGCGAAAATGATGAGAAGACTGCAGAAGCTTCAGGGGCCACAGGCGTGGAAGGACAAAAGGCTGATGGGCCCACAGACGTTGTGCAGCACAACGGCAAAACCAACAGCTCTAAGAACTCCGACAAACTCACGAAGGAGCAAAGGGCAAAACTGGTAGAAATGGAAAATGAACGGAGGGCCGAAAAGAAGAAACAAGTTGAAGAACTAGCTCGCAAATTGGAAAACAAGATCGACGAGTACCTTGTGAGCGTCGAGAGCCACAATTTGGACAACTTCGACCGCAAGTTAAATCGCGAAATCGAAGACCTCAAGTTGGAAAGTTTCGGACTTGAGCTACTGCATCTGATAGCCAAGGTATACAAGACCAAGGCCAGCAATTTCACTATGTCTCAAAAGACCCATGGCTTCAGCAAGCTGTTCACAGGCGTACGCGATAAAACGAAATCAGCCAAATCCGCCTGGGGCATCCTGTCGTCTGCTATGGATGCCCACAGTGCAATGACAGAGCTAGAAAAGCTAGATTTGGATTCTATGGACGACTATGAACGTGCCGAAGTTGAAAAAGTCATCACTGGTAAAGTACTGGGCACGGCATGGGTGATGTCAAAATTCGAGGCCCAAGGCAAGTTGCGCGAGGTATGCGACAAACTTTTGACTGACAAGACTGTTCCTACCAAAAAACGGCTAGCCAAGGCAAAGGCCTTGATTTACATTGCAGACAAATTTGGTTCTGCCGTCAGATCCCCCGATGAAGCCGAAGATGCCAGAGTCTTTGAAGAGATTATATTTGATGCACAGGGAAGCAAGAAAAAGGCCAACTTCAAGAAGAAGGAACCCACCGTAAAAGCCTAAAGACCATCCCCCATTGTATTTTTATGCTTTGTAAAGCTCAAGTGCTCTGTTGTGGATCCGCCTTTAACTGAATTCACAACTTTACTCGTCTGCTCTTATAAATTCGTTAAATAGTAAAACTCAAATGCTCTTTCTTATAACCACTTCACTTCACATATCGAAAAAAATCAACTATTTGCACGGAAAAGCCATGTCTAGAGCGTGGTTTAAGCGTCTCACGGTCTTGGTATCCGTGCTCGCAATCATTGGTAATGTATACATCTTTACCTACCCGTCTTTGAACCCACAAAAATGCTCATGGCGATGTGCCAGTCAGAAAGTGAGCATTGACGCTACAGACGCGTTGCCCTTGGTTGAAAAGGCCGCGATTAAGGCTCGTCAGTATGTTGACGACGTTTGGAGTCAAATTGGACCCAAAAGGAAGGTGGAAAGAAGCTCAAGAAAGGGTCTACCCTCCGATGTGCATCTCCTGGCATTAGGAGATCCGCAGATAAAGGGCATCTGGAAATCTACTCCATATATGAGCAGACTGGATACCTACGGCAATGACTACTATTTGGGCCACATCTTCAGGATGATGAAAAAGAGATTGAAGCCCAGCCATGTTGCGGTGATGGGAGATTTGTTTTCGTCACAATGGATTGGCGATTCTGAGTTTTACAACCGAACAATGCGTTACACAAGCCGTATCTTCCAACGTAACACAACATGGCTGCAAGACATCTTGAAACATAGCCATGACGCTAGTGGACTGTACACTGTTGATTGGACGGCTTTTGCGGATGACCTGGGGGAGCGATTGAAAAAGGACCCCAAGGAATTTGAGTTCGGATACAGCGATGTGAAAAGCTGGGATTCAGCCAACGACGACTATCTCTTTATCAATCTGACCGGTAACCATGACGTTGGATATTCAGGGGACGCTACGTACCAGCACATGGCACGTTTTCAAGAGCTTTTTGGCAAGGACAACTACTGGGTCGAATACGACCGCGACACAGAGCATCCATGGCGAATTGTCGTTTTAAATTCGATGTTATTGGAGGGCCCAGCGCTACAGCCGCAGCTGATGGAGAAAACATGGGAGTTTCTCTATCGTCTTTTCGAGCAACGGTTTGAAGGTAGCACAGTGTTGCTGACACACGTACCCTTCTACAAGACACCAGGACTTTGTGCAGACGAGGAACTTTTCCGTTATTATCCCAGCGACTACGAGCGCGAGCCTTACAAACAGAACTTATTACGGTCTCAGAATCATTTGAGTCAGGACGCAACGAAGCGAGTTCTAAACCTAATTTTTGATAACAATAAGCCTGGCGTAATCTTGACGGGTCACGACCATGAAGGTTGCGAGACCTGGTACAACAAGGATTCCAAATCTGGCGACTGGACTGCTTCAAAAACGGTTCAGGCCTCGACAGATTTGCATATTCGCGAAATAACTGTGCGGTCCATGATGGGCGAGTTTGACGGCAACGCTGGTCTGCTCACTGGCCACTTCAACCCACGCACAAAGCTGTGGGAATGGTCCTTTTCGTTGTGTCCGTTTTCCATCCAGCACGTGTGGTGGTTCACCAAAGTTGTTACCATCTTGAGCGGTCTATTTTGGTCGATACTGGTTTTAGTGTAATTGAGCGAAGCGCATATCCGAGGACTATCTGATCTCTCTGCTAGAATACTCTGGGCGGGGCTAAACTTGTTGTGCTTTGCACCATGAAGGTAAGCGTTTACTTTAAAAAGCAGATGTCACGTGTATGTCACACCTAAATCTCGTGATCAATGGTCACGCTGGTGTCACGCTATATTCACGTGTTCTGTCTCTTCATTCTCAAAATCTCGAAATTGTTTTCCGCAGTGTTATTTTATTCACCATAGGAAACTTCTAAAACTGTTGATCTTCTATGCAAACGACTTTTTGACAGAGATTCTATCAAAAAACAAGAACTTTTCAGGTCCAACTGATCGCTTTTTCGTTTTCCGCGTTAGCGTTTTGTATATTGTATTGGAGAGTGGCCGATAGCCTTTCTTTGATAATGGATTTGGGCAAGGATAAAGGACTTTTGACACGATTCACGAGAATTCGAAAGAAACCACAGCAGCCTTTGACGGATCTAACCGAACTCTACAGCCGTTTAGCCAATGAATCGATCTATTATTTAAATCTGGAAGAGAAAAGTGACTTTCACAAAGCAGTTTCGGGCTGGAAAGCTCTTAATACGCATGTTCTGTATGCACTGACGCAGATAGAACACCAATATCCAAACATACAGAATTACTCGAGAGATGAGCTCAGCATTCAAAATGGGGTGCGAGAACTGTTGCATCGCAGTCAAATGCATTTAGAACGGGTCATGGAATTGGAAAAGCAACATTGCCCGCCAACAGCAATGAACGAACGACCAGCGGCAAAAAGACCGGTTCCACCTATGATGGGGTCGAGATCGATGTTAAAGACACTGAGAGACCCTCATCTGGGTCAGTACAACAAAAATTACACGGTTTCGGCGCCCACAATAGCTGCATCGACTAGTGCGACAGGCAGTCGAAGTAACAGCAACAACGGGAAAATCAATTTCACAACTTCCAAGCCATTGAAAACGTCCCAAAGCAACGACGCGTTCAAGGAATTCGATGAGGACCAGAAACTGGTGGATTTTTCGGATGACGACGACAATGAGGACGCGAAAAGTGATCAAACCTTTGGATTCGACGTACAGGACTACTTCGACGATTATTTGGAGGTTGATCAGGAGGAAATGAAGCGACTGGAGGCGCTCAACTCTCTCGAAGGCGTCAGAAAAGATATGACAGACCTCACATTGGACACCAAACCCATAAGCGTCAAGAAAAGTGAGCCTCCCGCTCCGCTAAAGCACACACGATCGACACCCGCTTTGGAGCAAAAAAAACCAGTACCGAGAACTGCCATTACACCTGTGCCGAAACCGCCAGTCAGTGTGAATCCACAAAAAATTCAATATCCAGCATCTGCGCCCAAGAGCGCAGCGAAAAAACCTGCTATTAATCCAACTACCAGGTTACGTCATAAACCACCATCCAACATACAGCATTCAAAGCCTGCGCAAGCGGTTAGGACGCGAAGCGCACCCACTTCAAATCAAGAATCCCCAATCGTTAATAAGAGGGTTGTTCGTGCGAAGAAGCCCACACTTGCAGCCAAGCCAGTGTCTACCAAAAATTTGGTGAGCCAAAAAAAACCTCAGGCCTCGCGAACGCCAAACATTTCCAAGCAAGCCGTCTCTACTACTGATCAGCGGAAAAAAACTGTGAAAACGGATCCTGCATCTACAAAGAACGACAAAGAGGAGTCGCCTGTTTCAGAGGACCTTACCGATAGCGACAAAAAGGCTCTCAAAGAAGAGTTGGAAGATGAAATCATTGCGCAACTCAGAGGCGTTGATCCCACCGCTGCAAAGCAAATTTTTTCCGAAATCGTAGTAAGGGGAGATGAGGTTCATTGGGACGATATTGCGGGCCTTGAGGCGGCTAAAAGCTCGCTCAAAGAAGCCGTGGTGTATCCATTTTTAAGGCCAGATCTTTTTCGAGGTCTACGTGAACCCGTGCGCGGGATGTTACTATTTGGTCCTCCGGGTACCGGGAAAACAATGCTGGCAAGGGCAGTCGCTACGGAATCGAACTCGACATTTTTTTCCATCAGTGCGTCAAGTCTGACGTCCAAATATCTGGGTGAAAGCGAGAAACTGGTTCGAGCTCTGTTCGCCATCGCAAAGAAATTGTCACCATCCATAGTGTTCGTGGACGAGATCGATTCCATTATGGGGAGCCGGAACAACGACGGCGAAAACGAGTCGAGTCGAAGAATTAAAAACGAGTTTCTAGTGCAATGGTCGTCGCTTTCCAGCGCTGCTGCGGGGAAAAAGGGCGATAAGAATGAGGACGGTGGTGATGACGAAGAAGACGAGCGTGTTTTGGTGCTCGCAGCCACTAATCTTCCCTGGAGCATTGACGAGGCCGCACGCCGGCGATTTGTGAGAAGACAATACATACCGCTGCCGGAGCTGGAGACTCGCAAGAAACAGCTAGTCAAGCTTTTGGCGCACCAAAAACACACGTTGACGGAAGAAGATTTCGAACAGGTCTTGCAGCTGACTGAAGGATACTCTGGTAGTGACATCACGTCTTTGGCCAAGGATGCGGCTATGGGGCCACTACGCGAGCTTGGTGACAAGCTTCTTTTTACGCCTCGCGACCAGATCCGGCCCATCGCCTTGGACGACGTCAAGAACAGTTTGAGCTATATCAAGCCGTCTGTATCGACCGAAGGTCTTGAACAGTACGAGGATTGGGCTCGAAAGTTTGGATCCTCCGGTGTATAGAATAGATTTTTTTTTTGCATTCCCAAATTTCGAGAAGGTGCCGTGAGACATTCAAACAACATGTGACGATTGGCCTAGTGCATAGAATTTTCTTTATTTTTTATCAGAAAAGCTTCAGAGACTCTATTTTTCGTCCTGGTTTCCTTCCTATTAAACTCTATTTTGACTTTCTATCCAATTATCACCAAAAAACGACTATTTTGAAAAAAGTGATTTGAAGATAAGATAAAGAACTGAAAGGATTCTGAAACTTATCGATAGATACAGGTCTTGCTCACCACCGCTGTAAACATCACAGCACAGAGTATTCAAAGATCACTGGTCTAGTATAGGTATTGCCTAAGTTATTGAGCAACTCACTTTCAACTATTCACGTACATCGCCGAATAGATCAGTCAAGTGTTGATCAACTACAAGCATCGTTGAAGCATCGTCGTCCCATCATTGATAACGCATTTCTCCGGACTTCTGCAACCGACCGGAAAATCCGATTCAGAAACGGCCTTCGATAAGCAGTGCAAGGTATATAAGGGTGAATCCAGCTTCTGAAGACTTGGAATTACTTGTTTGGCTCTTTAACTCCAGTAGTTAGTCAAGTTTCAAGACTGTCAAAAACCACCATATTTGAAATAATGACAGTGACAGTAACACCGCTGGAAAATCAGCCCTTGGGAGCCAAAATCACATTACCAGAAGGATGCACGGATCCCAGCAAATTGAGCAAAGAAGACTTCGATACGTTGTACAAAGCTTTGTTGGAAAACCTGGTGATCGTTATCCCAGACATGGAAAACTTGACCCCTGAGTCGCAATGGAAGCTAACGACCATGTTCGACCCAACGTGCGACCAAACGGGACAGTCCTATGGCCACGGCAAAGAGTTTCGCCACGACAAATCCGTTTTGAGAAAAGACGGGACTTCCATTCCAGATCAGCCACAAGTACAAGTCCTGGGCCAGGGCCACTGGCCTGCAGGCCACTACGGAATGGGAGAAATTGATTTGAGACACCCCACGCACTTCGATTTCCATAAATCACCACTTTCCGACGAACAGGCTTTCGAACAAGATCTCACCCGGTTCTACAGGTGGCACATCGATTCCGCTCTATACGACCTTTCCCCGCCCGTCGCCACTACTTTGCTCGGCATTCACGTTCCACCGCACTCAAGAAAACAGAAAGTTGTTTACGGCGACAACGACGATGTTTTAGAAGTTACTCAGGGCGCAACGGCGTTCGTTTCTGGTGCAAGGGCCTTTGAGCTTTTGACGCCAGAAGAGCAAGATAGGGCATTAAAAACCATCGTGGAATATGCACCTCATCCGTACATTTTCATTTCCCCAGCAAAGGCTACTTCGAATGGCCTAACTATGGTCTCTGAGGGCAAAGAAACGCCTTTGAATGAGCTCCCACCTTGGGAAGATTCCAAAATTAAAAGGCTCCCTCTGGTATGGACAAATCCCGTCACCAAAAAGCATCATTTGCAGGTTCATGGATGCTGTATAAACAAGCTACTTCTTCCTGACGGCACAACACTGGAATTGGAAGATGCCAGAAAAGAAGTTTACAGAATGATGAGGCCAGCCATTGCTCCTAAACATGTGTACGCACATACCTGGAATAAGGGTGACCTCGCCATTTTCTTCAACAGAGGCGTTTGGCACTCAGTGACTGGTCAATTCAAGCCTGGTGAGAGAAGGCTGATGCACCAGTGCAACATTGCCTCAGGAGCAGACCCAAAGACGATTATCAGCGTCGACGCATGAGCTCATAACGTACCATAGCTAAAAAAAACGTAAATTATTCAACGGGTTTAATCATTACTATTCTTAGGAAAGCTCTGTATCAACCTCGACTTGATGTTCTGCATGACATTCATTAAATCGTGAACACAATCTCACTCTCACCTCAAGGCAGCTTTATTTTGATCCATAAATACTGAACTGTACATTAATGCTGAGTCAACGATGACTGGCCGTATATTCGTTACAGTGCCGTTGATTTCGCCGTTTTCGCATTATCTCCTTGAAAATCTTCCAGAGGTGCCTGGGGCGATGAGCTTGTCTCTTCCAATGACGGAACAGGCTCTTTCAGCGTGCTATAGTCCAACTTGTAATTCACTTTATCGATGACGGCCCAGTCATCAAGATTGAATATTTTGTAGTCAGCAATCTCGAATAGCTCGTTGGTGAATTTGGCTAATCCATGTCGGCAAAACCAACTGTCTCCCGTAACTGACATTTTCCAATTACGCTCCGTGAGCAATGTGTAAGCAATCTTGTGTTCTAGCGGCGTTATCGAGTAGTAGTAACAGTAGAATAACGAAAATGTTTCCAACCCGCGAAACTTATCAACTATACTTTCGAAGCTCAGTGATTCATGATCGCCTAGGCCGGAAAGCTCGGTGCGCAGTCCGCAACGGGTGATATCCCAAGAACTTGTTGAACGGAAGGCATCAAGAGGCGAGGGAGGATTGAAGGTTAAGGGTATCTCTTCAAGCCTAGACACACGACAAGAATCACCTATCGTGCGCTGGTTTGCAGCTCTGAATTTGTAGGGAAAAGCATCATTATGGGTCATTGTCGTGCTCATGATAAAGTCTTGAATTCCACTTGGTAGAACCAGCAAGTCAAGGTCTTCGCTCAAAATTTCTCTCAGGGAGTTAATTCTTTTAGTCTTACTGTCAAGCTGCTCAGCAGTGAATAACGTTTGTTCATAAGGATCCTCAAAGTCCTCTACCGAATAATCTGACTCGTAATCGTCACCGATATGCGCCGGCTCGAAAACCTGTAAAGTGCTGGACAAGGCCGGCGACGCAGGGCTTTGACGCGCGGTGACTCTTGGTACTGTGTCGTTGCCAATTGGTGTAGGGACAGTGGCTGGAGTGGCCAATCCTGGGGGTGGCGCTGCACTGGTTAAGATGCTTGATGTCGAAGGAACTCTTTTTTGGGAATCAATGCCTAAGGACAGCTTTGCAATAACAGGTGTATTAGATGAGCTCGGCAATGTGCTGTTAGCAGTAGACGACGGATTGGAAGCGCCAATTGTTTGAGGCGTTATCGTGGGCTCTGGTTTCTTGTCCTTTTCAGCTGCTTGAGAAGCAGCAGCGGCCCATCGGAGATCACCTGCAGGTCTGATGGGTATTGTTGCTGGCTTCAATGTGCTTGTAGTTATTCCATTGAATGATTGGTGAATATGTGTATGACCTTGGGGTTCAGAAGATATGTCGCGCGATACGCTACGCTGCTGCTTCGGTTGTGAAGAAAGAGGTTGGGTGGTAGACTGGGCAGAGCTGGGCAAGCTGTTCGGTATTTTCGCATGAGAAGTAGCCGGTATACTGGTTCCTGCGGACGATAAAGCTGGTGACGAAGATCGCGATGTACTAGCCGAGGCCGGTTCGCTCTGTAATTCGCTTTGTCTGTTCTCACTTCGTGGTGGTATCACTATGCCTGCTGGCTGTTGTGGCGCCTCGAGTGAAGGGCCGCCGGCTTTAGCGGACGCCTTAGCGGCTTTTTTGGCTTCCCGCTCCTGTTTTCGCTGTTCCTTCTTCGAGATCTTGGAGTTCTCCTTCGCTGCATCTTCTTCCATGTCCTCACTGTGCTGTGCTGCAAAGGCGGCGGCTACCTCATGTGCTATGGCCTCGTTTGACGTCAAATTGAGGCCATCGTATATGGTTTCGTCCTCTGCAAAATCAGCTTCCATGTTCGACTCGATGTAATAGTTGATATCGTCTTGCACACCTTTAACCTGTTCTGGGTCCAATTCCTGGTTTTCCACAAGCCGCAGTGCAAGTTCCAGTTGCTGCAGATGCCACCTGAATCTGCCCTGCAGTTCCTTGAGCTGCGTTTTGCGCTCTTCGTTGGCCGTTGTGAAAGTTTTCTTTTTCTTGTTGAGCACTATCAGCTTGTCAACCTCCACCTGTACCGCGTCGTACTGTCTTTCTAGCTCCTCGATGCTCTGTGATAGATATTCGCACACATCTCTGCGTTCTTTTTCCTGTGGGTCCAAATTCCCGGACTTTTTCAGACTATTGTTGGAATACGCCTTTTCTTTGGACGCTTTTTCCACCGCTTTGTACTTCTCCATGGCAATTTCAACTGACCTCCTGTTTTCCTGCAGGGAGTCCTTATCCTTGATATCCGGAGAGCTTTGCCAGCCTTTGATCTGCTCTCGCAGTCGCTGGAGCTTTTTCACTTCTCGCTTCAAATCACTTTCCAGCTTCTCTTTTTGTGGGGGATTATTCGTACAGTTCTCATGACGCTCATAATATGTGTCAAATATCTCCAGGCCCTCGCTGATCTTCTTGAACACTCGGTCCACTTCCTGTTGTAATTTTCGGTGTGACATCGTCAATTTTTGTCCAAATTTCTCGGAAGAACCGGGCCCACCAATGGTTTCAATGGATTATTATCTAGTTTGTGCCTATTCGATGCGAAAAGTCGCTAATCGATGTCCCACTTTTTGAACTTTGGGCTGGTGAGCTGATGAGCTGCGTTCTTGCCGTGGAAAATTTTTTATATGGGAATACCACCAGTAAGTTTAAGTCCAGTCAAAAATTCTAGATGAGCTTGCGAGCGAATATCACCATCACGTGGAAGAGAGAAGTAAAAGAGTCCAAAAGTGTATCAAGGAGAGGTTTAAGGATTGATTTGAGCAGTCCAGTGGCTTTTGCGGATCCTGTTTTAGTAGTATGGCTAGTTTTTGGTTTCGTAAAAGCCTTGGGACGACACGATGACAGGGTTTTTACTCCATATCAGTGCCAGAAGAACACCGCAGGAATGGTGAATCATGAGGAGTCCCAGCAAGGTCCAGACAAGTTTGGCATGGACCTCCGAGTATCCTTTCAGTTTAGGATTCTTTTCTGAGTGGAAATCCCGTTTGTGAAAAAGTTTAGAGCCAGTGTCAGTAGTTTCGGGAAGATATTTCGAGAGCCCAAGGGCCAAGAAACCCGAAAAGTTGGCAAATTCAACGCTTGAACGTTCGAGTTGGTTATCTGATGCAATTGTAATAAGTGGGAAATCTGTTTCTGTTTGGTGCAATTGTTTGATGACTTTGTCATATGCTGCTGCAACACTGTCGTTTCGGACACCCCAAAATCTGTTTTGCGCAGCAATGTTGAGTTCCGTATTCACGACGCTCTCGAAAGCGGTGCATAGCGTAAGCAATTGGTCGTTATTGGCGGTGACCATTTCAAAAGTCATATCTTTTCTTTTTTGAAGTTGCCCATAGTTGATTTCAGGCTGTGTGAGAAAACTGGTCACAATCTGGCCCTCGACTAAGAAGGTCGCGACGAAAATCCAAACAGCCAAGCCGTGCGAAGCCAGCCACCAATGGATGAATATGTTCATTTTTCCTATTGTGCTATTCTTTCGCAAAGATGGCCACATGAACCGCTTGACGGTGCTCAATAACACGTCACTCAGTGTACATGCTATCGGAAATTTGGCGAAACCAGCATACGAAACCAGAATATCCTGGAAGTCACCTTGAACATGAAGCCGGTATATCGTATTATCGAAATTAATCTTCTCCCAGCTTTGAGCGAGAAGCTGTTCGGACGTCAAACGAAGACGGGACATCTCTATTCGAAAAATCAAGTTTTCCACACACATCATCAAAGTCGCGCAGACAACAAACGTTACACAAAACAATGCGCTTAGTTTGATTCCTTTCTGTCGATAATTCGTATTCGCTACATTTTCGAGATCCCGTCGTTTTCTCACCGATTTTGACGATGTCTTGGGGATAGCTGTTTGAAGGCTGTTGACCAGCGATCGAAAAGAGCTTTCGATTGCCGTATCGTTTGAAATCCAGCCATGAACTTCATCAAACGAGATCGGTGTCAAGCTTACGTTTCTGGGGTAAAATGTGTGTTTGTTTTTAATCTCATCCAAGCTGGAAGAGACGTTAGAGAAAATGCTCTCAAGAAAAGTGACGTTGAGTTGAAGCCCTTGGAGGGAATTGGGTAAAGAACCTGTTGATACCAACAATCCATTGGAAGTGAGATACTGAACAGTAGAATCAAGCTCGTTGGATTGACTTTCTAAATTCGAATAGATGCTTTGGTTATACTGCTGCAAGGACATATAATGCTGCTCCCATATCGAAAGCTGCGTCTTGATTGAGGTGTCCCAATTCGTGAGTTTTGAATTGATGTTCGAAACATAACCTTGAAGCTCTCCATTCAGCACTTGGGCGGCATCGCTAGCCTTCGCAGCCAGATAATTTCTAATTTGTGGCTCGACATCAGTTGCAGATGGTGAGTGTCTGCTCGTGCCACTTGCTGTGACATTGCTAGTAATGGTTAATGTTTGACGACTCGGCGTAGACGTGGCAGTTGCAATTGTTGTGAAAGTGCTTGTTCCAGTAGATGCATCGCGGTTAGCGTTCTGAATAGAAACCATTAGCCAGATGGTGATGAGAAACAAAGCATGCGGCAGTAGAATGTATGGGTTGAGTACGCAACTGATAAGTCTATATCTCAAAGCTGGAAATGGCTTATGCATCGTGCGCATATGTGAGGCTGGTATCACCTAATGGCAGCCACACACCTTCGAGCTCATGACGAAGGTCTTCTTTTTCAATGCTAGACTGATAGCTGTCAAATATGTTTCAACTTGAAACAGAATAGAGGTATCTATCATTGACTGTGTAGCTTTTCCAGAAACAACTCGCGGCCCTTGTCAAATTGAAACGTTTCGAGAGTCTGTTTCATTTCCATTGAGTCTGGCTTTAAAAACTGTTTCCTCTCGGGCTCTGGCAAGTTTTTCAAATATGACATGACCAGGTCTCCCTTTTGCCGATCCAAACTTGGTTTCATGAGCTGTTCCAGCAGTTCTTGAAAAGGAATGGAGCTCTCCGACGAGTGAAGGCTTCGACAAGGGACGTTCCCCGAATCTGAGTGTTCTCTATCTTCAGATTCATTTTCGTTTGAGCTAGCTGCCTCAATCTCATCTTCGCCGGCAGACTCAGGTTCGGCAGGGGTCAAGTCCGGGCTTTTTTCGCGAAGACGGACCCAGAAGCGTTTCCGCACAAAGCCTCGAGAAGCTTTCCAGTGACTGCTGTGAAATCTCCAACTGTAGGTCCAGCCCTGGTCGTCTGTTTCGTAGCGATTGGCGTGGTTCATGGAAACAAACCACTTGAAATCTCTGGTGTGGGAATGCAGATCTAGTGGCCATTGGCCCCCGCCAGGTTTGATCTCGCCTTTTTCTGCTGTTTGACCGTCCGGTCCTACCAGTTGGAACTGGGGAGGATCGATGCCTCGTAGCAGCAGATTTGGAGAGAAAAACGGGTATCCTAGAACAGTTAAGCCTCGCTGGTATTCTGTGATAATGTCGGGCGTACTGAATAGCAGCGGAGGATCTTTTTGTGTGGCCATTCCAGGTGGAGTTTGAGACGAGTGACTCTGTATACTGCAATGTGATGAGATCCGATGAGATGGGTTCTGACACATCGAAAAATAAGAGTTTCAGAACGCGCGAAAAAGGATGCAGGTCGCACAAATTGTGGCAAAGAGCGTGAGCTGTCTGAAAAGCGGTCACAATGATTCTAAAGATGGCTATGTTTCTATACAAATAAGCCGTTCTTATACCTGGTTCCACATCTAATGAAGGGTCCAATATCTTGTTTTCATATGCAAAACATCAAGTATAAACAAGATAGTGATTATGTAATTCGCTCGATAGAGCAGATTTACAATTCACGTGCTTTTTGCATGACCTATTCCTTATCATCTTATCATTAACTGACGCTTGCCGATGAAGTTTTGTGTTTCAAAAAAGATACCTGGGCGGTTAACAGTTTATCAAGTTTACCAACCACATTCGTCAGAGAAATAAGACAGGAAATAAAGAGATCATGGTGCTGCTAAATACATCAACAGGATGTACCCATAGTTTCAGGCAAGGCGCTTGAAAACCCCTCAAGTTTTGAACAAAAACTTGAACATCAAACTTCGTTTTTGCATTACGATGCAAAACAAAAGCGAATTTCAGCTACGAGGCCAGTGATTCCCATTGAAAGAAGCTTTTTAGGGATGTGAGAGTTACGTGCGGTCGAGAAATAGATCTACGACGTATTTATGATGTGCGAATGCATTGCAATGACAATTTTTAGTGCGGACGTTGCCTTCGATGCTGTACAACGATTCACAAGTGAGAGCTCCAAACCAATGCAAAATGGAACACGAGTCTGGCGCCAATGATAATTTGTTTATCGAGCTCTAGTTTCCTCAGATATTGTGTCATGATCTTAACACTGCTGTTGTGAAAAAGACAGTGAATTAGACTCAAAGTCTTGGATACCTCCAAAAGTGCGAGAAACAGAAACATTCATTGCTAGAATTGAAGCTCGTGGTGAAGATTTTCCACTTTCCTGCTGCGTGACAGGTGTGTCTGTGTCTGCTTGTGTGTTGGTTTTCTGATAGAGATCCATAAGATTTGCACCTCGTACCCCGTGAGACTTGTCCCGTTTGGAATGCATTTATTCTTCCAGACGACAACTCCGTGAAGCAATCTCAGACAAAATCTTATGGTGAAAGGCTTCCCGGACCTCCAGCCTAATGCCGAAATAAAAAACTACACTGGTCTTCTTTTACTTCCATTTGTACTCGCTCCTTTCTCCGAGACTTTCGCATGGGCTTTTTCTACCGGTTGCTCCCCTTGACCTGCGGGAATACCACTTTCTGTCGATCTCCCAGCTGTGGCCTACGACTCCTTCTTCCGATAGTCAATTCGACGCCTGATTTTTTTTGTTGTTCGAAAGTCCACCAAAAAATAGTCTTTTTCCGCTGCAGCATACTCGGTGTGCGTCTCTTCGTATTACGAGCTGTTTTCTTGTCCGTTGATAATTTCGGGACGATAAAATAAGTAAGTCTGAAAAATTTGGTTTCTTGGTCAGTCCGATGAGCCTTGCTGGTCGTTAAAGTTGCTGGTATAAGCATATTGCAGTTTGTTTCTGGACGTTCGTTTAGCACTAACAAGGAACAGAACTCTGCTATCTTGCCAGTGAACTATCAACTTTTCCGCAATTAAAAGGAGCTTTTCACTGCGGTAGAATTTTACTTCAGTGGAAGAAGATGAATTCTGTTCACGTCAAAGTGGAGGACTCGAGTGACGTTCTTGCCGGGAGCGCTCGCGGCCAAAATGTGCAATTCTATGGGCCTCCACAACCCGGGTACGGAGTCTTGAGACATCCAACATCGGTTTCTCGAGAGCAAAGCGGAAATGCGAATATGCGTCCCTTTCCAGCACATCAACAAAGCTTGCCAGCTGGAGGTCCTAATGGACATGCCTCGGGCCCAGATTCGGTGCCACTGCTACCACCTCACCCCGCAAACTACCAGATGAATAATGGTATGTCAGACCCCTCACTGCAGGAGTATTTGTCGCCATTTTTCCAACCTTACGGCGTGGACGTTTCTCATTTTCCGCTCACAAATCCGCCGATATTCCAGAGCTCTCTTACAAATTTCTCCGACCATCCCAGAAGACGTAGAATATCCATTTCTAACGGTCAGATAAGTCAACTGGGCGACGCCACGCATTCTTTTGACGATTTGTACTATAGCCAGCCCCCACCGATGCCTATAAGGCATGAGCACAAGAATTCTGCCACCGAAAACAAGAGTGGATCTTATCCTCAGCAGCATTCACAGCCGCCTCAGCCCCCTCAGCCAGCCCAGCCAGTGCAAATGGCGCACCAACATCTGCAAACACCAGCAGTATCAGCGACACAACACCATTCACAGCCGCAGCAATCTTATCAAACAAGCCAGGGGCCTGGGTCGAAGGATTACAATATACACGCTCTCACACCAAAACTGGATGACGAAGTGGACCCCACAGACCCAATTATTCACGAAGGGTATAATGGCAAGGATGTGACGGAGTATAAAAATCCTGTGCAGGCAAACGCAATGATACCGCAATCTCTGGATAACGTATACCCTACCATGCGACACGGGGTTCTGCCTGGAACGCCAGCATGGAAAAGAGCAAGACTTTTGGAAAGAAACCGGATCGCTGCTTCCAAGTGTAGGCAGCGAAAAAAATTTGCGCATCAACAGCTCCAGGAAGATGCTGAATTACTCTCTCGTGAAAATATGGAGATGCGCAAACGTCTCCAGTACTTTGAGAGACTGGTACTTAAATTTAAGCGGTTCACAGAAATGCATATGGCTTCATGCGGCGGGTCCGAACAGCTTAGCATGTTTGAGGAGCTACTTAAGATAGACCACAACATGACAGATTCGGGACCCCCAACGGGCTCCGATACAAATGATATGAGCGATTCGTGATGCGTATGAATAGCAGGCCTGCCGCTAAGACGCTAACTTTTACTGGGAACACCGCATGTGGGTTTCTTTTCGTGGTATGCTTGGGAATGAGCTGTGCCACGCAGCGAAATTGAACAATCTATTGTAAACTCTGAGCCACGCTGGACGTCTTAAGGGAAACGGCATTTATAGAGGAATTAGACATCTTGTTTCGGCACGAAAAATACTACGAGTAATGCAATGAATTGGAAACTCTTAGAAGGATGAGCAGAGGTTTAGCGAACAAGACAGGAAAACACTGCAAGAAGGCAGTGTCCGGATCGTTTGACTTTGTGAAGCGTGAGTGTGGCTAGGGCGAGCATTTGAAGCTTAAGTTCCACAGACTGTGTAACTTTTCAGCGTGGCGACTGCAAACGTATAACAAGCTACGTCGACAGCAATTGTGACGCTGCTGCCGAATTCCAAACTGATTTTGAAGAAAATTATGCTAGCAGTTTCGAGATTCTGCCTCTACATTGTACTAATTAACGGAAGGTTTCATGCAGACATCTCGTCGGCATCATCACGACAGTGACCAACGCAACCGATCAGAAATCAACTGATTAGTATTCACCAAGCCTACAAATTCCAATTTCAAGATCCAGTTGATGCAATTTCAGTTGACATATCTAATTGGCAATGATAGTCATCTTGCATCAATCATTCAATAGATATCTTGAAAAAGACAAGCCAAACCCTGACCGATTTCGACCCAGAAAAGAACAATTCAGCACTCGAAAGCACGACTGTTCCGATAAACCTTGATAACAAAGATATTATCGCCAAGCAAAAAGCTAGAAGCTCTTAAAGTGCTGAGAAGATTTCGGAACTTTTCAAAAACAGGGAAACCGCTCAAGCTCGTATTGGACCAAGGGAAGTAAGAGAAGACACACACAACTGTGCAAGAGATTGGAGGAGCTCTGCGATGCTATTGTCGAAACGAAGAAGCTCGTCCAGTTCGCTAGGTGTGTCGCAGTCGAAGTATCACGTAAAACGTGACCTCTGTTTAGCGGTGTTTTCTGTAGCGTCAAATTGATATTTAAAATGCCAACATATAAGCTTTGATGATCAAATCACACACCAAAGTACCAACATTTTATAGACAAAAGAAGTACAGTTCCTTTTTTATGATGATGGTTCAACAGTTTGAAATGTTTGGAACCGAAGATTTGGCAATAGTACGTTTTCAAACTGAGATTTTTCGAGCTTTTTGTATAATTTACTTGTATTTATGATTTCAACTAACACTCGACACCATTTGAACAGGCGCTGGCCGTTATAAAACGCAGGAATCCAGACCTTTGGCAAAAGTGGGTTTTGCAAGTGGGAAAGAGTACAATTCCTGTTTCCCCTATGCAATTGCCGCCGCAAGCAGCCAAACACGACTCAAGAGCGGCTAAACCTGCAGCGAAAGAAGAATTAGTGACATTGGCGCTTGTGGATCGTTTTATGTATAAATATGTCATGGGAAATAGTATCTCAAGACATTTGGGGCCCACTTGTAGTTTTTTAAACGGTCGCCAATTCACATTCCAAGGTCTGGCAGCTTCTAAGGAGATAATCAAGTCTTTGGCCATTGACGTCGAAGACTTCGAGGTCACCAAACAGCTGTTGCCCAATTACAGACTTCTGAAGTGGCTGTTTGCGGTTCGCCTGAGCAATCACAGAAGCCAAAAAATCTCCATCCATGTTGTGCGCTCCTTTCAGCTAGTTTTGGCGTCATACTACTCTTTCGTCGCTGTCCCAAAGAAATCGGCGTCAGATATATGCCATTTGTTGCTTCTTGGGTTCATGAAGAATGAGATACTTGGATTCGGACCATCAAAAACTCGAATCCTCAAATTACTGCGGGAATACACCAATTCGAGAGCCATAGATCAAAATGATATTTCCTTTCGGTCACTGTGCAAAGGCCACTCGAAAATGTTGGCCTTGATCATCAACTTTATGATACAAGACGACAAGATTCAGGCTTTGAGTGACATCATGAAATTCACCCTACAGCTGATGGAAAGTCTTGTTGTATGTTTGATAAAGGTCACTCGGCCCAAATCTGGCGAGATCGGAAATGGAAAAGCGTTTCGAGAAATCTATAGACGCCGCTCGACTCGGATGAGCTACAAATATGTGAGAGACTTTTTGGACGCTGCGCATCACTTGGAAATTGGTGAAAGTGCCCGAAGAATGAAAGCCTGTGTGGAGCTCTTGCTGTGTCTGCTTGCGTCCTTGCAGTGGGATAGTATGACCGATCCCGACTCCAAGGTGTTGGCAGTGTTCCAGGAACACCGTTCAAATTTGCTGAGCGAATTCCTGGTTTTGGATGACCTTGACCTTATCACTAGGTTTTTGCAACTTCCCTGGCCATACGAATGAAGTGCATGAGGTTTACCACTTATTTAATAACATAAACGTCGAAGAAGGGTCCCGGTATCCTTTCATTGATCGGAATCTTGATCCGGATTTCTAATGGGATCGAAATAGTCGTGTTGCATGGCCTCTCTGGCCGTTAGTCTTTCTTGGTGGTCATAGCATAACAAACTGTCGATTAAATCGATGATATCATGGTCATCCGACAGATGTTTATTAGAATCATTGACAAACCTGTGCCAAGGTCTGCGGATGTATTGATCGATGTCGTGGAACTCTTGAGGCAGGGTGATCTGATATTTTTGCAAATATGCCTCGAAATCTTCGCTACCCAATACACGTACAATCTTGACCAGTTGATCAGTATTGCTAGTTCCGTGGAAAAAGGGCTCTTTTTGAAATACCATGGACGCAAGCATGGTGCCGAAAGACCAAAGGTCTAAAGAGTAATCGTACATCCGGTAATCGACGAGGAGCTCTGGACCTTTGAAGAAACGCGACGCCACACGTACATTGTACTCCATACCGGGGTGATAAAACTCAGCAAGACCCCAATCTATCAGTCTAAGCTTTCGTCTTGCATGGTCGATCATGACATTGTGCGGTTTGACATCTCTATGCATGATGCCCATGGAGTGACAGAAATCCAGCGCCTTGAGGAGTTCGAACATGTAGTAGCGAATATCAAGATCGCTAAACGTTGGGTAAAGGGTGCGGAAGTCCACATTTTCAACATGTTCGAAAATTAACGCTGGTGTTCGGTAAACTTGATCGCGCACAACGTCCAAAAGTTGGATTATATTTTTGTGACCGTCGTGAGGTCTATTGTAGACCTTACAACGCCTAAACTCCAGAACATCACTCTTTCGATTCTCGTAGTATTTTTCTTCGTCGAACGGTCCTGCTGTTGGAGGCTCTGCTACATTCGAAAGATTCGTCAAAATGCTGATTTCTCGCTTGATCTTTTTCTTCTTGACAGGTTTGAGCATCTTAATAACGATTTTCGATTTGGTTGCGAGCTGTACACCCTGGAACACCTCGGAATATTTACCACGACCTACTTTGTTCTCGATCTCGTATGCTCCATTATTTGGAATCCAGTCGATTAAGGTGTTTTCGTAGTCCCAGTATGCCGGGCCCCGCTTGACGTTGGCGGTAGTATACACTCTGGCCTCGCTATGGACTCGACTTTTCATTTCTAAACTAGGCGATGACCGTTAAAATCGTAAAATCTATCTGTTTTCTGGTCTTACAGCTCAGAAAATTGTTGAAAAGCTTAGAAGTGGACCTCACACGCTGTAAGAAGACGCTAAGGGACTTTCTCGCTCTCTTGTTTATCGATTGAGATGGTGGATGAAGGCATGCTCTATGATTACCTGCCCATCAACGAATACCGTGTGTTATTTTTTGACAACTAAGATTGTTCGTCAGTAGCGATCTTCTATAGGAATGCGACATGTGATTGTGGTGTGACCTGTGTATCGTCATAAACGAATTTTAGGATTCTGATTCTTGTCCTTTACAACAACGTATCACATACCTTGAAGTCCCTTTACTACTTCTTGATGAGCAGACCTTGAGCTTGCGCTCGAAGCTTGTGTTTCGTCTCTTAGTTCACGATAGATGTCACGTGTTTTGTCGAAATAAACGACTTCCAACTGGTTCCGCATTTGAGACTCAACTTCTTCCACAAGTGCGCCCAAGTTTGCAATATGCCACACGCGGAAAGCGTCTGAGCCCTCTGAAACCGAAGCTGGACGAGAAACCTCTTTTTCCGTTTGACGTGTAAGGTTTCCCGAAAGATGCATTTCACGGCCGGAATCCAAGTGCAAAATGGTCGTGGTAGTGAGCCGGTAGGTCCATTGGCTGGATCCTTCCGTCTGTAGCGCCTCAAACACGTGGATGGCGTCCCAAGAGCTTTTACTTTGAGTGCCCTTTTTTAGTAGTACCACGCCAGCAAATTCCTCTGTATCGTCACCTAGATCCCACAGATACACGGAAGAGACGCCTCCTTCGTAATAGAGGTCTCTGTAGATGTCCAATGAGTCGTTTGCCAGCACTTCGGTGCGGCGAACAGAGTCCGTGGGGAACGGCGATTCCGCAAGGTCTTCAGGCGAAAGATCAGGAACGTAGCGGTTCGACCATGGGGAGCGGTGGGAGTCAATATCGCGGTTATAGTCACACGTCAAAAACTCTTTTTGAGACGCATGTGGATCTTTTTTCACTTGTAGAGGTGTATCTACCGAAGTCAACAAATCTTCTGCTAAATTGGGGTCCAACTTGATCAATTGGCTCAAATTTTCCTCGATTTTCGTTGGATCAAGTCTCCTCAAAATATCTAGCGCGGCATCTAACGACGACATGGTCCTGGTAGTGTGTTGTTCGTGTGTTTTGTTTTCCCAAGTGGACTTGGCAGGAGAAAGGATTTGATTTAGGGTGGGTAATAAATTGATATAACCAGGCCTTAGGAGAAGGAAATCGATAAAAGAATAAAGACAAGGAAGTGAGGTTACTATAAAGCAAGATTTGATCATCAGAATGCCGGAAAAATGAATTCCAGATTTTCAGATTAGTTTGCAGTTTTTTTCAGGGTCTCGAACCGTGTATTATTGACTGATTTACGATGATTCACGATTATATCTGAAGAATTGCAAGATGCGTAGAGGATGAGAGCTGAGAGTTTGCAATGAGTTTGCAATGGAGTTTATTGACAAAACTGTGATTTTTCTGTTGCGTTGATGGACTTATTTGGGGTAAATGATATTCGATGATGTAAATGGTGAGAACATGTGTATTTTTGTCAAGATGATTAAGGCATTTTGTCAAATTCTGAGTAAACTGGTTAGAATTTTATGATTAGAGGGCCAAATAATGATGGATAGCTTTGGCAATGGCGATGAAGATCGCCTCTGTTGAAGGACAAGATGGGTCGTGTAATTATATACGAGGAGTCAGCAAATGCTATTTAGTTCTTTGACCTTACATGACAATCTGGATTATAGCGTCATTTAAGGAAAACACTCGAGACTTGAAGTAAGCAGTCGGGAAACGAATATTTAGTTTGTCCTTGTATGCAACTACTTGCCCGCATTTACTCCGAAAAATAGTCTTAGCGGTTACTGTTTCGATACAGAACTCCAGAATTCCATTTGTCGCGATGTACGAAATGGACTTTCTCTCTCCTACAAATAAAGGATCTATGAGATAAATATGAAGAAAGAGAAAAACCACAAACGGTGCCGACAGATTCAAGACTGTTCTTTCTAAAATGGCTCATCGTCGCTAGTCTCAGTTATGGTATTGTATCATTGTATACGAATCTGTCGCACCGTTTCCTTTTTCCCATGTCATTTCATACTCTCGTGTCACCGTTGGGAAAACCAAGCATAAAAATGTCCTGTGCCCTCCATGAAATACAAGCTACAGTTCCCTCACTGCAAAAGAAATAAAAGGTCTTCTTCCGAGGCTTTAGCTGTTGAACCTTGAGTCTGACCTTATAGTTGTCCGCACAATTTTTTGCCTTATCACTTTATACTAATCTGGCGCTGGAAAGTCATTGCAAAGTAGTCTGAAGCAACCTTGAAGAGAGTGATCTGTTCATCTCGAGCAGCTGAATTTAATTAATTGGCGATGCCAAGATAGACCCCTGGAACAAAAGCTGAATTGCAACACAATTACTTCCAACCCAATGTGAAGATCCACTTACAAAACGTATAATACGATCTGCTCAAGAATATATATACATATATATGTCGATCAAGCCCGTTTTCACCAAGACAACCTACATTCCACTACTAGCAAACTCAATCACAGTACTCCATTGTTATAAAATAAACACTTCCCATGAAAAGCTTACTCCCTGCTACCTCTGAATTCCATCACGTGACTTACCAGCCGGGTCCGTCAAACATGATCTAGATTATATTTCCCAAAAATTCTCATTTTAATCATCTAGAGTAAACCATATATATATATACTTATCGTCTCATTCACCACGTCCAACCAACCCTACTACAACCATCTCCTTACCACTATCGTCTTCCACCATCCTCTCATTCTTACCAAGCTCTTTTCACACCAGCGTCTCCCTTTTCCCCCGGTCTCGTAGCCACAGCGCAACAGCAGCTGATGCCTTTTCTCTCAAATGCATCTCTTTTTCGTAGCCACACACACAGCAGCCAACATGGTCAAAAATACCCAGATCTACCGGCTTTTGCTGCCACCACGTTTGTTGCATGCATCATATTGATCAACTCGACGCACGGTCGCCAACCGCAATATGTGCCACTCGCTCAACCCTTTTTTGACAGCAAAACCGGGAAGGTATCTTTTGCTTTTGCAGTGGTGGACGAAAAGTATATAAAGACAGGGGCATTGCAGCCCATGAGGAGGGAATTTGAATCACTTTTGTAGTAATTCAGAGCAAGAACCAGTAAACTCACATTACAGGATCTTAACTTATACACTTCCTATCATCACATCGCCGAAGAAAAAAATGGCTGCTCAAAACTCTACTTATTCGCTAAAATTGAACACCGGGGCCTCAATTCCTCAAGTGGGATTCGGTACCTGGCGTTCCACTGAAGAAGACGGTTACAACGCTGTTTTGAGTGCTTTGAAAGATGGATACCGTCACATCGACTCCGCTGCCGTTTACGGCAACGAAGTTGCTGTGGGCAGAGCTATTCGCGATTCCGAAGTGCCTCGTAATGAGCTGTTCATCACCACCAAGCTATGGAACACTCAACACCGTGAACCTGCCAAGGCTCTAGACCAGTCGTTGCAAAGACTAGGTCTCGACTACGTGGACTTGTACCTGATCCACTGGCCTTTGCCTCTCAAGACAGACCGTATCAAGGACGACAACTTGTTTTCCGTGCCTACCAAGGAGGACGGCAAGCCAGACGTCGACACCGAGTGGGACTACCTCAAGACGTGGCATCTAATGCAAAAATTGCCCGAAACCGGCAAAACCAAAGCCGTCGGTGTCTCGAACGTCTCGGTGGCCCAATTGCAAGCTCTGATCAACCACAAGGACACCACGGTTGTGCCAGCGACCAACCAGGTCGAGGTCCACCCATTGCTTCCCCAGGAGGCCCTCTACGATTTCTGCAAGCAAAACAATATTGCCATGGAGGCCTACTCGCCTTTGGGCTCTCAGGGCTCTCCTGTGGCTGACGAGCCTGTTATCAAGGAGGTTGCTCAAAAGTACAACGTTGACGCCGCACAAATTCTGATTAGCTGGGCCGTTGCAAGAGGCTACGTTGTGCTTCCCAAGTCCGTCACTCCATCCAGAATCAAGTCCAACTTCCAGGTTGTGAAGTTGTCTGCCGATGATGTGGTCAAGATTAACAGCATTCACAAGCAAAAGGGCGAACAGAGAATCAACGACCCTGAATGGTTCGATTTCTAAGCTCTATCGATCGATCCATCCATTGATCTACAAAGCCTTACCAGATCTTGCCATGTTTTTACGAAATGCTTTTACGAAAATCTCACGATCGTCAAGTACGCTTGATAAAGACTTGTACAACGACATATACGACTTTTTAACTTTACTTTAACTAACTTGACTATCACTAATACCAACCACATTTCAAGTTCCACAACTTTGGAAAAGAATTATCTTTACTGAACTTGTTGTGCTCTTTGGTACTCACTTCTTCGCAACTATGCTTTCCTTCCAGCAAGTCATCAACTACACTCAGAACACCTTGAGTTCTATGCCTCCGGGCTACTTGCCCAAATGGCTTCTGTTCATCTCTGTTGTATCTGCTTTCAACTCAGTCCAAACCTACATTTCTGGCTTGGAATTGACTCGCAGAGTTTACGAACGTAAGCCTCAAGAAACCACCAAGCTCAGTGCTAGAACTTTCGGAACTTGGACCTTCATCAGTAGTGTGATTCGTCTGTATGGTGCGTTGTACCTGAACGAAGAACACATCTATCAATTGGTTTGTATCTCTTATTTGGTGGCATTGGTTCATTTCGGTAGTGAATTACTGCTCTTCCGCACCTGCAAGATCGGCAAGGGATTCATGGGTCCATTGCTGGTGTCCACTACTTCTTTGACCTGGATGTACTTGCAAAAGGAGCATTATACAGGTAAGGCGTGGTAGACGGATAAGACAAGCCTTCTTGTCACACACCTTTGCACAATGGATAAGACAAGCCGTTGGTCACACACACCTTTACACACGGTTATACAGTGAGAATCACAACGTATGTAAAAATCACAACACACACACAAGCACAGTCTCTGTCTGTCTTTGTTATCTCAACCTTTTATACACGGCTAGCACTAAAAAAACATGTACGATTCGATTCATTGCTTAACGTATGATTGCATCAAGATATACTAGTGAGGTGGGATGGAATCCTCAGCAGAAAATAAGAGTTCTGAAGCGACAGTTCGTGAAAATACAGTTTGCTTACCACTGTCTCTGAGCGCTTCCGAGAATGTGCATTTCTCAGTGGTCGACACGAGTAGGGTCGTTGAGCTTCAAGACCTCCACAGCAGGCCCCAGCAGTCTCTGGAATCCACTCTTGCCGAGCGTGGCTACTTTGGTCTTCTTTATAGCCTTCACCGTGGCCTGACGTGGTAGATCGTTCAACAGTGCTACTTCTCCGAAATAGTCACCCTGCTTGAGGTGTGCGATGATACCGTGTTGCTCCTTGGACACTTCCGCCTCACCAAACTCGATAAAATAGAAGTTGTCACCGCTGTCGCCTTCGCGGATTATAATTTGGCCCGGCTGGTATATTTCTGTATCTAGAGCGTCCGCCAGCTTGGCACGGTCGTAAGTGGTCAAAGACTGCAAAACAGGCATGGATTTGAGGAGTTCGTCATACAGAATTCTCTTCTTGAAAGAGCTGCCCAGTAGGATTCTTCTAAAAGTCAATCTATCAAGAGCCCACAGCACGCAGTCAGTGGTGGCCAAAACAGTGGCCGCTCTGGGACTGTTGTACATGAGGGCCAGTTCTCCAAAACTGGAGCCGGGGCCCGAGGTGTTGACCTTTTGCGATCCCACGAAAAAGTCCACGTTGCCCTTTTCCACAATGTAGAAGTAATCTCCTTCGTCACCTTGTTTGATAATCTCGTTGCCTTCTTTTACCCTTTTCTCCTCCAACGAGTTTATGACCAGTCTTTTAGACTCGGTATCGAGCTTATTGAATAAAAAGTTACGGCCAATAGCCTTCTCCAGCCTCTCCAACTGTGGTCCTGTCTTTTCGGTGAAGTTTTCAGGCTTCCAATCATCGAAATTGTCGGGCTGCATTGTCTCTCCACTTACCGATGTACGTCTTTGAGCGTTAAAATTCATGGGCAATGGTCTTGGCACTGCCACCGATCTTCTGGGAATTTTTGTGGGCTGTGGCGACGAGCCGCTTTGCTCTGCAGGTGCCATGGGGTCCACGGGCTTCTTTATATGCTTGTCACTGCTTTGATTCACACGGAAGTTATCTTTGAAGATACCGGAGCCAAAACCGGTCAATTCACCGCCTTCCTCGCCACCGGCTGTGGCTGAAGCCTGTGCTGCATCTCCACTTGCAGCTGCAGCACCCGTGGCATGTGGATCAGTTTCTGCGAACGACGCTTTGAAGATTTGATCATTGGATTGCGGTTCTGCTCCTCCTAGTCCAGCAACAGCCGAAGCCGATGCAACAACCGAATCGTTTCTTGTCGCAGACGGAAACAGCACAATGCCCTTTGAGAGTGCCAATGACTCTTGATTACGGGCAAAAAACCGCTGTTGTTCCAGCCTTCTGTTAAAATAGTTTGCGGCGAATTGTAAAAGATCTTTGGGCTCATCCTCATGCACTTTCCGCTGAAACAAATTCAGCTCTTCCAGCTGGCCTCCCGTCAATGGCATTTCGTCTATGCACTGTGATTTGGTCTCAATGAGCTCTTCTAGTGGAGAGATCGCTACAGGTTTATGTTGATGTTAGGTGTTGAAGGATGGTAAGGGGTCTCTTTTGACATTAACTTTTTATATATCTTCAAAAGGGTCATGTGGTACGAGCGGTCCAACGGTCGCTACAAGAACTGGACATTTCGACAGACCTGTGCACCACTGTTGGTCTCACAAGTCCTCCCATTGGCATTGGATTGAAGGGAGGTACATGGTGCAACTTTTAAATTCAAAAATGGAGAGTTTTTCGATGAAATATGTGGAAATCAAAGGGTTTTTGGAGTCAAAGAGTGTTTTGGCCCGCTGCCAAGAGACATGAAGCAAGTGGTGGGAAACAGATCATATAGGCGAGTAGCAGCAAAAGCGGAGACCACGTATCGCCTTTTGACGTAAAAATATGGGTTCTTTTAGGCCAAAAAACCTGTAAAAATGGCCAACTTATACTCAGGATATGGCGAAAAGACGAAAACAAGAACAGAGCTGAGGCACCATCAGATGTGGGTGACTCGCAGCCCTTTCCAATTACCTTGCGTTTCATCACCACACTTCTCATTTTTCATTGCTTGTTGTTTCGAAAAGCCTGATATGGGGCCATTGCTTCTCAGCCCGTTCCGCTTTGAAAGAGTTGGGACCACGATCCAGCAGCTCGTCGAGTTCAGCGTTCGTAAGTGTACCATCGTCAAGACCTCTTGAAAATCCTATACTTGACTCCCCACTCAAGAGAAGCTGCGATAGTTCATTCATGAGCTCCTTATTGGAATTGACTTGATGACGCTGTCCGCGGCCACCATTGGTACCCATACCGCTAATGAATGACTGCTCACTTCCAGCAAGCCGCTTAAGATTGTTGAATTTTCCCATCTGGATAACCATCTTTTCTAGTCGACGTTTGCTAGCGGCTCGTGTTAGGATAACGTGCTCCACAGTGTTGTCGCAGCACAATCTGTAAACAACGACTGGCGCTGTTTGTCCGATTCGGTGCGTTCTGTCCATGGCCTGTAAATCCACCTGAGGGTTCCAATCACTGTCGAAAAGAACTACCGAGTCTGCTGCTGTCAAATTGATTCCCAGACCACCCGCGCGAGTGGAAATTAGGAAAACATCAAAGGACCCTTTAGGATCGTTAAAGCCATCAATGTGACCTTGACGGGTCTCGTTGTCCATGGAGCCATCAATTCTACAAGGCTTGATATTGTTTAGTTCACACCAGTCTTCCAGTAGATCAAGCATTGTCACAAATTGGGTGAATATGAGTACTTTATGCTTGTTTTGGATCAGAGGTGGCACCAACTGTTGTAAGACCTGTAGTTTACCAGACGTTTTCAGCAGTAGCTCCAGTGTCAGCTGCGAGGGATCCACGAGTGGGAAAAAAAACAATAGCGTGGAGTCGACGATTTGGCGTAGCTGAACCATTGAATTCAAGAGACTTTTGTTTAGAAGAGCGCGGTGAATGTGCTCTCGATACAGCTGGTCCATTTGTATGAGAAGTTTGTCCTCTGTTTGTTCTGGCTCGTCACTGCTCTTCCATTCCAGGAAATTGCGGATCGTCCTATTGCTGACCTGCCCGATATGGTCTTGATTCAACGTATAGAAATCTTTTACAGCTTGTCTGAAAACTGTCGCCTTGAGCTTGCCTTTCAAGGCGCCTCTATAGAACTTTCGCTGGAGCGGCGTCAATTGGCAGTTTATCAGATACTCGCGTTTGGGAGGAAGGACACCCGCCAATACCACACTTTTTAGTCGCCGCAATAAGAAGGGCTTAAGGATGGTGTGCAAATTCGATATGAGATTCTTCTCGAGCTCCTCATTTATCAGTTTGTTAAGGCCTTGAGAAGAGCTTTCAAGCTCGGTGTCACCGAAGTCGAACCATTTCTGGAAAATCTCGAAATCGGCAAATATTTCGGGCAAGATGAAGTTAAGAAGGGACCACAGTTCCGCCAAGTTGTTCTGTAACGGTGTTCCAGTCAAAAGTAAACGATTTGAAGTATTGATTCGCTTGAGCTCTTGAATTAACTTGCAATTGATATTCTTGATTCGATGTCCCTCATCAACTATCAGAAATTTCCAATGATGAGATAGGATTATATCGATGTCACGAATAATAATCTCATAGGATGTGACAACTACACCCTGGCCCTTGGTGCGCTTGAAAAAACTTTTGAGTTTTGAAGTCCGCTTCTGTTGACCCAGTGAGTCGTAGTATTTAAGAACATCAATGTCTGGCGCGAATTTTGCAAACTCACTTAACCAAGTGTCCACTGTGCTTAGAGGTGCAGCTATCAGGAATGGGCCCTTTGTGTCCATTTCGGTGATGAATGCAAGCAGAGCGATGCTTTGAAGCGTTTTGCCCAGCCCCATCTCATCTGCAAGAATACCATTAAGTCCGTTCTCATAAAGTGTGATCAGCCAGTTTACACCTTCCAATTGGTAGGGCTTTAATTGGCAATTGCGTAATAGTGAAGGCTGCTGGTGAGCTAGCTGTTGCTGATCCTTTTGTGTTTCTTCAGTGCTTTTCTTGCCGAAAAAATCTGTAATCTTTCTACGCTTCTTGGAGGGATTATCGTCATTGGTCTCCCCGTGATTGTCCTGAGTCTTGTTGAGAAGAGTTTCTGCAATAATGCCAGAATAAACCTGGCTTTGCTTTACGAACTCCTGTAGTTTATTGAGCTTCAACGAAACGGTCGCGTCATCGACGTTATCGTCTTCATTGGTCTTGACCTTTTCTTTCGAGCCACGCATTTTTGCCACATTCGCATCAATCAGTTCGTTGAGTTCACCATCATCTTCCTCATCGCCAGAGCTCAGATCTACTTCTGGGCCGTCACTTAAAGCCTTGTCGTCCAGCCATACTGGCTCGCTGACTGAATCTGATGAAGAATCAGAGTCCCACGCATCAGGTTTCAAATCAGATTCCTGCTTCTCCCTGTAACTTGGCCGCGGGTAGCGATTGGAACGAGTGGATACCATTTTTAGCTTTGGTTCTCCTAAAATTTTGGAGTGATCAGTGGGTTACGGGTAGTCAGATGCAATTGCAACTCCCCGAGAAGCCAAAAAACGTCTGAGCAATGGTGCGAATCCACGTTCAATCACCAAATTGGATAAATGTAGAGCTCTTAGGCTGTTTAAAAGACGTTTCCAGGAGGTTTGTGAATCGTAAATGTCCACGCAGCGGTCTTGATACTCTTCCACTTTCAGAGACCTCTAACTCGAGAACGAAGTAGCTTTTATTTATGCTGAAAAAACAGAAAAATAGGCCAAATCAGTGGCTACCAGCTCAACTAGCGTTCGGATCACAATCACGTCTCTATGTTCTGCAATTATCCACTTAAGAGATATGTCTTCACGACAGAAGCTCTTGATGATGATTATAAGGCTGGTCTGAAAAATTATTGACATTTTACTTTCTCATAAAATCATCAAAACAACATAGTTTCTTCGAAACTGACAGACTTTGTGCCCTTTGATGACTATGGCAGAGCCCCAGGACACTCCACAAGCTGTGGAACACAGCAGCAGTGCTCCATTGCTGCCTCACTTGCAACAACAACAACAACTTCAGCAGGAAACCTCTAAAGTTGACTATGAACAGGAAGCGAAGAAGTTGGAAGATAAAGCGGTGAGATTCTTGGCAAAACAGGCCCATCCAGTGATTGTGCCCTCGTTTTCCACATGGTTTGAGTTTAACGAGGTTCATGAGATCGAACGCAGGATGCTGCCGGACTTTTTCGACGATTCGACTCGGTTCAAAACCGAAAAGGCTTATTGCGATGTCCGTAACTTTATGATTAATACCTACAGACTGTCCCCTTACGAATATCTCACTGTCACCGCGGTGCGGCGTAATGTGGCGATGGACGTGGCGTCAATTATAAGAATTCACTCGTTTCTGGAACAGTGGGGTTTAATCAACTACCAGATCGACCCCAGATCGAAGCCGTCACTTCTGGGACCCAGCTTCACGGGTCATTTCCAAATTGTGCTCGACACACCACAGGGCTTGAAACCGTTTGTTCCAAGCAAAGTGGTTAGAAGCAATGAAGCCGCACAGGAGACAGCTAATGTCAACACAACAGAGGCTCACAGCGATCCAACGGTAAAGACAGATACTGGCGTACCGGCTGAACAATCTGGAGAGCAGGAAACGGAAGCTACAGCAACCCCAGACATGCCTGCTTCGGTTGACGGGGCGGATTCCACAGTCAAGGAAGAAGTTAAACAGGAGGTAGAGTTTGCTCAGCCTGAGAAATTTCCCATCAACTTAGCTTTGCGCAAAAACATATACTCGAATGCACAAAACTTCAACGCACTTCAAAACGATTCACAGCAATCCAGACAAATCAGCAGAACATACATCTGCCATACTTGCAGCAACGACTGCGTTGGCATACGCTACCATAATCTGAGATCCAGAGACACTAACATTTGCTCCAGATGCTTTCAAGAAGGTCATTTCAGCGCTCACTTTTCGTCGTCAGACTTCTTACGTCTTGAAAATGAATCACAGGCGAAGAAACAGTGGTCCGACCAAGAAGTTTTACTGCTTCTCGAGGGAATTGAGATGTACGAAGATCAATGGGATAAAATTGTGGATCATGTTGGGGGTTCGAAGACCACCGAGGCTTGCGTCGAAAAATTCCTCACACTCCCGATCGAAGATAAGTATATCAACGAAATTTCTATTGCTCCTAAATCACGGAATCCAGAGAAGATTTCGCCAGAAGTGACGGGAACGGTCGACGCGGCCGTTAGAGCTCTTCTAAAGGGTCTAGACGACAAGGTGCTCAATGGAACGATTTCTCAATCAGGGCACCAAATCTCAGAAAAATATTTGCGTGAAGCGCAACTGGTGGTCCAAGATCTGGTAAAGCTTAATCTGGAAAAAGTGGACCTCAAATTCCAGAAACTCGACCTAATTGAAAAGACGCTGCACAAGGAAAAGCAGCGGTTCATCCAAGAGTCCGAGAAGCTGCTGAGCGAGCGCCAGTCATTAAGCAAACAAGTCACTGAGCTGAATGAGGAACTAGGCAGATTGAACGTTTCGAAAAAAGTGGTATTGCTGTCGGAGCAAGCAGATTCTGGTGTCAAGCTTGTTGAAAAAGATGAAGAAACTCAAAACCAAAACAGGCTAGTGAAGGGAGTAGAGGATGCTCACAGTGTGTCCCATGTAGAACCTCAGCAGTATAAGGCCTGGTCGCTGTCATGAATAGGTTCCAAGCTGTAACAATATATGATGTGCTTAGGCTTTTTGCCAACTGCTGGAATAGAATGGAAAATGATTGCTGAGCGGGTGAAAAAGCGCAGAGCTTGGGGTGTCAAGAGTTCAGAGAAAGGTAGACACTATGATGAAGACGGATACTTATTGGTCGTGTGATGTGTGGTCTGAAGGTAGAGATACTGGGACTTGCTAATAGAAGCACGAAAATTGAATTCAAGGTGATTATTTGACAAAATCGATGAACTTTTGTCAACCTCATCGGTACTTGAACCTCATCAATCCAGAAGTTTCTGGATGCAAATACCTGGATACATCCTTGGTTGTAAACATCGGGGGGACTCCGTTGCACATGCGGTGACAGAATGTTTTGCCTCAATTGAGGCTCTTGTGCTCTACAAAATCGCGGTAAAGAAGTAAGGCGAGCCAATTGGCCAGATTCCAATGCTTCTGATGCTTTTAATGTACAAATACAAATATCGCATTCGATGCTGGGGATCTCGCCTGGCCACTTGTCACTGTTATGTAGCGCTGTAGTCAAATATCCACATATCAGATGACCCAACGTCAGGTGACAGACAAAGACGAAATGACAGGAGGAACATGAGAGAACGGCGGATCAGCAGGATATACGTTTCAACTACATTCTCAAGCGTTCAAAAGCCTGGTATTGATACCGGAGCCAATTATCAGCTGTCAAATTTAGCTTGGACAATTGTCGCATTCAAGCCAAGAAAGTTTTGGCTCAAATAGGAATCGAAAAAACTAGTAAAACACAGATGTTGCGTGGCATTATAAATTGGTACTTTCCACCTTGGACACAGTGTACTCTCGAAGAATGTAGGATTGTTGAACATTACATCAAAACTGAAGTTACTTGTCTCGTGACCTAGATACTTGAAATTACATAATCAATAAATTTTCGTCATGAGTGACATTTATTAAATTGGCCTTTTTTCCTGAGCCAGCAAGCCGTATAAAGTAACATCGAATCTTTAAATACACCTACCTTACTTCTCTCTTCTTCAACTAACAACCCATTCCACTCCAAAAACCCACTGATCGTACATTCCATGGGTCTGTGTCCTATGTAACACTCGTCAAAGTACCTGCTCTATCGAATTTGGCAATAAACGCGGCGTTTTTCGAGCTTTCCAGACATACCTCAGGCGCACCACCACTCTTTGGTTTCGATGTTTTTGAGATGCCGAACATGATACTGTCCTTAGCTCATTTCTGCGACAAGCATGGCCCTCGTGTTCTGTTAGGTACACAGTTCGCAGCGGATGGAGAATCTCTGTTTCTTCCGGATTATGCGACGGAGACGTTCTGCGAGTCATGTTCAATGAAATTTCCCAATAATGACACCTCGTCGCGATCCATGCGTACACGTATAAGAGAAAGAGACTATGTGTCTACCAATTACCCAGCTGTTAGATACCAGCTGGTTTCATCTGTGATCAGACACATGTTTTCGGAGGAAACCATGACCTACGACAGCGCACCATTATCGTTTTTCGACGAATCCAAGGGTTTGAATCTGGTGATGGGTTTCAAATTACCGGATACAGATGCTCGTGGTGACGAGAGACGCTATGCAGTGCTTCTCACCATTGATAGTCCTGATCATGCTTCTTCAATGAAATTGCTGGCAAGACATTGGGAGTTCACAACTTACAGCTTTAAGAAGATCATAGATTACATCAAACAACGACGAAAACTAGAAATGAAGCGCAGCTTCGCAGAACACGTTCCACAAGAGTTTACCCCCATGGGTGGAACATATCTAAAGGGAAATAACTATAAGATTGCACGAAATTTAACATCGTTGACGAACGATGATCTGCTCTTCGTGCGGGTTCACAGATGGAACACGTATATTTTGGATGCTCTAAATTCTGATGCAGTATAGAGTGAGGATGATGGGTCGAAACTTGGACCAGGGACGTCCAATAGCATTTGCCTTGGTTCAAAAAAATTTAATCTGATGATTATCATCATAATTATAGTAAAATAATGTACATATCGTAGCGGTGTTATTCTGTTTTCCTAGATTTACACGCTTAGCTTGACTTGCTCATCTGAGATTTTGTCCTGGAATGGGGCAAGAGCAGTTTTGACGTCAACGCCAACGAACTTGGCCACTTGCTCTGGAGCTCTGCCGACAAAGGTGGAGGGCTCGAGCAAAGAGTCCAGTTCAGCCCAGATAGGTTGGAAAAATTCGTCTTTCTGGATACGCTCGATCAAGTCGTTGTCACCACCTTGTTCCTTCACGACAGCGGCAGCTTGGTGCGACAAGACACGGATTGCCTCATGAACTTCTTGTCTAGAAGCTCCCTTGCCTACCATGGCCATGATGATGTTTTCAGTGGCCATGAATGGAAGTTCACTCTTGATTCTTCTTTCAATGACCTTAGGGTAAACAACCAAACCAGACGAGATGTTCAACAAAGTGGACAACAAAATGTCGGCAGTCAAGAAGGCGCTTGGTAGGGAGATTCTTCTGATAGCGGAGTCGTCCAAAGTTCTCTCAAACCATTGAACAGATGCGGTCTGAACGGCATCGCTGAACAAGGACCCTAAATGTCTGGCCAAAGAGCAGACACGTTCACAACGCATTGGATTTCTCTTGTAAGCCATGGCAGAGGATCCAATTTGGGATTTCTCAAATGGTTCCTCGATCTCCTTCAAATTAGCCAACAATCTGATATCGGTAGCCATTTTGTGAGCTGTGGCAGCGAAGGACGACAAAGGAGCCAACACATCGATATCGATCTTTCTGGAGTAGGTTTGACCTGTGACTGGGTACACGGTGTCGAAGCCTAGCAGCTCGGTGACTCTCTTGTCCAAAGCTTCGACTTTGTCGTGATCACCGTGGAACAAGGCCAAGAACGACCCTTGGGTACCGGTGGTACCCTTCACACCACGCAGACCCAAATCGTTTCTGGCTCTGACAAAGTTTCTGAGATCCCACAAGAGCTCCTGGATCCAAAGAGTCACTCTCTTACCCAAAGTGGTCAATTGGGCTGGCTGGAAATGGGTCCATCCGAGCACAGGCAGATCCTTCCATTCAACGGCGAATTTGGCCAATCTGTCGATGACGTTGACAAGCTTAGGAATCAAAACGTCATAGGCGTCTCTCAAAAAGATCAAATCCGCGTTATCGGTGACGAAACAAGACGTGGCGCCCAAGTGGATAATGCCAGCAGCTGAAGGACAGGTTTGGCCAAAAGCGTGCACGTGCGCCATCACGTCGTGTCTCACAATGGCTTCCTGTTTCGAAGCCTCCTTGATTTCCTCGTCTGTGATTTTCAAGTGGTCTCCCATCTGCTGGATAGCCTCGTCCGTGACAACGGACAGCCCTAGTTCCTTTTCAGCAATGGCTAGGTTCAACCAAAGTTTTCTCCACGTCGAAAATCTGTTTCTCAACGAAAAGATTGAGGACATTTCTTCCGACGCATAACGGGAAGATAGAGGCGTGGTGTATTTGTCGAATTCAGACATTCTTCTCGAGTTGCAATGACTGTGATGGGATTTGATCGGTGAATAAAAGGGTTTAGTTCAACGTTGAATTAAACTCTAATGGAAGCGATCCAAATGGTGGTTGTTGAAGGACCAAAAAGTTTCTTGTGAAGAGAATTTGAGTGATAGCTGGGCAACTAGAAAGTCATAAATCAAACTCTTCCAAAGCCTTCGATATCTATATCAAAACTTCTTGAAATCAATGAGTTTTTCAAATATTTGACGTCTAATTTTTTTCACCACTGACTTCGATATTGGTGTAATTAAAAATAATTACTGGTAGAGCTGGCCAGAGAGAAGTCAAAATGGGTCAAAACGATGAAGAAATTGACGAGTAACAGACATGAACTTGAGAAAATCAGACGCAGACAATCTGCGCGGCTAGCTGAGATTGAGACCTACCGCTGGGATTTTCAACGGAAATTTTCCCTTGAAAACCAACCAAGTAGATCGAAAATTGGATGATTATTGATGAAAGTAGAGCTTCGTCGCTTTGAGAAAGAAATATCATTACTTTCTTCTGGGATTTCGATTTCTGATATTCCAGCGACAGGCTGTTTCCACTTGGGACCATTTCATGTTTTTTCTGAGCCTTCAAACGCTATCTTTATTGTCTTGTTTCTTGAATAACGAAAATTGCACTGGTCTATTTCGAAGATGAGACCCAGCTGCTATCTTGAAGATGAGACCCAGCTGCTATCTTGAAGATGAGATTCAGCTACTATCTTATAGCCGAGTGACCCTTCTGTAAGTGTTGAAATTTCCTCTCCTTTTGATGCTGGATAAGAAACATTCTGATAAGATGATTTCCGCTCTCACTTTCTGTAGTTGAACTTTCCACCTTGTTGAATTCCAATGCAATGAAGTGCCAATGAGCAAAGCCCGCCATCAAACCTTCCTTCTCCAAGTGACTTTCAAAGCACCCGTCAACGCCATTCACGTCTCCAATTTCCTTGTGACAGCTCATTGGTTACTCTGTTGGGCTGCTAGTCTGTACGCCATATACGCTGCTGAAGGTCTCAGTCCTAGTGGGAAGGTTCCGGGTAAAGTGGACTCCTCATCTTCCGAATCATCGTCGCCGGCATTAGCGCCCCCCGTTCCATTCCCATTATCTTCATGGTCGTCGTTCATAAAGTCGTTATCCTCGGGGTCAACTTCCTCGTATTCCATTCTCCGTTTTTTGGACCACCTGTTGAGAGGCACATCCGTAAGGTCATTCTTAGTGTTCAACAAGCGCTCTGAAATCACCACACTTGGACCCTTGAACCAAAGGACCTCGCCTTTTCCACGTTTCCGTTTTGGAGCTGTTTGATCCTTGCCCATGCGCCTTAGCTGTGACCCGTAATCTGCCCGTTGCAATAACTCGACATTCTTCGAAATCTGTAAGGGAATCACGTATGCACCGGGTGCATCGGTAGATATATTGCCCAAGGCCGAGCTATTTGTACGAGCCTGTGCCGCTAAACTGTTGATGATGGTCGGAGGCTGATAAGCGGGTTTTTTTGTTGCCTGTGAACCTAATTTGATCTGCGTTGGCACCACCGGACTCGAAATAGGAACTAGAGGAGTCTGCTGCATAGCGACCGGTCCGGGACTGATTGAAGCTTGTCCCTGAGTCGGGTACGGTAAGCCTTTCGCTGGGGGATGGTAAACAGCTGTGTTCGGCTGACGCATTCCAGATAAGCCGGTCCCGCTCCTTGTCTTCGTCAGAGAAGCCAGCCGCGTTGTCGAGGGTATGGTCTTTGTAAGATTGGTAGTTGTTTGTGAATTTGTTACCAAAGTACCGGTTTCCATATCAACTTTTCCCGGTTCGACAGGGTCCCCGGGCCTAATGATGTAACGCGGACAATCTTCGGAGGTTGAGTATTCGCCGAGATCATCTTTTCTTACTTTGGGCCTCAGGTATACGGCACCAATGAGAGGTGGGGCGTTGACCGCTCCTTCAGTAGGCATTGGAATAGGGTCGTTAACGGTAGCATTGGTTGGCAACAGATGCTTGATGGGGGAGTCGTACTTGAAAAACTTTCTACCCATTACCGGTATGGTGGATTCTTCAACGTCGCGTATCTCTTCCGGCAGACATCCTTTCCAAGTACGAATCTTGTTGAATACTTTCTCACTTTCGTTGTACCTAAACTCACAAACAAATAGAGGACCCTCAATTTCCAAGTCTGGGTCCCCGCGCTGATACCTAGTAAAGTGACAAACGTAGCACTTACCGACTATTTCGTCAACTAGATGGTCTCTGTATTGACCCGACTTCACCACTTCGTTTTTGTAGAAAATACGATCTGCCCTGTGCACCGTCTGTTCAGGTCTCAAATACCAACAAGCGTTTAGCCAACGGCGACCATCGGAGGTGTGCCACAGCCTGAAAATTTGTGCTATGGTAGGCTTTTTGGGGTCATTCGAGTTGTGAATTAGAATCCAATCTCCAATCTTGTATGTAGTGCCATTGTGGTCCACCTCGTTCAGAGGATACTTGAGTTCACCATCAGTCATATACTGTTCGTCAGTTCTCGAAAGCTCGTGCTGGGCAAGCTCTGAAAACCTAGCTTCGAGCTCAGCGGCACGTTTCAATTCGACAGGCTGCGATTTGTGGTACAGCTGGTAGTTGGCAATTGCCACTTTAAAGTCTTGCTGGAAACCTTGAAAGGTTCTGTATTTTCTTTGCTTGACCTTTTTGCGGATGTCGTCAACTGAAATTGGGTTGGAGATCAGCGTATAGTACTGAGGTTCACGTTCTTCGTCGGGGAGCCTGTCTAGTGGGGCAGTTATGTTTTCCCCTCGGTGATTTGTATCCTTTTTCAAAATCTTCAATACATTTTTAATCCGCTGTTCAAAGGGAAGATCGATAACGGGAGGTCGTCCGCGTCTCATGTGAGTTTTTTGTTGCTGATGTCTTTGATACAAGGGGGTGGGCGTCATAGAATGAGACGATGTCTGGAAAGGCCCTGGACCGGGCGACTGGGCAGATCCTGGAGCTCTCATCTTGAGAAGCTGTGAGTTTCCACGATCGTTGTAATCGTCGTCCATTTCTTCATCGTCCTCATCGTTTGTGCCGTCGGCATTTTCAAAGTCGCTGTTGTTGTTCGTAGTGTTGCCACTATGATCCTGGTTATTGAAAAGATCGGATCCAGCACGAAGTTCGGCCATGTCTTGGTTTTTATGTTCGTGGGCCATTGACTCTAACTCGTCTGGCAAGGGTCCCAGATTCGGATAGTACAAGCCAGAAAAGCTCTCTCGAAGGCTTGGAAGAAGTTTTTCTTTGATGAACGTATCCAAAACCGTTGCGTAATTGTATATGTCCGAATTCTTGGTATTATACGTGCGCGCGTTCCACGTAATTTGAGCCAAATCTTGGATAAACTCTTGAGGGTGTGTGTAATTGTTGTTGAGCCTCTTTTTGACGGTGCTCAGCGACATGGGGTGTCGAATGAGCCTATAGTAGTCTGGGTAGTCTTTTCTGGGCGGCAAGATTTGGAAAATAGGATAGATCTCCAGTCCATTAGGCTCTTTCAATTTCAACACATCGTCGTAGTACTTTTTGAGCTCGTTACGAAGCGCTTTTTGTTCGTCGGACATTGTAAAAAACGAGAGCTAGTCGTCTAGACTCAATGATCCAGTGACACGGATCTTGGAGTCACACTCGAGAGGTTTCTTGTCGTAATTCAATGTTTTGATGTAGTTAGGTAGATTCATCGTCATTGTCATTTATTGATGATATTGTTGATGAGCTTCGTGTAACGTGATATGAATGTTTAGACATCTAAAATCGTAATTATGGGCAGATCAACGATGGTTATGAATATCATCATCATGGCTCATGGATTTTGTGCTCTTTTCTACTAGTTTTGTTATTCGCATAGCCGTTTTTTAGAACATTTTGGTTCAAATGTCAGCTTTTTTCAAAGCCCAAAAAAAAATCAAAATTAACATTCTATATGCTGGAAGCACACCAAATAAAGGTGCTTAAACTCCCGATAATATTGCGTTGATTATGTATGGCTATCGATGCTTTATCTATGGTCAATAATGAAGTCTTATGGAAAGTTTGATCTCTTCATCATTTTCAACGAACAAATCTTTCATGCCCGCATTTTCTGAATCTCTATTGAACAGGCGATGAGCTACAAATACGATCAAAGAAAACGGCCGAAACCAAGCTTGTAGCTCGTCTCTATGTCTTTTGGACCATGGATATCGACGAGCAGCAGCTTTTAAGTTTCCAACGATACCTCTCTCATGCCAAAAAAGTGCTGTGCATTGTAGGTGCTGGTATGTCTGCCAGTTCAGGTATTCCGACTTATCAATGGCAGAAGGGCATATGGCGAGGGTATACGTCGCTGGACTTGGCTACTCCAGAAGCCTTCCAAAACAACCCGGGTCTTGTGTGGCTTTTTTACTCCAGTAGAAGACTTGAGGCGCTTCGAGCTAGACCCAACAATGCACACTTCGCATTAGCAGAACTGTGTCGTAGGTTTCCCAGCCAAATAAAGCAAGACACAGCTTCTAAAGACAGAAGTCATGAGGAAGTCTTCACTCTCAGCAATAGAAAAGTTCTGGTGGTTTCTCAAAACGTGGACGGGTTGCATCAAAGAGCTGGTCACCCGTCAGATTCGCTGGTCGAGCTCCACGGCAGTGTTTTCGGTCTCAAATGCACACAATTTTTCTGCAACTACCGTTCATGCAATGACAGAGACAAGTTCTTGACGCCTGCACTTCACAGGAATACCCCCAGCATCACACCAAATACTGCAAAGAAACGAAGACGAAATTCGGTGCAAGATGCGCCAGCCGTTAAGAAAGCAAGGTTAGCAGAGCCAAACGAGTCCGGAGACAAGCACGAAACCCAATTAGACACTTCAATTGAGCCCAGCGCTGGAAAAAACTCACAACCGGAGGCACCATTGCCTACTCTGGACGCCAGCGAACTACCGCGATGCCCTGAGTGTCACGAGGGACTACTACGGCCAGCTGTGGTATGGTTCGGTGAGTCTTTGCCGCTCCGTCAAATGGATGATGTGGACCGGTTTTTCAACGTGGGCGAGCCTGTAGATCTTGTTCTAGTCATTGGATCGTCTGGCAAAGTTTGGCCTGCCATGGGGTACGTAGAACGCGCAAAGAAGTCGAAGAGTAAAGTCGCCATATTCAATACAACAATTGAGGACCTCGAAAAGGTGCGAAAGGATAGAAACGTGTGGGGATTTCAAGGAGATGCGGCCGAAATTCTGCCAAAAGCTCTAAAACCACTGATCGGTGAACAATACAAGCCAAGAAATGGTAGAGTACGAAACTTGTAATGGGGCTCAAAGATCTTAGTATGCCGGGAGTTGTGAATTAACTATTTTGATGTTCAACCTATTAAGTACCTAAAAAGCAGATGAGAATGATTATTTTTGCTTGTCCGCAAGCTCGGATGAAACCACGTTTACCTCGATATTCTCCGAGGCGTCGTCGACGTAACCGATCTTTCTCTTGATGATCTTCTTTCTCCAGAAACCATCTTCACCAACCACCTCGGTATCAACCAATTCGTACTTACCGATTCTTGGCAAAATTTGAGACCATACTAGCCAGTAGATGGCCCCAAGGGCGAAAATTCCCCAAGTGACAACGTTGTGAATCCAGTAAGGGAGCGACTTGTAAACTTGCTCACCTTTATCTGATGGAGGCACATATGGGGCCACAACCAGATAGATATTCGAAAGTGTGAACAATAGTGTTACGAAAACACCAGCTTTGATCTTGGGGTTCCATTCGATCTTCTTTTGACGACGCTGCCAGTAGAGCCACAGAAGGCCTGCACTGATAGCGAGATTGATCACATTCAGTGGGTAGGAGATCAGGTTGAGAATGAAATTGTATGCATCTCCTGGAGGTGGAGCAATGATAGTTACCACACAGACAATGAAGTGCTGTAGCAAACCGACCATGGGTGAGTCGAAGGGCTTGGAACTAGCGAAAAAGTTTGAGAACGGAAGAACACCTTCACGACCCAACTGTTGGATGATTCTACCTTGCGCAAAAATCACAGAAAGAACGTTCCCCACGGCACTCAGACCAACGATTGCAGCGGCAGCCTTCTTAGCGTGTCCGCCAAACACGATGTCGAAAAAATCGGCAGCCAAGATCAGTTTTGAAGACACCAGCTTTTCCTTGGGGACAGCGGCGAAGTAAGCGATGTTCACGAAAATGTAGATGACGGTCAAAAACGCCATGGACACAGGCCCAGCGATTTTCAATGTGCGGACCGGGTCCCGTACTTCACCGAGCGCGTAGTTGACGTTCGAGTAACCGATGAAAGACCAGATGACGTTGTACAGCGCATTCACTATACCATAAGCGGTTGCGTTTCCGGTTCCTTCGAACGCGTTGTGGAAGTTGTCCGTTCTTAGGTTTTTGTTGCCCAGCACCACCCATCCGGTGACACTGATGAAGATCACAATGCCAAGCTTGAAAATGCCCAGCACGTTTTGGATGTAGATACCGAGTTTCACGTTCACCGCGTTGACGAGGAAACAGAACGCAACGATACCCAGGGCGAGTCCTCGCTGTTTCCAGGTGGTGACTTCTGTGTCTGCGGCGGTGAGAAACATGATTGCGGCGTTCACCGAGTTACTGGCAGCCCAGCCCAAGAAGAAAACGTACGAGGCGTACATCGAGGTCACAAAAAACCGAGGTTTCCTGAAAACGTGTTCGAGGTAGTTTTTTTCACCACCGTTACGAGGGATTGCGCTGCCGTATTCCAGATACACGTACATGCCGCTTGTAGCGATGATGGCGCCTGCCACCCACATGACCAGGGCCAGCCCTATGGATCCCGAAAGTGTGTAGATGGTCGACGAGACGGCAAAAACCCCGGCGCCCAGCATCCGGTTGCAAATGAGACCGATGCTCGAGATGAGACCTAGTCTTTTGGAACCTTGGTCCAATTCCGTCACAAAGTTCTCGCCTTCTTCGATCGATGCATCGCTGCCTTGGTTAATCGACTTTGTGGTGGGCTCACTGCCCATTGCTTTCAGACGTGAGATGTAGGTAGACATCGAGCGTTTGGGTTCTAGCTTTCCAACTTAACGCACAAAACTAACTCAGATCCAAAGACTCTTCCCAAATTGACACTTTTTGTAGCCAAGATTTATAGATTTCCAAAACCCAAATCATTGCATGCAGCTCTTAATGCAATGATTTGGTTACCACCACAGTTCTTCTTTTTCACTTGACGTTGGTACTAGAATTGCCAGCAGTGGTGCTAAGTCTCGGTAATCGCAGGTCTGGAGGTGTTGAAAGCTGTGGTGGCATCGAAGACTCTTGAAATCTCCACCATTGTTCACCGGGGTGAACTTACCGACTCTGCTGTGGCACAGCGGTGTTCAATTGCACTATAAAAGCATCAAGAGTGTTTGCAATCACTTCGATGCCGTGTAGTTGACCACTTGGAGCCGTAACCTGTTGCCGTGTGGAAATTTTCGAAATTTTGAAGTCTTGAAAAGAATCGTTTGAAGAAGGTGCACACTTATGGCATCAAAATGAAGAGAAAAGTTTACGGCATTCGCGCTGGAGATGGTTGTGTTGTTGAGGCGCTAGATTTTGTGTGTGTTGTAGTTCTGGTGCCGTTTATTTGATAGAACTGAGTCGGGCGATGTCCTGATGGTGTGTGGGTGTATGTCTGGGTGGTGGGTTTGGGTGTCTGGGTGGGCGATTGGGTGACTGGGTTTGAAGGGTGTCTGGGTGGGTGACTGTGTGTCTGGGTTTGTAAGGTGACTGGGTTTTAACGGTGTCTGGGTTTGTAAGGTGTCTGGGTGGTGACTGGCCCAGCTAGCTGAGGACACAGTAGTAGAACACAACAGTTCGATGGATAGTGATGTTCTCTGGACAGTGATGTTCTCTGGACAGTGATGTTTTCCGAACGACACAAATAATTGTACAAATCTCGATGAAGCCACGCGTCAGTGATCTCGTTGGTGATTCTTGCAGTCGAAATTGCCAAAACTGTAATTTCAAAGTTTGGTGTGCGGTGTGCGGAGTGCAGTGTGCGGTTTACTGTCCACGCACCATTGCCATTGCCATTGCCATTGCCCTTCTTCTCCAGAACGCTCAAGAATCCCCCCACTCTTTGTTTGAAATGCCATCATTTTGGCCTTTCTCAACGCTCCCATCGCTCAAAACAGTAGTAAAATCAGCATCGTCTTATTTCCCCTCCAATGGCTCAGTCTTGTTAGTTTTCCCACACCTCTAGAGTGCCGTCAGTATGGCACTCCATCACCCCACGCAGCTCATTGGTAACAAGTCTTTTTATTGTCTCCACCCGGCGCTTGAATATTCACAGTTTCGCGTTCAAACCGTTCGCGTTCTGTTGTAATGCCACCCCGGATTTCTTGGAAAAAAGGGCTCTCACGCCAATTGCACGGTTGAATCAATGAAATAACGTTCCAATTGTGATCTCTGATCCTTTTTGATCCAACAGAACCCGCATTTTTCTTCAAAACTCGGAGTTCGAGAATTATTGTTCAACCACTTAGATATATCAGCCCAAATCTGTTCAATTTTGGAGTTTTTGGGATCATTATAGAACCCAAAATTCTCTTGATATACTGTAGTATCCATCAGATATATTCAAGCCTATCTTCTCATGCTATCTTCCCTGGTAATACAGTGTCATTGACTGTGTCTGACGATAATAATAATGATATTTTAAATGGCATTATAATATTATAACTTTCATCATTGATCAAACTTACAATCAAACAAGACTTTTTACTGAATTTTAGACCAAAACAAACGGTTTCACCAGCTAAACTTGCCACGATGCTGTAGCGCCGTTTTCAAGCTCTCGAACCATGTATCTTTCATGCCAAAAAGTGTCCGGTAAAGCTGGAAAACTGGAGGTAACAGTTATATTAAGTTGACTTGCCGAGTGTGTTACAATTCCACTCCAAAAACCGGTAATATCCACTTTTCAAACGATTTCTCTGGCATTCCAGACTTTTCTCATTAGCTAGAACCAGTTTCTTGAGCTGTCTACGCTTAATTGATGACACATACCCATGTTATGTGCTTTCAAACACCTGAGCTTTTACAGACACAACACCAGCACTTTCCGTTCTATGACGGCCTGAGTTTCAACGATCCTGATTTGAAGACCCCGCTCAGTGATATGACATTCGATTCGGGCTGCTCGTGAGCCCTTTCTTCTCCGATTTTAAAAAAGATGCTATCTCCTCACATTTGAATCAATCAACCCATTGTTTGCCACAATTGGACCCCATGGTCTTCAGAGATATTCCATTATTACCCTTTCCAGTGTACCCAATTGCTTGAAAACCACCGTCACCTAAATTCAAGTTTTGGCACATCAGAAGTCCCTTTTCCTCACCTTCACCATTGACACTTCCAGAAGAGGCAATATGCTGGGAGACCGATGTACGCTTAACTTGCAAGCTCAGTCCTTACTGAGATGCTCTACAAACCACATGAAAACCGTTTTGAGGCGAGCTCCATACTTGCATTCTGAACATTTGGAAAAGTATAAGTAGAGCACCGGCGATGGTGCCAATGCATAATCGTCACATCATTTTACCTAACATATTAAAAAATCTCTGTCTACATGGTGGAGTCAAAGTGGGACCCACAGGATGTCCTGATCATCTTCCAGTCCATGTCGGGCGATCAATTCTCGGTTGATTCTGAACAAATGCAGTATGTGGTCAATAGACGTATCACTCAGGGCATTTTGTTCGGAACCAGAATCGGAGCAGCAATCATCACCATTGTGATTCTCATGATGGTTTCAAAAAACCGGAAAACTCCTATCTTCATAAGCAATCAAATCTCCTTGGTTTTGGTCGTCTTGCAATCTGCTTTATACCTGGGCTACTTGTTTAGTCCCTTTGCATCTATCAGTTTCACCGTGGCTTTGATTCCTGACACCATTCCAACTTCCAATTTGCATCTCTTTGCAGCCACCAACATTTTCCAAACCCTGTTGGTAGCAGCGATTGAAGCTTCCCTCATTCTCCAGGTTCGTATTATCTTCAAAAGCGATAGATTTAGGGCTGCTGGTAGAGCTCTGCTCGCAATTGCATCAGCACTAGCCGTGTCAACTGTGGTCATTTTTTTGGTATCTGCTATCAAATCCATCTCAGCTGTTTACAAAAGCGTTGATGCGGTTCCTGATACGGTCTTCTTCAACATTGGTGTTATACTGCAGTCAACGTCGATCAACTTTATGACATTATTGCTCACAGTGAAATTACTGCTAGCAGTGCGTTCCAGACGGTTTCTTGGTCTCAAGCAGTTTGACAGCTTCCACATTTTAGCCATTATGTCATTTCAAACACTCATTTTCCCAAGTATACTTTTCATTCTGGCATATGCGCTATCGGGAAGCCAAAACACTAGCTATTTGAACAGTATCGCTGTTTTGCTCGTCACTCTTTCTTTACCACTGTCGTCAATGTGGGCCACATCTGCTAATAATGGCTTTAGGCCCTCATCTTTGAACACATCCTTTTCACCATCAATCTACGATGGAAGTTCTGGAAAGGGCGATGAACCAAGCTTGTATTCTCAGTCCGGCAAATCTTCTGGCTATCAGCAGAATAGTTATCAGGCCTATGACTTGTACCCCATGGCTAAATCTGAAGACGTGCATCTCGAATATAACCACATGCGTGAAGCAGAAAAGAACGATTGTCGAACCATTGCAACTTCCATGTTAACGGCAGACGAAAGTTACTCTTCAAATTCCCACAGTCAAGGTACACAGCGACAGAATCTCGATCAACTTGAGCGCGTAATGGAGTCTGGAGCGTACACCCCCAACACAGTTGATGACGAGGAAGCTCGCAACTTTTGGTCAGGGACGAGATCGTAACGACAAAAAATACCAGTAACACGTTCATCAACAGACCGAATAGCTGCAAGCAAAACGTGTTGGGCATTCTGTTGCGTCAGATCTTGAATAGAGAGCTGTTCTCGCCTTATCAAAGAACCCGAGATCTCACACAGCGGTGGACTTAACGTCACGTCTATAAAGTAGATATGCTAGAAAGTGGACTTAGTGGTTCCGAGAGGACCAAATTGAGTCTATGCGAATGGCTTGTCAAGCGAGCGTTTTGAAGAATAGCATGGCGCACAGACAGTTAAATAAGTGGTGTAGCCAATACAGGTTTCTGGCTCCAAAAAGGATGCTGTACATCGAAATGTGCAACAACCACACGACTATTGCGATACTGCCAAAGTCTCTCTTAGATGAAAGCCTCCTGGGCATTCGAGACCGGGCGTTGCTTTCGATGAGCAAGACTATGGGCAGCACAGCCAGGAAATTGTGATGCGAACGGAACGGAGTTTGCCATTTGATGGCAAAATTGCGCATGAACACTACCACTATCGGTGCGTTTATTGGAACGAGGAACAGCATCAACATCAACATCGAGTTGTTGAAGTTTGCCAGATCCGCGTTTTTGCTTCCTTTTGGACGGGCCGCTAGTTTTAAGCAATGTAGCGTCTGCACAATGGTGAGAACTACAAAGGCAAACTGGTACGGAATGTAGAATATAACACTCACGATAATGATGAGAAGTCCCAGAGCTTGTCTAACGTCATAATTGCGACTGGTCGTATCACCATTCGCACCTAGACTGTTTTCAGTCATTTCACCGCCATCCTTAGCATTGCCGAACAACCAAGTCACTGTGCTCTCGCTGACGGACACAATGCGGTAGACTAGGTAAACCAAAGAAACTGTCATGAGAAAGAAAAACGGCCCTAACCACCACATGAAAGTCTCACGAGTACCAAGAAAAAATGCTGTGTTATTCGACAGGGAGCTGGAAGAACCCCCACTAGTTTTGTTGGTGATCAGCATGGCAAATTGAGGAAGTCCTATGAAAGCTGCTAATGGTGTAAGCAAGCTCAAAAATGTGAAGATTCCTATCCAGTGCTCCTTCAGAATCCGATGCACCGCGCAATCGAATGCAATAAAATGACCGCTCTGCCCGTAATGAACAAACTGATATGCCATTACCAAGGACACGAATCCAACAGTGAAAGCGACAATGGATAGTCTGAACCTAATCAAAAGCATTTTCACCGTTAGAGACCAATTGATCCTAATGTTCATGAGGCTCTCTCCTCCTGGCGGATTAATGAACATTAGCTTCAAAGATCTGTCGTGAGTGGAGTTCAATTCGACAAAAGGAGCCACGTTGTGAAAGTTGATGTCTTGAGGGCCTTGGTCCAGATTTACATGCCATTTGGTTTCGAATGGCTTCTCCACTGATTGCCGAAGTAGGGTTTGGAATAATTCGCTTGTTCCGCTGTGCTGCGTCTCAACACGATATGATACAATTGAAGAGTACAAGTTTGTGAAATCAAAACTAGTTACCAAACTTGTGGGCACTTTTCTGTTCTTTCGCTTGAAAATCCCATTAAAGAGGACTCTGAAAGGACTCTCGTCAATCACTGTTTTGGTAACTTTGTCGGTCAGTTCTGATACAACGAAAGAGTCATCTTCTGTTTCACTTGTTTCGACCTTCATCACTATGAAGTCATAGATGAGTACAGTCGTTTGGTTTACATTCAATAGTCTGAATGAGTTTTCGTCTGTACCCCAGGATGAATCTGATGGGAAATGACTCTTAGAGGTAGATCTCGGTATAGTGACAAAGTCTTCAGATGCTGGTACGCAATTGGAGGTCTCGTCTTCAGATACTAGTTTTTGGTCCTTATAATGGGGTTGTCTTATACAAAAGAGAACCTCGACCGATTGCATGCTTGTCAAGATCGAAAATTGGAGGTTTTTTGGAGCTTTTGGTATAGTGAAGATGCGAGTTAATGGATCCGAACTTAGATCTGCGGGTACCAGAACATCCTGTTCATTAATGCTCACTCTTTTATAGTTTTTTGGAGTTTGGAAAATGTAGCTCAAGTCCATTGGCGCTGGATTGACCTTTTTGTCTTGATCTGTATAGCTTTCAAGTCCTGTCAAAAGCCATTTCCGGTACAGGTGCATTCTTTCATTTAGGGACCTCGTTTTGGAAGCAGATCGCACATCTACCGATTCCAACAACATATGCGCCAAAACGTTACGAAGCTGATCGCACCAAACTATTGCTAAGTGATCAATGGGGGTCCATAGCTTTGGAATCGTTGTTGTGTATGTGGTGAACCCATTTTCGTAAGGTACTATTCCTTCGATAGTAGTAAAATCTGCGGGAAGCACCGTATCCAAGACACCGCCTGTTATTGAAATTAGTGAGATGTTTTGCGAAAAGAAGCTGGTGGGATCTTCGAACTGGCTTGTCCAGAATTGACCTATCCGCTCGTAAATTTTCATCATATCACCATCGAATGTGACAGGAGCAGCCGCATGCGGGGCGGAAAGCGTGATGTAGGAGTTCACAGATTCGGGTCTGAAATTTTTGAGAGTGGGCATCACTCTTGCGACAATGCCGCCCATGGAATGTCCCAATATGATCACAGACTGCGGGGGAGGTCCAAATTCCCGGTCTTGCGAGCGGTAGAGCGAAAGAATGTAAGAGACTGCATCATTCAAGTAGCCGGCTTGGTCCAATAGCGTTCTGCCGTGGAAAGCGGTGAAATCCTCGTTGAAGTCCGCTGTGAAGAAGTCCAAATTTTTCGTGTGCGGGTTTTCGATGGAGTCCGGTTCGTCGAAGTAAACGTTTGCACATGCAGCCGCGATGGAGCGAGCCTGTTTGAAACTACCGGCGTTTCCCGGTATGAAAAGCACGGGAATCCCATCTACATGTATCATTCCGTCTTCGCTGGGGTCCCGATCTTTATTTTGTTCCCGATACAGGTACAGATGGTATTTCTTTGCGAGTTTGGTGTATCTTTCATCGAATCCGTCTATTCGAGCGTACGATGGGTACATGTATATGGATCGACACTGTGGAGAGTCTGAGCCGGAAAAGCTGGTTATAGCACTAACTATGACCACCAACAAGATGCAGAAGAACCCCAAACCCACGATACGGTTGGAGGCTCTATTTTGTGCATCATTACAAGTTGTAGTTCGTTCCAATTCGCTGTCTTTCCTCAGCGGTTCCTGTATGCGATGAGATGGTGATGATTCTTTAGATTCAAGGTATTTGCCAGCAAATACCGTCATTCCCTTCCGAACAAGCGCTTTCGCACTTCTTCGAAGTCCCATCAATGAATATAAGATCTAGAACTAGTTTGAGCTACTCAATTGCTGCTAATGATGTGAAGTTAGGTCGAACTTGGTGAACAAATCGGTTAAAATCGTCAAATTCAAATTTCAATAAGTTAATATCCAATTTGACATATCTAGAATCACTAGAAATATTAAACAAACTAAACAAAACGAGACATAACCATAGTAAATAAGACTATTTGATCGTTGTAAGTATACTGAATAAATAGCCCTTTTCAAGAGCTTGTCAGAGAGCCTAAAATTTCATATTTTGCAGTACTAGTTGTTTGTACAAGACTAACTGTCGTTATTAATGGATCGTTAATGTCATTAGTATCTACTACATACATGAGAAAATGCTAAACTTTGTAGAAGTCGAAAAAATATTGTGCCAGCAGCAGCAATGGTGGTGGAGCGCATGCGAGTTGGCCGCAGTGTCACTGCTGAGAAGTGAAATGGGATTAAAACCCAAAAAACAAAACCAAAAAACCCAAAAAACCCAAAATAAAAAAAACTGACGTCGAATAAATGTTACAATGTGTTGCGCCGCAGGGTCGAGCAGGCGGAGACGCATGGTCTAGTTCACTGATGTGATGTGCTGTTGCTGCTTGGCAGCTGCAGTTGTGTTTGCATTTGAGTGTGTGTTCTTTTTCAGCGAGGACGACGCAGAGGTGGTTCTCGCAGAAGCGGAGGACATGCCGTTGGGTGAGGAGGAGGATGCAGCGGGCGAAGATCCGTTGTTCAATTTGTTGTTGTTGGTGGTGGACGGATGCTTCGGGGACGCAAAGCTTTTGTGGACCCGGCGCTGGCTGTACATGTCCTGACGGTATTTGAAAGTGGCATCGCGCAGCTGTTCGTACGATTTGCTTCCAAGCATGGTCCCGAACCGAATAGTCTGGGTGTCGTTGGAAATCTGGTTGAGTCGCGCGGGCTCGTGCGAAAAATGGGCGCCGTAGCTGTTGTAATCGGAATCGTGTTTCCAGCGGTCGTGCAGTCTTGTTAGAGCGTCCAATTTGGAGTCGTAAACGTCCACCACGTCGTTGGTGCGCTCTTGTCGATCAATCTCGGAAAGATCCATGAACTCACTGATAGGCGAAAAGCTCTCGCGTGGCCTGAGCACATCGAGGTATTCGGTGCCAAAACGACCCACACGTCTTCTCAGCTTGAAAGGCAGTTCCCGGGTGTAAACCTCGCTATCGTCTTGGAAAGGGTTGAACCTCTCGATTCTGGAATATTTGGGATTGTTGATGATATCGCCGTCTTTACCAACAACAGTGACGTCTTTGGACTTACCACTGAGGTAATCTTCCAAATTTGGGGCGTAGTAGGATCGCTGTGCCTCGAATCTCGAAGATGCAATCGAAGTAAATGGTGCGTTGCTGGCAGAAACGTTTGCCGGAACGGTGATGTCGAAAACAGGATTGTACGGATCGTCGGTCAGATTGAAAAATAGATCGCCGTCCTCGAGTCTGCGGTTCCGCATTCTTTCCTCCACGTAGTTTTTGGCACTTTTTTCCTTGGACACCAAAAGTTTGTCTACGTCTTCGAGCAGAATGTCCGGGATCTTGGAGCTGGGCAGCTTGACGTACACATGGGCAGCCACAGAGTTGGCCTGTTGTTTCTGCTGCTGAGCGGCCTGTGTCTGCTGCTGCTGTTGCTGCTGCTGTTGTTGTTGTAATTGTTGTTGTTGCTGCTGTTGATGATGTGCTTGCTGCAACTGTTTCTGCTGCGATTGCTGTTGAGCAGGTTGCTGGTGGGAAGCTTGTGCCTGTTGCGACTGGCTGTGTTTGTTAGATTTGGAAGCTACATTTTTGGAACTTGAGGAATCTGCTTGAGCTTTCTTAAGTTTTGATTTGGATTTCTTGGAAACGGGTTCGACGGGCGCGCTCAGGACAACGCTGCTCACAAGTTTGCGTTTCTTGGCATCAACCAATAGATGATCGTCTTCACCCTTTATTCCTAGCGCACGCTTCACAGGTTTGATATCGCGCCGCAATTCAAAAACCCTTAGATCCTGCTTTAGAATGTCCAATGTGGTTTGCTCTCTTTTGGCAACCAGCAATGCGAGTTTCTTGGTGTATTGTAATTGTTGTTGTAAAAGCCGCAGCTTGTGACTATTTTGATAATCGATTCTTCGCGTTTTACGGGCCTGTCGTACTTCTCGTCTACGGAAACACACGTAGGGATCGTTCTCATCGCGTTCACCGCCGTGTTTTTCGAATTTGAGTTGCGGACTGATTTCGTTACCATGCGCTTCGATCTTTCGGGTTTTCCAATGCTGATATACCTGGCTACCGTATTTCTCGACCAGGACTTGTAAAGGACGACAATCGTGGCTGCTAGCAATATCGAATTGCGTAACGAAAGGTTGTGGTGGTTGAAGACCTATTTCTTTGGCCAAATGGTTCTTTATACCTGCATCGCCCAGATCACTTTTCAGGATGGTCGGCTTGATTTCCTCGAGCGTCAGTATATTTTCCGGATCGATGCTAAGAAACGGTTGTCGCTCGTGAATGGCGGTCTCGAAACTGCTACACATGAGCTCGAATTCGTTTTCGGACAGCTCAGGATTGGCATTGTTTGCGGAATCCGTGGTCGTTCCAAACGTGGAGTTTAAAAACTCTTCGTCGCGCTCGTCCATGTTATAGCTGTTCCCGCAGCAGTCTTCGACCGTGGCAGAAAACCTGATATAGCTTTTGGGCTCTTCGAATTTTCCCTGGTAAAAATGCGAATATTCGGGCCATGTTCGGGACGCATCGGGTGTTGGGATATAAAGCTCTGTGCGTGCCAGCTGATTTTTCTGCAAGATGCGGTGCAAATGTTCTTCCCGCTCTTCGTTTTTGTCGACACCGGTTTCGATCTCGACGAGTTCTCGCTGTTGCAGCTCATCTTTATCGAGTTTTCGGAGGTCCGATGCATTGTAAACCTGGAGTCGTTGCTTGACCGAGATCTTGCGGTGACGGAACCTGGTGTTGTTGGCTTCTTTAGCACTGACACTGGCACTGGCATTGGATGATGCGATGGATCCATTGGTCTTGGTAGCCGTTACCATGGTCTTTGGGTGTGTGGTGTGTGGGTGTAATGAATGAAAAATTGGTCTCGTGATATGTGCGTGATTCTCACGTGACGGTGTGAAAACTCTCCGGAAATTATATTTCTGTTGTTATCACTTTTCACGAAAATGGATGTGTGTGTGTGTGTGTGTCGTCACCCAATCACGGAAACCAAAGCGATGGGGGAAGCGCCAGTAATGGTCAGGTGAGAATGGGGATTGAAATATCTTTCGAAGTTTGTGGCTTCTACCGCTGTATTAATTCTCTTCTTCAAAAGATTAATTCCTAACGTCGTCGTCTTCGTCGCCAAAGAGTCTTCTTTTTCTTCTTGTTGTTGTTGTTGTTATTATTCCTGTTGTGTGTGTGTGTGTCGTAGCAACCTGGAAGACCAGACCAAACCAAAACCCGAAAAAAAAGTTCGTAGAAGGTGATACTTGATATCAGGGTCAGCTGATGTGTGAGAACTGTATCGCTATTAACGGTTTTCGTCTGTAGCGATGTCGTGTAGTGTGATTATGAGTCACGTGTTTTCACGACACGAAAGAAAAAAGTGACAGAGAGAAAAACAAGCCACAAAATTGGTAGCTATTCAAAGCTCAAAGTTTGTTCTCTCACACTAATACTGTTTCCTCACTCTCCGCTCTCTTTTCCACACACGCGGAAAGTTTTCTTTATCGCTTTGGAATTAGAAATAAAGCCCGGTGTTATTTTTCCCGTAATCGTCCACCCCTGGTTTCAACGAGTGAAAAAGTTTTTTTTTCTATCTGTATCGGGAGAGGAAAGAGACGGGAAAAAATGACGTGAAGAGAGAGGTCTCGTGATCCGTGTGTGGTGATGTTGGTGTGAAAAGCAGACATCACTGTTGACGGGTACTCACTCTATACGTAAGCGACTGGTAAGCTTATCAGAGATATTCCAGGTATTTGAAGAAGCTCTCGGCCGTCAGACTTACCGTTCAAGCGGTCCAGTCATTTTCTCTCAAGCTAAGTGCTTAAAATTGTTCTGCGACACACCAGATCCAGATCGCTTTAGACGGTATGCTTGGTGGTTCCCCGCCTCGTACGAAAACACACACTATCGTTGGGCCTAAATTCGCAGCGCCGACGTTCGAACCATTCAATTCAGTCATTTTGTAGTCGTGCAAGAGACATTTACATTTGATTACCACTTAGGATTATGTGAAGGCTCTAAGTGGTACGTTTTGCTGCTGCTGTTGTAAGGTTTGTCACGTGATCTGGGTCACTCTATCAAGAGTCTGACGGCAGATTCTTAGAGATGGAGCCTACGTTATGAACAGAACAGCTCATTGCCCATGTCTACAACAAAAGGCCTGGAATCCGGGATTTGTATTTTTTAGATCTTTGATGCCTCAAATACACGCTCTTTTAGCCATTTACACTCTATCGCTTGCAACTGTCGTCCGCACACGTGACTAGGATCACTCGCCCGATGTAACTGACGCCAAGGCCAGCATGGCTCCTAAGAGCTCTGATGTCGTCAATCCTTGATGTCCCAGGCTCTTGTATTCTGGAGCTCACATCAAAAATCGCATCTTCCATTGAAGCCAGAACTTTTATATCAAATATGTCCATCAATATTGTAGAAATTTCTTGATCAGATATTCCATCTCTTCTTACGTGGCAAGTAATGCACCACTGATGTTGAATTAAGAGCCAGTTCTTGTCCAAATAAACTTTCAACATTGTGTGTCGTCTCCTTCGCAAATAATCTGGTAATGCATCATTCAAGATTTTTTACTTCTCGTCTTGACAATAATGTCTTTGACGAAAAACCGGTCTTGAAAAAGCGTTCCTCCGTGTCTTGGGCAACTCTTATGGGATAATATAGGTCTCAGTATCGGAATCCCAAAATTCGGGTATGTTCTTAGAAATCTTCTTTACCGTCTCTTTCGGTTTTAAGAGCTAAAGTTGAGCCTGTGACATTTCTTTGAGAACCGAATCAATGCTTGTAAAGTTGTCCGAAATTCTCATTTTGTTGTGACTTTACAATTGATCAATTCCTTTGGCATCTGCATTTTTGTCCCCAGCTTTCCTCACCGGTAGCTTCTCTGCGCTGGACAGGTTTATAAGAAGCTCTTATGGATTAGATTGATCTGGAGATAGATCTGTCACAAGAAACTCTATTTCTGACGCTCAGCGAGCATGAATTTCATTTAAAAGACATGTTTTCTCACCTTTGAAATCCTGCAAATCCGTTTGTAAAAGTTCATTCCAGTTGCTAGGTCTGCCCTTCCGATCTTGTCAGCTTCGTCAAACGTTCTTAGGTGCGTCTGATATTTCGTCAAGTCCAGAAGATGTTCTTTGAATAGAATCTGCACTAAACGTGTTCCCATCAGCACCACCTGAACATTGAATTTGAATCCCAGTTCTACGGCCTTCTTTTCTTCGAGGTACGCATCGCGACACAAATATCCAAGGTCTTGTGAGATTCTTGATTATAGATCAAAATCCTCTGTATGGTCTATCTGAACTGGGCAAATTCCATCCAGGTACAGTACGTCAAATAGCGACAATAGCGCACTGTGTCACTGCTTATTCCATATTGTAGCAGGTATTCTTATCGCTGCTCGAGGTGAATATCCCAAAGCGTGGAAATTGGACCCTTCCAAGGTTTTGACAGACATCCCTCATGGCATGGCACCATCAAAAGTCTAAAGGTAGAAGTGAATTTTTCGCAAATTCTGTGGAAATTGTGCAACAATTCAAATCAACGAAGGGCTCCTGGGGCAATCGTGTAAATTCCCATTTCCTCTAGGATCTTGATAGTTCCATAGACGAACGTAAAAAAGTGTCAAGAAGTGAGTAATTTGTAACACAATACCCAAATTCTGCGTACTTTCTTCCAATCCACTCCGTCCAATACAAACCCTAAACACTGGTCGGTTTATACCGCTCCAGTCATTTTCCTGTCGTCACTCCTAGAATACACACTTTTTTCGATATCTTACAGTAAAATTGGCTGAGAGTTGGGTGTCGTTCTCAGAGTTACAGACCATTGATGTACATTTTATCAGCTTCAAACTCCTCCAAGCTTCTTAAATGTTGCAAGAACTGTATAAAAAGACGCCTGACACTCGATCAGCGTTCTTGCCATGTTCGCTAAAAATTCAAGGACAAACCACAGAAAAACCGTTGAAAAACCGCTCAATTGATGTAAGAATATCCATTTTTTCTCTGGATACTTATTCTCCATTATAGAGTCATTCAACTGCTAGCGCCAGGCTCTTACGGTGGACGCCAGGTTGGTTCTATCCACTGTCATCGATATCGGACATCACCTTAGTACAAAGTGATCTGGTTTGATTCGATAGATCTCTGAAATGTATAAAAGGGCATCGCTTCTAACCACCAGATCTCACCAACTCGCAACACAACAACAGCAAAGGAAACCATTCTTTGAAAGAAACCATTCTTTGAAAGAAACCATTCTCTGTCTATTCTGTTAACATCCAATTACCAATGACTGTCAACGTAAGCCATATAGTTAACTCTTTTATATTCACATTTTTGATACCTTATATGGTAGCGAGATGGACAGGGACTATATCGCTTAACAATGTCCTTTTCTTTACTGTTCTGCTCAATGCCCGTGATTTTGGAAATGTGATTGCCGACCTGTTGGAAAAGTAGAATTAGAGCCCTTGTTTGGGCTAGCAGGCTGTGGCAACCACAACAAATATTAACTCTAGCCGGCGGTGGTGCATCGGTGGACTGTTGCAGTTGCACATTGTGGTTTTGGTTGGCAACAGAAGATTCATCACACTTCGAAGTACTGCAGGTCGATGTTTAGACAATCTCCTGTTGCAAGATCCCTTGAAAGCAGCAGTTTGGCGAAATCGAAGGTGGGAATAGGATGTGTAACGAGTTTGTATCTAAAGACCTCCGCAGAACCTATTGTGTTCAGACCTTTATCTGTAATGGTCTCAACTTCTTCAAAGCAGCACATTTTGGCGAACAATGACCAGAATACTTCCCAAGCCGTTGATACACTCTCAGGCCATACACGCTGATCGCTTGGTGAACTCAGACACAATAAATCATCATGAAAGGGAACATTTTACTATGTGTTACTAGCGATCACCATTTCCTCCTTATTTTTGGCGAAACGCCATTTCTACAAAACCGACAGAAACCCATTGGTTTTAGCCATGGTGGTTGGAATTAAGGGCCTTGAGACGGACCTTCTACTAGCTAGCAAAGAAATGCTTGAAAATTGATGATTTCATGAGGTTTTATTTGCGCTCCAGCACTCTCGAAAGGCGCTGGCTCGGTACAATTGCGCTTCAAAAGGCCTTGACTTAGCGAATATTGCACTAGAAGAGCTTCAAATGAGTTTCCGCAGCCTTCCATCTTGAAACCTCTGGGCTCACAAAATAAAAGACGACCCTGTCTGTAGGCGTCAAGTATCGCCCTTTGAACTTTCGGAAGCCAATTTCCATGTTAAAAACCCTCACTTGTTGGTTGTATTTCTTCTTGGATTTTCAAGATCGAAAGAATTTTCTCTTGCGTTTCAACCCCGGTTCAATGCATTCGGGGAACCTTGCTTCTCCTCTTGGGTCGAGTGCTTTATGTTTGTCAAATAAACTTGACCACTCACCCCACATCTTCAAGTTTTGAGACATCAATACCGCTTGCAGCTCCAAGGAACCTTGAATTGAGGCACAAGACGTTGTTCCGATCTTGTTATGCACTTTTTTGTTTCGTATTGGCACTTGACATCTGATGCCAATTAGCGAAAGTCCCAAATTCATGTGTGCCAGATGTTTGTACGTCGTGCATCGTTGGTAGTCAACATTGAGGCAGATAGTCCAGGTGCTTCACATTAACGTGAATGACATATTCTTATTCTGAGCCGAAGAACCTGTACTGAAGGACGGCTGTATGCTTGATGTCCGAAATGGTGAATTTCTTATGACATCTATGTACAGCGGTTTCGGCATCAACGTGCTCATGCCGAGCAAATTCTGCATGACAAGTGTTAGTGAAATTAAAAACTCCAGTGCTGTCAATGGGTCTGTTGACCTCTCAAAGCAAGTTGTTCAAGTTCCTTCCAAAGCAAAACGCAACCAAGTAGTGGTGGTGACAGTCAAATTCGCCTCTTAGACAGGATACAGAACCAAGGACGAAATGAAACTACAATGGAAGGCTATCAAACGGAAAATGCTAGCTCAAACACACAAAGCAACCCTCTAAGCCATCTGCTAAGGCACAAACACTCCCACGGACGAAATCTTCAAGTCGCGCTGGCTTAAGTTAATTTTCCGTGTCCTAGCGCTTCGTGCTGTGGTGTGGCATAGCCTAAGATTCATCCAGGCCTTACATGAACTGCCATGCTCATTCTAGATGAACGTCTTGGAATCAATTCTGACGCTGTCATCGCATCACGTGCCGAACGAGCATTGTGACGCCAGACATAAGAAGAGCACCAGACAGCTTGCAGTTGTCAATCATATTTTCCAAACCTTGTGAGGGTGCCATCTATCAATCCAATAACTTGGATCCCATTGATGAGGCCAAGTAACTTCTTCTAAAGCCCGCTTTCATTTTTACAGAGCAGTTTTTCTCCTCATCCATTCCTCGCTCAGTCAACGCGTTGGATCAGACACCTTTCATCCACTCCGTCCCTTTAATTGCCAAGTTTGTTGTCGAATCCAGGGTTTGAACCATGTTTAATTTTGATGAAATTCATTGCTTTGGCCTGGCTTCTCTTTTCGACACCCAAACCGCCATGGCATGCTATCCAACTGATTCTTCACTAGTCCATATCAACGGTAGACAAATGCGCTTCAAACTCATCCTGGGTCCGCTCGTTTCCGCCTTTTGACTAGCTTTCTACCGCCAGTGACGCATTATCAGTCGTATCTCGCAATTTCCCGGAACAGAAGATACCTGTCCCGATACCCAAGGACCGATACAATGCACCAACAACGATCAATCCAATTCAAATTCCCTCTGAATCTCGCTCTGAAGTCGTCGTCACTCGTTTCTTCCTACATCTTCCCATTTTGGTTCTAAAACTCGTCCTGAGGTCCAAAAATCATGGCAAAAAAACAGAAACTATCAGCACATCTACAAATTTTCAGCCATCATAACTGTCTCGACTCAACAGCAGCTCTTCTTCCCCAGTAGCGAGTGCATTTTGACTACCAGAGAACTGCTGTTCGTATGTCGCTATCGGTGTTGAAGATATTGTATTTTAATTACAGATCAGCGATGCCCTTCTGCGATGCCCTTCCCAAGAACAAAACCAGTAAGAAGTTGACGCTTTCAAGACTTGTATATAGGCCTGGTGCACCATGGATTCGCTTATAGAGATCGTCAGTAAGACGATTGGCAATTTGCAGGCCAAAATCTCATTCCTAGAGACTCAAAAACAGCAATACAGCGACATAACAAAACATTTGAAAGATCGTCAAAGTGCCAATCCGGGCGCAGACGAAACCCAAAAGGGACTGATCTTAGGAGAATTCATTATATCTTCAAAGATATATCAGAATATTGGCTACGAATACTACGTGGAAAAAAGTTTACAAGAAGCTTTGAGCCATGCTGCCGACAAAATACGGCTCATCGATGATGCTGTTGAGCAATTCCAACGTAAAAACAAAGAGGCCAATGATACTCTGAACAACTTGAAACAGGCCCAGACATTGGAACGGGACGGTGCTGAGTCTCAGGAAAGTGCCGATCCGTCCATAGACCCTGCAGAAAACGATGAGGGCTTGCCGTTCATGGAAATCAGAGAAGAACTCGACGAAGACGGTAACGTCATTTCAGGGTCTGTGAATCCCACCGCGGGACAGAACAATACAGGAAAGGGTCCCAAAGCTTCAGCCCCAGCCAAGATTGAAGAAATCGAGGATGATAGTATTCCGCTTCATGAAGATGTAGTGTCGAAATCCAATAAAGCTCTGGATTCCGGCTCTGAAAAGAGCGCATCTGAAGGAACCAGTGACAAGACCAGCGGAAAGGGCATTGAATCGATGAGTGCGACTGGATCGGAAAAGACGGCTTCGGGTTCAAACCACACCCAACCCCCCACTTCAAGCCAGAGCAACCGTGAGGGCTACGCCATCGATCCTAATGACATCTACACTTTCGACGAGATCGTGGGCCAGTTGGAACACCAGGACTTGCTAGAGGACGGCGATATAGATGAGGAAGATGTTAATTACGATTTCAACTCGTATGATTCGAATTACCGCGAAGATTTCGAATCCGACGAAAGCGATGAGTCCGACGAATATACTGAATCTTCACTACCATCGGTTGTACCGGAGGCGGCCAGAAGTCGGTTTTTAGAACAATTGAACGCTTTGCGGTCCTCAAGAATGAAGGTTAACGCTGTCGAACCCGAAATGAAGGAAAACACTGTCCAATACCAAAAGGAGGGAAACGATGTTGAGACCACAACGAAACCAATACTTCACAAGGACAAAAAAGTCGGCGCACCTAAAAAGAGTGTTGGATTCGCTTCTGAACTGGAAGTTTTCGAAGTGGACAACTTGAAGCATGAGACAAAGGCAAATACCTTCACTGGCTCGAGTTTCGTTGATACACTACCCGTTTCCACAGGTACGGACGAGGAAGGCTTTGATGCCGATCTATTTGCCCAGCTCATTGGTGCCAAGGGCTCCGAAGAAATTCATGAAAAGTATGACAATGAGACAACACCAGAGGAGCCGCAAGAATGGAAGCCTCGTGTGTCTAGATTTAAGAAGGACAGATCTGGGTTACGAGGATCAGCGGTGGCTACAGACCCAACGCCTTCTATTTATCCAGAACAAAACTCGAATGTGATGGGCGACGTTATGGAAAGAAACCCTGGAATCCAGGTTGCTAAAGATGTCTCAATCGCTGAACGAAAACCTGAGACCCCACAGATCAGTGGACTGCTCAAAAAAAACATGCGCTCCCTTAGTAAACCTGTTTCGAAAAGTGCACGGAAGAACACGACAGTATTGCCTCGAGTCACGGAAGTTGAAAGTCCTATTGAGCCTCATCAAGTGCATGAAAAGCAAGTATTCAGTAACACAGATGCTAAACCTTTTCCAGAACAAATCAAAGAAGTGATAAACAAGGGCTCTCAGCCTGTGGTTCAAAACCCGAGCGTTAATTATCAGGGACTAGGCGAAAACCTCGACGATATGGCACGCGCATATCTCCTGGGCCTATACAATGACGACGTAGACGATGCAGGCACCGTGGTTGAACATTTGGAAGACTTCAAGAAATATAACAAAGAAGCGGAAGACTTGCAGGAAGAGATCGCCACATTTCTATCGGAGAACCCAGCGACTCAGGAGGGAGGAATCGAGAACGACAGTGAGGCCCCTGGCGAGAATAGTTTAGCGATAACCACGGATGTGGTTGAAAGACCAACTTCGATGCCAAGTGATTACGACGATGAAGACCTGGCACTGCAGGGCGATAATCTGCATAACGAGATTGCCGTGGACTATCAACGGCTGAGACAAAAAATGATAGCTTCCCAGGGCAACGCAGAACTGTCGCAAGAGGAATTGCAACTGGAGCCCATTGACGAGTATGGGAATCCCGTAAGGACTAGTAAATTCAAGGCAGCCAAGCTGAGATTTAGAGACGTTTAGGGAAGTGGGTGCTGGGGCGCTGGGGCGCTTTAGGAGGACAGACGAGATTTTGACTGTTTGGAACGACCAAGGTAACATGTGGTGGGGAGTGCTGGGTGGGTGATGGATTGAGAAGATTTGTAAGGCAGTGAATGCGAACGCGATGCTTGTGCTTTTGATCGTTGAGCATTTTTGCGTTCTCGTTTGGTGCTCTAGGGGAGGGTTTTTGTCAAACAATGGAGCTTACGACGCAGAGAGTACTGGATTGTAAACGCGGAAAGCATATTGAAGCATTGGTAAAGTAGAAGAAGTCATGGATTCGAAAGAGACTGTTGAAGGACGCGGGTGAAAGACGAGCAACAGTAATGACGAATTGAAAAATGCAAATGATACATGGCTGGCAACACAGCTGCGCAAGTGGGAGAGCTGAGAAACAAGTATTTCGGTCAAAAGTTTTGCAGTGTTTGGAGTCAAATTTAATGCTGGTGCGTTGAAAAGAGGAGCGTACATACAAAATGTTAAGAATCTACGGTGAGTGCGAGGGCCATTTGGGTAAGTCCAAGTTTTGCAGTTCTGAGTGTATGAAAACTGATGATAGAATTGATCACTGACGCTGTCATTTGTTGTTAATGTTGTTGATGTAACAAACATGAAGCACGTGATTCCCAATCACGTGATGTGCATTTGAAACGTGACTATACTTATCACGTGTATATATGTGTACTTGAGTGTACTCACGTCAAGTCACGTGAGTTTGTGATCCATTTTTGTGTCACGTGCATTTTTTCACTTTTCCTCTCTTTACCATGAGTACCCGTCCCACGAGTACATGTGAAAAATTATTAACAACATTAATTGATAATCAATAAATACCATCATCATCATCATCATCATCATTATCATCACGAGGTAGTCGAACACACCCAGCGAACACCCAGCGAGCACGCACCGCATCCACCGCATCCACCGCGCCCACCGCATCCACCGCGCGCCCCCTCTCCCCCTCCTTCTCCCCCTCCCCACGCATGTAGTGTAGTTCTACTATCACCTGCCTTTAACTATGTATGTTCTTTATCTATATCCTGTACATATCCTGTAGCTACTTGCAGCCTTATCCACCCGCGCTCGTCCCCATCCCCCTCGCGCTTCTCATATCACATGTCGCACCCTCCCCCCATCACCGTGTCTTCCAAATGTCTCCCGACACCCTGTGGCTGTGTGAGCGTGTGCGTGCGCAGGACAAGAGCTCGCGACCAGCACCACCACCAGCACCACCACCACCGCTACCGTCACCACCACCACCACCAAGATGAAAAGTTGAAGCTTTTCAAAACATTCGTCTCGCCCTGGGACTTGGTATTTAGCAAGCTCAGGTACCGTAGTGTGCCCATCTCCCAAGCACACGCTAGCAGCAGTGTTACCACCACCAGGACCAGGACCAGGACTCGCCAATGGAAGAAACTAAGAAACTGTCCAGCGTGAGCGAACGCTTGCAATTGCTGCTGCGAGAGTCCCAGGATAATGAGACCCACCGCCGCGACACCGCGCCGGCATCGGCGTCGGCATCGGCGTCGGCGTGGGATGCGGTGGTCGATACGTTGGGAAAGGAAAAATTGAGCGCGAGCGAGCCCGCAGAGGACGTGAACTCTTACTACACCTCGTTCGTACCGCACCGGCCCTACGCGGACTATTTCGATTTCGACGGTGGACAGATCGACGTGGATGGTCCGGGACCCGCAGCGGACGGTAAACCGCTTTCCACTACAGCGCCATCGACGCCCAAGATCGATGGCGAGCAGGAGCCAGCTTTGCCCCCGTCGTCTCCGTCGGCGGCCTCGTCGCCCGCCCCGTCGTCCTCCTCCTCCTCCTCTTCTTCGTCCAGCTGTTTCCCGGAAGCAGCTGAAGAGACGGTCCAGCTTGTGCTGGACCGTCTCAACACTTACAAGGACGAGTTTCGGGAACTGATTCACAAACTGGACGAGGCGTCGCTGGTTTCGTCGCAAATCGCGAACCCAAGACGAGTGTTGGAACTCGACCAGCGTCCCGGAGCGGTCAATTCGATCGTCTCCGGGATCCTGGGCACTCTGCAGTCGATCCAGTTCGATACGGTAAGCCGCAAACGGTCGAGAACTGAGTTTGAAGCTAGCAGCACGGATCCCGTCCGGTCTCGCATCATCCCTGCCCGTGTTGTGGACTCCAATAAGACTCCTGCTCTCAAAGACGTCGAGGAAGATCCCTGCTACGGACTCGCCAACTTCGGAGTAGTGCTCATCAAGTCTCCGACCACCGTGGCACAGCTGTGGAACGAATACACCAAGCTCCCCAGCGATTGGGCACTGCCCGACTGGTTCGAGGCCGTCGCCCAGCAACACACGCTCGAGTCCGGCGAGATTCGCAGCCCAGCACAGCTCATGAAGAGACGCACGTCGATTCGGGACCTTGAGAAACGCTACGGTTCGTCCTGGAGAAACAACGACAAGAACTTTTCTCGCCAGGTGAATCGGCGCAAGAAAGTATGGCTGGCCATTGAAGAGGGCTTGGAAGATGGTATTCCCTTGCAAGAGTGCTTCCGATTACTGGAATCCTACGTGAGAGAGCGTGGCAAGGGTTTGAGTTGGTACTACAACGGTGTTCCTTTCAAGTTGTTGGATATAAGGAAGAAGGGCCATAAGCATTAGACAATAGTGGCTACAAGCAGTGAACAATTGAGAAGTTTACTAGATGGTGCGTCAATCGAAAGTGTCAGTAATCGATCGTGCTCGAAGCATTTTACAGCGGCCACCAAACTGCAGTTACAAGTTTTGTGAAGCACTGACACCGTCGGGAGCTTCAAGACGAGCGTCAAATACTTGTGGCCGTCTTCGTTGTCGCCTCAAGACGAGCGCTGACACCCACGATTGTTTAACGTCAGTGTCGAAACAAAACCCTCTCCAGCGTCAGCGTCATAATTTGTGTTTGACAACACCGTCTTCAAGCTTCTAATCCAACTCCTCGTCTCACCCAGCTCGTCCTTCTCCATGGACTCACCACTTACATGCCTGATAGGTAAGTTCTCAACACTGTCCCAACACTCAAATATCTGTCTAAAAAACCTAACTCACATCGGACTTTTCCCTTCTTACAGTGGGCGAAACACCTGCCACTCAGTTCCTGGCCTGGAGACTCAGCTTATCGAACGCTTTCATCATTTTGGTCTCCAGTACCACCTCCAGCGATGGAATAGTGTCGTGGAAATCGTCAAAACTGGGCTCCAGTTTTTATAGACCCAACGTTTTCGCCAAAGAGCTGCAAGACCTCGAGCCCCAGCTGGTCGACTCGGAAAAGAATCGCAAATACAAGATCGATGCAATCATTGTGTCGTGCTTGTCGTTGCCGTCGCTGGATCGATGTTGTCAGGTTTTGTCAAATTACAGCGACAAAGATACAGTTGTGTTGATGAATGCCAACTTCGCGGTGGAACTGGAGAATATGGCCATTGATCGGTTCGCAGATTGTAGTTGTGGTGTGGTTTCAATCTTATGCGACGTGGAAGCCCGTCAACTTTCATCGGGATCGTATGCTTTGGTAAATGACAACTGCTGTTTCTACGTGGGTCTCACCAACATGAGTTCCACGAAAAGACAAACTATGCTCAACAATGTCAGTAAACGGAACACTATACTCGAGAACGTGGATAAAATCAGGCATATCATGTTGGACCGAAACTCGATTTTGAATACCGTGCTGGCGCAGATTCAACATACTCAAGTCGAGGAAATCATTATTATCGATCCAGATCGGTCCCACAACATGGCGTTGAAAGTTTGGGAACACATCATCCCGCGGATTTCCATGAATATCGTTTGCATCGTTTTTGAACAGTTTGACCACGACAAGCTATTGGCCAATTCGTCTTCAAGACTCATTTTCGAAGACCTGGTCAAGGAACTTATGCAAATCTGCTATTTGCAATGTGGAAAAGCGGTAGCGCGATTCTTGAAGCCAGAAGGTTTCGATGCTCGCAACGGTGTTGAGAAACTGGTCTCCAGCATCGACTTCCAAAAAGTCGTCCAAGACACCAAAGATCGCAAACGTCAAATGGATATGTTCACTATCAATGAGTATCCGGAGTTTCTGACACTCTCATTCGAGGCATACTGTTTCCACCATCGTCTGGAGTACCCAGCGCATGTGCTTCTTCAGCAACCCATGCGTTTGGCTAACGAATTTGGCATCAATTACTCCAGTCTGAATTTCCTGTTTGGCTTCTATTCCAGGTTGCTGTCTATATGCGGGTACAGTATCGAAGGCGGTCCCAATGAACTAGGCCGATCTTCTTTGATTTTGAGCATAAGAGATCAACTCTTCAGCCATAGCGAGTCGCCAGTGGTCTTCAAAGACGTCAAAAAATCGCCGTCACGGAAATGGAAAACCGGTCTGCGGTCCAAGCTCAAACGCAAGTCTAAACCGGAACATGCTGGAGATGACCTCATATCCTCGAGCAGATCTGTCGTCATGCAAGGGTCGAACGATTCGAGTATCGAGATTTGTGAAATCGAAGCTTCAGATGCCACCTCTAGAAACCGAGGTTTCCAATTCTTCGGCAGCGAAGACGCAGCGGACGAATCGGGCGCCGAAGACAACTGTGATACCACTTCAGCGGTGGACGAACTAATCCAGCTCCCGAAATTTCGAGGTAGAGACGAAATCGATGCCGACGCCATGTTTGAGCAGGAGTTGCGAGCCAATCCGCTGACTATGTCGTCGAGATACTATTTCGATGCGTACGGACTGGCGGACCGCAGGTCCCTTGATGAAAAACGTTTGCGTCCGCAGCATTGGAACAGCTCGAAATTTTGGAAGTTGCAACGAAAGTATTTGATCGAGACAGGACAACGGTCTCAGCCGGCCACAATTGCAGGATCGGCTACTATGCCTGATCGGTTTTTATGGGAGCACTTGAATTTACTAAGACGAGTCAACATGGGTGGTATATTGAGCGTTACAACGAGTAGGTATGGACATGTGGACTCTTCGCAACGGCTTTTCGACGATTGGAGTCGAGGTGTTGGCCCGTTAACTAAGTTTGGTGGAGACTTGTATGCAAGACGACACCTGTCAAACAAGGTAGCGCCGGAGGATGTGGACTGAAACTAGAGTCGGTCTGTTGATTGCGAAGAGTGGTGATACTAATATTTTGCCCAAAATCGGTCTAGACTATGGAAAGCTTAGGAATGGTGGTAAATTTAAAAATATGGATAGCCACTTGGACCCAGGTCGTTTCGAATGGGGCTATTTTCTTTTCACAGCGACTCTTGCACGAGAAAGTACTTTCACAATTGCGAGACACTGGAGTCTCAAAAATTTTTAGCGGGTTTTACAACAATCGCTTCCAAAATCAGATTTCCACGATTTGCTCAATTTTAACATCTAAGAGGCCTTTCATTTGCATTGCCAACGACTCTTTGTAGACGATTATAGTTTGAGAAATGTACATTTTTTTAGTCATTTTTGTTGCGAGAGTCCAAAGCTTCAAACCCAAGTTCTGAGCCGCCGATTCCTCGGTTTTTGCTTGCGGTCGAATCCCTCCCGTCTTTGAACTTCACGAATTCTGACGCCTGGCGCCAATTGTGGTCTATCTGACCATTGAGTCCAGCACCCGACAAATGGAAAAATGAAAAGACGATTTCCTCCACCGGATGGATATTGCCAACGCGAGACAGTGGTGTCGTCTCGCTATACTGTCCTGGCCACACTCACCCACCCACACACACATTTGAGTTTTCCAGAGCTCTTACTACTGCTGTAGACGACGACAAGGACACGATTAGTGCAAAGTGACATGCCTACAAGGTATTGTCGAGTCCACTGGAAAGAAAATCATTTCGGTCGAGCCCGAGTGTGGAAAAAATGCCCCAGATCCTGCTGCAATGCGTGCGTGCATGCGTGCGGGCGTGTTTATCCTGCCGGAAAATTGGTTCTCGCCAAGCTCGGTTTTTCTCGCTTCATTCCAGCAGATAAACATCACAACGCAAATCTACCTTTATCACCACCACCACTACCACCACTATCCATTCAAGTGTCCTTCCCTCCCGATCGCACCTGTTTCTTTCTCACCAGCATGAATTACCAGGGCATCGTCAACAAGATAAATGCCACATGGTCCGTTACTCAGGTGATGAAGTTCTTGAAAAGCCAAGAACCCACATTGTTTTCGGCAAATCCCACCACCTTAGCCCACGAAAATCTGCTGCGATGCGAAAATCTGTCGTAAATCCTACCGACAGCAACAGCACTAGGGACAACCGGGAAAAAAAAGAGGCCGTGCTGGAGGTGCACTAATTGTGCAGCAAATGCAGTGGATTTGTTTAACCATACTAGGCAGTTCTTGGGAGTCCAATAGCACGCAAAAATCGGGTGATTTCCACTCTCAGACCTTATGGGGTAGGTGGTAAATCCGGTTGCGCCAAGTAACTGCAGCATATGCATATCCGGGATTGTAGATGAAGTCATAAGAATAGCTTAAAGTATCGATAATGCAGCGTAAAAACAGCGTAAAAACAGCAGTTGATGTGACTTTATCGAAGCATACTTGGATTATACTCAAACAGCTTGGCGCCTGAAAGCACGAGGCGCTTGGTGACGCGTAAAGCGGGCTAGATTGTGAGGCATTCCGGTTTAGTTTGGTTCTTCCTTTTATAATGATGTTTTTGACATGTTTAAATATATATACATGAGATTTGGAAAATTACAGACCATGGCCATCGCCAACAATTGTTGTGGATGAACAAAACACATAGCTTTAGTTTTCATAGCCTGAGTAGATTTGCTTAGTTTCTGGATAGTGTAGTAGCCTCGAAAACTGGGTTTCTTTGGATACTTTTGTTTTCTAGTTTACTGCCTTGTATGCTGTGTTAAAGCACTGATAATGATCTTCGAAGATACAGAGTTCGCAAGCGTTGTTAGTCCGACACAGGCGTTTTTCGGGCTGGAAAATGGTGTAGAACACCAGCAACGACACGAGGACGACGATGTCTCGGGAACAGACGTTTTCGAGCTGATTTCCACGGGCTCAAGCTTCGAAGCTTCGCTTCTGGCTGCGGATCTGGAGGACGAGTGTGGTGGGGACGCCAATGGTGAAGTGGGAGACGTGGGAGCATCACAGCAGGAACAAGACCCGTTGGATTTTGATGAGCTCCCGCTGGATTTCCATGCCGGATTGGGTTCCCGTGTGGATAGCGAGAATGGGATCGAGAATTACAATGCTAATGCAAATGCAAATGCAAATGCAAATGCAAATTCAATTGCAAATCGAGGTCTGGAGTTCCAATATGTCGACCATACTGGAATTAACCGTACGCCAAAAATAAGACCACCGTTACTCACGTCTCGGTTCTCGGAAAGCACTGGAAATATCAGCTCCAGGCCTCAGCCGGTGCGAAGGAAAAGCAACCCTTTCTATTTCCCTTCCAAAAACATCAAAAACATGATCTCAAAGGAAAGACAACGGCAACAAACGTCCCGCAAGCCCCCGGGCGATGTCAAAAATGCCTCCTGCGATTCCCTTAACAATTTTCAGTCCTCGCGTGGCCCGCAAAACAATAAACCTGTGCTGGAAAGGCGACAAACAGTGATTTGAAGAAAAATTATACCACAGGTAGTGTGCAATGGGCATCTTCATGACCGTGGTTTGACTGTGTGTGTGTGTGTGTGTGTGTGTGTGTGTGTGTGTGTGTGTGTGTGTGTGTGTAGACATCGATAAAAAAAGCTGGACTTTTTTTCCATTTTAGTTCCCATCTATTTCTTCGACAGAGGCATCTCATCTGCCATCTTCTCTCCTGTGTTTATCAACTTGTGTTTTGGGTAGGTGTTATTTATTCGTATAGATCCTCGTCAAGTCTGGCAGCTGGGTTGGTTTCGATGAAATCGAGCGAAACCTTGTGGCCCAAAAGCTCTCTGATGTTTTGCACACCGTATTTGATCATGGTAGGTCTTTCCAAAGACAACCCCCATCCCAACACCCGCATGTTGGGTGGCAGCCCCATAGGTTCAAGCATTTCAGGTCTAAACATACCCGAGTTACCAATCTCAACCCATTTGCCCAAACCTTCATGCCACGAGAAAATCTCCATGGATGGCTCCGTGTATGGGTTGTACGTGGGCTTGAAACGCAGACCCGTAACACCCATCTTTTCAAAAAATCCTTCCATAAACTGAATTAGATCACCCAGCGTGATATTGTAGTCGGCAAGCACACCTTCCACTTGGTGAAATTCGGCCAAATGAGTAGCGTCCACAGCTTCGTTACGGAACACTCTGTCGATCGAGAAAAGTCTTGTAGGCTTGGGGTCTTCTGCCAACTTCTTCAACATGTGTGCGGAAATAGCAGTGGTGTGAGTTCTCAAAACAAGCCTCTGCGACTCCTCGGGTTTCCAGTTGTAACGATACCCGATCGAGTCGTATTTGCCCTGTTCGTGAACGGCCTTGATGTTTTCCAGATATTCTTTGTCGTCAGGCAAATCACTCTGCAGAGGATCTTTCAAGTAAAACGTATCTTGCAAATCACGGGCAGGGTGCTGCTGTGGGACAAACAGAGCGTCAAAATTCCAGAACCCAGTGTCCACGTATTGATTGGAAGGCATTTCCTTGAATCCCATAGAGAAGAAAATCTGTCTGAATTCTTCCCGTACCTTGGACAGAGGATGCAGAGCACCCGACTCGGGCAAGATACCCTCCGAGTTGAAATTGTATGGCTTGAACTTGAGGTCTTTGTAAGTGCTGGAGGCCACCATGTCGGCGGTCAAGTCTGTTTCGAGTTTGGTGAGCTCTGTCGAGAAATCGGGGCCCTTGGTCACACTGAAAGACGTTTCTTTCTTCACCGCAATGAGCTTACGCTTTTTCAAGTCATTGAGTGTCTTTTCGTCCACTGACTCGTACTGGCCATTTTGGATCTGCAGAAGAACGTTTTTGGTTTCATCAACGACAGCATCGATAGATGAAATTTTGTCGCTCACAGTCAATTCGTTGTCTTTGTTTTTGGAAATCCACCCGTTTTTGAACGCTTTGGCCTGTCCGATCTTTCCGTCAGCGCCCATATGACTGGCAACATCTTTGATTTGTAGTTTGCTGAACTTGTTCACCAACTGAAGTAGTCTCATCTCGTGAGAGCCTTTGGAAACGATTTCATCACCTTCTTTGGTTAAAGTGTAATAAGTTCTATCTTGTTTCGTGTAGTCTAGTTTTGCATGCGCCTTGAGCGAGTTAAGGGCAGACAGGACAGCTTGGGGGTCAACCTTAGGGAACGCTTCGAGCGTTGATCCAATTGTTCCCAATTCATTCAATTTCAACAGAATTTCTAGCTGAAAATCAGACATTTTTGACCGCGGAAAAAACCAATTTAAAGGTCTTGATGAGTCTAATCCCACTAACTAGGTCTAACGGGGTGTTAGCGAACAGAGTGAAGCTTGTATCGAGCAATTAGCTTCGCAAAGTACTCGATGTTCAGCTCTTCTAGTTAGAAAATTTTTATCATTATGGTAATATGATCAAATTCGAGAAATAGAAGGGTTACCCGGTTAGAGCTCTCGATCAGATGGAAATCGTAATGCTCATAAATGTTGAGAGTTAGCCGGTCCAAGCGTCCATTGGTGACCGCTGAAGTGGTCTAGACGTGTGGTTTGACCAGGTTCTTCTTTTGAGGTTTTCAAAACTTTTCAAACGCTACCAAAATGACCTTTTCTGGTACATTTTTCATAATTTAGAGATTTCAACAAAAAGATTCGAAATGGCAGTACCACAGGCTGGTGATGTGGTTTGAATGGTGGGGAATTGCCGCGGGGACCCACTTTTGGCGGGTGTGACTCTTTGAGAAACAATCCTTTTGCAAGATTTATCTTGTTTATACCCGAAAGCTCAAAGATATGAAAAATGGGAACTTCTCGTCAATCACACTGGGAAAACTGACATTTCCGAGACATCTGCCGTCGTGGGTTGCAGCTCTATTCCCTGGTCCTCGTCACGCGTCGCATATAGATCCAATTTCACGTTTGCATCCAGTAAAATCTCTTTTTTCAAAAACCATTTTTTTTCCTCTGCTACCAGTAGGCTATATTCCTGTATCAGGTCTCTGTGCAGACCAGATAACCATTCCGTCTGTTGCTCTAGCGAGTATGCAGAGTCGACGTCGCTGGACGAAACGCTGGATTCCGTGGGATTTGTCGGGCTGCCGTTCGGGCCATTGGAATCAAACTGTTCGGCCAAAAACTGCTCGTTCATGTTCGACAATCTCTTCTTGTAGTAATTGGTCTTAGTTTTGGCCACTTTCCACGCTTTTTCCTTACTGGCCTTATTTTTCGAAGCTGACAGGCTGCTCTCGATGAAAGTGCCCGGCGCAGTCTTGACCATTTCGTAGTTGATCTTCAGGTTGTCATCGACAGCTATAATGTTTCTCTTGTGTCTAGTCTTGCGGTCATCCTCCGCATCTATGGGCTCGTTAGACTTGTAGCGTTTTATAGCATTCCAAGCGTACCTCAGTTGAGCGTCACTTTCAACCAGGCTCTTATATTCTTTCATCAAAGTCTCCACCTCACTCATTGTGCGTGTCAACCGAAGTGGTTCACACAAACAGGAAAGGTTGTTGTCCTCAGAAGAGCCATTGAATATGCTAAAGGTTTCTTGTAGATAGCTTTACCTTACTGAATTTGATATAATTCTGAAAAATTTTAAACCTTTTACACGCGATGAGCTAGACAAAAGTTCCAAAATCATCAAAAATAAGACTCAAGACGATGGAATCTGACAGTATTGAAGATCTTTTTGCATCTTTGAAGCAGGCTGGAAGCGGGAGCGAATTTCCAGCGAGCAAAAACGACCAAAATCGGCCCAAAACTGGCGAAAACGACTTTGATCAAGATAAACTGGAATTCGACGAGGATTCTAAAATTTCCCAGCAACAACAGACGTTTTATGATATCGAACAAAGACTTCGTGGCCTGCCGCGTATGAAAACCAGTTTTGATGCACTTTCAGGCGCTGTGGAGGCCAAAAATACGGCTCGTAAAGTGGAAGACCCAGTCTCGATTCTGCATTTGCGTAAGAAAGACGCTCAGGCCAAGAAACCATCTACTTCAGAACAGTGGTTCACGCTCCCAAAGCCAGAACTCACCAGGGAGTTGAAGCGTGACCTGCTACTCATAAATCACCGTGCCGCACTGGATCCCAAGCGACACTACAAGAAAGACAAATGGCAAGTGCCAGAGCGTTTTTCCGTAGGTACGATTGTAGAGGACAAGAGTGAATTCTACAGTAGTCGTATGACGAAAAGAGAGCGCAAGGGCACGACGCTGGAGTCTTTGATGGCGAGCGACGACACCAACAAGTACTTCAAGCGTAAGTATGGAGAAGTGCAGAAGAACAAGACCAGTGGCGCGAAGGGCCATTACAAGAAAGTTCGGGAGAGACGCAAAAAGATTTGAGGGCGCTGTTGTGAGGTACAGAGCGTTCGGAGGGAGAAATTACTGGAAGTTCGGGACCTTTTTTTTGCAGAACAAGAAAAAGGTACATGGCATCGATGTGGTCTGTAAATTGGCGAAGGGGATGTGTAACGTCAGAGACAAGCCGTCGTCTGTTTCGAGCTGATAACGCCAGGTGTGAAACTACTCAGACCTTTATGACTACCGGGATCATGAAAACCCATTGATTTTACTGGAGCAAACGGGTCAGAATAGGACAATCATTTTGAAAGATCCGGGAGAGTCTTAGAGAGAGCCAAAAAATTTCTCTAAAAGCCCCAATATGAAGATGTACGTTGAGGAACGATTTTTGAGATGTGGGTGGATCTCCCTAGACATATTGCCAATGAGCCTAAATGAGCCTAAATATCTCAACTGCGGTCAGGTTCGCAGATGGATGAAATCGGGGTAGTGTGGTCTTATCCACGCTGTGGGTCCGATCCTAGAGCATTCTGTGTGTTGTTCTGGGAAATCATTACGACTAAGATGACAGCGTCATGATAATAATCTTATTTGATGCTCTTGGGTATAATTGGTCGTGGTGAAAAAAAATGGAGAACTCTCAGTTAGCAAGCCAATTCCCCATCCGTGGTCTCGAGCTCTGGTGACCCCATGAATGTTCACCACGCTCACAACCCTTCCGCCAAAACTTCTTGGTTGTGGGTTTCGTCAGCCAAACTCTACTTCCATACAACACACGAAATCTCAACCATTCCATCTCAAGATTTCGATACGCCGAAAGCGAAAAAAACATACTACTTCTCCGTCTCGATTCCAATTTGACAGCCGCACTGGCCAAATGTTACATACAACGGATTCCAATGGGAACTCAGCTTGCATGTTGAAATTGAACTCTGCGTGGCGACATAGATATGCCACAGGAGACCAAAAAACCAACCAGGAAAAAACCCAGCTGAAACAGAGAAACGTTCCGTCATCAATCTCCATTGCAACGGTCTTAACTGCTCTTGGTTGGCTCTCAAATGGTGAACCTGTTCACTGCTCATCGCTGACGCTGCTAAGTGTATGCCCATGAGTACATTCATGAGTACACGCCCAAACATTTCAATAAATATCGCTGGGAAACTAAAACACCTAACTTAACCCTCTACCAACAACCCAGCTAGAACACATCGCCAACAAGTGAGCTCAGTAGCCCATGTATCATGTATCATTCTATGTATGGTCTTTATATAAACCCACTGTCAACTCCAGCGACCAATATTTCGTGGTATTTAGTTGTATAAATCGTTTGCCGCCGACACTTTTCAATAGTCAAAGAACGCTTTTGCGACCATGATGACGACTCCTCTAAGATACATGGCTCCTCTACGAAATTGTGGACATTGGAAACAGCTATTTGCACAAAACGGCATTGTGTCGATTAGTTCGTCAACGTTGCGGAAAAGGACCGTTCATTTGTGACTAAAGGGCCGTATTTCATGGGTCAAAACGCGAACGTGTGAAAGGTGGCTCACACTTTGAGAAAAGACCTTTCAAACGAGATTCTCAACGAGTGTGAGCGACTATCACATCGAGTGCGTTTACGCAGCGTCTAATAGATGATAAATGTCACCCAATGGCTGCTTGAACACTGATCTGACAATTGGCATGGATCAAAATGGTCAAATTGGAAGTGATCTGAAACTCCGGGATCGTTCCGCTGGACTCTTAGAGGGCAGTTCCTCCGTATCCGGAAAATTCGAATTGCAGCACCTCACGAGAGACAAACTGGTTTGTTGTATTCCAAGAAGCACTAGTGAGTTGCATTTCTAGAATATTGCAGCTTCATTATTCCAAATATGACCGCAATGTTATATTAAGAGGGCTTTGATGTGTTAAACTCAGAATCAACTACTTTGTTGCATTCACAGGGATCTGGGTATGTCAAATTTACGATGAGCTGCTCTGCTCCGTCACCAAAAAAACAAGTGCTTTACTGTACTTCAAGATGAATCGCTATATGTTCGGTCTCAGGATTAACTATCATGTTATGTCCCGAAATCAATAATCTTTGGTAGGGGGAAAACAAGTTATACTACTGGGTTCCAAGTCAACTCAACTGCTGCTGTCCTACTACTGTCCTGCTGCTCTCCTACTACTGAGTTTCAAGACCCCAGATCTCCTCTGTTTCTCCAAGACATCTACCAAAGCTCGAATAACCTTTTTCCCGCGCCATATCCCAAAGAAAACGTTCTACAAGCTCAAAACCAAGCTTTGAAGCTGCATATTGCGCCTCTCAGTGCATCAAAACTCCGCTCTTTTTTGCTCCACTTCATGGCCGTCATCTCATTGTTGCTGCCACTCGTTTCGAGTGTCAGTTACATGAGAAATGCGCTTGAATCGCACTACCCCATCCATCGCAGGCCTGTACCGACCCGTCGGCTCGACCTCGCTCTTCATCACCTTCCTCAGATGCAATCGCTGTTGTTCATGTGCATCGAGCTCTACATTCTTTTCCGCCGGAACTGGATCCCAATGGAATTTCTTCATTACCCGCCCCATCATCGATAAGCGCGACCCAAATCTCAGCGACGACGACAATAACGAACTACCAAGTCAAAGTCAAATGGCACTTAGCCAGAAAAATTCAAACGTGCAAAGAATATTAGATCATCAGCGTTGTAACGTGCTACGTACCCAGCCGAGAGCGCTTTATTCCGGGTCTCAGTTTTCTTTGGTCGCTGGCCCAGTGCTTTGGATTATTTCAGTTTCTAAACCTTGGTGAAAAACAGTTCAAAGTTGACTAGAAGTTTACAAGTCAGCTTTTCACAATCGAACATACTACACACGTAGGGAAAAAACCGGAACAAGATTCGTGTGAATTCTGAGCTTTTTGTTCAGTATTTGTGTGGTGTGTTAATCGTCCCTGGTTGTGTGTCCTACCACAACTATAGTCCCTTTTTCACTTAGGCCGTGATCGCTTCGTATTCGGCCCCATCATTTATACACTCCGTGTCCTTCCTTCCTTACTTTTCGAGCCACACCATAAACCACCAAGAGCGTAATGGCAACGTTTGACCACGATTCGCACAAGAAGCGCCGCGAGGCAGGACAAAAACTGCTAGATGCGATCGAGGACTCGTCAACTGAAGCGCTGTGGCGGATGTACTCTGGTGCAAGAGCTTCGCTGCCGTACCGGGATCGTATGTCGAACTTGACATGGCGCATGTTGGGCCTGCGTGTGAAAACCATGCTAACGGCGCGCACTACAACAGCTACAGGAAAAACTCCATCAGACTCTTTCGACTATATGACAGAAGTCCGCGCCAATCCTATCGTCGGCGAAATGCCTTCTACAAAACCACAACCATCGGCAAGTATCCCGGTGACCACCGCCGATGACCTAAACAGCAATGGTAATCTTTATGGGCTTGATTCCCACGCTCAATACGGCTCCTTTACGGCTTTCGATCAGCACGTTGGATTTATGGCCGATCTCGACTCCGACCATTTCGGGGTTATAGGCAGCCACCAACGCGACGAAGATGAAGAAGATGAAGATACAGAGTTACGCGGGGCGGCTCCATACTCATCGCCAGCACTAGTAAGCGATAGCGGGGTTTCTTCCGCCGGAGGGAACAACAACAATAACATTGACATCAGCACCACTGGATCGTTCACACCCGTACCAACGTCCTTCTCACACATGGATGATTCTTCTGTACCCTCCTTTGCCAATGCCTTTTCATCCTCTGCCATCACAAATCCGCAGTCTTATTTCGACGAACAAGACTTTTTACGTCCTCTCAACGAATCGCATGATGTTCTTGCTGCCACGATGCCGCCACTCCATGCTTCGAATTCACAGGTGTCTCTGCCCGACTTGTACGATAGAAATTCAAACATCACTCCAATATCTATTGCAAGGCCAAACTCCGCTTGGCAAGGTCACACCGGCACCATGGGATCTGCTTCACCAAGTTCGTCAGTACTAATTGCCTCGTCGTTGCCCAACCCGCAACCCTTGCGGCGCACTACTAATGTTAATGCTGTGAGAAAGAAGCAAATCAAAACATCAAATTCAAGAAGGAGTAGTTCAAGTTTTGCACCCATTAAGCCTGGGAACGCGGTTTTGTCCACAAGCGTAACTCAGGACAATGGAGGAGCTACTTCTGCACAAACTGCTCGAAGACCAGTATCTGCGGGTAGCGGGGCGAACGCAGCCAAAGCAGAAACGCAGTGCAACAACTGTAACACCAAGACTACACCTCTTTGGAGAAGAGACCCCGAGGGTAATCCCCTGTGTAACGCTTGCGGGCTTTTTCTGAAACTACACGGTGTGGTGCGGCCGCTGTCGCTGAAAACAGATGTTATCAAAAAGCGTCAAAGAACTACTAGCAAGCCTCCTGGTCAATCGACAACCACTTTCAAGGACGATTCATTTTCGAAAGACGCAGTACCGAGGGCTAGGAGGCCCCCTGCAAAGAAGAAAATATCGTCAACCAGTATTCTGGATGCGTCACAACCGGCTTCTTCTATTGTCCCACAGGGTTCTGTTGCGAGAAGAAAAATCAAAGCGAGTTCAAATGGTAGAGATGTCGATAGTACTGCAAGCAGCGAAAGCGGGTCAGGAACCCCTACTCCGGCTACAACCTCATCAACTGAGGCACAACACTCTTTACCGAGAGCGCTATCCATCAATCCTTCTGAAATGGAAGTCGATTCCCATTCGATGAATCCGGATGCCGGTCGACTAGGACTGGCCAACCCGAACCCTAACGGCGGCGGTCTTGACATTTTTCTAAACCAGTGGTCCCATTCTCAACCCTCCGATCAGCGAACCCCAGATGGTGACGTTTTTGACGAGGCTACAATTCAACCTGTCGCCAAGACCGAGAATTCCTTGAATTTTACCATGAACCCGGCCAACGCGGCTGGCGACCAGTCGACGCTGATGACTGAGGGCATGGTCCCTACGGACACAAAAAAGAATGCCGGCGACAATGCAAATTGGGAGTGGCTGACTTTGAGTCTCTGAATCAATTCAGTTTTACGAAGACCATAATAATGAGGCAAATTCTACAAGCTGTTAGATCATGTCTCTTTTCCAATCGCCATTACACTAAAAGCGGCATTAAAGCCAGACAGTCCTCCTTACAACGTTACACGCACTGAGATTGTAATGGAGGCAATGCTGGATCTCGATGTTACCTTTCCCCCGACCCGTCCAGTCATTACCGGATAATAATCAACTTTTAATACTATATAGTTTGTTAATAATGTACACTGATGTTCCATTAGTTATAGATGTTTGTTGTTGATCAGTAGTCAGTGGGCGTCATTGCTGGCGGGGGTTTTTTCTTACTTCGAAAGTGGCAGGACATTTCAAAACATAAAAAGAAGTCACCGATAAACAAAATTGAAAACATGAAGTAAACTTTCAAATGTGATCAACTAATGTTAAAGACTTGAGAAGAGGGCAGAACTATGATCGAATTGCTTGTAGAAAGGTCTTGAGTAACTGGTTTTACAAGCCAGGAAGGCCATGTGACATTACAAAACTACTTGTTGGTCAAAAAACTAACTGTTTTCATTGAAATGGGCGTGTGGCGTAGTTGGTAGCGCGCTCCCTTAGCATGGGAGAGGTCATCGGTTCGACTCCGGTCTCGTCCAAAATTTAATTTTTTGTAGATCAGCAAACAATAGCTGACTGTTTGGCTTCACTTTTTGAATACCGACACCATCGTGAATGTTGAACATGGCCATGGATAAGATCCTGCTGATTCATCTGAGAATATTTGAGAGTTACGGTGCATATTTATGTAATTTGATAATCTTGCTTAGATAAATACTAAAGCAGTGTGTTAAGTACAGCTTAGAAGTTGATAGACTTTGAGAACGCAGCCAAGTTAGCTTCCTTGAATGCTTCTGACAAAGTTGGATGAGCGTGGCATACGCGAGCGATGTCCTCGGCAGAAGCACCATACTCCAAAGCGAGACCGGCCTCGGCGATCATTTCACCGGCGTTAGGCCCCACGATATGGGCACCTAGAAGACGTTCAGTTTCAGAGTCGATCAAAATCTTCACGAAACCTTCAGTATCCATGTTGGTCTTTGCTCTTGAGTTGGCCATGAAGGGGAACTTACCAATCTTGTAAGAGATGCCGTCTTCCTTTAGCTGCTCCTCGGTTTTACCCACCCAGGCAACTTCAGGATGCGAGTACATGACCGATGGAATGTTGGCATAGTTGACATGACCGTGGCCGGTTTTCAAGTACTCCACGGCGGCAATACCTTCTTCTTCAGCCTTGTGGGCCAACATGGGGCCAAAAGTAACATCACCAATGACCTTGATGTGTGGGAACTTGGTGTTGAACTGTTCGTCGATCACCAAACGGCCTCTCTTGTCAACTTCTAGACCGAGCGATTCACAGTTCAAACCTTGTACATATGGTCTTCTGCCAACGGCAACCAATAGGACGTCGGCTTCCAAAGACTCCTTCTTGCCGCTCTTGACGTTCTCGACCTCAATGTTGACGATCTCGCCGTTTCTCTCAGCGGAAACGACCTTGGTACCGAGTTTGAAGTCAAATCCTTGTTTCTTCAAAAACTTCTGAGTAGTAGTGGCGACCTCATTGTCCATAGTGGCACCGATCTTGGGCTGGAATTCCACAACAGTCACTTTAGAACCCAAACGAGCGTAAACAGAACCCATTTCTAGACCGATGATACCACCACCGATGATGGCCAGTCTTTTGGGCACTTCTTTCAAGTCCAAAGCACCGGTAGAAGACACAATTCTTTCCTCGTCGATCTTGATGCCTGGGAAAGGTGTGACCTCGGAACCGGTAGCAATGATGATGTTTTTAGCATCCAAGATGGTCTCTTCGCTAACGCTGCCTTCGATTCCCTCTACTGGAACAACTTTGATGCTGTTTTCACTTTCAAAGGACCCCAGACCCTTGTAGTAGGTGACGCCGTTTTTCTTGAAAAGCATTTCGATACCGCCGGTCAACTGCTTGACGCAAGTATCCTTTGCCTTTTGAAATTGGCTCATGTTGATGGCAACATCACCGTTGATGTCGATACCTCTTTGCTTGGAGTCGTGCTTCATCTGGTGGTACAGATGCGAGTTGTTCAACAACGCCTTGGATGGGATACAACCCACGTTCAAACAAGTACCACCGGCTCTTCCACGTTTCTCCACACAGGCAACGTCGAAACCAAGCTGCGCAGCTTTGATAGCGGCCACGTAACCACCGGGACCAGCACCAATCACAACCAAATCGTGCTGTTTCTTGGCAGCCAATAAAGTAGACGATTGGCTCAAGAAACGTCTGGAAGACCCGCTTGTAAGTCTAAATCTCAACATAGTTTACCGGAATACCTCAAATTTATAGATCGGACACAACTAGAAACTGACTTGAAAATGACCCTGGAAAATTTGGTATGACAATAATCAGCAATTTACCGAGTGCGATAATCGTCTGACTGATCTTGCAAGTGGGTCAGATCTAGGTATTTGTACGTCCTATTCTCTTTTAACTTGTATTGGGAAGTATCCAATTGGACGTCTTAAGTATTGGTTTTTCATATTATAACTTGAAGTTTAGTTTAAAGCGATCTGACACCAATAGGAATTAGACGACAGGCGACAATATCTAAGGCATGGAGTAGAGAATACAAGTGAAAGAAATTGGGATGATGTGATTGAGATTTTTCTCTACAGTTTGGTTTTTTCAGGGATCCGAAACTCTCAAATTTGAGGTTACAGGGTAAGATTGAGGGCCCATACTTGAAAAAAGATCATTTTTGTAGGCTACTGAACGGTAGAGTAGAGTTTGAAATAAACAACTGAGTTTAATCGCTGGAACCAGGAACAACCTTGAAAACCTTGATCCGGAGCTCTCCAAACTGACAATTTAGAGAAGCTTGAATAAACTCGTACCACATGATCTACATATTACTAAAAAGCTAAAAAATAATGATTTCGCCCAGGATCGAACTGGGGACGTTCTGCGTGTTAAGCAGATGCCATAACCGACTAGACCACGAAACCAATGATTGAAAGAGGAAAAGAATGGTAAACATATATAGTAATTTAGACAGCACATGTATGTGATTCAAGCTTGAGCTTGTAATTATGATAAGGTGGGTGGTTTATGGTGCTTACTAGTGCTCACTGGTGCTCTTAGTGCCTGAAAATAATGCTTGAGCCAGCAGTATCAGACTTCAAGCTGTTGGTAGTGTCGCCCATGAAATTGATGTCGTCTTAACGGATATAACAGAATTGGTTTACATACAAAAAACGAGAGTTGGTAAACTGAAGATAGCGGTGGTTTCATAAGATGATATGAGATATAATTTTGACATGGATAACAGCGCAACCTGCAAGACATGGGGGAAAATGCTAGGAATCTTGCTTCGTGAACTGTGACGTCGTCGATATTCCACGCGAGTTCAATCCTGCAATCATAACAGCTCTCTCGCACGTATACAGCAAAATTGAGACCTGCAACAAGCAAATAAATGGTTTAAAAAACCCGGTCTTCTGCTGTTCGGATTCGAAGTATATCTTCTTCTTCGTTCCGTGTGACATCGACTTTTTGAAAGAAAATATCCACACGTGACCCGTTCGATTTCCCATCATGTCTGCCAAGTTAATAACGAACTTATCGATGCCCTTTCTGCCTACCAGACGGCCATATTTTGATGATAGATGGTAAGGCAGCTTTAATCAGCTCTGATACCACTCCAGACATCTAGCCTCCTTCTTTCACAATGGTCTCCACGCCCGAACTCAAAAAGGTATGTTTAGCCCTCCGATCTTTCGTCTTCGCAACAAATTTTCGATACTAACATTTATGCTTCCTTCGGGTTGTTTTCCTCAGTATATGGACAAGACCGTATATTTGCAATTGAATGGATCCCGGAAACTTATAGGAGTGCTTCGTGGGTTCGATATTTTCCTGAACGTGGTTTTGGACGATGCGGTCGAGATCCGCAAGGACGGCACCAAGGCCCCCATTGGCTCGCAATCTGTGATTCGAGGCAACTCCATAGTTTCCATAGAAGCACTAGAGACTCTGGCTTAGCTAGGTAGGTTAAAAGGTGGACAACCGTACGTGTACAATAGATAAGATTTTTCAAGCTTTGTTGTCCTCTGTTTCTGCGACGATAGTTGGCGAAAGTTGCAAAATAGCATAAACCCCTCCCTCTTCCCCCCTTTTGGATATAGCTTCTCCATGTAGCGTCACAGCCGATGGTCCATTTCCACCCCGCATCTGCGATATCCACACTTTTCGTAAAACCCTACGTTTTTCTCGTCACAATCGAGAATCACTTTGTAGCATCCCGCTTCGTGCGCGAGTTTTGTCAAGTGCTGGATTAGCAAGAGTCCCAGTTGTTTTCCTTGCTGGTCTTTTGCCACTGCGATGTCCTCCACATGGCCCACCAGCCCGCAATTGCGGATGATCTTCCGCTCGATCAAAACCGTACCTGTTGCAACCACTCTGTCGTCTGCATTCACAATTACATGTGGATTGTAAGCGCGAATCTCTCTATCACCGGATTTCACCGTAGTGCTGTCCCAGACCGCTAGTGTCTCGTCAAAATTGGCTCGAGTGACATCGCCTACAACCGTCAGAACTTTGAGCGTTTCGACCACTTCCTCGTAGTCCCGGGACTCGGTTCTTCGAATTGAGTATCCAGGCGGCAGAATGGCCATTGGAAGCTATATGATAACTATATAATATGTATACACACGACTTCACGGTGTATTACGGCGATGTTCGATGGTTTGGATTCTGTTAAAAGCTGACATCCTTTGAACATAGCCTTTATATATAGGTATTACCTTGAATATTTACCTTTACTGAGCGCTAGCCGTCTAACATTACCTCTATTTTCGAGAGTTGGTTCGATCCCCGGGCGACGCATATACTCTTGAAAAGCTAGAACAAGTGTAAAACTGAGTTTGAAGAATGCTTAGCAGTGCTACTTCTTAAATTCACACCTACAGAGGAGGACAGATCAATGCTAGTTCCTGAATCTACGTTTAGTTTTAAAAGTTTCCAGTTTAGTGCTTTACGCTCAAGAAGCACAAGCGACCAGGAATGAAGACGTAGGGACAGTATACTGCCATCAGTTTCAATTTATCCGCAACGTTCATTGGCAAATGCTGGCCATATGGGTAGTATCCTCGGGCCCATACCGTGTATAGACAGAAAAGCGTAGTGAGCGCTGCATTCCATCCGTAAGCCTTTAGCCAAAATACGAGGTTCGTTTCACAATCAACAAGCTGTGACTTGGCATTCTTGTCGTCCGCTGACTGATCTCTCAACGACCAAAGTCTCTTGAATTCGTGTGCAAACCAGAAAAAAGCTGGCAATTGGCCTACACATTCGACCAGTACAAACCACCACAGCCATGCAGGTTTCTCGTACAGCAGAAAGTCATTGTTCAATGAAATATGGTAATCTACAAGTGGTTTGGAAAATTGGAAAGCTTCCGGGACCACCACGGTTGAGTCCACCAAAATGGTGGTGAAAATGTGAATCACGAAGTAGTAATAGTAGAACTTCTGCTCGCGATTCGAAAGCATTCTATTTCAAAGCGCAACGGAGTCTGCAATGGGAGTGCAACGGATGTGCAATGGAAGTGCAATGGAAGCCTCTAGATATCTAGCTCGAAACCGATTCTAGTTTCTATAGGGTAGTTACTAGCTAATCGTAAATCGATTTCGATGCCCTGTTATTATGAAATTGAATCGTGCCATGAGACATATCGAACAATAGCGCTGATGATACCTCTTGAAAGCCGAACTTGACGTCCATTCTCGGATCTGAGCGGTTAAAATCAAATCAAGGCGAGATATCTGGTTTGAGAAAGCTGTCGTCTCACTATTTGCACGCTAAGACTTTTTTATTATGGTTGTCACTTTGTCCTTTTTGACATACAATAGTGAGGACCACTAACGTCAGCCAGACGACTCTGAACTTGTGAAAGCGTACTTTGGATTAGCGTACTCTGAATTAGCGTACTCTGGATTTATATGTACACGAATATTTATGAACATTGTGATCTATTTACAAACGGGAAATGTCAAAATCGTTTCTGCCCGCTGGCAATGGTGTGCCAGCAACATTGTTTTGCGTAACAATTATTTTTTGTCGCCTTTTATCTTCTTGAAAGTATTCGAAATGAAGTCCTCCAATTTGCCCAAAGCGCTGGGTGTGTCGGGGTTGGAAGCACCGGCTGCCGCGCTACTGTCACCTTGCTCTTTGACTTTAAAAGTATTAGATCCTGTTAGAGCAGATCTCTTGGCTTGTGCGTCACCCGTGACATCCGCAAGTGCTTCCCACAAACATTTCTCGGCCTGAGACTGGGGTTTCTTGATAACCACTCTATACTGAATTTTCATATCCCCACGCGATCCGAAGGCGCCCCTAGGTACACCCTTCTGTGGGATCGATACGACATCGTTATGTTGAGTACCCGCCGCAACCTTCAACCTAATTTTTTCCCCGTCCACGGTAGGAATCGTTACAACACCGCCAAGAGCAGCTGTGGTAATTGGAATGTCCTCCGTAAACCAAATATCGTATTTGTTTTTGATTAGGTAACGTGGATCCTTGTCTACGCGGACGCGCACCAGCAAGTCACCTCTGGATAGGCGGATGGTGTCTTTCATGGCGGGATCGACCTGCATGTTCGGGTACGAGCCTTGGCCACTGATGCGAATAACGTCGCCATCTTGCAAACCGTGAGGGAAATCGACCTTCAACTCATGGTCCTTATTCATTGTGGCACCCTCTCCATGACAAGAGGAGCATGTGTCGGAACTCTTGATTACCGATCCTTCTCCGCCACAATTGTCACAAGTGGAGGCCATTTGGAAACCTGCACGTACGTGTACACGAGTACCGGTTCCGGAGCACACATTGCAAGTTGTTCTGGAGGCGCCGGGCTTCATTCCTGAACCGTCGCACGTCTTACAAGGATCGTATGCACTGTATTTGAGATTCACGTTTTTTAGACCAAAAACAGAGTCCTTAAACGTCATGCGATGCACTATTTCGATGGGGCTTCCCTGGTACTCACGGTACATAGAGCGGCCACGAGCTCCACGACCAGCCCCACCTGCACCACCGCCGCCGCCAAAAGCTGCGCCGAACAAGTCTTCGAAATTGATGCCGCCAAATCCACCACCAAAACCTTGGGCGCCACCACCAAAGCCTCCTGCGCCGCCAAACCCTCCAAAACCGCCAAAACCTTCAGCACCACCTGGACCACCAGCTCCGCCTTGTGAGAAAGCGGCAGGGCCGTACTGATCCCATTGCTGTCTTTTGGACTCATCGGACAAGATTTCGTAGGCGTTTTGCAAATCGTGGAATTTTTGTTGGGCGTCGTTAGCCTTATTGATGTCTGGATGATACTTTTTGGCCAGTTTGTAGTAGGCCTTCTTGATTTCAGAGGAACTAGCGGTTTTTCCTACACCCAATGTAGAATATGGGTCCTTGAGCTCATTCAAAAGAGCTGTACTAGCGTGAAAACATCTGAGAGGTCTCGAAACACGCACAAACCGCGGATTAACGGCACCAAAACGAGCCTTTCTCAACTCTTTGTACAAAGTGTTGCGATACATGTCAATGAGCGATTTCGATGGAGTGGAACAACTAGACTTGCAGAAGAGGAAACACCAAATAAAATCGTAAAAAGGAGCAGTCAATCGAGACTGAAAAGTGTCCTAACAATTGGAAAAGCGCGAGTTCGTTACAGGTATAACCAAGTCGTTGAGGAGAAGTTCTCAGTGTCGAATTTTGGTAACTGGAATCATCCTTGGACTTCCGGTCTTTATATAAGTTTAATCCAGAAATTTCGAGATTAGTTTTCGAGTATTCGTAGGAAGTGATACGTAAAAAACCCGTTCTCGAGAAGAGATTTGATCGAATACAGTGGTGAGTAATTTTTAATGGGGGAAGTGAAATACTTGATTGAAACTCCTGGTTTGGAAAAGTGTTTAGGCATAACGTTGAATGATGTTGGATGTTTTGTAGAAATTGAAATGATCAAATATGATGTGTCACGTGACCAACAATGGTGGAAAAAAAGACAAATGACAGAGATATGGGAAAGTGATGAAATGTAGATGAGACATAGGCTCATGGCGAGTTTGACTATGAAGTGTAGCGTTAAGGTGGTGCTGATTGGGTAGTTGCAGATTTCAAAATTGGGTTGACGTTTTTGTTTGGATCGAGGAAAGTTTATTTTACAAGGTTATTTTGGAGGGTTGCTTGTGAAGATGGAGATGACTATCGTACTCACAAAGTGATATATCGTCGGTGGGGGTTTAATTTCAGTAGAAACCTGAGCAAGCTGGATTGAACGTCCACAACATTATCTGCTGAAGTAAAAGTAAGGTGCCAGTTTGTAATTGGTAGTTATAGTTGTAGCGAGCGATCACGTCACGTGATGTTTTTTTCGATAGTTGGAAGGTTGAATTGACGGTTTTGAACTCGTTGAAGGGATCTCGATTCCAAAGCGTTTCTAACATACTTGGCATTGATTCTATAACGGTGTTTATCACAAATTCGCGATGCATCACGTACGACGTCACGATCAGATCTCTGCGACTGGGATAACACCAAGGCTTTCAAAACTGGCCAAGACCGCCTGATTAAGAGGAATAAGTAGTTCTCCGGTGTTTATTGCATCTAAAGCCCTCTCTGCTCTTCTCTGAAGGTATTATAATATTAATGCGACACACCAATTACACACCACTGTCAAGTGATTTAAGTGTGTACTGCTCAATATACCTAGTACCCGTACGATCTTTCCGTTTAGAAGCATATACAAGCGGGTATCAAAGCGGTGCTGAAGCGGGTACTAACGGGTACTAAAATGGGTTCTCACACGGGTGCTAAAGCGGGTACTTAAACGGTGCTGAAGCGGGTACTAAAGCGGTTCTGAAGCGGGTACTAACGGGTACTCAAATGGGTTCTCACACGGGTGCTGAAGCGGGTACTTAAACGGTACTGTAACGGCTCCTTAAACGGCTACTCACATGAGTAACTCGAGTAAACCCACGAGTAACTCACGTTGGATACCCTCACCCCTCACCCCGAGTCAAAAAAACCAAGAAACAAAGTCATCAGCCCTTAACTCCGCAAACCCCTGTTTCAACTTCTTTTGTGTCATCCCTTCACCCCTCTTTCGCCGATCTCGGCTCCGAAAAGCCGCTCTAATCCAAATCTGCCACAAAAACCTATGTCCAAAAATAATTGCTACCGTTGAACCTTGTTCAGGGCCTAGAACCTTCTCCCACAATCCCTGCGGCCCGGTCTAAGCTTGCTGCCTGGCTATGCATATTTGCTGTCAACGCAGCGGCAACTCATCTCGGGGGCCAATTTCCTCCGTCGGCGGAATTAGTGTTTCGCGGCAATGTTGCTTTTAGGGGCGGATGTGTGGAGAATTGCTCGCGGAGCAACAAAAAGCGGTGGCAAAGATCAAAGAAATCACAATAAGGGGTGACGGAAGAGCAAAGGGGCAAAGAAGGGGTAGTTCTCAAAGTACAAGTATAAAAGGCAAGGCGATTTGCATAGTTTAGATCTTAAAAGTATTGTTTATATTGTTCACTTTTTTTTAACAGAAAAAACTACAGCTGAATACTTCATTCACAACCCCACAAACTTTACAACACACACAACTATAACAATGTCTGACTCTATGAGAAAGGATTTTTCCGACAAAGCCGCTGAAGCCGTCAAGCCAGACAGCCAAAAGTCTACCTTCGAACAAGGTAAGGAATTCGTCACTGACAAGGCCGACAAGGCCGCCGGTGCCGTGCAGCCAGAAGAAAAGAAGGGTGTCTTCCAGGGTGTCTCCGACTCTGCCTCCAAGGGCAAGGACGACGCCACTGGCAAGTCCATGTCCGAAACCGCTGGCGAATACGTGGACGCTGCCAAGAGCAAATTAAACGACGCTGCCGAGTACGTTAGCAAATCGCTACACGGCGGTGACGAAACCAAGTAAAGCGATACTGGTTTTTTAATTGCTACGATTTTACGAATGTAGAGAAGGAAAAAACAAAAAGAGATGAGGTTGCTGCTGCCCTGCAGTTGATGTGATGGGAGGAGATTTGCACTATCCCGTCCCGTCTTCTGAGAGCACAGTATATATGTATTTCTATCAGTTATTGAGATTCTGTTTAAGTAACATTGCAATGCTAAAAATTTGAGATTTCCAAAGCGAAGTCAGCGAGCGAAGTAGCGCTGTTGTTTGTCATGGTGTAATTGGCATTGGCCATTGGCCAGCGAACCGTTGTAGATCGGCTCTTTCACGACCTCTCGAACAGTTCGAAGCGAAGGTTCAGACAAACTACCGATTCCACGCAGAGCTTGGCGAAACACTACTTCCTAAATACAGACACATGCGACTCTTGACTTTTTGAAACTTGATGCTAAAACTCCTGCGCTGCGGTGCTTCACACCGCTTTCTCCCCCAGAGACCTCCAAAACAGCGCTTGAAACGGTAACCGTAAAAAAACCTTGAGCCTTTCCAGTCTTTTTCTCTTCAAACACCTAACATGGATGATTGTCCCTGTTGCACCGTCCCATGTTATTCGGTTACCACGTAACTCTCAATTATGTCCACTTTATCCTGAGATCTGACCTCATCGTCAAAGAACTGCCAAATCATTATCGTCTTTTTCTCCAGTGCTCCGGCTTCGGCAACGTTGGAACCGCTATACTTCGCAGTTTCCACCACACTCTTTTTAACTCACTAGCATGTTTGGATCAAACTACAACAACTCACCTATCCATCACTTCAACAAACTCAAAGTTTAATCCAACTTGAGGCTATAAGTTCATCATCAACACTTGAAAAATATCCAGGTTGAGGCTCAAACGGAGTAAATCAACACCAGCAGCAAATAACGACGAAGAGCTGTTCCAATTCTGGCTCCCGAGAAGTAATGCTCATGAGCATCGCAGATCAAGACAACAACTTCAGCTACATTTCTTATTCCTATAGAGTCCTCATTTCAGCGCTACAACACAGATTTCGTTTGACAAGAGCCACTGGACGTCATGAGCTCTGCCACCAGGGATCAACTAATTGCCTCTCGCGACGCACTGTTGGCTGAATATAAAGAACGTCTCCGTTCCGTCCAAAACATTCGCTCCTCTAAACTAGCTCACAAATATGACGCCCTTCCATTACTGGACTACCCAGAAAGACTCCAGTACATGCAAGAGTTTTATCCTCTGTTGAAGGTCCAGTCAATCCAGAAAAAGGGACCAATAGCGCCTGGCACCCCCCATACTAGCGGCCATCACAACAGATACATTACCAATGTTACGCTTGCAATCGATGACAGCCTCTCCATCGCTCTCCAGTACTCGACTGAAAACTCTCGATTGCTGGACCTCACGATTACCCAAATTTCGCACCACCGCTTGGATCTGGATCCACTTATCCAGTACTGCGAAAGAACCCACAATTTGTCGTTTTTTCTACTCGGATGCTACGAATATACCCGTCTCTGCAAGTCCAGAGCTTGTCTGTGGTCTAACTTAGCCACAGCTTTCGGCTACTTGACGCCAACTGTGCGTTCCAAAAGCTGCTTCCAGTTGAGCTCCCGTAAGGCCAGTCTCTTGCTGAAAATTCGCTTCATCATAAGTTTTGACCATCTTCCTTTTCCTAGCTCCACTGTTAGCGTCGATCTGGAATCTGACGCTGGGACCACACCACATGCAAATGAGGTTTGTTCCGCCCTCATCAAAGAGTATGGACTAGAACACGGTCTCACTGAGTTCATCAAAGCAGTTATGGCTTAACGTTTATAATATTCCCTCTTACACGTCGTGTTATCACTTAAATTCATATATACTGTCCGTGTCAGCCTTGCGAGAAAGCAGCGCACGTTTGGCACCATTAAACGTGCGAATAAAGTCAGTCTCATATCCCAACACACCGTCTCTGAACTTCTTCCGTTTTTTGCCACGAACACCAATCACGGTGGCCATCGTCACGTCCTCGTACTCCTGGAAAAGCTTGAGTAGGCCTAGTTCTTCACGTTTACGACGCGCAAGAGCTTGTGCCTTCCCCAACTCTTGCAAAACATCATCGTGCGTGCGGTGCTCTGAAATCTTTTCGCTTTTATCAAATTTTATCAGTTCTTCCATCTCGTCCCTCTTTTTCTCGTCCAACAAGTCGTTCTTGATCTCTTGCGTAGCAGGCGATTCTGAAGCCGCCTTCTTTCTTTGTCTTTTCTTTGGTTGCTGTACGGCTTGTGAATTTGTTGACTGGTCCTCATTACCAACTTGAGCCGTCTCTAAGTCTGGATTTTCTTCCTTTACCGGGACCTGGCCCGTTAAATCTTTTGAAGACTCAACGGGCTTTTTTACTTGTTTACGATACGCTCTTTTGGTGGCAACAGGCTTGGCGTCCGTCTTGGAGTCCTCTGTCGCGGTTGTAGCAGTGGCCTTGGATGCCGCTCGCGACCCTGACTTTTGATTACGTTTTTTGGTCGATTTACCATTATCATTGACAGCAGGAGCGACTGTTGCAACGGACGTTGCGAGAATGGGAGGATCCAAATGAACATCAACACCTTCAGTAATACCATCTTCGATCTTGCTGTGTATGAGTTTTCTCTGCTCCATTAATGACTTACTGTCATCCTGGCTTCCGAATCCGTTGTGCGGTGATTTGCTACTCTTCAAAAGAAACTCTTTTCTTTTGGCCTTTTGAAGCTCTCCGAACTCCACCTCTTGAGGTGTATCCACGTCGACATCGTCCGACGCAGGATTCAGTGTGAACTTCCCGTCCACACCGAAAAGTTTGAGAGACTCCGCAATAGCTTCGTCGGTAAAATCTGTCTCTAGGTGAACATAAAGCATCCATAGGATAATTCGGGCCCTTTGCCTGGGGTCCAAGGCCGTGTTTTCCAAGATATCAAAAAAGGTCAATTCATCCGCAGCAACGACATATCGTTGAAGAAATCTCGAGTTCACCAAAGCAGAATTGTCACATAAATGGAAAATCACATTGACAGGATTAGCATCGAGTTTCTTTCCAGGCTCAGGAGATTCGTAAAATTCCGCTAGTGGCAAGTTTCCGTTGCCCTTTGGCAAGTTTTTCAATATGGATTTCAGCCTAGGAGTGTCTTGTAAAGACTTGGGATCACGCGTGTCGCGTTGAAGACATGGTATGGAGTGGAATGTTCGCAGTTGTGACGTCATTTCGAGGAAGAAGTTGATGGTCGTGTTCAAACGGCCTGTGTTGACCAGCAGCGACAGTGCACACGTCGAAAACGCAACATTGCGGTCGAAAAGTAGTTTGTCACGTAAAATTTTCGAACATTTGGTTGAAGAGGCAATCGTCAGAAGATAGTATTCTGAAAATGTCAGTTTGTCATTTTTGATGAATTTCCGCGCCACATATGCGTCGTCTGTGACGTTCAGCGATTCTTGGCTTTCTGTAGCGGAGATTGAAAACGAATCCTGGTACCAGTTGGTGAAAAGCGGTCTTTTATCGGAACAAAGCTCGTGCAGAAACTCGTACTGGATTTCCTGACGGGTAAAGTACTCTCCATCGGCTTTTTTCAGGTGTCGCAGGTATTTGCTTGGTTCTCGGCTTCTTTTTCTACTGGATTCCGCACCATTTAACGCTGGCAAATTTTCATCGCTTTGTGTGGAATCTCCCTCGTCCTGTGATCCTTCTTCTTCTTCCTCTTCCTCATCCTCTTCTTCTTCTTCTGGTAGCGAAGTCGTTATATCACCTATTGAGGCCGTGTCTTCGGGGTCGTCACGGCTTTGAAAGACATCGTGTATCGGATCGTAGACCCTGCTAGTCATTGGAAAGCCTGAACAAAGAAGATGGCGGACCTGTAACTGCTTGCAACTTGTCTGTTCTTTTAGGTATGAAAGAGGTTGACAATGCTAATTACTACTTTAACTAATGCTATTCCATAATTAAAGACGGTAGGGGCCTGATGAAAAAATAGGGATCACGCGATATTCACGTGATGATCACGCAAGAGTCATGTGCACATCCGCATCGCCTACGGAAGAAATGGCGTAGTTCTTCAAAGAATCTTCGTTTTAGTGGCGGAGGGCTAGCGGAACGTAATCGAAATAACCCCAATGTGAATGTCTTGTTGAACGCGGCCGGTAACTCGCTGTTAGAAACTGAAATAGAAAAAAAAAAAAAGAATTTGAGTCAAAAACTCCATTGTGATAAAGAAAAAAACAGATCAAAAATCGCCGCCCCCGAAGTCGTCACCGCCCCCGAAATCACCGCCATCGTAGCCGCCTCCTCCGTAATCGTTGTTGTTGTTGTCGTCGTAATAGTTGTTTTCAACAATCGTTTCGTGAGGCATCATTGCTGACGTGAGAAGGGATCCGGCCAGCAAACCACCACCGGCGCCCATAAGGCCACCCATGAGAGCACCATTGTTGTTTCTACGACCCTGCTGAACAGGCTGTTGTTGCTGCTGGTAATAGCCCTGCTGTGGTGGATAGTAGCCTTGTGGAGGATATCCCTGTTGAGGATATCCTTGTTGAGGGTACGCCTGCTGCGGAGGATATCCCTGTTGGGGGTAGTAGCCCTGTGGCGGGTATCCCTGTTGTTGCTGGAATCCAGGTTGACCATAGGTTTGTCTTGAGAAACCTTGCTGCGGATAATTGTTGCTGGGAGTGCCCTTTGCACTGCTATCAGGAGGACTTCCAGATGGACGACCCTCCACATAAGGAGGGGGACCTTCACTGTTCCAACTCGTCCCTTTGGGCTCCTCCCATTGTGACTTGCCAGTCTTCAGGTCTACGAAGAAGTATGTCTGATATTCATCGTCAAAAACAGCTTTCCAGCCCTGTGGAACGGTGGGAGGACTGCTTTTGGAGTGGGCCATCCGTTTTGAAACTTGAGGCAATCTAGAAGAACGTGTGTGGTCCGAAATTTAGAGGCGTTCGAGCCTAGTTGATGTGGTTCTTCCAACAGATCTACACTTCCTTTAAAGTTGAACCTTTTTTGAATGTAAATCTAAAGACGATTTTATGAGTATTGATAACATCCTACGAGTGCATCGCTGATGGAATGTAACGATATTCAAGAGAGAAAGAATGGAACTGATGAATAGTTTATGTCTATGTTGTGTCTATTTAAGTGCTACGATTGTGCACAACGATGATAGTTCGGCCAAGTTACCGAAGCCGCGTATTTGAAAATAAGGTTCAGTTCAAATTGTGTGACGCATCGGAAAATGCAGTGGAGCGCCCGTTAGGAAAGATTGGTGAAAAGAAGATGCTGCTCTACTTGAGTGTCAGCACTCGGAAAAAGAGTCCAGGATTTGTGGATCTTAGTATGGCCCCGTCATAGCTTGGAACACCTGCATTTGCCTCGAAATAATTCGAGAGCATGTTGTGCGACTCCGAAAGACGTTTCAAAACCCATGCCTCCAAGGCCATACGCATGTACCACAGGACCCCGTGGTGTACGCTCCAGCTCCACACGACTACCACCATGTCTGGCAGGTCTGAACCCCACGTTTACTCTCGCAATTGAAAATTCGTCGTTTTCCATGAGTTCAGGGAAAAGCACGCGTCCACGCTCGAGAATTGCACGAGTGTCGGCCTCCCGTGGAACGACACTGTTCGAATCAAGCTGTTTGGTGCCTCCTAGGATATACTGGGCCCTTTGACCATCGAGAGCAGGTCTTTTGATAACAAAAGTCCAGTTTCCCTGCTTGTCCTGATGAGTAACAGTCAAAGAACTATACTTGCTGTCTTGTGGTGCATCCAAAAGAAGTGTTTGGCCCCTTATAGAAAAGCATTGTGGGTCGTAGCTGCCATCAAATTGCAAACCCCTGCCCGAACAATTGAAAATCACGGAGTTCGCGGGACAGATGTCGTGGACTTGCGACAAGCTCTGTAGTGACATTCTTCTCAGGCACAGCTGCACCTTGTATAGCTTGCAAAGACGCTGGATCTGAGCCAGCAGAAACTCGAGATATAGCGGTGCATTTAGACAATAAGTGTCGTACTGGAAGCCAGATTTGACACCAGGGGGCAATTCTGCTGCTTTCAGCTTGCAAAAGTTGTCGAGACTTCTAGAATTGAATCCGGGGCTTTCCCCGTCGTATTCTTGTGGGGGGTCTTCCAAATAGTCGATGCCTTGCATGAGTTGAACCGTTGATTCTGGAAATTTGGCCGAAATGGCCTTCATGCGTTGATACGTGGCCCGAGTGTACCCGGATTCGCGTGCATCGCTTTCGAAACTAGCAGGACGGTGTGGGAAGGGCCTAAAATGAGCTCCTGCCCATGCTGACGTGTATTCGTGACTAACAGGGCTCTCGTTAGGGAAGTGTTGAGCAATGATATGCAATTCTTTTGGGCGCAATTCGCTGCTCAAAAGAAGTTCATACGCAACGCTGAGCCCAATGACTCCACTACCTACAATTGTGGTGGACATTGTCTTGGCAGTTTCCATCATCAAGAGTCTTAAGTGCTATAATCTCAATTAATTTCAATAATATAGTAGCGTCGCTGATGAACAGAAGCGCTTTTTGAAGAGAACTGTATCTCGAAGTTAGCCCACCAGACCGATAGTAAATAGTTCCATCGGTTACCAAACTTACGATAACAATGAAGAGCTTCTTGAGTTCCCTTAGGCATTTAAATTCCTAAACCCTCACAGGTCGGTATTCTTAATTTTGAGGGAAAATTGGAAAGAAATGAATTTCGTGGTATAAATCCCAGATAAGCGGGTTACAGATTACTGCATATATGAATGCAGCTTATTGGATACTTTCGGGAGTCTCGCCTGGAGTGTTAAAATAGGCTTACTTTCATGTTTTTGGGCGTGTGTCGCCTAGTCACATGACCAGACTTGGATTACTTCTTGTTGGCTCTCTACGAGCTCTTGGACGACCAGAAGTGCTTTACAGCGCTCACCAGTCTGTGTGCACCCCCAGCAATAGCACTACGTCTCTTATTTTCGTTGCTGGTCAGTCGTTCTAATTTGGCACCATTGCTCATCACTTTTGCATATACTATCACACAAGTCACATGCTTTCAAAATGTTATTGAAAGATCGCTGTCGTCTCAGTCAAGTTTAAAATCCAGGCATCACCAGCTCGGAGTGACAAATTTCGAAACCGTTGAACAATAGCTCGGGAACTTGTTAACCTTTCGACTAACAGGCCTCCTGATATGGTTCCCAACGCCCACGAATTTCCCCTACAAGTCATCGCGGTTCCTTACCAATACCAGCTTCGGGACAGCGATGAAGAACAAATGGTTATGAACTCGGAGATGAGCTTGTTTCAAAGCAACGGCGTGGGGCATAAGGTCAACAAGCGTGAAGCAGACAGTGAGCCCGAACTACAGTACGACCACAAGCGATTCAAGTCTGGCCAAAAATCCTACAACGGCGACGAGCTCGTTAGAACACCCAGTGTGGATGAATCGCTAAAATATGATATGGACAACGACATAAAAGAGGCGGTCTCGCGATCAAGTACATCTTTACAAGGTCATCACGGCGAAGTGGGCTTGGAAGACTCCCCGGCGTCAGAAGCTCCGGTCGTTACAAGTCATACGAGCACCACAGGCACTGCCAATCCGTCTTTGGCGACAGGCGCTCCAAGCGACGACGGGTTGCCCCTTTCACCAATAGCATCGCCCAGCAACACCGCCTCGGCTGACGAGCTGTATATGCTTCGCGATAGTGTTTCCCAGCACGACTATCTCGCTACCGTCGCAAATGCGGCCCACAAACAACTATCGCCTGCTGGGTACAGAAACCTTGTGTTCCAACTCATTAGCAAACTATCTCGAAGCGAGCTTTCCGACTTAGGCACACTCGTTAAGGACAACCTGAATCGCGATTTCATCAGCTCATTACCCGTTGAAGTGGCCATGAACATTTTGACAAATTTACGATTCGAAGATATTGCCAAGTGTCTTTCTGTCAGCAAAACTTGGAACAATTTGATCAACAATACACCTTATCTGTGGCGCAAGCTAATGGTAAGCGAAGGTTTCATGTCTCTTGACGAGTTTAAAAAAGATTACCACGAGTCTTCAGACCCAACAAAGCTTTCCAGAGCTGAAAACCAGGTTCGGATCGACTTTCTTCAAAACTATACCTATCTGAACAACTGCTATAGCGTGAATTTCAAACCGCACCGCACTACACTACGGGGGCACTCCGTAAAGATCGTTACATGTCTCCAGTTTGAAGACGACTATGTCATCACTGGAGCAGACGATAAAGTGATACGAGTTTATGATGCCAACGAGGAGCGTTTCATTACCCAACTGAGCGGCCACGATGGAGGTGTGTGGGCACTGAAGTATGGCCAAGACGGCATTTTGGTTAGCGGGTCCACGGACCGCAGTGTGCGCGTATGGAATATCAAAGAGGGCAAGTGCACGCATGTTTTCAAGGGCCACACATCGACTGTGAGGTGCTTAGACATTGTGGAGCACAAAGGAGAGAAATTTATCATCACCGGCTCGAGAGACCATACTCTACACGTTTGGAAGCTACCGAATCATCGCTCTTCGAGCTACAATCCTCACAACTGTGAAGTCTACAACACCACGGACTCAAATCCGTATTTTGTGGGCATTTTAAGAGGACACATGGCAGCTGTGCGCACAGTTTCGGGCCACGGAAACATCGTCATTAGCGGCTCGTACGATTTCAATTTGATGGTGTGGGACATCGCCCAGATGAAATGTCTTTACGTTTTGACGGGCCACACAGATCGCATTTACTCGACCATCTACGATCACGAGCGGAACAGATGCGTGTCGGCTGGCATGGATTGCACTGTTAGGGTCTGGGATCTCTCGGACGTGCAAAAAAATGGGCAATGCAACGTTATTGGCTCGGCCAACGCAGGCTGCGTCAAAGTGACCGGTTCCATGGTCACTCTTCATGGCCACACAGCGCTCGTGGGCCTGCTGGGTCTTTCAGACAAGTATCTGGTGAGCGCGGGCGCCGATGGCATGCTTCGCGGCTGGGACTCCAACAATTACTCCCGCCACTTTGCGTATCATTCCAAAGACATGAGCGCGATCACCACTTTTTACGCCAACAACAATTTACTGGTGAGCGGGAGCGAGGGCCAATTCAACGTCTACAACCTCAGGAATGGCACGGCTATTCATTCAGATCTGCTGAGTGATGCAGACCAAGTGTGGTCCGTAAAGTTCAACAACAGGAAGTTTGTTGCAGCTGTCGAACGTGACGGGCATAGTTTCCTAGAGTTTCTAGATTTTGGCAGGCCTCAAGACAAAGAAAGTGAAACAACACGCACTCCAGATCAAGTTCAGTGACCAGCTGCAAGGGTCCTTGGATTGACTGTCCAGTCCCATCTTGGCACCGTTCGGTCCACCAACGGTCAGGTAAAGTCACAGTCACATGGTCCAAAAGCCACTACCGTTTCACGACAACGACTTTACGCACAACAGACGGGTGGGTGCCATGAAAAAGTTGTGAGTGAAAAATTAATATGGGTGCAGTCCGATGAGCAGCTAGCTGCTGTGTCGCTGCTTGACGGGATAGTTCACTTCAGCTATGAAATACCTTCCTTGTTGCAAATAGAGCCTGGTGTTGAAATCTCACCAGATTTGTATCGAGTTTTCAAGCGGACGTTGACGTTTCCTTTTGGACTTGACACCTATTCTCGACACCTATTCTCGACACATATCCCACACTTTCCAAGATGAGTGATATCGGAACTTCTTCGTCGTCGCCATTTCTCAGAAAAAGAACAACAGTCGGAAAAGATTCGATGGGTCGCGATGCTGAGGTAAGGGTTTTCGGACCCAGATTCCAGTCTGGTTTGGCGGTGCCCCGGAACAAGCAGATCTCACTGCAGGGCTTCGTCTTGAGTGGATTTGCTATTGTTGTCACTGCCGGTATCATGTTCCTTTTAGGAGTCAACATCGTGATCGAGTACCGTACCATAGTTCCCGAGGATCGTTCTGGGATGGTGCGTAAAGCATGCTTCATCGTCCTGAGTGTTGCAGGGATCTACATCTTGAACAAATTCAACTACTGGTTCTACAGGAGGATGATGGCATACTTCACCAACACGAAATACGAGGGTTTACCGTCGCATGAGGAGCAGTTTGAGATGTCGTCGCGCGCGTAACTCTTTACAAAATGTACAATATAATCGCAGATGTGTAAGTAATCGCGTTTTACCAGGTTAAAGCAGCCTTGATGGAGCGTGGGAGATGAAAGTAAAAGAGCACTTGGTTGTTCAGGTTCTTGCTTAATTCACAGTTTCTAAAGATTAATTTCGATGACCGGTGTCAGTTTTGGGACAAAGTGATCTTTACGAAAGCGAAACGCGTAAATACAGATGGAAAAATAATAAGGACTCGAAACGTGAATTAGATGTTTTAACGCGACTTGCTGTCTTCAAACCCATCTTTAACACTCCAGTTAACGCTTCCTAGACCCCACAACAGCTTCCAAAATGGGACGTCTTCTTGGTCTAGAGCTTTGCAATTTCAAATCCTACAAAGGAACTGTCAGTATAGGGTTTGGAGACTCGAATTTCACAAGCATCATAGGACCCAATGGATCGGGAAAGTCCAATCTGATGGATGCGATTTCTTTCGTGCTGGGAGTCAAAAGCGTACATCTGCGATCCCATATGCTGGCCGACCTCATATATCGTGGCAGTCTGGCTGGAGCTGAAGCTGAAACATCAGCTGCGATCGAGGAATCGCCCAATCAGCCGTCAAGTGCGTATGTCAAGGCCTTCTACAGTCCTAGTAATAAAGCGGACGACTATGTGGAGCTTTGCCGAATCATTACCAGAGGCCAAGATAGCGCCTACCAGATCGATGGCAAGACAATAAGCTACAAGAAGTATAGCGATTTTCTCGAGAGCCAGAATATCCTCATCAAGGCACACAATTTTCTCGTGTTTCAGGGCGACGTCGAACAAGTGGCATCTCAGAAGCCCCAGGAGCTCACAACACTGCTCGAACAGGTATCGGGCTCTATACAGTACAAGCAAGAATATGATCAATTGAGCGAAGAGCTTGAGAATACAAGATCTGCTACATCAGAGCTCATCCAGTCCCGGAAACGCGCTCATGCAGGTCTCAAGAGCTTTAAAGAAGGAATGAATAGAGATGAGGAGTATCGCAAGTATCTCAGAGAGCGCCAGGAGGCCCAACAGCGTCTTGTGGTCTGGCAACTATTCCATCTGGAAGCTCGGAAAGAAGCCCTAAGTCAAGAATTAGAGGCTTCAAGATCTGAGTTGAGCGAGATTGAGTCTCGCTTAAGTCTAGAGGAGGATCTCTTGAGGAAACAACAAGTCTCTTCTGCAAAAGCACAAAGCGTCATTCTCAAACAGAGACTTCAACTCTCCACTAAAGTGAAGAATAAAGAGTCTTTGACATCATCGTTGCTACCCATACAAAGTTCGAAGGAAAATGTTGTGAAACGAATCCAAGTTGCCACAGATAAAATAGAGCTTCTACAAAAAGACGTCGATAGGCAAGAAGCGTTAATCAAGCAGTACTCTCACCAATTGAATGTGGTGAATAAAGCCAAAGTTAGTGCTCGAGCAGAGATGGAAGAAGCGGCTAAAACCAGCGGCGATTACAAATTAAGCGAGGAAGAATTACAAACTTACGAAAAGCTCAAAGAGCTATATCTCAGCTCTGGTGGGTCGAATTTTGAAGACAGGTTGCTTCTGGAAGCAAATGATAAGCAAGAGCTTGTTGATGAGATGGAACTTTACACTCAAAAGCTTGATGAATCGATGGCGAAGGTCAACGAAGAGCTGGGACTTGAACAATCGAGCTTAGGGTCGGAGGTCGAGCAACTCGGGAAAGAAGTGAAGGAAAACGCAGCACAGGTGTCGAGCTTAGTCAAGAAACTCAAGACCCTCCAATCGAAAGCCGAATCCAATAGTAACAAAGAGTACGAAATGAATTACAAGTTGAAAGAAACGCTGGTCAAGCTCGATGACATGAATGCGACGCAAAGGGAAACGACAAAGGAAAGAAAACTTAGAGAAAATGTTTCGACGCTGAGGCGATTGTTTCCTGGCGTCAAAGGTCTCGTCCATGACTTATGCCGCCCGAAAAAGGACAAATACGCCGTTGCAGTTTCCACCGTGCTTGGAATGAATTTTGACTCGGTTGTTGTCGAGAGCTTATCGGTTGCACAACAGTGTATTTCATTTTTAAAAAAGCAGCGCTCTGGCATAATCTCGTTTATCCCCTTAGACACAATTTCAGTGAACAAGATTTCTATGTTGTCTGCAGACGCTGAAGGTTCAATGTTGGCAATCGATGCAATTGACTATGAACCGGAACTAGAGAAAGCGTTCCAATTTGTTTGTTCAGACGCTATAATTTGCGATACATTGCCAATTGCCAAAGATCTCAGATGGGAAAAAGGCGTGAAGTCCAAACTTGTCACTCTGGAAGGCTCCATTGTACACAAGGCAGGTCTGATGACTGGCGGTACGTTGAAAAACTCAGGAAATAGATGGGATAAGGAAGAATATCAAAATTTGATGTCACTGAAAGACACCCTACTTCGCGAGATTGCCGAGTTATCCTCTTCCACTCGGTCCGACCTGGAAAAGATCAGAGAGATGGAAAATGTTCTATCGTTGAGGAGCACAGATACCGCAGACTTGAAAACGAGATATTCTCATACTCAAAGATTATTGAAAGAAAAGCAGGTTGAAATCGACTACCAGAAAGAACTAGCAGAGCAGGAGTTCAAACCACAGATCGAAAAGCTTCGGGGTAAGGTTGCAGAACATGAAAGGAAAATACGCGAAGTACAGGTTTTGAAGAAGGAGCTCCAGAATTCCATATACGCCGAATTTACGACGAAGGTTGGGTTCACTGTTGAAGAATACGAAGCCCATTCGGGTGAGTTGATGCGCAAACAGTCTGAGGATCTGAGGAAACTTGAGATGCAGATCGCCACTATTGAGAAGAAAATGGAGTTTGAAAACGACAGACTCAAGGCAACACAAGAACGCCAACAGAAAGCCCAGGTGGATGTAGAGAAGGCTAAAATGAAGCTTGAAGCATTGGAAGCGAGTGAAAATAACATCACAACACAGATCGCGGCCGAAGATGCGGAAATACAACAAGAGGAAAACCGCTTAGAGCAATCACAGCTGGAGGTCAGCAAATTATCTTTAGGATTGAACTCCCTGGAGGAGACAATAACAGAGTTGACCGATAATTTACACAGCTGCAGAAGCCGTCATGCTGGACACTCAGAAAATCTAGAGAAAACGCTTTTGGAGAAGATAAGCATCCTAAAGAACTGTAAGATGCTCAATATCGAGCTCCCCGAGGGCTCTTCTTCGCTTGACGATATTTCACTCAACAAAGTGGACGACGAAGCACTGCAAGCGGCTAATGATGTCGTCATCGGATTTTCCGGACTAAGCCGTAAGCTTCGTCAAAATGACACCGAAGAGGCTGAAAAAGAGCTGAAGAAGAATATTTCCGAGTTAGAGGAGCTACTCGCCGTGCTGCAACCGAATTCCAAAGCTGCTGGAAGGTACGAGGACGCCGAGATTAAGTACAAACAAATTTCCGCAGAAACCGAACGGAGCAAAGCGGCGGAAAAGGCTGTCAATGACAAGTTCTCGGTGGTGCGTAAGCTGCGAAGGGACGCGTTCGAGAAAGCATTCGATCACATCAGCGAAACGATCGAGGGCGTTTATCGCGAGCTGACACGTGATCCAAATTCTACTGCAGCACTTGCCGGTGGACATGCGAGTTTAACGCTTGAAGACGAGGATGAGCCGTATCTGGCTGGAGTGCGATACCATGCGACACCACCTGCAAAGCGTTTCAAGGATATGGAGTATCTTTCTGGAGGTGAGAAAACAATTGCTGCACTTGCGCTGTTGTTTGCGATCAATTCATTCCAACCCAGTCCGTTTTTCATTCTAGACGAGGTCGATGCCGCATTGGACATTTCCAACGTCGAGCGTATTGCCACCTATATTCGCAGACAGGCACGTTCGGACCTTCAGTTCATTGTTATTTCCCTGATCAACACCATGTTCGAAAAGTCCCAGTCTTTGGTTGGAGTTTTCCGACAGCAGGCTCAAAACACGTCCAAGGCATTGACGTTGAACCTGGAAAACTACGCCGACTGATCCAAACGAAACAAAACAACTGCTTGAAGAGCACCATATTGAAAACAAGCAAAGCATTCACCACGGAAATTACAAGACCTCATCTCATCACGATTGCCTTGATATTAGACTCCTTCTTATGTCAGCCGTCTTTTTCCTAATTGCAGCACATCTCTTACGGGTGGAGATGCCCACCCCCTCTTTGTCTTTCCATAATCCGGGGCAAGAGATTCCAGCTATATAATCCGACAGAAATCTAGCTTTCTTCTACTTGTCTTGAGCTCACAACTTGACGTGTCAAAAGCCCGTTTTAAACCGTTTATTGTTGCTAGTGACAGCGTTCAGGCAGCTTTCTCACATAGTGTTATTGTAGAGAAATCTGATTATATTGACATAAAAGAACTGAAATTTTAAAAAGATGGATTTATACAACATTGTGACACCAACGCCGCGAAGGGGCCAGCCATCAGCACGCACCAGTATCAGAGACATGAAGACAAGTCGTTCAAACTCGGGTACGGACTTCTCCCGGTCAAAAAAGCCGAAAACTCGACCCAGTGGCGTGCATTTGGGACCTACAGCGTCTCCAGTGAAAAGGCCTAGATCTGCAACACCACTGAACGGCTTGAAACACGGTAACGGCGAGGGAATGGAAGCGTTTGCAGAGGCCGAGAAAGTGCGTTTGCAGCACTACAACCTGGACTTTGTGGAAGACAAAACGGAGCATTTAAGACACATTTACGACCCGAAATCCAAATGGTTTTGCAGAGATGTGAAACCGGACTTTGTGGTAGAAGACTGTCTTCCTTACCGTCTAGAAACACACACAGAGCAAGCCAAGTATCTGTGCCATATTCTGGTGAACTTATACGTGGCAATCAAGTCGTTGGACATTCAGGGCCTTTTATCGATCTCAATGAAGGACCTCGGGGATCTCAAATCCGAGATTGACGAACTGGTTATGAGTACGGACATGTTTCGGCTCTCAAGTGACCGCTACGACGACAACGACGAGGATGACGCTTTCAACGACATCCACAATTTCGATGAAGACGAAGACGACGATTTCGACGAAATGGTCGACCTAGATAGCCTCAGCTTCAATGCAACGGGTCGAATTACAGCCCGTTCAACTACTATCATAAATGTTAATCATTGGGCCAACGAGTTGAAGAACTGCCTACATTTTGAATTTCCGGTCAGCCTTAGAAAAAGTCTCGCTTTGGTCTTCTACACGCTCTCATTGGTTCAAGGCCAGAAAGTCTACCGCCCGATGTATGTTGATCTGTTCGAGGCTCTTGCGAGCACCGATGATGAAGGGACGAATTTCACAGATTTGCTTCTGGAGGCAGGGCTGAGACTTGACTACAAGCCCATGAAAGAGTTTTTGGACGAGTTTTTACCATCTGCCGATGCCGAATACACCCGTTTCGACGTTTCGACCAAGGTAGACAATCAGCTGTTCAGGCTTTTGTTGAAACTTAGCCACATCGCGAAACCATTTTATGGACATGGAGATGATGAGATACTAAAAAAGACAATGGACCACTTCATCTCCAGCTTATCTCCACTGACAGCTTTCGGTGTATTTCCTATCATAACATCTTTCGTGCCCTACCGCTACCAAAAAGATACGAAAATAACAGACTATTTCCCATTTTTTTTTACTCTGTGGACAACAACTTCACCCTCAATCGGATTTGACACACATCTTTACGACTTCGTTGGGTGTATTGCTGAAGATGCCCACTCCAAGCTTCTAAGACAAGAAAATCCACGTTTGACGCGCTTAAGCAACGTATCGTTCCAAGAGTTTGGCCTTCTCACTGAAGACCAAATAAGCTTTATTTTCAATAGAATTCAAAACCACCTACGGAATGACTTCCAGATTGTGTCTTTCAGCCGAACAGTAAGACCTCTGATCTACTCGATCCATGGATCGAACAGTACAGGTTTCTTCGACAAGCTACATGGCCTTGTTAAGTCACTCGAGACCTTTGCGCATCCCTCGAATACTGGGCCGTGGACTAAAGTGATAGCCAAATTCGTTCATGGGTTTATCAAGATGTACCACCAAAGAGTGTATTTCGAAAAAAACTCTAAAAGTACATTCAGGACCGAGCTGAAACTCAACGATGTTTGCCATGCTAGGCTCATCGATATTTTTCAAAATGTTATATTTTTGGGTGCTCAGAACAAGAGTTCTGATATGGCGAATTATTACATTTCATGTCTGGCCTATATGCTTGATGTTGGCGGGAGAAAAAAGACAGTACTCTTTGATAGGGTTCTATTAGATCTCTATGATTCCCTAGGTGACTTATACATCCATTCGACGCACCGCCTTATTTCCTCGTTGAAACAATTCACGAAGGCTGCCAGGTTCATGATACAAGACCCACTATTTCGAGTTCACATCACAAATCTCCTTGCCATGCTTGTGGAGAAGTTAGACTACAATGATTTAACTCTCACCAGCAACATAATCAATTGCATTGTTTCAATCTCTTCATTCATTCCTCTGGAAAACTTTGTGAAAGAGGATGAATATCTGAGTTTCGAGTCACATACGCTGCCTTTCATTGAAGAGCATGTGTTTTTTCTGAAGGAAGGGAATGTGTCAGACGACTTCCAATACGATGAGGTGGCAATGAACAATGCATTTCGGGCTTCAACAACTGTATTTGAGAATGTTCTCAAGGTGTACCTCAATAAAGTAGTCCAGTTGGTCGATTGCGATTTGGAAGAAGGCTTCATAAGCAAACTCAATCAAACATCAATGATTATGATTGAATCGATGTCTGATGCTATGTTTCAGTACTTCGTTGATGTGCTAGAGAGATTATTTTGGGAGAATGAATACTTCAAAGAGAAAGAGCCTAATTATGAACTTGTCACTATTCCCCTTGGAGCAGCCATCAGAAGGGATTCAAAGCTCAGCAAAAAGATGTTTTTCAATCTCGCATTCAATATCAAAGATCAAATTGAAAAAGGAGCGGGATCTATCCGGAGCTCTTCTGAAATTCAGCACCGTGATGTCAAATTACTTACTTATTTAACGGCATTGAGCGACATCGTAAGGCAATCACGAGCGTCAATACTGGATTATAAAGAGGACCTAAAGAAATTACTGTTCCACATATTTGACAGTATTTCCAACCCCCCACTTGATGTTCACACTTCTTTGGTCCTTCACAACGTCCTAATTAGTCTAACTTCAACAGAAGTAACCGATTTCAGGCTATTTAGTGAGGACTCCCAGATTGCTGACGATGAAAAATGGGGTGGACTTCAATTTGACGAAAGGAGGTTTTCGAAAGAAAGAACAAACTTTAAGTGGCATATTCCCAGCGCAAGCGAGGTGGCCTTCGCTACTGAACTGCTCGAAGAGTTCACGGATTACTGCTCTCGAGAAATTAGCGACATGATGACTTCGCCCGGTAAGGACTCGACTTATAGTGATAAACTAAAGAAGTTCATTCTGATCATCACGCATACTTTATCGGGTGCTAGCTTACTGTTCGATGCTGATTACAATAAGCACAGGACTGAATTACTACCTCTAGACTCGTACAAGAACAAGCTTCTACTATTGAAAAGTGTTAGAGACAAGAGATGTGCTGCCGAAGAGCTCAACAGCGACGTTGAACAAGGAAAAAGCGATTCAGGAGCAGATTTCGAAGCAGACACGTCAGTTGAATTGTCCGAGGATGCCCTGGATGAGATTCTTATTGACGAATCGAGAGATGGTAATGTAGAAGACTTACTGCTCGACGTCGAACAGAACTCAAACGCACCTTCTGGTATTGCGACTCCTGAACCTGGACTTCAACATGGTGGTCAAATCACAGGATCAGGTATGAATGGATCATTCGCGCTCAGGGATCTGGACATATTCAGTTGCAATTACTTTTTTGGTCCCCACCCTCGCGAGCGGTTGTTAAATCCAACTTATATCAAGATCCAGTCTATTCGTTCGAAGATCGGCTCTTTGTTCCACAAATTATACAAGTTCTTCTCCGCTAATTACGAGGACAACACGATCTTGTTCAAGATTTTGCTACATGGTATCAAAGTCTGGTTTGCGGATGTTGGGCAAGAAACCATATTCAATGACGAACCTGCTTCGATCTTGGACATGGACTTTCTCGAAAACATACAGAATTTGTCCCATGTCTACGAGCCGTATACCAGAACGTGTCTTGCTTCCAAAGCGTATACGTTGCACGAAGCCAGAGTTCTTCTTCATTCTGCTAACAGAACACCATCTAAACTAGAGAAAGTTCTTTTGAGAGACATTCTCAAGCTCTCCATGTCATTATATCCCAACATATTCAAACCTGCTCAGGATTGTATGGTATTGGCTATGAAGCAATTGATGGGCTCATACCCTATCGTTATGAAATATGTTTTAAGCGCATTTCAATCTGCATTGGACAAGCAAGAAAGCAAAAAGATAGAAGTCGTCTTAGAGCTTCTCCTCATCAAAAAAATTCACAGGAAAATTATGTCTGATTACGGGAACCTTGAGAGACTTTTAAATCTTCTCTTCCGAGCATGTCAGATTACAGATTTCAACGTTTCGAAGTATGCAGAAAAAATCATTACTGACATCTCTGCTTGTCTGAAAATACCATCAAGCGTTTGTTTGATGAATGAATCGGCAATTGAAGAACTCAAACCTTTAGACCCATCTGTTTCACGGCAGGTGAATGCTGTTCAGAGAGCCAAAGAGTCCAAGCGCAAACAGTTCATTTCGCTTCTCGAAGGTCTTCAAAATAACCTGATTAACATTTTGGAGGCTGATGACAATTTGGGATGGAAAGTTTCTGTAATAATCATAAAGCTGACGTCAAAGTTACAGACTAGTCTTGAGATAAAGACGACCAAAGACGTCCTGCCTCACGTTTTGAACCTCACGAAGACGAAGCATCCAACTACTATTCATCTTGCCATCAAAAATTTCCTCAATGTCTGCAATAAGATAACAGCCCTAGGGGATTGTGAGTACAACTTAAAAAATGCATTTGACTTCAGATTCAATAGGCGCAACGTGGAACTAATTGATACAAACACGAAAGGGTTTGGAGATATTTTCGCACAGGAAGTACAAAATTTTGAAAGCCCCAAATTTTTTATCGACTCTAAAGCTTATGTCGGCTACATCTCCTGGGGAAGGCGCATGAAGGTGATCAAAAACACTTTTGATTTTAAGTTTACATTGAAAGCTGATCAAATGGAATGTTTGAAAGACTTTGGACACTCAATGACAAAGGAGTGGCTTTATGAAATTTGCCAAGTTTTCATTCAAGACAATGAGGGAAAAGGTATCTTTAGCAGTAGCAATATTGAGTTTTTTGGACTGTTGGTTGCTCTAAACGCTAATGATTGCACCACAATAACATACGAAGAACTGCTCGATTTATGTCACACGCTTTACGATAAGAACGACAAAGCGTCAATGATTATGTCAATTGAAATAATGGCTGGATTGATAGTCGCATCCAAGATGACCCCAGATGAGAATCTCAAAAAGAGAGATCAATTTCTCACGAAATTCTTGGATACATGTTTGGACCATGAATTGAATCAAGACGCTGTAGATATATGGTCTATTTTATGCTGGTGGCTACCAACTTCTGTGGATATCAGGCGGTGTGTTCCCCTGTACAGAAAGCTTATTCAAGCAAAGGATGTCTTGGATACCAACTCTGACTCATTTGGAGATCAAGCTTCAAAAATTTCTTTGTTGAGAAATCTGCTACTTAGCTTGGACTTTAGAACCCCTCATGCTGATCAAATTTTGTCCTCATTGGTAATGGACCATCCTTATGACCAAGTAAGACAGTCGATTTCTAAGTTGCTTTCCACGCTTTTGCAAAGCCAACTCAGTCCCTCTTTCTCTTCTGTCCGTGAACTAGTTGAATATACATCGACCGAAGGCGGCTTGGGACGAATCATAAGAAAAATCCCCCAACCATTTGATCAAAAGTTCAAGGAATCCTTCACGCTGATAGAAAGTGAAAGACAAAAAGTTGTTGATTTACCGGCCCACGAAATACTGAAGACGAAGTATTATTATATGGCCGCGACAATGCTAAATTGGGTACTGGAGCTAATGAAGGGACAAAATAGTGTAGTACTGGTGCTCTATCTGGAGCATTATCTGGCACCTTTCCTGATGCATTTGATTGGGATGAAAGATGTCTGCAGTTTGGCGAATCTTGAACCTACTGCCTGCTACGTCGCAATCTCTTTTTGGTCGCTTCGCAAAGAATATGTGTCTATTTTCATGAGACTCATTGAGAACATGGAATTGCACACATCCCACGAGTTACGAGTGCAGCTGGTCTTCGTGGAGAATTTTTATTCAAAAAATATGCTCCAGCTATCCGAGCAGCAGAGAGAATCTATCTTGCAGTTCGTTGTGCGTCACATATACAATGAGAACTTTGTTGAGGTACGTTTACGCGCTGCAGAAGCGCTTTCTGGTATCATCCATACCTTGAGCGACCCCAACAAGCCCGCCGAATTGATGGATCAATTTGCGCGCGGATTGGGCTCTCACTCGTCTGCTGACAAGAAGAAGCTCTCTAAGACGGACACAAAGATTCACAGCTCTGTCATTGGTCTTGGCTCGATAATTTCTGCTTTCCCATATGCATTCCCATTGCCTAAATGGATTCCACCTCAGTTGAGTGGGTTGTCTTCTTGGGCACGTACAAGTGGTATGTCTGGGGCTGCTGCCAAGGAGATTATCAGCGATTTCAAGAAGGTGCGGGCCGATACCTGGCATCTTGATCGAGCTTCTTTCACACCGGACGAGCTCGAAGATTTGGAGGGCGTCTTATGGCGAAGCTATTATGCCTAAAAAAGGCTACAGAAGTGCTACAACCTTGCTAAAAAGGTCAAATATTGACGCGAACTACATATGAAAATGGCTAGCCAAGAGACCCGGCATTTAAGTTACCATTGTGGTAGTATTTTGAGATTTCGTTATTTATCTAGTTTCTCGTGCATGCGTAGCTAGTTACGAATTTATATCCAGTTCATCAATTCGAAACCCCCGATTCAACTTCAACAATCATCTGAACAACAAATATCCTGGACTAAACCATCACGTCCGAGACGAGTCTTTAGCGCTTGATATTTTGTTAACATAGTGTGCTAATACCAGCAGAAAGAACTTCAAGCTAGTTATATCTTTTGGGTTGAAAATGTCAGGAATTAGAACCGTTTCTTCGTCTTCCGGGAATGTTAAAAGCTATGACTCCATAATGAAGATTCTACTAGTGGGTGACTCTGGAGTGGGCAAATCGTGCTTGCTGGTGCGATTTGTAGAAGATAAGTTCAGCCCCTCTTTCATTACGACGATCGGAATAGATTTCAAGATCAAGACCGTGGACATAAACGGAAAGAAGGTAAAACTACAACTGTGGGACACTGCTGGTCAAGAACGGTTTAGAACGATCACTACAGCGTACTACCGGGGTGCGATGGGCATAATACTGGTTTACGACGTGACTGACGAACGTACTTTTGCCAATGTCAAGCAGTGGTTCAGCACAGTCAATCAGCACGCTAATGAGGAAGCCCAGCTTTTGTTGGTGGGAAACAAGAGTGACATGGATTCGCGTGCGGTGACAACGGAGCAGGGTGACAGCTTGGCCAAGGAGCTGGGTATCCCCTTTGTTGAGGCCAGCGCAAAAGACGACACCAATGTCAACGACATTTTTTTCCTGCTTGCTAAGTTGATCCAGGAGAAAATCGACAGCGAAAAGCTCGTGGGAAACGCAGGTCGTGACGGAAATGTTAACATTGGATCTTCAAACCAGGGAACCAAGTCCGGCTGCTGTTAGAGAAGTAGAAAAAGAAGAATCGGGCGAGAGAGTGTGTGTGTGTGTGTGTGTGTGTCGTGTCGACTGCGCATCGGATGTAGGATGTATGTAACGCGTTTGAGGAAGCGGAGCGAATAGAAGGAACCCATTTAGGGTTTAACTCGAGATGCTGGTGAAGACGTGAAGAGGAGACCAGAGAGAGAGAGAGAGAGAGAGTGTGTGTGTGTGTCTATGTGGGTGAGTGTATGTGTGGGTGTACGTTCATGATGCTATGGCACGTGACCTCAAGGTCACATGAAAGTCACGGTAGATACCATCTTCGTTAGAGGCGATAGTAGATCACGTGCTTTTCCACTTATAATTGTGGCTTACATAATAATATCGAATCTATATCACATCGTGGCCCCTTTACCATCTCAGCTTACGTAACCTTTCATTCATCTCCGTACACTATAATTCTACACGTGGGAGCTTTCCTTCATACACTTTATAAAAATATCTAAACATGTATATAAACTACAACTTTAACAACGTCTTGGCCAAATTCTAACAACTTTGGCAACCAGTCCAAGTCAAAGGAGACGTGTCAACAGGTGTGGTTTATCTACTCTAGAAGTTCTGACTCCGATTCGTGGTTTTTCAGCGTTTGTCAAACACACTTCACCTCGATATTAATCCTGGTTTCGCAACTATCAACTAGCCAAAAAACCAGACATACTGAGATAAAGAATGTTGTTCGGAGTTCGTTTGGCTAATCAAATGTATCCGCCCTGGAAGGGATCGTATATGGACTATGAAAGGCTCAAAAAGCTGCTCAAAGAGTCCATTATCGAGAAAAGAGACTTTACAAGCAGAAAATCCAGTCGTCGTGAAAACTCATGGTCCGAAAAAGATGAGTCTGAATTCGTTTCCGCACTCGATGCAGAGCTGGAAAAGGTGTACGGGTTTCAGAGCTCGAAATTCAGCTCCATCATGGAGAAACTGGTGAACCTGGAACGCAAAACAGACGACGAAGAAGCGCTCAAATCGCTGGATTTCAAAGCGTTTCAGCACATCCTAGAAGAAAGCCTCACGGAGGCGCAAGAGCTGGACAATTTCTGCCGCGTTAACTACACCGGTTTTATCAAAATCGTCAAAAAGCACGACAAACTCCACCCCAAGTACCCCTCAGTGAAGTCGTTGCTGCAAGTTCGGTTGAAAGAGCTCCCCTTCAATTCAGAGGAGTATTCGCCCTTGTTGTACAAGATTTCGTTTCTGTACAATATTTTGAGAACCAACACGACCGCCGTGTCCTCTTCTCTGGCCAACTCGGCCAAGCTGTCCAGCGTGCACAACCACGAAGAAAGCTCGTTCAAGAGCTACACGTTTTGGGTCCACCCTGACAACATCATGGAAGTCAAGACCCGAATCCTAAGACATCTTCCCGTTCTAGTCTACGCATCGCCTCCAAACGAAAATAGCGATTTGATCGACAGAGTGGAGACGTCAGTCATGAACTCCGATGTGTCCTTTAATGCTCCCTCCAGCAGTAGCAGTATTTCGGACGCAGATCCCATGAGCACTAAGGGCTACGATCCTGTTGTGAGAGCCATATATTTCGATAACGAGTCCTTTGAACTGTACAACAACAAGCTCTTGAAAAATAGCTCCAACCCAACTTTGAGATTAAGATGGTCTGGAAAGTTGGCTGACAAGCCGGACATCTTTTTGGAGAAAAGAACTTTTATCGATGATAAGGCTACCGGTATCTCTGATTTCGAAGAAACTCGCTTGAAACTGAAGCCCAAATTCATCAACGGCTTCATTTTCAATGGAGACCAGGACTACAAGGAAAAGAGTCTCAAGAAGCTCAAGGACCGCGGCTCCGCAAAAACCGAAACCAACAAATGGGGTAACGATTTTGACACCATCCAGCAGTTTGTGCTCGAAAATGAATTACAGCCGGTCCTTAGATCCATGTACAGAAGAACTGCTTTTCAAATTCCCGGTGATAACCGTGTTAGAATTAGCATCGACTCGGATCTCATGTACATTAGGGAAGATTGTCTCGATGAGAACAAACCAATCAGAGACCCAAAGAGCTGGCATAGAACCGACATTGACACCAACATCGCCAACCCTTTGAAGTTTCTCAGACCGGGCGAATACTCTAAATTCCCCTACGCCGTTTTGGACATCAGAATTCGGAACCCAGTGACGGAATCCAATAAGAACACCGGGAACATGCAATCTCAACTCCCCGGCAAACACGCTCAATGGGTTGACGAGCTCATCAATTCGCATCTTGTGAAAGAGGTTGCAAACTTCTCCAAGTACGCTCAAGGTGTAGCGTCGCTGTTTGGAGAAGACGAACATTTGGATTTGTTGCCCTTTTGGCTGCCCGACCTAGAAAGTGACATCCGGAAAGATCCAAAGCAAGCCTATGAGGATGAGAAAAGAAGAAATGAAGAACAAAAGGAGAATCAAGCTCGTTTTGCGAAATTGAAACGTTTATCGGTCGTCCAAACCACCGGTGAAGACAGCACAGGGTCTTCTGCTGTGGTACCCGTGCCTAAGGGAAAGGACAGGGAGCCTGACTTGGAAGACGCGGAGTCGTCTGAAGATGACGACGAGCCCTCACCTATTGCCTCTCGCCGCAAAAGACGCGAGCATACCCCTAATATCCTGGATGTCCTGGTCGGCAGAAGCGGCAAGATCGCCGATGTGTACTCGGAAGACGAGGAAGTTGAACTGCCACCAGGTGTCAAGAAGCCAACTTCCTACATCAAAAACGCTGGTCCGGTAAAGGTGGAGGCTAAAGTTTGGCTAGCTAACGAGAGAACCTTCAACAGATGGTTATCTCTCACTACGTTAATGAGTGTTTTGACGTTTTCGATCTACAGCTCAGTGCGGAAGGCAGAGCATCCCGACTTGGCTAATTTCGTTGCCTATGTTTATTTCGGGATCACGCTTTTCACGGGTCTTTGGTCTTACCACACTTACAACAGACGTCTCGAGGTTATCAGAGCGAGAAGCGGCAAGCATCTCGATGCTCCTCTGGGGCCTTTGCTTGTTGCCACTGTCGTCGTTTTCACGCTTGTGGTTAATTTCGTGCTCGCATTTCGGGATGCTGCAAAGAGAAGACAAGACGATGTCTCTGCTCTGTCTTCCAATGGCCAATCTCAGCTGCCTGTTCTAGCGAGACACGTTCAACAATTGGTCTTCGCGATCGTTGGCACCAAAAAAGACTGAGAACTGTACCTGGCGGGCTTGAACAAAGCTTTTTCTCTGCTTCTCGAACGGTTCGATCCAAAGTCATATATTAACGCTCTAATTTCTAATTTTTTGATCTTGAACAACAGCGCAGAATTCAAATGGGAAGCTCAACGTAAACTTCATGATAACTTAATGGTGACAGAGACATCTCTTCATCACCACAACATTGTCGTCGCAGGATGATGGTTCAAGCTACTCCGGTTGCCAAGTCCTGTCGTTCTGCCATTTTGCTGTCACAACATGTGATCGCATCGTAAATTAATTACACTTCAATCCACACGTGACTGTAATATATTCAAATATGTATATGCACATATATACAACCCAAATTCAGACATCTTTCATCTTACACTCATCAGCTTGACGTTCTCAGCGTTATGACCACAGCTTCAGCTACACGTAATGGCTGAGGATGACAATCAACAAGAATTCAATGAATCCACGCCTTTGGTTCGCACGGGACGCACGCGCGAAAACTCCGTGGCTTCCATGCTTGCCCGTGGCAGAAGCAACACTTTAAACGGACTGAAAACAGGATACGACACGGTTAGACGTCACAAAGTGCAGTTCACGTATGCTTTGCTAGGATCTATTCTCCTGTATTTGGGCTTCACCCTTGCTTTTCTACCTCGAACCTCGCTGTCGCGAGATTTCCGTCGTTTGCATTTCAATAAGTTTACCAGGGCAGAAACTTACCGGGTCTATTTAGAAAGTCTGCAGCGCGAAAACCACGCCAAAGAACATGTGAGAGCATATACATCGCATAGACATATGACTGGAGATGTGGCAGCACTGGAATACACCGTAGACCAACTTCGGGCGCTTGGATTTTCACCTAAGCTCGAAAAGTACTACCCCTGGGTGAACTACCCAGTGGACACAGGGTTATCGCTCTGGATTGACAACGAAAAAGTGTTCGAGTCGAACATGATAGAGGACTGTCTTGAGGAAGACCCATCGAGCTGCGGTCCGGAGCAAGTGTCAGCATTTCATGGTTATTCTGCTAACGGAAAAGTCACCGCTAGGTACGTTTACTGCAACTACGGAACTTTGGCAGATTACGAGTTTTTGCGGCGGGAAAAGGTCGATTTGGAAGGGAAGATACATATAATACGCTACAGCGCCATGTTTCGCGGACTCAAAGTTAAAAACGCCGAGGCCAATGGCGCCTCTGCCGTTATACTGTATACTGATACGTTTGATGATGGCAACGTGACAGAAGCCAATGGATATAAAGCGTATCCGAATGGACCTGCACGCAACTCGGGCGGATTTCAGCGAGGCTCGGTAGAGTATTTTACTGAAGCACCAGGTGATCCTACTACTCCCGGTTACGCATCGAAATCTCCAGACACTAAAAGAATGTGGCCGTTGGGTCGAGTTCCCACAATTCCATCAATTCCAATGAGCCAGCGCGACATTGGTAAAATCTTGCCACATTTGAATAACAGAGGTTCCTCCTTTGACGTTCAAGGTAACGTTGACAACTTCAAATACTATAGTGGCCCGTCTGACGAAAACGTGACACTTACATTAGTTAACGAGCAGGATTACAAGTTCAAAGAAATCACAGATGTGCTGGTCGAAATCCCAGGTATCCTGGGTGGTAGTAGCATCGTGATCGGAAATCACCGGGACTCGTGGACTGTCGGTGGTGCTGGAGATCCAAATAGCGGAAGTAGCATCCTGCTCGAGGTTGCCCGAGGCTTGAGCGAACTTCTGGAAAAAGGCTGGAGGCCTTTGCGAACCATCCAGCTCGCAAGTTGGGATGGTGAAGAGCCTGCAATGCTGGGATCAACTGAATACGGAGAAGATCACGCTGCAAGACTTCAAGAAAAGGTACTGGCCTACTTCAATCTCGATACAGCTATCACAGGGAGTGCATTCCAATGCGACGCCAATCCCCTGCTAGCCAAGCTTTTGCCAAGATCCGCAGCTTTGACACGCTTCGCCGGAAAACCCGGTAAATCGCTGCTGCAGGTGTGGGAGGAGCAATCAGATGCAAAGATCGGAGTGCTTGGATCGGGTACGGACTTTGCTGTTTTCCAACACCATTTAGGAATCCCTTCTGCGAATTTCAAGTTTGCGAGTAATGGCAAGGACGATGCTGTTTATCAATACCACACAAATTACGATACTTACACCTGGCTAGAGACATTTGTTGACCCCGAGTATCACCTACACAACACCATGGCTATTTTCACGGGTATGTCGGCCTTGATGCTGAGTGAGAGCGAGGTCGTCTATTTCAACACCCAAGATTATGCGAGGGAAATCAAAAACCACTACAAAAAATGGCACACATTGTTAAATCACACTTTCACAGGCAACGAATATATCCAGGGCAAAGCCACCAATTTATCTCGACTGATAAGCCACATCGAGACCAACGTAAGTGTTGAATTCGATCGCCAGACTGCGGCACTGCGCAAATCGGTCGTGAGAGATTATCCATGGTATAAATTCTACAAGAAAGTCGCGATTTATGTGAAATTAGTGAGGACCAATTCCAAACTAAAGAAACTCGACCGGCTCTTCGTAACCGACAGAGGGCTAAAAGACCGGCCTTGGATGAAGCATTCAATATACGGTCCGGACAAAGAGCTGGGGTATGCTGGCGATGTTTTACCTGGCTTGCACGAAGCGCTTCTAGCAGCAAATCCTCAAGAAACGCTCGAGTGGCTTCATGTGCTTGACAAAGAATTAAGTTTGGTACAGGAACTTCTCAAAACTTGACTGGCTGGCTGTCCATCAACGTCGACTGCCCAGCAAAACATTATAAAGCATGTTGGTCACGGGATCCTTTTTTTCATTTGAGATTTATGAAAAATTGGATAAGTATAAGCATGAACTTGGTCTTTCAAGGTATTCCCGTCAAATATTCCGAGCTCCTAATTGTTTTCAATTACTGGACTCTAGCCTTGATTTCGAGCTAAACAATGTTTGCTACCTTGAATCGTTCTTTGTTGCGCCAGTCGCGTTTGTTTTCTACTTCCAACGTCCAATTGGGCTCCAAGGTGTTCTTCGACACTAGTATCAATGGGTCCAAGCAGGATAGAATCGAATTTGAACTCTACAATGATGTAGTCCCAAAGACCGCCGAGAATTTCAGAGCGTTGTGCACTGGTGAAAAGGGTTTCGGTTACAAAGGCGTTCCGTTCCACAGAGTCATCCCCAGCTTCATGTTGCAAGGTGGTGACACTGACTTGACTAGCGGTTACGGAGGAAAGTCCATTTACGGCAGCAAGTTCCCGGATGAGAACTTTGTCAAGAAACATGAGAAGGCCGGTCTTTTGTCCATGGCGAACTCCGGTCCCAACAGCAACGGTTCTCAATTTTTTGTCACCACAGTTCCTTGCCCTTGGTTGGATGGCAAGCATGTGGTATTTGGTGAGGTCACCAAGGGTATGGATGTCGTGAAGCTCATCGAGTCGTACGGAACCATGTCTGGAAGACCTCGTGCCAAAATTGTTGTTGAGGAGGCTGGCGAGTTGTAAAGCAGATTTTTCAAAAAAAGAGAGAAACAGAATACTTAAATAAAAAGAAAAAAAGGAAGTATGAGATATGGAACCATACATAGAGCGGCAATCTGTCCGTCTTGACAATAAATATTCGCCATCGTTGATGTTTTCGTTGTTGCTAGCTTTTACACTCTGGTCAGGTGCTTTGAAATCATGTGACTATGTAACTAAATACGAAATATTACGCTGCTTTTTGTCATTTCATACTACAAGCATCAACTGCTAAACTAAATTAACGGCTTTTTATCATGACATTAGTGGTGATGACGACCAACTTGGAAGAGCTAATCGAGTGACTTTCTAGTGATCACCAAAATCGCTTTCCAAAGCTGTTGAAGACGTGACTTTTTACTTATTCAGAACGATTGGCTAAGTCTGCTAAGTTTTTGAGATCATTTACCTTTTTTTCCGGCCTTTCTAGCGTTTCTGAATAACCTTCTAGACCCCTTTCAAACAAAGCAATGAGCATGGAGCAGGGTTTAAGTAATTTGACGCTTTATGATGCCAAAAAGTACTTCAGAAGGGCTCAAAATGTGGTGTTTAACTATACTGACATGGAGGCCAAAGTCCGTGAAGCTACAAACAACGAGCCGTGGGGAACCTCGTCTACGCTGATGGAGCAAATCGCTCAGGGAACATATAACTATCGCGAACGCGAAGAGGTGTTGGGGATGATTTTCCGACGTTTTACAGAGAAATCAGCTAGCGAATGGCGACAAATTTACAAAGCTTTGCAACTGCTAGAATATTTGGTACGTCATGGTGCAGAACGTTTCATCGACGATGTACGTGCTAATCTGTCGTTGGTTAAAATGCTGGAAACATTCCACTACATCGACGCTCAGGGTCGTGACCAGGGCATCAATGTCAGAAACCGGTCTTTGGAATTGGTCAAGCTTCTCGAGGACGACACAAGAATCCGCACAGAACGAAAGAAGGCCCGAGAAACGGCGAAAAAATACAAAGGCGTCGCTGGGGGCGCTCCCTCGTCATACCTGCCTCCGTCTGCTGTCAACAGAGCCGCTGGTTTCGGCAAGTCGTCTAATCGCGGCATTTCTGTGAGTGCTGACTTTGACAGCGACGAAGAAGACCGCGGAACTCACGGCGAGTCTCATATTGGCACTTTTAAAGATGCGACACCACCTTCTACTGCGAAAATAGGGGAGCCCACAAATGATAGCGATGACAACGACGACGATTTCGCGGACTTCCAAAGTGCAGCGCCCGTGACTCAACCCACAACTTCAAACTCTCAAAACATTGTCGATATCTTCTCCGAATTTTCATCCGCTCCAGTGAAGGCCGGGAATAATAATCTAGCATCTGCAGCGCACAACACCCACGCCTTTGGCCCAATGCCGGCTGTAAACCAAAAGGTGGCAGATCCTTTCGGCTCGCTATTCGATAGTGCTAAGCTGACGAAAGCACCTGTAAAGAGCACAACTCAGGAGACGAGTACGTCTCAACAAGCTCCAGCAGCAATCCCAAAAAATGACAATGAAAACGACGATGACGATGACGACGATTTTGGTGAGCTTGAGACAGCGGCTGCAACATCAACCGCAGGAACTACAACGACACCTGCTGCTCACAGCGGGCAGGAACCTGACCTATTGAGCTTCTAGTAAGATCTGGACGGTTTCCATCGTCGTCACATGATAAATAAATGATTGAAAGCACTCTGTACGGACTTGTCAAAGATCACGTGTAACAATTGTCACGTGCATTTGGGTACTTTAATGATGTTAGCCTGAACGATTCAAGTATTATCCACGAAACTTATAAGAAGTAAACCTAAAGCACACACACGCAATCGCTACTTGCCACTACCCTTCGACTCTATTTCATGGCTCTCTATTCATTCTGGATTTTCGATAGACATTGTATGTTTTCATTACTTGCGGATTGCTTTGCCTTCTTTATATGATTGTAGCCCACACTTTGACTAACCTTCGAACTACCATCTCAGGCAATTGCATTTTTGATCGAGAATGGACGCTAAAAACTAATCCTTCAAGTGGTACAACGAATTCCAAGCTCAATGAAGATACCGCAAAGCTTTTATATGGTATGGTATTCTCGCTGCGATCAATTTCGCAAAAATTGGGCAGTAAAGACAGTTTTAATGAAATCAAGACAATTGCCACGGCCAAGTATAGAGCTCACATCTTATGCACAGCTTCAGGATTGTGGTTCATACTTCTCAGTGACCTGAAACAGGAAGATCTTTCGCAAGTACTGCGATACCTATACAGTGAGATCTACGTGAAAACGGTGGTTTACAATTGGCTGTCACCTGTAGACTTCGCAGAATCTGCAAATGAAAAAAGAGGTCAAGGTTTCCGAAAAATTCGCAATCGCCAGTTCCTGCTAGCTGTAGAACAATTTTTGGGGCCAATGGTCAATTAGTGGTTAAGTACTCTTCATATCCAAAGGGACGTTCGTTTTTTTTTGTTTCCGGTTTTTGAAGTCTTCATACCCTAGCAATTTTGACATCAAAAGATGTCAGTCCAGAATTCGCCGAGTACAGTGTTAAACCCGTTTTCGAGCGTAGTAACATCAGCCAATTGATAGGATAATGCGTCCATTAATTTGCATGCATTTTCTGCGTCCATACCCGCGATCTCGTTAGCTGGAATTGTCACATTACTATTATTGTCTGGGGTGTTGCCGCGCGGAGGAGAGACAGGATTGAGTAGCATGGGAACAGAATTTTGATGTTGAGCTGGGATCGGGCCACTCTGATTGTCAATATAAGACTGCATTATGCCTTCCAAATCGGGCTTGTTAGTAGTGAGAAATGCCTTGATCTTGTTTGCATAAATTTGAACAAACAGGCCCACGACATAGCGTAGTTTGGACAAAAAGTTGTTATATGGATACAATCTCGCACTTTCGTCAAGAGACTGTGACGTGCTTTTGATGAGCGAAACAGCGGGCTGGGTTGTTTCTCTCAGGTATGCGAACGCCGGCACCGTTATAGTGGTGTATCTTACTCTCAACAACAGCATCCCAACAGTGTAAATGACTCTGGAGGTGTGAAAAAGCGGGAGAGATGCAATCAACTCGGGTGACAGTTGGAGAAACTCGTGCATGGCGTTAATGCAAGAAAATGTGAGTTTGTGAAATGACTGGGAAACCACCTCAGGAATTTCGTTGATCATTAAAGGGTCTGGAAATTTTGATAAATATCTGAAGAACAGCCACTCATGCAAATAGGCCTCGACAGAATGGTAAAATGCTAGAACCCTCGTTCTTTCCCGAGGAATCTTCTGAAAAATATCCTGCAGCTCTTGTTGCAGGGTATCGATTAGTTTGCTCTGGGCAATGGAAGCGTACTCTTCTTGTTGATCAGGTGGATCTTCTTCCGCCTCATGTAATTTGACGTGAATCACTTCTAGAATTCGGTTGAGTTTGGCAAATGTTAAAAGAATTTCATCTTCCTCGCGCTCATAAATCGAAATAGGTCTTGCATCGCTTAAAGCCATAATTTTACTGGCACGCTCTTGCAGTAAACCCCACCTGTTTTGTATGGGCTGTCGCAAGAAAATATTGATATTCAGTGCAGACACATAAACTAGAATCACCAAGCGGGAGTAACATTCGTTTTGTAACAAAAATTCATCAATGGCAGCAGCTTCGTCGTCAGTAGGATACTTGGAATTCTGAATTAAAGCGAAAAGCTGTGGCTTACGCGATGGCACTAGATCTTTGATGAGACAGCAACAGATATAGTTGAAAAAATGAAACCGGGTCTTGTTGGACCACTCTGGGAAGTTATACCATAGGCACAAGGTGAGCAGTGACTTCAGTATTTCCAAAGATTTGGCCCCCAATCTTGTCATATGGTGGGATATAAGTCCCAGAGTAAAATTATCGAGTCTCATGTTCTGCTCAACATTGAATTCATCGCCTTTCAGCATAGCTGACACGACGGTCATGATCGTAACAAACAGAATCGGTTCCTGTTCTCGTAGCTCATCTAGACTTTGCTCAGCAGGAATCTTGACGAATGGAAACCTGTACTTATTAGAAATTTCGTATCGGTAAAGGTCCAGGCGACGTTGAGCTTGTTCCTTACTCAAAATGCCGAGTGTAATTGGATCAAGGGCCAGGGGCACACCAACACTGTTCTCTAATATATCGCTCCACTTGTCTGAAAGTCGGGAGAGACTTTCGGTAACACTGTAAAAGTTTTCGAGTTGCGAAGACAAAAGTGACTGCAGCTCTTCGTGCAGTTCTTCAAAAGAGTTGGGCGCTTCTGAAGGGGTAATTGATAATCTAGGAACTTTTGGATACTGCGGAGATACTCGTGTGACCGCTTTGGCACTTGGAGGCGAATGAGTTTCGCTTCGGGACCAATCTGGAAGCGTTGGAAGAAAAGAGTTTGCATTTATATTCAATGGTGGCGGCAAGGAGCTGCTAGTCCTACCACTTTGCTCATCGGAAAGGCCCAGCGGTCTTGACGTGGGTGTACTACCAATGGACGAAATCTTGGGTGAGGTGGTGACGGGAAGCTGATTACTGAAAAAGGAGCTGTTGTCGGCGATGAAGCCACTGTTACTGCTGGCAGTCGGGATATTGAGGCTTTGCGCAGGACGCGGCAGTGATGAGTTTGACTTACTGGTGGTTATCGAGCCCATTGCAGTGGAATTGGAGCCAGACGGACACACATCTAACTCGATGGCCTGGTCACTATCGCGCCGACGACGCCGTGTTCTACGTGACAGATCAAACGTACAGTGTTTGTTGCGGCGGGAACACCGCACACAGCTCTTCCCGTATATGTCGTTGACGTCTGAGGGCACGCATTTGGCCTTCTGAGCGTGACAGTTTGTGCAGGCGAAAGTGTTACGCTTATTCTTCCCGGTAGTTCCGGCCTGTACTGCTTCTAGTGCCACAGAGCGAGTCAGCCGCGGGTCGTCAGGAAGCACTCCTATGATACTGGTATTTCGAGCTGTCAATTGTGCGGGGAAGGACGGTTGCTGTTCGATCCGGTCAGGAGACGAAAAGACATTTCGCAGCGGATTGACGAGCGGCCGTGGCTGCGAAAGCTGGGACGCTGATGCCGATGGTGGTTGGGAACTCGAATCTCGACGTTCCATATCCTGTGGTCAGTTGAAGCTGTTTTCAAGCGTCGCAATTGAGTTTTTACTCGACAGTCAACTACTGGATATATGACTCTTATTGCGGTGGTGGAAATTCGGTAAAGCGATGAGCCAGACTATGCTAGTGGGTAGCGAGAGGAGGGAAAGAGAGGGAGAGAGTGAAAGAACAATGGAAAACCAAGTTTGAGGAGGACAAGACGTTGCAATGTCCTATTTCTCAACACACACAAAAACAAAAAAATCAAAGCCCGGCCAATGTCTAGTTTCTTCAAAACCCGCAAAAGACTCTCTTCTGCTAATCAGTTGATAAGTGAGTGGTAGTGAAAAAGACGGCGGAAATGAAACAAAACAACAGTTCAGCTCAGAATACCAGGTCCAAAAGATATTTGTTGTTTTTGGCTTAGCGTTATTAGGTCCAGAAGCTGTTTATGACGGTTTGAACGGCTCGTCAGAGAACAGAACAAGCACGAAAGTGCACGGAAAGCGTAGTTGGAAAAAAAAGAGCTGAATGGAAATATAACCAAACAAATAATACAGTCCACCACACAACACACACACACACACACACACACACTTACTCAAGCTCCAAAATACGCTGCATGAAACGTACAACTGACCCTGGGTCACTGGTGCAACCTATTATTGAAGATAAAAATTTGAGCCCCCGCATTACCCAGAATCATGTTGATTGGCAGGAAATAGTGGATCTGCATGAGCTAGCGAGAGTCTTTCGCGAAGATTATTCGTATGCATGTTGCTGCTTCTGTATTTACTAAGCTGCTGCTACCGCTGCTGCTACCACTGCTGCTACCACTGCTGCTACCACTGCCGTTACTGCTGCTGCTGCTGCTGTTGTTGTCTTTTCTTCACTTCGTTTTCTGTTTCTAATCGCTGCTTGTTTGTTTCTGTTCTCATTGTTCTTTGCAGATTCGTATTGGGCTTAAAGACTCCCTTGGTGTGTTTTTTTTTTTATCCGGCTGCGGAAAAACTCTGAGTGGCTTGGGGCGGCCAGAATTATCCGGATTTTTCCGCGGTCCGGGGTGAGTTTTACGTAGAAGAAGACCGAACAGAAGCTACGCGATAGCCAAGCCTAAATCTGAAACTGAAACTTGCCTAGGATATACCTGAGAGGAATGGGCTTATGACGTGCCAGCTAGCTTCGATAGCTGGTGGATGGGATAGCAGGCCAGTAGCGGACGAAGAGAATTGGAAAAAAGCTCGTGTGGTCCCGGTCTAGAATCGAGGCGATTGTGACCCAGCCGAGAGCGACGTTGGTGGTGAGTGATTACAGTGATAGGAAAAGGAAAATTGGGTTCTTTTTGGGCGCATGACATGATATGGTTTTTTCACGTAGATAGATTGCGTGGAAAACGCTTGGTTTGATACCAAAAGTGGAAAAAACCCTGGTCTGTGAGAATAACGACTGGAAGGAGTCAAATAAAATGAGTTTTTCAGGGTGTGTGGAGGTGGTGTGAGACAGCAGATGGACCATTGGTGTGAGACAGCAGATGGATCATTGGTGTGATTCGTATGTGGTGGAGGACCCTAATGTAGTAGAATACTTTTTGAGTAGACGTTTGGGAGTGTCACGTGATCGTCTTGATGACGGCGATAATCAATGTCAAAGTGATAATGGCGAGAATTGGCAGTCGTCGTTAAGCACTTGGACATAAAACGTAACCTGCCGTACCTTGCATACAGTGTACAATGGAGAGCTAAAAAAGATCTGGGTGTCGTAGTGAGCCAAGTTTAACGAAAGAAATCCCCCAGACAGGAAGCGACCCGTCACTTTTCTTCGAGTCTTATGCAGAGATATTATTAGTACATAGGCGTATAGTTTCGATTAAGGATACGCATTCGATGCAAATAAAAATTTGGAGGTATTTTCAGTTTTTGTTTTCTTTTCGTTTCTTCTTCTACTTCTCTTTGTTTGCGTCGCTAGTTTCGTTGGTCTTAGGACTTGATGCAAGTCACTGCGCCCTCTTTCAAACGCTCAACGTCACCGCGTGTCGCGGCTGATCCCTCGGCGACAGGTGGCAACGCCGGTTTGGCCGCCGGAGCAGTAGCAGAAGAAGAGGTGGCACCTTTCCCACGGTTGTGGATCATGTGACTCTGGACCAAATGGCCAGCAGCCAAAGCAGCACATAGCGAAAGTTCACCAGCGAGTACCGCACAGGCAACGATCTTAGCTAATTGGCGAGCATTGTCACCAGGAGAAGTGGGGTGTGGTCCTCTAACCCCTAGCAGGTCCAGCATCGCAGACTGAGGCTCCAGTATCGTTCCCCCGCCGATGGTACCAACCTCGATACATGGCATAGAAACTGAGATGCGCAGATTTCCGTCAATCTCGCTCATCAACGTTATGCAATTGGAACTCTCCACATTCTGCGCAGGGTCTTGGCCCAACGCCAAGTATACTGCGGTCAGCAAATTGGCTGCATGGGCATTGAACCCACCCACCGAGCCTGCCATTGCCGAACCAATCAAATTTTTAGCGATGTTCAGCTCCACTAGGGCTTTCACGTCACTCTTTAACACTTTACGCACAACATCGCCAGGGATGATCGACTCGGCAACCACACTTTTGCCACGACCTTCAATCCAGTTGATTGCAGCTGGTTTCTTGTCAGTACAGTAGTTGCCGGACACAGAGACAATTTCCATATCATTCCAACCAAAATCCTCAACCATCAACTTAAGCGCGTGTTCTACACCTTTGGAAATCATGTTCATGCCCATCGCATCACCAGTTGTAGTTCTGAAACGAATAAATAATAGGTCGCCCGCCAAGGCGGTCTGACAATGTTGCAAACGTGCGAACCGCGAAGTGGAGTTGAAAGCCTTCTTGACTTTGTTCTGTCCTTCGTCAGAGTCAATCCAGATCTTGCAAGCACCAGCTCTCATCAACGTAGGGAATCTAACACAAGGTCCTCTTGTCATACCGTCTTTAGTCAACACTGTGGTTGCACCACCGCCAGCGTTAATGGCTTTGCATCCACGCATGGCCGATGCAACTAAGCATCCTTCAGTGGTTGCCATAGGGATGTGATAAGAAATGCCGTCTATGACCATGGGCCCAATGACACCCACAGGAAGTGGCATATAACCAATTACATTTTCGCAGCAAGCACCTAGTACACGGTCGTAGTCATAGTGCTTGTAAGGCAAACGATTTGTTTCAAGTACAGGGGCATCCGCGAGACGTGCGAGGGCTTTACGACGAATAAAGACAGCGCGTAGGGTATCTCCTAGTTGTTTTTCCAAAGCGTATAACGGTAGTTTTCCATCGACAACTAGAGATGTGACCTCTTTGTTGTTCAAGGTCTTGAGACCCCCAGCTTTCATGATCTCCACCAAGGTATCCAGAGGTCTGACCACTTTATCTTCGCGATCGCTTTCGCTATCGTCCTCAATCGCTGTGTTGGTTTCGATAGATGTTACTGAAGACGATGCGGAAAGCTTGTTGTCCTGGCTAGCGACATAGCTGACTTGCTTTTTAATTCCCGTTTTCCTTGCACTGTGTTGCTTCAACTGCTTGGCTGTGAACTCGGTGTGTATTCTTCCGGCGTTTAGCAAATAGATGTTAATAGAGGCACTGATCACAAGCGCAAATAGCACAAGTTTACTGACCAACCTGTCTCTAATCGCAACACTGAAATAGCGTAGGGTGGAGAGGATCAAATCTTCAACCTGAAGGTATACCTTCATTGGTTGATAATTTTGGGGAGGTACAACAGACACGACGACTCCGCTAGGATAGTTTTTCTTAACCGTTTGGGAGATGAAATCTGGCAGCACAAGGCTAGATGGTCTAGAGTACAGGGCATTTACGGTTTGGTATGTCCATCTAACTCCAAAGCTGTAAAAGTTGAGGCCCACAAAGACCAACACAACAGAGAGCTTTACTAAAACAATACTGGTGGTCGAGGTAAAAAATGCAGCTTTGGCTGGAGTATCAGCCGTAGAAACAGATTCGGCCGTTTTTTTGACAACCCCGTCTTCCTCTAATGTTTCCTTTATCATAACAGAGCGGTGAATAATGTTAATCTCCAATTTCAATCCTAGGATAGACGCGTAGTAAGTGCAAGTCAGAAGCAAGTCATAAATCAATACCAGCGACGCCAAGATGCAGAAGTTTCTTAGGACATCAAGGTCATGTGCGTATAAAGCGCCGCCGATAAAGGCCACTATGCTCAACAGATGATCTTGTAGGAGGCGACCACCCTCTTCCTTCACAGCGAGGTAAACAAGTTCGGAAGTATCAAACTGGTGGGAAATACCGTGTTTTCTGAAATAATCCAAAAGGAAGGAAGCAAGTCTCACTTTGTGATTAAACCCTACAATAACCACGATAAAAGGTACACCCTCGATCAAACTTAGAAGAGTGACAGTTTTCCCGAGTAATACCTGACTGGTGTAAAGGGCAAGAACGAAAGCACTGGTCGAAGAAGCCACGGCAGAAAGTGCGATCCAGAATTTGGATCCAGTTCGTTTCTTCATGACAAAGAACAGACTGACAAAGGTGTACAACATGGCTGCATAGGCTGCTCCGATGATGAAGACGTCGAAGGTCTCAGCTCCTTGCAGCTTTTCCACCATGTTCTCTAGAAATGACGCTATCATGGCTTTGGTGTCTTGGAAATGGAAGCTGTGAGGTCTGAGCCTCCATGTAGTTCCATCGCCTGCCTGCAGGTCCTTGGGCAATGAAAGATCTGCTTGTAGAACGTAACGGGTGCTGCTGTTTTCGGAAACAACGTTTAATAATTCGGGCAAAACTTGTGTATCATTTTGCGTCTTGAAATCAAGTTGCATCAGGTAGTAGTGTTCTGAAAACGATGCAGATGCGAGTTCGTCGTTGGACAGTCTTGTCCACGAATCAGCACTGCTGGCATGGAAGTAATGCGCGCATTCGTCTTGCAATTGCAGAGCATCGGTGTTGCTGGCAAAAATGCTTTTGGAGTCCAGCTGCCACCCATTGAAGTAGCTTCGCACTACCGACAGATACGCCAATGCTGAAATGAACACGGTCACTAGAATCACATGAACCGGGTGTCGAGCTGAGAGCTTTGATACCTTTGCGAACTGCTTCGCCAGCGATTTCAACGGCTTCAGAACCAATGGCATCTTGAAAAACGAGCCTCTATAATATCGCACAGCACTCACTGACAAAGCCTAAGACCGCAGTTTTTGAGATGTGACAAAAAGGTCTCTACTTCAGGTATTTGAACCTGATTTTTGACAAAAACTCGATGTCCCAAGGGCTCAAATGAGTGTTTCTTGAAAGAGCTTTAGCTCGTTCCTTACTTTAGCACGCCAACAGTGCGTCCTAAAACTTTTCTACCAGTGGTACGAGAAAATACCTAAACCACGGACGCGACAAACAACTGGCGAAGGAAAAAAACAATCCAGGATCACGCGATATTTCCGAGTAGAAAAATGACTGAAGGACTGGATCGATAAACTCGAGAGGTTTCGTCAATAGTTATCTATGGAACAGTAGTGGACTTGGGCAATCGACAATGGAATAGCGGCGCACAGAGGGTGCTATTTGCGGTGTGAGAGCGTAATGGGATGTTGTAGCTTCTTTTGAAGTGCTAAATAATAAGCTCCTTGCCCTGTTCAGGTGCCTTTTCGCCCTAAAAACCAGCGTTTTTAGGATTGGTCTTCAAATGCTGGGCGGCTAAAACCTCAGATAAGCAAATCACAGGGATCGATAGGCGCTCACTAGACCGGAAGAAAGCCTTTTCTTTGAAGTTGACTTTTTTAAAACGCTTCTGACTACAAAACACGCAAGAATTGTTGCCGGTGATCGCCATGGTAGGGTTGGGTTTTAGCTTTGATATAGTTTGTTTTATATATTTATACATATTCAAGAGACAATATATTAGATTCGTATACTGTGATCATCATGCTAGTCGTCGAAGAGCGTTTCGGTCTGAGCCAATCGAGCTAATGGTTACTACAGCTTTTGCTGTTCTCCCTCCTAGTATATTCAGATGCCTTTATTAGATATTTTTAACTACTAAACAGTTTTTCCTTTAACCTATTTCATGGATACCAACTTGACGTCGAAAGTCAACTCAGAGTTAGCTGGCAAGCCGGGTAGGGCCTGCTTTCCATAGGCGTAAGGTGCTGGGATGACGATTCTACGTTCACCACCGACGGCCATACCGGCAACACCGATGTCCCAACCCTTGATGACTTCACCACGGCCCAAGTTGAAGTTGAAAGGCTTCCCGCTGGTGTTCTTGTCGAAGACCTTGCCGTTCTTCAGCTTACCGATGTATCTCATGCCGACCTTAGAGCCCTTCTTGGCAGCTTTGCCTTTGCCCACAACGCGGTCCTCGACGATGACACCGCCCTCTAGGACCTTGGTCTTGGGCTTTTCGTCCTTAGTGGCCTTCTTGGAAGGACCCTCTTCAAGGTCTTTTTTGAATTCAACTTTTTTCTCCTTCTTGTCCTTCTTGGCCTTCTTGGTCTCTTTTGGAGACTCCGAAGCAGCTTGAGTCTCCTCTTCCTCGTCTTCCTGCTTCTTTCTCTTGTTGTTAGACGCAGTCTTGTCCTTGTTGGCTTTCTGGTCCTCCTCTTGCTTTATAATCTCCTCGATGCGGCCCTCGACGTCGCTGGCGTCTTCTAGGTCGTCCAAGATCTCGTCCTCATCGGGCGTCAGATCGTACTCTTCGCTGTCGTAATCTTCGTCGTCGCCCTCGGAGTCTTCCTCAGAGTCGTCGCCGTATCTTGGCTGGTCGAATGGGTGTTTGACGTAGTTACCGGTCAAGTAAATAGGGTAGGAACCGGTCAGCACGAATTGCACCTCTTCTTCTGGGGCAATGACCAGATCCAGGGTCTGCTGGAACTGAACCTTTGGCGACAAGGTCAACACCACGTATTCCTGGAATTCCTCGTCGTCTTCTTCGTCCTCGTCGTCCTCCTCCTCTTCTTCTTGCTCTTCTTCCTCTTGCTGCTTTTCAGCTTCCTGCTGTTTCTTGCTCTTCTTGCTCTTCTTGGCTGGTTGCTGTTCTTCCGGCTGTTGTTCTTCCTCCTCAGACTCATCGTCTAGCTCGTCTTCGTTGAAATCGCCTCCCAAGATGTCATCCTCGTCATCGTCGAAGTCTGGGTTTCTCTTGATGATTCTCAAGGTCGATGGCTTTTCTTCATCGTCCACGGCGTCTGGGTCAACGGCAGCCAAGGTGATTCTCACGGTAACTGGAACAGTGACGTCCACAGCAGGAGTTGGAGAGTATGGCTCAACCTTCAAGTTGTAGGTGGCTAGTGGTAGTAGATCCGACATATCGCTTTCTTATGGAGTGTAGTTGAGATCTATAGGGATTACCTTTTGATGAGATACCTGGACCAAATGAGATGAGATGAGATGAGATGAGATGCTCATCGCTTTCTATAGTTCTTGAAATTTTTTTTTTCCTTTTCCAGATTTTTCATCGCTGTTAATTAAAACCAGCATAATAGACGTTGCTTTTTGTCACGTGATTCTTTTTTGAGAAATTTTCAAAAAAATAAAAGTGATTTCGCCCAGGATCGAACTGGGGACGTTCTGCGTGTTAAGCAGATGCCATAACCGACTAGACCACGAAACCAACTATGAGAATACATTTATTTCCTTACATATATATAGGCATATGAACGGCATGTGACTCTTTACTGGTACTTTTTCCTGTCTTTTACTACTAAGAATGCCTCACTACTGTAAAGAGCTCTTTAACTTGTAAATGCCCTTATCTCTACTCTCTTTTCATTTACAATAGCTCGTCGAAACATCTCTCTTGTAACTTATTTCGTCTCATGACGTCAAAATCGCTTTAGCAAGCACGAACTTCGGACCCTTCTGTCTTCTTGAAAAAAAAAAAATTTTACGCTACGTTCGTTGACCTTCTATCATCACTTTCTTTTTTCCTGACTCTCGATCAAGATATTTTGTCAAAGCATTTCTTCAAGAAAAATACCAAACTTTTCATCAACTTAGTAGACTCAACGCTCTCGTAGAAATAATTAAGCTCTTCAACACCACATTGATTGATTAAAGCTCCAAGAGAAAACTTTGAAATGCCTCCAAAGAAACAAGTAGAAGAAAAAAAAGTGCTTTTGGGCCGTCCCGGCAACAATTTGAAAGCCGGTATCGTCGGTCTGGCCAACGTTGGTAAGTCGACTTTCTTCCAGGCCATCACCAGATGTCCCTTGGGTAACCCAGCGAACTACCCATTCGCTACCATCGACCCTGAAGAAGCTCGTGTGATTGTGCCATCTTCAAGATTTGAAAAATTGTGCGAAATCTACAAGCCAGCATCCAAGGTGCCAGCGCATTTGACCGTTTACGACATTGCAGGTTTGACCAAAGGTGCCTCTGCCGGTGAAGGTTTGGGTAACGCGTTTTTGTCGCACATCAGAGCCGTGGACTCTATCTACCAGGTTGTGCGTTGTTTTGACGACGCTGAGATTATCCACATCGAAGGTGACGTGGACCCAGTACGTGACTTGGACATCATCAACACTGAGCTGAGACTCAAGGACATCGAATTCTCCGAAAAGCACCTGGAAAACGTGCACAAGATCACCAAGAGGGGAGGTCAGTCGCTTGAGGTCAAACAGAAGAAGGAAGAAGCCGCTTTGGTCGAGAAAATCATTGAACTGTTGAAGTCGGGCCAAAAAGTCGCTAACCAAACCTGGACCACCAAGGAGGTGGAAATCATCAACAGCATGTTCTTGCTGACCGCCAAGCCATCCATCTACCTTATCAACTTGTCCGAAAGAGACTACATCAGAAAGAAGAACAAGCACTTGCTCAAGATCAAGGAGTGGATCGACAAGTACTCCCCAGGCGATTTGATCATTCCATTCTCGGTCTGTTTGGAAGAAAGACTTTCGCACATGAGTCTGGAGGAGGCCGAAGAGGAACTGAAAACTTTGGGCGTCGAAAGTGCCTTGCCTAAGATCATCACCACCATGAGACAGAAGCTTGACTTGATTTCTTTCTTCACCTCGGGTGCAGATGAGGTTCGTGAGTGGACCATCCGTAGAGGCACCAAGGCTCCGCAAGCCGCCGGAGTTATCCATAATGATTTGATGAACACTTTCATTCTCGCGCAAGTGATGAAATACGAAGACGTGATTGAATACAAAGACGAAGTTGCCATCAAGGCCGCTGGTAAGATGCAGCAGAAGGGTAAGGACTACGTTGTCGAAGACGGTGACGTCATCTACTTCAGAGCCGGTGCCGGTAAAAACTAAGATGCGTTTTATGCCTCCTAATGTTATATATAGTGGTCTCTCATAAGATAGATTTTATGTGTGCTCTCTATTCCGCTTTGGCTTACATGACTCAGAGCGGCTTTTCTTAGTGGTATATATACAGGTTTCGGGCGCCCAGAGGAAAGATCCCACTGCCCGCGACGCCCCTCTAATTGAAAAGGAACGAGTACCATTTGTCTTTCCGCTTTTCACGTTCTTCCTTGGGCACAAACGCCTTGACATGTTCTTGTATCTTTTCTGCTCCTGTTTTCTCATCGTACTGTCTTCCTAAAGCGTCGATGAACTGGCCTTCGGGGTCCATGAGGTAGAAGAAAATGGAGTGGTCCACCAGATAATCCTGGCCTGGTTTGAGCGTTGGTGGCGTGGAGAAATACACACGATACTGTTTGCACGCGTGTTTGATAGCGTTGTAATCTCCGGTAAGGCCAATGAGATCTGGGTGGAACTCACTCAAATACTCTTTCAGCACCTTTGGAGGGTCTCTGGCGGGGTCGCATGTTATAAAGATGGGCTGCAACTCGATTCCTTTCTTTTTCAGCTCATCGAGCCAGACACTCAACTTGTCCAGTTCGTCGGGACAAATGTCGGGACAGTGCGAAAATCCAAAGTATATAATGGAAAATTTGCCCTTGAGGTTTTCCTGAGTAAATTCGTTGCCGTTAAAGTCCACTAGCTTGAACGGTCCGCCGACTAAAGGTTTCCCGTACCCTCGGTTGGCTTCTGCCTCCTTTTCAATCTCCAATCTCCGTTTCTCCTTAGCAAAAAAGTAGTACAATGTTCCACCAAGAGTCACCAGAAGTGCCGCTGCTTTCCACGTTGCAAACTCGATAGAACCGCCGCTATCGCGCTGCGACTGCTTCGTGGTCCCACCTATAGCGATTCTACTCAGAGGTTTACGCTTGGGTACCTCAGCTTCGCCACTGGGCGGTTGCTTAGTTATTTTATCAGCTGGCTTGTTATGAAGATATGCTGAACTGGACAACAGCCTATTTCCAAGTATAGGATACTGATTGGCCCTTCTCAGAGCTACCAAAATGCGATTTCTTGCAAGCATCTCTTGATCGTCAAAACACCTGAAAAGGGGCTCGAAAAACTGTATGCACAAAGACGGACGGAGTTTCCAAAAACTGGGCCTTGCTTACGCCTTTAAGTTGGTTAAGAGCCTGTAATGATTGCTTCTCTTTATTGTACCGCGTTGAACATTTGATGATTTGACGTATAGTTTAGAAACTAATTCTCATTTTCAGATCACATGACTCAGGAAATGGAAACAGCCCTTGATTAATTTATAAGTAAGATAGAAACAACTACGATTAAACCTCTAACAGATACTTTAGGATGAATCCTATAAGATCAAGACGGTCGTTCTCATAATGGAACAACTACTTCTAAGCTGAGTATCAAAGTTGCCAGTTTTGATTGATGCCATCTGTTCAGGAAGAACTAAGTCGCTCGTGGCGCTTAATCAACAGATTTATGAACTTCTGAGAGTTTTTAAGACAGCTTTGAGGACACAGGTGTACGTTCTGGAACTGATGTCAAGCCAAGTTCTCTTCTTTCCGAACTGTTGCTGCGTGGCACGCACATGGAGGCAAAAGCAGGTCACCTCATCCCAGATGATGAGCGTTTAAAAAATGGTCAGGTTTGTCAAAACGGTGTATTCCGGGTTAAATGTGTACAAATTATTTGAGCACACACTTTTCCCTGCATTTGAAGAGTTTCAATCGCCGGCTTGTCTTCTTCGACCGTTATGAGCTCGTAGTCATGGGAAAATCGGAAAACAAAACAGTGGAATTTGTTCCCAGTCCTTTTTCTTTTTCAGAAATACATGGTGATTCCGCTTTGGCTCTGTTCTTTGAGTGAAATGCCTTATGAATTGTCTACCGAAAACCTCGGCGGCTATGTCTTCGGCTTCAGTCTTTCGCTTAACGGGAAAGAGATCAGAATGTCACGTGGTCGGACTTTTTATTTCGAAATGCGTTACCGACCGCTTATTACCTAACCTAATGATAGTAAGAACGGCCATCAGATGAGATCAAGCGTTTACAAAGGCAAGAAGAGAAACAAAAGTCAGGAAGGCCTCAACATTCTTTTTATTGAGCCCCACTAGCAGCGGCCTGGCTGTTACCTTCCATTTTGGTCTTTATGCTGAGCAAACTTAAAAGTCAAATGAATTGCTCTACTATGAAAGGGAAACGACACGCCTTCGCACAGCAAACAGTACCTACGGTGGGCTCGATTTCAACCCCAATTCTCAACCCTTCTCGATGCTATCGTCCTTTAGGCATTTGAATGATCTTCAAGAATTTTGTCTCATAGGCTTCTCAATATTTACCGATTACCGTTTTGGGTATGGGATGTGATTTAAAGGAAACTACCAACAACAGGGCTTTAAATATCGAGAAAAAACTGTTATGAGACTCCTTTTCATAGCCCATCTTGCTCAGTGTTTTTCGCTATTGTGTGGCCTAAATACTTCAGCAATTGGCCATCATGGACTACAATCCTTTCATGGCAGGCGAAAACGGCTCGCCTGTGAGATCGCCTCAGCCGGCAGCCAGGCGCCAGGACTCGCCCTGGAGGTCACAGTATTCTGAGTACAGCTCAACAGAAAATGATTTGTCCACTGCCTTTCAAGGTTTTCCCTCGGTGGCACCTGCTCAACCCCCATCGCCATCTAAGGCAGCTGCCAAATATTCCCCACAGCGCAGGAACATCTTCGCCCGTGATAGCACCCCGAACTCGCCAGTTCGCCAGAATCGCTACGTCGCAAATATGCAAGAATCTCCAAAACGCAACGGACGTGCAATCATTGCAATCGATGAGCCATCGGACGACGAGCAAGGCGATATATACGACAGCTACTCCTATGGAAATCCAAGCGTTCAATCTCGTGCGGCCTCCCATGGTACCAACTCCAAGTATTCTTTTGAGAGCCATCGTAAGTCATTTGATGATGACAGCACGGTTTTTTCTGGCGACACGTTCGAGCAGACAAGATTCCAGGTCAATCATCCGCAGCGGAACTACATCAAGCGCGGGAAATCTGAGGTTAGAAAATTGCCTACAGTCAAAGCCAAAAGGAATATATTGAAACTGGACAACCCAATACCAAGAGGACTGCTGGAAATTCTGCCTCGACGTGATTCTCCAGAGTTCACTGAGATGAGGTACACTGCTTGTACTTCCGAACCCGACAGTTATGTTGACGAGGGTTACTCCTTAAGATTTGCTGAAATGAATCGCGAATGTCAGATAGCCATTTGCGTTACGATGTACAATGAGGATAAGTTTGCCCTATCAAGCACACTACACTCCGTCATGAGGAACATTTCGCACATGTGCAAACGTAAAAAGTCTAGTGTTTGGGGACCAAATGGATGGAAAAAGATACAAGTTATCATCGTCAGCGATGGTAGGAAAAACATCAACAAGGGCTCTTTGGACTATCTCAGCGCCTTGGGTATCTACCAGGAAGACATGACAAAATCGACGGTGAACGGAGAACCGGTAAAAGCGCACATTTTCGAACTCACCACCCAAGTTTCGATCGACGCAGATTTAGACTACGTGAGTAAAGAAATCGTGCCAGTGCAGGTCGTCTTCTGTCTAAAAGAAGAAAATCAAAAGAAAATCAATTCCCATCGCTGGCTTTTCAATGCTTTCTGTCCCATTCTGGATCCCACGGTTGTCGTTCTCGTTGATGTTGGAACGAGATTAAATGACACTGCTATCTATCACCTATGGAAGGCTTTTGACAGAGACTCCAATGTAGCCGGGGCTGCTGGTCAGATCAAAACGATGAAAGGAAAATGGGGTCTCAAGCTTCTAAATCCACTGGTGGCATCTCAGAATTTTGAATATAAAATTTCCAACATTCTCGACAAGCCGTTAGAAAGTGTATTCGGGTATATCTCTGTCCTTCCGGGCGCTTTATCCGCGTACCGGTACCGCGCCCTCAAAAACCATGAAGACGGCACTGGACCTTTGAACTCCTACTTTCTCGGTGAAACCCAGGAAGGACGCCAACATGACGTTTTTACCGCGAACATGTACTTAGCTGAAGACAGAATTCTCTGCTGGGAGCTAGTTGCCAAGAGAAACGCCAAGTGGGTGCTGAAGTATGTCAAAGAAGCGACTGGTGAGACGGATGTACCAGAAGAACCACCAGAGTTCATCTCACAAAGAAGACGTTGGTTAAATGGTGCCATGTTCGCTGCCCTCTACGCACAGCTGCATTTTCCTCAGATTTGGAAGACAAAACATTCCGCCACCAGAAAAGTATTTTTCCATTTGGAGTTCTTCTATCAGTTTGTTCAAATGCTCTTCTCCTGGTTCTCCATTTCGAACTTCTTCTTGACCTTTTACTTTTTAGCGGGATCCATGAACAAGTTGATGAAGCATGGAGATGTTCTATTCACATTCTTCAAGTATTTGATCATCTGTGACCTTGCTGCTCTTTTCATCATTTCCATGGGCAACAGGCCACAGGGTGCCAACCATCTCTTTATCATTTCGATGGTGATTCTTTCCATTTGCTCAACTTATGCACTGGTTTGTGGGCTCGTATTTTCTTTCAAAACGCTACAGGATCCAACTGAAAGCAGCATGGTGTTCTTTAACATTGTGGTCTCCCTCCTGTCGACGTATGGACTGTATGCTTTTACCTCGATCTTATACCTCGACCCTTGGCATCTAATCACCTCATCGATACAATACCTTTTGATGCTTCCATCATTTATCTGCACACTGCAGATTTTTGCATTCTGCAACACTCATGACGTTTCCTGGGGTACTAAAGGATCTACAGAAGATACAAAACCGAAGTCTGAGGCAACGGTCAAACAAGGTCCCAATGGCCAACAAATCGTCGAAGGAACAGAGTGGCCCCAGGAGGTGGACAAGAAGTTTGCTGAGATCAAAAATAGACTCAAAGAACAAGAAGTTGTTGAGCCCAAAGTTGACGAGGCACAACGAAACAATGACTACTATCGTGACATTAGAACGCGTATTGTTATGATTTGGATGCTTTCCAACCTCATCATGATGATGGTCGTCACACAGGTCTACGGACCAGAGGACACCGCGAAGAACAAATATTTGATTTTCATCCTTTGGTCAGTTGCTGTTTTGGCATTGTTCAGGGCGGTCGGTTCGGTGTCGTTCCTGATACTGCAGTATCTACGCTTGATAGTGAGTTACAAGCATAAAGCGGAGGACAGTGGCTCGCTTAACTTGCCTAGTGCAAGAAATATTTTCAAGAAGGAACCCAAAATGTAAAATACAGTACGTACGTGTTGTAACTTATAATCAATAATACCCACCATACTCCATTATCAATAACCCCTCGCTGCTCTAAAGTTGTCATAATTGACAAGGGCGTGTAGAAGAACCTTGAATCCGTCCTCTACTTCTTCGGGAGAAGAGTATTCATGATAATTGTGAGACAAACCATTCTTAGAAGGAATGAATATCATTGAGGTTGGAACGTGTGGAGCGGTTTGGCAAGAGTCATGTCCTGCGCCCGACCACATCTGACGAACTTTATTTTTTGGAAATTGAGCGAGTGCAGATCTGGATACGCATTCAAGGCAAGTTTGATCAAAATTGACCGCTGGTGAAATCTGAAGCACTTCTGAACTGTAAGTTAAAGCACCTGCAGTATTTTCCTTGACAATGCGATCAAATTCGCAGTGGGCTTCTGCAATAATGGCTTTAATAGATTCATCTGAAGGGTGTCTGACATCGAGAGTGAACGATACTTCACCTGGTATAATGTTCACAGAATAAGGCATTGCATCGATCACACCGCATGTAAACAAGCCTTGATGTTTTTTAGCAATTTCAGAAGCGGCGACAATCATCTTGGCTGATGCTAAAAGAGCGTCTTTCCTGCATCTCCAAGGTGTCGTGCCGGCATGTGCACCCTCGCCGCTTACAGTGATTTTCTCCCACCGATAAGCCTGAACTCCTGTAACAATACCAATAGATTTCTGTTCGTCTTCTAAAATAGGACCTTGCTCGATGTGCAACTCGAAGTGCGCATCGAGTTCATTTTCCTTGTAGGACGCTGGCACGTCACCAATATATCCAATGTTGCTCAGAGAGTCAAAAACAGACTCGGACTCCTTCTCGCCAATTGACATAAGTTCGTAAGCCTCTTTTAAAGATAAATCATGGGACCAAACACTAGACCCAGTACAGGACCTCGCAAAACGAGCACCTTCCTCATTGAACCAAACCACGACGCAAACGTCATAATTAGGAACATAGTTGTTATCTCTGAAAGTTCTCAACACCTCTAGCCCTGCTAAAACGCCCAGAATCCCGTCGTACTTGCCGGCTTCTGGTTGAGTATCCAAGTGAGAGCCTGTGGCAGTTGGCTTACCTCGGTTTTTACCGGGAAAAACCGCAAATATGTTGCCTATTTGATCAATTTTGATCTCGCATCCCAAGGTTTTGCACTCATCGAGAAACCAGTTTCTCATAGCTCCGTCTTCTTTCGTTCCAGCCAACCGGCGCATCCCAAACTCATGTGGTGCATCGCCCCATCTTGCAACACCACCGTAAGTGGTACCAGTTTCCAAAATGGTGGTGTTCAATCGTCCATTGACAATGGACAGCGGCGCTACTGCTGGAACACTGATTGTTCCTGAGTTGGGCACACTTATGGTTGTAGTGCCAGAAGAGCTATGAGAAGTCATTGAAAGATGGAAGGAAAGCGCAGCAGGAAAATCCGATTAGAACCGCAATTGAGCAGAGATTGGGCTTAATATCGGTGTAAGAAATCTGGTACTGCATTCAATTTGGGTGACCGATGTCATTGTTGGTCTCTCGTCTCTTATACGTCAACCGAGGCTATGGCCTTGAAGCGATAAGATAAGATATTAAATTGATGTTCATGTACTTAGCGTCCAAACCGATTTCAAGGTCATTGTCTTATCATGAAGCATCAAGTGATAGTTGAGCGATGAAATCGAGAACGCCTGGTGGAGCATCAAAGTTGAGTTGAGCAGCTTTGTCTGATTTGGTCTTGGAGCTTCCTATGGAAATAAGGCTATCGTTGGCGTTAATCACTTCCCAAAAAGGCTTATCATACTGTACACCGGGTCGCTATAAATGGAGGTTTCGTTGTAGATGGGCCACAGGCAGTAGTAGCCAACCGAGAACAATGAAAGAGTTATAAGAGCTGAAGGGCCTTCAAGCTTAATTTGCAAATAAAACGCGAGTTGGAGGGCTAAGTAGGTAGCTTGAGCCAGATTTCGTCTGAATTTCAATTCCCTGGATACTGATGCTCTAGTGACATTATTTTTCAGTCATTTTTCACTAATGTATCGCGGAATATAGCATGAGGTTGATGATCTTACATTTTTGACAGATTATCTCGTGGTCACTTACTATCGTTGTGCAGGCTGTGCACTGAAGTACCCAGAAAGCTGTTCAGTGGAGTGATTGGCATTGTATCCGGCAGTTCTTTTCCAGCTTACACATACTTCTCGAAAATTTAGAGAATCCGAGGCTCGATTGTCTTCGATGAAAAATCAACTTTTGGAAACGGTGTCCTGCCCAACCGGTTTGAAGGTTAGAATAACTGGTACAGAAATATGGGTTTACTGGATGATTCAATGGAGCGATACTTGCCCAAATGCAGTGGCATCTCTCTTATGAGGTCTCTTTCTGGTTCATGCGGTTTTTCCCGGCTGAAGATCGACTAAACAGACATTACATATGCAATTCAGCAGGAATTGTCCACGACCTTATTCCCCGATTCCCTGTGGCTAGGCATGATAACCCGATCATGATCAGGTTGACTACCGAACTTTGTTGAGATTCATCTCCTAAAGCTATTATTCAATCTGTCGCTGACACTTGTCACGTGCGTTTATGATAAAGTGTCTCTACCATACCAAAGTCGAGGCATTGGATGGGATTAGAGCCACTTGTATCCACTATTGGAGAGCTTTGACAGAGTTGAGGTTTGTACTCAAACTAATCGTGCTCGCAGAAGTGTGAATTTTAGAGTGTTTTAGAAGATTTCATTCTATCACGACATTCATCCCATTACTGAGCCTTCGTCGAGCCAAAAAAAAGCGGGAAATGACAGTTAAGCGATCCTTGGATAGTACCACCTAAGCTTTCATGTTCTTAAAGTGCTAAACACAAATTTTCGGCGACGGCATCGGCTGTCGTCGTCAACGTCCTCTTCCACCAAATAACTCGGTTTTGGCCCCAATGTAGGAGAAATCGACGAGACTTGTCTTGATATCGTTTTTTAATAACTCACGCGATCACAACGTCCTACAACTTCACTGAATCTCATTGCAAACAGCACTTCGCTAACCTAGATCACTTCAGCCCAAGCTGACGTTTCTCTGTTTCTATATTTACAGGGTTTAATAGTTCCAATATATTCAAAAAATTCTTGAATGCAGGAAGCACTGTTCAAAGTCTCGACCACATTCACGCTATAAAGCCAGATCAAGTGCCTCGAAGGTTTGTAACCTGAGAAGTGGTGGCCCCCAATCAACCGATGACTGGCAACGACGACTTTTATGCATTTGACGATGAATCATTACTACGATCCAGGAACAGCGTTAATGATGGCAGATTGCAGAGAGGCGATTCGTTAGTGAGAAGAGAACGGAATGATTTCACTGATCCAGACAATCCGCACCACTATTACGCGCAAAAAACGCAGGAACAGCGTGCAAAGGGTCAGGTTCAAGTCCAGGAGTCCATTCCGCTCGAAGAAATGAATCGCGGCAAAAAAAAACGGAACCATCGAAAACACAAAACACGCAATCTCTTTCGTTTTGGCAAATCTATTGCTATATTATCACATTTTGGGCACCGGCACCGTTGCTGTCGTTATTTGGGATGCCAAAAAAGCAGCGTCAGTTTGCCTGGAGAGAAAAGATCGCCCTTTTATCGGTCATCTTGTATGCGGGCACTCTTGTTGCGTATCTGACGTTTGGTTTCACGAAAACTGTCTGCAGTAATCAGACCCTACGCTTGCGCAACAATGAGGTCTCGCAAAGCTATTTGATAGTCAACGGGCGGTCCTACGGCTTGGACTCTTCGTCTCATCCTGCAGCTGCAGGCATCGACGCGGGTACCAACGTATTGTATCCACCTATAAATGCAGGAAGTATGGATGGAAGTTTTCTGTTTCAAAACGTTAACGGAAATTGCAAAGGGCTCATAACGCCAAAGGAAAACTGTAGCATTCCCTATGATGACGACGAAAACTTGGCTTGGTATTTTCCTTGCAAATTGATTGCACAGGACGGCTCAACAGAGCCAAACTTCACCGTGAGTGAATACTATGACGGCTGGGCGTGCCATACCTCTCAGGAAGCCCGCGATGCTTACTATTCGCTCAAAGCCGCTGCCGATGTCTATTTCACTTGGGAAGACGTCAAAAACTCAACTCGCAACCTTGTAGTCTACAATGGCCATGTTCTTGACCTGAACATGCTCGACTGGCTACAAACGGATGATCTTGACTATCCTCCGCTATTCGATCAATTGAAAGACTCGAAATTGCAAGGCTATGATATTTCGCTGGTTTTGTCAGACTCTTTCGAAAAAAAAGCAGCAAGGTGTTTGTCAGAGATAATTAAGGTTGGTGAAATTGATACGTCGACCATTGGGTGCCTTGCTTCCCAAGTGGTTTTGTACATTTCCCTTGTTTTCATCCTGGCCGTTGTCTTCGTGAAATTCTTCATATCGTGCTATTTCCGGTGGTTTGTGGCCAGAAAGCAAGGCGCTTACACTGTAAGCAATAAAAGCATGAAACAACATGCCAACGACATCGAGGACTGGTCCGAAAATATCAACGCAAGAGGCCCAATCAAAAAGGTTGATCACAATATGAGGCCACACGGTCAACGTAGGGTCTCCGCGTTTGATCTCATAAAACGTAATTCTATGATGCTTCTCAATGATGATGCTGGCTTCAAGGACCCCCAGGATAAATTTCGTGGAATGACAACCATGACCACTCAATCGCTTCTGAAGTCGAACGTTCAAACTGAGGGCCAGGTTGGTGCGGATTTTCAATCTCCGTTCACAAACGACTTGATCTCTCCATCAAATACTTTGGAGACTTTAGATCCAACCATTATTCACCCAGACGTTGTAGCACAGCCTCCGGCAGATTTCATGCCCAATGGATATCCTCTCGTGCATACAATATGTTTTGTAACTTGCTACTCCGAAGACGAAAGTGCCATTCGAACCACTTTAGACTCTCTCGCTACAACAGATTATCCAAATTCTCACAAATTACTAATGGTGGTTTGTGATGGTATCATTAGCGGATCTGGTAATGCTCTGTCGACACCAGATATTGCGTTGGGAATGGTTGAAGACTTTGTTGTTCCACCAGAAGAAGTTGAACCTCATTCTTATGTTGCTGTCGCATCTGGTTCGAAGAGACATAATATGGCCAAGGTCTACGCCGGATTTTACAAATACGACGACTCCACGATTGAACCAGACTTGCAGCAAAAAGTTCCCATTGTAGTCATAGTGAAATGCGGCACACCGGATGAGCAAGCTTCGGTCAAACCTGGAAACAGAGGTAAGCGTGATTCTCAAATTATTTTGATGTCATTCCTGCAGAGACTCACTTTCGAAGAACGTATGACAGTTTTCGAGTACCAACTGTTGAAAAATATATGGCAAATTACTGGACTCATGTCGGAGTTTTATGAGCTAGTTCTGATGGTTGATGCCGACACGAAAGTTTTCCCCGATTCATTGACTCACATGGCTGCTGAAATGGTCAAAGACCCAGAAATCATGGGTCTTTGCGGAGAAACTAAAATTGCAAATAAAACCGAATCGTGGGTATCATGGATTCAGGTGTTCGAATACTTCATATCTCATCACCAGGCAAAAGCTTTTGAATCTGTCTTCGGAAGTGTAACTTGTCTTCCAGGTTGTTTCTCGATCTATCGAATCAAATCTCCAAAGGGACCCGATGGATATTGGGTGCCCCTCTTATCAAACCCTGACATTGTCGAAAGATATTCGGACAATGATACCAGCACCCTGCATAAAAAAAATTTGCTGCTATTAGGTGAAGATAGATATTTGTCTTCTTTGATGTTGAGAACTTTTCCTAAGCGTAAGCAGGTCTTCCTATCTAAGGCTGCCTGTAAAACGATTGTTCCTGCTCAACTAAAGGTGCTACTGTCGCAGCGAAGACGGTGGATCAACTCCACAGTACACAACTTGATGGAACTAGTTTTGATTCAAGATCTCTGCGGTAGCTTCTGCTTTTCGATGCAATTTGTCATCGGAATGGAACTTATCGGGACTTTGGTTCTACCGCTTGCCATCTGCTTCACCATTTACGTCATCATTTTTGCCATTGTGTCTCATCCCACACCAATTATCACCTTGGTATTGTTAGCGGTTATCCTGGGTCTTCCTGGTCTATTAATCGTCGTAACAGCTACCAGATGGTCATACTTGGGTTGGATGGCAATCTACATCATTGCTTTACCAATTTGGAATTTCTTACTACCTGTTTATGCCTTTTGGAAGTTCGATGATTTCAGTTGGGGTGATACGAGAACGATTGCTGGGGGAAATAAAGCAAGTCAAGAAGAGGAGCTGGGAGAATTCGATCATTCCATGATTAGAATGAGAACTTGGAGAGAATTCGAGAGAGAAGAGCGTCTGAAGGGTAAAGGTCAGGGGCAGCATTCGAGACTTGGCTCTATTTTGAATCTCGACTATATTCCTGATGGATCGAATCCGAACAGAGACGATTCTTAATTTTTCTGAGTTAGAAAGGGTTCGTAACGCTCTTTTCCAACACAGATAAATCAGAGCCCATAACATCCGTGAGAGGAGAGAGGACACAGTTCCTAGTCATTATTATCCATAACCTGCATTTCATTTATTTAAAGAGTATCATAGGTCGAGCAACGACCGCGACACTTCAAAGCTTACAGTATGTATACCGCAAATGAAAGCGCTTTTTGCTCCTTCAAAAGAGCCTCCGTTTTAGGCCATGGCACACCAAATATCCCGCTGTTGATTTGTGGCATCTCCAGTTGATATTCGGCCAGCGGGTATCGCAAGTTACTCTTGACATTTTCCATGAATTTAAATAGAAAGACATCCATCTCATTATCTGGGGTTTGCGCGTTACTGCGAAGCTGGATTCTCATATTTTCCAGTGAGAGTTCAGTGTTGTGAAGAATATCATTACCCGAGCCTTGGTTTGATCCCCCAAAGGTCGCTGTGAAGAGGCATCCTATCAACAATGTCGAATCAGAGTAACTAGGTATCAAAACAAATCTTCCCAGTAATTTTGATCCAAACTTATCGCATATATCATTGTAATCCTTTTCAGCCTTGGGATATTTTACACCAAGCTGATATGCAATGCCACCACCCCATGAGCCATTGCAATTACAAGAGTGAATCAAAATCCGAGGATGCGATATGGCTTGAGAGAGGCAATTACCTTTCAGGTATCTCACGTTGGTGACAGTCATGGATGTGTTGGTCTCAAATGAAGGAATCTGCGTTTAAGTTCGACTGTCCCTGTTTCCTGTTCATTTTACAAACTTTCCTTTCGAAAGGCATCATCATCGTAAAAAAGCGTCGCCTTACTTAGCGGGCATATGACATGAAATAACTAAGCTTACCTGACCAATCGCACGACCCATTCCAATAGTGTGGGTGATACCATCGTCTCAATAAAAAATGCTTTATTAATCAACAATCTAAAAGGGTATCTAGTATAAGGTTAGTGAGGATGTTACTCTTTCTTGAGTTTGCCCATGATAGCTTTACCTACCTTGGTTTCCTTCAAGGAGAATGTCCTGACATGGAATATGTAGTATAGGGCAATCATGGCAAAAATATTGAAGCCAATGTAAACCCAGTATAGTCCGAAATTTCTCCAAATGTAACTGTAACTGGCACCGATTTGTTTCAAATAGTCGTCACCGACTTTGAAGACGCAGTAACCACAGTTTTCGGTAGCATCAGGATTAGAAATGTAGCCAGCAGATTTGGACAAAAAGTCCTTCATGTATTCTCCGCAAGTCTGTCCTGCAGGAGGATTGAGGAAAGACATTTCCCTGCGTCTACACACCACAGGTTTCTTGTGAAGAACAACACCAATTGCGTTCTGCACGAAATAGGTGTACGGAGATGCTTTCCACATGAATGTCCAAAAGCCTGGCATCAAGCTAGCAGGTTGCACGACACCGCAGAAGGATAGCAGGAAAGACAAGCACAAACTCAACATTACACCGGCAGACGCCAAGTTTGGTGCCGCATACAGCAACATCAGACCCAAACCCACGAAATACATTTGGAACATAATGCAATAGGTCAAGAAGAAGACGCCCGCATAGCGCGCCTCGTAGTGGAACCTGAGGGGGAAGTAGAAACCAACGAAGAAAATGGTAGAGAACACAAGATGATATGGCAACTCACATAGGTATTGTGTGACAAGCAGGAACAGCCAGTGGAAAGTATTTGACTTGGATTCTCTCACCTCGAAAAGTTCTCTTGAAGCTATAGCACGGGCCTGAATTTGATTCATGGCAGGCGCGGAAACGATTAAGGCCAGGAAGGCCGCAAACATGGTGTTTTGCAAACCGGTGTAACTGGTACCGACATTATAAAACGTGAAACCAATGAAAAGACCCGAACATAGATGTAACATTAATTTTGCCATCAAGTAGTTCACATCTCTCCAGAAGATGGTCGCAGTTCTTGCGTACACGACTTTGAACTGATACCAATATGGTGCAGCGTACTTGGAAGTTGATCCAATATCCTCTTCAGCTTCTCCGTGGCCAGGTTCGTGCAGAAGTTTTGTTACTTCCTCGTTGGCTTGTTGGTAATTGCGAGAGTTTTTCCAAATCTCATGCCAATCTTCTTTAACAGATGCTGTGGCACCGGCCCCAATTGCCTCTAGAATGTATTCTGCAGGGTTTTCGGATGATGTGCACTTTCTGGCGCCATTCTCTTCAAAGTACCCAAGGAGATCCTTGGAGTTCTTACCAACGGGTCCGAAGTAAACAGTCTGTCCACCTTTTCTGAGCAGTAGTAATCTATCAAACAGCTCAAAAAGTGTAGCCGAAGGCTGATGGATGGTGCACAAAATAGACTGGCCAGCTTCAGCAAGCTTTCTCAAAATTTGAATAATAGCCCATGCCGACTGCGAGTCCAAACCTGAAGTGGGTTCATCCAAAAACAGTAGCAAATCAGGCTTCGCTGCAAGTTCCACACCGATGGAAACCTTCTTTCTTTGCTCAACATTGAGTCCAAAACCAGCATCTCCTACTAGTGCATCAGCATATTCACCCATGTCCAAAATTTCCATAATCCTCTCAACATATTCTAATTTTTCGGCATCTGGAACAGACGCTGGTCTGCGCAATCTGGCCGCAAAACGCAATGACTCTCTAACTGTCAACTCCTTGACATGAACGTCTTGTTGTTGTACGTAGCCTGTGCGTCTTTCGAAACTTGCGTCGATATGCTTTCCGTTAACAAGCATGTCACCGGTTATGACGCCGACGTTTCTCTGTGCCAAAGTATTCAATAACGTTGTCTTTCCGGCACCGGATTCTCCCATTAAGGCAGTGAGGGTACCAGGCACACAGTATCCGGTGACGTTATCCAACAACCTACGAGTACTGCCCTTGTAAGGAATCGTGTAACAAACATCTTTCCATACAAACACACCCCTGCTTTTCAAGCCTCTGAACACGTTGCTTGCCACACTCGAGGTGTCTTCGCTGCCATTGTCTACATTCTTCTTCGCCTCAGCCATGGTCAAGGATGATTCATCATTTTCTTCATCGGATGGAGATCCTAGTCTCTTGGCACCCTTTTTGAAGACGAGCGTATCACCGCCACCAGATGATGGTGGTCTTAGTTCGGTTACCAAACACTTCAAGAACAAATACACGACCAAGAAAGCGAAAACGTATCCCAGATTCTTCCACGTATTGCTGTAATTGTAGGCAAATTGAGCGCTCAAATAATTATCTCCCAGAACATACGGTTCTCCAGGACGCGAACCTGCAAAAGCACAAACTTGATTATCAACGGAAACTCCGCTGTATGAAGGGCCCGCGGGAATGACCCTGCCGGCACAGTTCATTCGCCTCGCGTGGAACTCAGAGTTCAACATACTCTCAAAAGTGTACCTGATTGGGGTGGAATAGGAAATCCATCTAAACCAAGGATGCATTGCGCGCGTCTGAATCATGTAGTTGGAGTAAAGAACCAAAGCCATCAAGGTTGTACCTGCCACGGAGTTTGCTTGCGAAACACTACTGCTCATTGCCGTAATGAGATCGAAGAGTGCATTAATAGACTCAGCACAAACGACTAAAAAGAGAAAAGAGGTGAAAAATCTGCCAGCATTTCTTGCCATTCCTGAAAGGAAGAAGATGAGGAGGTAAAAAGCAGTTGTACTGATGAAGCGGAAAGGGAACTCGGAGGCAGAACTAGCGAAAGCCTCGGCAGCTGGATGATACAAAGAATAGGTTCTGTGTTTTTCAATGATTGGTCGACTGTCTAGACTGATTTTGGCAAGACCCATCAAAGAAGTGTACAAAATGGCGAAGTAGAATACACCACCTCTTGAGAAAGCACCTGACACTCCCAATGGAATATTGTAGTACAGAGAACCTGTAACAAGACCTTGAATAACGGATGCAATAACATTTGTTACCGTAAAGGCCTTATCGCCGTAAATTCTTTCGAATCCACGCTTTGTACACAGTCTGACTTGCTCCGGGAAAGACACGGTGTAAGCAGATCTAGCGCGCGTCAGTTTGGATTTCTCTTGAGCCAAAGATTTGTCATACAGATGTTTCGTGTTTTCCACTTGGGTCTCCTGCTTGTAAGTCGCAATACTCTCCAACATCTGCTGATATTCCTCCGACTCCACCCAGCACTTCTCAAAATCGTCTGCGCTTTTAGGAATGGATTTCTTGAAACCGGGAACAAACTCATGGAGCCCCTTGGGATCTGTCAAAGCCGTCAAAAATTCCGGCGTCGATTGTCTAGCTGGGCAAACGTATCCTAATTTCTTGAAGTATTCTTTTGCCTTATCGACTTCTCCGAAGTAAATTTGCCTACCGTCGTAGAGAATGGTAACTTTGTCAAAGCACTCGTAGATATTTTCACTTGCTTGGTAGATGGTGACTAAGGCCACTGATTTTTGCAAGTTGGTCATCAAACGGATGGCTTGCGCAAATTCTAGTGCTGTGGACGCATCCAAACCACGGGTGGCGTTGTCCCAACAGTAGATGGAACCACGAGCAGCGAGTGCTTCGGCAATAGAAACACGTTTCCGTTCACCTCCAGAAACACCTCTCACAAAATCATTTCCGACTTTGGTGTTGTAGGTATGTCTTAAACCGAAAATCGTGGCATAAAGCTCACGCATTGCGGCTACGTACTGGGACCTGGTTGCACCGTTGACACGCACGTTGGGTGTTGTGCATGCAAGTGCAAAGTCTAGGGTTTGTTGAACTGTTAAATGAGGGAAATGAACGTCCACTTCGCCGTTGTATACCACATCGGCCTTGTACTTGCGCATCATCTCCTTCTGTGAGATACCGTCGTAAGAGATTGAGCCCTCGACCTTCTTGAATTTAGACGTCTCGCCTGAGATGGTTTTCAAAAACGAAGAACAGCCTGCACCGGGCCTCCCGAGCACCAGAACCATTTCGCCTGGTTTAGCCAGCACATTGGCGTTCGTGACAATAGCGCGAGTCTTAGTATTTTTCGCTGCACGGATGCCACGGAAAATGGTGCGCGGCAGAAGCAAGATGTCTTCAAATGTAGGTGCCTCGGCCGCAGAGCAGTCCTCGCCGATCACAGTGAAGTTTTCCGCGATGACACCTGCTTTCCGCAGATGAATGCCCTGGTCTTGACTGTCACGCACGAACGACCCAATGATCTGCTTGGCGTCGAAGTTGTCCAAGTCGATTTCGAGCGGACCGTCACGCACGCGGTGGTTTGAGAGTGTGCGGGCCAAAGTTTCCACGCGGGATATCACATCTGGGTCCATTTCCTCACCACCCATGCCATCACTTGTTCTGCGCATCATTAGTCTGGTCACGTGCGCGCGCGAAGATTGGCCATCTCCCTCAGGGGCGTCTTGAAAAGGCTCATTTTCGTGTCCCAGATCTTGATCTTGTTGTGGACCATAGTAAGTCTGTTCATCCAAAGATTTACTGGTGGAATCGCCAGGGGAGTCCGACAATGCCATATTTCCCTGTCTTATTTCTCGTTTGTAGTGATCTTTAGTAGCGGAAAAGCAGTAGATCAAGCACTAGCAAACAAAGAGAAAAAGTAGGTGTTGAATAGTAACAGTCCAAAGGATAATACAGTCACTTATTTGAGGCTGCAGATCTTCTATATCTGCTCTATCAACTTGCCTTGGTTGTCAGAGAAGTTGAGCGTTCGAAGCGTTCGAAACTGGACTAAATACTTATATATCTGTTTGTTTGCTCTTTATATGAGATGACCTTCAAAATTAGGTCTTCCGGGCGTGAGACGAACTGCAGGTTGCTTCTTTGCTCACATTCTACGTTGAATCGGATAACGCCGGATTTTAGCTGGGATTTCAAATAAAACTTCCGGGCGCCGGCGTTCTCGCGCCTCGTCACGTGACTCGGGTTCGTAGTAGGAAAAGTGTCAACACAAGAAGCTAAATCGACCGAATCGAAGCCGTTGAGCTCGAAGAGTGTGCAGAAATGACTCGCATCTTAACGAGATGATTGCATATTCATTAGTAAGGCTTTGTTGTGGTTCAGGATCAGAGACGGATATTTCGTTTTCCGAGTCGTATGGCTTGAAAGTTTGCCTGTAAATTATTGAAAGGCGGACTTATAGGTGCAGTAGTGATATTTAGGTTGGAAGCCCGCAGGTTCCGCACGACGAACTCCTAACTTGTGCAGTCGGAAAAATGTGAACTATTTTGAGAGCTGGGGAATCAAATCCTCGATTCGCTCAATTGCCCGCGAGATTTTGTAGAATTAGAATAATTTATCTTATTACCATCATATCGTCGTAGTTCCCAAGATCTTTGTCGGTGTTCTTTTTTCTTCTTAGAGCTCAAGCCTTATTTACGGTGTTCCACTTAATTTAAGGCAGCCAAATTACATACCAAAGTAAAAAACATGAAATATCACTCTACATCGAAAACACCACTATCACTCGCAGAAATGTAAACATTGGTACCAAAAGTAATAGTTAAGACTTCTCACACAGCTTTTCAAAAGACCTCGAATGATAGTGGAAACAAGGTAAGCTAGTTACTCAGTCCAATGCCCGCTGCCCATTCGGAGATCAATGCGCTTTTTAGCGATTAAGTTAAAGTTTCCAGTCAAATCGTCACATTTCCTTCGGGCACTCACTTCACTATGAAAATGCCAGTTTCGGTTGTATTTTGAAAGCCTCGATCGATATATGCGGAGCTACAAATTCTTCCTTTGACAGTTTTTTTGAAAGGACTTTTTTCTCAAAGTCCTAACCACACAGATTTTAGCTGAAGCCCTCTACAATGCAACTTCCGAGTGCCGGTCTTGAAACCAATACGACATCATCAATTTCCTCGCCGTGTATGCCACGCTTAGCATAGTATTGTTCAGCAAGGGCTTGCGTCACGTCGTTCACTTTGGAACGAGGAACAAGGTGTACTGTGCATCCGCCCCAACCAGCTCCTGTCAGCCGCGAGCCGTATGATCCATTGGCTCTGGCGATTTCACAAATCTCATCAGTCTCCGGGCAAGAGCACTCATACAGCTTGTCGCATGACTTCTGAGAAGCATTCATAAGCTGTCCAAAGGAATCAAAAAATTCGGCATCTGTTGTAAACGTTTTTTGAAGCATCAATTTGAGTGCCTGCAAAACCCTTAAGGCCTCAGAGTAGACGTGCTTGGCTCTTTGATAAAGCTTCAGGACTTGAAAGCGGACCGGAAAGTTTGTGAGATAGTCTCTTGCAAATTCATGCATTGAGCTGTTCACTGCATCGGATGCTTGCTGGACCGTATAGCCACTGCTAAACTCCAGCATAGTGTCTTCTACCAATTGCAGCATTTCGGTAAGTCTTGTAATACCCTCCTCAATGTCTCCGCTCCAGGGTTCTCTAGCGCCATGGTAGCGGGCGTAATAGGCGTCCATAAATTCGCGCAAGGTTCCTTTCTCTAAGTTTCCTACCCGCTCCAGAGCAACGCCATATTTGGCCGCCAATACATTTGCCGCCACCGTAACTTCTACAACCCTCAGATTGTAGTTGGTTGGCGCCGTTTCTACCTTGTTAGATACTACCATGGTATTGGCAATGATAAACTGAACCTCGGAGTTTTTCAACTTGGGAAACATGAAAGGGGTTGCTTTGAGCTCGGGCTTGAACTCGACGTATAAGGCATGGTCCATCTCGCCACAAACGGATGCTGCTTGATCCATGCCGCCATTGTTGACTCCAACGTAGTGCTCTGCTTTGGCGGTAATCTGCGTCAGTTCTTGCTTTGGTATATCAAACCCAGGACCGGCATTAGCACGAATCACTGCTAAAGCGACGGCGCATATAAAAGCCGCTGATGACGAAAGACCCCCTCCAGTGAACACCTGACCATCAACAAATACTTCAAGTCCCGAGAGAGTTCTTCCTGGACTAAATGTGTCTGAGAATCGGTTTCTCAAGTATTGCTGGGCGACTAATAGTCCGCACTTGAAGTAATTCGACCAATCCGATACTGATGGATCGATCGATATATCAGAGCCGTCAAGTGGCAGGTCAAAGCGCCGTTGCGCAAATCGAGGATCTGTATTTATTAGCGTCACTGAGGGGATTTCTGTGTTTGGTAACACACGCACCGCACATGCTACAGCGTTGTTAATCGCCATGGGCAAGACAGAGAAGTCCACATAGTCTATGTGATCACCAATAAGATTCACTCTACCAGGGGACCTCGTTACGAAGTCTGGTTCATGGCCGTAGACGGTCTTGAATTCTTCTGTGACGTCTAATATCTGCTTTTGCAGCTTGTTTGGTAGTTCTTTGGCACTATGAAAACGAGGCACCGACATAGCGATTTTATGACTAGTAAGGTCATTGGACAAAATCATTACGAGGAAAAATCGATGTCTTTATTATTTTGGTCTAATAAGGGCTCAGTCCTTATACCTCCGGATCCTGACTTTCAAACCTCTGGAACTTTTCCCTTGTGGTCCGGTTTAGGTCGTCCAAAGCTTCTCTGAATCTCTCCGAGCCAAAGGGCTTGACTCAAGTGTTCTCCGTAAACGCGGAGGGTTGTGGTCCGAAGCGGGCTTTTGCAGTCCACGGTCGACTTCTCAGATGTGACTTTCCTATCTACGCCTGGACGTTGTGGTCCGATACCGGTGATTGCGGGTCGTTCTTATCCGGAATATTTTAGACTACTTCTATTGTCTCGCAAAAAACGTTTGACTGATATGTTTCTCCTGTTCTTTTGTCAAGGGTACATTTGTTTCACCCATGAACTTCTTCCCCACAAACAAACGAAAAAAGAAACCGGATAACAATTGGCGGAGAACAGTGGTCCGAGCACCAAATGGAAAAAACGTTTTCGGACCACAGCGGTCCGAGCATAGAAACGGGCAAAGTCTTTTCGGGTCATAGTGATCCAGTCGCCCAAAACGCGGGGATGTGGTTCAGAATAGACACATCTACTGTTCGGAATGCAACAACTGTAATTCCGGACAAGATAGTCTAAGTCGTTTGCGGCCAACGAATAGGTATATATATTTTACCTGTTGTTGACGGAAAGTTACTGAACGAATGTCAAATGAGCTCAGCGTCATCGAATCTGCTTGCTCAAAGCCCGCACTTATTTGATCTCGCAAAACTTATTACCGCTGGGCATACTCTCTCGATAGATATAAAGTGTGCACTATTTTGCCCAAAGAGATTCAAATAGAGTTACTCTCCTATTGTCCTCTACATCCAATCTATTCGAAATGACTCTAGAAACACCCTCGCCGAATGAAACGTCACATCCTTCGCAAGATTACGTTCTAGTAACTGGTGGTGCAGGATACATTGGGTCTCATGCTGTATTTGACCTGATCGAAAATGGCTACAAGTGTGTGGTGGTCGATAATCTCAGCAATTCATGCTACGAACCCATAGCCAGGATCCAGGTTCTCACAAAGAAAGAGATACCTTTCTTTAAAGTTGACCTGGTGGATCGCGTGGCACTGGAGAGTGTGTTTGAACAATACCCAATTGATTCTGTAATTCACTTTGCAGGATTAAAGGCTGTCGGTGAGTCCATGCAAGAACCGTTAAGCTATTACCATAATAACATCACGGGTACCTTGGTTTTGCTGGAAACCATGCAGAAATATGGTACCAACAAATTAGTATTCTCGTCCTCGGCAACTGTTTATGGCGATGCTACCAGGTTTCCGGACATGATTCCTATCCCCGAAGAATGCCCCACAGGACCAACGAATCCCTACGGAAAGACAAAGCTGGCAATTGAGGGAATCCTTGAGGATCTCTATAACAGTGAACCGAATCGTTGGAAATTTGCAATTTTGAGGTACTTCAATCCAATAGGTGCGCATCCGTCTGGTTTCATAGGGGAAGATCCGTTGGGAATTCCTAACAACTTACTACCTTTTATGTCCCAAGTTGCTGTGAAGCGGAGACAAAAACTATTAGTTTTTGGGAACGACTACGATTCCCACGATGGTACACCGATTCGGGACTACATTCACGTTGTCGACCTCGTGCGCGGCCACATTGCCTCTCTCAGAAAGTTGGAAACAGTTCAAAATTCAAAAGGCATTTGCAGAGCTTGGAATCTTGGTACTGGAAAGGGGACTACGGTTTTGGAAATGTATAAGGCGTTTTCATTGGCATGTAAAATTGAGCTGCCATGTCAAATTGTTGGTCGCAGATCAGGTGACGTTCTCAATTTAACCGCCAAGCCCGACAGAGCCACCAAGGAGCTCAACTGGAAGACTACCAGGAATGTTGCCGACGCATGCAAAGACCTTTGGACTTGGACAACTCGTAATCCTTTCGGATACAACGTTCGGGGGACTATCAGCAGGTTTTTTGGGAAGGACGACGATTATCGTTCTCGCTTGGTTACAATCGGAAAGGGTTCAGGGTTTGAACTTTCCTTCGCTAACATGGGGGCCACACTTGTAGATCTCGTTGTAGATGGAAAGTCAGTTGTTCTGTCATTGGATAATGAGAGCGAGTACTCTGACAGTTCGAATCCTTACTTAGGAGCTACTATTGGTCGCTATGCTAACAATATATCTGATGGGAAATTCATGGTGCAAGGTAAAGAATATCGCCTTGGTCTTAACAAAGAAAATGCAGCCGTGCATAGCTCTACACATTCATTTCACACGCAAAAGTTCTTGGGACCTTTGGTGTATCAACCCAGCAAAGATGAGTATCTTGTCAAGTTTGTGGTGGTAGATGCCAATGACGGTTTTCCAGGGACTGTGGAAGTCAGTGTAATTTACCATATTAATGTTAGGGTTCACACGCTATCAATCGAATATGAAGGACATTTGGTAGAAGGGGAGGCCACCGTCATCAATCTAACAAATCATTCTTACTTCAATCTGAATCAGTTCAAAGCGACGAACTGTGACGAAACTCAATTCGAGATACTTTCAAAAGGTATTGTCGAACTTGATAAGGGCGGCCGACCAAGTGGAAGAGTCGCTAGACCGCCGATGCCGTCGAATTTCACGATGCATTCAAAAGAGGATAAATTCGATACCTGTTTCGTCACAGGGTCCAGCGCCAGTATCGACACGCGCTCCAATGAAGCATGCACTGTACTCACAGCACAACACTTGGAGTCAAATCTGAAGTTGACCATTCTGACTACCGAACCGACCTTTCAGTTTTACACCAATGGCCCAGGTGCTGTGGGTCGTTACAGCGAGAGGTACGGGTTCTGTTGCGAGCCCGGGAGGTATATTAATGCTTTGAATGTGCCGCAGTGGGCTGACACTGTGCGTTTAAACAAAGGTGAGACGTATGGATCTCTTACGACATACAAATTTGAGACAATCTCATAGCGTAAGACGTGCATCTGCTGATGTAGGTGTTTCAATACTTAATTATATTAGCTACGCTGAAGTAATGCATTACTTACAGTTAAGTATTCGAAATTTTATTATGTACAACAGGCGTCCTTTCTGATTAAACAACTGACATGAAAGTACTTCAACGGTGATTTGAGTTTTCCATGTGTCTACTCAACACACAACAACATAACATATGGTGAGCATACACTTAGTTTTGCAGTAAGTAACTTCGTTTCATGCACCATGGTCTTTGTTCGCGATGACACGGTGCTGCTTATTATAGATTTCAGGATGGAAGGGTCGCTAGACAAAGTTTAGCCCCTCCCTGCCACGTTCATAACCCTCGGAATAGTGCACTCCGTGTCTTTTTGATGACTCGTGGGTAAGTCACCAACCGGAGTACTGTGCTCCGAATTTATTAATTTGCGGGGCATACATAACGGTGGTTCGAATCCCGCACGAGAGTGTTCCGGACGTCTTTAACAATCGGTATGGGCCTGAGATGTATTTAAACAAATACTCAGATACATGAATAACAACGTGAATCATGGCCTACATCGCTCAACAACGAGGTAATGACTCTCACTCCTGGTTTTGATTATACCGACAATTCGCACAGACGATACAACCTTTTGACAGAGTCATGGGTCTTAGTTTCACCACATAGAGCTAAAAGACCCTGGCTTGGCCAACAAGAAAAACAGTACGACTCCTCCTGCTCTTTAAGCTACGACTCAGGATGCTACTTATGCCCTGGCAACCCCAGGGCTTCTGGCGACGTCAACCCTACATATGCATCAACTTTCATATTTCCAAATGATTTTTCAGCAGTAAAAGCAGAGCAGCCGCCACTTGAAGCCGATCCCGAATCAAGTACGCTGAGAGCCCGGTTAATCAAAGCCGAGTCTGTGAAAGGCGAGTGTTTCGTTATATGTTTCAGCCCACAACACAATCTGACAATACCTCTGATGAAATGTGAAGCAATTGAAGAAGTCGTGAAAGCGTGGACCGATCTTTTCCGCAAATTGGAGAAAGAAGCATCTGTACAGCACAAGCCCTATAGATATCTTCAAATTTTCGAGAATAAAGGTACGGCGATGGGCTGTTCAAACCTTCATCCACATGGTCAGGCTTGGTGCCTAAGTGCTATACCAAGCGAGGTGCACCAAGAATTCGCAGCGTTCGAGAAGTATAATCACCAGCACTCGAGCCATTTGATGGGTGACTATGTTCTAATGGAACTTCAAGAGCGGGAGCGAGTCGTCCTAGAGAATGATACGTTTGTCGTCGTTGTACCATATTGGGCGGTGTGGCCGTTTGAAACAATGGTAGTCAGTAAAGCTCATATATGCTCGCTCAATGAGATCGATGACTCCCAAAGAAAGGATCTAGCCTCTATAACGAGGCAATTGACCATAAAGTACGACAATTTGTTTGAAACGAGCTTTCCTTATTCAATGGGTATACATCAGGCTCCCTTAAATGCAACCCCGGAGGAAAAGGAAAATTCATGGTTCCATATGCATTTCTACCCACCACTACTCAGGTCAGCCACAGTAAGGAAATTTCTGGTAGGATTCGAGCTTTTAGGCGAACCTCAGAGAGATTTGACCGCGGAGCAGGCTGCAGAGAGATTAAGGCATCTTAATGCAGAGCACCATTTTTCAGAGCAAGTTGGCAGATCTTAATACCACCAGAAACCTTACGCAGATTGCCAGTTGCCAAATTTTCATTTACTGTAATGGAGGCATTCCCGTACTATGATATTTGACGAGAAGAACCAAGCGCTTGTCGCCGTTTACTGATATAAAGAAGTGAAATAGGGCACACTTTATCGAGAACTAATTTTTTTGAGAAACTGTTGTACTAGAATTTGTATGTTTTGCTTGGGATCGTGCTTAAATAGCCGTGATGCTTTATTCAAAACGTATTAACAAATTCGCGCCGCACTTTATCTTCTGCCGCGATTGTAATGAATTTTATCACACACTCTTAAATCCAAACGCTAAATGAGTGAAGCCAGAGACTACACTGCCAATTTGTTGACAGTTCTTTGTTTAAACCAGAAAAGTTATTTTGCCGTCTCTCAATACACAGGATGCCTGGCTGCGATGATAACCATAGACAAAACTTTGCCGAACATCCTTCATCATGAGACAATTAACTTTTCTCCAGAGTTTCACCGCTTTTAATGTCTTTCATATGATTTGGCATAGAAGAAAGGCAACCTTCATAAATCTTTATCGGCTAGTGATGCAGCCTTCCGTTCTTAATTCTTGATCTTGAGGGACTGGTGAATCGTTCGCCCTGTTCACGATACTGAGATCTTTTAGAATTGAATACCCCTCGAACTGTATCTCGCGTCCATTTGCCAAACACAATAGTGCGCCATTGATTCGAATGCCCTCTTTTCTTTCAGAATCGAAAGTTGCCTTTTACAAGGGAAGCATCAAAGGAAAAATCGTGACGTTATCAGCAGCACATTCGTAAACCTGTTTATACGTTTCACGGTTGGAAACACCGTTTACCGAGGCCCGTTTTAAAAACAACAGCTGCCACATCACATCCTCGGATTGAGCCCTTTGGCGCAACTTTGTAGCCAACTTGCTTTCATTCTGGAGTATTACCGGCCACGGCCTTCGCTCAAACCAATGATTGGAATAATGAGCTTGGAACATCGGTATTTACTTGGAGAACGGCCTTCTCTTCATCTACAGCAATGGCCTTCATGTTTCTTGAATTTGATATCATACTCTAACTAGACTTTGGAATCAAGCCTCTTGCCGTTGGCTATTGTATTATCGGGCTTTGTGAGTGTTGTCCAGGGCTTCTTGTATACATATCCATCAAGTGCGCTTTTTATCGGACAATCTGTACTAGCTACGTGGTGTAGTCTTAGCACCTATACAGTCACAACCGTTTCGACTAAAGATTCATCCACGGAGGGTTCATAATGACCTTTGCTTGGCACCTTCGTTTGTTCTATTGTTGGAGCATCGCCAGCGCCGATGCGCAGATAGTACCGAGCCGGTAAAGACCGCGTTGCAAACGCCTGTGGGTCCATGCAGACTGCTTCAAAATCTCACGATACTAGTTTGACGTGGTAACGCCCCTGTGAAACATCATTACTTTGCGCCTAGGAAGATGCCAAGCGCGAGCGATATGAAGTCAGTACTAGGTACTTGACAAACTGTCCAGCACACCAAACAGCGTGAGGTTGATTTCAGGGCTCCGAAAGCATGTTTTTACAACCTTTCTAATGGTAGGTGTCGAAAAATACCCTTTAAATCAATCGGCAACGAAGACGGACCTAAAGAATTGAATAAAAAGGAGGATTATGCGATACCATCAAGTGTTTGTGTGATGAAAAATTTAATCGTACAGAAACCGATGGTTGCATAGACTTTGTGTTCCCTTTGCTCTTTGATTTCTATGTTCTTGCGGTGCAGAAAATTTCAAAAAGGTATTTTGTGAAGCTCAGCTCCCAAGTCAAGCCGCGTTCGTTATTGCTGGCTTCTGCAGCATTGCAGTCTGTAAGTCGAGAAGTAATACCCATTGTCCGGATTGTTGCTCGTCATAACTGGCTTACATTGGCATGCGGAGCTTTTTTATAATTTAAGTTACATGTCCTGCCTTATTTTTCGGAGTAATTAATTAATAGACCTAATTCTAATCTTGAACTTAGATTCGTAGTGGAAACTTGAGTTGAAGCCTACGATCTTACCAACTGAGTGCGGCTCACCGTTGTATAAGGCAAAGCACCCCGGACGTTCGCTTCTTCTGGTCTACTGAAAGGATAAGCGAACAAACTAGGTGCTACAAAACATGCACCTTTCGTCTCTGTCTTCCTGGCCCAAACCTGTGGGAGAATCAGCTGTCTCTTTGCAGCCAGCAGTACTTTCTATATCACCTCTTATTTCAGCGTTGCGGATTTAGCTCAGTTGGGAGAGCGCCAGACTGAAGATAACTTCGGTCAATTGAAATCTGGAGGTCCTGTGTTCGATCCACAGAATTCGCATTTTTTGCAGAAATGGTGTTCCTTTTTTCCTAGGTGAAATCAAACTCTTCTTTTTGGCTTCTTGAGAAGGCGACATATTTTATTTGTTAAACTTAGGCAAGGCAAGTATATGAAAGTGAGACCTCCCTTTCTCCAAACCGCTGGTAACAATGGCCTCGATTTCGTCGGGATCACTGGTTACTTTTGTCAAGTTTTCATGTCCGTCCTTTGTGATCAGGATATCATCTTCAATACGGACTCCACCCACATAATTGTACTTGTTCATAATCCTCCGGTCAACCACTTCTGCCCGCTCTGGATGCTTGTCAAGATATTCATTGATCAAAAACGGATTGAAGTAGATACCAGGTTCATTGGTCACGACCATTCCTACTTCGAGCCGCCGCCGTAACCTCAGGTATTGCAGTAATGGATCAGGATCATTGTAATCAGCGTAACCGCCAACGTCATGTGTGTCCATTCCAAGTAAGTGGCCCAAACCGTGTGGGAAAAAGCACAGAGATGCCTTTCTCTTAAATATCTCCTCCTGTGAAAAAGCTCTCTTGAAGATTCCCAGCTGCAGAAAATGCTTGATCAAAACGCGATGAGCTTTCAAATGCAAAGCTTCCCAAGACGCTCCCGGCTTTATATCGGCCATCACCTGAGACTGCATATCCAAGACAGCTTCATATATCGCACGGTGCTCCCTTGTAAACTTTCCGTTGATAGGAAAACAACGAGTGACGTCTGCGGTGTAGTTTTTCCATTCAGCTCCAGCGTCGATTAGGACAGAGTTTTTTGTCTCAAGGGATTCATCGTTCTTGACATAATGCAATGTGCTACAACTGGTGCCCGAGCAGCAGATTGGGTCATAGCCCTGATTTTTAGAGCCTTGACGCAAGGCATGATAGGTAAACTCGGCATGCATATGGCCCTCGTTGCTCTCAATTGGAAGTGCAGACATCACCGCCAAGTGACAATTGTCTGTGATTTCCGCAGCGCGGCGAAGAAGTTGAATCTCATACCAGTCTTTTGTAACTCTGGCCTCATCCAAGGCGTAAAAAAAGTCCTCATCAGCGGGAATAAAGGGAATATTGGGCAGTGAAAAGTGGGGGAAATGGTCCATATCTGTCGTGTAGATAGCATGAGCAGCTCTCTTTTCGAGCTCTGTGGTAAGGTCTTTGGCATAAAGTACATTGTCCACGTCGTACTCTCTGTATGCCGCTTCGATGCTCATTGGAAGCCCGCTCCACATCACGTCGTCTTCATTGACATCAGGAAGGAAGAGCGTCAAGGTGTCCGAGCCAAGATCGAACATAACATAGCAGCCGGCAATATTGGTCCCCGTGAGATAGTAGAAATACCTGTTCTGTCTAAAAGGTCTAGTCTGATCACAATACTTTATGGCTTCCAATTGCTCTCCGGCGATGAGAAATGTAGTCTCACTAGGGTCACTGTTCAACTTCCTTCTGAGAAATAATTCTTTAACTTTTAAAGCGTGCTGTTTGGCAGGATACTTTCTGCCTTCAAGATTAGACAAAATTCGGCTGTTTGCCTCAGCTTTTCGCTCAGTCTGTTTTCCTGATGAGGGTACTCTACGCAACCGTTTGAAGCCACTGAACATTAAGACTGCTGTTGACAGAATTAAGCCCACCAACGGGAAGAACATTTGTACGGATGGACTAATAATATAGTTGGAGTGCGTAAGTGCTTTAAATCTTGCGGTATCTAACCAATGCTTGGTTCTCCTTGAGATTTTGATAAGTTTTTGGCGAAAACAATACTTCGGATATTTATATACCACAACACTACCAAAAACTACGTGATGGGTCTGAAGAGAAGGATATCTGAACTTGAAACAGCGGATGCTGCTAATATACCGGAAGCTTTACCCAAGTCGGTCGCATTTCAGCTGAGTTCAATCGATGTCAAAAAGCTGGATTTTGACAAAGAGAAGATCTGCTCCGTAACTCTCTCCCCTCTGAACGTGTACTGCTGTCTGATATGTGGTAGATACCTTCAAGGTCGAGGGGAAAACAGTGTTGCATTTCTCCATTCCATTCACAAAGACCATCATGTCTTTGCAAATTTACAAACCTCGCGAATTTACCTCTTGCCCGAGAACGCCGAAGTCGCAGACGCGCCGATTTTGCGACGAATACAATTTGCCATTTCACCTTCTTATACCAAAGCAGAACTGGATAGCTACCCCAAACGATGCTTGGATGCCATGAAAAACTCATACTTGAATGGGTTTGTGGGGTTGATAGAGCCTAAAAATACGTCTCACTTTGCTGCCATAGTACAACTCTTGGCGCATATATCACCATTAAAGGACTCTTTAGCTTTGAAGGCTTATAATGAGGACTGCTCCGACGAAGTCGTGAAACGTTTTGCCATACTAGTCAAAAAAATTTGGTCGCCACATTTGTTCCGTGCCCACGTATCGCCTCATGAATTTCTCAACCAACTTTCCGTTGCTTACAAGCCATCAAGTTCGGATCCAAAAAACTTTCTGCTGTGGATGCTCAATCGTCTGAACTCTTCAGATCCCGCGCTGAGGAAACTTCTAACCAGGAATTTACGAGGAGAGATTTCAAGAAAAACAACCATCATACGTGAAGAAAGCAAGGAGGGCTCAGAGCGAAGCACGACATTTGTGCGCGATGAAGATAGCACATCGACGCAGAAAATAAGATATTTGTGCCTAACTTTGAACTTGCCGCCGATGCCGCTGTTTGCGGACGGTTTCGATACCAATAGCATACCACAAATTGATATTGAAAGCTTACTCGGCAAATTTATGGGGACGGGAGAAACTCACACCAAAGAGGGCATTCAATCGTATTCCTTTTTGACGCTCCCCAAGTTTCTTCTTTTGCATGTTGACAGATTCAAGCGGAATGACGATCTACCCGTGAAAAACAGAAATCAAACTCTTGTCAAATTTCCTGACACTTTGAGACTTGAAAACAAGCAATTCAAGCTGGTTGCCAACGTGCTACATAGCGCTGTCCGGGGGAAGTACGTTGAAAACGAAGAGGTAGATGATGTCAGTGAGTGGAAAATTCAAGTTTTAGATTCAAAACGTCAAGAGTGGTATGAGATTGAGGGCAAAAAGGTTACCGCCAAACAGAAAGAGCTGCTTTTTTTAGGTGAAAGCTATCTACAAGTTTGGGAAGCGCTGGAATGAAATCCAGACGAGATAGTTATATCTGCTCAAGACATTTCAATCAACGACAAAAATGTAACATAATGCTTCATTTAAGTAAAAACTATTTTATAGCGACTGAGTTTACACCCGCTGTTAGTACAGATACTATGTTTTCTTCAAGAACGGACTCTGCCGTTTCTGACAAATGCTTCTTAGGATCTTGTTTACCGACGTAGCGTGTCTTCAACTCATCTTCGGTCAGCTCTTTCTCTTCCTCTATCCTCTTAGAATACAGCTCGGCAATCTTTAACATGTTCTGAGTAGCTTGCAAATTGTGCTGTTCCTTCTCTTGGTAGTCGTGCATTTTCAAACCTGACTGCCACTGCTCCTTGTGCAAGTTCAGCAACATGTTTGTTTCGGCACTTGTCTTGTGGTAGTCAATGTTGAGCGAATAGTAATGTCTATTCAAGCCGTGGATGAGGGCCTGTATATTGGGCTTGTTCAAAAGTCCTGCATTCGAAGTTGTTTGTCTTGGTTCTTGGTTCCTCATTATCATGTTTGTATCAATTAGCCTGAAGGCATCAACAACCACTTTGCCTTTCACGGACTGGATGGGATCGACCACAACGGCTACAGCTCGACTGTTCAATTGCTCAAATGATTTTTGCGTGTTCACATCGACAGACGACAACCAACACCCAAATCCGGGATGTGAGTGGTACCAACCGACGACCATCTGATCTCTGCCGGTTTGTTTTAACATGTCCATCATTTTAGCTTGAAAAACGTCGTCCACCGCCTCCACCGAAACTCCAGTTCCCGACTGCGGCATGGCGAAAACATCCACCACGTTAACTGTGTAATCATCCACAAATTCTCCCAACATCAGACCCATGACCTCCATCGGAACTCCTAAGCGGCCGTGCTTCAACATTTTCAGGAGCGCCAGCGATGAGATATATACCGTTTCCTTGGTGTCGTCCATAGGGGTTTCTGCCGCCGCAGCTCCACCCATTATACCAGCCCTCTGGTTCATCATAAGTCTCTGAAGTCTCTCCATATTTGGACGCTAGAATTGGTTCTTCTGAATCACTAACTGCACACTTATAATAAGACAGCTTGACCCTGATGCGATTAAGATGTTTGCCACCGTCATCACTCGTCTTTTGAATTGTTAAATTCGATTTAATTCAAAAACTAACATGCTCTAATTCCAGTCACTACATACGTGCAGGTCATCAGCTGTCGAACTATGGCAGTTTATTCTCAAGTAAGGACTTGAAGGGTTTGGCTTCCCTCCAGGGAAAACACACCTCTTTTTCTGGATCATAGCCTCACTTACAGATATTCCAACTACGAGCTAGTGTTTTCAGCTAATATGACACAAGGAAGGGGGACTGAAACCCAAGGAAGTAGCTCGGTTACCATTTCGGAACCCGTTCCAGTTTTACAGCTTCGCGGGGCAACGAATATTCGGCCCACGATCGGATCCAATGCCAATCAGCGAAATAATGTTCACTGGAAAGAAGACGTTGTGGATAATGAGCATTTAAATAAAAAGAAATCTAAAGTCTGTTGCATTTTCCATCCTCAGCAGAATTTCGAAGACACAGACGCTAACGAATGCGATGATCATTGTCACGAACACTCATCATCGTCCTCGTCTTCATCGTCCGAATCAGATGCTGAAAACTCTAAGAAATTGGATTTTGAAAGCAGAAGGAAGGCAAGGAAAGAAAGGCGTCACCGCAAGCTTCAGCAGAAGAGGTCTTCGAGTCCAAACGCATACGAGTTTCAGCCAGATTACAGTAACTTACGAGATAAACCTGGTGGCTCCGGTAGCAACGCGTCCGAAGCTCAACAAAAATGAAGTAAAGAGCTCTTTATTTAAAAATCGAAGAAAAATATGCTAAGAATACTGGCACATTTTATTTTTCACAGGCTACTCATCACGTCGACTAGCTGAGCTATCATACATCATCTTGAACTCGATTAGGGACTGCTCTGGCACTGCATTCACAGTTGCACTTCTAGATTAATTAGAATACTGTACGTCTCACGTGGCATCCTGTACTGAATCATACCCGCGTAGATCATGCAGTTTTTCGCAAGCCGCTTTAGTGCTTCTACTTGTTGAATCTTGGCAGCAGATTGATATTCACTTTGGCTGAGTGCTTTAACAATTTTGCAAACACATGTCATCGTGATGATGAGGAGCTTGGGAATATTTTTTGTGATTTCAGAGCTCAAGTTAGAAAATTCCTGAGCTTTTCTTCTTGAGGAAACTTCATCGACAAAAGGGATTAATTCGACCTCTTCCATCATCTCCAGTGTCTCTTGCCAATTCTGTGAGTAGAACGCCCGTCTGATATCCACTATCTTTAGTAGCAGAATGCAAGTCTCCTTGTTCTTCAGATGGATTTTCTGTGCAATTTCCAGATTATTGACATAAACGCTGATCAATTTCTTGGCGATAAGTACCGGACTCGTCTCGCTATTATCATCCAGATTGAGCAACGGTTGTGCTAGATCCGTGTTGCTGAGCAGATCGCTCAAAAGTTTGTTTACAATCCGGATAACAATGTCATATTCATCGGCCAGCTGATACAGGAGCAAGCTGTCGTATGACCTACCATCTTCATCCGCACGTCTCGCAGACTGTTCGGTTATTTTGTGTAAAAAGTCTTTTTCGTCGCTCAGCGAGAGTAAAGACTGCCTTTCTTCGATCACCCCAGGAATTCTTGTTCCGTCCCTGTTCACCTTTCCTAGTAGGATTGTGAATTCTTTTGTCTCTAAAACAAGTTCTCTTAGAGCCTCATGACAGACAGCTGCTGCGTCCTTGGTTCCACCCGTGTTTATGAGGATCAGGTACTCCACAGCAATACGAGGGTCTGAAAACTTAAAAGACTTTGTGTAGTTGCCGAGAAGCTTAGCAAAATTTACTCTGGTTGTTCCATCAACAGTGGTGATGAGTTCCGACAGTTTCTTGTTCTGGTAAGTCGATATATTCAATTTTTTGTAGGAAGCCAAGCCGATCGCCAAATGGACCCCATCAATTTCACTTATCGACATTGCATTCTGAATTGCGAGCTCGTATAGTCCACTCAACATGAGCACCATGATGTAGGATCCGCTGAACATGGACATACCATATGACGTTACGATAGTTTGGAAGTCTGACAGGTCATACTTCTCGTACAGAGGGTCGTCACCGGCGCTGTCCTCTTTGATTAACATTATATGGATCCAAATCCAGTCTTCGATGCTGAGAGTTATGGATGAAATGTTTTTCCGAGTGAGGTCGCAACGACCGATAATCTTGTAGACGGCTAGTCTGAAAGGATCACCATCCAAGGCATTTTTTATATGCTGATTGTACTCGGTATGCAATCTAATCAGAAATTCATTGGGTAGCTTGCGATCCCTTGAGCTGACGTATGCTTTGAAGTATGTCAAAAATGACTGTTCTACTTTTTTGAAGCTCAATTTATTTGCAACCGCAACTTCGAGCGCGTCTTGGGCCAGGCCAGCTCTCAAGAGATAGAAAATGAAAGCCCAGATAGGCGTCCCGTTCACAATGGTCAAATTCCCATACTTCCACGTACCGTTGGGATTTTTTAATTTGTGTTCAATAAAAGACCGGACTTTATTAACGTTCGTGGGCAGACCTTCGCTAGGTTTTCGTTTGTACAGCTTATCGACGTAATCCAAAAACTGTGCTTCCAAAAACTCCTTTGATTTATTCACGACATCATCGGAGTCACGTACGTGTTCCAGAATTCTCCATGCTTGTGGTAATTGCCGATTGATAGATTCTGTAGAATTGGTGAGTAATTCGATGACTTCACCGGTAAGAGAGAAATCGGTGTCACTTTGCCTTGCGTTATTGAAAGCATTGATTATCTTAGCGTAGTGTTCGAACTTCGTCCTCGTCGAGAAGTTTTCATTAACATTGAGTCTAGAGTCACCATCCAAAATTGCGCGGCCACTTTCACCCCATGTAAGAGGAGACCCACCGATCCCTTCCATTGAAGGTTTGTGGTCGCCTTTTCTTCTCTTCACCAAAATACCGAAGTTCTCTCTCACTTCTTCCTTACGTTGCTCCCAGTCGAGGTTGAAGTTTTGATTGACGAAATTGTCGAAATCTTTGGCAGCAGAGGCGAGCGACCTTTCAATTGACGACAATATATTCTCATCCTTTTTATTTCTTAAGTAAGTGTCGAGGTCATTGTCAGTGTCCATACTGACTACGTTCTGCTCCATCAGCTTCCTGGACTTGAGAGCCCTCAAGGATGTTTCGACGTCCTGAATGGCCAGCCCGCTGCCAGCCAGTAGATAATGAGCTCTAGTGTGATCATGCTGGGGTTTTGATTTCTGTCTCAGCTTATGTGCGCGCTTCTTGATCTCGTTCACACTGAGCAGAATGGTGCCTAATTCAGAAGATGTTGTTGGTAGGTTTTTCGAAGTTTCGATCAACTTGCCAAATATCTTTCCCGAATCTTTTGGCGCGTCATCTTGAGAACCGAAGCCCGTGAAAATGGATTGTTTGTCGTCGCTCATCGCCACGTAACCTCCGCTCACCTCGAGTTTGTTGCTAGACGTTTAGAGATATTCAGGTCAAATTTTTTTCAACTCTAAATAAACAAAATGTGCACCTGACAAAAGCTAAAACGAAGGGATCGTAACGCGAATTTCGGTTACTAGCGATTTAGTTTTAACTGGGGGCAGACGTAGTTTCGCCCACCTATATGCATTCCTTATCTTGAGATTTAATATTATACAAAAGCGATTCACCTCATGTGATTCTGTAGCAGTAAAACTGGCATTGAGAAAGGAGCAGTGTGGTCTACGGCAGGCCGTATCGACAACTGGATAGAACGAGTTCGACAGCCCTAAAAAAATGCATTTCCTAAGCCCAACAGCGATGTGAACAGAAAAGGAAAAGCATTTGCTGAAAATCAACGAAATCTACTGCCCGCTGAGTTACGCGAAACTTACAGACTTTTTCTTTGGCTTCTTGTCTTGAGACGTTTTTGTGTTCTCGGCTTCTTCCACCCGTCTGTTTTTCCTCCTTACAGTCCTAGCAACTGATGACTTTTTCTTCAATTCAACCACCTTGGCTTCCAACTTGTCTTTTTTAGCTTCTTCCTTTCTCTCAATTTCTTGCCTCTTGAGTTCTCTAATTTCCTCGAGCCTCCTGGCCTTTTCAAGCTTGCTTTCGGTGAGTTCGTCATCCTTGTCCCCGATTGTGCTTATTAGCCGATTGTACATCAAAGAGTCGTGGTCACCAACGAACTTTTTACCTTTCTTGCCGCGCTTGATTTTGACGCCTGGAATGATTGCTCGGTTCAGGGTCGGCAGATCAAGGTCCTTCTCCGAGTAAGTCTTCTGCGTCTTATTTTTTGAACCATATAGTCTCGCGCGTGCCTGCTCCTTGCTTACCTTGACTTTGCTGGGCTTCCTCGTTTTGGACTTTTCTTGAAGCTTAGGAGTATTTATTAACTGGTTTCTAGCTTGCGTATCCTGAAAGACTTCTGAAGTCACTTCTCTCTTCCCATTTTGTTTGGCGGAACGCTTCGCGGTCTTCGTTTGCTTACCAGCCATCTTTCACGACTCGGCAATGGGTAGATGTCTCTGGTTTCTCTATAGGCGATGAGCTTGGTGACCTGTAAAACTTTTCTTTAATAAACTTGATGAGGTTACCCAGCTCAAGACTTCACCATTAACTAGGAACAAAATACCCTGTAAATATATACACTAAATGTGATGTCCTGACTTATACATCAAATCACCAAGAATAGTACAGTGAGAAGGAGGTCAGTCACCAATGTTGGTCATGTAAATAAAGCACCTAGCAATTAAGTATCTATTCACAATCTCAATCTCTTGAGGCCATCCACTTGGCACTTGAACAACCAAATCTTAAACTATACTTACAGCGAAAGCGCATCTTTCAAATTATTTTTCTTGTTCGGAAATCATTAACAAACAGACTTTTTTATTTATACATTATAAGCTTTTATTTATAGCATTAATTATAATTGTTTTTAAACATAAATTGAATTAAATGCATAAAAAATGGTCAGATGACACAAATATTGCTCTTGAAAATATCTTTTAAAAAACTATTTATTTATTTAGTTTGATCTTTTTATTGGTAATTTCGAAATTGGACAGTGATCTCTTTTTCTTAGTGACGCTTGAAATCACTTCTTCGTACTCCTTGGTGACAGAACGGAAGGCCGACTCAAGCTTGTCATTCCTAGTTGCTTTGTCAAGGTCTCTTAAAAGCTCAAAGTTTTTTTCGTACAGCCTCCCCTTCACTTGTAAACGAAAGTTGTTAGACAAGTTGTGCTTCAAAAACATTTCAGTCAATCGCATGAATTGTCTTTTTTCTAGCTTCAGCTCAACCTTTTTTGAATCTATCCAGTTTTGACTAATAGGCAATTCATCGGGAATCTGGTTCCCAAAGTCGTCGGCATAAAGCCTACGGAAATCGCAGCGGTCTCTGAGGGCATCAAAACTTTCGTTTGGATCTTCAACTGTCATTTCAAGAACACTGGAGTTTTGAAGCCAGCTATTACATATAGCGTCGTAAATGCATGCCCCATGTCCCTTCCCTTGATATGGAGGAAAGACCAGAAACTGGGAAATCTTAGCGGTAGTGTAAATTTTGGGATCTTCATCAAAGCTCTTAGAACCTCTGTACTTCCAGTATTGATAAGTCGTACAATAGCCGACACATTGTCTAGTCCGCAAGTTGAAAGACAGAAATAATTCCCATCCATCATCATCTGCATCTATAAAAGATGCAGACTCTATCAGTAGTAAAGCAAATATTTGCATTCTGTCATGCAGGGTTCTTATTTTTGGATCTTGTAGGTTAACTTTGAAAATGCCGAATTGCTCGCCCTCCTTTTCGTAGCAATTAATTTTATTTCTATCATCTGGTAAGGTGAAGGTCTCGCGCTCTTTACTGAATGTATCAACCCATCTTCCTTCGTCTTTGACAATCACGTCTTTGGGGAGAAATTGCAGTAATTTGTCCTGCACATCGTCGACATTATCCAGCAACTTAGCACCATACTTCACATTTGTGAAAGGTTTGAAAGTCACTGAGTCGAATGCCAGGAACATCTGGAGATCCTGGTATCCAAATACTTGTTCTGAATCGCCAAATATGGGGTAAGTAAAAACAGGTGAAAATTGTAAAGCGCCCTTATCATCGACCAGAGACAGCTTCAATGCCTCATTCGAGGATATCGTCCAAGCTTCAGGCTTCATCTGACTGGCCGCATCCATCTCGTCCAAGTGTTTATTGTTACTTTACCACGCCTCTGAGTACTGCAATCTCATGATGAAAAGATATTAAGTTGTTCTTTCAAATAGAGTAAATAGAGTAAACCTTTCAGCTGATGATTTACAAATACAGAGACTGGCATAAAGATAAGTGATCGCAGATATTATTCCTAATTGCAAATAAGTGTCTCCGTTATGAGACATGGGCTTGCTGCTTTCGACCCGGATGGTAGCAAACGTTTTGAAGCAACCGCTACCATCTTGAGCCAACAAAATAACGAGCTGGACGAGCAGCTTAATGTGTTTCAGAGCAGGCTGGTTGCATTTGCAAAAGACCACAACGCAGAGTTGAAAGGGAATGCAGACTTTAGAATGAAGTTCATCAAGATGTGTACATCCATTGGAATTGATCCCATCTTCCTATTCGACAAGGAACGACACTTGTTTGACGTCAATGACTTTTTCTACGAGATCTGCGTCAAAGTGATCGAAATATGCAGGAGGACCAAAGATCTCAACGGCGGTGTGATTTCGTTTGATGAGTTGCATAAAGGCTATTTTGAGTTATACAAGGTTGACATGAACGATCTGCAAAAAGCTGTGAAAATGCTGGACATTTTGGCGGGTGGATTTCAGACATTCACCATTAATAACAAAAAATACCTCAGAAGTGTCCCTAACGAACTGACTAATGATCATACTAAGATCTTAGAAGTTTGTGCGATTCTAGGTTACGCGAGTATACCTCTTCTTAAGCTCAATCTGGACTGGCGGCCAGTGAGAAGCGACGCTGTATTGAAGGAAATGGTAGCGAAAGGGATTTTGTGGGTCGACAATCAAGCTAAAGGAGAAACGCTTTACTGGGATCCAGCATGGATCGTGCGATCAAACCCAGAATAAGAGATCTTAAGATTTGGCAACATTTAACTCTTACGCTCTCTATTTGGATGATTTCCTCTTTTTAAATTTCTCGTTGACAGTGTCAACAGAGTCCATAACCTTTCTTTGTAACATATGTTCATAATTTGTAACAACTTTGCCCTTCCCGTCACCGACATTAATTCTTGTTCTACCACCTAGATCGGCTTCATCGACAGACAGAACATTTGCGAAAATATCAGCAATAGAGGACTTCAACTTGTAATCCAACGCCAGAGAATATACTCTTCTGTTGGACTGCAAAGACTTGAAGTCAGTACGATCAGTAGCGATCCATTCCATTTCTGGAAAGCTGCAGTCATATAGTATCAGAGGTATGTCGCTGGCCATATCGTATATGGGTTTATGTGTTACCGCCTGCACATTTAGCATGTCGCTTATGAGTGAAACGTTCTCTAGCCCTTGGCCGACCAGAAAGAGGTTTGCCATCATGCAACGCACTTGATGCCACAAGAATGCCGAACCGATCAAATCAAGACAATAAGTATCATGATTGAGCTTCAGTATTGACGACCTTTTTATCGTTCTCTTGTAGTTCGTGATCTGCTTAGAGCCGTCTAGCTTGCAGAAGTTTCTGAAATCATGTTCCCCCTCGAACAAAGACGCCGCCTTTTCCATTTTTTCGATGTCGAGACCACTGCCGCTAAAAAGATACCGGTAATGGCGATGCTGACAACTAAATCTGGCATCAAAACCTTCCGGCGGACGCAAACATACTGCGGAGACGCGGATGTCGTCGGGGAGTATCTGATTCAAAATGTGGACGTAATTAATTTCTTTACAATCCAAGCTCTTCTCCAGCTGCTCTTCCTCAGTCAAATTGGACCTTACCCTCAGGGATATGACCTGATTCATTGCGCTGACTCCCTTGTCGGTCCTTCCACATCTACTGAATTTATACTCCTGTGGTGTCATGGAAGGCACCAGCTTGCAAGCGTTCATCGCTTGCAGAATGGTCCCTTCTACGGTGGGCAAAGGAGTAGGCTCTTTTTGTATGGCAAGACCATTGTAGTTCCACCCGAGATATGCAAATTTGAGGGCAATGAATCTGGTATTATACTTCGTGAAGTCAAAGGGTTTATCCTTTTTCTTTCGCTTCCTCAGATCGGTCTTACTGGGTTTGCGTTTTTTGGGCGCAGGCACTCCATGCTCCCGGCTCTCTTCTTCAACTTTGCGCTTTCTTTCACCCTCCAAGTCAATTATTTTACCAATAAGCTGATCTTTGTTCCATTTGGTGTAGTCCAGTTTATCATTAGTTGATTTGAAATCAGACTTTCCAAGCCTCCAGAGTCTCGAAATCAATCCCATACCGTGTTCAGGTCTTGAATCGTAGTCTGAACGGCACCTTTCGTTTTCATTATAGATCGCGAAACAATTTGATGATATAAATCAAATGGAAGATCTTAATCATTTTCTGCATAGTGAAAAAAATTAGATGAAGATGAGTTAGCTTGAAAGTTTGTAACTACCAACATCTTCCAAAGACTCTATTGCCTAGACATAATGTCAACATCCTTGTCCTGGAATGAGCTTAAATACGATCTTCAGCCCTGGATTCGTAGTGCTGTGGAAGGAATGGGATTTGAGAGCATGACTGCAGTGCAAGCGTCCACTATTCCTATGTTCTGCGGGAACAAAGATGTAGTCGTAGAAAGCGTCACTGGCTCAGGTAAAACGGTCGCCTTTGTCATCCCTATCCTCGAAAAGGTGATAAAGGATGTACTTGAGGGCTCTCAGTTGAAAAAGGGACACTTTTACTCTCTTGTGGTCTCGCCAACGCGCGAACTATCTAGTCAAATACAAGGTGTATTTGATGCCTTTCTGTCATACTATCCTGGAGAAGTTTGCCCTATCAAGTCCCAACTGCTCGTTGGAACTAGCGCTTCCTCAGTCCGTGACGACGTTAATTCCTTCATCGATAACAAACCGCAGATTTTAGTGGGAACACCAGGCAGAATACTTGATTTCCTGAATTCTGTAGCCGTGAAAACAGCATCTTGTGGTATTGTTGTCCTAGATGAAGCTGATAAACTGCTAGATGCCGGGTTCGAGAAGGACGTTGAATCGATTTTGAATGTACTACCAAAACAGAGACGAACCGGTCTTTTCTCTGCTACGATCAGCAGTGCAGGTGACCAGATTTTCAGAACTGGTATGCGCAACCCTGTGAAAATCGCTGTGAAGTCTAAAGTGCAAAATCCGGACACTCTCAACATCAGTTACATTGTGGTGAAACCACGGGACAAGCTTCAGTATTTGCTGCACATTCTCAATCACATTCAGTATAAAAAATGCATTGTCTATTTCCCGACATGCACGTCTGTCACGTATTTTTACTCTTTCATGAAACACCTCTTACTGACAGAAAATACTGGCACAGAGTTTGATCTGTTCTCTCTTCATGGGAAATTGCAGACCACTTCGAGACTTAATACATTGACCAAATTTTCTTCGGGACTGAACAAGTCGGTACTCTTGACGACTGACGTTGCGGCTAGAGGTATTGACATACCGGAGGTTGATCTCGTGCTTCAATTTGATCCTCCGACCAGCACAGAAATGTTCTTGCATCGGTGTGGAAGAACAGGCAGGGCTAATCGCGTGGGTAAAGCAATAACGTTTTTGAATGAAGGGCGAGAGGAGGATTATGTGAATTTTCTTGAGGTGAAAAACATCGAAATAGACGAGATGCCATTGAAGATTGACATCAACGAGGGCCTGCCCAATAAGTTCAAGACTTGGTTATTAGAAGACAGGGCCAGATTCGACAACGGTGTCAGGGCTTATGTTGGATTCATTCGCTACTATACCAAGCATTCAGCTTCATCAATTTTCAGACTTCAAACACTCGACTATATCGGATTGGCAAAGCTATATGGCCTCATTCGCCTGCCGCGAATGCCGGAAATCACCAAAAATCTGAAAAATGACATGATGCCCGCGGACGGATGGCTCATTGAACCGCCGATAGATTTAGATAACTTTGCATATGCAAATCCACAAATGGAGCGTTCGAGGCTAGAGGAACTCAAAAAGGGTAAGGAGACGGATGCCAAAAAGAAGTTGAAAAGCGAGCTCAAGAAAAAAAATTCATCATGGTCGAATAAAACAACTGCTAAGGATTCGAAGGGGGAAAGAAAAACCAAGCTGGCGCTGAAGAGGAAAGCCATTGAAGAGAAAATCGCACAGGAGGATCAGCAAAATGAGGGTGAAGAAGAAGAAGATTGGAAAGATATGGTAAGGAAAACCAAAAAGCAAAAGACTACTTCTCAGCTCCAGGGTGACTTTTCAGAACTTTGTTGATGTAATTTCATTGGTTTGATTTGATTTTGATTGAACTCAGGTGGCCGCGTTCTCCCTCGTAAACCAAAGTGTTGTGAAGGGGCAAAAATTGGTGCGTGAGCACCTTAGTCGCCTCTTGAGCCGCGATTCCTGCTACAAAGGATATGCATGGGTGGAACTTCCTTCTCTCTTCTTCGTCCGGCTTCTTTGAAAAACCGGATCGAAATACGCTTTTTATAATTTCAGCAGAACCCGTAACTTCATTGCTTAAATAGGTCTCAAGATCTATCAGACTCCCCACTGGTTCGATGACATCTATGTGGCGACAGTTTCTGCAAAATGATTCAATTTTCTCAACTGCAATAGGCGCGCCTTCCTGAAGTACATGTTCACTAAGAAGCTTGACATCTTTGGCAGCTGCATCTGAGTAAGCTTTGCGAAGGGCCGTGTAAAATTCATAGTTCGACTCCATATCTGGAATAACTCCGGAAAGAGGTAATTGACCTTCACTTTGTGGTGATTTTAAATACAAAGACAAAGCTCTCAACAGCGTCTGAACATCCCTATTGAAAGGAACCTGACAAAGCTTGTCTTTTAGCCCCAGACATCGAATCACATTTTCTGGTAGGGCTTCTATAGAGTCCGAGGCAAGGTGCGAGAATCGGAGTGCCTCAACAAAATTTGGCGTCTGAGTGCTTGGTGACACCTTCTTCTGGAGAGCAATAATCTGTCGTTTGAGGTCGTCCCGACAAATAGGTTGATGTGATTTTTTTTCTTTCAGCACATTTTCGCGGACATGGTAAAGCAGAGCAGCAAAGGGTAGGTCTGGAAAGGACTCTTCTCTTATATTGAAGCTCGAGTAAAACTGTGACAGGTCACCTCGTAGTGCCCCTAATCGAAGGTCTGGTATGCTATGTTTTTGATGAGATTCGACAACGAAATGTGGTTCACCAGAAAGGAAGGTGACAAAGCCATTGCGCTCAAAGGTACCACAAAGCAAGGATGGCGGAGACTTTATTTGTCGAAATACTTTTAGGACGTCACTACATCCTGTTGTTATAATTATTAGATCGAAACTTTTCCAAAACCAGGCAGAGCTCATCGTTTCAGCATTCCAGTCGATTTGCGTCACGTTCCATGTATTCATGTCCCAAAATTGTTCATTTGGAGAGTCTGTTGAGTCTGTTGAGTTCACTGCGACCATAGTGAGGCGCCCTATGCCCGGTAAAGCAAGGTTCTTCACTATCTCACAAGCGACTGGCGAAGAGCCAATAACGCATACATGACTTGTTTGTATTATATGCTGGCCATGAGTCCCCCAGATGCGCACCTGTCTATCGAACTTCTCCATTCTGCTCCTCTGGTTCCAAAGCTTTGATGGCGATTTTCTACTATTTTATTCATACCATCAATTAATAGTGAGAAGTGTCAAAAAGAATTCAAGCTGCACGCATGTTGATCTCAACTAAAAAGGGAGATGCAGCAGAAGATGAAAGAGCTGGGATTTTAGTCTGGTGATATGTAAACATTCCCACATTTGCTTTTCGTTTCGCTATTCGAAAAGACCTGAGTATCCTAATGCCAATGGTTTGGTCCACAATCTCAAAAGGACTATCAAAATCAAAATTGAATGAAAATTCGACCTTGAACAGAACAATCATCGGAGTCTTGAAAGCTTCAGTTAGTTTGAAGTAAAGCTCAGGCCCCAAAGGAACACCGACTCGTCACTTGAAGAAATGCTGGAGTGCAAATACATGCGCACGTGACAGCGTTAAAACGGGTCGGTGTTTGGACAGTCAAGACAGATGAAGTAAACCTAAACAGCCCTTTCCTGGTCTTGTTTTTCACCCCCAATTTCCCATCATCTCTTGTTACTCCTGTCAGCGAATTGGACTTTTTTTCAGCGTGGAATTGTTGCCTCGATACTTGCGGCCCAACCTTGATTCAAAGAGCATAACAAACCCATTAATCACCATGCGTGTCCGAATGTTATTTCTTCTAGAACAGTCACCATCAATTTCGGATAAAGTTTAACCCTGAGTGGGTTCCTATGATGACGCGGGCCCTCAAATTATTGTAACGCTGACGTGCGCTAGAAGCGGTGCTGCACCGATTCTGCGACTCTTACCAATCGAACGTCAGTCCATGACGTCTACTTCCTGCACAGAACTTTTTTTGCACCTTGCGAAATTCTTCAGCATTTGAGCTCAGCTAGAGAAGACGGTGGATGAAGGCAGCTCTAAGATCCTGAGTGTAGCGGATTTAAGTCTGTAGTCACAAGAAACAACCGAACCACTTGCTTGTCTGTCCCACCAGCATTCATCGTTTAAGCCCGCGGCGTCTTCGCTTTGGCTTCTGCAGCTGTTTTTACCAAAGCCCTCTCACGTAGAAGCTTTTCTCTGGTCGGTTCTCTAGTCGACAAATATGGACAGCGTGATTGCTACCCGGCCTCATTTTAGCTCGTCATAACCCTTTAGAGCAAAACGATGCGCAGAAGCCAGCAATTTAATAATACAGCCGGGGGTCTTTCGCGAAAGTAGTATAAATAGGGTAAAGAAAGGGGAAGGGAAAATTGGAAATAGTCAATGGGTGCTCAATTCTGGTTTTAACGTGTTACATTGTCAATCGACTTATAATCAGTGGTCATCCCCGAACTGAAATGCACAGAACTTATTCTTTGAGAGCTCAAAGAGCACCAACCGCTTCGCAGTTGGCAAGCCCTGCCCCTCCTCCATCTACTACCAGATCCAAATTTTTTGGTAAAGCGTCTATCGCGACTTCTTTCCGTAAGAACGCAGCAGGCAACTTCGGCCCTGACTTGGCGAGAAAGCTATCGCAGCTTGTCAAGACTGAGAAGGGTGTTCTCAGAGCTCTTGAAGTGGTTGCTATTGAGCGTCGTGCCGCTGCCAAGCAGTTGTCGCTATGGGGTCTAGACAACGATGATGACGTTTCTGACGTCACTGACAAGCTTGGTGTTCTAATCTATGAGTTGGGTGAACTTCAAGATCAGTTCATCGACAAGTACGACCAGTACCGCTTGACACTTAAGGGCGTCAGAAACATTGAAGCTTCCGTGCAACCTTCCAGAGACCGTAAACAAAAAATCACCGATGAAATTGCTCGTCTTAAGTACAAAGAGCCAACTTCCCCAAAAATTCCAGTTTTGGAGCAGGAACTTGTTCGTGCTGAGGCCGAGTCCCTAGTTGCTGAAGCGCAGCTTTCCAACATCACCCGTGAAAAGCTAAAGGCCGCCTTCAACTACCAATTTGATTCCATTCGCGAGCTTTCTGAGAAATTCGCCCTTATCGCCGGTTACGGTAAGGCTCTTCTAGAGTTGCTAGACGACTCCCCAGTTACTCCTGGTGAGACCAGATTGGCTTACGACGGCTACGACGCTTCCAGACAGATCATCATCGATGCTGAGACTGCTTTGGAGGGCTGGACTCTGGACGCTGCTGTTGTCAAGCCCAGCTTGTCCTTCCACCAGACTGTTGACGACGTCTACGACGACGAAGTCGAAGGAGAGGAAGAAGCCGCTGCCGCTGAAGAAGAGTGGGCTGGTGAGCACGACGGTGGTGAGGAAGAAACCGAAGTCGCTCCTAGAGTTTGAAGTGCTCTTTGAAACGCCACCCGAAACCCTTTATGCTCATTAGGGTGAAATCTTGAAAATTCACTCCGTCCGTCCCTTATAATTCTATCCTTGCACCCCAGGTCCTTTTACAGATGTTTCTGTAAATAACTTTACAGGGCGGTCTTTTGTAATCTTAAATATCGAAAATGACAATCCCTAATCACTGACATCATCACCGGAGCTGCCGGTCTATACCAATTGCTGAGCTGGTAGTAATTGTTCTTATTAACGCCAAAGATTTCTCGTGAGGCTCCCTCGCTTTTGCGTCTGCGAGACAAGCTCTTTTAACATTTGCTTTTTTAGCCGCGATCAAGCCCTTTGAGATTCATTCTTATTTTGTTCTCGTTCCCAGGCGCTCTCTTCCCTGTAGTGACGAACCGCTGTATATCGAAGAAAAACCGCTGTTTTATCGACCGTTTCTTCGCCTCTTGCCTAATTCGTGGCAAAATGAGGTGCTAACATGGGCACACTATCATATTAACCTCGGTTGAAGTGGTGACGAGATTTCACTTGTCAATTGTTCTTAACTAGCATCGCAGTCATTGAACAGCCATTGAGGCTCGACGATCTTTTGTTTGCGACTTCAAGCCGAGTATCGGATTATCTATTGCCGCTTAGAATTAATGTTTTTGTCTAGAAATCATTTTTTGAGACACATAAAATCAGATTTATTTATTAAACTGAGTATCAACCTAGTCTAAACAAACACACAAGTGCAATCTGAAATAATGTATTTATTAGTGGATGGATCAAAGACCAACAAAGCCTAGAAACTACTACCTGACCTAATCTAGTATGCCTCTTTCTTGAAGTTCTTTTTTTAGAGCCACATAACGGTCTTCTGCGTACGGTATTCTCTTCAGCATAGCATGACGGACAGCCAGCATCCTCACTCTGCTTTTATATTTGTGCTTCTTGTCAGAAATTTCTGAACCTGTTGTAAAGCGGGCCTTTTTTGGTTCTGCTTTAATACTTTGTGGAACACATCCTAAAAATCTGAAAACCTTTCGTAGAGAAGCGGAGCAATTATTCCAACAATCCCAGGTCATACCCTTAGAGTCCCATTTAGCGCTTTGCAAAACAGTTCGAGCTCGCTCAAGACCATCTTCTGTCACTGGCCTTTGAATGTTGAACTTTGAGACAGCTTGTGCTTTGGACAGCCAGTAACTGAATACTTGAACCTCGCCTGTGTAGGCTCTTTTCAATTGGCACAAATACTCTAGCACCAACGAGAAATTCTTGGTATACCCATTTCGTACAAGCGCTTTCGCTACCATGTCGAATGAATGCAAGTTAGCTGCGACACCATACGTAGATACAGCGGAATTGAAGGTCAGGAATGCCAGATCTAGCCTTCCCCTTTCAGCGAAGTGTCTTAGAAAAACGTTTAGGCATTCATGATTTATTTTAAAAGCAGCATTTTTATGGGCGTGGTCAACGAATGCCCACGCAGTGTCATACTTTTCTTCGGTTAAAAGAGCTTTTAGGCAAAAGCTGAACAGTTTCGTATCGAGCGGTACAGAGTTGCTAGTGAGAAAACGTAGAAGCTTCGACGAAGTTAGCTCTCCAGACCTTAAGATGGTAAAAACTAATGCGGGAGTTATAGGGACCCCCCGCTCTAACAGCTTTTCGAGAAAGACGCCGCGAGAGAGACTTTCCATCAACATATTATAGCAGGTGGCCCATGTAACCGAGTCTGCCTGTATCTCATGATGCTGCATCTGACGCAAATAATACAATGCATCGCTAAGCGGATTTTTTATGCTTCTGATATGTGACTTCTTTAACACGTTTCGAAGCATGAGGTTAAAGGTTTTTGTATTTGGCATGACATTTTCGAGCTTCATCTGGGCGAACAACTCCCTGCATGTGGCGTAATCGCTCCTTTCACTGAAGAAGAATATAACATCATTGTAAACATCGACATCTCGTAACTCCACCGTTTTGAAGTTAGACGGATGCATGAGGTTACGGAGAATCTTAGGAATAACACCATTCTGCATGGACGATTTCTTATAATAAAATCGCGTGTGAGTGAGCGTAGCAATGTAACTGCCGAAAAGCTTAGGGTGGTCGGTGAAGTTTGGTATGGGTGGAATTTCAGTGAAAACCTCACTACGAAAGGATCTTTTTGCATGACCCACGGCAACTTCTCGAGGGGTTATTAAGACTAGCAGAGGAATCATTTCCTCAACGTAGCGTTTAGATGCGTTGAAAAGCAGTGTCTCTGACTTTCGGGAGGACTTTAATTTTTTCAGCGCGATGTAGTTAGCCTTAGCGTGATTTAAATCGTAGGAAGGCTGCACTGTATGTCTTGCAAACTGATGAGCTGCGTATGGTTTCAAAAACTCTTGGGCAGTTTGTCTTTCAAATAATGAGCCTTTTCCCACCGTTCGCAGCTCTTGAGGAGAGAGCTTGCACTCAACTTTTGTCTTATTCTTTAGCGGTGTCGTCGCCCGCCAATTTATTTGATTGTCGCCTTTCAACATCTTTGGAACGTAGAGCCCCTTTTCAGCAACCGCAATGGGCTCTTTAATTCCATGTTTAACGATCCCACTGGCGAGGGTGCTGATCAAGTTCATGACACGGCGGCATCAAGGCTTTGGATTTTTTGTATCTTCAACTCAATGAAGTCATCGCTTGTTTTTGAAGATCATTAATTAAAAAATGTATTGCGGCGGTATAGAGAAAGAAGACCTCAGCGTAAAATGAACTTTTAATTCTCAGCTTGTCATTGAAATAAACAGAATATAGTCACCATTATATATTTCATTCGGCTTTTGATTGGTTTTCGACCAAAACGTTAGGGGCCTTATCTGATTGAGCGGAAAAGAGCTTTAATCAGCTAAGTCAACTTCCGCGTCCGCGTAGCTCTTGCCGCCTAGTAAAGATAGAATCGCGGGCAAGAAAAGCAGGGCATGTAGAGATGAAACCACGATCAGAATGAACCACATACGAAAGTAGAAAACTTGAAAGATCTTGGACCTGGTAAAAGCCAAGACTGTAACTCCAATTAACTTTGTCATGGTTATGCCGCTGAAAACAGACCCACCAATTGTGTTGACAGCATGAATTACTCTCGACTCGCGATCCGTCTTGACATGAGGCGGCACAATAGTGAAGCCGCGCACAATATGAACGCAAAACTCGACGGCTATGCCAACGCAAATGACCAAATTAACCAGACTAACAGCATTGAGTGAGATGTTTAACAAGTACATTAATGCACCAAGATCGATAAGTATCATCCCAACTGTCAAGACTAGAAGACCTGCAGTGCTTGCGGAGCCCAAAATTAGCCACGATATCATATAAACCAAAAACGCTGAGAAGTTGAGCAGTTTTAGAGCCAACGAGATTAGCGTTCTGTACTGCTCGAAAAAGACATAAAACGGAGAATAGGCAAAAATGTCCAACTGCTCAAACGACTCAACAATACGACTAGCATCATTGTAAGCAGCAATATAGTCCTCTTGAGACCTTAATGGTTTGTGTGCACTTCGAAAAATAGACGATGTGATAGTGCTGTCATTATACGCAACAGCCTTGGAATAAGGAGCTTTCCCTGCCAGAGGGCATTCATCACTAGGTGCATTGATCCATATATCAAAATATCTCATGAACGCACGCCCTTCTGGAAAACCTTGCATGTCATAAAACCATTCATCTTCAGCATAGCACGTTTCACATCTTCTGCTAGGATAAAAGGGCGGACAAATATCATCTGTTCCTTTTTTGAAACGACAACATGTATCCAATTGGGGATTCAAAAACATCATAAAGTCGTCAAACCAATTTGCCACCGGCTCCACAATTGTAGACCTTTTGCGTTCCTGCTCCAACGAGTTTGCGAGTGAAAGCTCGTCGCAAGTTGTAAATTTACCACAGACTTTTTTCTGGTTCTCGCGCTTCGTGAGATCAAGATCTTTTAAGACAAAGTAGACGGGAGGCCCCACGTTCAAGTATTCGTAGACGTCATGGAAATAGTCCACCAAGTAAGAGTCCTGCGGAACAGCCAAGGTTTGGTCCAATCCTGACTTGAGAAATGGTAGAATGACAAGCGCAGTCAAGGTGCCAGATATGAAAATTCCGCATAACTTCTTTTTCTTTTGAATCAACTTCAAATACATTTTCTTGAACCTCGATTCGGCAGGGATTTCAGAAGTAGCCGCCAAGCGTTTTCTCGGGAATTTCTGCTCGTATAATGTCAAGATAGACACATACGCGCTAAGCTGCAATAGAACATTAACGACGATGGAGACGGCAGAGTAAATAGCGAAGTTGCGGACTGCGGGCATTTTAACGAATGTGGCCGTCAAGAAGCAGCTGAGTTGGCAGAGAAGAGACAGGACAATTGAGGGGGAGATTTTTCTCAACGCTTTCTCCATGATTTGTTGCACATCCAGGAGATCAGTGCCATTGAAGACTCGGTCATATTCATGGGTAATCAAATATATGTTATCGACACCAATGGCCAGGATCAAGAAAGGAATTACCTCTGCGATAATTAAGGTCGACTTAACACCCAGAAGACTCAATACCCCAGCAGCTGACGTGACTGACCCCAACACTATCAATATACCGGAACAGCCTAGAAGGATTCGCTTCTCTCCCGTATCGGTGCCCAGGGCCCATGATGCGTAAAAAAACATCAGCAAATAGGATGCACAAATAATCAGAATATCATTATTTCTGTTCAATTCTTTCTCCAGTGACATGTCTGTACTGAAGCTTAGGCGTAAACCCTCCGGGGGTTCTAGGCTCAACAGAAATTCCTCAAGTTGTTGTTCCCAGAGAATGGCATCTTTTGAGTGTTCATTTACAAGTAAGGTTACAGCGAACGCTTTCGAGTCAAGTATGTTTTCGTCGCTGAACAAAAGATTTGGTTTGAGCGGCTGCTGAAAGCTCGGCAAACAATTGACTGGGGAATCCGCACATGATTTGAGTTTGAACTTCCAATCGGCCTCATTTGGAAGTTGCGCGTCGAAGTACTGAGTAAGGGATTCTATCACGCAGGTGCTGTCTTCTGTTGGTCTGAAGCACAAGTCTTGGTAACCTAATTGTTCTGAAGACTTGAGATGGCTGGTAATGTTTTCTTCCACCGAAAACCACCATGCTAAAGTATCATAGGACAGGACTGGCCCTGTTTCGTTGACAATGAAAACCTGCTCTACTCTGTAGAATGGTCCGAAGTGCTCATCAAAATAGAGCTTTTCCTGATATCTCGGTGATGTCTTACTCACCCACAGGTCCACGGGATTTGTCTCAAGCTCACCAAATATCCATGCACATCCCGACAAAAGAAGAACAAATAAAGTTGTCAGCGTTAAAACCATAGCAGGCCGCGCCGCAGAAAAGCTGGATATATGGCTCAAGAAGCTGGCTGTTTTGTCGTCCACAGAATATACGTGGTATGTGTGCTCTTGAAATAGGGTATCGCTTGCTTCCAAAACCTCGTCCTGTTCCACATCGTGTTCGAGCATTATTGGCCTCTCCTTGGTTTTGAACAGATAAAGATGCCAAAGGACAATAGAGACAAAAAGTGCCCCATATACAGTCAGGACGACAAACGATAATAATGGCATACCTGCGATCTTATGTGTGCCCTCATTTAGGGGTGCCAGTTTGGGACAGGACGCTCCACAATCTGTGCAGGCACATTTATAATGTTCATCGTCACAAGCGTATACCGTCTCGTTGAACAAATGACGGTCTGTGCCGCTGGTGTTATAGACATAATTGATTTGAAATGGTGAGCCTCCAAGTAAGGGCTTCTCGTCACCTAGAAACTTAAGAAACTGCTCGTAATTCTTAGCACCACCGCCGATAAGATCCATCGCATATCCGTTGGTAGCAGCAAATTTAACACCTTTACAAGAATCGTAAAATTGAGAAGCCCACGTAGAGTCCAGAAAAACGTCCATGCTAGCCACAATATTCCTGCCATCGGTGGATTTTTGAGTTTCCGTGACTTCGGTAAAATGCTGCTGCTGAGGAGAGCATGTAAAATGACAGAAAAGGCGCTTGAAGTTCTCGTGGCAGGCGGGACAAGACACAATAAGCCCTTCAGCTTTTTGTAGGTTGTTTCGAAGATTCACAACTTGATCCTTTGTGCAGCATACATTTGGTGTATCTTGCCAATCAGTTCCACACACCTCCACCAAGAATTCTCGATCTTCTACTGGAAGTGGCTTTGGTTTAAACTGCTTGGACACAGGGCATGGCAACTCTGCTCCAAACACACTTTTCTTGCCGCAATTTCCATAGATTGAACATTGTGCAGGGCCTTCAGCATTAAAAACATTTGCCCGAGATAAATGCAGGAAGCTTCCAAGGGTTGCTACAAGTGCGAATAGTGGCAACCTCATTGGCTTTGAGAAAGATCTTCGGTCGTTGGCAAGAAGGAGTTCAATGATATTGTATTTTGTAATTAAGTTTACCTAATTTTTGAAGGGTGCTGTTATATTAATGTCGCGAAACATGTTATGATGAACGCGGTAGAAGTAATGTCAGAAGGGAACCGAATATTTGAATTAAGAGCTGATCCTTTGCTTACTCTCTCCTAAAAAGCATTCAATTCATGTGTGCCCATCAGTACAATACAGGGACTTCTAAATGTGAGGAGATGATGTGAGGTTCGGACAACGAACCATGAAGCCTTGCTGACACTAACGGATGTATCTGACATCTCGGACCTAATGGTATCCACCATATTCTCGTGTGACGTTCTTAAACAGAATCGCAACTCAAAAATGGAAACTGAATACTATGTGCTAATCACTCCATACTGATGTTGATGGAATTATTCGCTAGCCTAAGTTAAGGACTTTGAATCTCTCTAGCCAATAAGTTCGGACGTTATTGAATGTAGCGCACACATCACTGACATCCCACTATTGACCTCATCGGCCTTACTCTTGACAGTCCTAAACCCTGTCACGTGATGTTTACACCGAAGCTTGCCCGCTAATTAATGAAAACAGTGGAATGCTCTGCACAACACAGCACATCTCCAGTATATACGTTGATCTTAACGGGTTAGCCTGATGAAGCTGATACCGGACCTCAAGGTTTCCAGAAAGGAATTGCAAGACTGGGCCGATAATCTATCGTGGGCGCCAGATGGAACTCTATACATTACGACTGTCCCGGACCTTACTGTATGCCAGCCTGTGTACGAGGATTCCAATCATACCGGCAGCAAAGGTCTATTCCATGTCAAAGAATATCCACTCCCGCTCAAAAATAAATTAGAATTTATGCTTGCACAAGATAATACTTTGTTAAATTCAATTCCCGACAGTTTCGTGAAGCGTTGCGAAGCCTCTCCTATAACAAACCTCCTGGCTGTCTTGACAAACAATGGAAACGCATGTATATTTGAGGACGATAGATTGTTGTTTCTGCTTGATGAACCTGATAGAGAACTAAAAAACCGTACCTACCATTCATTGGCTTGGAGCCCCTGTGGAAGACTCATTGCCGTTGGTAATGAATGCGGGGAAGTGGTCACCTTCAAAATCACCGATGGTGCAGTTGAACGAGAGTGTGAGCACCAAGCAACGACAAAAGTAGTGGATGATCTGTCAGTATGGGTTACGAGGATAAAATGGTCGGGGCAAAATCGGGTTGTTGCTTTAAGTGACAATTCAGTCTTCCTCATAAAGAAAGACTCTTCAATCGTCCGACTCATTGAACCTTCCAGATTTAGCGTGTTCGATTTTTGCGCAATAAATGATAGTGTTGTCATTTCCCGTATGGGCTCCATTTTCAAATACGACGTACTTGAAGAAAAGACTGATTCGCTTAACTGGAGTGGCTACGAAAAGGTCAACATTGTCCCCATCCCTGAGCGTCGTTTGGCTCTTTTATTGTCCTCCAAAATGAGCTGCCTGGTTGATTTGGACCAGAGGCTAAATATTCTAGAAGACAAATTGGTGGGGCCGCATCTTGAGATGAAGTTCAAGAGATGGAACTCCTATTTCAACGAGTTAAATAATTATGAGACAAGCTTATCGATTCATGGTTTATCAACTTCAAGTGATGGAGCGTCATTGGCGATACTATACAGCATAGATCGTTTGTCTTTGAGGTACAGAATCGTTTCTGAGCAGGTTTACAGGATATGCTTTTTGCCTCTGAGCGAAACATGGCAAATCAGGGCGCCGGCCACCGGCTTAGCTTGGTTCCAAACATATCAAATCTATGGCCGACAGCTGCCACTAAACTTCTCTGCAGATGTACAAGAATCTGAGCTTGACACCACCGATGACTTCAAAACATACCTACAAAAGCTTGTTCACAGTGAAGGTATGAACACCGTCCAGTTCTCGAATTACATTAATGAAGTTAAAGATAATCTTCTTTACAAGAAAGCTGTATACGATTACGCTGCTGCCCATTCAGCAGAAATCACGAACGAACTGGACAGAGCATGCGTTCAAGCCATAGCACAAATACTCGGACTCGAAAGCCCGGTAAAAATAGACAAGTTTTGCATGAAAAGCGAGCTGATCGAAGAGTCGTTTAATCTTCAAGAAAGTGCGGAACTAGATGTGATCTATTCCGGAGATGGACATGTTTGGAGACGCTGCGCGGCTACATTCCTGCCACTGCTTACCCCGAAAGTAAAGATTTGCCCAGTCAGCAAGTTTCGCATTATTGACGTGAAGAAGGATAGCTTGAATGACTACGGATTCATGACAAGGACAATTCTGGAGGTGTTCTGTGACCAAAGTATTTATACAGGAACCAAAATGATTTAGCGCCAAAACCGATGCAAATATCTGAAATAGTGGAATTTGAACTAGCCAACACTTGTTAGTCACAAGGGCTTTTCGATTTGTACCAGGTCTTGCTCAGCGTTATAATCTCGAGAATGTCTCTGGAGCTCGATATTCTTTCCTTTACCCAATTGGATAGCTTATTTTGAATGTGCGGAGACTCATATCTTTTGTCGAGCAAATAAATATTCGCATAATCATTCGCATGCCTAATTGCTCTTCCTATGCTTTGATTTACGGCTTTCATGCAGATGTTCTCGTAAAAATCGCGAGCAGCGAGATTTGCTTCTTTATTGTCGCCACCATTTCGAATCACTTTCTGTTCGAGATGCTTTCTTTTGATTATCAGCTCACCGCTGAACATGTTAGGAAAAGGTAATCCGACCATTATGACGGCTCGAGCCAGCTCGTCCTGGAAATTTATCCCCTCCGATAGACGCCCCCCAACTACTGCAAATAAAATCGCACCTCCTGTTTTCAATTGAACATGATGCGAATAAAGAGCAAAAACATCAGGATTGGCTGCTTCTTCATAAAAGAGTTTTTTTGGTCCTAAACCGTCTTTCGTATTGAAACGCGTCTTCCAGAATTCCAGAACGGTTTCGAGAAACTTGTAGCTTGGCATGAAGATCACTAGTCCGTCGGGAATAATGGAAGCCAGTTTCAGGAGAAAGTTGTATAGCTCAGTCAGGAGTTTTGGGTCTTCACGTTTAGCGAATGTGAATTCAAAATCACCACCCACCACGAAGGTATTCAGATTCCCATCTGGAATTACGTGTCCACAAGAAAATGTCGTGATTTGGCTCTTATCAACAAAAGGAAGCAAGTTGTTTTTGAAGTGAGACACAGGCTCCATGGTGCCGCCTGCTAGTAGAACACATTTGGCCTGTTGAACGATACTCTCAAAACTGGAGCTCGGCTCTAAAAGCATATACTTCATGCTATTATCTGCGTCAAAAAAGAATTGGCCTTCCGCAGAGGGATTAGCCAAAGTCTTCAAAAATGCTGCAACCTTGAAAAGGACTGGCTCTCGACTTTTGTGGCCGTTAGATTCTTCCTGCTGTTCGTACTCAATGAAACTGTCGATTTTGTATGCTATCTTTGTTCTTTTCATATACCGCTCTAGATTGTGAATGTTCAACGTGTCTGCATTAGTCCCCGCAAATATATCAAAGCTTTCAAACGTACGGCCATTCTTATGATTTTTTTCAAGAAATGCGATCAGTAGGGCAACTAAACTTGAAAGCCTTCTCAAGTTGACCCTGTTCTCTGGGCTTAGACGTTTTTGAAATTTGCGCATGTATAGATTGATTCCCATTTTACACTCTCTGAGATCCGCTAGAGTTACTTCCGCCGAATTGATGCTGTTTATGGTGTCTATAATGTTGTGTGCTTCATCAATGACAATAATGGAATCTTTCAAATCAATCCCCAAGGCGTCGCGCGTGGTGTCCATAAGCAAGTGTTGGTAGGGCAGTGTGACGATCTCTACGCCATCATCCATAAACTCACGAGTAACATAGTAGGGACAAATGTTCGTGGCTCTACCAATCGCTGCGATGTCTTCAATGTCGTGAATTGCATGAAAGGCGTAATCTCTAAACATCTTAGCGTTGCTGGGATCCTTAGACCTGGTATAAGGCTCGCATTCTTTCTTGTTTATTGCGTCCATGCATCTGTCATTTATTGTATGGCTTGGGGATTGTGATACTTTGGTGTTGATGCAAAGCTGCTTGCGTGATCCGAGCGGTACAAGTTTAATCCGCTCTTTTTCCAGGGACTCAATAGATGATGGAAAGCTGGGGAGTCTCAGCTGTGATGCAAATTGAGATAGTTGCGAATGTGTTCTTGAGGCAAAAAAAATCTTGACTGGTGATGGGATATTGGAGCCTGACGGCTTTTCTTCTCGCTGCGAACCCTCAAGTTTACCTAACAAAGCCTTTACTTCTGCATCAAGTCTCGTCTTGTCATCTGCTGATCCTTCACTATCGAGCACTGCCGGTGAGGGGTCATTTTCCGGCAGAAACTTACTCTCCTCAAAAACTACCGGGACGTGCGGTACCACACGAGCCTTTTTTAAGTGACGGCGTTCACCTCTCTCAGCAGAAAGAGCACTCGCCACATTTGCGGTAAAGCTTGTAGAGTCCAAGTGTTCCTCATATTCTTTCAGTGCTCTTAGTTTTTCCTTAAGTACCGAATCAGTAAACGCTTCTTTCACCCAGGCTGGATCATCGTCGCTGTCATCGTCGCTGTCACCTTGGTTCGTTGCAAAAACATCTCCGTCCGCAGAATGAGACACGGTGTCAGATTTATTCAAGAACTCTGCTTTGTGTTTCCTGAGCCAGGTTACTGTAGGACAAATAAGCGATAATGTTTTACCTGTACCTGTAGGGCTCTCAAATATACCGATTTTTTTGCTGCTTTCGAGAAGTCGGTAGACTTGACTCATGAGTTGAATTTGGATCTCATAAGGCTGATATGGGTGGTTGTATTTCTCATCTGGATCCATAGATGATACCTTTTACAATTTCTTGCGATGCCCTGTTAGAGATCTTTGGATTTCTTTATTAAATTTTCGAACTTTTCTGAGAAATAAGCGCTCTCTTAAGGTTTGATCCAAGATGATTCAAAACCGACAATATAGCCACTAATTTTGCATCATATACTCTGATCAAACAGTTATTGAAGAACTGGTCTTTTGATCCATCTGTAAAACGTTATCCAGCCAGGTTCCTAAAACAGACAAGACTCGTTTCCATGGCCTCACCAATTTTCCTGTCAAAAGCACACCCTGGATACTCTGTACAAGCTTTTCGCACAGGATTCAAGATAGCTGTTGCTAATGCACTAAACTTTGCTACGATAATAACTGACCAGTGCAGGCTTTATCCCAAGAAAGCTCTGGGATGGGCTCTCGTGTCGCTCTTTTGGCGGATTGCTGTTGTGTCGATCGACAAGATGACAAAGCCTCTTTTTCTGTTCAAATACGTGGTTTACGCTTTGAACAGCTGGCTGTCATGCTACATTTTACTCAGGTTTAACTATTCAAGCTTTGACCACGCATTTTGGTCGACTTTTCACCGCGCCACGAGCGAAAATGCTTCGTTCGAGAAATCAGGTTCAGCTTCGCCTGAGCCATCAAAAAGCAAGAGGCCCGCGATGTCGGCAAAGCTCCCATCAGAATCGATTGCATGGCATACCATGATTTTGATGGTAATGGCTTTGTTGATGGCCGATGTGGAAAAGGATTCTACAACAGGCATTGCGGTGTCCCAATTTGGGCGGGCCAAATTGTCGGTGTTGACCGCTCTGTGGTATACCTTATTAGCTACTGCATTCGACTCAGTGACGGCGCTAGCAATTAGTGCAGCCTTGTCCACGTTCGTGAGCTTGCCCACCAGCATAGCTTTTATAGCGCAGATCTGCTACGTCACGTGGCTGACGAAAGTACTGCTCGTACCGTATATGCAACTGGCTCGCTTCTCACCCACGGAGTACAGCGTATGGCTGCGAGCTCGCGGTGGAGTAATATGCGGGTTTTTGGCTCCCTTTTACGTCTTACTGTTGTCATCCAATTCGGTCCTAGTATCACCGGCTTTTGTTTACGTGCTGGTGTATCCGTTTGCCTATTTACTAGCCAAGATAGCCGAACCCGTCCCGGTCAATGCCCTTCTCGGAACGAAAGCTCACTCTACTTGGTGCGCCCGCCAAGTTCTATGGCGCAATGTTGTATCCGGCGATGATTTTTGCTGAGAGGTGCAACAAACAACAAATAATGACGTTCACCCGTCAATCTTTTTTTTACAAAGTGCATCGTGAAGATCTTAGCAAAACTTTGTTCATCTTTGTCGCTACTTCTTCATTTCATCTAGGGTCTTCCCGTTTCTCACACTGCAATGCTCTTACGCTCATGCACCTCGAGAACCGACGGGCGGGCGTTCTCTGCATATGCAGGTTTTTGCTTTCTCGAGTCCGATTTCTTACGCGTTTTAGTTTCGTAATTGACTCGAGACGCGTAAAGCCAAAATACATGGTTACCCAGCCCGTCACGAGGCCATGTCCTTTTTCCTGCCTCGCCCTTCGCTTGTTCTATTTAAGCTTGATATTGGTCGAAATGGCGCTGGAGAAAGCAAACCCATATTCAAACGCTCAAGGTTTGAAACGAAGCACACTGAAAGCACGGAGCGTTGCAACTACTTTTGGATTAAAATCTTATTTTCGCTCGGCTAGAAAGACATTGTTGTCCAACGCGTTATTTTGAAAAACGATTTTTTTAAACGGTTAATAACGCGTGGCTTTTATATCAAAGAGGACAATTTCACACGATCGATAGAAGGGTACTGGTGTTGAACACTTATCCAACCTAAGAACTTTCATTACTATCATCTCAGAATCCAAACACCAAGCACCTTTGAACAGCTTTCTCCTTTGCTGAGTTTTGCAGTACTTTTGATCCTAAATTTATTGCGCGCATTTTACTGAACAACGTTAAATTCGAGTGCAAAAAAAAGGAGTTTCAATATTTCGAACTTTGGAGCAGAAGACTGATACCTGATTACTGATTCCGTCAAGCAGCACACTAGCACGCCTCCAAAAAAGTCTTGAACTTGACTCTGCTCATAACTCGCCGTCCGAATAACCTGGCCATCTCTTATACGAAAACACACACTGTGACATGCTCTTGGAAAAATTCCACAATAAGCTTCACGGCTCGAGGTTTTCCAAGCACTCTAGCCGGTCCCCTGCTGTAAGTGACGAACGCGCTGAACAGGATAACCAAGATCTCATGTGTGTCGACGAAGATACAGCGCAAGAAAATTCCCCTGCTCTGAGCCCTCAGGAACTTCGCATAAACACCCAGTTGTGCAACTTGCGCTTCGGGCCTCAAAATGGCGTCTCCACGCCCGTAAGCACACCATCAGCTCAGCCCATCATGCCATACATGTATATGAGCCAAAAACGCCAGGACAGTGTGGCCTCCTTTGCGAGCTCAGTGTCCGATCTACCAGGTTCTACAAGACCTCCAGTATCAACGTCATTTTCTCCACAGTTTCTACGCCTTCTCATGGACGTGTACCAGGACATATGTTCTGACCCAACCGCTACTCCGTTCGATATCAATAACCCACCCCCCGGCATACTCAACAGGTCCGCAAAAGTTGCTGTTTCCAGAGCCGAGGAACAAGGTGTAGACCATGGTCGTGAAAAGAATGCCATTCTAATAAGTGCAGTCAAACAGAGACTTCAGCAAGAAGTGCGCCAGGAAGTATATTTGTCGCGAAATAGCTCAATGGTATCTCTGCCTCCCATGCCTGTCTTCAATTCCTCTGATTTGACACCCCCAATGTCTTCGGACTACTTCACCGTCCATTCGGAGGTTCCGCTCCAACAGCCTCTTTCAGCACCATTTCAAATGTCTCATCACGGTAGCAGCCAACTGCAACCGCCCCCCATGTCACTGGAGCCAAGACCCTCGATACCGAAGACCTTACAACGGTCGAGAAACGACAGCTTTATTAGTGCTGCAGGAAGGAGCCGGAGCGGCTCAAACCACATTCTTCCCTTCCAGCAACTACAGCCAGCCTCGTCTTTAGAGCCCGCTCTTGCGCGGACCAGGTCTGACAGCAACGGGTACTACGCCTTGACGCCAACCAGCTCTTTCATGCCAGATCACCAAAGGCCTATCGTATCTAGGCAGAGGAGTAACGAGTCGGCGGCCTTCGAGATGTAAAGACAATAAACTAAACTACGCTTGCGTGCAATGGAACAAGAAAGATGGCGTCTTTGAAGAACTGGATTTTTCAAAAGGTCATTTTTTTTGAGGATCACAGGGATCGAATCTACTGTTGAGTTGTAATTCTTAAAATGCAAGAAAGCGCTAATCATATACCCAATCTCCTCAAAATAAGGACAATACGTAAAGTCAATAAACCCAACCTGCCACCATTGAATTCCAGCAGCATGTCGAACAGCATCTCCAGAATAATGCCGACTGATGAGCATCTATATATACAAGAGCTGTGTCTGGAAGTGTGCCGTCGTGATTGAAGGTCTTGATTTTATTGACATGAGCAATCGCACCAAAATTGCGTGCCGCCCTTCTTCAACTACGCGAATTATTCGTACACCTCTCTTTTCGGAAGCGCCACTTGTTGGTCGGAAGAGCGAGACTTTATCCATTCCTCGCCCAACAAACCACATTTTACCAGCAATTTGGTCGCTGTTTCGCTCGGCTGTGCTCCCACACCAATCCAATATTTCGTTCTAGACATGTCAAGCTTCACATCCTTGGTTGGGATAGCGCCATTCTTTATCTCCCGCTTCGTCAAAGGCTGTGGAATAGGATTATATGTTCCCAGAACTTCAATAGGTGTCTTGTCCCGAGCCTTGTGTGAGTTCGCAACGACTATATTGTACAGCGGGGCATGCTTCCTCCCAAATCTTGCTAACCGTATTCTCACCAAACCCTTAGACATATTCTTACACAGCTCTGCACAACTCTGTACAACTTCGAATGTCTGAGTTCCTTAGTCGTTCGTGGACTTTCTTTGAATATCGCTATTCTAAAATTCTCGATTTGATGGTATGATAGCTTTGAACGACTTGAAAAATTTTAGTAGTGTAAAATTCATCTCATCTCATCTCATCTCATCTCATCTCATCGCATCTCATCACGATCAGTTTGATCTTTCAGCCGTAAGAACACTTGCAGAGTAAAAAGATCTTCAAGGAAGTGTTTGTATCCGAAATCTACCCACACTAAGATGGACCAAGATGAGGTAGCTCGTTCGCTCGAGTTAGAGGACAAACTTGCCCATATCAGAGATCAGATTCATTCAAAGCTGGAGAACCAAAAACATGTGGCGATCATTCTCTCCGCTGTGGAAGAAAACATGGCAGAGCAAAAAACTGAGCAGGCTGCTACGAAAAATGTGGTGAATTATTCGGTATCGCTATTGGCAGTTTTGTCACAGGCAGTCGACCCAGAGACGCACGAGATTCGCGAAGCACAGATAGCTACGTCTGCCACCTATCTGCTAGATATAATGTTCAAATATGTGCCTGGGAAACTTCTCCGCTCGAAATTCGCGGAAATTTTGACCCAAATTGCGCCTTGCATCACAGACGAAAATGCTAGCGCGCCGCTTATAAGGCCCGCCATTGGTTGTTTGGAGTCTTTGCTAGTCGCTCAAGATTCACAAGCATGGAACAATACCCAGAACCTGTCCATTGCCCCTAGTAGAGGTCTAAATGGTCTCTTGGAATTATCACTGGACCCCAGGCCCAAGGTCCGCAAGAGAGCTCAGGATGCCGTGAGCATTATCATGGCCAACCCACCTGCTTCGCCATCTGCCGAGCATGTCGCTGCACCCATGGTTGCAGAATACACGATCAACGCCCTTGCTGCCGCAGTGAAGGAAGCGTCAAGTGCTTCAAATAAGAAGATTCGTGCCCAAGGTGGTCTCAGTGAAATCAACTCCAAATCCATTCATATCCTAAAGCTGATTAAAGCTGTCGTTACAAGCAAACAATGGCCTGTGGCCAGATTCGACGTCTTATGCGACCTTCTATTGGAGATCTCTCGCTCTGCTGACCAGTATCTGGTTTCCAGCTCATTTCAATGCTTCGAAGCGCTATTCGAAGCTATTGGCGAGTCCGCTATCAACTCAGGTCTTGCTGAGGACAATTTCACAAGAGTCATGAAAATCATTCTTTCTTTAAAGCCTTCAAATACTGATACTCATTTGGCGACGGCCTGGATGGCTGTGGTTTCAAAAGGAATGACTGTATTCGGTTCACACAAACCAGTGGAAACTCTAGAGAGCCTGCCTGAAATTCTCAAGATCATGTCGCACTATCTCTCCAGTGAAATTTCAGAAATTTATCAAGGTGCGTGCCGATGCATTGAAAGCATTGTGACAGAAGCAGTCTCGGATGATGTCCTTTTGCTTCCTCCACTCGTGGACGAAAGCGTTTACGAGAAGGTCGACGAGACAATATCTTTTCTTTCCGACATGTTTGTCGACTTTCTGTCCATCAAATATGCACACTGTGCCCAACAGGTGCTCGGTGTTTTAACCGTGGCTCTAAAAAAACTGGGCTCGAGATGCAATCCCGATTTTTTGGCTCCAATCGAGATCATTGGGGGCTGGAGATCTAGCGAAGATAGGTTTTTGGAACTACGAACCGAAATTGAGACCGCAATAGGCGTAGGTATTAGTGCCGTTGGCCCAGATGTGATCTTGGGCTGTCTCCCTCTAAATCTCATGAACGCGACAAATGAGAACCCAGGGAGAGCTTCGCTTCTTCCATTGATCAGAGACTACACCAGCAATAGCCATTTATCATTTTTCGTCAAAGAGCTAATGCCTCTTATCACGGCTTTTGAGGATAGAGTTAATACTCTTTCAGCAGAGTCCCTTCAAGGTAAAGTTTTCGAAACTGTCATCAGTCAGCTGTGGTCCACATTGCCTAACTTTTGTGACCTACCAGTTGATGTGAGGGATTCATTTTCGGATGAATTTGCTTCAAATCTTTCTTCGCTACTGTACGGCAAAGTTGAGCTGAGACCTGTCATTTGCCATTCGCTCAAAAACTTGGTGCAAACTAACTATGAGTATGCATCTGGTCTGCAAGAAAGAACTAAAATGGTTCAACAGCAATTTCCTATCAGTGAAGCCCAAAGAAATGTAGAGTACCTCGGGACCAAGGCTTCCAATTTGCTGGCCGTGTTATTCAATGTATACACTCAAACAGCTGCAAATGCGAGAGGGTATATTTTGGATACTATCGCTGCGGTCATCAGGATCACCCCAGCCCAAGAACTTGTTAAAACTTTCAATAACGTATGCGGATTGTTGAAAAAGGCTTTCGATGAAGAGCCTTCAAAGAACAAGGCAAATCAACCACCTGTAAAGATGAGTGCAACGCTTCTGGACTTAATTATAGTTATGGCCAGTTTCGTGCCGGAGTCGTCTTACTCTGCTCTTTTCTCGATTTTCAACATCACTGTCAGCTCTAGCGATGCTTTGACTCAAAAGCGCGCGTATAGAATTATCAACAAACTTTCGGAAACTTCGAAAGGCTCCGATGCGATTCTGCAGTACATTGATGATATCGAGAGCGTCGTGATCCAAAATAGCAAGAATGTTCACACTTCTGCCAGGGCGATGCGTCTCAGTGCTATCAAGAGTTTGGTAGAGCTCTTGCCTCTAAACAATGCAGAGTTTTTGATTCAGGTGGTGCCTGAAGTAATCTTGGCAGTCAAGGAAAATAATGAAAAGTCGAGAGAAGCGAGTTTCGATACGCTTATTGCGATGGCTACCAAAATGAGCAAAGACGGTTGCGTAATGCGACTTTCCAAGCTTCCTGGTTACGAGCCAACTACTCCTGATCAGCCTGCTAGCGTAGCGGAATTTTTCAAAATTACCTCTGCAGGGTTGATAGGAGAATCACAACATATGGTTAGCGCTACAGTGACTGCTTATTCCTGCCTTGTGTTTGAGTTTAAGGACCAAGTTTCGACCGACATTCTAATGGACATTTACGACACAATCGAGCTTTACCTGACATCAAACTCTCGGGAGATTGTAAAGAGCGCTATTGGTTTCGCCAAAGTTTGTTGTCTGGCGCTACCCGAGGAAATGATGAGGCCTAAGATTCCCTCTCTCTTGCCAAAGCTTCTACGTTGGTCTCATGAGCATACTGGCCACTTCAAGGCGAAAGTGAAGCATATCATTGAGAGGCTCATTAGAAAGTACGGTTACGATTACATTGACCAACACTTTCCCGAGGAGGACAAAAAGCTTCTCGTCAACATAAGGAAAACCAGGGATAGATCTAAAAGGAAAGCGGCAGAAGAGCAGAACAACGTTCCTACGTTGGCGGAGCCCAGCAGCAAAGGTTCACGTTTCATGTCCGCTTTGGATGAAGCTATTTACGAATCATATAACGATGATGCGAGTGAAGACGAGAGTAAGCCGGGAAAGAAGGGTCGCGCTAGCCGCTTCATTGTGGAATCAAAAGAAAATCCTCTTGATCTGCTGGATTCACAAACCTTGGCTCACATTTCATCAACGAGGCCCAAAAAGTTCGAGGGTAAATCTAAGAGAAAGGCAGCTGGCGACGACGTTTTCAACTTCGATGCAGACGGAAAGCTCACTGTAAAAAATAATGAGACTGGACGAGGTGATGAGGACGTGTTAGGTTCCGCTACGAGCGGCATTAATGCTTACCTCGAAGCTGTTGAGCAAGGACCTGTACGCGGCCAGAAGAATAGGCTAAAGTTCAAGAAGGGAAGTCAAGCCGACGGTAACGATATGAGTGACGATGATACTCGCGACCGGCCTAGCCGCTCTTCAGACGCCAAAGGCAAAAAGATTAGCAAGAAGAGAGGTGGCCCTAAGTTCAAGTCGAAAAGAAAGCTGTGAGACGTCCGTCCAATATGTATATAAGCTATAAAGCCGGATGCTTGGTGATCGAAGCTGATCTTAGTCTAGAACAATTCGAAATAAGAAATTTTGAGTGATGTGTAAAGCGTGAAGTGCTGGATGCGATAATGGCCTGCATTCTGCATTGATCCACCACTAGTCACTTTTGGGTACCACCTTTCATGCTCAGCGGTTTTTAGTAATTATTGAAATCAAATTCTTGGTTGTTGAAAACGTCGTCAAGATCCATATAATCCTTTCTAGGAAAGGTGTCTGCGGTACTCTCCGCTGCATCAGCCTGTATGTCTGGATTCGCGTCTAAAGTCAGAGGCATGTGTCCTTCAAGTCTCTCAAAACTGTCAATATCTTCATTTGCTTCTTCGTCAACAAATCCCACGTCGCTAATTTCAAGGTCGCTATCGCTGCTTGAGAGTGTTTCATCATCAAATGACAACCTGATGTTTTCTAACCTGGTATCCTGTTGATTGGCAATCATCTTTGACAGAAGGGCCTTTTCCTTTACAAACTTATCATCCGTCTCATCAAATTGAGGTTGAGAAGGAACTAGCTCGTTATTGTCCTGAACAGGATTAGATACCAGTGTAGAAAACTTCAAGCCCGGTATGGACGGCAGAGCTTTCACATCTTTTACCTCTTTCGCTGATATTTTCTTGGCTATCTGGAGTTGCTGGTCGCGAATCAGAAACTGAATCCAGTTATCCATGTCTCCACTGTTCATCATTTGCTCTACAAAATCCTCCTCTCGAAGCTCGTTTGTGGACTGGCTTTTATGCGTAGTTTTATCCAGTTGATTAATGTATTCGGGAATTATCGACAGTGGTTTTGAAATGCCCTCTCTGGGACGTAGTAAGTCTGGAGTGGGAGTCGCTACGGTGCGCGCCTCGCGGGGCATGGCGCTATGAAGACACCAATTTTTGAATCTTTGCATGCCCAGATCACTCAGAAGCTCGGGATTCTCGTCATAAACATCAAGTACATTCATAGGCTTCAGCAGTCCCACATTTACCAGGGCCTGCGATAGATCCTGCAAAGCGATGTCTTCGTATTCATCCATCCTGCAACGCGACAATTTCATCACTTCCAGCGTCAACAGCTGTAAGAAACGCACATAAAGATCTGTGAAAGCGTCCACAATCGTCGGTGGAGCCTTGTCGAAACCCTGACTTTTCAATAATTGCAGCATTGACACGCGCAAAACGCTGAAATAGAAATCTTTGTTGGATGTTGTCATAAGGAACGTTCAAATCGCTATCTTGATTTTATCCGCTAAACTTTTGATATCGCCACCTTGCAGTGATCCCAAATCCTGAACAGGGTTGAATGCTGTTGCGATGAAACCATCTAAAATCCATAGCCCATCCATCTTAGACTTTAAACACTCATATTATATTATTCAATAACAGAATTCCAATTTTCAAAAGCCAGAGATCGTCCAAAACGAAACATTTAGTTAATTTTGACATTTTTGAATCAACTACACTACCAACTAAACAAGTTGAAAGGTGGCATAAAGAGATAGTCTAGCAGTTTTGGATAGTTGTTTAGACATCAATCACACTAGGGAAGATGTCAGATTTATCTTTGTATGCAGTGGAAGCGCTCGTGATTCTAGATGGTGAGGGAAAACGGATATATGCGAAATACTATCATGGTCCACACGCGCAGGCAGAAGAAACATCGCAACAGTACAAGTCTGTGAAACAGCAGCTGGATTTTGAAAGCAGGCTTTTCAAAAAAACACACAAGCAAAACGCTGATATTCTTCTTTTTGAGGATAGCTTGGTGCTCTACAAGGAATACGTGGACGTATCTTTGTATCTGGTGGGATCTGCCGACGAAAACGAGCTGGTTCTCCAACAGGCGTTGGCTGCAGTAAGAGATTCACTGGAGCTCGTTCTAGCCACTGGCATTGATAAGAAAAATATACTGGAGCACTACGATATGGCAGCGCTGGTCATTGACGAAACTATCGACGACGGAGTTATTTTAGAAACAGATCCAGCTACCATTGCGTCTCGAGTCACGAAACCGCCTTCTAAGGACGTTCCTATTAACATTGAACTGAGTGAAAAGGGTCTACTCAGCGCTTGGGGCTTCGCTAAAAACAAACTTGCTGAAAGGTTGCAACAAGGTTTGTAAAGCAGTTCCTGCGTTAAACTCCTGATAGGGTCTCTGTTGCACTCTTAGTTACATGAAAAGGTCCAAGTATATTAGCACCCTGAAATAAACGAATAGATGCCGCACGCGTTAAGAGTGTTTATAAGATATTTAGACAAGTTACATGATAGCCTCATCTGCAAAAATCATTTGCCGGCTTTCTTACCCTTTCCCTTTGCCCCTCCTTTAGATTTGCCCTTTGATTCGTTCTGCCCAGGAATAGTGGCCTTTAGTTTGTCTGTGTAAATGAGAGGAACGAGCTCCAAGTCTTTCAAAGCTTTGATGTGCTCATGCTCGATGGGCCAATCCAATTCCTTGTCGCTGCTTTCTTCGTCAACTTTTCTAGACAAAAAGTAGTGGAGAATCTCATGCAGAGTTTTTGTCTTTTTAGCATTTCCAGGCTGAATCTTCACCTTGTATTTGTATTTGTTCAATGCCGTCCAAGGTGCAAAAACCGGGATGATTTCCTTCACGCCCCCGTCGGCTGGCACAGGACATAACTCATTCAATATCTTATGATAATCCACGTTCAACTTTTCTTTAGGATCGAACTTGAGCGACTGTTGTTTCTTCTGTCTTTCCCGTCTCGCCTTCTTGTAATCTCTTTCTTGCTGCTTCAATTTCTCTTCTTCTTCCTTGCTTCTCTGTTTTTCCGCGCCCTTGAGGGTACCAAGAGCCTCGAGCCTCATTCTTCTCTCCTCCTCATCCTGATCGGCATATTTCCTCATCATTTTCTTGAGCTTGCCTTTCTTTCCTCTTACCTTCTTTGCGGGTGTGCTGGCTGAAAATTCAGGTTCCTCCGATACTGAAGCGGCGAGCTGAGAACTGGTGCTGTTTTTGACGGCAGAGTCCACTCCGGTGTCCGCTGCCCGACCGGTAGTCAGCGCTCCGGCCCCAAAATCTGCGGACGGCTCAGCTCCGGCTCCAAAATCTGCGGACGGCCCCGCTCCGGATTCGCTTTCTTCACCGGCTGCCTGTGCTCCGGACTCACTGTCTTGGTCGGTTGCTTCTGCCGCGGACTCATCATCTGGGGCCTCGCTCACTGGATTCCCCAAATCTAGACGTTCGATTCCGACTTCGGCTCTCTCGGTTTCAATGCCAATTTCGGATGCATCATTGTCCACCGTCTCATCGTCATCATCCGAGATATTCGTTTCATTACGGTGCTCGCTTTCTTCTTGCAGGACCTCCTGCAAATCTTCGAGCTCTCCTCCTTCGGCTTCAGCTGAACCACTTTTCCATAAGAGTGCGAAACCCATAACCAATGGAGAAGGGGGGAGGAAGGATTTCTGCTTTTCATTTTTCAATTGAAAACTTCCCGGTGCTAGAACTTCCCCGCCATAGCTGTCGAATTTACTCACATTTTTGGCAAAGCACCACCAGGCGGAAGACTGGATTTTCTTGGACCACGCGGGAGAAGCTGACATACACATTATTCCTGCTTGCATTAGAGTATTTGGAGGAATTTCTGTTTCATCGGGGTTCTTTATCCACACAGTGATGTCGAAGCTGTTGAAAACAAGGACATCATTGTCTTGGATGTATCTACTGAAGATTTGATCGGTTTCTTGTCCACTTTTCCCCATGAGAACCAAAAAGCCTTCGCTGGAAACAAACCAATTATATTTCTCGAAGAAATAAGGTGTCCTTGTTCTGTTCAGCACATCATGCGTTTCTTTGAGCTTTTTCTTGAGGTCGCGGTCTATCCTTTGCTCGATGTTCTTCAAAGCTCTATTTGCATTTTGTTCCACTTTCTTCTGTTTCTCAAATGTTGACTTCTTGATGTCAAAGTAGTTCGACGCATTAGCATATGCAGAGAGAATAAGATCGACACTTACGTCTATGGTCAACTTCGGCTTATTATCACGACGCGAGGGCTTTTTCCCAACAGCGCGCTTTGACGCTTCTCCGTGCTCACCTTCATCTTCGTTTTCATCTGCTTCAAAGTCCGATAATGAACTATCGCTCTCCGAGTCAGTTGAGGACTCTGATCCAGACGAAGAGCTAGTGCTGTCATCATCAGATGATTCAGCTCCTGTTTCGCTTTCGATGACGAGTTCAAGCCCTATCCTGTTGTTCTGAAGATCTAACGGTAGCTTGATTGCTTTAGCGATGCTATTGCCCTTTTTCTGCTCGTTCGAAATCAACATTTCGATGGTTTTCCAGTCCATTTGTTGTTCAACAAGGGTCTTCACAGCGTTCTGAGCCTCTTCAACGAGACTTGCGTTCGCGATGATGGTATGCCCTCTTAGTTCATTCTGAGCTTGGACATCTATGAGAGCCTGGATTCTCTTATCGTTGTCTAGTTTTGCATCCTGCAGTCTTTGCTTCGCTTGATGCTCTTGATTTTGAATACGCAACGCATATTTAGATGACTCAATGGTGGAGAAGAACTCATCGACCGTGTGATTGTAAGTCCCGGTAATCTCTACAATTTTCACTTCTCTCTTGACATTGTCGTCCAAAAATGGGGTAAAAGGATGGAATTGCTCGTAGACAAACTCTGTACTAGGATCTTTTTGTTCGGGATCATAAAGAGGATTTTTTTTAGAGACGATGAACCCTGTCGAGCAGCCTGATCTCAAGATACTCGAAACTTCGACCTCAGTAGCATTGAGGAGTTCCACTATCAAGTCTACACGATCCTCGAATTCCAAACACGATGCATTGGGATTGAAGTCCCGCAACTTTAGGTTACGGGAAATAAGATCCGAAGACAAATGGGGTTCACGCAGGAAAAGCAGCTTGTGAATGGATGGCACTTTTGGCGCTTTTCCAGATTTTTGAGACTTGACCGTACTTTGAGCCAGGTCTTTGGCATCATGAAACCATTTGGTCACTTCTTCGGTGGTAAACGTTTTTGGAGCGGGCATTTCGATAGTTGTATCATCAAGAAAGGTTTCGTCAAACATTTCATATATTTGGCCCACTTTGTTTTCGTGCTCGTGAACTATTCTTTGTAAAGCGATGATTTTCCGCTGAGAGTCCAGCAAAATAACGTTTCCGGCGCTAAAAAACTCCAGTACTAGGAAAAACTGACCATCACCAAATGAGAGCGCGAGAATTCTGTCGTCTTTCACTCTTTTGACTGTGGTCAACCGTTTAGATTTCAAATGTTTCCGCATTTTGACCACAAAACTCGATGGCGTGGGTGGTACGGGCCTGTTGTATTCGGTGAGATGGATCCTCAAACCGCAGTCGACTATCACATTGAGTTTAGAGTCGGGCTTGTTAAACTTGAGCAGGAATTGACGATTTGAGTCCGAAACATTATAGATGTTGGACAGTCGATAGCCTTCCAGTCTTGGCTTAAGTTCTCTATACAAAAGTTCGATGTCCAAAGAGCTTATTCTCTGCTTCATGCTGCAATCATCAGTTGGAGAGGGTCAAGCTTGATAAAAGAAGTTGTTCAAGGTTTAAGTTTATTCATGCAGCTTTTATTAAATTAATGTATCTGATTTATTGTCGATCGAACATTAAAGAACTCTTGCTATTCGCAAACTACGAAGCACAATTTGAGATGAACAGTGCTACGCTGAATGAAAAAGTACACCATTCGAGTAGAAATGCGAACAATTCATAGAAAATCTTTAACCCTCCACTGTCGACGTATCTCCATTGATGAAAGTTTTACTCACGACAGAAAACGAGCATCTTGAACGCAGTCCTTTAACTATTGGCACATCGACTTCAGCAGAAATGCCAAAGGGCATCCGGTGTCCCTGAATCGCGTTGATGCTATAGGACCTATAGTCAGCTTCGGTGATCAAACAGGTTGGTGCAACAACAAAAGGTCATGCTTGAGATCTAAACCTTTATATAAACTGCTATGTTTCTAAAACTATAACAAAGGACTTCGTGGCCAAGCTGGTTAAGGCGTGCGACTGTTAATCGCAAGATCGTGAGTTCAATCCTCACCGAGGTCGATAATTTTTTAATTTTTATCGACTCAATATGTCGGCGAAATTTCAATGATATGATAGCCTTTGCAGAAAAGTCCTTCCTCACCACTAGCTTCAAGTTTCCCTCAGCGCTTATGAATCCTCATTATTTTGAGATCCAGTGATGAGTCGAAGTCAACTCAGATCGATTGAAGAATTGGCCAAGTCCATAAATGCAAATCCCAAAGTCAAAGTGATCTTTTTGGTCGGAGCTGGGATCTCAACAGCATGTGGAATTCCTGACTTCCGGTCACCAGGAACCGGACTGTACGACAACTTGGCTAAACTGAACCTTCCTTTCGCGGAAGCAGTTTTCGATATCGATTTCTTCAGGCAAAACCCTCAGCCGTTCTATACATTGGCCAAGGAATTGTATCCAGGGAACTATGAGCCCTCCAACTTCCATCACCTCATGCGTCTGTTTCAAGACAAAGGCCGCTTACACAGAATTTACACACAGAATATCGATACATTGGAAAGAAGTGCTGGCATTCAGGCTGAGTATCTGGTTGAGGCTCATGGATCTTTTGCTGATAATCATTGTATCGATTGCGGTTTGGATTATCCGCATGAGTACTTTAAAGAAGCGATTGCACACTGCAGCGGAAAGTTTGCGCGATGCTCAAAATGCGAAGGCCTGATCAAGCCTAAAATCGTGTTTTTTGGCGAAAACCTGCCCTTGCACTTTTTTTCGACGTGGGACGATGACGTTGAAACAATCGATGAGGACTACATTGTCATTGTTGCAGGTACATCTTTGGCTGTCTATCCGTTTGCCTCGCTGCCCACCGAGGTGCCAAACTCTGTACGACGGGTTTTGTTCAATTTGGAAAAGGTCGGTGATTTCAAGGTCAATCCAAGAAAATCAGACCTTGTCTTCAATGGATCGACGGAGTTGGCTGCCAAAGAACTGGCAAAGCAGCTGGGCTGGCAAGACGATTTCCAAGCGGTGGTTGATGCTTCTTCGAGAAGAAGACAAAAGGAAAAGGACCAGGGTGTCCCCGTTTCATCGGACGATTTAGAGGTGCAATTGAGCAATGTCGTACAAGATCTCAAGCATATCAGTCTGAAAGGCTCAGACGAGCAGCCACAAAAATCTAAAGATACCGAAACTGCGGGGATACCGGAATCGCAAGGTCAATTAGAGAAATTCAAAGAAACCAGTACGCAAGGGAGACAAAAAGGCGAGCAGAGCGATGAAGAATCGAAAGTTGACGACACGACGGTACAAAACAAGGTTATTTCCGCAGATATAGAGGCAAAAAAATAGAGAAGCTCGGGGGATGCTAATTATTTTTACTGCCATAAAGATGGTAGAACTCCAGCTGGTAGCTAAAGCTTGAACCAGGTCACAATGGCCTAAAGTCATACTGTAGGTATATTGGCCCGCCAGTGGTAGGCAAACGCATGTACTAAACACCTAAGCACATTTATTCGTGAACATGACTCTAAGACTAATGCCTATTTAAAACAGTTGAGTATGAAATTAGTAGTATGGGAATGGTTCGGCCTACCTTGTATCCAAAATCGGATGTGAAAGAGTGATAGGCGTTCTTATCTAGTCACCAGTGAGAATTAAATGTCCAATGTAGGGTCTCATTTTTTGCACGTCCCGGTACTCAAATGCCAAAGGCACCCCTTTGCTCAAATATAGGGCATTCGTACAAACATAGACCCCACAGTCAAACCCATTAGGCTGTTGTGGACAATCTTCATGAATGAGTTCGAAATCAGCACCCAGTGTATTTTTGCTTTCCTGACATATGTAATTTTGAAGATCTCTCAAAATCGCGAAGCTCATAGTGCTCGGGCCACTTGAAAGGGAATCCACGTAGAATATTTTCCGGTTTTTGATATCGATAACACCAAGCGCCCAATGTGATTGATTGAGGTTGATTGGCGCAAATATCATGTCTAAATGGTTCACATCCGCTTTCTTCTTTTTCATCCATCTTCTTACACCTTGATATCCATTTCTCGAAAGCGAGGTGTAAAAGTATGAGCTAAATGCAATCGCTCGGGAAGTGGTGAGCTCAATGTGCTTCATGAAAAACTCTATTATTATGTCGTTAAGCCACCTATTTGGTGCCAGGGTTTTGAAGTCGTAAACTTTCAACTCGATGTTGTTCTTGTTCATTATAATGCCATTATCCGACCGACACAAGGTATTTTTCACTACCTTGAGATCTTCAGGCACCAGAGCAGGTACTAAGGATTGAGGCTTTTCACGAAGCTTTCTGACTTCGTTTTGGATCCTCTCTCGTTCCTCTTTCAACTTCCTGTAACTTTCAAATTCCTCCTTGAAAGTAAGCACTGACGTGTCAAATCTGAAAGATCGATTTTTTGTTTGTTCCTTTCTTGCCTCTGTCGGCAGCACTCTCTGTTCTTTTATGATAATAAGATCGTCATTAGTGGGTCCTCCGAGGCTTTTACTCAAAATGTCCTTGACTTTTTCTGTCAAACTGGACCAGGGCTGTGACGATGGCCTGCTAAATTGTTTGAGCTCCTGTTCTCGCAATAAAAGCTGTTCATTCTTATGGCTTTCAATGAGGTCGGGTGCCTTATAGTGTCCATTGTATACCATCCGAAGATAAGATATTTCCTCCGATGAACTTCGTGCCGTGATCTGTCCTTGAGAGAGACCGCTATTATTTTTCGACGCTCGCTTCCTCACGAAAGCACTTCCATATGGTACACTTTCGGTCAAAACAGGTGATGCATTAGAATCCGCGAAATCCCAACGCATCGGATCTTTTTTGGTTGAAAACAGGATGCCACCATTTCTTTCGGGCGTGATAGAGTTTTCTAACTTTTTTTCCAGAGCTTTCAAACCATCCGCTTTAGAAGGCGTTTGTGTTGCATTGTTCGTAGGAGCGCCGGGCTCATCTGTGGTCTTTAATTTTTTGTTTGGGGTAATATTGGACTCAGAGAGCTCTCTTTTGATGTGTGTATCTTGTTTGCTCGGGAGTTCCTTCTCTTCTGCATTTTTTGAGCCAGGAAGCCCAACAATCGTCATGACAGCTCTTCCAGCATGCAATATGGCTTCCCTCATGTCATGGTAAAAACCAGCTTGCGCTGGAGGAGAGTTCGAAGCCATTTCATCTGACGAATCCGTCCCTAAATTATCTTGCTCATGCAAAGGCTTTGGTTCGTCCGCTGTCATCTTTCTACGCGGACTAAACACGGTAGGGCCATTTGCAAAAGAGAACGTCGTTAGATTTGAGTAGATTGGCCGATGATATTCAATCGGTTTTCGCCTCTTGAAAGTTGCCGAAAGATCGGAACCGTCCATTCAGTTTATAATCCCAGCAGGATTGGACCGCAAAGTATGAAAATGCAAGGAAAGTAGACTTTAAGTCAAGCTGAAAGATCCAGATGTGTTGAGCATCGAGTTCTCAGTCCTGAAGCCATTAAATCAATATATTAATTGAATGTTTATGTAGATAAGCACTATACACGACGGAGAAGAGCTTTTAAAACTATGATTAAAAATAGAGGCCGAACCATCATAAGCCGAACAATGACTTTTCCAGCCATCAAGAAAAGCTACGTGGTGAACACAGCGAGCCAAGTTTGAACCAGAAGAGTTGAGATCCTTGAACAATTTTTCCCATGTACATCACGTGACCATGGGTACCAATTAATGACGGACTCGTGTAAAACAGACACCTAGGCAATTAAGTGCCAGTTGGCTGTGGTGGTCCTCTAAAGCTTGCCTTGAGTTGTTTGAAAAATACGATCGCATTTTGTCGACAATTGGTGGAGTTTTCAGCTTGTTTAAATTAGCATTCATTTGTGAGTTTCTGCCATTGATTACGTTTTTCCTGACGCCAGACATTTAAATGTATAAAAACGTAGTATGTGCTCCTCTGCCTCACAGTTGATTTCAAGAGGTGTTTTGTGATTGACGGTGCTTGCTTTGGTTGCACACTACTCAGCCTGCGGCTAGCAGAGAGGTGGTATTCAAACCTTAACAATGTCATTTCAGCAAATGTCCTTCGGGCTTTGGTCGCAACCTGCGTTCTAATTTTCCATGCCAGACCGAGAAGAGCAGACAGCATTCTATGCAACTGGAAATCATCATTCTGTGAAATGGGGGGTTTTCGTTGGGATTGAGAAATAAGGTACTTTTATTGCATGCATTTTGCTAATCGGGATAGTCTTTTCCTGACCATTGAGAAATGTAAATCACTTTGGTTTTTTCACCGAGAATGGAACTTGACTGAGAGCGCCGTGTCGCAATTGAGTACAATTGGCGGCAGGCATGGTAAACTTAAAGCCATATCATTGTTCCAAAAGACAAACAATCAAAACAACAGAACCTAAAGCTACTGAGCGAAATGCAGAATGCGAATTCAGGCGTTGCAATTATGTTTCAAACAAGTCCCGAGACGATTCGCCCTCTCTTGTTCGTCAGGTCCACCAATAAACGATGACGATACATTGTCAGAAAAGCCTCTTTAAGTAAGTGCCGTGGCGAAAAGGGTATCCAAATCGTATATTTCTAAGATATGCCGACAACTTGACCTGTGTGTAATAAAGCTCGTCGGCTGAGCTACTTCTGATGTACAACATGATGGTAGAGACAATCTCGGAGCGTTTCTTACAATAATGGCTTCAAGACACCGGCTTGTTCCTCTCCGACAAGCTCTACAAGCTGTTCAAATCCCGGGAAGGGTTGATAGTCTGTGTATTCGAATCCGGGTACAACGACTTCACTTACGAGAAGCCCGTTGTGAAACTCTTCGTTGGTGAGCAAGAAACTTGCCTTCCACACACCCCCCGGCACAACCCATTGGGAAACTTCGCCATTCGCATAGTCAAATCCAACTTTGAAAGTTTTGACCCTACCATCTGGATACACCAATACGTACTGACCCCTTCCGCGCTGTAAAATGTGGATGGTACGGCTGGTGTTCATAATCATTTTTGAGACCGGAGCATCTGGAGACAACAAATAGTAAATCAACGTCGAAAAGTTTCTTTCGCTCTTGTACACCGGTTCTTTCGTTGACGTAGGCATAACACTCCCTGGGTCGCTGTCATCTGCGTTTGCATCGGCGTCCCCAAATTTTAGCACAAATGGCGAGCGATCTGTCTCTTTGAAGTACCCATTCTCAGCATGCTTAATGAGACCAAAGTGATTGATTAGCTGTTGCAACTGCTGGGGCGGTTGCGTTGCTGGGAACTGAACAAACAGCGGGAACTCGATAGTAGACTCCGCAGAACCATCAATAGTGGCAGACTCAAAAAGATTAGGCATCTCAATTTAAGAGCAAGAAACAACAACCAAAGTTCACGGCCTTTCAATGACACACTAGCTAAACAGGGAAGAAAATGTAGGTTTCTTGATCAAAGATGGCTATGGTTACAATTGTCCATTCTATTAAGATAAGCCGTACAGAGCTATAGATATATAGTACACCCGTGAGCGCTTCAACTAGCAGCATTTGTAACTTCCGCTTGCTTACTCTTCTTCGTCTCCTCTTCTTTGCTGGTCTCGAGTTCGTTGGCTCGCTTGAGGCCTCGCACAACTCTTTTGTCTCCGGTCACACCATCAACAGGTCTGAAATAAGGTTGACACCGCCAATATGGAACTTGCTTGTATGAACCACCCCAGAGCTCAACTTCGCCGGTAGTGATGACATCTTTAGCGTTTATGTCATCTTGCTTGTAAATTTCCTGCACGACCTGCTCCACGGGGCCAACAACTATTTCTTCCCATTCGTCAAATGATGTCTTGGCATTCATGGACGCAAGATTGGAACGAATGTCGATGTGGTTTGGTAGAAAAGGACGCAAAATTTTGAAAAAATGCGACTTCATTGCAATACGTGAAGCGTTTGAACCCTTATAGCTTCTAACAATCTCGAAATACTCACGTAGCAGCTTGTCAACGCGAGGGAATGTTTTATCAATATCGCCGGTGCATTCCGTATTGAAAACTCCTGGGTTGTAAAGGTTCCCTTCAGCGCTCATCACACCATCGCAGTGTATTTTGTTCATGCATCTGGAGATATCTTCTGGATACAAAATATTGCCATTTGCGAAAAAAACGGTGTCCTCAGGTAAATGCTGCCGCAGATACTGAATAATATCCCAATCTGCCAAACCTGTCTGCTGTCCCTTTTGTTCCCGCAGACGGCCGTGGACCGTCAAAAATTGGGCTCCCGCATCCAGGACCATCTTGGCATACTCCAAAGTCTTCTCGCGCTCCGGAAAGACCCGAATCTTGGCTGTGACCGGCACATCCAGATTATCGTGCAGTGTTTTGATGAGCTTGTGAATGGTTTCCCAGTCCTCCATCAAAAAAGACCCGTAACGACCTTTTTTAGCTATACCTTGAGGACACCCCAGATTGAGATCTACTGCGTCGCATTTATCCTGCACAAGCTTGGCTGCTTCCAGAAGATAATGAGGATCGTTCGCACAGAATTGCACCACAAGTGGGCGATCCACGTTGCTGCATCCATCTTGCTCGCACCACATGTCTTTCCTGTATTTTTCCGAAGTAGCGAAATTTTTGGCATGAAACATTGGTGTATACGCCAGAGTAGCCCCGTACCGTCTTGATAAAATTCTCCATGCCAATTCGGACTGGTCTACCATGGGTGCGACGATCTTAGTTGGTTTCCCCATATTTTCGAACAAAGCCCTTCCCAAAAGTTTGGTCTTGGCAGCAACGACAGGTGCCGGATTGTCCGCACATGTGTCAGTGAGAGTCATTCCAAAAGTTTTCCCTATTGACACAGAGGCTTTTAACCAAATACTAAGTCGAGTTTTCCAAATCTTGTTAACTTGGCGTGAAGAGTATCTGGGGTGAGAGTCGAGCGCAAAGCAAAACCTGCGTGAGTTACTTTATCGAGCAGCGTTCGCAAATCTTCGACAGCCTTGAGGCAAAGCGTACTTCCCTTGTGTTTAATCGGGCACTTCAGTTGCAACTGTGCTTGCTCATCGCGATGAGCTTGAAAAATAGCTTCCACTATTTTTTTCCAATTTCCCAGATTACATAATCACCGGCTAGGACTCGAGCTGTTCGCTAGATTGAAGATGGCCCTGGATTGTAGCGCATGAGCAAAGAGCAGTGCAATTGGCCAGATGGGAGCATCGCCGAGAATTCTGACACCTAAGTAGAGAGATCTCGACGAAAGCCTCGCTCTCAAGATGAGATCCACTGTTTCTCGTAGCGCCGTATTGGGACTCATCGCTTTGCGTGCTAAGCTATCATTCAAAACTTCCACATCCAAAGCACCGTTGGCCTGTAGCCTTAAGAACTCAGCATAAGATTGTTTGTTGTAACCCTTTGGCAGTAGGTGTTCTTCTACTTTTTTCAAAGTTTGTTCCGATTTTAGCCACAGCGTTCTATCAACAGCTTTAAGCAGGTCCGTAGTGGCAAGATCGTGATACTTTTTGGCCCAGGTCTCAATCCTTTTGAGGTACTCTGCAATAATCAAAATCGAGGTGAATATGCAAGTGATGGAGAAGATGGGCGTCCGCAATGAAGTCTTTTCAGCATTTTTGATAATAAACACGGTATCGACCCAGAACTTGACAATGGTGAGAGCGTGATCGGTGGCCTCACGCATAACCTCCCAATCATGAAAGTTTTCTAGATCTTTGTTCATTCCGGTCCAGTCTTTGAACCAGATTTTTTTCATGATGTGAGAAATTCGCAAACACTTGCGAATCTTGGCAAAATTGAGAAGAGGTATAATTAGGCGGAGAGAAGGATTGGAGTTGATGAAGGGTATATTTCCGTCGTTCGCTATAATCACACCACCGTTTTTCAAGTACAAGGACTCCCAATTTTTCAAAAGCGATTCAATAATGGGTCTTGAATTCATGCGCCATTTGACATCTATGATTTGCTCATCGGTTTCATGCCTCAAGTTATATCTCTCGATGAAAATCTTCTCGTGGATTGAAATCAATAGTGACAGTAAAGTTTTGAAAGAGACCTTTTTGTTTTCGTAAAAAAACTGATATCCATTGGTCAAGTAAATCAAGCAGTTTTTGTAGCTTTCTCCACCGTTAGATAGCTCAATAAGTGAGAACTTAGAGTCAAGCGAGATGTGATAGTTCTGCAGCAGAATTGCCCATTCAGTTGGGGTCTCACAGTAATACAGATCTTCCCGGTAACAGGGAATACCACACTTCAAATCAATCGAATGGAAGCAACAATCCAACCCAACAAGCGAATTGAATAGATTGGAAATTGAAAGAATAGTGTGGCATGTTCGGATTCTGGACTGGGCGTGTACAAAGTAGTGATAGTTGCGTTCGACTTGTTCTGGTGTATTGTACTCCTGCCTCTTTTGCTCTAGCAGCAATGGGTCATGCTGATAATCCAAAATATGATCGCTTTTAATGGGCGGCTTGCTAAAATACTCCAAAGGCAGGTTCAGTTGCGTTATCTTCACCAACTCAATCAATGACTTAATTTGCGTGTTGATTATCAAAGTGAATGACACATCGTTGTTGAAGATTCCAATAAAAATGAGAAGCACTGAGCTTTGAACCAGCCAGAGAGGTATCTTATCGTGGTGTCCTGCTGTATTTTCTAGGTATTCGCGAATGCGAAACCGGCAAATGTTGTATAGGAGCACGGCGTGAGATGAGTGGAATCCGTAAAGGGCGCCAATCATGGCTATAGACAGCAAGAAGGAATAGCTGTCAGTCGAAGGTCTAATAGAATGCAGGTGAATAAACCCAAAGAATTGGTGGAACTCGTCTTGGTACAGATTGATGTAAGTGTTGAGCTCTTCTAAAGTGGGGAACTGATCAGAGGACAGGTTGTTCGATTCTAAAATATAGTTTCTGAGGTCTTCAGTAAAGAAATGCAATCTCGAACCCTTAGTGAACGGTTTCCGAGTCAAATCTTGATCATCTTGGATAGGTGAGCTGTAATCATTCTGTTTTTCCATAATTTTCTTAAACAAGTCAATCTGCCGCGATTTGAATAGCAAAGGGATTTCTGACCGCCTGTGGTATTTCGGTGGCACATTTGTCGTGGCTTCGGCCGGTGTGGGCAAATTATTGGGTCCAACTTCACCGTAAGATTCTTTTAACAGTGGGCTAAAACTCAGCATTGATTTATCGTCGATTCGTGTTGAGGGGGAAGACAAATTTACTAGTGGTGTCGAATTGCTCGTAGTGACGTCGGAATTTGCATAGGGGAATCCAATTTGATTGAAGTCGTGCGTGTCGACCTTGAAGTCTCCGTCGACATGTGTATTGATGAACTCTGACAGCCAAGGTTCCTGAACGTTCGTTTCATTCTTTTGAAGCTGCTCTTCTGCTGAAGGATTTGATCGACAATTAACTTTCTTGAGATGTTCCACCGCTTGCGGCTGATCCGTTGAGCAGTCGTAGTTGAAATAATCGAGGTTAGAGTCTCCTGGAAGAAAGCCAGTATATCCCCCTGACCCTCCCAAGGATGATCCCATTTGCAAAAAGTCCGAAAGCATAGGCGTGGTTTCGGTAAACGCGGTTTTAACATCGGGCGCGGAGTTCACGTGTCGTTCGAGTGTGTCCCTTCCCAGTCTCTGCTTTTGTGCGAAAAGTGAGTTGCCAAGGTCTCCAGGAGGTACTGACGATGTATGTCGGAGTGCTGTTTGGTCAGTGACACAACCGGGGACAATAGATTCCGGTAAATTGAGTAGGGGTGGGAAAGGCAAAAGTTCAAAATTGACACCACTCTCCAAGGCCTTCTCCACCAGTTCGTGAGCGGAAAGCTGCGGCGTTGAGAACCCCACCTGATGCGGAATGTCTGGTATCTCATTTTCTATTATGCTAGGTGCATCTTTGGTCTGTGTATAGGTGATCGTGCTTGCTGCAGAGAAAGAGGCATGCCGTTTGCGTTTCGATTGCCGTTCTTCGAATTCTGCCTCTGGTTGTGTGTGAATAGGGCCCGGACGTGATGACTCCGATGTCGGAAGTGAGGAAGCCGTCAGCACCGTGCTCAAGTTTTCATTACTGCTGTTGCTGTTGCTGTTGCTGTTGCTGTTACCGATACTCATCGATTTGCCCTCATTTTGAGGCATTGGAAGCATAGTTTGTTTATTTCCTGTTATAGTGATGATGTGCTCCTCATTAAGATGTTGTTTGAAATCTCGCGATGAGCTCGCATGGACTCCGTTCGAAGACACGCTTGGCCCGCTTCCTCTAGAAATAGTGAGCGATGGATGCAGTTTCTGCTGGTGCCGAAGCACCAAATCTCTTCGCGCAAAACATCGTCCGCAAAAGGCACAGAGAAATGGTTTTTCATTGGTGTGAGCACGCTGGTGACGCTTCAAATGTTCCTGGCGAGCAAAGCCACGCGTGCAAATAGAACATAAATATGGACGCGGTCTGTCAGTCCTGATGGCTCGCGACTTTTTTGGGATGGGTAGCATTGAGTTTACCGGGTCGGGCATCGAACCAGTACTGGTGCCGTTCGTCGGAAGTGACACACCATTTTCTGATGTCAAAAATTGTGAGTTAGCGCTAGTCATTTGTGGGTCTAAAGGCGGATTGACCGACACACCATTGACGAGTATCGCAGGGTCCGAACCACTAGTTTTCCTGGACTGCACAGCCGGCTGCGAGTTCCAAGTCTTCGACATGATGGGTAAAACCTGTGAATAATGTACCATGAAGATGAGTTAAGACTTTGGTAATTAGACCTAATATAATATGGACTTAAGAAATGGTATGAAATACATCACGTGATCATCAAGGACTGACTTTTGTAATTTTATAGCTGGAGATACTCGATGTTAGCAAATGTGTCTAGCATTGGCAAGCTTTACTTAAAGGCAGTGGAAAATGTTTGCAAACTGTCTATGAATGGTGAAAGCTTTTGAAAATGCTGATTTTCGATATTATTCTCAAACACCTCATTTTATCATTTCGTGACGCGAATTGGAAGAAAACTGCTGGGTGATTTTAGGCACGCAAGAAACTTCTTTCTGTGCTGAAAAGAGAATTCCACGAGGATATGACTGTGCGTGAATGTATATTTACATAGAGCTGCCGCTAAAACGAGATATATTCGAGCATCGATTTATATTTGTACGAATTTTCAGACTTCCGTTTGCATTCAATTTTCAAAAGTGTCACCTATTGATGGATAGAAACTGGTACCATGTTTCTACTGCAAGCAAGAAAGTATAAATCTTTAAAAAGGGGCATGTTCGTGGTGACAGGATTCTATCACGACAATCACATGATGTATGTCACTTTTCGATGAAGTGATGCCAACCTGGCAGCCAGAGCTGTATTTCGGGTACCTCCTCAGGCAGGGTAACCCCTGTTCAATGTATCCACCAAGTATTCACGTGGCTAGCTACAATGATTCGTCTATAACTCGAGTGAAAAAAAAATGCAACCCGTTAGCAACCCGCATCCTTAACGCTGAATACCCTCTTAAGTATCGAGACGCGTAAAGAAAAATTCTGGCGTCAAAAATTTCAAAATGCAATCATCATAATTCAAATCAACCGCTCTCTCGTTCTAACTACTCAAATGACACACAATGATTGGAGTCCAAGAATCATATCAGATTGAGGAGCTTTCCGACCAAGTTTCAGGTTTGGAAGGCAAAACCCTTACCCCGGAGCCATCTGCCTCAAACCCAGCAAATGCGGCAGAAGGCTTCTCCGTTCCTACTACACCAACTAGACAACTTAAAATTACTGGATGGATGGATCGATCAGCCCTTCGTCGCCACTTCGATGTTACAGAGGCGGGTGGACTAAAGATTGCTTCTTGCGTTCACTGCAAACGCGAATTCAAGGAAGCTAAGTCCACAGGAAATCTTTCAAAACACGTAAAGAACGTTCATCCTCTAGCATACAAAAGCGGCCGAGAAGAAGAAGAACAATCTAGAAGTCTCAGCCAATTAGGTATCGAGTGTCGTTCCTTGCCACTACCCGCTGCAATAACCGCAGAATGGAAGCATAGCCCTGGCGATTTTGGTATCCTGTTGCTTTTGACGGAAAAGTTAGTCGCGTTCTCCTTTTTTGAAGGTAAAGGTTGGAACGTCATTAGCGAAGCGTGCTCTGGAATTAAATTGATAAAATCACGCCCAGCGATCGTTGACAGGCTATCGAACTATACCAATCAGTTCAATGCTGGACTCAAAAAAGTATTGAGTAAAACTGACTTTATTAACATTGAATTGGATATCTGGTCCGGCGGGAATGGAAGATCATATCTAGCTGTAGCCGCATCATTTGCGCCCAATCTTATTAACAATGCTATGTTAACCGATGTTGGCAGCAGCAAGGCTCTTCTTAATAACCATAACGAACCGTACAACACCCACATCCTGGGGTTCATTGATGTGAGCGATAAACCACACACAGGAGAAAATCTTTTCAAGGAGGTTCGGGATCTGATGAAAGAGTATGAAATAAATGATCAAGTTGCAACAATTACTTGTGATAATGCCACGAACAATATATGCATGCATTCCCACCTTGTCCATGACCATTTCAAAACATGCAAATCCAGGACGTTCGATCGTCTTGGATCCTTCCACATTCTCCGATGTGGAAACCACATCCTGAACATACTTTTTCAAGATGTAGTGAAGAACCTAAAAGCAAACACAAAGTTTAGCTTGGCACTGGCACGTATCGCACGGCTGGCTCACAAGATAAAGCACTCTTCTCTTTTGAGGTCCTCCTTAATGAAAGCTTCAATCCCGTTGGTGCCTGCTGCATCAGAAACACGGTGGTTGTATATCTGGAGGCAAGTGACTACTTTTCTGAAATATCGCCAGCAGTACCTAACGTGGTTCGACAACTTCAAAAAGCTACCACAGAACAATTCTGCTGCTTCAAAAATCGAAAGATGTTTCGACCAAACCCCTGAGGAAGTTCATCTTTTGCAGTACTTCGTCGATTGTTGCTCAATTTTCAAAGTGCTGAATGACACTCTGCAAGAAGATTCTTTCAATCATCTCTCTAATGCGGTTCCTTTCTATTACACACTTCTGGAATATTATGACTTATGCGATGATGCCCACATGGAAATGATAGAGGAACCGAGAGAAGGAGCATTTGATTTTACCTTCATCAATGGAACACAAAATCTGCCGTTAGAAATGAAGAAAACGGTGCTTGATGCTGTTCTTTCTACTCGAAACAAATTCACCACTTATTTTCAGTACTTCGCAGAAAATGACCTTTATTTTGTCGCTGCGTTCCTGGATCCTTCGTCCAAAGATCAATGCTTCAACACGCTTATGACGGAGGACGAGGCTCAATTTCGACTAAGCAGAGTGGAGAGGTATCTGAAGTTTTACCTCAAGAAGTGTGAACCGAGAAAGCTCACTAAGTCAACTGAACTTGCCAAAAGATCTGTTAGAGGCACGCCACATCAAGTCATCAAATTACCCACAATTAACCGACGCGAAAAGCATTCACGTTATGGTGAGGCTTTTATGAGCAATCAGGCAGTCAGCGAGTGGGACAAATATAAAGCAGAAGAGCAATATACTGTGGACTTCAAAGAGGACCTTATACAATGGTGGTATGAACGCCGTGGCGCATATCCCAATTTATTTAGGCTTGCCGTGGCCCTTCTTTACACAAAATTTAGCACAAGCGGTCCGGAGAGAGCATTCTCTATTAGCGGGAAAGTCCTTCGCAAAGAAAGAAGAACTATGAGCAGCCTCGATTTCAATAGGTTGCTAGTCCTTAGAAATCGCTTCAAGGGCTGGGGTCTATTTGATCAAAAATTGACACCGCATGTCAAAGATTCTGATGAGGATGATGACTTTATAGAATGCTACTCTCAATTGGACGACGACGACTTGGAGTTTTAGTAGGTAAAGCTGGCATATCAATCGAATACAAAAATGCACCGATGAATTTAGTGCCTTTCTCTCGAATTACTGACAATATATTGGACTTACAAGCTGCCTACCCGTTTACGACCCGTTTACGACCCGCTTGTGGACATCCGGGTAGCGATATTATGATCCGGGTCAACCCGAAATACCGCTCTGCCAGTGCCAGCGACAAGTATCGTTTACAATATAAAAGTCTAAGACGTCAGTGAAAACGACAACCTGCGATTAGAGTTGCAATTAGGTTCGGAGCATAGATCAATAGCGGACGGCAAATCGGCCATTGTCTGGAGTTTGATAAGAATAATCTGGAAATATGATGACTCCACCTTTATAGTTGAAAACTGGCGCTTACTTACCGAAATCTTGAATATCCGCTTCCTATTTTTGAGGTATGACACGTAATGTAAGAGTGCTCGAATAAATTAAGTGCTCTTTTGGCAGGTGTCAGTATTGAGTATATCGATAAACAAAAGCTCCTCCATGGTATCCCACTAAAACAGTAGGCAAATGATCGAGCTAATACTAGAAAATCAGACCGACTGTTGAGCTGTGTTCACACCCCATGAGTTTGTAGCACGGATGTGTTAAGGTCACGTGACTAAATCTACAAAGGTTTACAACTCATAATGGTGGTGATGTCTCTTTGTTTTGGCAAGTGGTACGGTGTACTGCAAAGAAGTGCAATGTTCACATCTGTTATTTTCACGATGAGATCTTTAAAGTGCCAACTGCTTTTGCACCGCTACATTTTTAAGTTCAATTTATTATGGTGCCCTAATCGTCATTTTTCAAGTGGGGCGTGACTTTGAAAAAAATTTCAGTACTGTGAGAATTTGAAAACGAGTATATAAAGGACGAACTCAGCTTCTAGAGTATCTTTCTTCTAAGTTTACAATTACTCTTTTTTCACAAAACATTAACTTTGTCCAAAAGTAATCCACCGCATTAGACAGTACGACAGCCGAGCAGGGGTATTTTTCCGATAACGCCTAGGAATTGTTCTAATTTCTTTGTTTGAAGAAGTGCCCTGTATTTTTAGCACTTGCGCTTGATTCGTGATAAGCGTGTGGAGAGATGAACGATGCCCTTCTATAAGAACCCGTGAGGACCGAAAACATGATACTCGGGTGTCAGAGGATGGCCACAGTTTGCATAACGAGATAGAAAGTAGACTTGAAAGAATTTATAAACTCGTTTAGACTTGTAGACGATGGGGTGGTAGCCACCAAGTTGGCTCTAGTATTGAATTTTGACCTAAACAACTGTCATTCTGCTATCATGGCAGTGTCTTGGCTAGCTGGTCTGTTACAGAGAATTCTGCTGATGGGAATCTTTGGTACACTCATCATTTTGGACGTAAGTGACGCTCTTCAGGCACCTTCGAGAAATGCAGGCACCTGAGAGCCTGCACTTGGCGCTGTAGGTACGCAGTAAACGCTACCATCTATTCAAATACAACATATGTCCTCAGGAAACGCTCAAATTAAAGAAAAAAACAAATACACTTGTGCAAAACTGCTCTCGAGTAGCAGTTCTTCTTTTTTCTCTAAAAAAAACTATTCATTTCTATCATGCCAGTTATTCAAAAGGCCACCGCGTAGTCCGTAACCCGACGGCTATCCCGTAGCCTGGTATTTGCGCTGTACAATCGTACAAACAGTAGCGCGTTCTTTCTCATCATTAACATCATTAAAGAACTTTCCAAAAGGTCGTTTTTGCCCTAATTGCCATTTTTTTGTTTTAATATTTGGACCAACTGGAAAGTTCATTTTCTATCAGACAGCGAAGTATAGCTTCTCAGCATTTTACGCGTCTGCATAGTCCGTGCCAGCACAACACTACCACGATATTTCGGCAAGTTTTTTACTTTTCTCACCGCTGCAATTTCCCTGGCAATCACCACAACAGCCATCATTTTTATCGTTTTTCCCCGCTGGAGTTGTGCTGGGAGCCCCGTTGTCTGTGTCTAGCGTTACCATCCGCTGAGGAACAGGTCTTGTGTCGTGTTCCCGGGCTATAAGTGTATGGCACTCTGGGTCGTGTGACTTATGCTTCAGGTATATATAGTTATGCAACGCCATTTTTTGAGAGCTGTTGAGAGTTTGAACAACTTTAAAAGCTGCACCGATTGATACTGTAAGTGAAATAGGTGTTTTCTAAACAAACTGTGTGAAATAACGCTTCACAAAAGATGATTTGGTTGAAGAAACAAGTTGATCAGTTCTAAAAAGCTAGCTCCTTTAAATTAACTGTAAAATCAATTTTAGGTCTCTCCATCACTTCTTATAAATACACTACATATCGGTTTTTCGTCTCCTTGCGCTACGAGAAATTACGCCAGTGGTGTTACTCGTTCATACTGGTCGTCGTGAGTGGCCTTACACGTTGACTGCGCGTCGAAAGTGGTGTGAGCGTAGATCGTTTAACTACTTGCATTGTAGATTTTTTCGATATGCCCGAAAAGGGTAGCCCTGAGATTACATAATCAGAATGTGATCTCTTGGCGATTCAGGAGATTACCCGGCCAGAAAGGACGGACGAGTACACCAGAGGGCCCACTTCATGAGAGTACTCGCCGATGTGTGGCAAGATGCTGTGAAAGTTTGGTGTGTTAGCGACAGCAACCACAACGGTAGATTTCATTAGAAGGAGCTGGTTGTTTGAGCTGTGATTGTTTGTTTCGTCGACTTTCTGAATTAGTGCGCGTTAGGTGCATTTATTTCTCTTGTTATTTCAAAAAGTTTGTGGTGTCGTGCCACGAACTTTGAGAATGACACTGGTGAGTTGGAACATCGTTCCGATAGAAAGACTTTCCTTCAGCGGAAAAGACAGCTTATACGCCCACAAGTTCGCAACTGCGAACGTTTTCGAAAAGGTGAGTTTCTTCGTCAATAATGACAGCCCATTGAAAGGCCATTTGCACCTCTGTTGAGCAAGCTCACTTCTACCAAGCTGGTTCACAAGTAGGCTTCGGCCGCCCATTTCGGGCTTAGAAACATTTCTGGGATTCCAGCGGGTTTTTTTTTGGTGTTTTTCACTTGTGGCTTTTTCGAGTGGACAAAACCCTGGGAGAGACTTATTGCTGGCATGTTTGCATAGCAGTCTGTTTCACGGAATTCACAACATAAAGTTAGAAGTCATTGGGAAGCACATCAGCTTGAATCTTCACATCTCGCATGGGACATAGCACCCACGTGATTTCAGGTGTTGTCTAGTGGAGGCGGTGTCTTGATATCCAACACGCTTAGTCTGTAGATCCGTATTGGGGCCAAATCGGTTTCCTTCACACCCACTATTTCCGTCTCCAGGCCCTTTCTTTCACATTGGTTCTCGAATTCCGCCAACGTCCCTTCATTACGTACCGTTGCCGCTATTAGTGCAAGTTTGGCACCATTATGCAGCGCTGAAGCTAGAGTCTCCACAAGACTCGGTACAACTGTTTTGTCATAAGTAACATCTGCAGCAAGTACCACATCCACGTCAGGCACAGTATCCTCCCCCCACCACAATCGCTGGAATTTGTATTTATCACTCGATTTTAGCCCATTTAGCTTGAAGTTGGGATATGCGCTTTGCTCGATTAAGCGTGAGTCTCCATCAGTTATGTACAGCTCGCTGGTATGTGAACCATGCACTTTGGCCCATGCCATGCTCACAAGACCAGTCCCAGCACCCAGTTCCAGCACTTTAGAAACAGGATCCAGATCTCCCAAAATCGATGCATTTTGGGCTATCAGCTCGCCCAAAAACAGCGCAGCTTCCCAGGTTCTAAAACCGGTGGTACCTGAAGCACTCAGCAAAAACGGCTGCTCTTCCACTTCCAATGCAACTTCTGGCCCCAAAGTGTATCGAATAATATCTTTGAAGTTTGCTGGATCCGGTGCAGGAACTGAAAGAAGTTCCACATACTGTTCGAATACCCATTCACTGAGTTCCAGGCCCTTGTTAATCAATTTCACACCTGAGCTGGATTCGCCATCTAGTAGCTCACTGTGGTCACACAGTGCTTTTAAAAGTTTCTTGAGGTAGAACGGGTTTCTTGAACGTATTACTTCCAACTGCTCGATAAATTCGGTTACATCTAAGACGACGGCATTTTCTAATGCAGACAGAGCAATTGGAACACTTGCACGCTGGTGAATAAGCTTGTAAAATTCTGCCATAAAACTTCAAATGCGTAAGTCTCGGTTCTAAAAAGTTTAGTCTTTGTCTACATCGAAATCTTGCAGTTCAAATATATTAAGTTATACAGTGATAAGGCCCGAGAAGAAGAAACGCTTTGCTCAATATCCAAGGACTCTTATTCTTTTAACTCCACCATCTGGGATAATAGTGAGCTTTACATGAGTTGTGGGCGCCAGGTTTTCTAGTTCAAATTGGTGCTCCAAGTCGGGTCCAGTTTTTGACTTCTCGACCAAGGTGAACCAGCGTGAATCATCATGCGTTGGTGCTTTGTCTGAATTTGAATTATCTAGACCATGCACAGTGACGTACTGTGGGAAATTTCCCCGGAAATGTGCGGTGTCGATTATTATGCCAGAAATTTTAGTAGTGCGCTTTCCTAGTTGTATGATAGCCCAGTCTACATGACCTGGAGAGCGTGAGCGCTTGGTTTCCCATCCATCAGACATGTCGTGGCCACGGCCCGGCAGCAGCAAGTTGTCAGCGGATCCGAAATGCTGGTCCGAAACTTTCAAGGCAACACCACCATTGCATGCAGAAGCGAGGTCTACTGGGGCGCCGTCAACGGAGCCGGTTAAAAGACGAGCGGGAGGTACCACACGCCCGTACAGTCTAAACCTGGCGATCCCGCCGTCAGGGTACATTTTCAGTTTAATGTGGGTGTACTTTTCGGTAGTGGCGTGCTCGCGGAGCATCAAGTGCCGCTGAGACGGTCCGCATTCCTTTTTAGGTATGACCTCTTCCCAAAGAGGGCTATTTTCAGCTATGTTTTCGCCATCGGAACCATCTTTTTCAAAGTAAAGACCTTCCACAGATATGGCAGGTGCGTGGTTCCCATTGAAAAATGCAGTATCAACTTCGCAGCCAACAATGTGAGCTGCTGCAACGCCCATCTTTAGGATGACCCAGTCGTACTCGGCCGTATTGTGACGACGCGTTTCCCATCCATCGTACCACGCACCTGCGTGCACAAACTTTGTAGCGTCTCTGATTGGTGCTTTGGGTTCGATAAGGTTCTTTGCTTCTGCGAACCATTCGTCTGAGCAGCTCAGGACTCTACCACCTAGCTTGCGGCCCACAACGTCTACAGCTTTATGCTGTGCGGTCACGGCCGATGAAAATTGTTGATCTTGGTCTGCTGAGAAGTATTGCATCCTGAATGGAGTTTTGGTTAAAAAGTCGAATTGTGACTTTGGAGCAACTCTCAAATCTGGGCACTGGAAAGGAAGCCTATATTCAATATCAAATCGATGATTTCACACCTATAGACTGCGATCAAGCCCAAAAAAAGAGGTTGAATTAAAGTTGACTCTTGAAGTGAGTTATCTTTAGTCCAGCTAATAGGACTTGGTCACTTTTGATCAATGAATGTTCGATTGAGTTCAGCGGAAAGAGGAGAATCCTTAAAAGCGTCCAGAGCTTTTTTCCATTATCAAAGAAGCCGCTTTTTATGTGCAGCTAGTGATAGCGGGCCGGTGGGAACCTCTTGATCATTATATCTGAAATCCAGAGTTCGGAGTTGCCCGAGTTATGTTGAGACCGCACAAACCCGAAATAACAAAGACGCACGTGACTGCTATCAACAAAAACAAGCATACTCATCGCAGCTGCGATGAGGGTGGTCAACAACGTTCTGTGAAGTCTTCAAATGAGACACGGGCGAGAGGAGCTGTGGAGTTGGTTTGTGAATTCACTGGGAAGACATTGCGCGGGATTGTTGGGAGATCCAAAAGAGTTGATTTTCAAATAGTCAATTGTTTTGGGTACCGGGTGTGTGTGTGTGTGTGTGTGTGTGTGTGTGTGTGTGTGTGTGTGTGTGTGTGTGTGTGTGTGTGTTTGTGCGCTTGTCTGTTTGTTAGCAGATCCGCTGGAAAACAACCAAAACAAGTCGACTTTTTCCTCTTCATTTGGGAAAGTCAGATTAGTTTGCTTTGAAACCGATCTACCGTTGCTTGATCAATTCAAATTAAGCCGGCAACCACACGAACCTGTACTTTCTCTGGGCTGATTTATTGGGGACGTCAAAATGACTGTTTTGTCCTGAGGTAACGAGGAATAGTCTTTAGCTGGATATAATAACTTCGAAGAATTCGCAAGCTACGTCGATAGTTCAATTCCCATTGCTCGGTTGCGGCCACAAATATGGTATCTGTGGTGCGGAGTCTTAATCCCCTTGGACATCGCAGCCATGTTTCAACCATCCACAAATGATGAAATCGGGCTTTGAAAAAACGCATTTTTCAGCACACTATCATCATGAATAATGTAAGTTTCATTTAGGAAAGCTACACAGTCTCGTCCATACCATTTGGTACCAACAGTTGTGTGTTTTGCTAGGTAAAAAGTTGTGTCAAACCTGGTTTGCCGCTGATATCTTGTAATTAAAGGTCAATTTATTCATCAATATGGAATTCGTGTTAAGTGATACAATAACCTCTCATTAAAAAAGCAGTCTGAAAAGTCACAGTTTTTTCTAAAAACCATTCAAAAATGCTTGTTATGTAGTTCGAATCTAAATATCTTCATTTTGGGATCGTCAACTCCTCTTATAATGAGATCAACTTCTAACTTTCAAATATTTTCGGCATCGTCTTTAAAGTTTCGCGCCGTGAGAAATGACCATGTACCCTTTGAAAAATCGAATATTAAGGTATTTAAAAAGAGACCTGGTGAAGAGCAAAAACCTTGAACTTCAACTTCACGAATCCAGCTCCAAATAGTCCGACTACATCCATTATAGCTGCTTTTAACTCTTCAAACGATCGATCTGGTTTTTCATGACCTTTTCAAGCTTGAAATTCACTCCAGTGGAAGACATTGACGACATTGTCGTCCAAAGCAGGAAAGCTTATGATGAAAGACAATGGCACCTGTATCAAAGCAAGAATCCGAGAAAGGAGGACTTGAAACTTAGACTCAAGCAGTTGCAGAACCTATACTACGGTATCAAGGACCATGAGGATGAAATCGTTGAGGCGCTGAAAAGCGACTTCAACCGTAGCAGTTACGAAACTTTTGTCATTGAACTGATTCCGCTTTACAACCATCTCCTGCATCTCATCGATTGCTTGCCCCGCTTGATCGAGCCCCAGAAAATCTCCGAGTCTTCCGATTTGTTCAAACTGAGCTCCGTCACCGTTGAAAGAATCTCATTGGGGTCCGTGCTGGTCATCGCGCCCTTCAACTACCCAGTTTTGTTGGCACTAGACCCCGTGGCTGCGGCAATTGGAAGCGGAAACTCGGTTGTGTTGAAACCCAGCGAACAAACTCCTGCAGTAGCTCAAGTCATGGAGAAAATTCTAAATACTTCACTAGACCCATCGTGGATCAAGGTTGTTCACGGCTCAGTGAAGGAAACGGGAATACTCATCAACCATCCACACTTTGACAAGATCTTTTACACGGGATCTACCAAAGTGGGTCGAATTGTGGCCGAAGCCGCAGCCAAAAACCTGATTCCTGTCACCCTGGAACTTGGAGGAAAGTCTCCGGTCTTTATCACAGAGCACTGTAATCCAGGCAATTTGAAAACTGCGCTGAAAAGAGCCTTTTCCGGTGCCTTCAGCAACAGCGGACAAACATGCATTGCATCCGATTACTTGTTAGTGCACGAATCGCAAGTCGCGAAAGTGAGGGAGTTGACTAAAGAAATTTTGGATGAGTTCTGGCCCACTGTAAACTCCTCAACAATTGAAACAGCCATGATTCACGATAATGCTTACAAAGGTGTTATTGAAAAGCTAAATAGCACCCGTGGTGAAAAGGTACAGCCTTCAGATGCCAAAGGTGAGCTGCCTAACAGACGCATTGTTCCTACTGTTATTATGGGTGTCGACTGGGACGATGCTTTAATGAAAGACGAGAATTTTGCTCCAGTGCTACCGGTCATTTCGTACCGTAATCTTGATGATGCTGTTAGAAAGGTTTTGAAGGAACATCGCAATCCTTTGGCGATGTATATCTTTTCTCAAAATAAGCAAGAAGTCGACAAAATCATGACAATCGTCAAATCTGGTGGCTGCATGATCAATGACACCCTTCTCCATGTAGTAGCAGTCGATGCTCCATTTGGAGGTATCCGTGAATCTGGACAAGGCAACTACCACGGAAAGTGGAGCTTTGCTGCCTTCACGCACGAGAGAACAGTCGTCAAGCAGCCGTATTGGATTGAGTTTGTCAACGGCGTCAGGTATCCACCTTCCTCAACAAGGAAGCTCAAATTGGCGCGTGCAACAATTGAGAAAAAACCGGGATTCAAAAGGGATGGATCAAAAATCTGGCCAGTAGGAAAAATCGTGTTTTTCTCTGCATTGACCGTCTTGGCCGCCAGCGCATTGAATTATGTGCCCGTCGAGTAATCGATCCAACGAAATGAAGACAAAATTGATGGTGATATGTTATTACGAAATTCGTCTCTTTCTAAGAGATATGTTTATGAATGTACAGTTTTTAGTTTATGAATTGTATCCGAGTTTACTATGAATATCTCCACTTCCTGTTTACAATTCACCAATCATCGTCAGAAGCTTGATCATTTTCATCGTCGCTTTCTTGGCGCATTTTGTCAGCTCGCGCCGCAAGGGCCGATGTAAGAGCGTCTGTCGATACATTGGCAGACGAATCAGCGGAAACCGCAGTAGAAGCCGCATTTGAGCCGACAATCGCACCCGATGCCACAGCACCGAAATTGGTCGCACTCGATGAGGAAGTATCCACATGTCGCGTTGGGGCCGCCGATTCAGCGTCGTGGTGCTCAGCCATGTAAGCTGTTGGCACCCAGCCTTCCCTAGAGCCGTCAAGAGTCTTGGCTAGCGACCAACCACTTGGTTCTTGTTTAGAGATGTAGACGACATCGCCACGTTTGAGAGGTAGCTCCGAAGGCGATCCGGTTCCAACAAAATCATATGCTGCTACAAACTTGGGCGCCACAGGCTTTGCAACTGGTGGTGGTGGAGGTGGCGGCGGAGGAACGTATGATTTTTTGACTGGCTCGCTGTAAGATGTTGCTGGTTTTCTTTCAGTGTCGCGATTAACCGAGCCGTTGAGAGCACCTCCAGAATTTGGTTGATTGTTTGTTTGAGTCGCGCTTCCCCGGTGAGCCGTCTGTTGTGGGTGATAAACAGCCTGTGCAGCAGACGCAGCAACATTTGCCGTTGCATTTGACATGGTGGTAGCTGGAATCTGTTTTTTTGCAGGAGGAGCTGGGGGAACTTTCTTCTGCCTAGTTTGTGGTGCCGGTGGTTTCGCTGGAGCTTTTCTAGGTTTTGGTTTCGATTTCGAATTCGCCGGATGCCCTTTGCGAACAGAAATTGTGCTAGATTTGTAAAAATCTCCATATTTGGGAGCGGACTCATTTATCTGACATTTGACGAGATGAACTTTGCCGGGCTTCTTCTGATACTCCAGCGTAGGACCAACTTTAACCTCGATTTTGCTGTTCAATTTTTTGAGATGGGTTATCAGCTCTGTCTTGAATGGCGTGTTGATAAGAGGATCTGGTTGCGTCGGGTTTGTTACAAAGACACCAATCCAATCGTCTTGCAAATTTGTGAGACTGACAAATTTGATTTGATTCACGTCAACTTTATTGTCAACGGTGTACGTGATCTGATTTTGGGCGGCAGTTTGACCAATCACGTACAGCGTTGAACGAGTTAGTATTATGGTTTTCCTCAGTCTAAGCGCCGACCGCCCGAACTTTGAATGCAGCGACTCACCGTTGATGGAGAATACAACTTTGTCCGAAATGCCTGCTTGTCTTTTGATATAGGCTCCTTTAGACTTTGACTCATTGCAGGATAAATAATCTCCCAAAAATGCCCTATAACCCAAAAGAGACATGCTTCTCCTCTCCTTTCTATTAGCCAGCAGTTTAGTTCCATAGTCTCTGAGCTTTTCGAACTCATTTCCGCCTTTCTTCTCTCTTATAGCTCGCTGAATCCTACTAGCTGCATCGATTCTTCTCAATAAAAACCTGCGCCAGGCCCTCTGGATTCTAGCAGCCATGTTGTGCCAATATTTGTCCCTCATGTTTTCGAGTGCAAAGAGCGATTCAGGCGTTTTGATAAAGACTTTACTGACACCAAGTTGATATTCCGATGTCGGAATGGATGCATCCTTCAGTATGAGTTTAACAGCGTCAAGTGTGTCTCCTTTCCAAGTGTAATCGCCTGCGTACGAACATTGCGGCGAAAGTAAGTAGAATCGTTCCACAAATTTATCAAAAGTTTGCCTGTAAGCAAAACCAGCCCTTCTAATACGCACATTCTCTTGAAGACCAAGGTATTTGACTTGATGCAGCACTTGTGCATCATTGAAGTCATTGGGCGACTTTGTCTGGTTGGGTTTGATCGTTCTAATATACGATGGTTGGGCCTTCGACAGCGTCTCAACAAGTTCGTTTGCACTCTTAATAATTTTATCACCTGCAGAAGGCGGCCTTCTTTTAGATCCATGATCTACGGAATCGGGGAATATAGTGGACAAAAATGAATTACTTGTAGTCTCAATTAGTTCTGCCAAGTCTTTTTGTAATTGATCTTTGTTCTTGTCAGTCATTCCGTAGATGTCATACGTTACATCACCAGCATAATGCTTGATTACGAATTTTGATCCTCTCAGATCGAAATGGGCATTGCTGTTGAAAAGGTTGAGCCTCTGTGCAAAAGCTTGATCAGCAGCATCAGAATCTGCATGTGCTGTAGCAACAGAGTCATTCATTGCCGCAATAATACCAGGGGGTCTCTTAGCTTCGATCAAGTCACATACCACTCTGTTGTCAAAATATTTGATTGGGGACCACTCGATTTGCTCTCTAGCATACTCTTCTTGCTCAGATTTGAGGGTAAGCTGAATGAAGATCTGCTGCAGCTTTTCGTTCACATAATTAATGCAGATCTGCTCGAAGGAGTTGAAGTCGAAAATCTCAAATCCATAGATGTCCAGAATACCAATCGACTTGTCCGCTCCTGGAAAAGCGTGCAGAGACACGTTGACCCTTTCCACCACCCAGTCGAAGAGATTATTGTAAATGGCCTTCGCTAAAGCGTCTTTGACAGCGGTGGCTTGCACGATGTTCAGTGGCACATGGTAAACAGATCCTCTTTTCATGCCGTGGTTAGTTTCCAGAACTCTTTCAATTAGGGACTGACACAGCAGCTGCGAATCCACCTGGAGCAAGTATGCCACAAAGTCTGTTACTGAAGTATCACGCACTTTGGCATTACCCTCTTCGTTTTCCACAAACGAAATATTTCCGATCCAAAGAATAGCGGCCAAAAATCTGAAGACTTCGTCTTGTTCTTGCTGTGTGATTCCTATCACCTGCATGGCTTTTAATGTGTCCTGGAAGTCCTTTGTATCGTCGATTGTGTCCACTGACGTGCACCCAGATGCTGACGTGTAAACATACTGCTCTGGGGGCTGTATGCCAAAGGTTTGTCTATAGTTTTCCGATGCGCCCTTAGTGAACTGGTAAAAGATGTGAAAATTCCTCTCATTCTTGAGCTGGCTAACGACTCTCTGTTTTTCCAGTAAATAATTGGTGATATTTCCCGCACATGGCTCGAACTGGGCATTAAATCTGATTTCCAGGTATTTTCCATGTCTTGAAGAATTGTTGTTCCTTAAAGTCTTGGCACACCCGAACGACTCCAGTAAAGGATTGGTTGCCAACACCATGTCCTTAATTTTCCCGATCGAGTCAGAGTGCGTGTCAGATGCAGCTGCAATGTACTGCATGATTCTTTTTGCGGCTTCCGTTTTCCCTGCTCCAGATTCTCCTGAAATAATAACGCACTGATTCTCGTTATAGGCCTTTAAGTTATAGTACATGGACTCTGCAATACCAAAAACATGTGGGGGAACCTCCAATCTGTTCTTGCCCATGTAGCTGCGAAGCACGCTGTCGGTGTAGATCCCCAAATCACGAAACGGGTTGACACTGATCAGTACATGTCCAATATACGTGTAAATGGTACCGTTCAAGAACCTTTTCTTCAAATTTTCATTGATCGACTCGTCTGATATCTTAGAAAGTAATGTCAAGTCCGAAACGCCAACCTCTTTCTTCTTTCCAGACTCAAAAGTGGCCTTTTTGATCTGGCCAGATCTCTTAGCAGGCTCGGCTGCCGTCTTGTTTCTAGCACCTCTTTTGATTATAGCCATATTGGCATGTATTGCTAGATATTCAAGACTATGAGTGTCCTCTTACAAGTGAACTTTGGGACAGTTTATGTTTCGGTTCAAGCAGTGTGGATAATTTGAAGCCCCTATAGCTAACGCATTTGTTGATAGCATTGTACACGAAGGGCTTTTGAAAGTTAAATTTGATAAACTTTTGACCTCTCTATGTCAACATCTTGTTAATCTGATGACTGGCCACAGTAAGATTATCGTTGAGCAATTGTTAAAAATGTTGTTCAGCTTTTAATGTTTTGATTATATGATACATGACTGATCATCTGAGGAAAGATTTTGATATTGATGCTCTGCCTTTGTAAATCGTTTAGACGTATATTCCAAGACTCCCTTCCATTGAAGGCGGTTCTGGAGATGCAATGCTGGATAAAAGCAACAGTTTTGTTCTGCTTTAATCGCAAGACCGATCAGTGCTTACCACCTGTACGTTGACGACGAAGCTCGTTCTGCTTTCTCTCGGTTTCAGCGTCAAAGTTGATAAATTCATCGAGACCCTTACCAGCGGGAACCATAGGTAAAACGGGTACTTTCTTCTCCACGATTACCTCCAAAAGCACAGGACCATCGTGATTCACGAACTCGCGAAGTGTGGATTCCATATCTTCTTGCTTTTCGAGTCTCAATCCCTTTAGGCCCATAGCATCAGCTAGCTTCATGAAATCAGGGTTCAATTGGTGAGTGTGCGAGTAACGGTGCTCGTAAAACAACGATTGCCATTGTGTAACCATACCTTGCTCTTCGTTGTTCAATACCATGATTTTCACTGGAGTGTTTGCCTGAACAGCACTGCTGAGTTCCATTAGAGTCATGTTGAAAGAAGCGTCACCATCAATATCGATAACCAAAGCATCAGGCTTGGCAACTTGGGCGCCAATGGCAGCGGGCAAACCATAACCCATAGTACCCAGGCCACCGGAGGTGATGAAACTGCGAGGCTGTGTCCAAGTCCAATGCTGAGCGGCCCACATTTGATGTTGGCCAATACCTGTGGTAACAATGACCTCCCTCTTATCAGCATTTGCGATGTCCGAAAGCTTACCAATAACGGTTTGAGGTTTGATTCTAGAACCGGTGCTTTCTCTTTGGTAATCGTACGGGAATTCTCTCTTCCAGCTTTCGATCTTGTCCAGCCATTCCTTGCGCGATTCTACGGTGTTGATCAATGGAAGTAGGGTCTCTAGATTGTCGCTGACATCACCCTCTACAGCGACTTGCGCTTCGACGACCTTGTTGATGTTTTTTGGTGAAATTTCAAAGTGGATAATACCACCTCTGTTTTCAAGAGCTGCTTTGCGGGCTTCCGGGGCGAACTTGGGCACACTACCGGTGACACGGTCATCGAAACGGGTACCCAAAGCGATAATCAAATCAGCGTTCTGCATGGAAAGATTAGCAAATGCGGATCCATGCATACCCAACATGTCAAGGGACTTAGGGTCATTCTGGTCGAAAGCGCCTAGACCGAGTAGAGTGGTGGTGACTGGGATTTGAGCACGCTCACTTAGCTCGCGTAGCAATTTGGGACCCTTTTCAGAACCCAAAATACCACCTCCTACATAAAGCACGGGCTTCTTCGCGATGTTGATCAAGTCCGCAGCCCTTTCAATGTTGGAAGCAGTGAATTCGTGTGTAGCACTTTTGGTAAGCTGAGCTAGTGCAGAGGATGGAAGCGTTGTGTTTACTGGGATTGGGTTCTTGAGGACGGCAGAAGTCACGTCTTTGGGTAGATCCACAAGCACAGGGCCTGGTCTGCCGCTGACGGCAATTTCGAAGGCCTCGTTGATACGACGTGGCAATTCATCAATGGTCTTGACCATTACGTTCCATTTGGTGCATGGTCTTGAGATACCAACGACATCGGCTTCCTGGAAAGCATCGGTACCGATAGCAGAGGTGGCCACTTGGCCTGTGAATACCACCATAGGAGTACCATCGACCAAAGCATCGGCCATCGGAGTGACAACATTGGTGGCACCTGGTCCTGAAGTCACCAAAACGATACCTGGCTTACCGCTGGCACGAGCGTAACCTTCAGCCATGTGGCCTGCACCTTGTTCATGCTTGGGGAGCACAAAGTTGAAGTATTTGCTGTCGTGAATAGCATCGTAGACCGGCAGAATGGCACCACCAGGGTATCCAAACACGGTGTCGACGTTGTGACGACGCATCATTTCGTGGAAAATCTGACCACCGTTTAGTCCGATGAAAGAATCGTCCATCCCGGCGTGATTCGAAGCGGAATGCTCGGCTTTCTTCACCCGTTCTGCAGCATGTTTGTTGTTATTTTTGCTCTTTTGCGTTGGATCCATGTCGAAGCTTGGCGCTGGTCTTGGTCTGGAATCGCCCTGCGTTCCAGTTTTCACAGCTGATGCGCTATAGAGCCGCAGAGTGCCCACCGAGGTATATTTGGTGGCGCGGATAGCCGAAACACCACGTCTGAGCGCTGTTCTACTGGCACTGGCTCTCATTTTGGTAGTGAAGTGTGTCTAAGAAACAGATCGAAATTCAATAGCTTGTGCACGCGCTAGTGGTCCAAATTCAAAGCCGAAAAAAGCACGAAATTATCAAACTGAAATCCTATTGATCTAATCAAGTCCTGACACTTGAAGAAATAAAATCGGGCTCTTATAAGTGCTTAGGCGGTGAGTCTTTTCAACTGCTAATGTCACTAATCGCTTGAGAAATCGAGAATAAAAGCAGTGTGAAAAATTTTAAAGATTTCGAAATTGAGTCATAAAGAGATGAGATGGTGATGAAATTAATATCAATTACTCATTTCCACTGCGTACAAAGTGAGGTTGGTCAAAGTATGCATGGAAGCATATAATGCATAGTTGTGCATGCATGTGCATAACTGTGCATGCGGTTGCTAGTGGTTTCGGATTGATGCATTATTGAGCTGAGCAAATGTCAATTGACGATAAAGACAACTCGTGAGTTGAGTTTTGATGGTGCTAGTGTTTTACAGTTGTGTTTGGAGATCAGGTAGCTATTTCGCTGAGAACGAAGTAGAGGCGGGAGAAAAAGAACGGTATGGGTCAGGAAACTCAGAAAAGGGAGACAATTATGGGAAGCGGAACTCGAAAAGATTGAGAACAAGGAAGAGAACAGGTAAGCGTAGAACTTATTAATACGGAATGTGATTGTGCTCGCATAGGCAAGACCATTCGATCAAAAATGAAATGCTTATAATTGTAAGATAGTCACGTGCCAAGTCATATCTGCTTTACAATAAGAATGGGGTCAGAATGGGCATTATGAACTACAATTGAAGAAGGTATCCCACACATACTCTCCATTAAGTTCGAGAGGCTTTACATGATTTTTTATTAGTCGTGGTAAAATACATTACCGCCTGTATGCACGACAGAAGAGAAAATCAATATCAACGACAAAAACAGGTTATCTTTGGGTTGTACTACGTAAATGATATCCAGTCCCCCCATATCAATGCCAAATTTGGATCCGAACGGTCTGTTAGTTGAGAATTGGTGTTCAGAGTGCTGGCTTTGAACAGGTGCACGAATAAGTTACCTGGCTCTCCAAGACCACGATCAAACACTTGACAATGGTTTCGCTGGGATCAAAACATCCGTTGCAAAAGCAAAGGTGAATGCAACAAGTGAAGTCCTTCAAGCAAATATCTTTCCTTTTTATGGCCAAAAATTGAAGCTACTGCTTCGTACTGAGCGTACTGAGCTTGCGTGGTGGTGCTTTAGGCTGCTTAAGCGAAGCCCTCTTTAATGGACAAACACCTCTTCAGAAAACAGCTTTAATGTAACCTTGACGCTTCATCACTAGTTTAGCTGGATACCCGTCTGGTCATCCGTGTGGTCTCCCTGACATTTGAGCGGTATATACAGCTGATAGAGACTTTCCAAACGCTGTCACCTCGACACGTGGTCTTGATTATTTGCAGATGAATCTGACGCTAGGTATAGGAAGTCAATCTGACACCCCGCAACTCCGAGGACAACACCTTTCGATCTTAATCAATACTGAAAGTTCTTCTCGAAGATGCTCCGATGAGAACAAATTAGTTGGCGTTGTTGTTGTTTTTGTTTTTTTGTATAAACATCAATTCAAAATTCCAAACAAACCGCAGAACGAGACTATCATCCTGCCTAGTCTTACTTATAAAAAAAGTATCATTTCACATAACATGAGACCGCCCAGCTTCAAAAGTTCACCCGGTTGTTGGGTTCGCCCTTGCGGAGCGACTTCATTAGTTCGTTAAGTTCGCCCTGGGACATTTTTGACACATCGACCATGTGGGGCACTCCAGCTGTCTCCTGTAAAGCTTTGGCGTCCAGCTTGGAAGCATCAGAGGCAGGGCCTAAGAGCTCGTTCTTATCCAGCTTCTTGTTTTTTGGGGCATGGTATTCGCTTGAATACACGTAATCTGTTTTGGTACCGCCCGTGTTGGACGCACCTCCAAACATGCGTTGGTTCGAGGAGTGTTTATTCTTGTTGTAGACTTCAAAGGCGTCAAATATTCCACCCATTGTAATTGTGTGTTACTAATGTTGTGTTGCAATTCTTTTGTAGAGTTCTGTACAAAACTGGTTGGTAGAAGTGAGGTCCTAAATCGAAATAAGTCTCGCTATTTATACCTCGAGGAAGGGAAGAAGTCGATCCTTGGAATCAGTAAAGGTCTCCCCTATTTTTACCGGGTCATCAGCCCGACTCCGATTATTTTATTGGAGAGAAGCGGGGAAACGGTGTGACGCTCAGAATTAGAAATTAAGGGTCTACCGCGAGTACTTGAGAAAATGGACGAGTACATTGAATTTAGCTCGAGTACGAATTCCAGGAAACCTCACGAGTACCGGAATTGAATGCTCTCGAGATGTCAGTTAAAGAAGAATGGACGTCGAAGAGCAGAGAGAAAGGATCCGAACTTATTCATCCACCATGTTTGTAATTGTTGTTGATGTCGTTCGTTCACAGTAGTAGTGGAAGTGCCTTTAACTTATAGCCCTAAATTTGCCAGTGCTTTCATCTTAAAAGTTCTACTGTAGTTTTCGTGGTGGGCCCCATTTTGAAGCATTTATCTCGTTAAGTCTGCGCTTGTAAACCATCCGAGCACAAATCCAAAATTATTCAAATTGACGCGACTACGCTATACTAAATATTCTTCTATACAGGTGAAATTTAGTTGGCAGTCATGACTTGCCAAACTCTGATGACGTTGTCGGTGTAACCGGCGAACAAAGTTTGACCGTCAGCGGACCAGGCCAAGGAAATGGCGTGTGGGTCGGCGGCCTTGGTGTAACCAGCGAATTCTGGTCTTAGCTCGTCAACAACCTTTCTTTCTTCCAAGTTGAAGATCTTGATACCAGAAGAGGTGGCAGCAGTCAACCAGTATCTGTTTGGAGAGAAGGCAACGGCGAAGACCTCGTCTTGGGCGTTCAAGGTGTACAAGGCGGTCTTGGCGCCCAAGTTCCACAACATGATTTCACCATCCTTACCAGCAGAGGCAACTAGAGTTCCATCTGGGGAAGCAGTGACGGTGTTGACGTAGTTGTTGTGGCCGATGAAGTCGGCTTCGATTTGGAAAGAGTGCAAGTTCCAGACCTGAACAGTAAAAGTTAGTAAAAAATTGCTTTGGAGATGGGGGTCTCCAACATGGATGGATATGCAGAAAATGGCTATTCCTCCTTCTTCTGCAATTTGGATTCGACATCAGAGATCTTGGTGATAAAGATATGTCTCATTCGGGCTCCGAAAGCCCGTCCGAAGTAGCAAATATAGTATAACATCATGTGTCGTAAGTCCAAAGCAGAAGATTAAGCTTTTTCAAGCTTTCTAGCTTGCATTCCCATCTGGTATTGATTTCCCCTCTGTCCCTCTGGAGTTTTTTTTGACTTATTATTAACATACCTTAACGACCTTGTCCATACCGGCGGAGATGACGGTAACAGTGTCGTCTTCAGCGTTCTCGTTAGGAGCAACTCTGACCTGGGAAACCCAGTCGTTGTGACCCAAAAGGGTGACCATACATTCACCCAAAGTGTTCCACACCTTGACGGTCTTGTCACGGGAGGCAGACACGATTTGAGAAGCGCGTCTGTCGATGGTGACGGACAAAACGTCAGACTTGTGGCCAACGAAACGCTGGATACACTTACCGGTGGCAAGTTCCCACAATCTCACGGTCTTGTCCCAAGAGGCAGACAAAGCGTACTCACCGTCTGGGGTGACGGTACAGTCCTGAACGATGTGAGAGTGACCTCTGAAAGATCTGACTGGGACACCGTATTTCTGGTCATCACCGGTCAATTTCCAGGTGATTAGAGACTTGTCACGAGAACCAGACAACAATAGGTTTGGTTGAGCTGGAGAAGTGGCCAACGAAGTGACCCAGCCGTTGTGGCCTTCCAAAGTACCTCTTAGAACTAGAACCTCAGCAGAAGACATGTTTTATGTTAGTTGCGTTGCGGATTGAAGCGAAGACCAACTCAAAAACTACTAATTGTTGCCCACTTGAAGCTAACTTCGATCAAGTGAATTGTGATAGTACCACATCCCGACGCTGCCCTAGGCCCACTACCAGAATTCTGAAATTTTTCAGTGCGTGGGTAAGCGTGAAAAATCCCAGAGTGCGTAGATACCGGTCCGTACTCGCGTCTGGAATTTACGCTGACGATTACACTCGTACAATGTGACTAATACACACGTGCTAAGAGGACTGGAATATACGCTGGGTGGTGTTAGGATGTATGCGTTTGATACCGCAATTAACAGCACGGACATGTTGTGACTGCTAGCATCCGAACATTTTTTGCAAAAAAAGATAGACTGAAAAAAAAACGTGCGTGAGAAACTGGATTGCATTGGGAAAGGTTAACGGAGGGTAGAGAACGAGCACGATTATGATGACGAGTACATGAGCACGCGTGATGACGAGTACAATCACAATTGTAGTTTCGTAGCAGATGACCCAATCTGACTAGCGCTTGGTGGTAGTGAAGATAGTGACAGGAGAAGAACCCAGGCCCGGTAGTTAATTGACAGATCTTAAAGGTCTGGGTTGGTGACAAGCTTTTCTTCTCAGAAAATTTTAAAGTGAGAACGTCGCTGACGACTCAAACGTACGTAGTGATGAATGGCAACAAAAATCTCTATCTTAGGAGACGTAGGCCAGATAGAACTGGTATAAGAGATGGTTTATTCTTGTTTCAGCTTTTTCCGTCGTATTGTTCTTCTGTTTCTCGATATCGCTGTGATATTTAAAGATTGCGCGTCCAAACTTGACATTCGGAGAAAAACTTCCCAGAGAGCTCAAATCGATGAATTTCTGAACAGGATAAGTTAAAACATGTAATTTTCATTTGTATAAACGTAGCTTCTAAATAGAGTGTACCAGACGTCGCAATTGAATTTTGTTGTAGTAACAAGATGTCTTAACCCGTTGAGTGTCACACTAGGTTAGATTACAGTTCTTGTCGTTTCTGCTTCAACCTGTCATTAGGGCTGATCACGTGACAGAAAACTCTTAAATTGATAGCTTCTGCACTGGATATTCAGAAAACAACGTTGAATAATGGCAAATCTTGGTAGACCAGGATTTCAATGATTAGGAAGTGGCATATCTTTGGTTTTAAATTCATTTAGATCAGAAAATTGTCGCTTGACAAATGAGTCTGGCGCAATGTCTTCTCACGGACGAGACCGGGCAAAAACACCTGCTTTCAATTGAAGTGAGAAATCGCCCCAATTAAATGTGAAAATTGATTATCGCTTAGCGTGAGAGAAATCAAAACCTCATTAAACAGCCAACCTTTCCAGTTTATGTTGCTAAAGCCTTCGCCTTTACTGGCGTAAATTAATAAATTAGTCATCACGTGACCTCACGACAGCAACTGTTATTGGTGACAAGGATCTTAACTTCCATACGTTACCGTTGCGTCTGTGCAACTTGTCCTTTGTGCTGTATCGTCGTCAATTGTGGATGAAATTCTCTTGTTTGGGAGCTGTCAGAGCTTCTCTTTCTCAGTTACATGCAACTAAATTATTCCATCCAAAAATAGCCACCTTTTTAAAAAGGCTTGCCGAATGGATTACTTCCTAGCACACAGGATAACCATTTGAAAAACCGAATCTTGAGGTATTATAAAATGTTTCCTCTTATCCCGAATTCCCTTATTCCTGATGAATTTTCCAAACTTTCTAGGTTAAGCCAATTCACGACTAACACAACGAAAAGACCTCTGAGAGACGTCAAAAAAAAAGGATTGCAGACCTCCACTTCTCGGCAATTTACAACATATATAACTGCTGCTCATTTCAAGTTCAAACAGCGATCTTTCACTCATGTTGGTCTTCGATGAATTCAATTCTTCATTAAGGTCGCGCCATACGTTACATCAATAACATAAATAACCATCGAGCCATTTGATACACCACGTAGCACAACCGAATTACATATATCTCACCCGATAGACCTCTGATCTGATGGAAAAGAAGCTCAAAAAGCTGCTTCAGAATGCGACACGCGTTGCACCAAAAATCTCAAAGAAAGGTGAACTTTTCGAACTGAAAAATGGCCTCGTCTCCCCATACCCTCAAACACGTAAAGATGCCATAAAGAAGACGATCCAGCAGATGACGCTGGGAAAAGATGTGTCGTCTCTTTTTCCTGACATTCTCAAAAACATTGCTGCATCCGATGTGGAACAGAAAAAACTGGTGTACTTATATGTGATGAACTACGCGGAAACGCATCCAGAACTGTGCATTTTGGCAGTCAACACATTTGTGAGCGATGCCCAAGATAGTAACCCGCTCGTTCGATGTATGGCTATCAGAACGATGTCAATGATCAGGGTTGATAAAATTTTGGAATACGTGGAAATCCCTCTTCGAAAAACGCTACAGGACGACAATCCCTACGTTCGTAAAACGGCGGTGATATGCGTTGCGAAACTATTTGCGCTCAACAAGGAGTTATGCCAGGAACTGGGCGTTCTTGAAGATCTAGTTTCTGCTTTGGAGGACTCCAATCCGATGGTCGTGGCAAACACCATAGCGGCGCTCTCTGACATCTACGAAGCAGACCCCACGGTCGTCCCGTTGCCGCTTCTCATTCAAAAACACGTTTCCCAATTTTTATTAGCTCTCAATGAGTGCACAGAATGGGCTAGAATCATAATTCTAGGTGCTTTGGCGGAATATAGCGCTCGAGACTCAATCGAAGCGGAACAGATCATAGACAGGGTCACACCCCATTTGCAACATGTCAATGCAGCCGTGGTCTTGGCCACAGTCAAAGTGGTTATCAAAAACTTGCCTTTGATACAGGCAAATTCTGAATCTTCAATTTTCTCTAAAATCTCTTCCGCTCTGGTATCTTTGATGTCAACCCCGCCAGAAATGCAATATGTTGCGCTTCGCAATATAAGAATAATACTTCAAAAATATCCACAGCTGCTAACACGAGAACTCCGTATATTCTACGTGAAGTTCAACGATCCGTTGTATCTCAAATTGGAGAAGATCGACATTTTAGTGAGGCTGGTGGATCCTTCAAATCTAAAGCAGTGTACGCTATTACTAGCTGAGCTTAAGGAATACGCATTGGAGTTTGAGCCTGAGTTTGTTTCACGAGCGATCATTGCCTTATCTCAACTGGGTGTGAAGTACTCGGAAATCAAGTTTGTCCGCAAAGTGCTAGATATTCTGGTCGAATTGTGCAAAACGCGCGATACTTTCCAAGATGACTGTTTAGTCGCGATGTGCAACCTGCTCAGACACGCAGGCGCTGGCGAAGAAGAAATGATCACACAGGTGTGCTCATTGGCCCAAGTTTGGGGCTCGGTGGAATTGCTACTTCAGACAGACTACGCCAAGTGTAACTACATATGGCTGCTAGGTCAGTTCCCTGGAAAGTTCAGTAATATCCAGCAGAAGGTTCAGAGTCTTTTGGACTCCTTCACTCAGGAAGAAAGTCTGACTCAGATGTCTCTTTTGATCACTGTTGTCAAACTACATGCTATTCTTCCTGGCTCAGTTCTTCAAGAGCTTTTGAACTTGGCCACAACTAGTACTAATGAAGTCGATGTGCGGGACATGGCCATCATGTATTGGAGATGCTTGTCCCTAGAGGACTCGAACGACGACCTCATCAACCAGCTGTGTAACTCCACGTTGCCAGAGATCTCGAACACTTTGGACACTTTCTCGCCTTCGTTACTGGAGACTTTGCTAAGGGAGCTATCGCTTCTGAGCTCGATCTATTACAGGCCAGTTGCCACGATGACCAAGTTCAATGCCCATAGAAACGATCATGTGAAGGGCAAACAGCTGGACGAGTTGAAGTTCATGGCTAGAGATGAGATTATTAGAAACATGAATGAGGACAACCTACTGGATTTCGATGACGATTCGAATTCTGCGATCAATGCGGGTGTAACAAACGGCTCTACGTTGAACGATCTAAACGACCTCTTTGACTTTACACCAGTACCCGCTCAGCAGCAACCGCAATCGATGCCAGAGCAACCACTCGAAGAGTCCCTGCATGATCTCACGCTCAACAAACACGAATCGCATCCTGCTGCAAGTTCCAACAACACGCGTGAGCTACTAGATCTGTTCTGAAAAGTTTCAAAGATTTAAAGCACTTCGGAAAGTGATCATAAAATAAAATGCTGTTAATCGTTACCGTGATTTATTCTGGTATATAAAAGTGTGAGTGAGTGAGTGTGTGAGTGTGTGTCTATTTACATGAAGAACGGGGTTTTCTATTCATCGTAACAGTCGTATCTGATATCTTTTTTTCAGTTGTCTCCCTTCTGCCGGAGCTGCTGCTGGTTAAGCTGGTCCTCCAGCCGCTGGATTCTGCGTTGAACTATTTTGTCTCGCTCCTGGTCCACGAATGTTTCTCCTTGGAATGAAAGTATGCATTCTGCCATACGGTCTCGTTGGGATTCGCATGCTGGAAACAATTTCAGACCGTGCAACTTCGAGCATTCCACCATGGCTTTCACGTATTCACCGCACTGGTCGTAAGCGAATTTCTTGAGGTTCTGACGAGCCTCTTTCTCCTCTCGCGGGCTCAGGGCCCAGATGGGAAGTCTGCGAGACTGTTGATCTTTCGACTCGCCTGACATCTACAAAAAACCTGCAAATAGAGATGTAAAGGTATGTATAGAACCGCCGCGCTTAGGAGAGCAAGTAAGACGTTTTTTTGACTTTGATTCAAGCCTTACTGGATCACTTATTAGCTATAAACTGATGTTGAGATGAGTTGATATTAAGATTTAGAAAAGTTGATCTAGTTTATTTTATATTATATATTAATAAATTTGACGTTAAAGATGGTGAACTTTAAACTCATCTCGAGAAAGTACAACACAATACAGTCAAAAAGCCGCTTCAAGAGGCCGTAAAAGAGTCAAATGTTCGGTCCTTTTAAGTCCTCAAACACACTCCTCGGTGGGCTTCTTTGGAAGATCCCTTCAACGATGTCCCGTCCTCAAAAACAACGACAAAGACATAGACTTCAAGATGTGGACAATGTGCTTCAAAACCTGAAATTAGGACTCCATGCGGTACGTTCGATGGCCAAGGGTGCGTCTTACGAGACTGCTGTGAGTAGTAGCAAGCTTCTGAAGCCGCGTGTCAAACAGCTGCGTGTGCTCAATAAAAATTCGTTGTTCCCACCTGAAAAGCAGATGTCGTATCGCGACAAATACACTTATTTCAACAAACAGGCCAAACAGTACCGTAAGGGCATGCACATGCTTCCAAAGTGGACGAAAGTGTCACAACGGAGAAACCCGCGGTTCTTCTGAATTATTTACGGGATTTACTCACATCCATGGGTGGTGCAACGCTCAGATATGTATATGAGCAACGGCCGTGAGTCGATAACGTTTCCATCCGGGGAAATATTGACGTAAAAAAGCCCACCCAAACGAAAAATCCATAAAAACAACTGTACATAGCTTAGCCCGCAAAAGAACCCGTTACGCAGGCGTTGTTGGCATTATTTAGAAATACGAAAGACTCTACACCTTGATCATTATTTGAACTCTTCACATTCTATTTCAGTATTCCCAGCCTTTGTTGCTTCCTTGCTCCATTTTCATCACATCCTTTCCCACAAATACTTGGTACGGTAAAATTCACTTGTAGAATCGTCAAGATCCACCACGTCCAGCGCGCCGGCCTTATTGAGCAGGACTTTCCGGTGTGGCAAGTCCAGTACGAGCCCGAGAGATCGAAAAACTTGTATTTTCAAGATATTGGCCTTGTGAATACGATCTGTCGGTACGGCTTCCTGTAAAAGCTCCAAGTCCAATTCGTGGCTGCTGTCATGAGCTAGCTCCTTCAAGCCCTCGTCCACTTCTGTTCGCATAACCACCAATCGCTTTTCCAATTCTTCAAGTTCTTGAGCGAGCTGGCCAGCATCGTTTTGGCTGGACGACCCATTTCCATCTGTGTTTGAAGCCAATTGGGTCTGTCGCAGAACCTCTAACCTGTTTTCCGTCTTTCGAGCAGCAGAATCCACCTTTTTCACTTCTTCAGCCTTCGTTTCGACTTTTTCATGCACCAACCTCTGTAACTCATCGATCATTTGAGTAACGTTCAACAAGGATTCCGCATCATTCACCAGCGAGAAATTGTTTCTTGTTTCGCGAATAAGATCCACCGGATCTTCCAGAAGTTGCTCCTTGCCCGCCATTGCCCTTCCAAGGCTTCTGGATCTAGATATCTTGCCCTCTTTTGCTACAAGAAATGGTATTTAGGTATGGTAAATCCAAACTTGTTAATTAAATTCAAGAAACCTACAAATATCAAAACTTTAAAGCCAGAAAGACCTTCACAAGCCATCAAGAAGCACTCTGAGCCCCGTCAACTCATGAATGACACCAAGGCAAGACAGTATGCGCATTTAGCACAACAATTGCGAGTTTTACAGACCAACTTGTCGAAAACTAGTGAACATATGGAAACTATGTCAAATCAATGCAACGAACACTTGGTAGGACAACTTGGAAAGGTCCATGCTTCGTGGTTTATGGGCGGGAACCGGTGCTTTGAAGAGGAAATGCTTGGAAATGGTAGAAAACGGTAGGAAACGATAGAAAACAGCTTTAAAAAGAGTGTGTAAACTCGAAGCTGATGCGATGAGATAGGTGCTATACTTGTATATTAGAAAGAAAATAGGAACTGCTCGAACCGAGAACTGTTCGAACTTAGAATAGCTGGTAAAGGTATTTTTTGGTATATCCGTGAAGTGATGGGTGGGAAGATGCAATGGGAGTATAAGAATTAGGGCGGTGGGAGAGACGCTGGTTCGGACTTTTCACGTCTTTTTTGTTCCTCTCTTTCCTTGCGACGATGCCTTTTGGCTTCAAACTCATGCCAGCCGTCGAACCCCATCAGATCCAACGGTTGCGGCCGTGGTTCCTCGCTGAAAAACTGGTGCTTCAATGCCTCTTGCGCTGAATAGCGTTTTGTCTCGTCGTACAGCAGCAGACCCTTCGCCAGGTCTAGAGCAGCACTCGAGGGCAGCACTTTTTGATAAAGCTCATCGAACTTCGAAGGGTATTTGCATGTTTGCTGCGGTATCATCATGAAAAACCAGGGCATATCGAAAAGTGTGGGCCACTGATCAATACTTGGCGTGCCCATCACCGCGAAAATCGCATTTAGTTGCTCGACTTCGTTGGTGCCTTGGAAAATAGCAGCCTGTTGGAACAATTCAACCAATAGGCACCCACATCCCCACATGTCGACTGCGGTGCCGTAGTTCGTGGAGCCCAGAAGCAGCTCTGGAGGACGATACCAAAGTGTGATGACACGGTTGGTGTAGTCGGAATCATCACGCATTTTCCGTGCCAGCCCGAAATCCGTGATCTTCAGTTGACCCTTGTTGTTTATAAGAATATTAGAACCTTTGATGTCTCGGTGTAGAATGCTATTTTCATGCAGATAGTGTATGCCCTCCAGCAGACTTTTGAAGATGTGTTTGCAGTTGGCAACAGAAAACTTAATTTGCTCGTTCATCAGCAGCCCTGACAGATCGTTATCGGCATATTCGAAGATCATGTAGACAGTTTTCTGGGATTCCACCATAATCTCCGAAAGCGTGCTTATGTTTTGGTGGTCGAAACTTTGGAGCAGTTTTATCTCGCGAATCGAAGTGATGGGGAAACCTTCACGCTCGCCCTCGAGTCTCAATCTTTTCAGCGCCACTAGTTGACCGGTAACCGTATTTTTGGCCTTGTATACTTTCCCGTATGTTCCTTCCCCAACTTGTTGGATGCGTTCGTAGACTGAAGACTCCTGTTCCCGTACGATAACGGATACTGGGGCCAACTTGGGCTTGAACGGAGGTGCATTTCTTGATTCGTAGCGCGATTTCCCCAGTTGCTGCTGCTGCTGTTCTTGTTGTTTCATCAGCTTAGGCCCCGTAGGGAGCTGCTGACCATTGACATGACTTTTTGCCTTGGTAAGCCCTCTTGTAGCTGCAGCGTCTTGGAACCGGGATCCGCTGTATCTGGACGGGCCGGTGTGTTGACGCTTCGATTGTGGTCTTTCAGAGTCCTTTTGTGAGCTCTGGAAACCGTTACCACGCTCGAAATTCCCGTTTCGGCTCTGATTACGTCCAGTTCCTAGTGGCTGACTATTGGCACCGTTAGGGCCACTTGTTCGAGGACCGTTTTTCTTCCTGAAACCCTTTCGCTCTGCGAAAAAAAGTAAAAATGTTAGTATTAGAGTCTCCAGACCGTTGAACGTATTTCTGGGGCAACATACGATTGAAAGGCATGCTTTTTCTGTCCATTTTATGTTGAAGATTTTCAAATTGTTCACCGATGAGATTGTCAAATAAATGTATAATTTACATATGCTATAAGGTCTATGAAATTCACGATTACGACAACAGACCCAGAAAGCAAAGGAAGGAAAGACTATTTCACAATTTGACCATTTGCAAAAGGTCCCAAACTGCTGTTGGGAAGCCTTCTCGAATTTTCGCCGGGCAAATCGCTCATCTGTAGCATAAATTAATTCGATTTGTTGTTTAGCAGAATATCATAAGTTCATGGGGCTTTGGTTAGGACGCTGTCACTGTAGTTTCTGGTAAAAGGACTGGCAAGCTCATTCGCAGAATCAAAAGCAGTGCCACCTTCTAACGCTTTGATGTCCTTGAAAAACCAGACAAAACGCAGCAAATTGGGAATGACAAGATTCCCGACGTCGCGGCCCCACAGAAGATCCAAATGCTCGTGAGCCGGAATCATCACGTCAAAGACTTGAGAAACGGGGAGGTTGGCCTTCATAACTTCGATGTCGACCAGCGAATCGGAACCTCCATACAACAACAGAACAGGGATGCAAATATTGGTGCGTGTGGGGAAAGTTGTGATTTGGTAAGAACGAGTAGGGTTCCACGAGTTCATGACGATGTCGTGTTCCTCGAACATCTGGAACCGCTGCGCATGAAGAATCTGAAACCAGTGGACGACGGTTTTTACGCTGGTGGTCGAGTACAGCTTAGCATAGGAGGCATGTTTCTGCTGTGAGGTAATGTTATAAGACTTCCAGTCAAACAAAAACCGGTTGGCGAGGTCGATAATAATGTTGAATAGCGACGGCGGCAGCGTTTTCTGCCATACGGTGGCACTCTGCAATAGTATACGGTTTCCAAAAAACAAGTTCATCACCCGTGGACTTGACTTTAGTAGAGTATCGACAATACGGTTGTGCAAGCCTTGCGGTGTCATTGCGGGCGCAATGGCAACAAATAGACTGATTTTTTTATTGAGGTCTTCACGCACACTCAATGCGGCAAACGTTTGTGAAGAACCCTGCGAAAACCCAACACATATGAGCTCTTCTTGCTGCGTGTGTTCCAGCACAAACTCGATGGAATTTGGGATGTCGAAAAATGCGAATTCGTCGATCGAAAAGCTCCAAAAATCCTGCGTTTTGGGACCCTTGTATAAATGTTGAGTCGAGTACTTATTTCCCCGATTATTACCCATCCAGACGTCGAATCCTAACGAATGTAGGACTAACGGCAAGTTGCACTCACGCTGTGTGTGGCACATCCAGATGTCCGAACACATCAACAGTCCGTGGTGCAGATAGACTACCTGTCCGTTGCTATTTTCTGGCGAAGGGGCCAAACGGTGCAAAGTTAGCAGGTAGTCATCTTCGGTGCGTACAATGTGGTCCTCTATGTCAACTCCGAAGATTTGACCCATTTCATGAATATTTTTGGCATCGCGCAATTGTTGCGAAAGCTCGTCAACGGGTCCCAGTGCACCTCTGGTAAGCGTATTGATCACCGTGGTTGCCGTATCCATCCATACCTTTGGAATGCAATTCAACACCACGGTCAGTAACTTCTCAACCATTACCAGAAGTAGGATCACGTAGTCGGTGAAAGAGATGCGTCCAAGAAACGGTATGAACGCAGACATTTAAGGAAAAGTCGGGAACAGGCCTTGTGAGTTTTCTAGTGGTTTACACGGCTAAAGAAAGTGGTTTTTTGGTGATATTGGTTTTGTTCTGTTGTTCTCGATGAGCTGGGATGAGATGAGATGAGCTTAAATTGACCCTATATGTATACCTATATATATAGGAATAGAGCTTCGAACAAGTTTAGGCTGAAAAGAATAGAAAGGCTCACTCGAATTGAGATATGGATAGGCTAGTTATACTGCTCGAGATTCAAGGATTAGAATGAGCCCAAAAACGATAGTTTTGTAGGAAATTGTGTATATTTGAAGGTTAGTGAACAATATAAACCGATATAATACGGTGAACTAGACCATGGGCCAAAAAGTGAAACTTGTGATAAGAATGGGAACAAGTGATTAAATAGATGGGTTTCTACATCTGTTTACAAAAATGGGTTCTACAGCAGAAATTTTCGTGCGTCCTCGAAGTTTCAGTTCGAGTAATTCGTCGAGAACAGTGGAGTTCTCGAACTGCGCCGTCATTCTGGACCGAGAAAGACACTGAAAGGTAGACTCTCGAGAGCTTCTGATGACGTTTGCATCATCAGATGAAAAACACACATAATTTGGATCTGCCGTCCAGTAATTGTGACGTTTGATTATTTGATTGATTCATGGTGCCAAGAATTCTCTGCCTGGGCTTTTTTCAGTGGTGATGGCGATGCCAATATGCGAACATAGGTGCTGTCGTCCTTTCAAGACGCCTTTCACAACTTTTCTATCTTACTTTGTCATTTGAAGGTTGTGAACAAAGCTTGACACCGTCGACGATTTCGGCAGAAAATTCGACGATGCATGCTGGTCAAATCGAAGATCCCGGCCCTCAGCTTCAACTAGTGTTTCAATCCGCCTACCGTCTCTGCTGTCCAAGACTCAACTTGTCAAGCATAGGATTACCAAGTATCGTTTTACACTAACGTGTAGGCTATCTGCCGCGTCAGCTAATCCTGTTGCGTTAGAAAAGCTAGGCCTGCCGCAAACCACACTCAAGGAATGAGTTATTGAGCAAGACCATCCTGCAAGTTCTGTATTCTCATTGAAAATGTCTTTTCACGGTAGGTCGCAAGCTACACCGCTTCCTACAATGTCTTGCAAAATAAAAACCTATCAGAGCTTTCGTTGGGGAGCACCGTCCTCACACTGCTTTTAACGCATCAGACCTGCGACACCCAAATTGCTCGAGAGTAAGGATATACCCCTTCAAACTTCCGTTACATGAAACCATTCCGTCTGAAAGATGTGGTAAAAATTATTCGAAATTCGCTTCCGACATATACAGAAGGGCGTAAAAGTCTTAACCAAAAGCTGAACTTAAAAATGACCGAGAAAAAGGCAAATATGAGCCAGTCTAACTGGTTGAATTCGTGTGCTGAAATCTCCTTCGTGGACTACTTTTGGCCATAACGCTGATTTTGAAGAAGTCTCCCAATTTAGCAGCCAAGAACAACTAAAGTGCAACATAAGAGCTAAATCAGACTTTGGTGTCTTTGTGGATTCACTGATGCCGTTTTTTAAGGTTGGCATCGTCATTGTTGTCTTGACGTTCTCAGCCATGTAGGTGTATCATGCTGTACTAATGCGTCATCGGTTGTGCCTTGGTATTCAGCGTCTTGGCAAGAGCCCAAAAGAGCATATGAGCACGATTGTAGTGAGAATATGATTATGCCAATCATTGCCGTACATTAAATTTCCTCCCCCCAAACCTCGACTAGCCCCGGGCACCAGACGCAGGGTTTCTGCATCTCATCAAGGTCTAGAAAGTACCTAACTCTCTAATAAGATATGTTTTACGTAGAATGTCTCGAGCTATCGGTATGTCTTTCAAGCGATTTCTTCGTCGAAATCTAGTGAATATTTAAATAGGTGAAGGAAGCGACTTGTGTTGAAGCAGTCCATAAATAGTGCATAAAATCGGTGCAATCCGCCTAGCGTAGAAGCAGACTTGTACCCACAACTGCTGTGAAGGCTAGAACAGTGTAGCCAGTGGTGTAGACCCCCTTTAGAGTGAGGCCGCGACCTGTGTCCCATATCAAATGGCGGATACCGTTGAAGAAGTGAAACGAGATGAAATAAGCACCGGAGGCCTTGGCGGTCCAGTCAGCCCACGTAGGGACCTTTTCATGATACCATTTAGCCAAGTTGTTGGTGTTGAGTCCCAGTCCGAAAGCGGTGGAAACGCCAAATGCGATGGTTGCGGTGAAAAAGCCAAGCCCAAGAATCACACCGGTGATACGGTGCATTGAGGACATGTACCATGTAAGTTGTGGCTGGTAGATGGTCAAATGAGGAGAAACCGGTCTGTTTTTACGCTGGGCGATCAGAATTTGTTGTTCTTCCGCGGCAGTCGATTTGACAGTAGATACCAGACGACGGGATGCCATTCTCAATGGCTTGCACCAGACGGCAGGCTTGTTAAGTCCAAGGGAGAGCATTTTGCTAGTAGTTTTTGGAATAGGATTGTAGACGGAAGGGGAAACCTCGAAAATGGTGCTAAAAGAGCGCTAAAAAGAAGGTTCGAAAGCTGGAGACAAGGCGGAACGTATCCTGATCTTGATAATTAGCGTAGAGGCTAGTAAGAAACACTTTTTCGGTGGAATTCTGGTTCGAACTGCAACGAGATGAGATTCCGACAAGGTTATTTATCGATTGAGTGTAATGAGAATAGACAATTGAAATTGGAAAATATTTCGTATAAAGCGACCCAATAAACATCGGCTCCGACCGCGGAAGGAATAATTTCCGCTCACGTGACCAGAGACAAGTTAAAATTGTCGCCAAGGTCTAAGAACAAGGTGTCAGATTACTTGAAATAAGAGAGGTTAAGCACAGGACGAGAGATCCACAACATTCTGCGATTATAGAATAATTCACCCTATGTGCAAGGATTATTCTGGTAGTTTATGCTTCTTTGTAGCGCTTCTGGTTGTGATAGAAAAATTAGTGGTGGTCGAAGCTTCGCACTACATGTCTATTCTCCTGGAATTGAATCTGAAATCGTAAAATTATTGTATTGTATATGTGTGGTCGTCAAAAAAGGAATATGAGCCGGGACAAGTTTGTCTTGTCCACCGTGTTGTTTTAATGGGTTTTTTTATTTTGTTTTCTTCTTCTTTACTCATGAGAGTTTTTTCGTATCGTCATTAGCGTTGGTTGCTTTTAGTGAGAGGTGTGTTCAACAAATGCTTGGAACACTGCTTACTCCATCTCCGCAAGCACATTTTTTAGCTTTTGCATGAGATCCACCTCTTCGGGTCCCACGTCTGGAGCACCCGGGGCTAGCATCACATCTGCATGCGTGTTTCTCAGCACGCTAAGCGCTGAATCGTCATTGGCCATATCTGAATTTAGTATTGGTTCCGTACTTTCATCGGGCAAAGATTGCCGAGGTTTTCGCCCGCGCTTGCGTCGTTTAGACGTATTCACCAAAAGTGTCTCCATCGGCGGCAGTTCGCCGCGGCTGACAGCACTGCCGCCGCCACCAGGTACGCCAGTCCCGTTTCCTGCAGCTGGGTCACCCATGTTGTGGCCCCTTGGCGACTCTACTACCAGTTGTGTGTAAACTTCAATATCTTGTTTGAGCTTGGCTATTACCGTTTTCAAACGCGAGTTCTCGCTTTGGATCGTGCCGTATTCTTGCTGCAACTGCTCTGTCTCAATTTCGCGCTGCTTACGCCGCATATCTCGTTCTTGTTTCGACAAAGTAGCGCGTTTCGTGCGTCCTCCATTGGGTGTCTTGGAATCATCTCGAGCACCTCTGCGATCGAAAACCCACTGGTCGGATGTGATTATTCGCTGCTGCGGTGACGAATTTGTTTCCGAATGCATTGCCCAAGAGGTATCGCTGTAGAAGTGACTCGGATGAAATATAGGTGGTGTTGAGCTTGCGAAACTTGGATCTGGAGTTTTATAGCGATGATCAGAGAGATGCGAAAGATATTATATTGACTTACAACCGCTAATTTTGAAATAAAGTGAAATTCCACGATGGTCACGTGCTGAGAGTTGTAACTGAGTCAAATTTGAATATAAGAAGTGGTGGATAAAAACGATTTACTTGTGTCCCAAATAGTATGATAGGACTATAAAGATCTAAAGGAACCGTTTTTGAATCTTACAAGAGATCCATCTCCTTCAAAGGTGTCAATGAACGGCATCACTTTGAACGGGATGGAATTATTCTAATAAGACGACCAACAGTAGAAATTCTTAACGTTTTGAACCAGGGTTCGTGTCGTTTCTTCTTGTGATTTCAATTTTTTTCCAAGACCTCAAGCTATTGCGAGCCTTTGATTGTTGATAAATGATTTCCGTTTTTTGGCCAATATCGTAAGCGCGATGTCAGACGAGGATAAAGTGATATGGTGCCAAGCTGGAAGAGAAACTGGGGTTTCTGTCTGAAAGCTTAGTGTATATGCAAGTGAGAGAAAGCTTGTACAGTATGTATATGTATTGTCTCAAAGTGCCCGGCTTGTACCATTTAACCGGCCCTGAAAAGGGTCGGTAACTCAGATTGATGAACTCCGAAACAGAAGGAAAAATAGAAGCAAATACGAGTTTTTTTGGCAAGGTTTAGTGGCTTTTGAGTATGAAAGCGTCCAGACAGCTCTCAAAACAGCGCACCGGGCACTGAGTATTGTAAAATCTTCTTTATACATGTGGTGTCAAATCCACAATATAGTGATCACTGTCACGTGACGAGATGACAGCGTAAGAGAAATTCCATCTTAAACGCTATTTACTGGCCTTCAAGCGTTGGTAAGCGGGAAGCGTCCATTGATCGTATTTTCGGTCGTCAAGAACTTTCACAAAATTGTCTGTTAATCGTCACTTTTCACCTACAACGACGCCAAAACGATTCCTCTGTAAAACACGAAAAAAGCAAACTCATTGGCCTTGTACTACGAAAATTCTATCCACTTCAAATGGAACACATAACGGCTGTCGTATTTTGAGATTCCTGAAACTCAAACTGAGTCTCACAACGGGAAAAAACTCATTTCGACACCAATATTCCTTCCCTGACATGAAATAAAAAGCTGCAGCCTCACAGAGAGTACATCTCGAAGTCTACCCAGTCCTCCTCCTCCTTCTTCTTCTCCTCCTCCTCTCACCTTCCATGTCGTCTTCACAGCTCTCACGTATATAGACCGTAATTGAAATCCACCTTTGATCACTTTGTACAGTAGTGACACGTTGATCACGTGACACAGAGCTCTAAGCTTCAAATGTCTGTATAGAATCATCACCCTATCTTTTAGAGCAGCTCATCATTCCTAATTCCTCCCTGCTCTACCAGAAGTTACATATCCCATTGTCTTCACAGTTCGCTCTTTTTCATTCTAAACCGAAACACTCAAATCAGCGTAAAATCAAGCAATTTTAAATCTAAAAAAAAGCCACATCAACAACAAGCAAATTGCAAACGATCTATACCAGTCTCTACAACCCATTTCTATCCATTGCGACCACTACAATTGTTACCAGTAAACTCATACTACGTACGATGTGACATTACCAAATTGAATTATTACTGGTATATATTACTTTAGAATCTAAACCATCTCAAATCCCCTCGCGATGAAGATATAAGTCTCCATCAGAGACTTTAGCCACCTCAAGTCAACGGTTTTTGATACTTAAGCCTAGGCGGCTTATAATAGTGGACCGTACTAGTCCCAAAACACACGATGTGGTCTTACCTGTTTGGCTCCGGTGCAACGAGCAAGAATAAGGATGCCCCCAAAAAAGCGATTTTGGATCTACGTGAACATATAACACTGCTAGGGAAGAAAGAGGCACATTTGCAATCACAAGTGACCGTACAGGAGCAATCTGCTCGTCAACAACTGGCGAAAAACAATAAAGTGGGCGCGAAAAATGCGTTGAAACGCAAGAAAACGTACGAATCGCAACTGGTGAAAATCCAGGCACAAATGGACTCGCTGGAACAGCAGCTGTATTCAATTGAGTCTGCAAATTTGAACCTGGAGACCATGAAAGCCATGAAACAGGGCGCATCTGCCATGAAAAATATCCATAAGGGCATGGACATCGACAAAGTGGACGAAACCATGGACGAGATCCGAGAGCAGGTTGAATTGGGCGAAGAAATCTCGGATGCCATTTCCAGGCCTTTGCATGCGGGTGCAGAAATGGACGAGGACGAAATCGATGAAGAATTGGAGGCCCTTGCAGCTGAAAACGTCAAACAAGAAGTGATACCACCGCAAAGGCTGCCCTCAGTGCCCCAGGACAAAGTCACAGAATGGCAACAGCCGCAAAAGGCGTCTCAAGCGGCCGGAGAAGAAGAGGACGAAGAAGAGGACGAGGACGAACGGGCGTTACGCGAGTTACAAGCAGAAATGGGCTTATGACGCGCTGGCGTGCCAGCTCCTGAATTTCTCTTTTTATAAAGTATCTAATTCATTCTTGGGCAATTAATTCAGTAACCCTCAACCTGTTCTAGCCCACCCAGTTCATCCACCTTTCTCCATTTTACTCTATAATAATTATCGAAGTTTTTAACCGCTCTATTACTGTACCTAATACCTGCTTGCTACAATCATCACCACATCGAAATGCTCAATTGACCAGTACCCACACGAGAAAGAACACGAAAAGGACCGCAAAAATTTTAACCGCTAACCAACGGTTGCTGCTTACACGGTCAAAGTATTTTAGCAGCTCTCTTTGAGCTCCGGATATATTGAGATCAATATCATCCACGTTGGCATCAATCCTTTGAATCACCTCGCCTTGTTCCTGAACCATGTGGGCGAGCTGTTGGAAAAGATTACCTACCTCTTGTATCGTAGACTCGATGGTTTCTACAGCTCTATTACGCTCCTGCAAATATGTCGAGGAGCTCTGTTCTTCGAGCAGCAGCATTTGAGACTCCTGGGGCAACGAAAGTTGGCCAGGATTCTTATCGGGTTCTTCCAAGACCGATGACATGAACGGGTTGGAATTGTTGTATACGTGCTGCTGTTCTGATTGTGTCTGAGAGCTCAATTGTTCCCAGCGATCGCGGTTGGCCAGCTCTAGTTTTTGACGCTGCTCAAGAACGCTTTTGAAGTCACCGCTGATATTTTTCATTTTAGTGTTCAGGAGATTGACCACATTTCGAGTATGCTGAACCGGTTGCGAGGTTGTGTTTTGATTCCCACCCATTTTGGCAAGCTCCATCATGCTTTGTTCGACAGCATAGATCTTGCGTTTGATGACAAACGTCAATTCTGCTATTTCTACAGGGTTATCGTTGAGCATTGGTTTCCGTTTAGCCAATTGGGCAAGTTTCCCCAATAACTGAGCCGTTTGTGCGATTTCATGTGCTATGGAAGAAGCTTGTTGCTGAAATTGAGATTTTTGAACAGAAGAAGTGCTTGAATTTTTGGAAGTGTCATGAGATCTTTTATTATGTTGTATGACTGATCGTTGGAATTCTGTTGTTCTGTCGCGAATATTGAGCATGGTGTAGAGCAGTTAGTTGTTCTGTAAAAGGACCGTTGTTGCACGCCAAAGAATCGGAAAAAGGCCCAAAAACAAGCGATAAAATTGTAATTTGAAACTCAAACCGTGTGTGCACCAAAGATGTATGTCACAAGCGAGATTGAAAGCTGACGGGAAGGGTTTAGGTACGGTTTCTCATCGTATTCGAGTTGTAGTTGTTATTTATATGGACTTGGGTTAATTAATTGTGGGAAATAAGCCAGGTCACGTGGCCGTAAATAATCCAACCGGTTCCATGAGCTATTCGGGAGTTAAAAGCGGGCTTAATGACTCGAATTAGTAGATGAATAGAGCCAAAATAATAATTCACAGATAAATGCTATGATTCACATTTCTGCTTGCTACAAAATAACATTTTGGTTACCGTTTATCAACTTTATCACTTTCCATATTCTCTGTCTCGTCACCACGTCGAAAAAAGATAGCACCAGTCACGTGACTATCTGTTCAGGGCTTAAAACTGGCAATTCAGCTTTACTTGGCGTTACGGGAACCATCTCAAAAGTTAAACTTGGACTCATCTTCATTTAAAGGACTTGAAAAACTGTAAATCTTCGTCTAGAAAATTGAATTCTTTGTTTACCTGAAATATTGTCTTTTACAGAGATTCCAAGAGACGTAAACCTGCAGCTTATTTGCCAGAAAGGAAACAGGGTATCAAGGAATAAAAAAACGGTCTGATTCGAACTGCACATCTTGTTATTTTTGAATCGACAGCTCAGGTCACATGACCAGACATCAAGTGTCATCAAACGAAAATACGGAACAATCATAGCAACGATCTATTCTTTTGGCTCTCAAGTCAATGGATTTTTTTTAGCCTGTGAACGTCTGCACCATTTGTTGTACCATGATTGCCTAGTTTTCCTGCCTTTTTCAGAGACAAATTCGATCAAAACATTTACGATCAAAAACCGTAGAAAACGGTCAAAGGTTCTCTTTCCATAAACCTAAATATACCATTAGACTTTGAGTCATTGCTAGATCTTTAACAGCAGCTTTGAGACTCATTTTATGCTCGATGACAGCGTTAAAATACCACGCGATCTATATCCCTTTGTACGTCTCTATCAATCGCGATTAGCCCTGATAACGAATTGAACATTGTCCTCGGACTATAAGTTCAATCCATTGTCCTACACCAAAGGGTCCAAAGTATCTCAACAATTGGCTGGTGCTCATACAATTTGCGGCAAAATAGTTGCACAACGAAGGCTTCTTTCCCCACGGCCTTTTTCCAGCGACTTTTTTCACCTCAATGGGCGAAACTGACGCTCTTTTAGCAACACAACACATTTCCCACTCGCATGGTAGTAATTCTAACTTGAATGATGGCACACAACAGAATTGGCAAGGACAAGAAGATCCTGTTTTAGCACCTCTTCTGAACGGGGAAATTTCAGCAGCTCCACCGCCAAAAGACGCTCCAATATCGTCAAATGAAGCACATAGTCTGGGTGCTGTTAAAACCAATTTGATGGTAGGGGTGCTATTTATGGGCACTTTTCTAGCAGCTATGGATATGACAGTGGTGACCACTCTTTTGCCAAATATTGCATCCGATTTGGAGGCAAGTTCACAAATGTCTTGGATCGCTACCTCCTACTTACTGTCCTGCAGTTCATTCCAGCCAATGTACGGAAAATTATCGAATGTTCTTGGCCGGCGTGAAATGCTAGTTGCTGCTAATCTTTTCTTTGCTGTTGGATGCCTCCTGTGTGGCTCTAGTTTTTCTAGCAACGTTTGGTATTTATCGATTGCGAGATTCATCGCTGGAATAGGCGGCGGTGGAATGAATACTCTCTCCACCATCGCTATAAGCGATCTTATCCCACTCAGACAACGAGGCATGTACCAAGGTCTGGGAAATATATGCTATTCCTTGGGATCTGCATCTGGATCTGTCTTGGGCGCGCTACTACAAAAATCTGTAGGTTGGCGCTGGGCTTTTCTCATTCAGGTCCCAATCGCAGCGTTGAGTGCGGCTCTGGTATTTATCACCTTAAAGCTTCCAGATGAATCTCCGGGACGTGGCTCTGTGTGGATCGCGATCAAGGAAAATGGTCATTTTGACTGGTCTCAAATTCCACACCTTATCGACCTTGTTGGGTGCATCTCCCTTGTAAGCGCCATGCTTGTCCTCATGGTCACCATTACCTTTTTAAATGATCCTGGACAACTCGGACTGTACGAATGGGCTGCACTTTTACTGGTTTTGGCATTGACATTTGGATACTTCGTGCACACAGAGCTCAATGTAGAGAATCCAGTCATACCATTGAAACTTGTAGTTGGAAACAGAACAATTTTATCATCTTCTCTCACAAATTGGTTCTGCACAATGGCCATGTTTGCAGCAATGTACTTCATGCCAATTTTCTGGCAAGCTGCGTACGGTCTCACTCCATGGGATGTAGGGTTACGATCGATTTCTAACTTTTTGGGAATATCGATTGGTTCGCTGGGCTCGGGGCTCTACATAAAAGCGACAGGAAAGTATCGTACTTACTCGCTAGTGATCTACAGCTTGTTCGTACTGGGAATTTTGACTCTTTTTCTCACCACATTCCATCGCGACTCTCTAGGGTACATGGAGTATTTTCTGATGTTTCTGCCTGGTGTGGGTTATGCTACAATGCTGACGGTGACTCTTTTGGCGCTCATTGCTAGCGTCGATTACTCCCACCAAGCGCAGGTAACTTCAATTCAGTATGCGTTCAGGGCGACAGGGTCCACATTTGGTGTTGCATTGGCCGGTCTCGTATACCAGACAGGCTTAAAGTACAAACTGAAAACAGCTGTATTAGGTAGCAGCGAATTGCTGTCTAAGTACGGGGTGCACAAACTTGAGAAATGGTGCCAAGAGATAATTACAGACAATCTTTTCGACACGTCTTTTGATAAGACTCTGCAGTACAAGACTACTGGATCTTTCATGTTTGGCAGTCAGGGCGCAATAGGATTTGCATTAGTGATGGCTATTTTAGGTCTCATATCGAGCATGTTCACTAGAGAGCATTTCTTGCACACATCGGTTCCAAGCCGGACGTAGGCCCATAGTTTGACAGCAAATGCAATTGGTTCATAGAAAGACACATAGAATTTTCATAAACATTGAAACGAAACTCAGTATGTTGCTATAGAAGAGATCGAATTGAAGGTGGGCTTCAAACTGACGTCAAGTCGCTTTTTCTACAATTTCGAGCTTCCAAAGTAGTTGACAACCTCGTTGATAGCCTTCGCCACATATTCGACGTTCCCACTGTTCAAGCCAGCAATAGAGGCTCTACCTGAACTGGCCATATAAACGGCATGTTCCTTTTCCAATCTTTGTACCATTTCAAAGGTTAATCCAGTGTAAGAGAACATACCAGTCTGCTCAACAATGTGGTCCCAGCTTCCAGGGGTCTTTAGGCTGATCAAGCCGTCTCTCAACCGATGTCTCATTTTGATGATTCTGGACGACATTGTAACCATATCGTCGTGCCACTGTTTGGTCAAGTCAGGACTGTTAAGAACTTGAGAAACAATCTTGGCTCCGTAGGCTGGTGGGTTCGACAGTTCGCTACGAGTGATCGAAGAGAGCTGAGATTTGATGGCGGCTTTCACTTCTTCAGTGTTGACCGAAGCGTCTTGGCGAGGCAACACAAGGTGGAAACAACCGGCACGTTCACCGTACATGCCAACGTTTTTGGCGAAAGATTGACAGATAATGACTGGAGTTGAATCAGCCAAAACGTCTAATCCGAGACGGACCGCAAAAGCGTCTTTATTCAAGTTTCCTGAGGCGAAACCTTGATAAGCGGAGTCGAAAAGCACCACATGGTCGTTCTCGGCAATGGCCTTTAAGATTTGAGCCCATTGTTCCTCGTTGGGATCCAAGCCGGTAGGATTATGCGCACATGCATGGAGCACAAAAATAGAGCCCTGAGGTGCTGATTTGATGGCCTGCAAGTAGCCTTCTAAGTCCAAGGACTTCGAGGCCGCGTTCCAGTAAGGATAAGTGGCAGTTTTCAAGCCTTGGGTCTCGAAAATGGTCTTATGGTTGGCCCACGTAGGGTCCGACAAATACACCAACTTGTCGTTACAGAATCTGGAAAAGAAACTGGCGGCCATGTGCAACGCTCCTGTTCCAGAAAGCGATTGCACAGATATGGTACGTTTCTCTTTGAGAGCCTGAGAGTTTTCACCCAAGAGCACCACTGCTGCAGCGTCAGTGAGCGATGTCAACCCTGCAATATTCAAATATTCGTGGTTGTAATTAGGGTCTTCTTGGATCAATTTTTCCGCTTCACGCACACTTGGTAGAACCCATGGTTTGCCAGTGTCGTCACGGTACGCTCCGATACCCAAGTCCACCTTCATTGCTCTGGTATCTTTAGAAAGTCTCAATTTAATGTTGAAAAGAGCATCGGGTGGCAGTTGAGGAGCATTGTTGAAAAGAGTCTTAGACATTGTGAATAAAAAGCCAGCGTCTAAAGACCTATCTTGAACTTAAAAACGACTGGTCAAGAGTTGTTTTTTCTGAACAAAAGTTCAAGAAACTTAAACATCTTTAAAGTCATCGTCAATTTTTCAAGTAATTAACCCATCATTAATCTTCAATTTCTCATACTTAACCCGGAACTGTCATCCACAACTATCGACGAGAAGCTGGACAAATAGAAACAAGGCTATTATTATGACTCTCTCTGAATTTCTGGCTTTCCAATGATTATACTATCTTTGCAAAAACACTTGTTTTCGATACTTAGTGGGATGAACATCAATTCAAGCGATGACTCACTGGAGAAACTTTGAAAAATTGTATTTTTAGTCATGGTTGGTTGGGTTGAAACTTCTGAGTCGTGGGAAGACTTTGGAAAGCGTCTCAAGAATGGGTTTTTTATTTTTCAGTTCACGGAATGGTGGGTTTTCGAGCGAGTGTTTTTCCTCTTTTGTTTCGTTTTGAAGCTTTCAAATAAGGCCAGATCAATTGTGGCGAAAGTCGTTGGATTAACATATTCTGTGGGTCATTGAACTATCAGGAATACAGAATCTGTGGTTCTGCAAATGTGTTTCGAGAATTTTTTCTAGACCATCAGAAGGATATTGAAATTTTGGTATATTTTAAAACCTAACGGTTTGATGGTCTGTTGACACCCGAGGGCTAGTCCTAGGGATTTTACTGGAGCATGAAGCTTCTCGGGAGCGGTCAAATCTAGTTTACGCCTAGTATCAATGTCAAAACACTAACAAATTTGCTGGAGTCTTGAAACTGTCATCAACAAAGCAGAGACTCAGGAAATAGAATAAGTGAGACCAGAAATTCATTACAAAGTTCGAAATAATCACGTCAATCCAACGAAGACAATAGACAGAGTCAACCCTGTTTGAATAAGCTCTGAAGCAGGTTTTGTTGTTTACGTGGTTCCGATCCTGTGACCTCTTAACTAGTATATGGTGACTCAGAATTGTCAATATCTCATCAATTGGTTGTTTGGCCGAGCGGTCTAAGGCGCCTGATTCAAGAAGTACGCTTCTTAACACTGTTAACAGTGGAATCCTCAGGTATCGTAAGATGCAAGAGTTCGAATCTCTTAGCAACCATTATTTTTTTTAAATTCGAAAAACACCTACATGAATCAGATGATTTCCACATGGTAGGTCCTGAAGCACATCTGTCTTCCCTCTGTATGTGTTTCTTGGGCTAAGCTCACAATACCTTTTCAAATGCTCTTCTATTCGCTCTACATCGTCACATTAAATACTCTCTTTTGAAATTCTCTACCATAATCACTTGGTCCGGTGGCAGCAGCCGTATTTGGTCGGCGGTCAATTGTAGGACTTGTTTGATCATATCTTGCTGCTGCTGTGGAACTGCTGCCAGTTTGACCATGTTGATGCGATTTCCTTCCGGTTTTACGGGGACCTGAGGAGGTGTGAATGGAGCGTGGCTGCGGGGCATGCTAGCACCGAATCCGCCCATTTGCTGTTGCTGTTGCTGTGGTGGTGGAACGCTATAAGCGGAATTGCCCATCATCGACGGTTGCTGGAGCTGGGACTGGCCCAGAGGCATTGTAGACGAGTTGAGAGGAGCATTCCCATTCATAGGCGTACTACTGGGCGTGTTTCCACGACTGTAAACTTCCGCCGCTCCGTTGATAACATTCGGAGACTGGGTTTGGGTCCCAGCTTGCTCAGCTATAACTTTTGTCACCACACCGTAGTTTATAAACCCCATTTCAAGCATAGCTTGAGTTACAGCGATAGCGACATCCGGATTCGACGCCAGAAACTTGGCCACTTGCTCGCGATTGGCGTCTTGACCGGCTAGAATCTTAAGATTGGAGATCATCTCCAACAGTTGCAAAGGTGCAATCTTGCTTAAATTCGACGACACAACGTCTCCCGCTGTCATTGAACCGGGCACATATGCCGGCAGATGCTTCGAGGCTTTACTAAGGATATCTGGGAATGTAGTGAGACCGCCAGAATCTGGCGAGGTACCATTTGAGGGCACAGGAACCGGGTTTGTAGGCCTTCTGGGCAGTGGGACTTCAGAAACCATTTCAAATGGCAATTCCAAGCCGTAATCCCAAGGGAAAGCGTCACGATCCAGGTCGAGTAGTGTACCAGAAGAGCCCGAGGAGTTGGATATTATTCTTTCAAGCCCACAAGGCATTTTTTTGATTTTTTGCAGAAGTTCTAATGCTCGTCTGCAGTCTTTACTGCTCGAATAATCCACCACCACGCCGACCAGTTTTCCGTTCCGCGGGTCAGTCTTTCGTGATACGCTAGTGATAGGTCCAGAACCGGCCACTACCGAAGAAACAACGGTCTCATTCCAGTTTGTTGGCAGATTGGTGATTAAGATTGACGACGATAAAAGATCGGGAGTGAGCGTGTGACGAGTCTTTCGAGTTCTGGGATCCGACATTGTAGGTAATATTTTGGTGCTGAGTATATCTAACGTGTCCAATTGCTTTGAATTGGAGCCTCACCACGGCATTCGTCGTCTCAATGGGTGTTAGTTCACAGTTCAAAGCTTTGTCTGAAATTTCCAAGTTTAGTACAAGGTGATGATTTGTGTCGTTTTATTTACGAGGTTATTATACAAGGTAAATAAGTCGACACCGGTTAAAAAAAACGAAATCTGAAGAAAGCCCGTAATGTGACGTTTTCCGCGAGTTCCACAGTATTTGAACCAAAACGAGAGTTTCAACTACCTCTATGTACTCTTACAGATACAATTGCAGTTTAGAGCGCAGATCACTTTGTACGTATCTATCGCACTGCTCATACACCTTCTCTCTGATTCCAGTCGTCGGTAGTTCACGTATGGTCAAACTTATAAGCTTGAGAAATTTCTATTCAGAGTGTGGGTCCTTTTTTATGTGATCAAGCTTTTCTTTCAGATGCATTTGAGCATAAAAAAAGTGTCACTGGTGTCAGGTTCTCAAAGTCCGTCGATTTCCATCATAATGTCCCCCAGGCAATGCGCCAGAGAAGAATTTGGAAAATCCAAAGTTTGCATGCTTCATTTCCTTTGATAGGCCATGCACGTTCTTAAAGCACTTTTAAGAATATCGTTCTATTCTCTTTTCCTTTCCCGTTTTCGTTTTGTCAAAAACTTGTAGCATCTTGGAACCTTAATATGGCACGGCAATTATATCATGCCAAATTCGCCTCGCATTGCCTTCTGTTTGAGCTCCCACAGCGACATTTTCTCGTCGTCCGGGAGCACGCTAATCTCGCTATCTGAAAGTTGCAGCACTTGCCTGAGCAGCTCCTTCTGCTGCTCTTGAGCTTGCAGATCCTGTGGGGTGGCTGAATTGCCGCTCGCAACGTTGTGCTGCACCGCTAGCTGCGTCAGGTCGTCCACTGTGCTAATTCCCGATGTCAACAAAAGCTCCGCTACGACAAAGCTGAGCTGTGGGAATTGCTCCAACAGGCTTGTGAATAGCTCAGAGTTATTTTGTGCCATCTTCTGTAGGTCCTGGAGCAGTCCTAGCTGGTCCTCTCGAGAACCCTTGGAAAGCTCACTGGAAATCATCATTGCGGGCGTTGTCATGTTGACGTTCACATCCACGCCTTGCGGCAGCCCAGCAAATGCCGGGTTCTTGTCATCGTCACTCTGCAGTCCCGAAAGTACTCCGTTTCCCCCATTGGCTGAGCTTGAAACTCCAGAGTCTCCGCCGCCGTAATAACCGCATTTCAGATGTCTGTTTCCCAGCTGGTATCCGTTGAGATTACGCACTGCACTGGCGCTGGCCTCCAGATCTCTATATTCCACGAAGGCGTAGCCCTTCGATTTGCCCGTTTGCTGGTCGAACATCATTTTTAAGTGTACCACTGGTCCCACATTCGAGCACAGATCCAAGATCTGTTCTTCCGTCTGGTCATACGGTATGGAGCCCAGATAAACTGTTCTGGCCGGTGGATTGTTGTGAACCTGTCTGTTGTTCATGGTATCTTGAATGAATGGTTCTACACTGAACTAGCTATATGATTCGATGATGTTGGTTCAATGTTGATGTATTTACACTTATATATCGTAAAATGACGCTATTGGATCGCTGGAAAAGCGTTTCTTGGGTAATTGCACCAGTCGCAGCTCTTTAAAGGCTCTAAAATGAGGCTAGCAGCTCTTTTTGGCGCTCAATTTTGGTCTTTTAGCTTTCAAGTTGGTAAAGTTGATGATAGTTGAAGATGATGAGTTAGTTGATGAAAAGTTCCATCTGAAAAGTTTATATCCAAGTTTCTCATCGAAAAACTAAAGATGGACAGCAAAGAGGTATCCACGCTAGTCAAGAACTTGGAAAAGAGCAAGACCAACGATGATACCGTGATAGAAATTTTGACGGTCTTAGAGCGGGACTTGAAGCCCACAGAGAAGCTTTTACGAGAGACCAAGGTCGGTGTGATTGTCAACCAGTTCAAGAAGTCAGGGAACGTCCAGATCTCTGGTCTGGTCAAGAAAATGATCAGTCAATGGCGAGACGCCATCTCACAGGAAAAGAAGCAGAAAACGCTGGCGAAAACCCCAGGTTCTCACCATGTTGCAGCTTCCTCCACTGCTAGTAACACTTCCGAAATGAAAGACGCACCTGGGGCTAAGAAACACGACAAGTTTGTGTCTACCAAGCCAAGAAACGCCAAAAACGACGGTGTGATAACCGTCATCTACAACCACAAACTACGGGACATGGTCATCCGAGCTTTTTACGACGCACTGGCCAAGGACAGCGAACATCCTCCACAATCTATCCTTACAACGGCCATCGCCATCGAGAAACAGCTCAACCAGCTCAATAACTGCGAGGGCAACGAAAAGGCCTACAAGAACAAGTATCGGGTGGTTTACTCAAACGTCATTTCCAAGAACAACCCCGATCTCAAACACAAAATAACGGCCGGTGACGTTACGCCGGAACATCTGGTGTCGTGCGATCCACGAGAGCTAGCCCCAGAGCATTTGAAGAAGAAACTAGAAGAAATTTCGAAACAGAATTTGTTCAATGCCCAGGGTGCTACCTTGGAGAGATCTGTCACTGACAGATTCACTTGCGGCAAGTGTAAGGAGAAAAAAGTGTCGTACTACCAGCTACAAACCAGGTCTGCAGATGAACCGCTCACAACTTTCTGCACATGCGAGGTATGTGGTAATAGATGGAAATTCTCATAGTCTGCTTGCTCAAATATGGGTCATGGTGTCGAATCTCTCTATTTTTATGCAAAACTAAACTGTGTGTAGTTACAAACTTAAACTTAACAACTCTGATGCCCAAGAAGCTTTCAACAATTTAGGAGTTCTGGCGTCTTCTGGAGTCGCTGGTATTTCTTTCATATAGTGCTTGCTCATCGCATTATACTATAATTTACAGCTATTATCGTCATTTTACGTTTCTTGAACATTAAAAACATCAGTTTTGACTTCACCTCAGCTATCATGTTTGCCAGAGGCGTCGTGAGAGCATTCCGCACTTCCTCTTTCAAGTTAGCCACCAATCAGGTTTCTCTTCGAGCTTCCGGTATCTCAATCACTAGAAAGAGATGCTATGCTCAATCCTGGGACAACAACCGACCAAACAAAGACATTGAAGCGCATTTGAAAGTACAGGGACTGCTGGATAAGATTCAAAGCCATCCAAACGTGGCCTCAAAGCTACGAGAAGTAAGCGAGATTATGGTTTCCAAGGGCCTCGCCAACGACTCTGCCCCTCCAGGACCATGGCAAGTGGTCAAAATACTAACTGACAAAGATGTGAGAAGAGCAATGGCAGAATTCAAAGAGGAACTGGCGAAATCGGGAATCGAATTAGGCCCAGAACAACTGGAACCCCTGATGGCGGTGTTAGGTATGGAAAAGAAATAGACTTCTATTCTTATGGACTCACACCAGTGCTAGTGCCCAACTTGATAGTCGCACAGACTTCTAATTAGTTTTTATAACGATCTCTATGTAGTCTACAACTTTTTGGTCAAGTACTCTAGCAAGTCCATTTTGGTTACAATGTGAACTGGAGTGAGGCCATCGGTGATAACAGCAGATGAGTTCTTTTCGAAAAATTGGTTCAATTGCGATAGCTTGCTGTCAACGGTGAAGTCAACAAACTTCTTTTTGCCAGACTTGTTTTCGTTGTAGGATGAAACTTCATCAAAGTTGTTGAGTCCTCTAAAGTCGTAGAATAGCTTTTGAATGCTCTTCGCGGCTTCACCTGAAGAAAGCTTCTTCAAGAGCTGCGAAAGGGTGACTAGACCGCACAACTTGCCGTCCTCAGTCAAGACAGGTAGTTGATCAAAGCCGTTATCGGTTAAAATCTTGACAACCTCTGAGATAGGTGCATCTTCTTTCACAGACACCACTGGCTTCAAGTTGAGGTCTTTGACAGTGGCACCCTTGAATGTATCGCTTTGACTTCTGCCCAAAGGCTTCAAGATATCGTCGTCCCACAAGTTGTTCTTCTTTAGCCATTCATCATCGGCAAATTTGGTCAAGTAGGAACGAATGGAGTCTGGCAGAATAACCACAAATACATCATCTTCGGTAAGCTCAGGATGCTGCTTGCTGTAGTCCATCATGGCGGCAAAAGCACTTCCACTGGAACCACCTACAAGGAGACCCTCGTTAGAGATTAGCTGACGGGCGTATCTGAAGGAGTCAAGATCGTTGGTCTTGAACCAAACATCGACCGAATCACGGTTCAACACCTTTGGAATGAAGTCATAGCCAATACCTTCGACCTTGTATTCAGCCTCTTCTGTGGCATTCAATGATTCCGGTTGAGCAAGGATAGAGCCCTCAGGATCGGCTCCGATGATCTGAATGTCAGAACGCTGTCCCTTGATGTATCTGGAAATACCACTGATGGTGCCACCAGTTCCTGCACCGGCGAAAACACCGTGCAGCTTGTCGAAAAGGTTGAGCTGTTCTAATTGCTTGTGAATTTCCTTACCTGTACCAAAGAAATGAGCGTCTGGGTTTTTCATGTTGTTGTACTGATCCAGAATGACGGCATGTGGGATTTCTTGTTCCAGTTTCTTGGCCACACCAATGTGAGACTCTGGCGAGTCCCACGCGGCAGCTGTAGGAGTTCTGATGATTTCAGCACCCAGGGCCTTTAGCACCGAGACTTTTTCGTTGGACATTTTTTCAGGCAAAGTAATAATAGTTCTGTAGCCCTTGACAGCACCCATAAGAGCCAACCCGATACCTGTGTTACCTGAAGTAGGTTCGATCAAAGTGGTTCTTGAAGGATGGATTCTGCCAGAAGCTTCAGCATCGTCGATCATGGATTTGGCAATACGATCTTTGATCGAGCCACCAGGGTTGTACAGTTCAAGTTTTGCATAAACTTTAGGCTTGATTCCTAATGCCTTGGGAAGCTTCGAAAGCTCTACCAATGGTGTGTTTCCGACAAGGTCTGCAACAGACGTACGGTTGTCGTAATGGGTCATTTTGAAGAAAATGAAAAATGGGTAACTATGCCGTTAAAAAGCTGTTTCTTTAGCAGTCAAAAAGGTACTTGATCTCGACAACAAGTAGGAAAAACAGTTGAAGAACCCTTGAACGTTATAAATGGCACTGCTTGTGTGGTGTGATGGTCAGCGTATGTGGCTTTTCGTATTGTTCAGGTGGTCGAAGATCTGTCATTGTCAAAAATTATCAAAAAACGTCAGTTTGAGAAAGAGAGATTTGACATGTGGTTTTCACATGATCATGACACTTTAGTCTAAAGTGATATCGAAAGCTATACTAGGTAGCTGCGATGAGAAGGAGGATTTCAGAGAGAGGAAGAGAGAGAGAGAGGGAGAGCTTAGCCAATGGTGGCAGGTAGAATATTTTATGGTATGAATTTCTTAGGGATTTTAAACTCATCGCTCAGCGACACTCAATTTTTGAATTTGATCAGGAGTCAAATGTAGTCTGAATGAATATCTAGAAATGTTACGGAATTATTGAAGATTAGAATCATCACGTTTCACTTTAACCAAGAGAATTCATGGATCTATTTGTCATGGTTCCTCTTTTTTTTGTCGTTTTTACTTGTATGTCGAGAGAATGACATAAAAAAGTCATATCGCCAGAACTTTCTCAATTTAGAGAAGTTTTGATTGCTGGCACCGCTCGTTACAGTAACAAGATACTTCTTCAAGTTCTGCGCGTCAAATCGCCCAGCTTCGCGTCCATCTTTTAGCCTAAATCGCTTACTTCAAAAACCGTACGGAGGCTTCTGAGAGCGACAGTGAAAAGCGATACTACTGTCCACTTGGCACTTCAATGAAAAGAGGACGCAATTGATGCCCCAGAAAATTTCAGAAACGGAATACACGCTCACAGGGACCTTAAAAGGACCATTTTGTCGCTTATGTTGATACCATCTTGTCGTACGTGGGGACAAGCTCTAAACGCAGCGAATGAGGCCTTGATGGTCGACCATCGTGCTGTAAAAACCACACACACACACACCCAGGAGGAAAGAACTCGATATCCGAACGGTTGGGCACTGGAGAAAGCCTTTCAAGCTATGAGGGAAATGATTCTCGTTCAAAGCGACATATATAGGCCCTTCACGAAGTCAAATCGAACAAGTTGAGGTAGTTCCCCATTGAAATGCAATCCATAATAGGTCTTGGCAAGTTTCCAAGAACTACAATGGGGTTTCCGTTGACCTCTTTGTTTTCATGGTGCTTGAAAAAAATCAACGGATAATTTTGGGATTATGACGTGGCCAAAAAGCCCAAACGTTGGAAGAGAGAGTTCCTTTTCAAAAACAAGTCTCGTCTAATTTAGCCAGCTGCAGTCGCATTGTATTCTTCTAATACTGAGTTGTGACGTTTTTGATGGAACTCGGTGTATAAATGATGATTTTTTTGATGGTATTGATGAATTTACGGTGATACCGATGAGATGCACATTCATAAAATTCAGTTCGACCCAATTGGTTCATAGGCTGCCAAAACCACATTCATTAGTGTCTCTTCTGATTGTCATTGGCATCAAGGATCGCTTATTGCAGAAGAATCTCATCTTTTTCAGTCCATTTCATAGTTTTGGTCCCGTCTTCTCTTCTTCAAGTTATTGCACCTCCCAATGATCCTTTAAGCTCCAAATTACGGGTCTTCACCAACGCATTACAATACTCACTAGAGCTTGAGCCTAAACCCTTTACATTAAACAATTCTAGTACCAGCTAGACCTCTTTTCTCTCTTTTCTTCTAACCTTTAACTCATCCAGTTCTTGTAGTGAGATAGTCCTGATATAACTAGTAAACTTAAAGTCATCAGGTTGTAAGATTCGAGCTAGAAAGAGTGAAAGACCGCACAATGGGCCAAGGTAGCAGCAAAATAGAGGTCACAAAGGCCGACAAGGCGATTCTACAGCTAAAGCTTTCTAAGGACGAGTTACACCGGTACACAAAACGCACAGAAGCGTTAGTTTTCAATGAACGAGAACGCTTGAAGCTTTTACTGCGACAGAGTCCAAAAACCGGAACTAAGGACCCCAAAGCTCGTGTGTTACTCAAGAAAGTTCATTACCAGAGCCATTTGCTAGAACAGGCGTCAGACCAGCTCATAAACTTGGAAAATCTGGTTGCAACAGTGGAATTCAAACTTGTAGAAAAACAGTTTATGGCCGGGCTCAAACAGGGAAATGAAGTCTTAAAACGACTGAACAATGAATTCAAGGGAGCTGATGAGCTCATGGACTCTGTGGCAGATCAAATTGCGTACCAGGACGAAATTGACCAAGTTTTGTCGTCCAGCGTTGTAGGTGGGTTTGAGGAAGAGCTGGATCGGGAGCTGAATCAATTAGACAAAGAGGTTAACGGCACAGGTGTCGAGCAAAAATTGGAATTACCAGATGTTCCACTAAATCAACCACAAAAGGTCCCAGAGTTACCATCTACGGAAGAGCTACCCTCTTTGTCTAATCAGAATTCCCAGAATAGCCCCGTAAGAAGACCAGAAGTAGCACTGGCCGAATGATTTCAGAGTGACGAAATGCAGAAAAAGCCAACATCGCTGGCGTGTGCCTTTGGTTTTTTTCTGTTTTACAGTGTCCTTATTTGCATTTTAGAGGAACAAATGTCCTATATACTTGTAGTTGCATAGGATAAGACGATTTCGTGTTGTTCTCATACGTCTACAAACTCAACCAGTCCAAGAACTCAGGGGTGAGGTAAGAGATAATGAGCCGAGCTCCAGCTCTCAAAAATCCCTGGTGCGATTCAAATGCAATTGTTTTGAAATCGACGACACCCTTTTCTGCTGCAGCGTGGAGCATGGCATACTCGCCAGATACGTGGTATGCGCAGATGGGTATATCCCGGGCGATTTCAGCAGCGTCTGCCATGACGTCCAAGTAGAAAGTGGAAGGTTTGACGATGATACCGTCACTTCCCTCTTCAAGATCTCTCTTGACAGCACGACGAGCCAAACCACGACCACCAGAGGGCAGCTGGTAGTTCTTTCGGTCTCCCTTGGAAGGTGCAGAGCACGCAGCATCTCGGAATGGACCGTACAAGTTCCCACTGAATTTCGCCGCATAGCTCATGACAAACGTTTGGTGCGCCAAGCCAGCATCAATGAGTCCCAATTTGATCTCTCTGATTCTACCATCAATCATATCACTGGGGGCAATAGCATGAGCACCGGCTTTGGCGTAATTGACAGCGACTGCAGCAATTCTGCGAACCGATTCTTCACGGTTGATACTTCCATCTTCATAAAGCACGCCACAGTGGCCATGCGAAGTGTATTCACATAGACAAGTGTCACATACGATGTAAAGATCTGGGAATTCCCGTTTGAGAAGTTTGATACCTTGGATGACAGGTCCCTCTGGGTCGTCTGCCGAAGTGGCCACCGGATCTTTGGATCCTGCCTTCATGGGTACTCCGAATAAGATGACTGCTCTGAGTCCCTTGGCCACTAGAGGTTTCAAATAAGCTGCAAGTTTGTTCACACCAAACCTCTTGATGTTGGGCAACGAATCAATAGGTGTTTCCTCGTCTGCATCGTCGGATATGAAGAGTGGGAAGATAAACATGTTTTTCGTCAATTGACGTTCATTTTGCCAATCTCTTAGAAGCGGATGGTTGTAACCACCAGCCAAAATCGAGCTTATTTGAGTAGGATGGCTATCCAAAAACTCAGCTTTATGCATGGTGCTTGGACAGTGTTTGTGATGTCTTTAAAGGTCTAAGTTTTCGGTTTTGAAAGCTAGGCGATGAGCTAAACTTACATTAAGAACTGTAATATACTATATTATATATAATTTCATCAAATTCATGAAGAATAAGTTCAAGAACTGACAACTTCAAAAGATCAAACATAAGCTCGAGCCCTCGTTATTTACTTGTAGCATAATGTCTCACAGCTGTGAACACGAGCATGAACACTCTCATGAGCATTCTCATGAACATTCGCCTCCATTGGTCACCAATGAGGCCCAATCATTATATAAATACGTCAACACGCCTCAGGTGCGCTGTCTGAACGCTGTTGGTCGAGGATGTGACGTACTTAGTTCGTGCTTCATCAAAAGTCAGGAGGGTAAGTATAATACGTCCAGGTTTTTGCAAAGCGACGCAGACTGCCAAATGATCTTGCATATCCCATTAACGGGAGTGTGTCGTGTCTTTTCGTGCATATTTAGGTTCGGTTGTAGTGGCAATGGTCGGGTTGGATCACCCAAGAGTGTCAAGATCTTCAAGAACTTTACGAAAAGCATTGATTTTGATAACCTGGTAGATTCAAGACCGCAGCACACGCTGGAAAACCCCGAAAACGTGGGGATCGACGTACAGAGCGGTACAGAGGAAGAAGAGGAGGAGGAGGATATAGGGTTTGTGGAGCACCAGTTACCACGCCAACACTTTCAGAACGTCGAATCACTCACGCTTTTTGTGGAAAACAACTGGAGTGACGACGAGGACGATCTGACTCAGTGTTTTTACGTCGAGCTGCGAGGCGAATTCGTGAACAACAAACGAAGCGAGGACGGAGTCCCTCTATTGACGGTATACGAAGCTGCGCCTAACCCATTGGATCACCAAAAAATCGAAAATGAGCTGGGAGGCTCTACTGTGGGAATGTAGGGCTCAAAAAAAGTTGCATAAACACGAGAGGCTCAAACTTCCAGGTTTTGCAGAGCAGAGCACACGGATAGCCTTATAAAATGGGTCTACAATGGAGTCCCTCCGCTTCAAGAACAACGGTGGGTTCTTGTTGTCACTTTTTTGTTTTCGTAGTCATTTTTTGACAGCGGGTCTTTATATTACGCCAGATACAGAAGACATCGCCATTTGTTCTACAACAAACCTAGCAGAAAGACAACGAGTTGATCAACTCTTTGGAAACATCAGTCAATTGAGTCGAGATAGCTATATATTAAGTCGTTTGTATGTAAGAGAGTCGCCCATGAAGATGGAGTGATCTGAACTGCACATCGACAGCGGCTACGATGAGAAGTTAGAGATATTGTTGTCAAATGAAGAACTCTCTGATTCACATTGATTTGCTCTGTTTCTGGTAACTCGTTCTTCTAGTTTGCGCATTGGAAGGTGGGGCAACTAAAGCAGTGGTTCCTTGTGTTCGGTATAGAGCAAAACCCTTACAAAATAGATTCTGAAGGTGCTTGTTTGGCACTTTCGGTTTTGACCAGACATTTTAGACAAACAAAGAACTATTAAAGACGAGCAATGCATTGACAATGTCACCCCCACCGCTGAGAACTTGGCACATTGGTCATTGGGATGCCGTTTTCGTGACATCAAGATTACCATCTCAAATAACGCAATTAGCTAAACGCTAGAGGTTGTTTGAAGCTGTCACGAAATGCTAGATCTGTACTGGGTCTACCGGACGTCCCAAACACCATAGAGGCCATATCGTACTTCCCCAAAATTCATTAAGATGTCTTCTACAATCAACCCCCAAGTCGGCAGCTGAACAGCAGTTTCGTGAATGTCGGAACACCCAATTCCGTGTACTTCGAGGTTTTGCTCCGTTTAACCTAACCAAGAATCATGGCGCCAAGCTAAACAATGTCGGCCCTCAAGAAGATCATCGAACAAGACAAATTTCATTGCTTTCCCGAGAACACTACAAAAATGAGAGGAATTATTGCACATTGTGGAGAGCTTCATAGACAATCGGTCCGTCAACATCCCTAAAGCAGACGTAAAGGACAAACCGAGTCAGAACGGTGAACCATTGGAATTTGGAAGAATTCGAATAGTCACCAAACCCCAGCATGTCTTTACAAACAAGAATACTTTACCGTAAAGTCTATTCTCTCACGTCAATCATGAAAACGTTTCAGTCATATTTGGACATTGCTTCCCATCGAACTGACAACATATCGGTTCGCTAGCCCTCATCTTATGGCGATTCATCCCGCATCACATGCCGTTACCTTCCATTTCAGTCGCCGCATAGTCTTTCACATGGGCAATGAGATTCCCACGTTGAAAAAGTGTGAAGGTGCCAAAATACCACCTTCACTACTGATCTACGCCACTCATCCAACCAAAGACAAGGCGATCTGGTCAATTGAACCTCTCTGCTAAGCCAAACTGGCAACTTAAGTTCGTTTTCTTCCTCCTAGCTCAACCTAGCCTTTTAATTCTGGACAAAAGAACGCTGAATGCTAAAGGATCCTAAGAAAAAGCCGTCCACGACTGCAAAAACCAAAGAAATGGCGGATCAATCCGGGAAAAACTTCCCCAGTGGAGCCGTTGTCGCCAGGACTCGTTCTAGTAATGTCGAATTTGTACCTGCCAAAACCCACGATATGGTCCGGTCGCTCTTCGATCCAACGCTCAAAAAATCATTTTTGGAAATTTTGATCAGTTTGGCTATCATAAGCAATGTGGTGTTTTGCTACTTTTCCGCATCAAAGCTTGGCGTCGTTTTCACGAAATGGCTTTTCCTATGGCAATACATCTTCTGGAGGCTATGCTACAACGTTGGGATCGGCGTGATTCTATACTACCAATCCAAATACGAAACCTTGACGGAGTACGCAAAGCGTCACGGACTCTTCGATAAGAAAAATCAGCACTGGTTGGCGCGCTTCTGCCGTTTTGAGATTGAATCTAAAATGCCCACCTCCTACAAGGTCGAGTCATATCCAGAGGAATTCAATACCTGGCTTCTGTTCCGTCAATTTGTCGACCTGATCCTGATGCAAGACTTCACCACATACATGCTATTCGTATGTCTGTCTATTCCTAAGACTGTTTTACCAAGTCACAGTGTGAGCGTGTTGTTGGGAATCGTTATGATTTTGTTCAATGTATGGGTTAAGATTGATGCTCATCGCGTCGTGAAGGACTATGCGTGGTATTGGGGCGACTTTTTCTACTTCCAGGACTCCAAACTCGTGTTTGATGGTGTATTCAACATTTCACCCCATCCCATGTATTCGATTGGTTACATGGGCTATTACGGACTGAGTTTGATTTCCGGCGACTACAAAGTTCTCTTGGTCTCAATCGGGGGTCACTTGCTGCAGTTCTTGTTTCTCAAATACTGTGAGACGCCACATATCGAAAAGATATATGGATCGGACGCAGTTGATTCCGATAATGCCCAAATTGACGAACTTCTAGTAAAACAAAACCGCAATTACTCTAGACCTTTGATCACTAAAGGTTTTTGGCTCACAAATTTCGACAAGTTGAGATTGACAGACTACTTCACTGGCGCTACATCTCTGGCCATCGTTGCTCTTGTGTTTACTCTTAGACCATCCAACAAAACGTTGTTTTGTTTCACACTCGGCGTGAAGCTTGTCACATCCGTCTTTCTTTCCCTGATCTTGTACAAACAATCCACATCGAAATGGTTCACCCGACTATTCATGGAAAACGGGTACACACAAGTCCACTCCTTCCATCAATGGCAGTTCATTTACAACTATTCGTTGACTGTTACGTACACGCTACTGGTCTTGCAAACGTTCTTCCAGTTCAGATCTTTGGAAACGCTCAACTACACGCAAATCATTTTCGGGTTTCTACTATGTTACCTACAGAAGTGGTGCGACGATGAGATTTTGACCGCCATTTCAGAGTTTGGATGGTTTTACGGAGATTTCTTCTTGACCAATTACATCAGCTCGCGGAAACTAAACTCCCAAGGTATCTATCGCTACTTGAGTAACCCTGAAAGATTTCTTGGCGTTGCGGGTTGTTGGGGTTCCGTTTTAATCACCGATTTCTCGTTTTACAATATGGCTTTGGCGGTTGTCTGGACAGTTGCGAACTTTGCTTTGGTAAAATTGGTAGAGGAGCCTCATGTTAATAAGGTATATGGAGCGAAGCCCCGTAAAAGTGGCGTGTCAAGCACCTTGATGGGATTTAAGCCTATCAGAAGATTTTCGGAAATTGTTGACAGAATGGAATCCAGGATAGCGGAGCACTTAACTTGTAGCGAAGCTGTGTTTGAAGAAGAAGAAGAAGACTTGCCTGGTAAGTCAGAGGCTCAGTGGAATGAAATGCTGCAGAAGGCCTTGGACAACGCTACTGCCAATCTTGCTCCAAACTGCGAATTTAAAGTGGGTGATGGAACGGCTCCCGCCATTGAAATTCCAGGACCCATTGAGGTACACTGGCAGCTACCCGCAAAGCTTCACGATGATAAGGACTGGGTTGGGCTCTACGAAGTCTTAGAGACCGGGGACGACCGGTGCAGAACGAGAATCTCAACAAATGGACTGTGGTCAGGAACTACACCTGACTCCTACAGCGACAGTGGTAGACCCGAAAACTGTGTGGTCAACTTCAAGAAATCTGGTGAAGTGGTATCCGGCGATCTCAAATTTGATTATCAATTGATGTTCTTCGAGGAAGGAATCTATGAGCTCAGATACCATAGCAAGAATAGTCATAAGGTGCTTATGATTTCTCAACCTTTCAGGCTGTCGCTTCCAGATCTCGACTGTACTTCATCGCAAACTATGAGCGAAGGCTTGACTGACTTTTTGACATCGTGCCATGCTTACGAGAATGGGAGATTTGTCCCTAACAAGAACCAGCACTTTTCCGCAAAGTGCTTCAAGAATATCATCAAGCAAGTTGCCGGTGTTGATCTTTCGGCGAAATATCTGCGCAGGATCAATTATGATATAAATGTGATATCCGAGACTGTCCAGGAGATCAAGACAGTACTGCAAAACTTGGACTGAGACCGTTGGTGAACTTGTGAATTGCAAGAAACACATATATGTACATTTATAATACTTGGTTGTTATATAGAGGAGAGGGGGGATGAAATGATGAAAGAGATGATATTGATGACATTGGCTTACATGCAAATCCAGACTTTATATCCATTATGAAGCTTGTTTATCAGTCAGACCCGTTTTGTTCCTGCTTCGTATCATAGATTCGATCATGGTCTTACGGTTTTTCAGGTAATGTTCCTTACATTTTTCCACAATGTTCAAAATACCCTCACCTGAAGAATGCTCATCGTCGTCTTTCCAGAAGCCAACCACTTCGGTACCGTTTTTCATGAACGCTGTAACGTTTTTCTTGTACATTCCTGCACTCACTGTGTCTAAAATTTCGATTCCTGCGTCAACAAACGCAAGGGTGATACCGTTTACGCATGCTGTGAGTATGGATTCTAGTTCGAAGTCCTGTGGGCCACTAGAACTGTGAATCAAGCTGAGAAAAACGTCTATTCCAGATTTTGGGTATCGCTCCAAATTTACCACTGCGTTGAAGACGTTTGTCAAAAAAGTGCAAATTTCCTTGATCTGCCCCGCACCGATTTTTTCCAGTGTCACTTCTTTGAACTGCACGCTGAGGGTTGCTTTGGCGTTGAAAGCTCCACGAGAAGGCCTTGGTCCATATATCGACGTCAGAAGTAATGTGCAGTTTTTGTCGTTTGTTCGACTTTTCACCTCCAGATATGACGACCCATTTGAATTGGCCACAGCCCCATTTTCGATGTATATCGATTCGTCTCTAGTCTCAGACACTGGCTTTTCAGATTCTTCTTTTCCATCATCCACTGGTGCTAAACTTCTATCAAAGATCAACGGTTTGGCATTCGCTGGACCCAAAATACGTCGTCTATCGGTAATGTTCATCATGGTGTAAAACTCAGTGCTACAAATTCGCTGTGAATAGCTTGAAATCTAGCTTAGAGAGCTGTTCAGATGCTGTAGATGGTGGTGATGATGGTCCATCTCTCTAAGTTTGGTCAAATTTTTGTTAAACTCGTATCTCATTATATAGTAGTATCTAGATCCTGGCAAGCAGTGTGGTCGACGACAAGGAAGTAAAAGACCATTCTGATAGTTATTTTAGATCATTATTGGGATGGCTTTGTAGTCCCCGTTAGAGTGCCATAGACGGTTCACTTTCTAGGTCTTTCAGCCTTTGTAGCTCCATCTCATCCTTGTCTTCTGCAACTTCAAATAACGAATTCGGAGTGTATTCGGGCAACGGCATAGTTGACTTTTCGTCATATTCAAAAAGATAGCTGGTGTCTGTAGAAGGCGTGGGACGCTTCGTCGCAGTATATGTGTAGTCTTGTGCTTCGAGATGGGAAGTTTCCTCGGAATTGGAAGAATTGACCGGTGATTGACCATGAGTAGTCTGGCTTGTGGTTTGATTTTGGTCAGCAACGGACCCTGGAATAGCAATATCGGGAGAGCCTGTGGTCTTGGTGGTGCCAACAACTATTTCTATCGACATCCCAGTGACGTTGCGCAATCGCTTGAGCTTGTCGACGTTGATCAGATCTTTGAAAAAAATCATGGACTCGCGATCGTCATCGTGGAACCCGTTGTTGGCAGACCCGGCTTGTATCTTCCGCTGCAGCACCGAAAGCGTTTCTTCAATGGATTTAGACGGATGACTGGAACCCTGTGAGTTGGACGTTGGATCTACCACGCGATTGGATTCCGTGTAAGCGAGATTCTTGCGCGAAAGATTTACAAGTACCTCCACGTAGTATTGGAAGGAGAATCGTCTGTTTGGCAGCCGCAGCGTGGGAAATGCGTCAAGTGGAACTTTGAGATACACAGTCGTGGAGCATTCGAGGGTCTCCGGATCCACGTATACGGGAGACACGGTCTGGCACATGTCCTTGCGGAAAGTTTCGATAACGTTTTCCTTGGAATTATCTTCAACGCGACAAATCCGAACCAAAGTGGCTATCAGTCCCGTTGAATGCGAATATTCTCGATAATGCGCCAAATGTAGTTGCACTGGAATCACTTCGCCCACAACGTAACCCGAAGCCGGGAGATCAACGTTTATCGTCACAGTCTTGGAGTTCGAGCCCGTTGTCACCATCGTTGACTCGGATTGTTTGGAGCCTCCGGTGCGGCGAGTGAGCCCAGAGCCGCAGTCTTGTTCCAAAGCAGTTTGTTTCAAACTGGAGGGCGACTGTAGCACTACAGTCTTGGTTTTTGGCTTTGGAAGCCGACCCACGTCTAGTGGAACCATAACAGAGACGCTTTTCTCGCATGTTGCCATGATCTCGTCTGCACGACCGTTTTGCAACGATTGCAAAGTGCATTGCATGTAATATGAGATAGATCCTCTTTCGAACTTTATGGATGTGAAGATTTTTTTGGACGGAACCTTAAGTCTGAATGGAAACCGATGTTCTCCCTTAGTGAGTCCATTCACAATGGCAGGTTGATCCTCCAATGCCGTTTCTTCATTTTCTCCGTAAACCGTTGTAGATTTTTCAAAAAGCTTTTCTGAGCGTGTTCTCGGGCCTAGCCCACGAAGTTTGATCTCCCCGACCAGCGAGAAGGTCACCGCCACATTTTCCACGTCTCGTTTCAGCACCAAAACTGCTTCTCCGCATATGTATTCATTAGGTTTCCAGATATGATGAGGTGCTTCCTGCTGGATATAAAAGTCTCTAGCAGGATTCCCGGCCCGGAAATTCTTGCCTCCGGGGTAAGTGTATCTTTTTTTGACAAGCTCACTTGTAGGATGCCGAACATTCGAGCCCGTATCCTCATCCTTCCGAGTGCTGGTGGCTTTTAGCTTTGCCAGCAGCCCCATTACAGATTTTGACTTGTAGCGGACCAAATCAGATTCTGAAAAAAGGTAGTTTCTATCACTACCGAAACCAAATGTGTAGACTTTATAAAGCTTGGTTTAAAGGCTCGATACGAGGTCTTTTGCGAGACTTTTAGTCGCAAGGATCTCGTTTTTTATAGATTTTAACGTTGTATTTTTCATGATCCAAAATTTTCTTGGCATTTTTGGCTTTATAGGTGCACTATATACGTAGCATTATATATTGATGTACCTATAATAAGGCAACGACAGCGTCAGCTTCCGATTTTGATTCTCGAGAATGTTGCCTGATGACGTTTTCATTGATTTCTAAATTAACGCATTAGTGGCGGCCTGAATTTAGCCGAATTAGCTCGAGTGCTATAGTGCTTTAGTGCCTATTTCTTTGGAATCGTTCATAATTGACAAATCAAGTTGAAGTTTCTAAAAAACTAACCGATTGATGTCTTTATGAGTCATAATAGGAGTAGCTGCCACTGTTACAACATATACGCTTCTTCGACGATTTTGGAACTCGAATTCCTGCAGGCTATACGTCGAGGATTGAGTTATAATAATAATATATCGCCCAGAAAATTTAACAAGACCCAAATGTGGGCTTCAAAATGAGCAAATCTATCCAACAAAGCTCAACAACCTTGAAAAGGCCTTAAAGATCTATAGTCACAAATATTGATTCAAATGCCACCGTTTGAAGTATCGGAGCCAGGGTTTTTCCAAAATCGGCTATTTTACTGGACATATGATCACTTTGTACTAATGTGTCGTTATAGTATTCTGCCAACGATTTGACAATGGTGACAGACAGTTATATCCACATTCTGGAGTACATACTTCCTAGCGCATCTGTCTTCTATCTAATCGACCTTCTATTGTAGCCTTGAACCACCTGGTTGAATTTCCTTATTTCATTGCATGTTAAAGAGGCCTTCGACTATAATACTAAATGACAATGTCAATTGACGGTACGTCGAGCTAAAACTACCATCAGAGAAACAGCAATCTGAGTTTAAGTCGACAGCCTCGGAATTCTTTCCAATCATTTGCAAATTTTCTGAAGATCCTTCAATTTCGTAAAGTCATTAGTACATTTTCCACCAGGATAGCGCTCGAATAAGACAAGTAAAATAGGCTTTCATCAAGATTCGTTGCAGCTGGGAAAATGGTTCTCAGTTTCTTGTGAGACAAAGATTTTATAATTGCTAGTGGTTCGTGAGTTTTTGTTATTTCCACCGGACGTGGATAGCCACGTATCACATTAACAGTTTGTGCCAAAAAACTATACCGAGAACTTGGCCTGATTCCCAATCTCGCATGTAGAATTGCACTGTTGAGAGACATCTGTAGTATCAAGTATACCACTACCATCTTAGCACAAAATGGATTGATCTTATTCACTATTATACACGAGAACCCACAAGCTGTTTGCCGATGAGATATATATACGAAAAATTGCCCCGCCATCCTGGTGCGTAAGTGTACGTCCAGCAGGCGTTTCTATGCAAAAACGGTAATTCCTTAATCGAACTTCTTCTTGTTACCTTGGAAAGCAGCAGATTGTCTTGGCTTGCCCAATGGAGAGGAGTTGGAACCAGAACCGGAAGGTCTGAATCCACCACGACCACCAGCACCACCGCGACCGCCAGCACCGCCGCGACCACCAGCACCGCCGCGACCGCCGCGGAAGCCACGGTTACCGTCTTGAGGAGGCTTTGGGGTAGAGAAGTCCAATCTCACAGGTCTGTTGTCAATGTAGTGGCCCTGTAGAGCGTCCAGCGCCTTTTGAGCACTGTCCACAGATGAAAACTGCACGTATCCGAAACCCTTGGGCTGCTGAGTTTCTGGGTGAGTTGGGAGACGAACGGAAACAATTTCACCGTGTTCGGAGAAGATTTCGAAAACGTTGTCTCTTTCAGTGTTGAAAGACAAGTTACCCAAGAACAAAGTGTCCGAAGGTTGAGATGGAGTGTCGCCGTATTTCTGAGCACGGTCTGCTCTTGGGTTGCCAGCAGGCTTGCTGGTGGACATGTCACAGTTGATAGGTCTGCCGTCGATTTCTTTGCCCTGCATTTCCTTCAAAGCTTTTTCGGCGAAACTCTTGTCTTCGAAGTCCACGTAACCGTAACCACGAGATCTGTCGGTACCTCTTTCGTAGATGACACGAGCGGCAACGACACCGCCGATGTGTTCGAATTCGGTCTTCAACCATTCGTCGTCAATGCTCCAGGAGAGTCTACCAACGAAAAGAGTGGCTGGTTCACCGCTAGATTCGGTTTTAGCTTTCTTTGGTTCTGGGGTGTTTTCAGAAGAGTCTTCGGAAGAAGAGGCCGAGCTCGAAGAAGACGAATCCTCTGCCTTACGCTTCTTGGAAGAAGTCTTGGCTTCAGCATCGGACTCAGAGTCGGATTCGCTGGAAGAAGACGAGGACGAAGACGACGAAGAAGAAGAAGAAGAAGAAGAAGAAGAAGAAGAAGACGAGGACGAAGAGCTGGATTCGGAATCAGAGTCGCTCGAAGAGGAGGAGCTCTTGGAAACGGCAATTTCAGCCTTGACTGGCTTTTTCACGGTTTCTTTGCTAGCGGGTTTTTCGTCTTCAGATTCGTTTTCAGAGCTAGAGCTGGAGTCCGAGTCGCTAGATTCGGTGTCCGATTCGCTACCGGAGTCACTGTCGGAATCCGAGCTGGACGAGCTGGAAGTCTCTTTCTTTTCAACAGATTTTTTGGATTTAGGCTTCTCCTCAACTTCAGACTCGTCGCTGCTCGAGGACGAAGAAGAGCTTTCAGAATCACTTTCCGATTCAGAAGAAGAAGAAGATGAAGAAGAAGACGATGAAGACGAAGAGGAGCTTTCGACAGCTGCCTTCTTTTCGGCCTTCTTGTCGACCTTCTTAGCCTTCAAGTCCTTCTTGGATACCTTTTTGGTCACTTGTTTCGCCATTTCTTTACTATCAATTGAGTTCAGAGAGGATTAATCGAGCAAGTTGAAAGTTTATTCCTACCGACTATGACCAGAAGTAAACTGTAAAACTGTTAAACGGGAAAAGTTGAAAAGCTGAAAAGTCTTGTTTTTCAAACAGTTTTATGGTTTAAGCGATGAGATGAGATGTCTGTCGGTGACGCGATGAGCTCTTCCAAAAATTTTGAAAAATGTTTTTTTTTGGCAAAAAAAAGAAAAGTGAAAAATTTTTGGAAAAAAAAAGGAAAAACAAAAAGAAAAGCGGGAGATGGGGGGGGACGAGGATCGCTTTGGACGGGAAAAAAGGAGGGGAGGGGGGATCAGCCGGCCGCACGCTTCCGTCCGTCAATTAGCCGCCCATGACGTAATCACATCAGCGTGACATTCACGTGGAAAATTTTGTCATATTGTCATGTGAAAGTCATGCGAGTTTCACGTGATTTTGGATGGTCTTTAACAAAGCGCTACCTCTAACCAAGCAAGGCCTGGACAAGCCTGAAGACAATTGGGATCCGCAATCTGCAAGCAGCTGCGGAATATGATATGATGGGTATCGAAGATGAAGGTGGGAAATCTTTAGGAGCAGCAGTGGAGAAAGACGATTGCGTTGTTGCCATTGTTGTTTGAGACGCGCTGTCTGAACCAGTGCTAATTGAAATTTTCAGTGTAGAGCTTGATCCACTGGCACCCGGTGTACTGCTGACGCTTGAACCTGGACCTGGCGGAACAGTTGTGGTTTCTGAAACAACAGAACTCTGTGTACCGGTAGTTGGAATTGGGTAGCTGAGGCTTGCGGTGTTGGACACATTTGAAGTCGTTGAGACCAAAGTTGTGAAGCTCGATCGAGAAAGTGTAATTGGCGTGCTGCTCAGCGCTGGTGTGGAGCCCGAGCCATTAGAAGTACTTTCTGAAGAACTGGCAGAAGGAGTGTTTGGTGTGCTGGGAGACGCAGTATTTGATGTGGTGAGAGACGCAGTGTTTGATGTGGTAATAGAATCAATGCTAGTTGTGGAGCTTGAAGTGCCAAAGGTAGTGTTTGAAGGTGTGCTTGAAGGTGTTTTCAGAGTGGTGCTTGAAGTAGTGATCGTAGTAATGCTTGAAGTGGAGCTTGAAGTAATGTTTGGAGGAGTGCTCGTAGTAGTGCTCGAAGGAGTGACCGTAGTTGTGCTTGAAGTGGGGCCCGAAGTAGTGTTTGAAGGAGTGCTCGAGGGAGTGCTCGTAGTAGTGCTTGAAAGACTGCTCGAAGGAGTACTTGAAGGAGTGTTACTAGTAGAGCTTGTAGGAGTGCTAGGAGAAGTGCTACTAGTAGAGCTTGGAGGAGTGCTACTAGTAGAGCTTGGAGGAGTGCTTGAAGTAGTGTCTGAAGGAGTGCTCGAACTAGCTTTTGAAATGGTGCTCGAACTAGTTTTTGAAGGGGTGCTCGAGGTAGTGTTCGTAGTAGTGCTTGAAGTGGAGCTTGAAGGAGCGTTACTAGTAAAGCTTGAAGGAGTGCTCGAGGGAGTGCTCTTAGTAGTGCTTGAAGGAGTGCTCGTAGTAGTGCTTGAAGGAGTGTTCGTAGTCGTGCTTGAAGTAGAGCTCGTAGTCGTGCTTGAAGTAGAGCTTGAACTACTGCTCAAAGTTTCGCTCGAGGGCGTGCTGCTTGAAGTGGTTCTTGAGAAGGTGCTACTCAAAACAATGCTTGGACTAGTCCTCAAACTAGTGCTTAAAGAAGTGCTTGTAGAGGTGCTTAAATGATCACTTGTGGTGCTCGAAACGGTTCTTGAAGGACTGCTGGAAGAACTGCTGGAAGTAATACTGGAAGAAGTACTGGACGTCGTGCTGCTCGAGGAGCTGCTAGAAGAAGTACTGGACGTCGTGCTGCTCGAGGAGCTGCTAGAAGAAGTGCTAGAAGTAGCGCTGCTCAAGGAACTGCTAGAACCAGTGCTGCTTGAAAAACTGCTAGAGCTAGTGCTGCTCGAGGAACTGCTAGAACTAATGCTGCTCGAGGAACTGCTAGAACTAGTGCTGCTCGAGGAACTGCTAGAACTAGTGCTGCTCGAGGAACTGCTAGAACTAGTGCTGCTCAAAGCTGTGCTCGAAGTGGTTCCGCTCAGAGTGCTGCTTGAAGTACTTGTAAAACTGGAAGTGGTGCCACGCATAGTGCTCAAAGTACAAGGTCCCGGACAAGAAGTCTTGGTTTCTGTTGTCGTAGTAGGTGGAATCGAGCTGCCTGTCGAAACCCGAGCACTAGTGCTGCAGCTTGGGCAAACAAAAGACGTAAAGACGACTGTTGACGGAATGGTAGTGGTTTCTGTTGAGCTAGCGCTGGAGAACGATGTGCTGGATACAGAACTTGGACTTGAGACCGCGGAACTCGAGCTCGAGCTCGAGCTCGACGACAAGCTCACAGTGGTGCATTTTGCACACAGATAAGATGTCGTAACCGACGTGGTGCGGATCGTGGTTGTTGAAAGCGCATAAGCAACGTCATAGAGAGCCAAGAGCGACCAAAAAAATTGCAGTGCCACCATGGTGTAGGAAAGGCTGAGTGTGGTTGTCAAATGTGACTAGTCTGGTTTTGAACCAAAAGAGTTACTTCGAGTACCAATCAATCCTGTTGCTAATGCCATGCAAATCTCTATCAATTCTTATATTCCATTCAGGATGGTCAAGTATCCCCTTTCCTACCCTCTAACCTCAAAAATCCGCTTGTTTACCTCCCAAATCATTCTAAACCACTCCATATTCGCATTCTGCCGCCCAATCCACCTTCCGGCTGTCTTTGAAGTGCTCTCCAGTCGTTCTCAACTTCAATTGTTTATCCCGGAATGGAAGGGAGGCTGAGAGGCTCCCACGCTCGAGGATGTGTCAAAAAAATGGCCTCAAAACATAGTTTTACCGTTATGGGAACCTTTTGAGCAGCGTCAAACTGATCTTGCTCGTTGTCTCGGGATGTTTGGCCCTGTTTTGTTGAACTTAGAGGTGATTTCGGTAATACAGTGGTATAGAGTGTGAAATTGCCAATTTAGTCAAGTATAATGAAGAAGAAAGAAGTGACATTGGTATCAAAAAGCAGCATGTTATCGCCGTAGTCGTCGTTCACAAGCTCCGATCGCATCTCTTATGAAATCTTCGAGAAATTGCGGTTTTTTAGAGCCCGATTACTCTAGGAATTGTTGTAGTTAAGCTTGTAGTCAAGCTTGTAGCGTCAACTTGTCAATCTCTATTACTCAAATGACAAGAATCGATAACCATCGCTGTAAAGACGATTCTGTCAAGGAAGAAGGTCGGTCGATTAGACTCAATCGGGGACATTTTGTAGCTGTGATCGTGGTATATTCCAAGTCTAATTTTGATCTGCAGTATATAGACTAAAGCTAGTTGTAAAACTGTCATGTATCTTAACTTAACTGTGATAATGCTGGCATGATGCTAGAAAAAAGGCAAGAGGAGGGATCTTGATGAGAGTAGTCCAGAGGCTCCGTAAATGAAAGCTTTGCGACCATTTGTAAATCGTAGCTTTGTAATGAGTCCTGCGGGGACTCCTATGGTGAATTGTAACTCACAATTGATCGCTGACGCTCTCTAGTAATTCCTGTGGTGATTCCTATGGTAATTTCAAATTCAGACTCACAATTGATTGCTGACGCTCTCAATTGTTCGACGCTACCGCGTCGAACGTGGTATTTTGTTTGAACCCTCAAAAGCCTTCATCGAGGACCGGCGTCGACGAAACCCAGAGCCCTCAGTAAGATCCACGGTTGTTCCTGGTGCAACACACGATTTGTGGGTCGGAACCGGAGCGTACAAATGTGCAAATTCATCGCTCTTCTTTGGAGTGAGTGGCACAGAAGATGGCACAGAGTTGCGTTTCCGTTGCAGTAGTAAAGTGGGCGTCACTGTATCGATGGGAGCTGCAGACGACGACGGTCTTCGCGACGGCACGGGACTGGTCTTGTTTGGAGTCATGGCCAAGACGCTCGAGCTGGCCAAACTGCTGCTGTGTGTGGAGGGGCCCTGGTTGTTTGTGTTGGTGCTGATATTGGTGATGCTGTTGTTGAGACTAGTGCTGCTGCCACTGCTGGCGTTGCTGTTGAGCGACGAGCGTCGCGACAGCTGCGGCAGCGTTGTGTGGGGTGCTGTGGTGGTGGTGTGTATGGCCGTATGAGGGTCGCCGTTAAGCACAGAACACAAGTTTTTGCGGAGCCGGTTGTTTTCGTCTTTGAGCTGGTCGATTTCCCGCAACAGTCGCACCACAATGGCGTCCTGTTCCTTTTCCATTTCGTTGATGATTTCCTCTGACGACAGCCGTCTGCTGGTGATCCCACGGTTTCCGGTATTGGTGTAGGTGTTGTTGTTATTGGCCGATAGTGTTGATGACAGCGATGACCACGACGACGACGAGGACGTGTGGCCAGGCAGACTGGGCCTTGCTGTGGGCTTGGTTGAGCTGGGGTCCATTGGCGACGATGTAGGCTCTCTTACTGGTGCTGCTGCTGTTGTTGTCATGTGTGTGTAGTGACTGTTTCCAGTGCTAGCGGACGTTGTTTTGGACTGGTTTTTTGTAGTGTGCGATGCTTGTGGTTCTTGCATTGCTGCTGCTGCTGCTGCTGCTGTGTCAGACGTCCCGATCCCAGGTTTCTCACCGAAACTGAAGCGTTCGCGATACAAGGTGACTCCCTTCGTAGTACCTTTGGGCTCCATCTGTTGTATGAGTGGGTATATATATTATAAGTAGAGAGATAGAGAGATTCAGAGAGCTATATATCTGCTTGTGTGTCCCTCTGTGAATGTCTGTCTGTGAGTGTCTGTCTTTATATATATATGTATATATATGTAACTATCTGTGTGGATTAGCCACTGCCACCTGTCAGTATCGCTCGCTTATTTCGTTAACGAACTGTGATGCTTTCTTACTCGTCTTTACGAGTCGTTAAAACAACAATGCTCTCTACGCTTCTATTCTCTGTACACCTATATTCCAACGTTTTTCAAGGTTCACCAGGTCTCACGTATATGTCCATATATACCTGATTCAAGCCCCAGGGTAGAGCTTTCCCTTTCCCACAACTGTATAACTATGACTATGACTATTACAATCTTGCTGACTGACTCTACTACGTACGTGTCCTCTATGGCTCTAGATTAGACATCTCTCTCCTTTCCATAAAACCGCTTTATTGGCGCAGACAGCTCAGCTCAGATCAAAGAGAGAAAGAGCGTGGCTTTTCGCTGATTAGCCCACCATTCCCATCTTCCGCTAATCACGATCTGTAAGCAGCACCACCAGCAACACCACCAGCAGCACTACCCAGCTTGCCTGCTTACTCACTCATTCTCATTCTCATTCTCATTCTCATCTGTGTAGATAGATAGATCATCACAACGTGTTCACGATCATGCTGCCATGACTATCGTTCCGGTTCAATTTCGTAACAGTAGGAAACGGTAACTAATGGGAACAAGACTAGGAACTACGGGGCAAATATGGAAACAAGTGGAAGAAAGCTAAGGCTCAAAAGTATATACAGGACACGTCCATGAATTGGCGCATGTTGGCGTGTCTAAATTTAAAAATAAGAAGATTCGAGACATCAATGCATTGAGTAGTAGTAGTAGTAGTAGTAGTAGTAGGCTTTGTTTCTTGTTCTCACCTACCTCATCGAGGCTCAAACCTGTTTCAAATCAATTGGCAGGAACAACGGAAAGAGCGGTGAGTGTGGCACACCGAAACATGAAACTTGAGGGAGGCCGGAACTGGTCAGATAAGAGAATGATTACAGGGCTGTTGTGCCCAATGAGGGGTGAGGTTAGGGTTGCACATTTGCACATTTGCTTGGTTATCTTTCGTTGTCTGGCCAGACAGACACCGTGAGAAAAGTGCTTGAAGAAGAAAAAGACCAATTTAAGACGTTGATTCGTGGATAGAGATGTGATATAACAAGAAGCGGGTGTTCGAGTCCCGATGGAGGCCCTTTTTTTCTCCATTTTTTTTTTTTTGGGTGGTGTTCCGCTATGATGTTGCAACGTTCATCAAAAGATTGGTAAAGCCCACAGCACTAGTCCCAGACGCCAATGGTACTGGAGCTTGCCTTTCCAAAACGGAAATCGCTTCTAATACGGCTGCTGAACTCGTTTCGTGCGCCGCGACAAGGTGGCCACGTGACTCGAGACGATCTGTAATTTGCATTTGATGATTATCCATAAGGCCCGTATTAGCCACTACAACCAATCGTTTTTGTAGTCTTAAAGCGTCCAAGATAGATCCCGTACCTGCGTGTGAGACCACCACATCGGCATGCGTTCGCAGAAGATCCTGGATGGCCGTGGTAAACGCAAACCCGCAGATTTCAACTCCTCCGACTCGTCCATAAAACTCTAGCTCAACTCCCAGTTTCTTAGATATCTCAACAACCGTATCTTTTCTTTCAGGTTCGCTTCCCAAGAATCTCATCCTTTTCTCGAACTCAACGTTGTAACCCTTTCCGTATTGAATGATCACTCTCCCAAAGCCCCAGCGTTCGTGTATTGCGTGTAAGAAGTTCAGGTCCAAGATCGCTTCTACAAGGCCCGGAAACGGTACAGTAGCACCGCATGTTACCACCACAGTGCGTGTCATTCTGGCGTGAATTTTTTTCCTTCATCTTTATAAATCCTTGCCTGAAGGGCTCCCGTCAAAGTTCGTCAAATTCAAAATTCCGACCTCCTTCGTACAAAGTGCTATCACCGCTTTTTCACATTTAAGGTGGCAAAACCATCTATACATAAAATTAACTCAGTCTATATCTCAAGCGCGATCGTCTCACTATCCTTCGCGAGCTTTACACTCATAAACCGCTAAAGCAACGCACAACTTCTCATGAGCGCAGTAGCAATTAGCGAAGTGTCATTGAACACACACGAGAGCGGGATAAAGCCGTACTACGACCAAAAAGTCCAGGAAACAGAGCTTAAAATTAGGGCCAAAACTCAGAACCTGAGACGTTTGGAGGCACAAAGAAATGCGCTCAACGACAAAGTGCGGTTTATCAAAGATGAGCTGCGGCTATTGCAAGAGCCGGGATCGTACGTTGGAGAAGTCGTGAAAGTGGTGTCAGACAAAAAAGTGCTAGTGAAGATCCAACCAGAGGGCAAGTACATCGTGGATATCGCCAAAGACATTAATGTGAAAGATCTTAAAGCTTCTCAGCGGGTATGCCTGAAAAGTGATTCGTACGCGTTGCACAAAATCCTGGAAAACAAAGTGGACCCTCTGGTATCGCTCATGATGGTCGAAAAAGTGCCCGATTCCACCTACGACATGGTCGGAGGTCTTACCAAACAAATCAAAGAGATCAAAGAAGTGATCGAACTTCCCGTGAAGCATCCAGAGCTATTTGAAAGTTTGGGTATCGCACAACCTAAGGGTGTCATTCTGTACGGTCCTCCTGGTACCGGTAAGACCTTGCTTGCAAGAGCCGTGGCGCATCATACAGACTGTAAGTTCATCAGAGTTAGCGGTGCTGAGCTTGTACAGAAATATATTGGTGAAGGTTCGCGTATGGTGCGAGAACTGTTCATAATGGCCCGCGAGCACGCTCCCTCGATCATCTTCATGGACGAAATCGATTCTATCGGATCCAGTCGTGTTGAGGGAAACTCTGGTGGTGACTCGGAAGTGCAAAGAACTATGCTGGAACTGCTTAATCAACTAGACGGATTCGAAACGTCTAAGGATATCAAAATTATCATGGCCACCAACAGACTCGATATTCTGGATCCTGCATTGCTCAGACCCGGGAGAATCGATCGTAAGATCGAGTTCCCACCACCTACAGTGGCCGCAAGAGCCGAAATTCTACGTATCCACTCTCGAAAAATGAACTTGACCAGAGGCATCAACTTACGCAAGATTGCTGAAAAAATGAATGGCTGTTCTGGTGCTGATGTGAAGGGTGTGTGTACAGAAGCCGGGATGTACGCCTTGCGGGAGCGTAGAATCCATGTCACGCAGGAGGATTTCGAACTTGCCGTGGGTAAGGTTATGAACAAGAATGACGAAACGGCGATTTCTGCAGCCAAGCTATTCAAGTGAGGCGAGATCAGAAAAGGAAAGGAGCAGATAAAAAATTTGTTTGTGTTTCGGATCATCTATGCCTGTTATTCGGCAGGCTATGCATTTTGAAGGCCAAACTAAGGGCATATACGATGGATTGCAATGGAAATCGCACTCTCAATAAGTGGGCGTGAAGAGCCTTGAAATTGCAATTAATATCATGCTCTTATTGATTGAAAGCAACGGCCGTCGCTTCTCGTTCCCTGAAGCGTCCTTCTCCACAGTATTTGCAGAGACGACGAAGTTATAGAAGACATTGTGATGTCTCAACTCCCTGAAGGATCGACAAGAAGGTGCACCTATACTCGGTCGTCGAGTACTATCTATATTGACGAAAGCTCCTGTATAACCGTGTTTGATTTTCCAGTTGTTGTCTAAAATAGCTGTTAGTAAGTTCAATCAAGCGAACATTCTGCCAAAGGCAAGTTGCCACGACCAAAAACGTTCCAATGGGATATAAACGCCTATTCCAATATCACCACACCGAGTCATCGTACAATCACTAAACAGGCGTCAGAAATCAAGCGAAGCTCTAGTATTCTGAAAAAGACTATATAGTTCACCTATAAAAGACAAAGAATAGCTGAAAAGCGTCCAAAACTAACACCAAAATGGATTTGACCATTGAAATGCCAAGACAGTTCGGATTCGCTTGACTCTCGTCCCTGGCGTACTCATGAATACAACATCGAAATGTCAAATGTACATATCTTGGAAGAACAATTGATCCAATCAGTAACTCAGCGAGAAATCACGAAAGCAATGAAATCCTTGAGACCCTACAAGCTACTAGAAATATCAGCAATTGGCATTTTGGATTATTCTACTTCGGCCTCATTTTCTCAGTCAAAATCTACCAATATTCAAAATTTCCTGACGATGCGCACTTTCTCCACACTGAAAGAATACACCTATCATGAAAGCCATCTCAGCGATAATTGTTGAAGCATCGGAGCTGTTGTATTATCTTAAATACTTGATTCCACACCATATACCATGCCGCCCTCATTATCCATCGTCCAGCGATCTATCGTGAGTACATACAACGAGTACTTTTCAAATAGTCGCCATAAACTTCATTAAGCTTTAGCTCATCTCACCAAGAGCACAAAAGTCATCGACAACCTGCTCAAAAGCCCAGGAAACCATGTACGCTTACAGAGCCTTTCCATCAAGAGTTTCTCTGCCCCTATTGAAAAGCTGCAATTTATGTACGTCTCTTTTTATATAATTGTGTAACTTTAGCCCCCGGAACTGTTGATTGCCATCGGCGCTTAAAGCATGGGAGGCTCGCATCTTCGCGCAGCTATCTGCTGGTTAGCTGATAGTGGATTGGGGTTTGTAATGCAGCTGCAAGGGTAATTAATTGGCTTTTGAGGCTCGAGTGGTGTTTCCCACAGCTCATGATCTTAGTGCAGTTTAGCAGAACGATGGCCAATTGCAATTTGAAAAATGCCACATAGGTAGAACAAGGTTTTACCGATTTGAGACTTGGAGCCATGAAGTCGGTCGCTAGACAAGTTAATCGTCCACGTCGGGATTCCTATAATCGCTAGCGGCGCTTACCGTCGTTGCTGGTCGCACTGAAATAGTCTCACCAATCTCTGATGGGACAAATTATTGCAACATGATCCGTTTTCATTCCTTGCTTTCTCGACAGTGTTCGGAAAGCAAATGTCGCATCAATTGGCCGCGATGAGCTTTCTCTCGTACCGCCACAAAGATGCTTCAGTTTGATTCACTACCACTTTTACTGATTTTGATATTTCAGTGAGTCAATTGCACATGCTACATTGGTTTCAGACATTGTACACCAAAGATATCGGATTCATTCAACACTGCCCTAGTTTAGAAGAAAAATTGACTCTAAGAACACCTCTGTTTTCAAGACTTTTTTCACACCAAGGGCGTACCATTGACTGACAGAACTTCCGGACTTGGATTATTATGCCGAAATGAGCATCGTTCGTCAGCTCAAATGAGTTTCTTGCACAGTATGCATCCAAGACTTTCCAACTACCACCAGTGGCACCTTACAAACCCAACTCAATCCATCATTGACGCTAGAATTTCATTTTCTTGGATTTCTTTCAAGAAGCTCTGATCATCCCCTGTGGCACTTGTCGCCCTCAAATCCTACTTTACTCGAAGCTTCCGCGAGTGTGCAATACCACAACAGCCTTCGAGTGCCACCACTGATCTTCGATTGGACCCAAAATGCGCATCGAACATTATTTTGATGTTAATCCATTGTAATCTCGGACTTGTTCGAGCACACAATTTGAAACTCTCAAATCCTCCAAATCATTCTTCCGAATGTTTTCACTCTGTGTCCACACTACTCGGGCTTAAAACTGCTGTGCCCGCCTGCTGTGCTCGCTCGCTGTTCACGTCGTGTTTCTCTTCTCGAGCTTCTCATCGTCCACTCTGCCCTCTCACCACCCACGAACAGTCTCATCTCTGCCCAAATAACTTTCATTATGGTGGAAAATTTTTAAATCAAAAATTCAAACAGCAGAGGTGAACTCTATCAAAAACTGTTCACATCTGGCAAGCTAAACCAGCTAGAATTACCAGTTTTAAGGCTCCGCTTCGTCTGGAAACCATAGGACGGTAAGTGTGGGCAAATCTGCATCGAAAGAAGTAACGGGAAGCAATTCGGGAAGCGTTTGTAGCCAAAAGTTCCAGGTAGAATTGATTAGCAGCTGATTTGATAGAGAAATATCAGTTGTGGGAAGCTTGGAAACCGTAAACGTTTGGAAAATGAGCACGCAGCAACCGGCTGAGACCGCTGGTGATGTGGAAGCTACACAGCAGCAGCAGCAGCAGCAGCAGCAGCAACAACAAGCTCACAGAGCGCCTCGTAACAGTAACAATAATAACGGGCCCAGAACGTCGAACCCTAAGAACGCCAGAACGCCTCATCAAAAAGCGTACTCTGGCAACCAAACGTCGCATACTGGGAATACCAACCACAGGTACAACAAGAATGGTGGCCATTACAAAGGAAACAGGAATAACAGCACCAGCAACAACGGCCTACACGGCGATAACGGCATGAACAATGTGCCCTGGGGCTACCAGTCGTACAACATGGCAGCACAACCGCAATACTACCCTTCATACGGATACAGGTACATGCCAACAATGGCGCCTCAAGGTTACGCTCCTGGAAGTCCAGTGGGACCAGCAGGATCGTTGTCACCAGCAGACGTTGCTGCTAGCACACCTTTAGCGTCGACCTCAACGCCGTCCATTTCCAAAAAGATCGAAATCACCAACAGGTCTGGAGAGCACGTCGATCTCAATGCAATTCATAGTCAGCACATCTCCTCCGGATCAACACCCATTGTGGTCCCAGAGTCGCCCAAGAAGGAAGCTGTCAAGACACCAGAGTCGAGTGTGTCTGAACAGCCCTCAGCTACTGTACCAGTACCTCAAGCTGAAGCTCCCAAGGAGTCTTCTGCTGATGAGCAACTGAAAATGAGTTTCCTCGAACAAGTGCGTTTGAGAAAAGCTATGCGCGCTCAAAAGAAAACCGAAGAGACCGCGCCAGCCGCCTCTCAACCAGTTGAAAAATCTTCAGAAGCTGTTTCTGAAGCCGCACCTGCCCAGGTGTCGGCTCCCGCCGAAGCGCCTGTTGAAGCTAACGGGAAGGAGGAAATCAAGCCAGAAGCTGCCACTGAGACAAGCACCGAAACAGAAGAACAACCTGCCGAAACCAAGGAGGAAGCCAAATCTGAATCCGTTGAAGAGCCTAAAGAAACGCCCGCAGAAACCGCCAAACCTCTAACGTTCGCCGAGAAGTTGCGTTTGAAAAACAAAATTCCACCAAAGACTGAAAACGCTGCAAGTGATGAGCAAAAGAGTGAAGCAGTGGAGGAACCTCCAAAAACTGAAGAATCAGCTAAGGTCGAGGAAAGCGGGAAGCCAGAGGTTGAAGAAACGAAGGCTGAAGTCGAAGAAACCAAGGCGGAGAAAGACGAAGAAACAGCCGCTGCTGATGTGAGCAATACTGAAGATGTAGCGGCTCCTGTTGAACAGGGAGATGAAGAAGCAAAAGACGAGAGTTTGGCTGAGGATGACGCGAAAAAGGCGGAAGCTGAAAGTGACGCGGATGTTGACGATGGTAGAATGACCATGACGGAATTGATTCAAAGATTGCAAGCAATGGACGTTGTTGAAGACTCTTACACTTTCGAGTATCCCGAAGGAATCGAAGCCCCAGATGTCAGACACAAGAAGGAATCCATCAAATACACATACGGCCCAGCATTCCTGTTGCAGTTTCAAGATAAGGTGAACATCCGTCCAGACGCAGAATGGAAACAAAATGTAGCATCTAAGATTGTCATTCCACCCGGTACTGTAAGACAGGGCGGCAGACCTCGTGGCGACTCTAAATTCGGCCCAGGTGCTAATTTCAAAAAGAGTGGTTCCATGAGAGGAATGGAAGGCAGATCCAACTCGAGATCCAACTCGAAGAGAAAGTCTAAGAGAATGGGCGATGACCGCAAGTCCAACAGAGCATACACATCAAGAAAGGACCGCGAAAAGATGGCAGAGGAAGAAGCCCAGAAACTGCAAGAAGAAGTGGCTCCGCTTGTTCCAAGTGCTAACAGATGGGTTCCAAAATCTAAACAAAAGAAGACTGAGAAGAAGTTCGCTCCAGATGGTGTTACTGAACTAATCGAGAAGGAAGACGCTGAAAGAAAGATGAAATCTCTACTGAATAAGCTGACTCTTGAAAAGTTCGATCCTATTTCCGAAGAAATTATTCAAATCGCCGATCAATCTAAATGGGAGACTGATTGCTCAACATTAAAGGTTGTTATTGAAGAAATTTTCCGCAAAGCTTGTGACGAGCCACATTGGTCTTCAATGTATGCGCAATTGTGCGGTAAGGTTGTCAAAGACATGGATACTGAAATCAAAGAAGAAGGTGTTGACGGTAAGACAGGTCCGAAATTGGTTTTGCATTACTTGGTTGACAGATGTCACGCCGAATTTCAAAAGGGCTGGACCGATAAGCTACCTACTAAGGAAGACGGCTCTCCATTGGAGCCAGAAATGATGTCAGACGAATACTACCAGATGGCTGCTGCCAAGAGAAGAGGTTTGGGTTTGGTGAGATTGATTGGTTTCCTATACCGTTCTCATCTATTGACCGCCAAGATGATGTTCGAATGTTTCCGGAGACTAATGAAGGATTTGGCTGACAGTCCATCAGAGGAAACATTGGAATCTGTTCTGGAATTACTAAATACTGTTGGTGAACAATTTGAGGGCGATCGTATGACTCAACAAAACGGTACTCTAGAGGGTGCCACTGTTTTGGACCAATTGTTCTACATGCTTGACAAGGTCGTTGAGGCCGACGAGATCTCAAGCAGAATCAAGTTCAAGTTGAAGGACATGATTGAGCTAAGGGAAGTCAAGAACTGGAACAGCGTCAAGAGGGACGAGGGCCCAAAGACCATCCAACAGATTCACGAAGAAGAAGCCGCTAAGAAGGCTATGGAGGAAAGAGAGCGTAAATACAAGGGTAACTCGAGATCAGGCTCGAGAAGAACCAACTCCAATATCATGATGGGTACCAGAAGCAATTCCAGAAGAGAACCTGCCCCAGTCTCCAAAGACAGCTTCATATCGACGCGCTCTTCCTCTTTGAGACATGTTCAGAACGCAGCCAAGGAAGACGCTCCTCAACCACAAAAGACCTCTGTTAACATGTTTGATGCATTGATGGGTGCCGAATCGGATGACGATGAATAATTGTGATGCTTAAAGGTATGTGTCAAACTTTAAGCGATTGCAAACTTCGTCGAATCTTGACGTGTCACGACCACCTATCTACTCCACACTTCCACCATTTCTTGTTGAAAGGATCACAAGAACATTTTGTACAGTTAGCGTAATTCCAACTCAACGAGTAATAATTCAAACTAGAAAGCGGGCTTTTGAGGAAAGCTCAATGGGCCATTAGAGGGCTACCCATCTTATTGCATTTCTGTTAGTGCTTTGAAAATATTATGTAACTTAGTTTGATTTCTTCCACCGTTTTGTGAGGTAACCTACAAGGCCTCATTGTTCGAGCCGGGCCCTGCCGGGACTCTCTCAGTCTTGCAGGACGCCTTTGTTCTGATCGATCACTGTGTTCTTTCCTGGTTTACCTGCTGCTGTCTCAACAAGCCCTCTTTTTTCTTGCGTTCCCGGCGTTCTTCCTTGGTTTCCTTGGGCTCATTGCTGATTGATATGGTGTGAGACGGATTGACAAGCTGACTTTCGATTCTATCGTGAAGTTCCCGCATTTTCTTGGCGTTCTCAGTAAACTTGGACACTGTCATTCTGTCTATAAGTTGAAGGTAGCACTTATCCACGAAAAAGATAAGTTTCTCGGTATCTGGGTCAAGATACCCAATTGGAATGTCCAATTTGATGTTGACTCTGACGGCAACGATGTAGTTACTGCCGATCCCACTTTCTCGATAGCCGCACGCCATAGCCGTGCTGAATAGTTTGCTGGCAGTTGAAAAGTCTCTGCACTTCACATGCAGGATGAACGGCTCGTATTTGTACAGTATATAGCGGGCATTGGGCTGGGAAGCAACGTTTTGAAGATCTTTTTCGTAACTCACGGTTTCTGGTAGCTTTTCGGTCCATCTCATCACTTCTTCTTGGTTATGCGTGACAAACAGCCATTTCCCACCTTCTCCTTTGCCTCCCGATTTCACGTCTTCGTTGCTTAGCTTGTTGCCCTCCACAAACACGCTAAGACGTCCCGAACACGACGAAGTGGTGACCATGTCCCGGTGCGAGTTGATCAAATCCATGATTGGCCAACACAGCTCATCGATTGTTCCTTTGGGCGACAGATCCTGCATATTGTTGTGGATTTCTGCCAGGATGTGATCCTTCTTCTGATCGAAGGCAGTTTGAGCCATGACACGCTATTCTACTGGTCTAAGAGTGGGGAGTCTGGGTGGGTTTATGTTTACCTTGACAAACCGATGAGGCCATCTCGACCGGTTTTCACATTTTTCACCACTATTAGTGGTATTTCTTGTAGAGACAAGACAGCAGGAAAGCGACATAGAAGGACATCTGAAGATCTCGGCGGCGACGAAATGGATCGACAAGTGTTTTCGAGTCGGTGAAGTGCCATGTCGGGTTGTGCGTGTGCTTATGATGGTAGGGCTTTGCGTGGTTGTTGTTGTTGTTGTACTGCTAGCACATGTACTCGCCGTTTAAAGAACCTTTGTACTCGAGATTTGTTAGTAGCTCATCGCTCACGTAATCATTATCACCATCACTATCACGTGATATAAACTCACGTGATCTTAAATTTATTTCGATCATACTACACGGCAATTTCTTTCGTGTAGTATGACTTTACCTTTTTCATCACGTGCCTCTTTTCCTACCTATAGATTACCCAAATTTAAGTAATTCGTAGCTAAAAGAGAAAGATATGAACCTTACCAATAAAATATCAACCGTTATCCATCTACCAAGTCTGACACTTCAAAGGATTTAAACATTCTCAGCTTACTCTTTCCCTCAAAACCCTAACTAATGAACGCCGACGATAGCAATTCCAAAGCTACCATTCTCTTAATGGGATTAAGAAGGTTCGTAGTATAGCTCACGAAAAAAGCCGAGCTTTTTAGCTCATCTCTAGCCCCAGAACCTCATTACTAACCGATTATTCCTATTATTTCAGAGGTGGGAAATCTTCTATCTGTAAGGTAGTTTTCCACAATATGCAGCCTCTGGATACGCTGTATTTGGAGTCAACTTCGAATCCTACAATGGAACATTTTTCCACGTTGATAGACCTGGCGGTGATGGAGCTGCCCGGTCAATTGAACTATTTTGAACCCAACTACGATTCCGAAAGACTTTTCAAAAGCGTGAGAGCGCTAGTGTATGTGATCGACTCGCAAGACGAGTATATGAACGCCCTGACGAACCTGGCGATCATCGTGGAGTATGCCTACAAAGTGAATCCGGAGATTAACATTGAAGTTCTGATACACAAAGTAGACGGTTTGAGCGAAGATTTCAAGGTGGAAACGCAGCGTGACATTATGCAGCGGACCGGAGAAGAACTTTTGGAACTGGGCCTTGACGGTGTCCAGGTCAGCTTTTACCTGACGTCTATTTTTGACCATTCGATCTACGAAGCTTTTTCACGCATAGTGCAGAAATTGATCCCGGAACTGCCCTTTCTCGAGAACATGCTAGACAACCTGGTGCAGCACTCCAAAATCGAAAAGTGCTTTTTATTTGATATCAACTCCAAAATATACGTATCCACAGATTCGTCGCCCGTTGATATTGTGATGTATGAGACGTGTGCTGAGTTCGTAGACGTCACCATCGACCTGCACGATCTCTACAAGATCTCGAACGGTGCCGAAACTGGTGCTCAAGAGTCTGCTGCGGCAATCACTCGACCCCACAGAGAGGTCAAAAGCGTTTCTGCGCTGAACAATGGTGTTGTCATATATTTGCGTCAAATGATCCGTGGGCTGGCCCTGGTGGCCTTGATAAGACCCGACGACACAGATGTCGAAAGCTGTTTGACCGTGGTCGACTACAACGTTGACATTTTCAAGAAGGGCCTGGAGCAAGTGTGGGCTCACGCCCGCATCGAACAAGCGCCAACCCCGGACGGAAACAAGTCCTAGGTTGCTTTCCACTGCTCTAGCAGTTTTGATTCAGTTTCCGTAACAGCGGGTTTCTGTCAAAAAATCGCTACTCCTTACTTTACACGCTAGCTCCCCAGCTCAGAGTTCTTGCGTCTCCGTCTTTATCCGAAACTACGCAGAGCGGTGTCAATTTCTCAAGCAATGTCCCATGTCTTCTCCTTGAGAAACCTCAGCATCTGATCATCGCTGTTCGACATTCTGGTTTGGTCAACTTTCAGTCGTCGCGGACACCAATTTTTACCGGAAAATTTTGGATTTACTTGCCAACTGCACAATTCTAATGATTCTTGTGCAAACCAATCGCATTTTACAATCACATCTCCTTCAGTTCCTTCTTTCGTATTCGCATGCATCCTTCATGTACTACCTGCAGCGAACAATTGGTCATTTTTGGTCAATTTCTCTCCGGAAAAAAAGTGCACCAGTCCAAATCAGTCGAAAAATTCAGCAAGAGTTGCCAAAGCCTTTCTATTGTCGTACAAGTGCTCGTTATGCTCACAACTCGTCTTTTAGCTATGCTTTCATGTTTTTGACTTTTCATGCCGGCTCTCGTGTTCCATGCATTTAATAAATTTTCGAGCAAGATTAATGCAGCTGAAGGTATTCTCGACGAGAAGATCCCACTGACAAACAAAGATCCTAGCAAGAACCATGGATCGCACGCCTGTAGGCAGATTGAAAAGGAGTTTAGAAGGGTTTGAATTAGATGATTTTGTCAATCCCGAGTCTGGGTACAGGCGAGGCCTCTCGGAGTTCGAAAATCGCCCCACAATAGCATCAGAAACAAGAAAAAGAGTGACTAGACGAAAACATCGGAACTCCAGGTTGGGATGTGATGAATGCAAACGGCGGCGTATCAAGTGTGATGAAGAACTGCCCGAGTGTCGGAATTGTCGGAACCGGATCCGGAAACCAGACGACGACAACTATTGTCAGTGCTCGTATCTTCGAATGAGTAAAAAAGAGATAGAAGAGTTTAAAGCTCAAAAGCTAGGAAACAATCTATCGGATGCAATACCGACTGCCCGAAAAAGCGGTTCCTTTGGTGCTGAATTCCGGAAATCGCAGTCACCTTCGGAGGACGATGGCATTGAAATCGTCATGATTCCGCACCGTCGAGTGGATATCCCAAGATCGATATGGACGGCTCCAGCTGGCATGGAGGTTTTGCGGGCTCCTCGTTCTCTGTACGTCCAATTGTTGCTGAATTGTTTGCAGGATTGGACTCTGTCGACCAACGTGGTCATCGCATTGAAGCTTTTGGCATCGATCAAATCTCACACACGCAAGATCGAAATAGCTCGAAAAGAGAATCGCCAAGCAGCAGAACGAGATCTGATTCACGAACGGTCAACATTTGAGCCATTACTTCCAAAATACCGGGGGAGGGTCTTGTCATTTGTACGACATCTCACATCTACCTTTCTGACTGCCGAGTCTGTAGTTGCTGATGAGGTCATTGCGGCGCGCCTGCTGATTGGGAACTCGACTTTACAGCTAATGCAGATGTATACTGATGCAAGATATAGTGATGATCATCACATGGCAATGGTAGACGTGTGTCTTGAAATGTACCGTAAGAACATCGTGGTAAAAGTGGCACGTTCTCTACAGTATTTTTGGAACGCTTTACCTCTTTATCACAGTCTCATTTACTTCCCGGCTTACTCAACCGACCTGCTGCTAGAAACCATCGAAGTATTACGCGACTTCAAACCATTCGTGCTGTCAACGAACGACCCCTATCTGGAACTACATTTCACGGAGTTATTCACATATCTCGAATATTTGGTGAGTCTTCTACCTCTTTCCTCCAGGGTTTTACCGCTCTCCATCAATGAGCTGTACGACGTGTATCGACGTTGGACAACAAATATCCCTCCAGAAGCCTTTTGTATCGTCGCGTCGATGTCCGGAGTACACAGAGTATTTTACACCTTCTACCACTCAATTCCTGCATATCTCAACAATCTGTTCCCTGCTGCATGTTTTGTATTGACACGTCAATTTTATGGTACCACGGCCTTCTACCCATTTTCTTTGAAGACGATACTCGAACACCTAGAACCTGAACTAGGACCGTTTGCCGAGTTCTCAATCCGACTTCTAGCTTTTATGGAAAGGAGAAACTACATGTTTCGACATCTGTTCATTGTCAAGAACCCGTTGCCTGATAGTCTTTCTAAGCATAGGTTTCGCATACGGAAAGTATGCAACATGAAAGAGAAACAAATAAAGTCATTGAGACATGAACTGATCACTTGGGATAACTATCCGGACCTTACACCTGTAGACGAAAGCCCGTCCGCCGTGGATCAAGTTGGCGCTGATGTGCAGGACGAGCCTCGCTACTATGCTACGGAGGCAAAACAAGCACTTTCACAGCTGCATTCGTGGAGAGCCGTGAAAGATACTTTTAGCTCGCCATTGGAACCCGTGGTTAAAAGCGCTCAAAACGAGATGTCTGACTCGCTGTATTTAGATCAGATTCTATTGACATTGAGAGAAGACAGTCAATACGCGAGTTTTGGACAGGACATTCCTGCTATTGCGCCAGACGTGGATCACTTTACTCAAACAGGACATACACTGACTGATAGAGGCATGCTCAGTAATGACTGTGACATTAGCGTTTTTTTCGAGAAAACACGGCCATCTTGTCTGGAAGAGTTGCCTCCGGTTGAAATTCTCGAAAAATACAAGCAAGACAGGATATGTGTCATGAGGTATTCGGACGAAAACTTGACAGTTTAAAGGTCATTTAATCCATGTAATCAGTAATTTTATGAAGTCATTGACGTGAACAAAAGCACCATTCTGGCTAGTGTAAAAAGCTACAAAATGTCCACTTGTAAAGACTGTAGTAGTCAAAAAATAAATTGCACTCACGGTGGGGGTCGCACTCACGGTGGGGGTCGAACCCACAATCTTCTGATTAGAAGTCAGACGCGTTGCCATTACGCCACGCAAGCCGATTATGAAAAGGAACATAGTAGAAAACTTTATGATACATAATTAATATCACGTGCCTAAGGTCTATGCCAATGTGTTGTTTTCAACTTCTTTTTTGAGCTACGGAAGTAGTGAGGTAGAAAATGCTTTGATGTCTTTTAAGGTCGACTTAGATCCTCTACTGTACTCAATGTGCACTGAAGCAACCTCCGTCAAGATAATTTTATGAAGTCACGTGCGAAGTCTGACATCTTTCAAAATGGCTTTTGCGAATGGTTTTCATGAGAGGAGTCTGCTATGGGCCGTTTGAGACCCCTCTGGTTTGATTGAGACTACCATCTACGTATTTGTTCGTGTTGAGATTTGTATTGGAAAGCTGGTAATAGGTTGCCGTTCGTTAAACATGAGTCCGAACGCAACGACAGTGATATCACACACTTTCCCTGTTACTTTGAGAAGACAAGAACTTGAATCGGACGCGTGTCTGGTGAATCAAATTGTGACTGATGGAGTTTATACAGTCATGATGCTCTCGAAATTCACAAGTTTTGAATGATTTGGAAATTTAAAGAAGCAACGCTCTGAAATGCAGAAGGACGTTCATAAACTATAATCTCGAACCATTTTTTTAAAAGACACAACTTATGAGATCGCCCTCGAAAAATTACATGTTCAAAACACGAAGATAGTAAGGAGCCAGAACTCCAAGTCTCGCTTACAATACCGCAAATGCAGTTACCATTACAACACTTGTTTTAGAAAACGACACACTCGTACAACGTGATATCACGAAACTCAACATCCAAAGCTAGCTTTCATTCTCTTAGTCTCAAACCGTCTTTTATTGTTTCAATGTCAAACCGAACCTGCTGAAACTGCTTTTTGCGAAGAAGTTTGATCCTTTATCTTTTTCCCTCTCAGTTGCTGTTGAGCTTCTCGAAAAAAAAAACGACCATATTGTTTTACATGCTGTGTTGCAGTATAAGTAGGGACCTATCTTGCCTGACCTGAGAAGAAATACCCAGCTAAACAAAACAGCTGCGACTACATTTACTAGCTACCATAACATTACTGTTCCCATGTTTGCTTACTTGAAATAGGTATCTCAGAAATTATCATCTTCCATTCAATACGAGAGTTTGGCCGAGTGGTTAAGGCGTCAGATTTAGGCTTAACTTCATAATAAGTCAGATTCTCTGATATCTTCGGATGCGCGGGTTCGAATCCCGTAGCTCTCATATTTTTTACTATTTTTGGAATTTGCCTAAAAGCGACACCGTTCCTGCAAGTGTCCGTATGCGGTAATACCACTTCTTCTTTGAGAAATGAAGAACCGGAAGACATCGTCACTTCGAGTCGATCCGTCCAATAGCAGTTTGAGGAAACTAGATCGCCAACTGCCACAACTGTGGTCTTCCTTCACCCCGTTGTGCTTCTCACTAGTGTGGTTTCCCGTTCTCTGAACTTCGGTTTACTGCTCGTGATATTTTATCCAAAAGTCTAGCGACAGCACCAGACATTGTGATCTCAACCGTCCGCAACTCAAAAAGCCCACTGCGACGCACAGACCACCGCTACGAGACGTATGGCTGTTGGCTCGTACTTGTTTGGATATTACTACTACACACTACGCCTTTGTTTCGATAATCGGCCAAAAAAAACGAGATGCCCTTCTTGTTCGATGATACTTCAGTAATCGTGAACTGTGGTTCGTTTGATGACGGTGGTCAACTGTGATGACGGTTTCCAAGAAGAGAAAAATATGTAGTGTTGTGTGGGTGTGTGTGTCTTGACCGCAACCGTGGGACAGCCAGGATCAAAATACCACCAAATCTTGTGTTTGGATTAGGCATGTGAGGCGTGCCATAAACCACAGTTTCGGGCTTTCCCAATCCTCTGGACGAAGTACACACACACACTCACACACACAACTGACGAAAGAGCTTCAACTAAACACCCTCAAACTGATTGATGTTTGTCATATATAAGGGCCCGAATCACAGTGGATCGAAGTTATCAATGCTGGGTTTGACATCCTTTTTCTGAGAAGTCGTCAAGAACTTCATATATCGAGGAATCGCACCAAAAAATCCCAACTTTTCGCAATGCCTTCCCATTTTGATACTTTGCAATTGCATGCTGGTCAGGAAGACCACACCGAAAATGCCCACAACCCAAGAGCTGTTCCAATCTATGCCAGTACCTCTTACGTCTTCAACGACTCCAAGCATGGTGCTGAGCTTTTTGGTCTTGAAACGCCCGGCTACATGTACTCCCGTATCGTCAATCCAACTGTGGATGTCTTGGAAAAGAGAATCGCTGCTCTAGAAGGTGGTGCTGCAGCTTTGGCCGTTTCTTCCGGTCAGGCCGCTCAAACTTTGGCAATCACAGGACTGGCCCACGCTGGTGACAACATTGTGTCGACCTCATACTTATACGGTGGTACTTACAACCAGTTCAAGGTAGCTTTCAAGAGATTGGGCATTGAGTCCCGTTTTATCGACGGCGATGATCCTGAGGACTTCGAAAAAGCCTTTGACAGCAAGACGAAGGCTCTCTACTTGGAAACCATCGGCAACCCCAAATACAACGTCCCAGACTTCGATAAGATCGTTGCCGTGGCTCACAAGCACGGTATTCCAGTTGTTGTCGACAACACTTTCGGTGCAGGTGGTTATTTTGCCCAACCGATCAAATACGGCGCCGACATTGTCACACACTCTGCTACCAAGTGGATTGGTGGCCATGGTACTACCATTGGTGGTATAATCGTGGACTCAGGCAAATTCCCATGGAAACAGTACCCTGAAAAGTTCCCACAATTCTCCAAGCCTTCTGAGGGTTACCATGGCTTGATTTTCAACGATGCCCTAGGCTCTTTGGCCTATATTGCCCATGTCAGAGTCGAGCTTCTAAGAGACTTAGGCCCAGCTCTCAACCCGTTTGCTGCGTTCTTGTTGCTGCAAGGTGTTGAGACATTGTCTTTGAGAGGCGAGAGACACGCTACAAACGCCCTAAAGCTAGCTCATTACCTCGAGAGCTCGCCTTATGTCGCTTGGGTCTCTTATCCAGGTTTGCCTTCCCATTCTCACCATGAAAACGCCAAGAAATACTTGACAAACGGTTTCGGTGGTGTTCTTTCCTTCGGTGTCAAGGATCTGCCAAACGCTGCCAGCGAAACCGATCCTTTCAAAGCTTCCGGTGTACAGGTAGTCGACTCTTTGAAGGTCGCTTCGAACTTAGCCAACGTGGGCGATGCCAAGACTTTGGTCATCGCTCCTTACTTCACAACTCACCAACAGCTTTCCGAGGAGGAGAAAGTGGCTTCTGGTGTCAGTAAGGACTTGATCCGTGTCTCGGTCGGTACCGAGTTCATTGACGACATCATTGGTGACTTTGAGCAAGCTTTCAAGAAGGTTTTCAACGATAGCGCTTAAACTTCAAAGCTTCAACTCGGCAACCTAAATGGGGCAGGAACCCTCAACTGGTATGCAAAGGCTTTTGAAGTTAAGACCAACTGATAAAAGTATAGTAACGGTGTAGAATATTTTACATGTTAAAGGATGATGTTAACTTTATGACTAAAACTAGTTTTGAGTCTTGATATACCCGCCTTGCTGACAAAGGCTGTAGAAGATTGAACTCTTGTCAGCTAGCAGGTTTGCAGGGCTATCGAACTCTTTCAACTCTCCTTTGTCCAGTACCATAATCTTGTCGCTATCCAGTACCGTATCGATGCGGTGAGCAATGGTCAAAATAGTACGATCTTTGAACTCAGCTCTAATTGTCTCCTGTATCAAACGGTCCGTTTCACTGTCCACTGCAGCTGTAGCTTCGTCCAACACTAAAATCTTGGAGTGATTGAGCAGCGCCCTTGACAAGCATAGCAATTGACGTTGACCAACTGAAAAGTTACTACCGTTCTCACTCACCTTGGTGTCTAGCAGGTTGCCGTTTTCGTCAAACTTTGCTTCTTCCTTTGCCATTTTGACTATATGAGGCTTCAAATGCGAGAGTTCTAAGGCCCTCCAAACCTCCTCATCGGTGTAATTATTGAAAGGATCAATGTTTGACCTGATAGTACCTTCGAACGCTTGAGCATCTTGTGGAATAATAGCAAGATTACTCCTTAGGTCAAATAGTCCAATCTGGCTGATATCGACACCGTCAATGGTTATAGTTCCTTCTGAGGGCTCAAGAATGCGAAATAGAGCAAGCGAAAGAGTAGATTTGCCCGCACCAGTTCTTCCAACTATACCAATCTTCTCTTGAGGCAAAACACTTGCATTCAAATTCTTCAAAACTGGATCAAGGTTTGATCGGTACCGAGTGGAGTAGTTTTCAAATTTTATAGACCCACGAGCCGGCCAGTTCTTCTCGGGTCTATGTTTCTCAACAATGGGAGGTGCCTCCGAAGGCAACTTACAATACTCTACTATTCTTTCAACAGATACAATATTGGTCTCGAGTTGTACGGACATTCTCACAATCCACATTAGTCTGCTTGTCACTTGGAGGGCACAACTCATCAACAGTCCCACCATACCTGCTGAAAGAGGGCTGTCGCCGGTCGTGGTATACAGAGACAACATGGCAACAGCCAGAATCATGAATGCTCCGATTGACTCCAGCCTTACGGATAGCCATCTATTTGTAGACCGGAAGTTGAAGACACAGTTCACGTTAAATTGAACGTTTTGCAAATTGAAATAGTCGAAGCGGTCGATATGGTCGAAGGCCTGAATAACCATATGTCCCGCGATGGTCTCACTTAACATGGACATAATGGGCGAGAAACTTGTGCTTATCAAACGCTTGAGTTCTCTACTCAGCGTCACATAATACGCTTGATAATACAGGTACAACACCAGGAGAAGCGCATTTACTATCAAGTATAAAGGCACTTGATAGCCAATGACGACAACAACAATGATATAGTCGAGAATGGAAAGAAGGAAAAAGCTGATGACGTACTGCACGGTGTCGTCCACGGAGTTCATATCACTGGAAAACCGATTGATGATCCTACCGACTGGGGTAGTTTCGAAAAAGCTCATGGGACTTCTCAAAACTGCGTTTGCCATATCGTCATGAAGAATTCGGGAAGCTCTCATGGAACACACCAAAAGTAAAAATATGTTTTTGACATTATTGAAGAACGCAGAACCCATGGAAATCAGAACGTAAATTCCGACGTAGAACCCGATTCTCACATTTCCCCCGTTTTTTTCATTTTCCTCAGACCAATGCTTCAACCAAAAGCTTTCTCCTGTGACCAGAGCTCTAGAGCCGCACAGGAATACACAAAAGACAATAGCGCCTGGTATACCACAAGCCTTCAAATAGGCCATGTAGACTTCGGTTTTTACTCTGCCTTGCTCTTTTTTCTCTTCTGTTTGCTTCGTTTTCCTCGTGTCAGCATTAACGTCAATGATCTTCCGAGGACGCAAGGTAGCCACCGACGCTTTTCGTGATTGAAGCACTGCACGTACGGCATTTTCTCCTTCTACAGGATCACTGAGACCAATCTCCTCTTGGACATCATATACTTGATCTTCCGAGATTGTTACAGCACTTAGTTCAACGGAATCTGTAGTTTCAATTTCAGCACTTTGTTCAACGGAATCGGAAGTGTCACTAGATTCAGAAAGACCAATGTCAGCGATCAAAGCACTCATTTTCGAGTCGGCGCCCTTGCTTGAGATTTCGTCAAAAGTTCCAGATTCAATGAAAGTTCCGTCTTCTATCGCGCATATAGTTTGTGCATGTTTCAAAACCGAACTTGAGTTGGTTGTCAAAATGACTGTTTTATTTTTCAAAAGCCCCCCATCTCTGCTTAAAACTTCTTCGACGATGTGTCTGGAGACTTGTGCATCAACAGCACTCAAAATGTCGTCCAGCAGGTACACATCTGCTCTGGAGTAAACGGCTCTGGCGAGCGAAAGGCGAGCTTTCTGTCCACCGGAGAGTGAAATTCCCTTTTCCCCCACTAATGTTTCGTCACCATCAGCCAAAATTTCGAGATCAGGTAGTAGTTGACAGGCCTTAACAGTAGCATTATAATATGCTTCGTCAAATCTGTGTCCAAAGAGAATATTGTCTTTAACGCTCGCATTCATGATCCAAGATTGTTGGGAGCAAAGAGCAACGGAGTTGGCTCTAAAATGGAAAACAGGGGACCTGTGGGCTTCAGATGCGCTGATACAGGGGAGCATACCCATGACAGCTTGCAGAAAAGTAGATTTCCCATTTCCAACACGGCCTACAATGCAAATCAGTTGTCCCCTGTAAGCCTTGAAGGAAATATTGCTTAGCGCCACCTTCGCACTCTCGATCACAGCCTCTTCGTCATAGTCATCAGAAGGTTTAACGAAGGCTTTCCGAAGAAATGTAGCATTGTCTATTTCTAAAACGGGTACTTTAGAGTCGTCGGGCAGCCCCTCGTATTCAATAAACGATTTGTCCAATTCTGTTGCCAGGAAGAAGTCCTTTAGTCTTCCTACGGAAACCCCGGTCTCAATAAAGTTTGTGATGCTGCGAGGAATGGTGTAAATGCAATCATTCAAGATGTCAAACAAGGACAAGGAGGGGAAAACTATCTCAGGTGAAAGTGGCTTATCCATAGTTAGAGCGTAGATCAAAAATGTGGATGAGGCCACCAAGATTGGAACGCAATTCCAAGCAAGCACAATCAGATTTGTGAATATAGCGATAACTTTGGCACTTTTGAGTTCCTGATCATTTCTTACATGATCGAGTTTTTCCAGCATTGGCTTTTCCCATGCATAAAGCTTCACAGTTTTAACAGAGTTCAAGATCTCTGTAACGGTCTTGATTCTAGCGTCCTTATACTTCATCTGGGCTTCGACTAACTTTTTAACCTTGCGAGACAGAAAGCTGTTTACAGGAAACATGACTGCCATCACAAGTATGCCGCCAACTGTAGCATTGCCCAAAAAGGTGTAAAGTGATATTAATGTGGTAATGAGCGCGATGGGGGAACCGATGAGATCATGAGCCGATTCGAAGAACCGCTGAATGCGAATGACGTCAACAGACATCAGGTTCATAATGTCGCCGGCTGATTTTGCCTCTCTGGCATCACCAGACAAAGCCAAGGATTTTTGATATAACATGGTCATCAGGGCTCCTCTTATACTCATTCCCGCTTCAAAGATTATAATGAAAAATTGGTTAGACAAGCAGGTTGAGGCTAGCTTCATCAAGAAGAGAGCAAGGGCAACGAAGACGGCATTCAGTATTGGATGCGTACGGCTCGAACCATTATTATCAAAATCGAATTCGCTGATGAAAAGTCTCAAAAGCTGAGGCTGCAAAATTGTCATGAAATCTTTCAAGATTTCGATGGATAAAGCCAATGCTATTATTTTACCAAAAGAATGCATGATAGCCCACAAAAGAGAGTTTCTGCCACTCCATCTTTCATTTTCCCATTTTGCCTTCAAAAGAGCAGCTTTCTCCCTTATGTTGAGATTAATGGGGGCGAGGGGCATGTTGTGAGGATCCTTTAGTTCTCCATCTCTGTACACTTGATTTATCAGTGGGTTCATCCATGTAAATGTGATGTTTTCGAAGATGTTACACTCGAGGTTGAGCCCATTTTCGGAGTAGTAAGCCAGCAACTCGGGACTGGGACGATATGAGGTAAGATCGTACAGAAAAATCGAGAGTCCGTTTGCGAACAACGCTAATTCTAGGAGAGCACCTACTTGGCCGGGGAAAACATCGAACCGAGTGTCTGGATGATGACCTATGCGTTGTCCAATTTGAAATCCAAACAGCAATGTTTGGGTGAGAAAATAAAACAGCTGGCTTGCAAGCGAAGTTGTAGACCTGTAGTACTGTAAGAATTGAATAGGAATATTAACAAAAACGACCGCCAGAAGTTGGCCTAAAATGCTTTTTTCTGTAATGTTAGGAGTGCCATCTGCTGGCAAAGCCATCAAAAGACACAGAAATAAAACAGCTTGCAGGCCAACGTTCGAAAGATGCAGCAAGTGTCTAGTCGATAGCGATCTCCACGTTGAGGAATACTTGAAAGACGCTGGTACTCTTGTTTCTTGCATCAACTTAATCAGTTGGAGCACACCTACAATACTGAAAAACGCAGCGTGTCCTAGCGATACAGCCGATATAAAACACGGGTTAAGAGCATTGGTAGTTTCGTCTGGATACGGTCTCAGCCCATACTCACATTGGGACCATGTCATGACCCTCAAGTAGACGATTCTTGGTGTTAGTTCATCAACTTTCAATCTTTGGGTGTAAATGATAAAGATGAGATTAACTTTAAGTAATATTGTATTTATAACCTAAGCTATGAGATCGGCCGATATCATGAATACAGGAAAACATCATGAATACGGGAGAAAGAAGAAGACTTGAAGGCCTCAATGAGTATTTCAAGCTCAGAGTTTGGTAGCTGCGTTTTTTCCGCTTTCAAAACGACCTGAAACAACACGATTTGGTCCTGAAAACGGAATTTCTTAAACCATGTTAATTCATGCCGAGATTCTACAAGTTGACAAAGAAATATCGACTGACGCTAAGGTTTTGTTTGGCTGAACGTCTTTGAGATGCAACTTGTACCGAGACAATGGATATCAATGAATAAATATGTTATAATATAGTGATAATAATACTAATAATGATAATAAATAGTTGCTGGTCAGCGTTTAAGTATTTGTCTTCGCTGATTCAGATGGAAATGGATGAATGTGTGTGTTTATTTCGAGCCAGAAGCCATCTTGTTTAGAGCGGAACCGGCCTTGAACCATTCGATTTGTTCCTTGTTAAAGGTGTGGGTCAAAGGAGTTTCCCAGGCTTCACCAGACTTAGGCTTGACTCTCAAAGTGATAGGCTTACCTGGAGCCAATTCGGTGACACCGACAAGGTCGATTAGGTCATCTGGGTTGATTCTGTCGTAGGCTTCTGGCTGGGCAAAGTTCAATGGTAGTAGACCCTGTTTCTTCAAGTTGGTTTCGTGGATACGGGCGAAGGATTTGGTGATGATGGCGTAAGCACCGAGGTATCTTGGTTCCAAAGCAGCATGTTCACGGGAAGAACCTTCACCAAAGTTCTCGCCACCGATGACAACCCACTTTTGGCCCTGCTTCTTGTAAGCTCTAGCAGTGTCTGGAACGCCAGCGTATTCGCCGGTGTAGTAGTTTTTGACACAGTTGGCCTTCTTGTTCTCGGCGTTGATGGCACCGATCATGTAGTTGTTTGAGATGTTTTCCAAGTGACCACGGTACTTCAACCATGGACCAGCCATAGAGATATGGTCAGTGGTGGTCTTACCCAAAGCCTTGATCAAAATAGGCAAGTCCTTAGGATCCTTTCCATCCCAAGCGTCGAAAGGCTGCAACAATTGTAGACGGTCTGAGGTTGGGGAGACTTTGACTTCAACGTTGGAGCGGACAGCTGGAGGAGCCTGGTAGGTGTTTTCACCAGCGTCGTAACCCTTTGGTGGCAAACCAACACCGGTTGGTGGCTTCAACATGAACTCGTTACCGTCCTTGTCCTTCAATTTGTCAGTTAGAGGGTTGAATCTCAAGTCACCGGCAATAGCCATGGCAATCGTGATTTCTGGAGAGGCGACGAAAGAGTGAGTTTCTGGGTTACCGTCGTTTCTGGATGTGAAGTTTCTGTTGAAAGAAGAAACAATGGTGTTTCTGTCACCCTTCTTGATGTCTTGACGGTCCCATTGACCAATGCATGGACCACAGGCGTTGGCCATCACGACACCACCAAAGTTCTGGAAAGCTTCCAATTGACCGTCACGGGCAATGGTGGCTCTAACCTGCTCGGAACCTGGAGAGATGGTGAACAAAGATTTGGCCTTCAAACCGTGGGCGGCGGCATCTTTAGCAATAGAGGCTGCACGGGTCATGTCCTCGTAAGAGGAGTTGGTGCACGAGCCGATCAAACCGACTCTGACGTCCAATGGCCAGTTATTCTTTGGGGCAACCTCCTTCATGGCGGAGATAGGAGTGGCCAAATCTGGGGTGAAGGGACCGTTGATGTATGGTTCTAGTTCAGACAAGTTGATTTCGATGACTTCGTCGTATTCGGCGCCCTTGTCAGCAGACAACAAGTCGTGCTTGTACAGATTAGCGAATTCGGAGATTTCACCACGTCTGGTAGCCTTCAAGTATTCCACCATAGATGGGTTGTATGGGAAGACCGAAGTCGTGGCACCAATTTCGGCACCCATATTACAGATCGTACCCATACCAGTGGCGGAGAAAGTGTCCACACCGTCACCAAAGTACTCGACAATTTTACCGGTACCACCCTTGACGGTGGTGATACCAGCCAATTTTAGAATGATATCCTTTGGAGAGGTCCAGCCGCTCATTCTACCAGTAAGCTTGACACCGAGAATCTTTGGAGCCTTCAATTCCCATGGTAGGTCGGACATGACGTCCACGGCGTCAGCACCACCGACACCAATGGCTAGTTGACCCAAACCACCGGCGTTAGGGGTGTGCGAATCGGTACCGATGATCAAAGCACCTGGGAAAGCGTAGTTTTCGAGAACGATCTGGTGAATGATACCGGAACCTGGCTTCCAGAAACCCATGTTGTATTTGGCAGTGGAAGTGGCCAAAAAGTCAAACACTTCCTTGTTGAGGTCGATGGCTCTTTTCAAGTCCTTCTCACCACCCAATTGAGCTTGAATCAAATGGTCACAGTGCACGGTGACAGGCTTGGCAACCTGTGGTAGTCCAGCAGACATGAATTGCAAAATAGCCATTTGCGCAGTAGCATCCTGACATGCCACACGGTCTGGACGTAGTTTCAAGTAGCTGACACCACGTTCAATGTCCTGTTCATGTGGCTTGTCCAAATGTCCGTACAAAATCTTTTCCGCGTAGGTAAGCGGTCTGTTGAGTCTGTTCTTCACAATGTTTAGGGTTTCCACGTTTTGTTTGTAGTTGATGAAAGAGTGGTCCTCCAACAGATTCTGATGAACTTTGGAGTCTCTAGTCAAGTTCGACACCGAGGCCAACCCGCGGGCCAGGGGCTTCTGAACAATGCGACGCGCTGACAACATTGTGACTAAGCGCTTTTAATTGGGAAACTTGCTTGCTTACAGCGGTAAAGAAAAAATAGTTCCACAGAGGTTTTTGAAATGGAAACGACGATCCCGGAACCTCATCGGAAATCTTGGAGCTATTTATATTGTCAATTTTTATGGATTATTTTGAATTTGGAAAAGGGTACGTGACCAGAAGAGTTGGAGGAAGGGATCCTTGCGGAGCCGACATGGGCCGAAAAATCCGTGGAATGTGATTTGAAATCGGACCCGGCCACGGAGAAGAGTCGCGTGATACCCATGTGATCTATAGTTCGGATCCGACATCGGTAAAGATCACGAGCGAGGCACGTGTAATAGGGATTACGTAAGACCTTGTATCTTTTCTGGCATCCCACTCTTGGCGGGATTACTTCAAGTTTATATACTATACAGTAAAGTAGTAGTAGTGGCAGTAGTAGTGCTCATGATGAATGATGCCAGCAGCTCCACATATGTTGAGCCCACATATTTCCTCTGCCATTGTGGGCCGGTATCGTTTTCTCAGTGCATAAGTCACAGCTTAGTAAGGAATACCGTTTGTCAAACGCTGGAACTCGTCGTAGCCTCGGGTGAATATACTCTCATAAGACTTCTTGATCAAACCCAGCATGAACTCGGCCGCTTCTTGCTCATTCTTGTTGGGTGAGAAGCGCGCCTCGAGATTCCGCATAGTCTTCTCACCTTTGAAGCATGGCAGTCCGCTGCTCAACATGGGCCGAACGCACTCGAGAATCATGTTCATGTGTGGACGGGCAGCCAAGTAGGCCTTGATGCATAGCTCTTCAAATTCCTGGTACGCGTGCGTATCGGGAGAGCCCCCCATGACTTTCACCATTTCTTTTGTGAGCTTGAAAGGTACAGCCTCGAATTTGACACCACCAGGAACAATGTCAAAAATGAAGCCGAAATCAATATGCAAGCAGTGTCCTTGATCATCGTACATGATATTCCCGTTGTGTCGATCCTTGAATTGAAGCAAGTACGAAATCACAGAGTATCCAGCTAGTGATTTCACGAAATTATGTCTGGCGCGCTGGAATTCTGCTGTGTTTTCATGTCCGAATTTGGTGATGAAGTATTCGTACAGCCCATTGACGGCCTCTCTTCCCAGCATGTCTCTGGATATGGAATTGGGGAGCACGTCGATGACCCCACATCCTGGTGCTGTGGCCGTCACACGGTTTGGATACACATATACGTCGAGTCCAATGCACGACCAAATGGTCCGGAACACAGAGACTAATTGCAAGGCTAAAACGTCTTGACGACAATCATCTCCAACCTTGAAAATGGCCGCTTGCCATTTTTCAACTTTACGGCGTTCCTTTGTTTCAGGATCCTGCTCCATCCGCTCTATTTTGAATGTGGCCATGAAAGGCGCTTTTGCGTGACTTTGCAAAGGCTTGCCACTCAATCGATCAATGTCCACCACGACGCCATCAGGGTTAGAAGGCAAATACACATCGTCCTGCACAGCAATCTTGGCCATTTCTTCGTCAATTTTATGTTTTTTCTCGGCCTTTGTTTTCTTGATAAAAGGTCTCAGCTTGCCCGAGATACTGGTGACCTCGTTAAAGAATTCGAACTCGCGTTCATAGAACTCTCTTTGCTTCACACTGAGCGCCTTGGTCATTTTATCCTGAATTTTGTCCAAACTGGGTTTCAAATCGTCTGGGACTTGTCCTTCATCGTCCTTATAGCTGTTAGCTAACATATTCCATATGATCTGGTGCGAGAACAAAACACTGATTTTTGCTGTGTCAATGATCAGGCGCTCAACGTACCCAAGCGGATCCCACCTCAAACATTGGACAATCTGAGGCACATAGAAGAAAGTAAGGTTTACATCGTGGGATTCGAGCGCTCTTACGTTGTACTGCACGACGTAAGTATTTTTGGCCCACTGTGGCAAGAACAAATTAATAGATTGCAAAGGGTTCGTTGATGCCCAGTACAGAGCGTAATGGAAACTCTTTGTGCCTGCCAAAAATGGCGCCAGTGCTCTCGACGTTTGCACGCAACGAAGCGGGTTTTCAGAGATCAATTTCTGCAATGTGTCTGTTGCCTTTTTCGAGGGGTACCGCTCAACTATATTGATGGCTAAGGAAGGCTCTTTCTTGAATGCAAATGACACTAAATCCAGTGGCAACTTGACATCATCCAGAGGTTTCGCCAGTGGACGCAGCCAGCTCTCAACTGTGTGTATTTCACTGAGCAAGAAATATTGCAAAAGCGAGAGTTCTCGCCCACGGAAACCATTGAGAGCCTGCTCATTGTCCTTCAGTTTTTTGTAGCACTCAACAAGCATGGAGAGGTCCGCCCGTATCTTCAATTCATTAGCTCCAAATGGCCAAGATTTGGGTTTTTTGAACCAGCTCAAAGCACCATCAACTAATGCTTTACCTATTTCAGGAGCCTGGCGTGTATTGTGTTTGACATTACTAGCAAAAACGAGGATCCCAAAGTTAACAAGTTCATTTCTGGCCATTCTGGCGAAAGGATGAAGACTCGCGGTTTTCAAAGCACGTAAACCGTTCAAACAAATATGAGTGAAAATGTCAAGAAGGTGCACGCTATCGAATAATGTTCCTTCGAAATGAGATGTGAAAAATCTCGTAATGAGTATATGCGGCTGCAGTGACTTGCTAGCACTGTGAGCCGCTACATTTATCTCCTTCTTGTTATACGGTGAATATTCCATCATGTTAAATTCCTCCGCTTTGAGATTATGTTCTGTCGAAAATAGGCCATCGTGATTGTCAATTGAATAAGCCCAGCAATTGGCGACTTCAGCAAGAAGCAAATATGAAATATCGCTTCTCTCCTTCATTACCGCAAGCCAAACATTTGTTGCAATCTTTACTGCATCCGAGGTGAAAATCTGAAAAGGGATATTGACGATGTCATATACCAAAGTCGCTGTATTGCCTTTTTTGAGAGCCAGAAGTGAAGCCGATAAGTCAAGGAACGCACTCACATCATTGTAGTTCGCTGATTGACTAGCAGCTAATACACCTTCAATCTTGGTCTTCAATTCACGTCTTTCTTCTTCAATGTCATGGTAGGACGATAAAACGCTTTGATCTCGCATGAAGCGAGACCTCCACGCATGTTGAGAAAGAAACCCGGATATGCTATCAGGTCTGCGATAACCGCTTTTGGTGATGCTCGCGAGGTCTCGATCCACAGGTAGAATTTTGGCCGCCATTTCGAGAGCAAAAGATACACCAAATTCAACTCCGTTCAGTCTTTGAACAGCACTCAGGTCAGAGATATACGATTGCAACAGGATCTTGACATCCTGGTTGGCGGTCTTCAATATTATAGTTACCCAACGTGTAGCGTACTTTTGAACTTGTTGCAATGTCAGCGTACGCCAATGATATGAGTCTGGCAATGTGACTTTCCTTTTGGAATGTTTAAGCATGAAATCAAAAACAACTTCGTGCTTATTTGCCTCGCATGCCACAACACTGTCGAAAAGCATAGATAATATGTCCAACAGCGTGTATAGCGGATTTTGGTGACAAAGACTAGATGGAATTCTCTCGATGAAAGTGTCGCAGCATATGAATGCTGCTTCTTGAAGGGAAGTGTCCCTGTGAGTCAAGAGAAGGATGATGTTTGTCAATTGTTTGGCCACCATTTCAGCGGAGAAAATACGTGGGCTGCCTCTTATGGCTAGCTTTGTGTACTTTTGAACCATAGACGTCGAAATGGAAGCCACGAACTTGTCAAGACTGCTCTTCGTAATTGACCGATCTGAACAGTACAACAGAGCCTTCGAGCAATCACCCGCCTCACACCTCAAATTTTCCAGCAGTAAGGTTGAAGCCAAGAACATAATTTTTGACGTAGAAAGAGTTCTTGCTTGCACGGAATTGATGGGTAAATATTCAGACAGCATGTTTTTCTGTTGCTTCACGTTATGATTCGAGGAGCCTCGACGTAAAATGGTGTTCATTTCAAATGATGTTTCTCGATTCACCGCCGGGAAATCGGAAGCGAGAGGTGGCGAATTGTAGGCGATTGTCTGAAGCTCTTCATAGTACTTCTCGGTTAAAGGAGCCTTTCCGTGGAAACCATGCACTACAGCATTGAACCAGACATTCCTGAAAGTGTTCGTTAAAGCCTCATCTTGATCGAGATCGATTGGTTTGCGACCAGGCTTAGGAAGCAGAGCGGCAAGGGGCTTCAAATAAATTGCAATCTGATCAGCCACCTCTGAAATTTCAGTGTGTGATCTGTGGTGCTCCGAGCGATCAACATCCCCACGAGCAACGATAGCGTCAAGAAGGTGGCCCAGATAGACCCTGTATAAGGGACCTTGAGGCTCCTCTGCAAAAAGTTGCTGTGAGAGAAGTGTTTCCGCTGCAACGATACTATCCATCACTGTGGTATCCTTTCTCTCTAAAGCGTGGTTTGTAGCAGAGTGGAAAAATTTCATTAGAAGATTAAACTCTGACTTGTTTACCTTCAAGGCTAAATGTGCTAGACCTACCAGTATTCTTGTATCCAATGCTGGTGACACAGCGCCATACTTTTGTGTTAATATCGTGATTGTTAGCGCTGTAATGGACTGGTCATTGTAGATTGATGCGATGGTGGTTGTTGCGGTGATAACATTCTGGAATAGCTCATCATGCAAATCAACAACGGGGGTTTCTTTTCCATTGGTGTTCGAACTATTGTCCTGACCAGCTGGTGGGCGATTTGCAAAGCTTGTCGCAGATATTTTGAGCTTTTGAAGCGATTGATAGGTTGCAACAGTGCTAGACCTGGTTGGCCTGGAAGAAATCAAACGATCGAAGTTATTTTCACTACCCAACGCTGTAGTTAAGCGTCGTCCCTTCATTGTAGTTGCTGGAATACCGTCCTGCGCCAAGGCTAGCAAGTTGTTAATTGTGTATATTGTTCCAACAATGGCGTCTTCAGTGAGTGGCACTAATCCCTTTGCGTAGCTTGTTGCAAGCGCAGCAATCTTTTGATTAGGCAGAGACTTAGTGGACACCAAAAGTGGGAAGATGCGCAGCAAATCCGGAGAAACTGCTTCTGTGAAATAATTGAGCAAAGAAGCAACGGTGATGATTGTTGAACACAACGCTGAGCTCACGACATGGCTGTTTGTTGGTAAGTCTATCAAGGAGTCCCTTACCAGCTCCGTAAACTCATCAACTTCATAGTTGACTAACATGCCGAGAGATAGTATTTGCAGCATGTAAGATTTCGATGCAAAGGCACACTCTAACCTTCCTGGGCTCGACAGATTGATGTATTTTGCGCCTTGTTCAAGCTCAGTTATTTGCTTGAATGAAAAGGCACACATTTCCAACAGTTCTTTCTTATGCTCGTGAATTTTTGCTTCGAATTTATCCAGTTGCGCATCGCTGCGTTTTCCTGCTTTAACACGTTGCAATTCAAGAAGATATTCGTCTAGACCACTGCCCTCAGGAACTTCCAAGGACCGACAGGCGTGAGTAACCTGTAGTCTTTCTACCAGCTCGCAAAAGAGCAGCGAGGAAACTTCCCGGTTTCGATCAAGGTAGTATATCAAGACGTCCTTATTTGCAGACGATCGAATGGCAACTTCGATGGCATAAAGAAAGTCTTCGTTCATTAAAGTCCGTAAACTTGCTAATAGCGTCGAGGAAAGCGCGTTTCCATTTTCAAATACTAGAGCTTCCAGAAACCCAGCAAGCGAGAGTATGCCTCCAAGAGTCAGGTTTTTCGAAACTTCGTCCACATATCTGTCGCAAACTTTGCTAATTTCTGGTTGGAACTGTGGAAACATCCTGGCAGATCTCACAATGTATCTTCCGAGTTCGAAGCACAGAACCTCAGATGGATGCTTGAGATTGCGCTGTTTGTACCTATTCACAACGTAGTCTGTGAACTTTTGTTTGGGACACGCAAGAAAGTAAGGAAAGATGCATTTTTCCAATATAGAACGAGCCCGCGGTTCTCCTGACGGTACTGATCTGCAAATGGCCAAAAGAACCTCAAGTTCATCCAGAGTTAGGGGAATCGCGTTCAAATTTGCCGCAGAAGAAGAATATGAGACCGGTAGAGAAGCCAAAAGTTTATCAATTGAATCTACCATCTCATGTCCCTTCGAACCTCGCGATAATCTAGCGAGCGCTAGCGCTCTCAACGAGCCATTGCACTCTCTGAACTCACAATTCTGTTAGTAAATCGTTGAATAAACAAACCTGAATGCTTTTACAAACCTGAAGTAGCTCATGGCTGTTGAAACTTTGGATTTCGGGGCCAGCGATGTGGTGTTTATTTACTTAAGTTGACTGTAGATTTAGTAGTTCACTTGGTGTAATTTCATTATTTCACCATTTCGTACATGACGCTTATATTATCGACGCAGGATATCGGGCTTGACTCGAAGATCGAGTCGATAAACAGTCCGGTGTGGTTAAGCCGACGCTGGGAGATAAGTCCAGGTTATTCTACTGTTTCTCCACTGTATGTGGGACCTTCAACCTATGGGTTTGGTTTTAGTCTGTTCTTTTATGACTCTTCAGTATGTAGTGATTTGGCTATTGATTTGGGCTCGAATCCAACCTTTACTTCAAACAATGCCGACAAGACTCCTTCTTTGCATCAAGTGCTAGGTAGTTGATAGAATCCTTAGTTGTTTGATCAGCTCAGTCTGTTCCCGGAAAAGCTCGTCTTTCTGAGCTTCTAGAGAGACTTTCCGGGCAATGAGAATTTTCTTTCTGTTCTGAGCTTCAAAAGTGCGTTCTTGTAGACCAGAGATTACTGATTCAGCACCAATATCACCTTGGTATGGAATAGGCAGCACTGCGGCCGGGGAATGACCATCGATCTTGCCAATCTGCTGTGTTTCCCATTCGTCATCCTGAACCCCGCTGATTGCATTTTGTATTGCTCTTTTTCGATCATTCTCTTCTTTCCGTACTTCTCCCTCACTGAGAGCAAGCTTACTGTCTTCAAGCCCGCTCGGTAAGGCATCATTTGACATCTCAGTCGCGTCTTCCTGGTCCACTTTTCGCCCATCTCCAATGACCTCTAGAAGATCGGTTTTATCATCGCGATTCAAAAGTTTAACGTACTCCCGCTCGTTATGTTCTAGCGGAGTCTTCACACTTGTAGCGTAAAAACCGGTCCCACTGGAATCTGACTGCTGTTGCTGCAAAATTGCCCTTTTCTTCCTGATTCGTTGGATTTCAGCCTCAGAGGGAACTTGATTCCAACCTACAGCACCGGTTTCCATTTCTTCGTCATTCTGCTCTTCCTCGCTCAAATTTTCCAAGTTCAATATCTGCGGTCCCGAAGGAGCAGAAAAAGGAATCTCATGCTGAGTCTCTGTCTCTGCAGCACTCAGTGGAATATCTGTTGAGCTGACTTTCCTGAATGTTCGTTTCAGACCTTCTAAGGGCTTAATACTCGGATTAGGCTCAGATTCTTCATCATCTTCGTAGTTGTTAATAAAACTAGGTTTCTTTCGTCGTTGGCTTTTCGCCACGCTACCAGAGCTACCAGGGTCACTGCTTTTCGCAAGCTCACTCGAATTACCAGGCTTAAGCTTAGCTCTCTTGCGAAACATGGGAAGGCCAAGGCATTGGGCGTAAAACTTTCTTAGTTTTCCAAGAGCGATGAGATAGTTGGAAAGTAGTTAATTTCAAATGATGATAATATAATCATAGGTTTATTTCAAAGAATACATGAGGTGGTGATCGAAAGTAAAAACTGAAAAGTGTCGAATTCTGAAAGGATCGCTGATCGTCGAGCATACCGATAAGATGTCAACGCTTCTTGACATTTAATCATGTAGTGGATCAATTGATCGGAACTTTGGAGCTTTCATTTGTCTGTGCTGGGGCTACGACATCTGTGCTGGGACACAGTAGATCTGCTAAAGACCGAGGTGTTCCCACTGCCGGTGATGGCTTTTGTAGATCTTGTACCAGTAGGTAATGATCAGAGGGCCACTTTTCGTTGAGACCCATCCGGTTCTTCAAAAACCCATCCTTTTCGCGCACACCGTTGCTGCCTGCCTGCTGATCCTTCACGTCAATGGAAAACCGCTTGGAAATTGGTGCCGATTGACGGTTATCAAAGAGAGAACTGGAACGAGAATGCTCAAACTGGGGGTGTGAGACTGTATCTTGCTTTGGGTAAAGCTGTTTTCTCCTCCCCAGTGAGATTTCCAAAAAGGGCTCATCATCTTCGTCATCATCTTCAGCATAGCCCTCGTCCTCTTCCTGCATTGCGAGCGGGTTGAAAAGAGCACTTATGGTCTCCGAAGTGGGTAATTGCATTGCCATACCGTCCACACCGTATAAGCTGTTGAAAGGGTCCTCCACATGCTCTTTCGAAGCCGCGTCGCTAAATTGATTCTGGATCAGAATCCGTCTATTTTGCAACTTTACCGAGTGCAAGTACAATAACTTATCAAAGGTCTGTGCCTTTTTCTGTAGGGGAGTCCTGAGGTTGAATTGGAAGATTTTTTGCAAACGCACGAGCAGTTCGTCCTCGGTTTCATCAAAATACCAGATGTTACACCAAGCGTCAACAATACATTGGCATCTTTGAAAAATGGTATCATAATCAGGGCTGCTTTTTGTCAGCTTTGATGATGCCCACGATGCCAAAATCTGCAGGCATAGCTTTATCACGCCGAGATTATCACACGGTAAAAAATGCAAAGGTTTCAGTTGTGACGGAGCCACGGGCTTGCTATCAGTGGAGTCTACCATAACAAAATAGTAAAGCATCAAAATTTCGTAAGCATTTTCTCTTTGAGTGGTCAAGACTCTCGAAGATTTTTCCCGTTGGCTCGATTCATCGACTGGAATGCTTGGCTCAGCGTTAATATGTTGAGCTTCAAAAGTGACTTTCTTGGCTAGTGCCGCATTATAGGACTGAACATGCGCCAAAAGAGAAACAACAAGATAAAAAAGAGTCAGTTGAATTTCAGTGGCCAAGGGCTGGTCCAGTTTTGTCACTGAAGTGAATAAATTGAGAGCGTCATCGTCCTTGGAGTCGTGATAAAGATTGAAATGGACCAGTTGTTTGCGAAACGTCTCCAATAAGTAAACCATATGAGAACTTCCACCTCGAGACAGAGCCTTTAAGAGATTGCAACCGTCAAGGCAACCAAAGACAAAGTCCAGTAATAGTTCGAACGGTTTGAGCTTTGGATTGTTCAGAGCTGATATTTTGGGCGGCAAAAATTCGTCCCCGGTGAAATTTGTTTTGGGAATGCCTTGGATCAATGTCCACCACGAGTCTAGAAATTGAAAACACCAAAAAGTGATTAGTCTTTCTGTGTGATTCAGATTGGAACTTGTATGGACAGGTGTTAGTCGATGACTGTTGATGAAGAGTCCCATGTTGGTCATTTCACCGTATGCCAATTTCAAAAGTTGAGACGCGAAAGGCGCAGTCGAAGTTTTGGTCAGCAGCGCTGCACCGGGAGTGCCCATGAAATAAAATGCCGCTAGCAGCAGACATTGCAATCGTAGAAGAGGTTGAGTGGAATTCAAGCAAACGATTTTGGTGGCGGTAAACAGTGCATCGTCGCTGAAACATGACCATTTCCATTGACAGATCAATAGATTGGCGAGAAGAACGGCAGGGTGCACAGTTCTCGAATGCGGGACCTTGACAAGCTCATGAGGCCACGACCTGGAGTTCAAAATGGGCACCAGCGCCATTGAAGTTTCCAGAAAATATGCCGTGCTTTTCCTGATTTGTTTCCCGCACAAGATTGCATCATTGTGGTACTTGGACAGCAGTACTGTGGGGATAAGATCGTGCGAAAGTTGGAATTGCTGGATTAAGTACCGCAATAACCAATCGTCCTCGTTAGGCAAGACGTCAGTCGCTAGTTCTGATGTTGAGTCGACCAAGACGTTCCATGTTGCATGACCTATAAATTGGCCATCACCAACAATACGATTTTCGTATAAATGAAAAGTGTCGTTGATGAATGGAAGCTCAAGAAACGGACTGGGTCTTGAATCCTTGACTGCAGGTGGCGCCTTGGACGAGCACTGGGCGGGCTCTAAACTGGTCATTTTCGAACATGGTTTCGTTTGCGTCTCTGCGACCAGTTTTTGCAAACGCACCACTTCTTTTTCCAATGCTTCTGTGTAATTTTTGGGAGTTCCTCTTCTGGAAAGCGTATCGCTGTGACGACATTGGAATCCCACTTTGTTGCAAGCTGCACACGACGGTCTGGCACCGTCACATTTGATTTTTTTCATTCTGCATCGATCGCACGCCTGCGACAATCGTGAGTTCTTGGAAAGCACCAATTGCGTATCTTTACGAATTGCTGGACTCCCGTATTTTCTTTTGGATACTGTCTGAGTAGCCGTACCAGACGGACCGTACAGCAAGCCATAACCAGAAACTCCGCTTTGGGTAGACAATTCTTGCATTTTGATAAAGTGAGTGTGAGTGTGAGTGTGAGTGTGAATGTGAATGTGTGGATATGAATCTAGCGTACTTGAGAGACTGATCACCCGATGTGGTCTAACAAGTTTGTATCTGTTGCTGCTATCCGGACGTATTGGAACACTGCGTCTTTAACCAGGGATCTCTGATTGCAGTTTCAGTTCCTATCACTATACAAGTTTTGAAAGCTTTTGTAGCTGTAAGAGCTAGCTGTGAGAGCTGTAACCACCAAAATTGGAATTCGAATTGATGATTTCTCGAGGAATAAAGCTGGACTTTCCTGTCTCGAAAAAACACTCACGACAGTATTTAGTTGATAAAGATGTTATATATGGCGTATGTACATATAGAGTTTAACAATGAGTCTTTGGAAATTGTGGGAATTGATGGATTTTTGTTCGACGATGGTGTTTTTTTTTGGAAGATTTGGGTTGGTGACGGATATGTGAGTTCTTGAGTCTGGGGTAAAGGTTCTCTAACGGTAGTCGATTTTAAGACCGGATTCTAATATATAAGAGCCGAAAACGCTACCCGGCCTTTCTCCATCCCCTTTGTTTTGACCTGCTTTTGTCCGAACTCCATTAGTGCGGGGTAGAGAAAAAAAAAAAAAGAAGAGTCGAAAAGCCGGGATAACGCTCCCTTTTGGCCGAGCCGTTAAAAGCGATATTAAATGTAATTCATGCAAGGGTTCTACAGATACTGCACGATGACATAAACATGCATAACGAATTGTCTTTAGACTGTATATAATACTTGTCGAATCTTGTATGCCAAGAAAATCATGCATAGAAACTAGCACCGTCAAATAAAAGAGTTATACATTTGTCACATAGAGACTTTGGCTTTAGAGTCTCGTTACAAAAAACTCGGCTGCCAAAACTCATCTATCAGAGTGAGCTTCAGTATTTAATTTTTGGTTGTTTTTTCCGAAAAGATTAGGATGAGCCGTTTCTCTCTTTACTTTTTGAAAATCCAATTGGTACGATACGTTTATTCATTTGAAACGATTCAAAAGTTGACGCGTCTCGCGTATACCGCATTACGCGTTCATTGAACCATTTTCTTTCTCTTTCTTTCATTCATTTTGGTACTTCAAACACCGCCAATCAAAGCCTTAAAAGCTCCATTATCATAAACAGATTGTGAATTTTTCTTAACGAGTATCCTCACCGTTCAAAAGCCATCTCTCAGCTCACATTACAGCTGAACTTTATGCTTCTTAAGTATGGTAAAATCTCATCGTTAACCACGGCTCAGCTCACTATATTCATATAATATATGTATTCTATGATATACATAAAAACTCACCAACCGTCCAACACCAAACTCGCTGTAATTAGCGTCAAAGGTCTCCCATAACCGGCCTTTCAAGGTGAACGAAAGCTCTTTAAGGCTTCCACCTTACTTCTCGCATGAAAAAACCGTTCAAGGGCTTAACTTTCTGTCCCACCGCCTTGCCAGAAGAAGTTTCGCGTAATGTATCGCGTAAAATCACCAAACTAGGCGGTGGATACTCCCGCGATTTGACCAAAAGTGTCAATGTGTTGATAGTTGGCAGCATTGCGACCAACAAGTACAGGTTCGCAGCTCAGCACCGTGCGGATATAGCGTTCATTGACGCAGCAGCCATCGATACAATCTACGATCTGTGGCTCACGGGAGAGGATATTAGTATGGAATCACATTCTAATTACTCTCATGTAGATAGTAACAAAGACCGTATGCTTAAAGTGCTGCACTCGAGATACCAGTTGGGACCGCTCAAAGACTTCGTGGTGTTTATAGGCCGAATCAACAACACTCGTGACGAACAGCTCAGTCTCGACAAACTGGACACTTTATGCATACAACAAGGTGTCCATTCCTGTAATACTCGACATTTTGTCAAGGAAAGCCACTGGACACGCCCCACTGTATTCGTCACGGACCACCCACATGGAGCTCGTGTGGATGCTGCTCGTTTACAAGGTCTACCCATAGTTCACCCCAAATGGATTTTCGATTGCCACAGGAGAAATGCATTGCTGGATTTTGTATTCTACCTGTTGGAAAAGAATCTTTCGGCCGACTTTAGTGCCATTGGAGAAGGTGCCTGTTCATGTTGGCCCGAAGTTTTGCTGCGTCAAAACTTAAGCGATGATTCGCTATCGCATGAGGAGTTTGAGCAAAACCAGCATCAGCGCAACGTTATGGATAGATTTTCATCTCAGGGGAATCGCCTCTGGAATAGTGTCATGCATAAAGCCAGCAATCCTGGTACAATCCAAAACGAAACTCAAACTACAACTAGAGCCATACCGAAGCAAAAAGCACTGAAACTGCTGGAAGATCAAACTTACTACTTACTACAATTCCCGCCTAGGAAGAAGGCTATCTTAGAAACCATTATAGTGCAGAACGGTGGGCAATGTCATGAATACGATCCAGAAAGGAATGTGTTGCAAAATTCGTTTTTGGTGGTACCCAGTAATCTTTCAGTACCGATCCTGGATTCTTTGGGCAAAACTTTCCAAAGCGTTGTGACAGAGTTTTACTTTGAAAGGTGTCTACACTATAAGAAGTTATTAACACCCGACGCGTGGTGTACACCTTTTAGCACTGAATTCAAGATCAATGCATCCCAAGGACTGAAATCTCACACAGGCGAATTGGACGCATTGAATGTAGCTATTACAGGTTTCCAAGGTGTTGAATTGCTGCATATTACGAAAATGCTGGAATCTCTAGCATCAACTGGGCTACGACTTCGAGAAGCCTTAAACAAAGAAACCGATTTTCTAGTCATCAATCTGGGCGCTTTGACGAGTATCCACGAAACACATCCTTTGTGGAAGAATGAGTTTGCTTCCATGTTTGCCGAAAATCGCATCGTTCAGCAAAACCAGGTACATCGCAATTCCATGAAGCGGAAAATCGAGTTCATCAAACAAAGACATAGCATTCCTGTTGTCACGGCTGCATTTGTTGTGGAGATTTTCAAACGTGCGTCCAAATTGCAAGCGCTTGGAAGAGAAACTGCTAAAATTCACCTTAACGACGTAAATTGGTGCATATCGTGTCCGAAGGGCGATAGAGATCAATTGTATCTTGAGATTTGCAGCAAGCCACCTACTCCATTGTCACCTGCTGTTTCGTTGTCGGCCCGCAATGAACTTCTCAAAAAGCTGAACCCAGGTGGTGCGTCACCTTCGAGAAATAACAGAAGCGAAATAATCGCCCGTTTCAATGACGCAACAACTAAGCCATCCGTACCCCAGAGCGTCACCAAACGTTCGCATTCGGACCTAGATGTCTTACCAAGTGCCTTGAACCAGAATGCTCTACCCAGAGACAAGATACCCAAACTAGCGCCTACAGAACCGCTTCAACCAATCCAACGATCATCGAGCTGGGGCAGAATGCTTTCAGACCAGGCACGCAAATCTGAATCTGTTCACGAAGCTTACTCTTCCAACTCAGCCACAGAAGAAGAACAAGAAGAGAAAGAAGAGGTCACACATACTCAAGTAACATATGGATCGCCACACCGGAAGATGACATCTCATGTCACTACTAAAAGGCTTACTCGTCAAAACATGCGTGAAATCGACACTTGATCTGACCCAATTACTTTCTTATATAGAGAATAACGCTAAAGAGGATTGAAATGGCTCATTGGTCTTCTTTTTACCATTTTATAGCGATTCCATCATTATTTCACTTACAAGTAGTGTAAATGATTGAACTTGACAGGTAACTCATCTCTAAAGTTTCCAACTTGACAACTTCTTTGACGAAAAACAAGGAACCAGAAAGCCGAAAAAAGCTCTGCAATGGCTGAATTGAAACAGAGGAAAGAGAACTTCGTAACAGGGCTAAGTGGCGGCTCAATTGAAGAAATTAACTGGGTTACATCCACCGCTGTTTGTGCTTATTTTTGCTGGAATCTTATAAGTTCAGCAAACGACCAAAGCCAGGTAGGATATGTAATTGACTTCTTACTGAACTGGGGAGGACTTTTGTTAGCTATTACTATCTATTCTGACAATCCCTGGGGCTTGAACATTCTTATTCTGGTACCGTCTGTGATCTACTGGCTGGGTGGCAGACTGTCAAAAAAACCAAAGGCAAAGAAGGATCATCGGAAAGGCCCTAACAATGGCGAGTCTAAGAAAGCTGAATCTTCAGAGGTGGAACTTGTAAAACGGCCCTTCATTACAGCTTATCGTGGAGGAATGATGGTAATCACTGCTTTGGCCATATTGGCGGTCGACTTCCAGATATTTCCACGTCGATTTGCTAAGGTAGAAACCTGGGGCACCTCTCTGATGGATTTAGGCGTGGGATCCTTTGTTTTCAGTAACGGTGTTGTTTCATCGAGAACACTTTTGAAATCCGAACTCAGCGGACGGAAAGTCAGCCCCGTTCAGAAAATTACAAGCGCCCTCAAATCAAGTGGCAGTATTCTGGTTTTAGGTTTACTACGTCTTTTCTTTGTCAAGAACCTGGAGTACCAAGAACATGTCACCGAATATGGTGTACACTGGAATTTCTTCATTACACTGGCTTTGCTTCCACTAGCAATGATTCCAATTGATGCCATTGCCACTTATGCTCCCCGCTTTGTGATTGCTGTATTCATGTCTATCGCATGCGATTCAATGATGGTTTATAAGGAAGGCTTCTTGAGTTTCTTGATCAACTCACCAAGACGCACTTTAGTCGAGTCCAATAGAGAGGGAATGGTCTCGTTTGTGGGCTATTGCTCGATTTTTCTTTGGGGCCAGACAACCGGGTTCTACACACTGGCCAGCAAGGCAACCAAAAACAACATGTACAAATCATCGAGTGTACCAGTCGAAAAGGCCAAAAACCTTAGCGGTTGGGATAAGCTGACATCGAAAAACCCTCTAAGCGGCTTGCTCATTTGGTCTTTCATCTCAATTCTTATTGCACAAGTGGTATACGCACATCATCCGTTCAACATCTCTAGACGTTTTGCAAACTTACCTTATGTTGCTTGGGTTGCATCTTACAACATTGTTGCATTAACTCTCTATTGCATTGTGGACGCATTGTTTGGCAACGGAACTTCCAAATTTAGGATTCCCATTAGTTTGGATGCCATAAACTCAAATGGTCTCTTCCTGTTTCTTTTGGCCAATGTGAGCACTGGCCTCATTAACATGTGCGTTCCAACCCTCGATGTATCGGCTGCAAATGCTTTCATCATATTACTTACTTACGCTTCCTTCCTAGCTCTCACGGCTGCAATAATGTTAAAAAGAGGCCTATCTATAAAGCTTTAGAGTCTTTCATGCATAAATAGTTGGTTCGAAGGTAGTTCAGTCTATGATGATTACTGTGTCTTTTGGTTCGAGTGACCTATTTTTTGCCTTGGTGAGTCTTGACATTATATCAGGTCCATTGTTGACAGCTTCCAGCTTGACCTTCTTTTGAGAGTTTTTTTCAGGACTTCTATGTCGTCTGATACCTGTGGTGGGAATTGAAACACTTGACTTCGTGCCGGTCCGGCCAGCAACATCCAGTCCTTCCTCAGTCTTGAAATTGTTTTTCGATTGGTAGAGTAAGCCCCGCTCAACAGCGTGTGTACTTTTCTCTGTAGTTGCACTGAGCCCCTCTCTACTTACGGAAGGCTCGTTGTCAACAGGAGGCATTTCTCCCAGTTCGATGGAATCTGCCACTATCTTTCTTCGAGATTTGAGACCTGCTCTTTTAACAACAGGAGCGAGGCCCGGCGTCTGACACTGTGATTCAATTTTCGCTGAATCTGGGAAGCTCTCACTCGATGAAATAGACTTAGTTGTACCTGCGGGTATGACCTCAGGCTTAGGAGCATATGACGATGACTGGTGAATCTTGTTGGCCTTGCAGGGGGAACTCTTAGGCGCATAGGATTTAGCAGGCGCAGAACCAATAGAATAGCTTCTAGAAAGTGAATGAGACGGCGCACGTCTCTGACCAGAAAATGCGCTAAGATCTGATGTTGTCCTAGCTGTAGCTTGATTTCTGTGTGTTATGCTTTGATAGGGAGCCTTGTTCGAACCAACGTATGCTGATGATGACGCTTTCAAGTATGTTGCAGCTGTTATTATTCCATGAGAGGCGGGTGCATGACTAGTGTTTTCGTCGAGCTTTATCCTTGCCGTGTCAATCACAGTAGTGGCTCTCCATATCATTCGTTCTCTTCGATAATTGATAAAACTGGCATAATCCTTGACTAGAGCCATTACGGAGAATGATTGCGTTTCAGATGGCAAAGGCCTGCCCACAGCAGAATACAACTGTTGAATTGAATCCTTAGATTCGAAGACCTTTTGCTCTTGACACATGGTGCTGATCAGGTCAGTTGTCAAAAACCTACTTGGCTTTGAAGACTCATATTTTGACTCTGAGTCGTTACTAGATGTTGCTGTAAGATAGAGCAAGAATTTCGCTCTAGTTTGTGCAACAAAGAACATCCGTCTTTCTTCATCCAGCGAACCTTCGTTGGTTTTTGGTTTCTTCTTCTTGGGGCTATTCGGGCCTGCACTTGTCTTAGTACTTTCTGATTCTGAGTCGTTATCACTGTCGTCTGTATCTTCTTTATTACCAAAAACGCACGGTATCACGCCTTCGACGCAACCTGGTATCATAACCACGGGCCATTCGAGACCTTTAGCGCCATGTATAGTTGAAATAGTAACAAATCCCTCCTTTTCTCGCTGCTTCTTCTGTCGTATTTGCTTCTCTGACATTTGAGACTCGTCGACTTCAGTTTCGGTCGAGAAAAGATTTACCGAGTCGATGAACTCTCTTAGAACGTCATGTATATTGAGTTCTTTAGTGCCCTTCAAGTTTTCGTCACCAGGACCGTCTCTTTGAGCAAGATCATCGTTCATTGGCTTGAAAATGGAGACATGTTCTCTCAAGAGCTGGATATTGAGATGCCTTTTGTTCGCAAAATTAGGATCGCCTTTAGGATTGACATCGGCCTTTTTCTTACCATCCACATAGAGATATTCATACTGTAAGCCAGACTTCTCGTAGAGTTCATCGAAGATAGTGCTTATAACTTGTAAGTCCGACGTAGTGTTCAGGAGTTCTCTGCAGCCGGTTATAAGAGCTAAGAACTCTTGGATTACGGATACGGCTTTTGTCGGCACTTCAAGTTTCCTGGGATCACTTACTATGGCATTGAGGGCTGAAAACGGCGTCTCGTATTCACTGGCGATTGTTTCCAACTTCTTGGCTGTTGCAGCACCTAATCCTCTGGCCGGATACTGCAAAGCTCGCAGAATTGCATTCTTCTCAAAATCAGAATAGACGCACTTTAATAGGTCCATCATCCCATTAATTTCCTTCAACTCCCAGAACGCACGTCCATTAACAATCTTATAAGGAATCCTGTGCTCGATAAGTGAAGTTTCAAGTGGTCTTATTTGCCGGCGGTGCCGCACCAAAAGAGCAAAGTCGTTGTAGTTCCAGAGATTAGGTAAGGAACGAAGGTAAAGAATCTCTCGAGCGAGAGCTCTCGATTCCAAGAACTTTGCAGGAAACTCAATATAGACAGGAGGAAATCCGCTATCGAACTGAGCCCTCAATGGAAGTCGGTCTTCGCGGCCTGTTAGCTGTTGCTTGATTAACATTTCACTTGTAGTTAGAATTTTCTGAGACGATCGATAGTTTTCTACCAGAACAATACGTGAACAGGGAATTGGGCAATGCGTTACCATATCTTGAAAATTTCCGGCGAGAGCGTTGCGAAATCCGTAAATGCTTTGATCTGGATCGCCAACCGCAGTGATACCTTGGGAGCGGGAACCATTACCCCGGGCAAAAAGGTACATCAGATTCAGTTGTATGCTGTTGGTATCTTGAAACTCGTCAACGAGTACATGCTTTATGTTGGACAGACATCTCTGCTTAGCAAGTAATTTGAAAGCATTGAGAAGCAAATCGTCGAAGTCCAACGCATGCTGGGATATAAGCTCAGCTTGGTACTGTTCATAGAAGTGTAGAAGTGCGGGATCATGCTCATTTTGAGCGCGGTACTCTTCAGCGGTGATACCTTCGGACTTGAGCCACGACACCATTTTCTTTACGGCAGCCGGATGTACCGCCCAGTCACGAGAGGAATTGGGCCTTAAAAGGTTGACTTTTCTATCGTATCGGTGTGCGTGGTCTCGTATCTGGTCTGGGATTTTTTCCACTAGTTTTGCGAAAATCGGGTCAGTATCGCTATCTGAAAACGTCCTCCAGTCTTTCGGGAGTCCTATACGCCACCCGTGCTGTCTTAAAACACGAGCACAGATTGAGTGGAAGGTTCCTATCCATAAGCTTTTGGGATTTATTGAAGTGCCCTCGAGCAGAACGCCAATTCGTTCGATCATTTCCAGAGTTGCCTTTTTAGTGAATGTTGTGATGACGATGTCGCTTGGGTTCAGCCCTTTCTCGAGAAGCAGATATGCTACTCTTGTCGTTAAAACTTTAGTCTTACCGGTACCAGGACCAGCTACAATTTGCAATGCCTTACCATGATCGAAGACCACGGATTCAAGTTGCTTTTCATTCAACGAAGACAAAAGCAGGTCCATTGGCAAACCGTTTGAGCATAAATGAAATAAGCACAGGATATGTCAAGGCCTCTCAAGTTCCACAAACTGCTGAGTTTGCCGTGACTGAAACCCGAAACTTGAACAAACCCAAAGGCCAATGCGAGTATTTGTTATTAGCGAAAAATACACCGTTTTTCGCGCAATTTTTTGGGCTAGAAACGCAAACAGACGAGCGGTGACCAGCAACCACCGTGTGTGATCTTATAGTCCGAGCTTTGGGGCTTGGGAGTCGATAAAGATGAGAGATGAGCTATGATCACAGATCAAATACATAAACAAAGCCAAATTATCACCAAGCTGTAGCTTTGTACGAGGACTCAAAGATCAGGATCACGTGATGTGTGACAGCGACATGAAAATTGTCATTCATGCAAATTTTCCAATTTGAATACGAATTTGATTTCATAGCGCTTGATGGGAAATAGTTCTTCTCTTGCTTGCACTTTTGTCTCTCTGGTTTCAATCTGCTCGTTTAAACCCTCGCGGTAATTTTTTTTTCTTTTTTGCCCAGTGATACTAAAATTAAATGCTACATATTTTATGGATGTCAGAACGCAATGCTACTACCCATTTCGTATGCTTACAGCAGATTCACGGTTCTACGTTCCTCTCTAACATCGGTATTTAACTTCGATTCTAGAAGTTCGTAATATCACTTTGTACTATTTAGACGTTTTTTGGATATTTTCATATAAATGAGAAACATCATGTTTTCCAACTAGAGGCAGACTGTCCTATCAGCAAAATCAAACTCAGAGCACTACGAGATCACACTCTGACAATACTAAAAATTTTGGCGCTTTCCTAGTTTGATCCCTATAATTTCTATTTGAGTCTCTGGGATTCCTCCGCCTCGAGAAAAAGTGATAGACGAATTCGACCGCGTCGTCGTCCACCAAAAGCTCAAAATAAAAGATCATGAGCTTCAAAGATCATCACTGAGCTCCATAAAATTATAAAGGTCACAAAGGAAATACCAGCTTCTTGGATAACAATACTCTAAATTTTCAAAGAAAACGCTGTTTTCTTCAAAAATCGACGACAGATGAAATTTGAAAAGCTACACCGCACAAAGCAGATATTTTCAACATGATAAGAATAGGCTCCTAATTCTCAGATAAACCTACTGTTGTAATCGAACCCATTTCCCAATGAAATGTGCCTTGCAAGCTCATCGCGTTTTACGGTGTCGCTATTTAATAATATTACAGGCCATCTCATCCTTAACAGAAACCAGTTTAAACATTAGAAATAGCTACCACTCCAGTGTTTTTTGAGCTCTATTCTATGCCACTTAGTATGTTCGATGGCCCATGATATCCGTTCTCAAGAAGAAGAGGATGAAGACAAGAGAATCCTCCGCGATGCGATGGCTTTCAGTCGTGAAAAAGTGGTAATCCTAAATGCTGAACCTTCCAGCAGAGCATTTGTTTTATGGTTTATGATATCGAGCTACTTTCCAGTGATTACAGCGTGTTTGGGGCCCATAGCAAATATGATTGCGGTGGCCGGAATAGTCGACAAATGGCGGATGTACTCGGATGGCACGATGGTGGAAGATGCCAAAGGTGTTTACGGTGTGAATGTGACGTCTCTAGTGTTGGGATGTATTTCAAACTTTGTGCTGCTGCTACATTTTGCCAAGAAGGTCAGTTATAACACAGCCCAGGTGATTAATATTGTCGGGTGGACTATGGCCGGATTTATGTTGCTGGTTGACATCGTAGTCTGTGCTAAAGTTGACTTTACTCAGGAGTTGCACAAAACAATAGGGTTTTGGTATGCTGTACTCTCGATGATCCTCTACATTGGTTGCACAGTGCTGCTGCTGATTCATTTTGGTGGTTACAAGATGGGGAAATATCCAGCCACGTTTAATCTCACGGACAGTGAGCGGAACGTTATGATCTTCACGTTCATTCTTTCCGTCTGGTTCATTTGGGGCGCTGCTATGTTCTCAAATATCATCTCCTTGACATACGGGGAGGCTCTTTACTACTGTGTGGTGGTCATCTTGACCATCGGTCTCGGTGACTTGCTTCCTTTGAGCGTTGGCGCTAAGATAATGACCCTGGTTTACGCCCTATCCGGGCTCATCATTCTGGGTGTTATTGTCACTTTAACAAGATCCGTTATCCAAAGCTCGTCGGGCCCCATTTTTGTCTTTTACCGGATCGAAAATGCTCGTAGTAAAATCTATGAGGACCTCATTGCTAACAGCGATGAAATGGAGTCTGAAGAGGCATTTAGCCTTATCAAACATATTCGAAAGACTTCGAGGCTAAGGCAGCAACAGTCGAGTACAATTGCCACGGTTTTTGTTTTTGTTTTGTTTTGGCTTTTAGGAGCACTGGTGTTTCATTTCGCCGAGAATTGGTCGTATTTCAACGCGCTGTATTTTTGTTTCTTATGTCTCATTACAATTGGTTTTGGGGATTTTGCACCGGTAAGTGGAGCTGGGAGAGCCTTCTTCGTAGTTTGGGCCATATGTGCAGTTCCTCTAATGACAGCGATCATAAGCACATTGGGTGAAACGATATATGCTATGGCAGAGGAACTGGACATCAGCATTGTGAGGATCTTCAATCCTGTCGTCACTTGCCCTGGAGTTCTTTGGTCAGCGCTAAAGCGCTTGTGGTCCCCTAATAGTAAAGATAACCGACCGCCCTCATCAGAGTCCATTCCTATCGGAGAGCTAGCTTCAAGTACCACAGGACCTGAAATCTCCACCAAAGATGAGAGCAACAGAAGAAACTCTATTTCTTCAAATCAAACCTCTGCAACAGAAGATCACATACTTGAGAAACTCAAAGAGTACTTGGAAGTCGTACAATGGCTTCGAGAGCTTTCTCGCAGACAGCCAACTGAGAAAATGACTTTTGAAGACTGGGTGCGGATGTTTAGTTCAATAAGTGACGATACTGGAAAGTTTCTGGACGATCCAAAATTTTGGCTTTCTGCTGAATCTCCGCTACGATTTCCGGTTCATGAACCACAATTTATCACGCAGACGTTGTTGAACAAGCTTGAGACTGACTTAGCTCAGTTGCTGGAGGAACATTCCCAGCGAACAAGGACGAGATCTTAATACTCGCGCTTAGAAGTAGAATGGGGATTACTCAGTTTGTTATAGTTTCTCTGATCTTATGTACTATAATGCATTGCGAACCGTTAATTCAAGAAGTGCCCTTCTCAAGTACCTGCCGTCCGCTTTCTGTTTTCAACTTGCTGGAGTTACACTTATCGTTGTACCTGATCAGTGTTGCCAGGCTAGTATCGCGGAACGTGAACGACTCTTCGACTTTGCAAAATGGATGCAGCAGCAATTCCTCAGCGGTTGGCCTTTCTTCGGGATCTATCTTAAAACATGCACTTAAAAAGTCCCGGGCTTCAGGTGAAAGCAACTTCTGTGTATCTTCCGGAATAGGTGGGGCAGATTTGAACTTGCCTATTCTGAGCATCGCTGCTACAACTTCGAGATTTGACCATGGACGCTTGCCCGCAAACATCTCAAGGACAACACAGCCCAGTGACCATATGTCAACCTTCGCACTGTAACCTTGCTTGGTATCGACCATTTCAGGTGCCATCCAAAAAACAGTGCCTCGCATAGTCATGTCAGAGTTGCTGTAGATGTTACTAGATTTTTTTGAGATACCGAAATCGCTGATTTTGCAAACACCGTCCACGTCTAGTAAGAGGTTGTCAGCTTTCATATCACGGTGAAGTATTCCCTTAGAGTGCAAGTACGAGAGCCCTCTCAAAACTTGTACCACCAAAAATCGAACCAGAGCTTCCTCGAAGCAACCAAACGTCCGTATGAGAGATCCAACGGAGCCACCAGCCACGTATTCAAGAAATAAGCTGTAAAAATGGTTTTTGTTTTCGAACCCAAGGTATTGTACAATGTTGACATGGTCTAGATCTTGAAGTGTTGAGACCTCGGACCTTAAAGCCTCTAAGACGTTCAAAGTTGTCTCATCTTGAGTACCGTATTTGGGAACTTCAACCTGCTTGACCGCCACCATTTCTCCAGTCGTCACGTTAAGGCCCAAAAACACTGATCCGAATGAACCCTTACCTATCATTTCTCCCTTGATCCAGGCAAATTCCTTGTATTCACCGTTCGAATTTTTTGACTTGTTTATCGCAACCATCTTCTTGTCAGTTACTTCTACAACGCGGGTTCCCCACATTTTCGTATTTTTCCTTTCCAGGCTGCGAGTTTTAGACGTCCTCCTTGCTTCGCTAGCTTCTCGCGCAATTGTCCTAATGGTTTTTGTTCGCTTCGGGACCTTTAGAGATCGAGAGGAGATAGACAAGTTATCGGAGGGTTCCTGAGCTGTATGCGCTATCATTGTTTGCGGTGTTCCTAACCTGGAGCTATTTGCCGACCGCGGCTCGTAAGTTGGTGACTCTTTTTGTGGTTTAGGCAAAATCGGAGACGATGCTTTGGGGCTCTGTGGGGAAGCTGGAGGAGTAACACCTTCGACAATGGGTCTATCTAAGTCGGTACCTGGAAAAAAGCGCTCAAGATTCTGGTAAACAATCTCAGGTGAAGGTCTGAGAGTCATTTGATCGTCGGACAGGGTATTCTCGGCATTTTCGGGTTGGGTTTTTCTGACGTCTAAATGCTCTGCTGAACTGCTGTCATTGATTTGTTCTTTGCTCGCAGAATGAACAGCAATTTGAATACCAGTGTTCGCTTCGGGGTTAGACGACTTTGCAGAGTTCGACCAGATAATGTCCGCCGACGAGTCGCTCTGTGTGTCAGTATCATCGAGGTCAGAAAGTTCTGGTGCCTCTGCAAATGAGACATCGTTCTCATCAAAGATGTCGGCAGCAGATGCCGATGAAACGATCCTTTTCGTGCTTGTTCTTTTGAATAGTTGGGGAGGTGGTTGAATGACTGTGCTTACACCTGATTGTTGAGTGTTTGAGCGACCTACTCGAGATTGGTAGAGAGTAGACAAAGATGTATCATCCGTGCTCATTTTCCCCTCGTTGTTATTGCCCTTGTATGGCTGAGGTACTAAAACCTGTGTTGAAGCTGGAGTGTAAGAGTTTATCTGTGATTCGGGTTGCCCAGGTTGAGTGCTCGATAAGCTATTTGGTGAGGTACCTGCAGCGCCGGCAGTGAATATATTCCAACTCGTCTGAGGAGGTGGAGGTCGAACTTTGCGTGTGACACTAGGTCTATTGGCGATTTTTTGAGATTTAGGAGATGAAGTTGTGCTGTTGGGTCCCGAAGATATTAAGGAGCTTTGGGAGCCTGAAGGTGGTTTAGGAGCTTCTCTCCTTGGGGCAAAATCCGGTGTCGCATATGGTGAGGCACGGCGATTGTTGAAGTTTATTTCATCGTCACTTTTTCTCCTAAAGACTTGAAAGGAGTGACTTTGATGTGCCTCGACCTTGCGCTTCACATTAGCTTCCCCAGGAGAGGAACCTCTTCCGGTTGGTCTTGCGCGATCATTGGGATTAGTTTGATCATCCACCTGAGAGTCTTTCAGCGTCCAGTAGTCAATCTCGGAGTTAGAGCTGGGTATAACGGCACCATAATAAGAGTTGGGAGTGCGAGGGTATGCAGCACGTCCTGAGGCACGAGCTAGGTCATCAAATGACGTTACATCTGACAGAGATGTCGCCGCCGAATTATCATCATTAGAAGCGATGGAGCTGCTATGAGCTGATTTCATAGACCCTTTGCTTTTTACCGTTTTGATTGGTGCCGCGGCTTCTATGACCGTATTTTTGATAGCCGGGCGAAGCTTGATTGTCATTTGGTCTTTGATGAAGAACTTTTTGGGAATGTTTTGAAATAGGTTGTTGCGCATGTTCTCTAGTAGCTCGTCGTCAATTGCACAGCCCATATCGCATCCAAAATCAGTTAAATGAACAGTGTATTTGTTGTGGCGGATACCTAGTGTGAGAGCCATTGAATCCTTTAATTCTTCCAAGTTTGTGATGACTCCAACATTCATGGGTATGAAAGACCTGTTATCCTTGGTTATCAAAATGTATTTGTCAGTGACTCCAGAGTTTTTTATTGGGTAGTACTTCTTTTCAAGCATCAGGTTGCTCAAACTAATTTCCTCTGATCCGTTACTTTTCGAGTTGACCAGAGTCCTAGTTCCTGATGATTCCGTGTCTTGTTCGGCTGTAGAAGTCTTGCTTAACGTGTCCAACTGCACAGATTTTCTTTTCAGCTTTTCCCATAAGCTGCCCTTCTCGTCTGTGGACGCCAAACCCACTTTCCGCGAGCTGGTAGCGCCCAGCGGGCTTGCAAGTGGTGCATCAAGAGAAAGATTTTCCAATGACGTACTTCTGAGTGAGTTTGAATTATTTTGGGATGAATCTTTGGCCAAATATTGTTCTTCGGCTTCACTGCTTCCGCCAAATAAAGTATTGAAGATGGATGATTCCGAAGAGCTACTTTTATGCTGTTTCCGGAACCTGCCTGTGTATGTTGGCGACAATGGAGACGACGAGACACGCGTCCCTTGTCGCTCAGAGGTGGTTGGGTTATCTAGAGAGGAGGAAGGGCGTGTGGGAATTTTTAACTTAATGGCTGTATCGGTCTTATTCTGAGATCCGCCAGAGTTACTGCCACGCAGAGAGATCAAACTTCGACGGTAAACGGAGCTAGCGCTATTGGTCTTTTGATGATTTCGGTACTGAGATGAAGGTCTTTCGTCAATATTTTCAGACGGTGTTTTCTTGTGGCCTGACACAGATGAGTCTGAAATCGCCCTGCTATTGATGTCTTCCTCTCTTTTTTTAGTTCGAAACTTATAAGACTCGCTTGAGCTTCTGGAACCCATAGATTTGTCGCTTCGGGTCCTTATATGACCATTCACCACGTTTTGTTCCAACGTTCTCTTCAAAATGTACTGGAATCGTTGGTACGATGCAAATTTGGTTTGTGACAGGTTGGGTTCATGCGGGGCGAAATTATCGTACGCCATCAGTTTTAAGAATCTGTGGCCATGAAGATGGCGTTTCCGGAAATATGCCAGCCATGACACATCAAAGTCGTTGAATTTGAGCCACGACAATACTCGAAGCATCGACCATTCTTCAGGGTTTGTGACATCCCAAGAGTAAAGTAGTTTGTCCAGCGAGTTACCGTTTCCACTAGACGTTTTTCGCAGTGGCCACGGTTGTATCGCCGATTCTGGTGCTTCTAGATGGTGCATCATGCTTGCACCAGCCACGGAGCGGTTTTCATGAGTTGAATGGTCTTCAAAAGTAAATCCACCACTGCCACTACTATTTCCTGCTGAATGTTCAGAATGCAAGTTTTCGCCCAAAGGAGTCCTGACACCACTATTTTCGAGTGGGATTTTTGGGGGCAGCTCTGGGATCTTAATATCGGGGCTATTGGGCGTTGACGGCGATCCCAACGACACTTTATTTGATGAAGCTGAGCCAGACCTTGATCTATTTGAATAGTTCACATTTGACAGCTTTTTCTTCAAAAAAGCCATCCTTTTGCCGTTCCAGCAAGCTCATTCAGAAACCTCAGTAAGCTGGTCACTAAACAGTGGTTAATGGGGTCACTGGCCTCTATTCAAGTCGTCTTGAAAGTGAAGTTTAGTGGTGAAGTTGAAACTTGATCATTTTACCTTTTCATTTATATATATACATATATATATATATATATAGATATACGTCTCTGTCACTAGTGTGTATACAAGCGATGACTAGCGAAGGGATCTAATTGACAGGAGTTTCAAGGTCCAGAAGTTCGCCAAATTCGCGAATTGATATGCTTCAGAATGATTTGCTCGCCAACGTTTCGTTGTGCTGAAATTTGGGCAATTGGCGTGCTGTGGGATATATGTACATGGTAGACGTGTAACAGGCTGTCGGGATGGGAAAGAGCCTAGCTGTTATTGTCCAAGCTGGTATCTGTTACAGAGAGTTCTGAAACTCGAAGAACCGTCAGATCCGGTTTGCTGACGGCATGTCTGACTTTCCGGTTTCTGCGTTTAGTGACCTCTCTGATCCGCATGGGACGTTTGGTCTTTTCCAGCACCGTAGCTTCGAGCTGATACAGCGATGGATCCAATGGGTTATCGACGATCTTGAAATTCCGGCTGCCGATGGTTGTGACGTCGTTGAGGTTCAAAACGTCGCCCACTTCGGCCTGCTTCATTTTGAACGGCAACACGACTTTATCGCCCTTTGTTACCAGATAAGGGCGGTTGTGGATGCGGAATATGGCATACAGCTCGTTGGACAGTCTCAAAGGTGTGGTGTCGAGCTTTTGCGACTTTTGGAATGCTATTTTCGATGTTGCAAATGTTCTATTGAACCGGCCAATATTTGACGTCAAGCCCTCAACATGGGGTAAAACAGGCCTGAAAAATCGACCTAGTACGTTCATTTGGTCCTAAAATACAAGCTCAGGTCACTATAGCTGGTTTGGAAACCGTGCAATTGAGCTGAAGATCCTGTTGCGAGTCTGAGTCTGAGTTGTCTATCTTAAATGCCTATGTAGCTGTAATAATTTTTCTAATAATACTAGTATAATAGTGAAAAAAAGTAATTACGTACAAAGTGACATAAATCGGGCCAAGCGATCGATGCCTTTTCAGAGCCAACAAAGTGATTGATTCAAGGGATTTTCTAATAGTCTGGCGAGCTGTTTGTTTCCGTTCGATTCCATCATTGAATTTTTTTTTCGTCTGGCTTTGTCTTCAAGTTTCTCGTAATTCGAGACGATCCTGAAGGTTTTCGACCTGATCGAATGTCATGAAAAATCTTTTTTCAGGAATCAAGCTCTAAGCTCATCACCAAGCCCCCCAGACTCCTGACAGTTAGTGGTAAATTTCTATGCCTTTTTTTTCCCAGTGCTGGAAGCGTTACGCAATGATTTCATCACTTTCTTCCTTTGAACCACCATATGCGAGTATAACATTGGGAAACCCGGTATGTAGAAGAGCATGCTCGCAACAAGGGCCCACTTGACGTTGCTAGAGTATCTGGCTTCGGCCACAGGCAAAGCAGAGTAGATGATTAACAACTCACTGGCCACTCCCATAGGATACAGCAGCCAGAACAGATTATAACGCAAAAGCACTAGAATCTTGGGAGGCCCGCCAGCAGCTGTCAAATTAAAGTAGTAAAACAGATAACGCACAATTTCTGTCACGGACCACGCGGTCAAAAGAGACAGGAAAGTAGCATTGTGAGCGTTGTACGCTTCTGGCAAGTAGTGGAAGATACCCACGGTAACTAAAAGACGAGAAGCCACCTGGGCCACAGTGGTCAATAGAGGAGTACGCACAATTCCCAGAAGAGAGTTCAAAATCTCAATCAACGCACCACATTGGATCGCTGTAAGATAGCCCTTGGTCTCGTAGAAAAACGCCGGCTGACCAATCTTTGGGTACACGTTCACCGCACGAAACAGAAAAAATCCCCACAGTCCGGCAGACACCAGGTTATATAGCGCTAGTGGGCTCAAAGGAGACACTTTAGCGGCCATTTTAACAAAAACAAAAGACCCTTTTCTCAGCTATAAAGAACCGAAGCTTTCGGTGATCTGTTGAATTTTTGGTCTTGAAATTGAATCCAAAGCCTTTAATATTGCTTTAATGGGCCGGTTATGCTGGAATCAGACTCTTGTATGGGAGTTGTGATGAGTTTGCAGTTATCCTTGGCTATGCGATTTTGTTGATGTCTCTGTATTAAAATGTCAAAATTTCGTCTATAGTGATTCCAAAAGTTAAATTAACTATCACGTGATACAAAGATCAGCTAGACATATCTACGTATATAGTACCGAGTACTCATCAACGCACATCTATTTGCGCATCAATCAGTTTGCTATTCCTTGTCTCTCTGTCGAATTTTGGAACTCCTGTTAAATTACGGTTAGAATATATTCATTGGTATATCACTCTTCACGACTCCGTTACAACGTTGATCCAGTGACAGACAGCATCGTAAGTCTGGCTGCTACCAACAATGACTTACTCAGGCCGCCTTCATGGGTCAGCAGCTGTATCCACCGGTTTTAAAATTACAAATGCATTAATTCAAGATACAGAACACAAGGGCTTCTTCCAATGTCTGGGCATTGCAACTCGCGATACTCGAGACAAAAATGAAAGCAGGTGACAGAAGAATCAATCAGTCATAGCAGAGACTTTCTACTTATCAAATCCCTTCAAATTCTGTCTGTACTGAGCTGTGTTGATTATGCGGTTTTGCTCGGAACTGTCCCATGCCATGTTGTCTTTGCTGGAAGTGCGACACAGAGAGTACTGACCGTCCTCATCCTCACCATCGTCCTTATCACTCTCATCGCTGGTTTCGTCAGCCTCCTCTAGGTTGGAGGGGTCCTGGTTGAAGTACAAGTGACTTCCAGAATTCTTCTGTGACAGCATGCTGTTGTAAAGAGGGTGATTGGGTTTCGCATACGACAGCCCGTCGTCGTTGGGATCCATGTAGTCGTCGTCGTCGTCGTCTTCTAACCTAAACTGCGATGGATGGTATGCACTGTTTTGTCCAGCGTCCCTGGACTTGTCCTTGGAATCAAAATCCGAGCCACTTCCGATCGGACTGTTCCACGCTTCCTCTTCTTCGTCGTCTGAAGAGAAAGAAGTATTAAACTCCTTTGAAAGTTGATGTGACATGTAGTTGCTGAATTTGCTGTTGTTTCCCTTTCCGTCATCGTCACCGGCTGGATGATTTCCGCTTTCTTCGTTTTGCTCATGTCTTTCGTCGTCCCTGTCTTCGTCAAAATCATGGGAATTTTCGTCTTCGAAAGTTCCCGAATTGATATCGTAGTCTATCTCAGGGTTCAAATGTATGTTGGTCTTGTTGCCCTGCCCATCGTCGTACTGATAATAGCGCGGGCTGTCCACAGCGTTGTACTCAGCGTAGTCATCTTCGTCATCTCCACTGTGACCATAACTGCGGTAATCAAGGTCGTCATTTGCGTTGCCCTCAGAACTTCCAGCTCCTGCATTTTCGCCTACACGGTCATCATCGTTGTCATCCTCCTCCTCTTCGAAATCCCCGAGGATAGAGCTATAGTTTTCGCGCGTGTCAGCGAGCACTGTCTCGGTGTACTTCTTCCACTCGGGCTCGTTCAAGCTATCCGAGATTGCTGGTGTAGCAAACGTTATCTTCATCTCATCCACGTAAGCAGCGAACTTAGCCACCTCCTCGGCAATCAACGTCAAATGACCCATGTAACCAAGTCTTAGACCAGTTTCGTTCTCGTAATCTTCGCACTTTTTGTCTCCCTCCATAATCATGAGGGTAAGCTTAGCCCCGCTAAACAAGTCAGCTATTAAGAACCTGTTGAAGCCTGTTTTGAGCGGGCCATTGAATATTTGTTGAACAATGTCAAATACGACGTTATGCAAAAAGTTATTCCATGGAAACGAAAAAAACATTTCCAGTATGGTAGTTATTACGCGGTTGTCTTGCAAAGCAATCTTCAATTGATCACCTACGATAGGATTTTCGCGCAGAGCTTGTTCGGATACTTCGCTATCAGTAGAATCGTCTGACAGCACTTCGTTTGTCGTGTTAGGGGCCTCTCTCGAACAAGTTTCTTGTTCTTCATCATCACTGCTGTTGCTAGCGTCAGTTGTGGCTATCCTCAGATCAGCCATCTTGTCCAAAACGTCGTCTCCCCCTGCACTCCCTTCGCTTTTACCCTGAAGTTCTACGCTCTTTTCGAGCCTGAGGGTTTTCTCCCGCAAAGCGTCTCTTTCAATCACGATCTGCTCCCCTGTTGGTTCGTTGAGAAGTGTCATGTTGGAGCAATGCAATAGTTCGGCTACGAGCTCACATATCTTGAATCTCTCAAAGCCTAAGGGTTCTATAAACCCGAAAGGAGTCTCTAGAGGAGGCAGTTCTGTCTCTACCAACATTCTGTTAAATTGAGGCAAGTGCTTTGCAGAGCACTGAATTAGGTATCCGAGGTAAATTGGATCTCTATCATTGGGTGGATGAGTTTCCAAAGTGGTGTACATCACCTGTACAAAATCATAATCGGAATTGTTTTTCCTGATGAGTTCAATCACAATACCAACACCATTACTGAGCGACGTCCCCCCAGAAAGCATGATTTTCATGAGTTTTTCCACCATTGGAGGCGACACTAGTTTCCTGGTTAGCCCATTTGGTCCAATAGCCGATGCAATTTCATTATTTGAATTGGCGCTTATTGTGATGAGTGCCTTCAAAAAATCACCCGCAGCCGACTTCGTTGAGGCCGTTTGAGCTCCTTCTAAACAATCCAAAAGCTTGGGTATCAAATCTTGGCTTCCAAGTAGTCCAATGACGCCTGTTGACGAATCTGGTTTATCAGTCGAAATAACTTTCAGAAGAAAGTCCATTAGAGGTGGGTTATCAATATGCGTCAAAAATTTGTCGACTAAATCCGGCTGTGACAAAATGAAATGCAAAATGCCGCTTACGTCCATGTCTAACAATCTCTCATTAATTTTCATGAAGTAAGTGGAGGGTACGATTGACAGCGGCGCTGGATGGTCCAACATAGACCACAGTTGACTCAAAAGCTCCTCGTGGTCCATGAATGCAGAAGAAATTGGCCAGACGTCGGCCGAAAGAATTTCAGCTGCCATACGTGCGCGCCTGGTTTCAGATTGCTCTTCGGAGTCAGCTGGGAGGGTTATGCTAGTCTCAGCGGAAGACACAGAAGCGGTATCAGAAAAATTAGTGTCCTTACCTTCTGTTGATGAGTCGTTCGACTCTTTCAACTCTGAGCTCCCCTTTTTGTTCGAACCCTTGTCTGCTTGTGGGCTCACATCGCGAGAGCTGTCAGCAAATTCCTTGGCTCCAATTCCTTCGCTGTCGTCGTCTGAATTCTCGTTCAATACCTGCTCGTTTGTGACGTAGTCCACGAGTCGCGCCAGCACCTGTGGATACTTGAAGTAAATCAAAAGCTTGAAATTTGAGCACATAAGTTCGGTGTAAAGCTCTTCGTCATCCAGAAGCTCATCGAGAACGTCCATGTTAGGTTCAAAGTCCTTGTAGTCCGATTCGTTATCTGGCTGATCCCCGATTGAGCTATTACTCTCATTATGATCCTCATTTTCGTTATCATTAGCATCGCCATGGTTGCGTAGATTTTCTTCATCTTCCTCATCTTCTGCGTCGTCTTCTTCTTCTTCGTTGTTTTCGTCCTCTCCGCACTTCTCCCCTTCCTTCACTCGGTTTTTTTGATCTCGTGCGCCTTGATTTCCTTTGAGCACCTCACTATCTTCCTCGTCAGAACTATGACTACTGGGTAATGAGAGTATCTTATCCACCTTGTCGTGACTATTCTTGTCTTTATTACTCTTCACATCTCCCACCTTGATGAAAGCCCGGTTCAGGATTTTCGATAACGGCGATTCGTTTGCATAGTTTTGCCCAAACTTCCAGAACGATCCTGACATGCTCCAAAACCCTGTTCTTTAAGCTTTTACTGCCAGCAGCCCTGTATCTTTTCTATAGGCTCTGTCCTGTTCGGCCCCTGATCTTTCCACGCTAATATCCCTTGTTTTTGGCCGTTCGGACTGCTGAAAAAAGCTCCAGATCCCCATAAAACGGTACGTAACACTTAACCGTAGTAAAACCAATGATTTGACCACTAAATCGATGAGCTATGGCCGTCTCAACATAAGAGTTGATGAGTTTCCAGGTTTCCATATAGACGGAATTTTGCATATAATTCCAACCATAACAGGAAAAAAATTTTTAGAGTCGGGTAATGGATAGATTCCAATTACTTCCTTGAACTCAATCACGTGACACGAAATAGGGACCTGGGTTCGAATCGTGAGGGAAGCGTTATTGATGGTGTTCGCTTCAAGAATGGGCTTCAGTCGTTCAGTTCTGAAAGGAAGTTCAGTAGCTTATCCATCAAGGCCACTATACCACGCTGTGCATTGGGGAGAGCATACACCCGGTTTCTTACGTTGTCTACCCCCGAAAGTGTACAAAGTTGGCTCAAAACATGCAAGGTCGGCAGCTGTAAGTAATTGTAGAAACGGCTTTCGTAACTGATCTTGTCAACCGCCAGAGCAAGCAAAACGTCTGGATCCAAGACCTCTGACACAGGGTACTTGCGGCTCAAGAACAATTTCAGCAGAGCATCGGCACTCACAACGTCAAAGCGGGCCATGATACTGGTTCGTAAACAGGGCACGCCATCGGCCCAGTTCCAGGTACGTAGATGGGTCAGTCCCAGAAGCTCCCACTCAAGGCCGCTGTACATCTCTTCACGATGTTCGTGAGCGTTGTAGGTGATCTTGAGGTCCTCGTAAAGGCCCAAGAAAAGGTCATCCAGCCACTTTTCACACAGACGTTTCGTCTTGAACTCGGGCTGGAGCACCGGTGTAAATTCTTCAGAGCGCTCCCGCTCCATAACAAAGATTTCGGAACGGAGCTCCAACAACCTATTCCACCCAATTTCGGACACCATGCTCATAAGAATTTCATATGCGTACGTCAACGAGCTGCTGAGCTGGGAAGCCATCGTGTTTCTTCGCAGTAAGTCTGAATCCTCTAATGATGCCACCTCCTGCGGAGATACAAAGTTTATGAGGTTTTTACTCTGTGGGCCGTAAATTGGTCCCAATGCAGTGCAAGGCCCATTCCAAATCTCACTAATGCAGCCGCGGTTCATTTGGGGCGGCATTACAATCCGCCCATATATCATAGAACTCAAATCGTCATCCTTCACAGTCTTCAAAGTGTTGGAGAGAAAATTGTACTCGCTCGACTGTAGAAACGAACGCGGACCCGCGCCAAGGGGCTTGGAGTAGTAAAACTTGTTTCCAATAAGCCTCTGCCAAAGGGCCTCTTGAGACGGGTCCAAGGATGGCAATATCGGCAAAGCATTAACTGCTAAGAGAGCATTTTCATAGTCCTGTGACAAGACGTAGCATCTTGCCAGTTTGACCCATCCTTCTATGTTATCGGAACAGACCGCGGTAGACCTTTTAGCCAGTGGCAGCGCCAGTTGATAGTCACCCTTGGAGAGAAGGAACTCGATCTGCAAATTGAAAAGGTCAGCGACATAGGTGAGTTGATTTTGTTCCAATTTCGAAGCGTTGGTCGCGAACAATTTCGACATGGAATCCTTTATGGTCTTGACTGCTAGTGCGTCATGGGATTCGCTACTGATCAGTACTGAAATTAGCGCTATCCTGTAACATTGTTCATTGGCAGCATCTGATTCTATTAGTTTCTGTAATGTTTGAATAACCGATCCGTTAAGTTTCCCCGCTATCTGCAGGAATGCCAACAATGACTCGAGCAAGTAATTGTTTTTGTAAGAGGTATAGCTGCGTCGGGCTAAATCGCAACCCAATTCTTGGCCTCGCGGCAAGAATTTACAGAGCAAAGTAACGCATTTTTCAGCATAGAAACCCCCATTTTCCAGCGCTATGGAAAGCTCCACAAGCCCCGGGAGCTTGCGTTCTTGATTGATATTGATTATCACAGCGCGTACAAAACTGCTAACGAATGCCTCTTCCCAAAGTTGAGGTGAGAGCTGGACATTTGAGGAACCCGATTGAGCGTCAATCGCCGCGACTTGAAAATGTGTTGGCGATTCGTACCTAATTCTAATATCGATGTTGCTGAACACATTTGTTGTGCAATAAGTCATAACTCTGTGCCCGTTTTTGGAACTTGAAGCACTAGGAGGTGTTGCCGTCTGCCGTCCATCATTCATTTTCAGGGCATTCAGATACGCGATTGGTGCGGCTTCAGAGGACGTATCGAGCCCCGTCAAGTAGTGGTATTCACCAATTTCCATTTGCCGGAATTTGTCGAGCTTTGTAACGTGTACCATATCTGGAGGCCCAATACCAAGAAGTTTAGGGCCAGTCAAACTTTGCAGCAAGCTGTTTCGCTGTGTGAAACTCTCACCGAACTGACTTTCGAGTATCCGAGGATTTTGATCCATATGACCGGTCAGTTTCTCGACGGATCGAAGGTTTTCGTCCCTGAATAGTGCATCCTTATGGTTTTCATTGTTCAAGGTAGTGGTTGAGCCATGAGTCGCATTCTTCTTTCTCCACGAAAGAATGTTCATTTGAAAAGCCGTGAAATTAACAGTTATGAATGTCAATCAAACGCAATGCAACTGCAATTAGCAGAGACTGGAACTCTACTGAATGTTTATTTCGATAGTTGCTCGTCTTCTCATCGATTTCAAAAGTGTAGCTGTGATCTCCATTTCTCAAATAAGATCGCTTTGCACGCGAAGGTTGAAGATCGCCTGCACAGTTCCGCCATCACCACCAGGTCAAGACTGGTGGCTTTGAGTTAACTACCATCAGTCTCTCAATTACGACCTTCTTGTAGGAGTATTCTTTAGAAGACGGTGGAAGCTCTTCGGTCACATCGATACCAGTAGTTTTCCCTGTTGCACTTACAACAGGGTTCATAGAAGCTGTAGGTTCTTCCGGCACAGACGACAGAACCATGGGAGAGGAGTCTGAAAGCGAGAGCGGTTCTTCCATTGCGTTGTGAAGAATGTTTAGCGGCAGCGTGGTCGAGGGAACTTGCATAAATTCGTCTAATACCATAGTACGAGTGCGACGCACCAGTTCTAAAGGACCCTGTGTTGGGTTTTTGAGCGTTTCAACGATGTTGAAGGCTTGTCCCTTGAGAACAGACCATTGTTTTTTCCACATGCGGTCCTTAAACTCTTGATCACGGCCAAACTGTGCACTTAGTTCCATAAAACATTTCTCCCACCACGTAGTGCTCGTCAAGAGGGGAAGAAAATGCCTTCGCGTGCGCTCTGAAAAGGGTTGCGCCAGTATAGTGACCGGAAGGTATAGCCAGCCGTATGGGAATGATCGCCACTCGTCAGGATGTTTCCAGGGAAATGTCAGTGCATTATCAATTGCAGCCAATTTGACGTCCCACGAACTATCAGGCAATTGCGTAACTTTGATCATCCAATTGTCAAGTCCACGATCGGTGTTTCGCAGAATATAGTCTAGAATAATAAGCTTCTCGATTTCGATCCGGAATGCGGCCAGAGTTTGTCGATTCCAAAAAAATTGGTCTGAAGGTTGGTGCTGAGATCTCTGATCGTCATCTTTGTATACACCGGGGAAAGGGTGCTTATCTAAAAATTCGCCTGCACCCACATAACCTTCCGCAAACCGCTGGAATGATCCAGTTTTATTTTTGACCCGCGGCTGTGTGGAAAACCAAGCGCGTTTCTTGTCGTAGAAGTTTTTAGACATCAACGATACAATTTCGGTATGCGGTACCAACCGGGTGCCTAAAAGCTCATCTAAGACGCTGGCTGCTGCTTCACAAACGTACCCGAGATTTGGAATCAGACAGCTGCGACCGAAAAAGCATGGGAAGAAGGTCCGGTGCGCCCATTTACTCCATTTAGGTGACAACGGGCCGTACGGTTCTTCGTCTTTGGGTTTGAAAACGCCAACAGGGATTGAAGGACTTGCCACCGAATACACGAAGTACGATCCACTAGATCCGGTCTTGATACGTTGCAATTCCAGACCGTGGTATACTATAGCATCAGTGCAGTCTTGCAGTAACAGCTGGAAAGAATCCTTGATTTCGCATCTATCGGGGAGTTCAGGCCATTTTGTATAACCAAAAAGCGGTTCAAAGACAGAGTACTGTATCTCGTAGCGATTTTGATTGGCAGAACCTCCTTCGTTCTCGAGATCGTTACCGTGCCAAACAAAACTTGTCCATCTTTCAACGGTATGTCTTAAAGCGGCTGAATTTTGAGCTGAACTGCTCAGCCTTTCTTCATTTTCGCGGCTTTGAAGCCAGTCATATGTATTGGTGGTTACAGTTTGGTTCGTGTTGGCCAAATGATCGGCCTGCTGAGCCATTCACGCTATTGTTCACGTCTTCTGTTGAACTTCAGTTGCATAAAGGGTTTATAGAATAATGGGTAAGTAAGTAGTGAGAACTGAAAGATTTGAAGAGTTTAAGTGGAAAGCCAGACCGATTGCGAATTGGATGCGGATCACAGGGCTTAAGCGATCGAGCAATGTCGAAAAAACAAACTAGCTAGGGAGTTTTATCGGGTCAGATCCACCGCAATGGTTCTTTTTCTTGATGATTTATATAAGGTACATTCAAGACTGCTGGCGATGAGGTCAATGATGCATGGCTAATCAGAGGTGGAAGGCAGACTCCATGTGGTCAAGATTGAAAATTTCAAGAGAGGGAGCGAGATAGCACTGCCAATGACTATTTTTCGAGCTTTTTTCCCGTGCTTACAGCCTCGATGTTGACCTACATGTGTTCCGCTTTTCGAGGCATCTACAGGGTTTTAATGTATATGGTTACAACATCAAGAAAGGTTTCCCATTCTTTATTTGATAAAGTCGCAAAATGCAATCGATTGCCGCGGGGAGAAAGGCTTTCAAGATGAGCTAAGCTAGGGCTCCTCTCAGTGCGTTGTCTGTTGAAGACGTTGTGGTAACCAATATTTGTCTAAGCTACTAAACCTTGAAATGGGTAATTAAATGTAGACTGAGATTTGACTATTCGTTGATAGTGATGATAGTGATCTTAGATCCTTTGCGTCGCCTTAAACGGTTGTAAGAAACGCTTCGTCGGGTAGGTTAGCGGACGGAGACGCCTTCCGAGCGAAACGAATCACTGATAGCTTTTGAGGGCGGTAGATACTAATTGCACCAGGATTCTCCTGATACGGTCAACATTGCGCACTTTTGACGACACTTTTCCTTTTGGTCATACTTTTTAGTCAACTAAAACGCTTGGATATCAGTTTTTACAGTCGCATTATCATTGCTGCGATGAAACAAGCGAGCTTTGGCTTTTAAGATCTTATGGTGCTGAGTGGCCAACGTGTGTGACTTGCGGAGTATTTTAGATCCAGCGCATAGGGACAATCGGTGCTACTCGCATTTTCAAGCATGAGAGCCGTGAGTAAGGTAGTAGTATATACTATACGCAAGATGCGAGTGTTCCGGCTTGGGTTTCATTCGAGTGCTTCCTTGTAGCTTATCACTATGTCAGAATAGCGACACCACATATGTCATCTTCAACGGTGCCTTCGTACGGCTTCTCTGTCATTATTTACGTACACGTCCGCGGCTAAAGATAATTTAAAGCTATCTACACAGCAAACTGACAAAGTAACAATTGCAAAAGAACCTAGCATACCAAATAGTCAGCGTGAAGTGAAGCTCAAACAGACCAGCGGCGAATGGTGATGTTTTTCTCGTTGCCGCACTATAGATGGAGAAACAAATTACTCAACGCAGGCATTGTGGGAAAGACTACGAGAGCAGGATCTGTCAGCCACAACAACTGGTTGATTCGCGGGGATTTTTGATACCAACTTTAGGTCTTTATCCTCTGAGTTTACAATCTGGATCCTCGTCTTAGTTCGAGAGCATACCGATCTGAACATTGCAACAGTACCGAGAGGTATGATGCGGTGGGCCCCGGATCTTCAAATTTTGGCTTTGTCTTCCAACATAAGCCATTAACAGGTGATACTTGGACCATTTTCTACGGATGGATCAGGAGTGACCGATACAAACCAGCCATCTGGTGATGCACGTTTGGCATCTTTTCATATCATTACTCGCGAAATTGGAACTTTATGGTAAAAGAAGCTTGATAACCACAATGGGATTTCGTATGCGAGGTGCATAGCACAGTCGTTCTACGATTTTTGCCCGTTTTCACTAAACCAACATGGAACGCTGCCGTACAAATTGGTGTGCAGTTTGCCAGTGGAACCGCTTCCAAGGCCAACCCAGAAAAAGCCAGCTCAACTAACGAACTATATTTGTTATACCCAATAGTCACCGTTTAAAGTATGACAGCTTTACTGGACATAGGTCAAAAAAGGCCGCTTAGGTAGTGCTACAACAAGTTCAAGAATAGTCTTGCGAATCATGACACTCAAATGCAGACTGGTTATCAGAGGCTTCTTCAGACAAAGCTGACAAACGCCTATGACGCTGACCAAGTTTCACAAAATACGCTAACGTTTGGTGGCTAATCTTTGTTTGGCGAGTGATGCCTGCGATTCTCGATTCGATTGTTACCTTTTACCACTATTAGACTCAAAAGTCAATAGTGTACTCGCATGCGTACTCGAGTACTCGAATACTTTTTTCTACGAACTTCAAGCCCCGTGACTTTTTTGACCCGCGTTTTTCTACCCACGAGTAGATAGTCACATCAAGGAAGTCATGTGACACTATATTCAAGATCCTGATAGTTCATGTCCTCTCAGAAGCTACCGGTGTTATGACACAACTTCTTCCTGAGCATATATGCGTCGGTTTCCAATCACTGAGCCCAATGTCACTTTCGCTACCAAACTACTCATTCACTTACTCATTCATTCACTCACTCTCCCACTAACTTACTCATCTGTCCTCACTTTTCCTCACCATGTGATATTTCAACTCACTGCCTTAACTTTTCCACTATCGCACCTTATACTGCGTCGGCTCCAAAGACAGCGAGGTTTCTGCGATTCTAGCAAGCAGGTGATAACAGAAACCTACCTGCAAAAGCTCTCCATTTCTCGCTCGAGTGTCGCTCGAGTTTTTGATTTTTCCAAGCTACAGAAACCGAAACTTTACAGTGTTGATTGCCCGGCGACAACGACTCACACTCATCGCCAGCGTCGTAAAACTTTTCTGGTGGTGCTAAGTTGATTGTGTGTTTCCTGTGATTTGTCAGTAAAGTAAACTGCGAAGTCAGTGGGTAAGAATCTCGAAGGAGCACCGAGAAGCGGGACCGGAAGACTATAAAAACAGTCAAAGATTCTAGGGCTTTGATTCTTTGCGACACCCAATAACTCTGCAATGGGCTTGCTTTCGTTAGGTACGCCATTACAATGGTATGAATCTCGCCAGCACAACGAACATGTCAGACAAAACGGCATACAGCAATTGCTGTACATATTCCGTGCTGCCAATGCTAGAAAGGATGACCCGTTGTTGTGGGGCGATGAAATCGAGTATATGACATGCAAAATCAACGACGAACAAAAAGTAGCATTGTTGGCAATCGATGACGACGCGGTATTGTCGGAACTGAACATTGAAGACAAAGGACTATGCGATGCCCAAAATGTGTCTTTTCACCCGGAATACGGCCGCTTCATGATTGAAGCTACACCTGCTCGTCCATTTGCCGGTTTTGCCCTGCAATACGTGGAAGAAAACATGGCTCGCAGAAGAGAAGTGGCAGAACAAAAACTGCACTCAAGAGGCGCACAACTGCTGTCATTGGCGGTTTTCCCTCGAATGGGGTGTCCGGACTTCACAGACATCAGCCAGGTTTGGAGCAGCCGCAACTCTGCGTCCAGATCGCTGTATTTGCCCGACCAGGTGATCAACCGGCATGCTCGGTTCCCTACTTTGACGGCAAACATTCGTACTAGACGTGGCGAAAAAGTGTGCATGAATGTGCCAATGTTCCAGGACGAAAATACGCCCAAAGTCGACGACACGGTCTACCAGCGTGACTGGTTCACGCCCGAAGACCTGGAGGGCCCATTGGCTTCCAAGCCTGGATTCATCTACATGGACTCAATGGGGTTCGGAATGGGCTGTAGTTGCTTGCAATTAACTTTCCAAGCTCCTACCATCGACAAAGCTAGATACCTGTACGATGCGCTCGTGAATTTCGCACCAATACTTTTGGCCGCCACAGCGGCCTCTCCGGCTTTCAAAGGTTGGTTAGCGGACCAGGACGTGCGGTGGAACGTCATTTCAGGCGCTGTTGATGACCGCACGCCATACGAGCGCAGTGTGGCACCGCTATTGCCCGAATACAACAACGAGCACGGTAATTCCACGAAACCAGGACCTCAGAGGATCCCCAAATCAAGATACAGCGCTGTTGATTTGTATCTGGGGGGCAATGCTTTCTTCGATCGCAAGTTCAACGACACAGACGTCCCTCTCAACGAATCTGTTTTGCAGGAACTGCAAACTAATGCACTTTTCCCCATGGACTACGACCTGGCCCGTCATTTTTCACATCTTTTCATCAGAGACCCGCTAGTGGTTTTCCAGGAACGCATAAACCAGGACAATCAACACTTCACGGACCATTTTGAAAACATTCAAAGCACCAATTGGCAAACGCTTCGTTTCAAGCCTCCTACTCAGGCCGCGACTCCGGAAAACAAGGAAGCACCAGGATGGCGCGTGGAGTTCAGACCCATGGAAATTCACATTACCGATTTCGAGAACGCGGCCTACTCTAACTTCCTTTTCCTAATCGTCGAGTGTCTCCTAAAGTTCAGTAACGAAATCAATTGCTACGTGCCCATGTCTCAGACATGGCAGAATATGGAGCTGGCTCATCACCGCGACGCCGTTCTGCATGAACGCTTCTACTGGAAATCAAGTTTCACCGCAGAGGGCACTGAACAATACACATGCGCCCAAATCTTCAGCGACCCGGCTTTTGGGATTTTCCCACAATTTATAGATCGCATTCTCAAGCACAAGATGTGGGTCGCTTCCTCCTGGACTGAACTGAAGTCCTCGTCTGATCCTGCCCAGGTGAGATTGTTTTACTATCTGAAATTGGTTTTTGATAGAGCCACGGGTGCTTTGCCCACAACCGCCAATTTCTTACGTGAATACATCACCACACACCCGAGCTACAAGAAAGACTCTAGGCTTACAGCTGAACTAAACTACCATTTACTGAAGATGGTGTCCAGAATCACGCACTTGGATGATTCCCAAGACGACGTGTCCAAGATTTTCGGGCCAGAAATCGCAAACTTTTTGTTAAGACATAGAATGTAAAGTAACCCAATAGATTTGGATTCACTTCTGGATTGAGCAGCTGGTAAACAGTCCGTTGCTCGTACATTTACTGTCTGAACAAAAACATCCTTTCAATGGAGCTTTATCCAAAAAAGTGCAAAAAATAAAGTCTTCCCCGCCAGGACTCGAACCTGGAATCTCCTGGTTTCAGAAGTGGATACAATCGTAGCCAGACGCCGTGACCATTGGGCCACGAGGAATAAGACTTGTTGAAGATGTGAAGAAAAGCAGACACTATATTCTTTGGTATTTGGCCAATGACACATGACAGATGACAGGACGAACAAGCCAGGTCACCCACGATCAGATTCAGCGATGAGCTACGTGTGATAGATGGAGCATCAATGACTCTTTTCTTATATTTACAAGATTTCTATGATGGCCACACATGACGACCGGTTTGTATATTTGGGAATGACCCCGTCAATATTCCTCCAGAATGCTAGACAGCCTGTCACTGGTCACTTTTTCCATCCCATGGTAAGACATATGGTAGGTTCCTCTACCCTGTGTCAAGCTCCGGAGCTTGCTCATGTAAGACACCATTTCTTTTAGAGGCACCAAGCCTTTGATAACCTTGTTGACGGTTGCACCAGTTGAAATGTTAGCTTGTCGAAGCGTACTGTCCATTGGCAGATATTGGGCCTCAGCAATCTTTTGAAAGGCAATATCGGCGTCTTCGCCACTGTCTAGGGTGTGTTCATCGTCGATCGATAATATGTTGGCTTTTCGAGCACCCGTCAAATCTTGCAAAACATTTCCTATATCTTCCTGCTTGACACTGACACTTACGTTCATGATCGGCTCCAAAACCGCGAACGCAGCATCGGTCATTTCTGCAAGAGCATCGGAACTTAATGATCGCGACAACGTCAGAACCTGTGCTACAGACGTTGCATCTGCTGGAATATCCCAATCACCCTTTACTCTTACGACGCACGAGTGCAGGGGAAAGTGGCCGATTCTGCCGCTTTTCTGAAGAGCAACAATGCTGCTGGACATTACAGCATTCACGAACTGTTCATATGATATTTGCAAAGGCCAATTGCGAGACGTGTAAACCGGCGATTTCTCCACCACCAGATAATTGTTGTCTGTGGAAAGATAGTGCCAGTCCTCACCAGAAGTCCTTTTGGCCTCGGCGTCTGCTAAGGGCTCTACAGCAATTGACAGGCGATAACCTGTCTCCGTTTCTACTTCCTTCAGCATGGTACCAGAGATCAAAGTCTCTTTGAAAGACACCATAACTTTCCCGACCTCGACGTCGGCATTGAGTTCATTCAACAGCCTATCTTTAGCTATTTCAAGATGCAGTTGTCCCATACCACTCAACAGCGTTTGCCCCGTCTCTTCATCAACACGCACATGCAGACTTGGGTCTTCCCTGATGAGGGCGGCGATGGAGTCCTCCATGACCTTTTTGTTACCCAGGGTCCGTGGCTCAATTGCAGCACTAAAGACCGGAGGAGGGCTATCGATTGGGTTGATCCTGAGGCCAAGCTCCTTGACTTTGTCCAATGAGCGAAGTCCATCTTTCTTCATATTGTGAGCGATTATGGTGTCGCCCGTTCTGACATTTTCTGAAACTGTTGATCCTGTGAGAACTCCGATTTCTCCACATCTAAGCTGCTTGACCTCTTCCGCTACGTTAGCGTGCATTACAACCAGTTTACCAATTTTAAACTTTGCACCTGTAGTAGAATTGTAAACGGAGAATCCGCTATTTAAGCATCCAGAGTAAACTCTAACGTAGACCATTATTCCTCTGATGGGATCTGTAATCACTTTAAAAGCCTGTGCGACGCATAGACTCTTGTTCTTGTTTATGATAGCACCCTCTTTTGGACTCACTGTAATTGACACATCATTGTTGAACTCTGGGCGTTTGGCTTCCAGTGGTGACGGAAGGTAGTTCACGACCGCATCAAGCAAGGGCTGAACACCTATATTTCGGAACGACGCACCAGCTAGCACAGGAGTGCCATGCCCACTCAGCACGCACTTTCGGATTGAGCGGTTGATTACATCGGATGGAATTTTCAAGTAGTCCCCGTCCGCTTGATCGAGAAAATATTCCACGAGCTGTTCATCAAATTCCGAAAGCGTTTCCACTAGCGATTCCCTAAGCTTTGAAAGCTCCTCAAAGTGTTCTGAATCTTCGAGTATTTCATTTATAGACACTTTTTCGGGGTCTTTGGTGTCCCAAATCAGGGCCTTCTGGTTTACCACATCGACGACGCCTCGAAAGGCAAGTTCTCCAGTTTCTGCATCGCTTGTGAAAACCGGTGTGTTGACTAAAAACGTTCTGGTCTTGAGCTTGGCCGTTAACTCTTTCACCGTTCGACTGAAGCCAGCTCCAGGACGATCCATCTTGTTGATAAAGCAGATCTTGGGTATTCCCTTGGCCTGTTTCCATACTTTCTCCGTTTGCGCTTCTACGCCTGCTACAGCGTCCAGGATTGTCACGCACCCATCGAGAACTTTCAAAGCACGAATCACTTCGAAAGTGAAGTCTGCGTGGCCAGGCGTGTCTATCAAGTTGATTTTATACTTGTTCTGCCAGTTGAAAGAGATGGCAGCACTTTGGATTGTGATGCCTCGCGAACGCTCCTGGGGCAAGAAATCGGTGATGGTATCACCTTCGTCCACATTTCCCATTCGTTTCGTCTTTCCACTGACAAAAAGCATCCGCTCAGTCGTCGTGGTCTTCCCGGCATCAATGTGAGCTATTATACCAATGTTTCTCAACATTGAGATATCGTATTTGGATGAAAAAAAGCGCGTTCCAAAGCCCAAAAGCGGCTTTCGCAGTCGAAGCATAGTTGATGGGGTTTAACGCTTGGGAATGATGCTTTTCTGTCTTTGAAACTTTTTGAATTGAGCTCATCGCTTGGTATAAGTGAATTAATTGAAAAATCATCAAGAATAACGCTATGAGATCAAAAGTTCCAAGAAACTAAACTGTTGGTAACGGACCCTCCAAGAGCCCTGAGACCATCGAATAACATTGCAATAGCCTCCTCAAACAGAATGAGTCAAGAATTTGACATCACTCAGGCTTACCTGAACTTTTTAGATCAGGACAGCGAGATGACAATGCCTATCGCTGCCATTGAATCATTGGTAACAATGCTGCGAGTAAAACAACCAGAAACTTCTGCTGAGATGATTAACACGATTAAAAGCGCTACCGAAACTTTGACAACGTCGATCCCCAATTCTATGTCTTTGAGAGCCGGTTGTGATATATTCACACGATTTGTATTCAGAAATACGCACCTTTATGGTGAATGGGAAAGCTGCAAAAAACACTTGATAGAAAACGGAGAGCTTTTTGTTTCGAGGGCCAAGCGTTCCAGAGATAGCATTGCGCAGGTCGGGCTAGATTTCATCTCAGACGACGATATTATTTTGGTTCATGGGTTTTCAAGAGCTGTCTACTCGATGCTGAGCCATGCAGCAGACAAGTTCGTGAGATTCCGCTGTGTGGTAACAGAGTCAAGACCCACGCAGCAGGGCGCTCAACTGTATAAGCATCTGCAAGAAAAGGGCATTCCTGCGAAAATTATCGTCGACAGTGCAGTGGGAAGCATTATACACAAGGTTGACAAGGTGCTGGTGGGAGCAGAGGGTGTAGCCGAGTCTGGTGGTGTTATCAACCTCGTGGGCACCTATTCCATTGGTGTTTTGGCCAAGAACGCCAACAAGCCATTGTACGTGGTCACCGAGTCACACAAGTTCGTAAGAATGTTCCCGCTCTCGCCAGACGATCTTCCTGCCACCGCAGGACCTTTGGACTTCTCTCGGGACGAAGACGTCGAGCAGTCCATGGCCGAACCGGGGATCGATTACACATCGCACGAGTACATCACCGCACTGATAACAGACCTTGGAGTTCTCACCCCAAGTGCCGTCTCGGAGGAACTGATCAAAATGTGGTACGACTGAATCGTTGGTGTTACACTACACAAACCAACCCAAATATTACATTACTTTCCATGTTTCTTTCGAATATCCCCAAATCTTTTGTTTCTTTACATAGCCTTTGATAAATAATCGTCACTGCTACCGATCGGCTGCAGAGGCACCCGGGCCTCCTCGGACACAACGCTCTGCTGGAATTGTGGGAAAGTGCCCTCGATCCATTCCAGTGTTTCTGGCGTTTCCTCATCGGCCACCTTGTGTGCCAGCAACGCTCCACCCAGACGCGGCTGGTTGGCTTCGCTGCTGCTCTTGACAGACATCGTCACCATCTGAGCCTTTTTCGCCTGTCCATTAGCCGGCTGCTGTGCTGTGTTGAGATCGTCATCGTCTCTTTTAGCTCGCGCAGCTGCTGAATCGATGTGTTTGAAAAACGGTCTGACCTGCGCTATGGCCTCCACAGGAGCCAAATAAAGCTCTTTTTCCACCATCATCCCCACGTATTGTCCTTCATTCTTCACACTGACACCTTTCAAAGTTTGGTGTGCTACGGAGTCCCATCCGTCTTCTGCCCTGTTACTATCGTAAAAAACCTCGGTGTTGACCGGTACGTCTAGCTCCCAAACCGCAGATTTCGCCTTGTATCTTACCTGGCTAACTGGCGGATGCAGAACGGCATCCTGGGCCGTTTTTCGAGGTTTGTTGAGATATTGTAAGATGTGCAATGGGAATGGCCCGTTGGTTACATTGATCGGTATCTCACTCACTACTGGGTCGGTTTCGCCACCGTTTTCGCCCGTTTCACTTGTCATTACCACATCCTCGTCATCCTCAGTCACAAACAGCTGGCTTTCGGACCTTTCAGGCGTTGTAGACATTGTTTTATGTCGTTTTCTGATCTGGTCTTTACTATGGGCATCGAGAGCTCATCGATATTTTTCACTTTAAGCTTAGAATCTGAAAAAATTTCAGTAAGGTTCAAGCTCATCGCCTAGCTCATCGCGACCAAAAGCAGTTGAAAATCATAGTAAAAGTCCATTTTCAATCAGTTTAAAATGGCTGACGATGATGGAATGATGCTTTTGAACCTGGACACCGCTTCCAGCGGCGATTTTGGCCCACAAACAACCAAGATAAATGGTGGAAAGTGGAAAGATCGCAGACGTGCCAGGCATCAGCAGAAAGCGGCAAGCCGTAGGGACAATGGCGCCGAAACACAGGATCAGCTGCCTCAGAAGCGTTCTCGGGCCTCAGACTCCAAAAACCCGGTGAAAAAAGTAGCCAAAACTGCGGCGAAAGGTGCGAAAAGTAACACTAAAAACAATGGCATCAGCAGTGATCAATATGTCTCGTCACTGTTCACTTCCAACAGAGACATGGTCACTTCCACAAACAGCAATGCCCACGATGAGAGCTCGAAAGTTGACCCCTCGAACGCACCTCTTCTACAGGACTCGTTCGAAGCACTTGGAGTGGCAGCTCCCTTGTTGCAACTTCTGAACGAAAAAATGCGCATCACCAAACCTACCAGAGTCCAGAAATTGAGTATCCCCACCCTTCTGGAGGCCCAAAACGATGTCTTCGTTCATGCCCAGACCGGGTCCGGTAAAACTTTGGCGTTTCTCTTGCCGATTTTGACTCGAATCTTGGCAATGAAGGAGCGTGTGGACCGACAATCGGGCTGTTTTGCGATGGTTATCACGCCTACCCGTGAACTGGCCTCTCAAATCTATTCTGTGATGCTGACACTGACTCAATGCTGTCATTACATTGTTCCTTGTCTGCTGATCGGTGGAGAGCGTAAGAAGTCCGAGAAAGCGAGACTTCGCAAAGGTTGCAACTTCATCATCGGTACACCTGGGCGTATTCTGGATCACATCGAAAACACACAAGTCATCAAAGAGCAGCTGGCTTCGACAATGAGATATCTGGTCCTAGATGAAGGTGACAAGCTCATGGAACTGGGATTTGAGGAAACCATCACTAAAATCATCAGCTTTCTTCACGAGGTTCCTCTGGACAACGCAAAATTCCCACAGCTTCCTCCACGTATCACCCATACGCTGTGCAGTGCAACCCTCAAAGGTGGTGTCACCAAACTCGGAAATGTGACGCTGAAAAATTATAAGATGATCAGTAGTGGTCGAAAAGAACAAGAAGTTAGCACCGTTCCCGACCAGCTGCTGCAAAGTATCATTGTTGTTCCTCCCAAGCTGCGATTGGTGACATTGGCAGCACAACTCAGCAACATTACCGCAGATCACCTTGCTGCTGAACCCAAGGAAACCACCCGGACAATTGTGTTCTTGTCATGTTCCGATAGCGTCGAGTTTCATTACGACGCTTTTTCTTACGATAATGGTAGAAGTCGTTCTTTGGTCGGTGACTCTGCTAGAGCGCTTTCTGGAAATTCCACAACTTTGCCCTGTCTGTCGCAAATTACAGCCCCATCCGTGGTATGCTACAAACTTCATGGTTCTTTATCGCAACAAACCCGTACTGCGACTTTGCAAAGCTTCTCTAGCGATACTGACGCTACCCGTGGGAAACATCTGATAATGTTCTGCACCGATGTTGCCAGTAGAGGTCTGGATCTGCCGCGTGTCAGTTCTGTACTGGAATTAGACCCTCCGTTTGCTGTTGAGGATCATTTGCATCGTATCGGTCGTACTGCTCGTGCTGGTGTTAGTGGGAAATCCCTGTTGTTTTTACTACCGGGTGAAGAAGAAGGTTATATGGACTACATCAAGCCTTACCATCCCAAAGGCTGGAAACTGTTGAAGTTCGACCAGGACATTCTGAAACCTGCTTTCACAGAATCTAACGTTTTGAGAAGCGACAGGAAGTCCGAGAAGGACGTTTCCACCGAGTGGGATAATAATGCAACCACCTGGCATCTCAACATTGAAAGAAGAGTTCTTGGAGACCCAACGTTCAAAGAGAGCGCAGTGAAAGGCTTCATGAGTCACGTAAGGGCATACGCAACCCATTTATCGCAAGAGAAGAAGTTCTTTAATGTTAAATGCTTGCATTTGGGTCACTTGGCCAAAAGTTTTGCATTGAGAGAAAGACCAAAAGCTATGGGAGCAGCAGGTCCTCATAATAAGAACGGAGAAGCTTCAACGAAGAAGCCTAAAGAGGACACAAGAACGAAGATGCTCCGCTTGGCGGACATAGCTATGCGTCAAAGCCAGAGGGAATTCAATTACTGAAGCTTAGAAGATTTAGTATGTGTACATTATTTTTACTTAAACTACCAACGCCCGTAGGTTGGGTGTGAAGGAGCAGGTATGAGAGCTCAAGAATGAGGCTGGTGATTGTCTAATTAAAGCCTTGGTGGAGGCAGCTTTTCAAGTACTTTGCGCTCCTCTGTCACTTTCCAATGGGGTTATCATGTTGATATGTTTAAATGTTCAACTTGCCGACTAAAACATAAAATAGTGTGTCCTCGACTGGTACTCGGCTCCGGGCGTGGACAGCGCGTCAAAAGAGTTTTGTTTCAAACCTAAATGCAACTACCGATGGTCCTCTATATATGCTAGTTCATTAAATAATGCCTTATAGTACTGCCAAGATATTTTGCTCGAGCGAATTTTCATCATTTTGACTTACTTGTACCCGTTGGATCCGATTCTGCCCTTGCTCATTCTCATTAGATGACAGTGCGTCCGTTTCTACTCCCAATTGACTTGACTGCTGATCGCCAGTATATACTGGTTTTTTGAACTGTTTCCGATCCTTTACTGGGTCCCAAATATTGGATGACAGCTTTTGTTCTCTTTCCTTCGAGCTTTGAGCCAGCGAGCCTTTCAAGTTTGCTATATCGTCCAGATCTTTCAGATCCTCTTCATCGCTTATATCATCTCTGTTTTCTTCATCAGTGGCATGCGCTGTTCTGTGAGGTCTAGAAGCTTCTGTCATCGTTACTTTGCCATCTTTGCCTATAACTAAGTCCATCACAACCTTGTCCCTTTTACCTCTCCGCTCCTGTTCCAGCTTTTCCCACCTTCTAATATTCCTTTGCTGTTTTTTGAGCATAAGTGCACGGTCCTGGGCATTGCCCCATATATTCGAGTCGTTGCTCATGCTGAAATCGCTGGCATTATCGATGATCTTTGTCCGTTGATCAGACGTGTCTTGGAAGTGTAAGAGCTTCTCAAGACGATCCTGTGCATTCCTCAATTCTGGGTCCTCATTTTCGTGATCGGCTGCTTCTTTATTGGCTGCCGCCGAACTTTGTTCCAAGCCTTCCATGACTTCTTTGCGTTTTGCCTCACGTTCTTTTTCGCGCTCGATCTTTTGAAATAGTCGGTCTTGCTCTGAAAACAGGTTCGTACCGGCCCCTGAAGCAATCTTGTATGCCTTGGACTTTTTAGGTCTTTCCTGCACCGCGGGCACATTTGTGGTCGCGAGTTCGAGCTTTTCCTGGTTGAGCACGTCTATAATCTTAGATGTCTCTTCCACAGTCATCAACTCAGTACCACAATAAGTGCAGTTATTTCGATGAAGGCCCTCTAAAACGCATATGATCTTCCCGCAAGAAAGGCAATTGGGAGCAACTTCAAATAAAGGATGTCTCGTTCCTCGACAATTGCAAACGTATTTGGCAGGGTCTGTGTCTGGGGATTCTAGTTCCAGAACCTTGAGCACATCGTCGATTTCCTGAAGATTTTGCAATTTTCTAGTTCTTCCATTTACTTTGGGCTTTTTTTCCTGAACTTGAGTTTTCGATGAACTCTGTTTAGCCTTGAGATCAACTGAGCTGGAGGTTTTCGCCTTGCTTTCCTTTGCAGTCATTGCAGGTTTGCTAGTCAATTTTATAGGCTCTAAAGTGTCTTGTCTAGCAGATGGAATGGTGTTTTTAAGCTCATTTTGAGCAGAACGACCAGCAGAATTCACTGGAGGTTCTTTCAAACCCAATTTCTCGTTGAATTGCAGAACAAAATTGAGTGAAATATCTTCTGAACCCAGAATTTCCATCAGTTTTTCGGCAATCTTGTCGGGTTCGTTAGGCTGCGATTCTAGGACTTGTTCGCACAATTGGCGAGCGCTTTCTTCATCCAAAGGAATGATATGAGGAATCTGCTTAATTCCAAACTCTATAGCTTGTGCTCGGCCCATATTTAGAGTTCTTTTGAGGTTTTTTTCTTGAAGTTGTACAACTTGAAGAATAGTGTAGTCAAGTTGACAATTTGAATATAATAATATATATATATATATAAATGGTAAATTAGCTAGCTCATCGCATCTTCAGAAATCAAGAACTTTGAGTATAAAAACCATAGGATTCCCTCGAATGGAGGCTACAGGCTAAGTCTTGAGAGCTGTCTACAATCGATTAAGGCTCACTGGAAAAAAACCTCATCTTTTTAGCTTTTATGGAAGAGGAATTGACCAGAAAAGAACTGCTGGAAAAGCTGGAAAAGTTGAATCATGAAATCAACGAATACTTCGATTTGGACCTTGAAAGAGCCAAGAAAAGATTCAGATTGGTACGCTATGGAACCAAACTAGCTGTGGTAGATAAAATAGCGGAAAAAACCGCGGCAATCGACAACTGGAGACTCAATCTCAGGACGAACTTTGGAATTGCAGAATCTCGGTTTCGGAAAATTTGGGAAGCATTACAGAACAACATGGAGCTGGATTTATGCGCTGTGAAGGATTCGCTCGGTAACATGCGGATCTTTCAAGTACAAAAGTTGGGTGCCACTGTGGAAAACGTCAGCTTGTCATGTAATGAAATCAAGGCCATAGACGAAAATTTCGAGGAGTTCAAATCTACACTGCAAGCGCTGAATGTTTCAGAACAGTCTTACCGAGACTACTTGCACTGGCTGCGGGTACTTTGCGGTGGGTGGTCCGATGTCTATGAACAACTGCCGAAAATAGTATGGAATCATAATAAATACCAATGGGTTGGGAACACGTATCGGGTGAGTGTGGCCCCACGCAACATGAATTCTTATGCAGCCTACTGCAAGTTTTTCGCCAGACTTGGCGTGTGTACGAACTCCAATTGCAGGTTCGCACACGACCCACGTACGGTCTCCATTTGTAGGGATTTTTTCACAACGGGCCATTGCAAATACGGCGACAATTGCCGGTTGACGCACCCGCCAGGAAACGAATACGTGCTTCCAGATTGTCCCAAACATGCTGTTGGCGAATGTGAATTTGAAGTTGGAGCCGAGCAGGAATTCAAGATCCAGAAGTCGACAGAACCGAGAAAGCACTGCCAATACGTCCACACAAAGACCCGCGATTCCCGGTATCCGATCTGCCGACAATTTGCACACATCGGCTACTGCTACCGGGGTCTGTCGTGTCTATTTCCACACCTTATGAAGTGTCCAGACGCTCACTACACACAACGATGTTTCCTGATGCATTGCAAATACCCGCATTCTGAGAATGAAAATCCCCCACGGGACCCCGTTTGTTTGAGTCTCGCCGAAATACCAATTGAAAAGTACCTACTGCCACCGCTGCGCAAAAAGGATTCTCGCACTACTTCAATCACCGCTCCCTCGTGGTACGGACTTCGACCATCCCAGGCCACCACCAGCGTCAGCGTTGGTGCCGAAAGAAATGATTTTTCTGGAGACCCATCGCACTTACAATTAACTCTCGGAAGTTCCGAAGACGATGAAGTTGAACAAGATGAATCCAGCTCCTCTCCCGACACATCAGAAACGTCTCAATATTCTAGCGATGACGGCGATGACATGAATGCGGATTTTATCAAATTGTGAAGTCAAATGATCGATTTTTTGGAATCTGAAAACACCATTAAAACCGCATTAACTTTAAGAGTACGTTGCATTTCAAAACTACCAGAAAAACCCTCTCCTTTATCCCCCTCACGATCATTATTCTCGCTGTCGTCGTTGGCCTACTCTCTATAGCATTACTTTCTCACTATATACTTATCTGTCATAGTAATCTCTAAGGCCCTAGCCCAACTTACCCGTCAACACAAGCCAGGGTAACAGTTACCCGGCCACTCAATTTTGAAAAAAAAAGACTATAAAAGGAGAAAGAATCTGAAACTTTCCCTTCTCTCATTCATACTCGCTTTCTTCTTTTTAAAGAAACCAATCATCAGTAGTGGTTAATACTATCTCAAGATAATATTAATTACCAAAATTTTATAGGAACCGATGTTTCGATGATCTGTGTATTTCAAAATGGAGTTTGTGGCTTGTTGTGGGGAGTCTGGCAGACCATTCGTGGTTTTCTGGGCCTTCTGCTGCAGGTTTGGGGCTCTGTTGAAGTTGATACTGGTACGGGATCCATCGATTCAAGTCATCAACCCATAGCTGAATGAGTTTTGACCGCCCCCAAACAGGGCGGCCACAAAACGCATTTCGTTTCCGGTTTCTTAGATTAAACCCACTGCTATGAGGAGGTGCGTGCAATTTTTTGTTGTACGTAAGAGCATGTCTTCCAGAGGAGTGTGTAATGCGCTCTGAGAGTTTGGAATTGTCCGTTGTGCCCTTCTTCATGCCAGAACATTGTAGAGAAAATCTTCCATGTGAGGACTTGTCGTAGTATTATAGCTTGTGGATAACACCTGGGGTGTTTGCTTGCAAGCTTCCAGTAGTCACATTGAGTGTGTCACCCATAAGTGTGTCGCCCAACGTTGTAGTTCAAGTGAGGCTCAACTTATCAAAAGTGTTGGTGATACGTCTTCATTCTATGTACACGGTTATGTTATGCTGTAAATCGGTGTCTATGTGTGTGGTAGCAGTGAATCCCTGTTGTTTGATCTCCTACCGATCTTTAAACACCTGTCTCTCATCTTTTCATTGTTGTTTCGGCATCGTCGTTGACGTTCGGCTCAGGCTGTCGTTCTCCTTCAGCCTTTTCTCGTTCTGCTATCTCGTACTTCAGTCTCTCCGCAGCCCTGTATATCTTGCTTTGCAGATAGAAACTACCGCCTTTTTCCTTGTCGTTGACATCAAACAGATACTTGAATCTTTCTTCGATCTTTTGCGGATTGGTCCGGTCCGCTTCTTCCTCGATATTCAAGATCTTGCAACTTTCGTCCAGCGTAATGCCTCCGTATTCGGCCTTGGCTGCTCCTGCTCTTGCTGCACTTGCTCCAGGCTTACTGGCTTGAACAGCAGCTTGCTTGTAAGCTTCCGAGAAAGCTCTTCCAAACACTTGGGCACCCGTGAAAATAACCTGGAACAAAGCCCTGTGAGCCATAGCGTATTGAGTAGTTCGGAATTCGAATGCAGTCCGCTTCTGAGGTGACTTTAACCACTGATGAAGTTGTTCAAGTTCGATGAGCTAGCATGTATACTTGATATCATCTTGCTCAAATTTTAAAATTGATTACATTTTCAACAAAGTACTCATGAGTACTTTATAAAATGACTTAAGTTCTATATGGATACGCTCAAGAGCGGATGCTTCAAATGTCAACTAGATGTTCAGGCCAGCCAGCGATTCCTGTCCTGGCTAAAAATCTGATACCGCACTTCCCGGCTATACAGGCTTCATCTTCTTCTTGTAGTCGGCAAAACTCAGCTTCTTTTTCAATGTGTTGTGTATTTCTGTAGAACCAGAACCAGAACCAGAACCAGAAGTGATGGCAGCAGGAGCCGTCACACCCCCCACGAGAGACGAAGAGGCCAGATCATACGTGCTGGCAATTGGCGGAACGGTGGGGGACTTTTCGGACGCATTCGAAAGTGTTGACGAAGCCAAGGGAATCTGTAATTCGATCGGCAGAGGTAGTGCTCCTAGGTCTGTTATGTGCGATTCGTCATATTGCAAAGGTTTCGTTGTGGTAGCGACTTTGTCAGTCCCGTAGTTTTCTGTTTTCTTCTGGTAAGCGTCTGTAGCGGGCCCGGGCCGCGAAACGGTAAAATGTCTGTCAACGAGGAAAAATTTGTATGGTTTAGGATGAGATACAATGGGCGACTGAGAAACATCATCTTCATGACCACCACCCAAGTGTGGCCGCTGGTCCTTCGAGTACTTTATCCTGGCCGCATGGAAATCCACAAGCATCTCATTTGCGCGCTCTGCGCTGATCATGGCTTCGTGCGTTAATCTCGATAATATAGAAGTCTGAGGCTTCTTGCCTGCTTTCGCTTGAGCGTTTTGTAAAATTTCTCCCAACTTATATCTGGAATTTGTCTTGGACTTAGCAGACTTGACCAGCGACTGGCTGTACCTCTTGACCTTCAGTAGAAAGCAGTCTCTATTGTTCTTGCCACAACCGCAGTCCGTGGTCCCCAGTATCGTGTCAATAGAATGCACCAATGTGAACTTGTTCTGCTCGTCCAGCGAATCAACATTTTTATTGGTGCCCTTGATGAGATGCCAAATAGGGTGTCGCAAATCCCACTGCCATCCGATATGCAATTCTTCTCCACTCGCTAGGTCTCTCAGCGCACGCAACACAAATCTGACATCTGGCTTATCAGATTTCATTCGAATGGATACCAGCTCCACATTCGGCTGACAGCTTCTCCGCAAAAATCTTGTGAAATTACCGGAGAGCCTCGAATCGATACAAACAGGCCAGTTGGGGTGCATGAAAACCCTCGGTTTGGTCGTTCCATATATCCTGTAATCATTTCTCGGATCTTTGTAATAGTGCGAACTGAAGTCAACGTCTCCCAGCACCTCCTCGATAAACGTTCCAGATGGGCATTCTCGAGAAAGGTAAACTCCCAGTTTCGGAAGGCCCGAAAAATTGCGTGCATTTTCCTCATATGGTCTCACCTCCAATGGTAAAGCTTTAAAAGTAGACTGATTGTAAGGTAGGACCCAATCATCGTTACTGTGAGTATCCAAAAACTTCTTGACGTAAGCATCCTTATATTGACTGGAGGAAAGAGGAGCGTAAACAAGCGAGAAATGTTCTGCTGCAGTCAGCAACTTTTCTATGGGTTTCGATTCAGAGACCGTTGAAAGTTCGCCTTCGTTGACGCCTGTTGCGGTTACATTGGCCGACTGCGCCGTGCTGTTTGAACTCGAAGCTTTGGCATTCTGATCATCTTCCTGATTGCTCTTTTGCCTCCGCTTTTTATTCTTAGGACCCAGTCTTTCCTGTTGCTTCCTCTTGGCCCTCTTAGCATCAACTTTCCGTGGATGACAAGTGCTGCACAGATGATCGTCTGGAGCTGTTTCAATGTCGCGGATTCCGTAGCAAATGGCATGCTGCCATCGGTTACAATGATCGCATTGAATAGTGAATCCATCGTCGTCGTCGAAGCCACATATGCATGTAATGACGCCCGCATCAGGGTCAACGATATAACTCGCGGGTACCGGCCAGTCGGATGAGCTCTTACGCTTGCTGGAGGATTTTCTCCCTGGATGTTCTTCGATCTCTTGATTATCTTGATCCTGTTTTTTCAGCGGGAGCGGCACTGTGGCAGCAGCTGCCAAAGCAGCAGCTGCGACCATTCCTTTGCTAGAAGCGGAACGAGAGGAGGCCGGACTTGATGTCATCTCAGACTTTTCGGCCGCTAGTGAAGTCATGCCCCTGGGCGAGGGTAGTTGCGAATCTATTCCATGGTTCCTGACCGGTGATCGAGGTTCTGAGCCGTTCGGCAGTAAGTCTGGTTTTGATGCCAACGATGTGCGATCAGCTCCTCTGGCGAGACCGAGCTCCCCAGCACGAGAATCTTCACGTCCTCGAGAAAGGGTCAGGAGCGCCGATGCATCGTCGTAGAGCGTGGATGGATCCTGGCTCAAAATGTTGTTCTTCGAATTTTCGGTCATGAGCGAATTTTTGACACCTTTCCACTCCGGGCTTATCGGACAACAGGTGAGGAATTAGGTTCCCAAATCCAAGTTTAAGACACTCTATGGCTGTCGACCCGACCTTATGCTTTTATAGGCTGAGATGCAGATGTGCAAATCCCAAAATGTAATTGGAGTCCCCAAGACTTGATAGCACACAGGTTTAAACGACGTCTATATCGATTCCCAAAAGTCCCCTTTAGCTTGCACCCACTCCTTGTCAGATACGGAGCCTATGCGCTTCTTACACTTAAACGAGACGGTTTATGTCCCTCAAGCGTTCGATAATGTTTCAATAGCGTAAAATGGTCCAAATTCAGCCCAAAAAGCGTCGTTGGAGTCACCGGAAAAAACGTCGAAACAGAAGTGTTGGTTTCAGCGGTGAATGTTATTTCTTGAAGTACTTTGGCTTCAGAAATGGCTTCTTTGAGGTGAAGTTTTACTCTATGATGTTCTCGACATGGATGCTTACCTGGTCCGGATTCGTTTATGAACCTCGAATCAGGAAGAGATCATTGTATACGGATCATGACATGCGATGAGATGAGACGGGATACGAAAGGATCTTGACGCGCATGGTAGGCAGGCCAGTGGTGTCCATTAGTTACCCCAGAAGTCCGTTTAGTAACACAAGTTGGCTCTGTTACTTTTGCGGCAGATTCGTTCCCAGAAACCATCATCACAAACTTTTGGGAATTTTTCACGTTGCACTGGTGCAGCGATCAATAGCGTTTGAGCATAAGGGACTAACGATGACAGATGTGATTCATACGCTTAGCAGTCTACCAATGTGACGTTCGTATGCCTTTTCAAACCCTGGAGTGAAGGAAAGAAAAAAATTCGATTCAAATTTCGCTTAAGGTAGGCGACATCGTAATTTGAAGCACCATATGACAAAAAACCTTGACTTTTATCGTAAGTTTTATCGTTAATGCCATTCTATCTCATCGATGTGTTTCCGCTTGTGCTCTACGCGCCAGGGAATTGTTTGCGTGGTCCAATTGCTTTCACGCATAGCCCATTTGCGAGCAAGTTGGGGCGACAGAGTGTTATCCATTCGGGCCTTGATAAATGAACCTATATTAGGCAAAAACTTGAAGCCGTGGCCAGAGTCTCCACAGCTCACAAAAACATTGGGGTGCGATGGCATCTCATCAATAATGAAATCCGAATTGGATGTGTCGCTGATCCAGCATATCTTGCAGTCGATCACATTACGCAATTGCCCACTCGAATCAAGCTCAAGGTCCGGCAAATATTTGCGGATCAAAGTCCGGATCTGCACAACAGACTGCACAGGTATGCTTTTGACCGTATCTGGCTCGAGATGTTGGTAGCGAGGTAATCGCCCATCGCTTGTTTTATCGTACGTCGAGCTGGCACTTGCGCAAAGCTTAAGAATTCTTGTTTTTCGATCGGGCGGGAAGAAGTATCCCATAGTTGGATCGAAAACAACAGGCATGTTTTTGTATTTCTCAAACTCTTCCACACTCAACTGAATGTGTCCCACGTAGAGTCCCGTAGATTTTACGCTACGATGAAGATCCAGTAGCGTAGGCGTGTTGGCACCGCAGGCCACAAGCACTTTTGAAGCAACCAATTCCCGCCCGGACTCCAAGGTGACCTTGACCCGTCCATTTCCACTATCAATGCTCTTCACACCATCGTTCTCCAAAAAAGACACTCCCAGGCGCTCACAATGGTTTTTGACCGCGGTAAGTGATTGAGCAGCAAGGCCAATGCCACAATCAGGGTTGAATCTAAAAAGACCTTTCGCCCCATTTTCTGCGAACTCCGGGAACGCATTGCCGCAAGTTAAGTCGTTGCTATGTTCCACAATCGCCTCACAGCGACCGAACCGCTCTCTAAGTAGTTTCAGACTTTCCATTTCAAAGTCATACCGAGGTGAAGTTTTTGGAGGCACTACGGAAATGCGCCCGCAATGCGAATAGGTGTCTTGGAACAATCCAGCCGGGAACACGTCATTGCCTTTTCCTTGCCAGTATTCCATAGCCTCGACAGCCATTGCGGCATAAACAGGATCATTGTATTCCAGCCTTATTATCTTGTTGTAATCAGTTGATGCTGAAAGAGGCGAGGGGATCTCAAATTTGTCTATCACCGTTACCGGGCTCGAAGTTGCGAAATGTGCAGCAGTAGAGAGCCCAAAAACACCTCCTCCAACGATTATAATATCGGACATCAACAAGCTTTAGTTCCACAAATTTTAAACCTTGAGGTCGTGAAGTAGCTTTGTACAGCATATGCTATATTTTTTAAAACTGGGGCGCTAGTACTCTACACCTTCAATAGAAAACTATGATGACAACCCTACGAAAAAAAGCGGTTTCGGTTTCACGCGACCTTTCCATTACATCGCATAACTGAAAATAATTCCGCAAAGAACTCTTAATGCACGATAACACTGGTCAGACTCGACAATAAGCTCAAAAGGTCAAGCTATTAGTATGAGAAAAACTGTGACTTGTGTGGTCCTCTAAGGATGTATCATTACAATCTTCAACGATGCGAGGAACAGCAAGAGTGCGAGGGATTTGCACTGAAGTATTGGAGTCAATCGACATGTCATCTAAAGCATTGCGACGGGGATGAAGATGGGCGTGATTGGCTTCTTCAAAGTGCACGTAATTGGGTCCGAAGTTATCGAGACTGCCCACCGCGTTAGACTCCCCGTAATCTGTGGATTTCGTATTGTAAAATTCATTTATACTTTCGTCGACATCTAGTGGCTTGATGTCGCCTTCGTTGATGACGTCAGGTGCTGAAGACGAGAGCGGAAGGTCATTATCTAGCTGCTGCGAGAGAGGCAACGATATCATGTTTCCAATAAGCTCGTCCTGTGAATCGAACTTATTTTCTATTTGAAGACCGCTGCTGACAGTGGAATTTGTCAAATGAGCGGATGTTGTTGATTCTCGCAAGAACTGTTGGAATGACATTTGCCCTTCCTCGGAGTCATTCTTTTTACCACCGTTCAAGTCGATTTCATTTGGCCCAAAAGATGGAATATGGGCATTTTGATGGGCGCCAAAAACTTTTTTGACGGGTAGCTTAGATTCCCAGTTGTTTTGAAGATCACCTTGTGTGATTCTGTTGATATTTTCGTCATTGAACGCCCCAGCAGCGCAAGGATCGATCCCTACCACCGTATTTTGGAAATAAGGCATTTGACATAACTCGGTAACGGTTGCTCGTTTCTTTGGATCCCACGTAAGACACGCTTTGACAACATCACAAAGCGGCTGCAAATTGGGATTATCGATGATCTTTTCGATATTAATGCCTTCGACGTAGGGGAACTTTAAACGCATTCTGGAAGCCAGTAGCTGGGCTTTCTCCCAAGAGCCACCATGTGGTTGATATCCACTTATATTGCTTTCAGGCATTCTGTGTGGAGTACCCAAGACCTCTAGTATTTTCCATATTTGATCCATTTCATCGGAGCCCGGGAATAGTGGTCTAAAAGTTGCCACTTCTACTACTACACATCCAAAGGCCCACACATCTATTGGTCTTGAATATGAACCCTTTCGCAGTAGGATTTCGGGAGACCTGTACCACCTTGTAGACACGTATGCCGTGTAAGGACTTTTATTGGTGACGTGACGGGCCAAACCATAGTCCGCAATTTTAACCACATAGTTGTCCTTGTAATTGCCATCGACTATCCATTTCTTGTTGAAATAGTGGTTGGCTGGAGAGATCAAAATGTTTTCAGGTTTCAAGTCTCGATGAAAGAAATTATGCGAATGAATATGCCGAATTCCTGCCAACAGTTGAGAGAGAATTGACTTTAGTGATGGCAGAGAAAAAACTCGCCTTCTGCGTGCCCTCATTTGCTGATACAGATTCTGTTCCATGCATTCCATGACAATATGCAGTTGGTAGTTGATGTCGTCAATAAAAAGTTCAAAGATCTGAACGAGGTTTTTGTGCGCTGGCATAGATAATATGAATTTGATTTCTCGCACCCGAGTGTAATCGTTGAGCGTAGGAAGCCTTGTCATCATGGTTTTGATAGCCAGAACGCCGCGTTGCTTATTGTGGAAATTTTCTTGTTCCACGTTGGGGATAACGGAGTCTTCCATGAGCGTGTCACGGTAGTGTGGACGACGTTCACATCTTTCGGGATGTACATTTCGACCGTCAAACTGGGGGAGCTGAGAATCTGACGCGACTCCTTCGCCATAATTGCTGCTGCAATTTGGACAACCTTGGCATGCGGTGTTGAAAATTTGTTTTGCCAAGGTCACTGATCCGAAACTGCCGTTTCCCAATTCCTGCATCAGCGTGTATCTACCGTTGATCTGCTTAACCGGTATATAGAAAGGTGGATTGTCCACATCCGGTGGTGTATGAAGTTCAGAGGTTCTGACAGATTTCCTGCCCAGATATCCCATGTTGTATTACAGTGATAAACCACCGTACACTGTCGACAATAACTGTAAAACAGTGTCTCACTGCCACTCAGCTTATATGCTAGATATGAGAACAAAACACACACACACACACACACACACACACACACACACACCTACTAAATATGCCTAATTGATATCTATGTATCGGCCACTAGTCCGCCCCAGCTCACACACAATTGATGCTGGTTATGGGTCGCAACCGGTTTGGGACCGACTGGCTCAATAACTCTATTTAATCTTGGGTTTGACAAGATTGAACAAGATTGAACCGCTTGTGGAAATGTTAAAGAAGTTAAAGAGCTTTTGCGGAATTTTGTCCCTCTTATATAGTTGACCGTAGCCGCCCATGTTTGTGGTATATCGGACTCCCTTAAATTACCGGATCGGGCAATTGTGACACGTTTCATTGTGACACAAAAACGCTTTAGAAATTTAATTGGATTTTCTCAATTTTTGTTGAGGTTTTCACTTCGAGATGAGCATTTTACACGAGTGCGACCCGAAACGCGTAAATCGATGTTTTTGATGAGGTTCTCGATGAAGCTGCGACACAGGTCATGAACATAGTGCGGATAAATCAAAGAAAAGAGAGATATGTGAATGGAAGCCGAATGTTTTGTTTCACAGTGATAGCACCCCATGTGCTTGGGTTTGCAAAGGAATAAGAGATAGAGTTTTTTAGCGTTTTGGCTTTGATTGTTTCGAGAGGCATGGTGTATGTTTAAAACAAGATAGTGTCATGGCTGGCAGCATGCTGGTGATAGAGTTGTTTTGAAGCCAAACCCGGGTGGAAAGAAAGTCTTCATCGGAGATTGTTTTTCACTGTCGCTGACGCGACTGAAAAACATCAGATCGTTTTGTACTAAGTTTGTGGATTGTAAGGCCATTTTGACCACTGGAACAGCTCTAAGCCACGCAATGGCTCTGACGGTATGATGCTCCATATTGCTCCTGATGGTTGCTTTCAAATTGTTGTGGTACGAAATTCGGTTTACTCGGATTTCGCCGTTTTCTTTGTGAAAGAACGTAGTGGCATCTAGCTTTCGAGGAAATCGAGTTTGAAAAAATCGTTAATCCCAACAAAGAAAGCCATTGGGTCTTTGGGCCAATGAGTGACGCGAAACATACGGTTATATCGTCTTCTTGATGAGTGTCACGTGATTATTATTAAGTGACAGCGTCAGAATTAATATAACGGTAATGAGGAAGCTGAACTGTTTGTTGGCCACGCTTGAACCCTGGCAGACAAGCATTGGAACGCGAGTGCTATAAACACCAAAGCAAGGCGTAAGACTACTCAAAATCGAACGAATCCTTTTAAGGGCACGGAAGGGTTTAAATATAACGACTCTCGGGAAAACCTTATCTCAATCTCACAACAACTAAAGGCATGACAAAAATCTCACAATAGAACTCAGCGGCAGGGTTAAGATCTTCATGAACTTTCAACACACACAGGTAAAAAGTCGAGATAACACCAATTCGTTTTTCTACAGCCAAAAACAGGAAAAAGCTCTTAATGATAACTCTACCGAAGTAGTTTCGAGCAAGAATGATCAAAAGATCGACAATTCGTTTGTCTAAAGCCAATAACAAGAAAAAGCCCCTAATGATGGCTCTCCAGATGCAGTTACGAGTAAAAATGAATCAAAAAATTGTCCCTTCCAATTCCCGACCCGCTTCATAACCGCGTTGGGCAAAAAACTAAGGGCTCCCCTGGACTAGTCTCCAGATAGCAAGGTCATGGTCAATATCTAAATTCAGATCCCAAGGCTAACAGAAAAATGGATACACCATAGGTGCGTTATCTCTGCTAAACTCAGGTTCAGTAATAAACTATCACATTTCAAAAAGATGAGTGATCAACGCGTTTAGAGTCGACACCGCTGGCTTTTCTGTGAATACGAAACCGCTTCTCTCTCATCATGAAATTGAGGTCTAAGATACAGTTATCAACGATCCAAGTGCAACAAAACTTGTCTTTTTGAAGTTCGCCTGCTAGTCTCTATCTCCGAGTACTCTCATGTACTCGCAAAGTTCTGCCGGCGTAATTAAGACTGTGAAAAGTGTCAAAATCTTAATCAACTCCTTAGTTGAACAACTACTAGACTCAACCGCTTGCAATGGACCATAAGGACGCCGAAGAGCAGCTCATCGAGACCATCGAAGGGACTCCGGGCTATAATTTTGATTATGGACCTTTACCTCGAGACACCTTCAGAAGCAAACTATCGTGGGATTTGAAAGTCAGAAAATGGTCTTACGCATCTCTTTTTTTAACAATATTAGCAGCTTATTGGTTTTTTAAGCTTATGTTTTCGATAAATCTAGGCCTTGGAATTGGGATGACTGGTGTTAGTCCTATTTTCGGTTTGGTGCCCTTTTTTTTCCAGGCGTCATATAACATGGGATGGAACGACAAAAGTGCGCGTACCTACTTGGTTGAAATACTCAATGCAAACCCAGGCGATGATTTGAATAAGTGGGATTTGATCGCGGCCAAAATGAATACTATCCTGTACGAAAACGACGAAAATGCGTCGAGGTATTTTTTCTACGACGGTCGGCAATGCCTTGGGCGATTCACTGAGAAGTACGTCTCGCCTCATTTGAAGAATGAGAAAGAGCATTCTCCCAGTCTAGAGCCCTTCATCAAAGCTGCTGTAGAGCAGTACATGGAAAATTTCAATGAGCAATTACGTCAAATGACGTTGGGCAGTTCTACAGGTCAAAGAGAAACTGCCAATCGAGATGATGTGGACCACGATACTGCAGCTAATTGAACCATTAGTTTGAATCAGCCAGCGCAATCTCGAATGCCAGATTTTTTTGCGTGCAAGCAAAACGAAGAAATGTTAGAAACAGTACAAATCGGCAATAACTTGATGCATGCTACAGCTGAAGAATCATAGTCGCTGAGATAAAGCTCCACTTCTATCCTGGAAACCAGCATATTGCGCACGAGGACCACGTGACGCGCGCCAGCGACACGAAAATAACTTTTGGGGTGGGGAGATTTCTCAATGCTTTAAAGTTACACATTGAGTTTCGAATCAGTTATAGATGCTTCCTCACGGCCAACAAGTTTGTTTCGGCCTCTGCACGGGCAAGTATATCAATCAAAATGAGACCGTAATATTTTATGACCGTTCACTCGCTACTCTGTTTTTTGTTTCCATTTCAACAAGACCCCCAACCGCATTTGTCTGCAAGCCTACCAACGAAAGAGGTATTCTCAACTGTCTTTTTCATCGTCCGCAACAAAACGTTCGATCCCATTACAAGTCTTGGAAAAGCGCCGAGAAGCGCCCAGAACAATGACACAAAATCCACAGCTCTGACACTCACACAAACCCCATCAGAGACAGTACAAAGTGGCAATAGTCCGTTCCGGACAACCTTTTCTCTTCGTATTTCTCTACCAATTCGATAAAATGTCACTTAACTCACTACATACGAACATAAACCTAAACTACCAAAATGAAACAACGTTTTCAATACAACCGCCGTGCAAGCGTATACCAATATCACGTAAATATAACTGCCAGATTTACGCATCATATATTTGCCATATACATAAAAAATCTTCATATTTCACTAAGCTTTTCCCACGACGTCTAGTATTATAATGAAACGTATCACTATACACGAAACTACCTTTAATTAAAGTGGCAAACCATATCAGCCATTTCTACAACTTTACCAACTACAAAAGCACCATCATTTGGACCTCCAAGAAGTGCTTGAAACACCTCTTTTGGGATCATTGATACCAATCACACTCCGAGGCCCTTCAATACCACAATATGCAAGCAATTGCAGACAGTTTGAGCTCAAAAAATGCATTGGTTTCCGCATTACAATACGATCAAGAAAAAAACCTGAATAACGATTTTGTTACAGGAAATGGACTTTTTCGTCAACTAGCGCCTCAAATCGCGGTACCACCTATCTCCTCGCCTCAAGAGTTTCTTAGGGCGCACACAGACGACTCTCAAAACCCAGATTGCAAAATAAAGATTGCACACGGTACAACAACCTTAGCTTTCAGATTTCAAGGCGGAATCGTTGTAGCGGTGGATTCCCGTGCAACAGCGGGACAATGGATTGCGTCTCAAACCGTAAAAAAAGTGATCGAAATCAACCCTTTTCTACTGGGAACCATGGCTGGTGGTGCAGCAGATTGTCAATTTTGGGAAACTTGGTTGGGCACACAATGCAGACTGCACGAACTAAAGGAAAAAGAGCGCATATCTGTAGCAGCAGCATCGAAAATACTGGGCAATTTGGTGTATGAATACAAAGGAGCAGGTCTGTCAATGGGAACGATGATCTGTGGGTATACCAAGAAAGAGGGCCCCACAATTTACTACGTGGATTCCGATGGTACTAGAATGAAGGGAGATGTGTTTTGTGTGGGATCCGGTCAAACTTTTGCGTACGGTGTCCTGGATACTAACTATAAGTGGGACTTGTCTGTTGAGGATGCTTTATATCTAGGGAAACGTTCGATTCTTGCTGCGGCACATAGAGACGCGTATTCCGGTGGTTCAGTTAACCTTTACCATGTGACAGAACAAGGATGGGTTTATCATGGCAATCATAACGTCGACACCCTCTTCTGGGAAATCAAACAGAAAGAGGGTTCGTTTAACAACGTCATAGGTTAGTGTCTCAATGCCTCGTTGTCATGCAATTAAATAGAGCCTTTAAGAGGAACGACATAATCGATTTCCTTACATGCGAATAAAAATTATTTCATACTGTTACAACATGAGGTTCAGGACTAATGTTTCTACTACCTCATTCTTCGTCACTTCCTTCGTCACTTGAAGAATCTTTCCCACTGCTACTGTTTTCGTTATCCGAACTTCCTGATGTATCGCTATCGTCACTTCCTTCCGTTTCACTGCCATCCTCACTGGAGGACTCTTCTCCAGAGCTTGATTCGGTCTCGCTAGAAGCTCTCTTCTGAGGCAAAACATTCCTCGTGGGATTTGGCGTTGCAACTCGCGACGGCTGCTTGGGTTGAAAGAACTTTGATAGAGAGCTGGGATCAAACGATTCAGAAGTTTGACCAGATGGTTGAGATGCAGGAACAGGAGGCTGGACTGCTGAAGCTGTACTCGGTGAATTTACCTGCGTGTTTGTCGAACTATTAACAGTGCTCCCGTTTGTTGCGGTGGGTGGTGGCATTGTTACCAGTTGCTTCACAGATCCGTTTGTAACCTTTATCGTAGCGGCATTCACCGCGGCTGCCAAGATCAAATTTAAGTGCTGAGGATTCTTATCAATAAGAGCGGTAAGGGGATTACCAGTAATTCCCTTTGATTTCGCAGCCTGCGTGACTTGGTTAATTGTCATCGCTAGGGCTTGAGTTAAAATACTCGCTATGACTTGTTTATCCAACCCTTTGCGGTCCTTTGTAAGAATCATGAGTTGCTCTTGCAGATATTTCATTGTCCTTTGATTCCCGTCTGCCGTTGCCTTTCTATCGGCCCGATTAGCTGCTAGAGTCTGAGAAATATTAGGTTGCCTGGGCTTCGAATTCATTATTTGCACGCTGGAGGAAACAGCCATGTCCCCTGAAGATGGCCTTTTGATTTTTTGATGCTGTTGTTGCTCAAGCTTTAATTGAGCGGCTTTAGCTTTCATTGCTGCTGCCTCTGCTTGTTTCTTCTTCTGCTTTTCTCTCTCTGCAATGTATTCTTCGTTTAGACCCCAAAGCCATCCTTTCCCTTCCTTGGATACCTTTCTGAATGATTTATTGAGGGACAGGTTGTGTCTGACGGAACTTTGCCAACCATCAGGACAATACTTGTAATATGGAAACAGCTCCCTGATGCCAGCGTAAATTCCCGAAAGAGACATACCTTTCGGACTTGAGTACTTCCGTAAACATGCTGTAATGAGATTCGAATAGGAACCTGCAGGTTTTGTCCTGTATTCGAGTGGAATCTCCTCTAGCGTGTAGACTTTCTTGGGCGGTTTAGGAGGTTTTGCCTCTTTCTTTTCCTTTTTCTTCGGCGGGATCTTCTTTTTTGGAGGCGGTACCTCTACCTCTTCCTTTTTGGCTAGATCCTTAACATCTGCTTGTAATGTACTTGAAGTTGAGCTCCTTGAAATCTCAGGAAATTTATCGTTGAGTTCTGTTTTCAGAGAAGATGACGCATCGATAGGCTCAACAGCCTTTCTCTCTTTACCTTCTTGGTCAGGTAGCACGAACTGGAAGGGGATTTGTCCTATCTGAACTTTAGCCTTGTTCTTGAGCTGTACCGTGATACCTCTCTCGACAAAAGCATCGTCAACAAAAGCACCGTTTTTACCCATAATCGAAAGTTCAAATCGTCCGGTTCCAAAATTGTAAAATATTTGCGCATGTCTTCTTGAAATGGACTTCGAAGGTCCGAGGTTTACATCGACCTTATGCGAAAAATCGTTTTCCGAACGACGTCCGATGATAACTTGTAAGGTCTGCACGTAAAACGTAAAGCTTTGAAAATCCAGCCTGGCATATGCAGATATCTTGGACTGCTCAGAATCAGTAGTTGCAGGGTCTTGGAACTCAGTCATTGCAAGCTGAGAGTTTATGTCATTGGCAGAAGGCGGTTGTTTATTGACCGCATTCTCAGGTAGCGGAGGAGGCGGCAGGGACATACCCTGAAACTTGGAGGGCGACAGGGGATCCTGTTTTATGTGTTCGTCATAGTCATCTTCGTGCTTCGCCTCGAAAATCGCGGAGGGCGTATCTTCTCGTGTTCCAGCACCAGCCGATAAAGTACCCGAGTTGTATAACTCTTTTGTGAGAGTCGACGGTTCGTCATGCAAAGACGACAAGTCAGCTTCCGCATTCATATCAAGACCGCCCAAGGATCGGGATGTTTCTCGAAAGGATTGCTCAGCGTGTTCTGACGGCTGCTGTGAATGCTGTAATTCAGAGACACCACGTTGTAGCTCTTCGCTTAGCTCTTTTACGCTTCTCGGGCTTGCGGCAGTAGCGTTATGCTGCAAATCGTTTGTGCTTTCGTCTACTAATTTGTCCAGGTCTTCCGGTATATCATGATCTAACAAATCTGCTGACGAAAATAAATCGTCGTCGTTTTTAGAATCCAGTTCTAATAGCTTGGAGAAGTTTTCGTGGTCTAGCGCGTCGGGCATGTCTAGTTTTAGGTTTGGATTATCGATGAGGTTTTTGGAGCTTTGGAGTGCCTTGTCTGATTGAAATTGAGTTTCTGGGTTTTCAGTTGCGTGGACATGCTCTCCGTTGAGTTCCTGTGTCAGATCGTTGGGCAAGTCGGGCGGAAGCCGGCTGAGAGACGCTTCTTCTGACCCAGTATCTGACCTATTTTCCTGATTATAGTTATTTTCAGACATTGAATTTCCCATAGCATCCTTTTCTGCGGATTCCATAGCGATAAAGCTCATCACAAGGCTTTTCAACCGCAACCACACTCTGTAGCGCTCAGATTTTAGATAGCAGGCACAGAAACAGTGTTCTTGGTGAGCGTTGTGTCCTTGGGGATCAAACTCTTTCTTGTGGATGGTGTGTCTGTCACTTAACAAAAATAATGATAAAAAATCACCAAAAGTCCACCAAATTTAGCGCGGAAAGTAGGAGCCCTGCACTTTCCAAGCCTGCCCACTTGAATAGACACTCAATTCGATGCGATAGGAAGCTGCAACACCGCCCACTTATCACTTATTCTTGTGTTTTGTTGTGTATACATGCTCTATTTATCTCATCTCAAGATTGATATTTTTCATAATAATTCAAGATCGCTTTTCACGGATCGATGGGCGGTAAATATATATGAATTCCTTTCTATGAGAATTAAACAACAATAGTAGTGAGGACTAAAGAGAGACTACTACAAGTAAGTCTCAAACTCAAATTTACAACGTGAGAGCCTTCTATGTTAAAGTGTGTAGTTTTTGTGTGACCATTTCGTATTTCGGCTGCTTTTTGTCCTCGTTCTTTTGAGTATAATATGTCTAAGTGTGCTTCGAGCTTTACCGACGGCCGTCGACGCGCAGACCTTGGGCACGAGTACGCTCAGCGGGTGTCAAGGCCCAGTTTATGTCGCTGATGATCTCAGGTTTGACATCGCGGGTAACAGGATCGAAGTCGTCGTCTTCCAGGCCCATCACCAGTACAATTTGCGAGAGTTTCGTGAATTTCTCGCGCAATGCGTACTGGTCTTCGCACACAATGGCTATCAGGGAACTCAACTCACGGTCGAGCTTGATGGTGCCCAATTCGTTGACCTGAAGGTTCCACAAACGGGTGCCGATCTGAGCAACCACGAAATCGACAATGCAGCTCAGAAGTTGCACATGGCATCGCTTGTATAAGACGTTGGAATAAGGAATCATGGTATTGTTCCAGTCCACTCCAAACTGCTGCAAATTCGACATATCTTCAAAGTCCACAGCGCTACAGACATACTCATCGTCAGGGCCCTGTATGAAAAGTGATCCCAGCATTTTGCGCACTTTGGGCTGCAAGATGTTTTCAAAAAGCTGCTTTACAGCCCAGTTCAGCAATTTATCGTTCTGAACTAATAAGTTTGACTCAGCTGCCTCTACTGCTTCGTGCAGCGTTTGGGCCTCGAGCTCGAAGGGAAAATTATCACACAAGAGTTTGGGATTGTCCTGTAGCAACTCCTTCGTGAGCAGTCTTTGCAAGAATTCGCGTCCGACGCCTAACGTGTTGACATAAACCAGATAATGATGGAGCTTGAGCACAGAGTCCTCGTCGGCATAAACGGCTTGTAGATTGGATTGAATGTTGGAAAACGCACTGGAAGCGGCTCCTTTTAAATTGAACCTCAGATTCGAAAGTTTTGATGGATCAATGACACCGGGCGAAGCTGCCCGCGACGTACTATTGGAGTCTGAGTGAGGAATGTATTGTTTGAGACCCACAGCACTAACAAGCCGAGGCTGTAGAAGCCGCAAATTATGTTGTAGAAATTTCATGAGATATTCGTTCTGCAAAAACCTTTTCAATATGCCCAAGAAATCACTCATTAAAGAGCTCTGGCCGGTATTGACATTTAAGATGAGACAGGTTCTCAAGAGAAGAGTCAGATCTTCAACGATGGATGAAAACGCATAACTTGAAATATCATCATGTTTGTACGGCTTTTTGGTGATGAATTGATTGAGCGGGGGCAGAGACTCCAAAGAGACCATTTTAGCAAACGAACTATGCAAATAGTGATCCATGAGTTTCTTGAACCCGTCCAAGAAACCAGTGCCGTGAATCTTCAAATAGAAATTGCCTTTTGATATTGGCGACGGTAGTTCTAATTTTCCATCTGACACCTGGATGTCGCTAAATTCGTACCACTTTAGCGCGAAAAACCTGCAGTACATTGACCAATTTTGCAGTATCGTAGAGTACTCACTCAACGTGCTCGAAATACTCGCAATAGACGGAGCTTCACTTTTAGTTTCTTCTGGGGCGTTTGCCGATCTTTCAAATTCCCTTATAGCTTCCAGAAGCCCGTCGAAATTTCTAGCCTCCAAAAAGCTATCTAGAATCAGACCAGCTTGCATATCCGCCTCGCGCTGAACTTTAGTCATGATGTGAACCATGTGTTGCTTACCATAACATTCTGCAATGATCTTAGAATGCTCATTGATTATGGTTGAAACAATTTTGAAAAGATGCAACAAAGCTTTGGCATAAAATTGCGTATTGGTGGGCGTTGAGCCGGTCATTATTTTGCGACTTTGGGTTGATATTATGTTGCAAACATACTTCGAGTAGAGATCTAGTCCCAGCTCAGATTTTCTTATCAAAGGAAACAGCTGGAAAACGGAAGTCAGCTCTTCAATGTTTTGACTGTCAGCTGCACGTTCAAATTTATCCTGGAAGTTTTTGGCCAAAGCTGCGGTCCAAAGTTTCACAAGATCGGCCGGATTTTCTGGGATTTCCGCCGAAGGCACCACTTTTGCAGCAAACCTAGATTCGATAACGTTTGGCGGTAAGTTGAGGATTGTGTCGATACCCGTGGCGGCGAGTTTATTATCTGAACGTTCTATCGCTTCATGGACGGTCAGAACATTACGTTTGAGGACCTGTATATGATTCACGAATTGAAGGGTTTGGACTACCAATTTGCGTTCACGATCCACGGATTTTATGCGCGCGGAGATTGCCACAGCAAGATCCTTGGAAAGGAAAATATCCTCCAATGCATGGTGCAGCTTCGTCAACGTTTGTGTCAGTTTGGTTCTCTGCAGTTCCAATTTTCGCACATTTTGGTTCAGCTTGTTGTGTGAAGTTTGCAAATACTCGTCCAGAGATTTCTGTGTAGCTGTCTGATCATTGGCTATAACTGTTTGCAATTTTGAGAGCTGGGATATTGATGAGATTTTCGATAGAGCTGTGTGATATTTGGCCAAGTTAGTGGAAAGCTGAGTGTCCAAAGTTACTGCATTTTCCGAGAACATGGATGTTAGAAGGGAGCTAAAAGAAGGGCAAAAGTCAGCAATATTATGCCAACAAAGATTCAATTGAGTACCCAGTGAAGAAGAGAAAGATCTAAATGCAAAACAATGCTGAAAAAGTATCGATTGCGGCTGTTTCTTTAACTTTTGAACCTCTTTTTTTGAATGTTGCTAAATATCATCAAGTTAAATCATCAGTATTATTGTTATAAATTATCTCTAAAACTAGATCTGAACTAGAATAATGAACTAAGAAATCTGACGTTCGTGCCAGTGCTAGAGAAGGGCCTCGGTTCATGGTTTGAGACAGGTTATATCTCTACCGCGATGCGTTCAAATTGGACAGAAATTTTTGGAGTTGAAGTAGCATGGAGTTTGACTAAAATTCGAGATCGATTATGGAAAAATGCAGCAAATGGACTGGATCATCCGACTGCGTAATGTGTTCGCGCCAAGCACCAACAGATATTAAAAGTTGAATAAGTTTGAGAGATATTAATTACACTTGAGAAGAAACGGTACTTTGACGAGACACTATGCATAGAGTATTAAGTTTCTCGACAGCACTAGACAAAAAAAAATGATAAGAAGGAGACGAAGCAGCTTCTTCTCGAATTTTGGAAGTTTGGTAAAAAGTTCATCGTAATGAAGGTCAGATTCCTGAGGGTTTTTCCCCCACCCTTTGACGGTATTTCTTAGAGTCCTGGTTTTGCTTTTCTTTCTTTTTTTTTCTTAAGCTGTTGCTAGCTCAAAAAGCCGACCTAAGCAGTGGCATGAGCAGGCTCTTCATCGACCCAGTGCTGTTCAGTGGATTCGGGCACTTCAGCTAGATGGTCAACTTCTTCTTCATCTTCTTCGTAGTCGTAGTCACCGTGTCTGAGAGACAAGCTAGGCTTCACCTGGGCGGCGTCCAAGGTCCATTCGTTCAAAGCAGTTTCAGCATCGATGATGATCTGCTTGGAAGCTTCGTAGCCGTCGTAAGCTGGACGGGTTTCACCTGGAGTGACTGGAGAGTCGTCCAAGAGCTCGAGCAGCGCCTTACCGTAGCCTGCGATAAGGGCTAGTTTTTCGGAGTGTTCAACAATGGAGTCGAATTGGTAGTTGAAAGCAGCACGTAGCTTGGAACGGGTAATGTTGGAAAGCTGGGCCTCGGCAACCAGAGATTCGGCTTCAGCACGCACCAGCTCCTGTTCGAGAATTTCGATCTTGGTGGAGGCAGGGTCCTTGTACTTGAGATAAGCGATTTTGTCGGTAATTTTGGCCTTGCGGTCACGAGAGGGCTGCACTGAGCCTTCAATATCACGGATAGACTTGATAGTTAGACGGTATTGGTCGTAACGGTCGATGAACTGGTCGTCCAATTCACTGATTTCGTAGATGAGCACACCTAGTTTGTCGGTGATATCGGAAACGTCGTCGTCGTTTTCTAGACCCCAAACGGACAACTGGCGGGCCGCGTCACGACGTTCGTTGGCGGCCACTTCGATGGACCGCAGCACGTTTTTTTCCACCTTCACCAATTGTGATAGTTTGCGTGCCAATTCTGGGCCAAAAGCACCGGCTGTGTTTTTACGTAGCGAATTGGCCAACCCGCCACGTCCAAAAAACCGGTTTTTAGTTGTGGCTGGAGGTGGAGCTGGATTTTGCAGCTGCGAAGCAGTTGGAGCTCTGGAGTTTCTTAAGGAGTATGTTCTGTGCATGCTAACGAATGGGTAACCGTCGTTATCGCGTGTGTTTTTCTTTTAGGGAGTGCGTTCAAGACTTTATCCTAGAAGAGTTATACATAGGGGCAAAGGTACTCCACCTCAATTTCGGACCCTTTATATAGTCGTCCTTTGGAAGAAAAAAAAGGGGCAATCCGGAAAAAAAGAAAAAAAAATTTGAAAATAGGGGTTGTAGGAAGTTCGTGAATAATGATGAAAGTGGTCGCGACTTTAATTTAATGTTTTTTTTTGCTATACCGGAAAGGGTTAAAGATTGCGAGAGACAGGGCATGCGAGAGAAGAGACGGAGAGAAGAGGAGAACATGGAGCAGTTGAGAGTTTTCGAAAGGCTTTCATGACGACCAAGAACTTATCTGTTAGAGCTATAGAGTCTATGAGCATGAATCGTGTTGAAGTTTGGACCGGTTGCGATGAGATCGCTATATACGAAACCGTATATACGCAGTTGAAACCAAAAATATCTAAAAGCTGAAGTGGAAGTGATGATGGTTACGCATCTAATCCCATTCAATACTAGTGAGGACACATCTTTGTTTATGTCAATTAGCAAAGTTGGGGAAAAGTATTGTAAAAAAGTCGGAAAAAACACGGTCCTTATCACCATATACGTAGAAACGCATGGAACGTCTTACGTAAGGACGCAGCAAGCTTCTTTCCGACGTCATGGAAAGCAAGGCTCGAGGTCAAGGCTCGAGCAACGGCGGGTTGTCAAACCGAACCACGACGCACAGAGCGAACGTTCCTTGCACCAGCAACTTGCACCAGCAAGCAGCCTGGTTCTCTGTTTTCTGAAGTTGATAGACGCGCGCAGCGCGTCATAGATGTGGTGACGACTTGTGCTCAATTTGACTAGCGCAGCTGTGCAATTTATCGTTCTTTTGCCTTGGTGTAAATACTTTTAACGAGTAAGATTAGCGACGTAATGGTATGCCATTCATTGATTGCTCATGACACTCGGACGCGTCGTGAACTCACTGCTCTGTCGAGAGTTTTGGCGGTTGTTGCTGTATCGACTTTTGAAGAAAGCGGCCTTTCTGAGGCAATTGGCGCAACTCTGATGACAACAAAACGAGTAGTAGAGAGCGAAAGAATAGAGCTGGCTCATTGTTTTCCTGGCCTTTTCTCCACATATTTTGCCAGACTTTCTTCACTTAAAGGTTGAGGTTACATGATTTCAATGACAGCGACAGTACTGACGAAATAGGATATAATAGTGGGACCAATAGTTGACACTGAGCAAATAGACGATAAGACACTACTGTGGTGTTGTTCGTGCTGATATGAGCTTGGGTAAAGGGTAGGCTGGCAGTGGAAAGTTTCTTGTTCGAATCGTTCGACATCTAGAGACATAAATTCTTCATTGCAGCGTGAGAGCACGAACTCTTCAACAAGGAATTGTGAAGTTTCTATGAGAGAAAAAGGGTGTTCAAAGATGCTGCGCCATTGTCTCTAGTATTTGACGACTCCTGAGACCTTCATTCAGCAGTTTCCAAATAGCCACTTCAAGAGTTCCGGCAGCACGAAACCCCCACTGTGTGTGGTAAATATTTCTTAAGCCTTTAACGCTATGCGCAGATGAAAATACACTCTGTTAGCAAGCAAATGGGCCATAAGAGAAGAATGACTCCCTTGCAATCACACAAGGATGCATGTTTATTCAAGTTTCTATCAGCAGAGAGCAACACCTTTCTGCGAATCTATTAGATGAAGCAGGAATCTGAACGGAGATCCCAAAATCATCAGTTATTGATGCTATAAAACACTGGGGTTACCGACAGCAGGGTCCTGTGCAATGTCATTTTTGGTCCTAAGCTTGGCGTGCGGTGGTAGTACTGCCAACCCGATTTTTTAATCTTCTTAAGCTTGCTGGGCTGTCAGTCTTGGAATGCGAAACGACGGCCTTTTCTGTGCCAAAGGCTGTTTCTTGTAACCACCATCTGAGTAGAGTAATCTTATGCCCAGCTCCAAATGTAAACCGTACATACCCGTAACTCATGGCTGTGACTGGCTTTTTTCCCAGTGTTTCTCAAATTCGGGTGGAGGCTCTGAAAGTTTCAGAGCACGACTAGAATTTCATACTCTGGCTGTTACGTTCCAATATGGAATAGCCTAGAAGTCTTCTTTTTCCATTGATTCCAGCTGCTTGAGCGATACCGACGGCTGATCAAGTTTCTTTGACCTAGGCGTCTGGTAATCCTGTCGCTGACACTCTATCACGAACCGGGGATCATTTGGTAGTAAATCTGACGCTAAATCCAAGAGCAGGATCTGACAGAATTTTCTCGCGCGATTACTACCTTACTTGAAGCAGCGTTTCTTCTCAAAGCCTTCAAAACATTGATCCGGAAACTACAGCTCCTCCAAGCTGCTGTATTAAGCTCGTTCGAGATAGGTGTAGTGAAAACCGTATTGCTCGACTGACATCTCATTTCCAACATTTTACGTTTAATACATCACATATATATTCAAATGATTGGAATTCTCAGCAACGATGCTCCTCCTTTCTATATTTGAGAAGATCCTTGCGAGTAAGTAAAACTGGCTCTTTCACCACGGTTTATGGGATCCTCAGCTAAATACGATAGCGTCGCATTTTTATCACTTTTTCCGACCCCGTCGCTGTCACACTTTCTGTTTAGCGGGTCCTTGGAATTTCAAACTGAGCCTGTCAAAGCTTTGCCTCGAGATAAACCCTTGTCAGAAAGTTAATATGAGCTTCAGTAATTGACATCCAGAGCTTGTCCAAATTATAAATCTTCTTTTCTTCAGAAGGCGACAATGCAATTTTTATGGTAAAAGAAAACATTTTAAAGCTTTATTCTAAATGCGTCTTTCTGACGTTTTTGCTCACTGTCTAGCTGCTCAAACTGTGCTTTTATTGTTATCGTGCTTTTATTGGAATCTTCAGTTCTTAAAATGACACCTGGCATCGGTAAAAATATCAATCTCAGAACAGAATTGTATAACGGGTCAAACCGAATTGCGAACCCAAAGTCCTGTTGTCTTCAAAATGTATCCCAATTGAATGCATAAAACATATCACACCTTCGTCTTCACTCTCTAGTCGAAATCGGTAATTTTTAGAAGAGAGTTATACTATCTTCATGTCAATAATTCTGCGTGTTCGGAGATCACATACGGATTCTCAAACGGATCTCAAATAGATACCTGGGAGATTACCAAACGGATCCCCAAATGGGTACTTTCCGGATACTTGAGCTCGTGAGAAATGATTTAGTCACATGCTTATGGATTACATATTTGGGCTTTGAAGAAGGTGGAAGGGTAGCTAACTCAACGTACCACTCACTACACATAAAACAACAACAACCTCAACATTTTGGACCAGTATACCCTATTGTTTACTGATTGCTCAACTTCTATTGATTTATAGACATCATGAGCGAAGACCCCAGCGAAAAAGCGTTCTTTCCTGACGAGAAAAGGGCGCTAGCTAATGTGTCTCCTTGTAAGTCTAGTCTTACCCCGTACAAACTTAGGCCACGGGTCGTCAGACTCTTCCGAGAGCTTTTTTCGTGGCCCGCTTTCAAAAAAGCAGGATCGGCCTTAATTTTGCTGGCTTTAGCGGTTGGGACGTATTTTTTACACGGCAAAAGGATCAGTAAGCCGTTCATTGTTTTGACATCAGCCTTTATGTTCTTGGCTTTGGAGATTTTTCTAGTAGTTGCAATAGCGATTTTGTCTGTCAAAAGATCGAAAGTTCTGAATAACCAGCGGAACGAGCTTTGTCGTCTGGTGATGGCCCACAAACCGGGCTTTGTGCTTTCCAATTGGGATAACGTCACCATTGCCATGAACGAGTACTTGCGGAGAAAAGAATTGTGGCACACTTCCTCGTGCTTTCCAAATGGACGTGCGCTGTACATCATTTTCAGGACCGAAGTTTATTTGCCCTTCAAAAATAGCAAATTCGACGATGAACCAGACGTTGCATTACTTTCAGACACAGCTAATGCATACGAGAGTTCCGCCTGTGAGACTCAAACTCTCAGCGAAAAAACTCAGACTTTATATGCAGGAAATGAAGAACAAAAGCTTCCCGTGGAAGTGTACAGATCTAAAATGTCATGGGCGTTGGCGCTAGCGGCAAAGCCAGCTTTATTTGGCTGTGTCTACCATTTTTGCCTAACTTTTTACTACAACTGGTATTTCAAGCTAGCGGCAGTTGTCGGTCAACTGGCACTGGTGGCACTCTCCTTGTACAATAAAGTCAAACTTATTTCCGTGACGCAGGTTGGACAATTTCTGAATACAGTCAAGGATCTCGAGCCTTGGGAAAACAACTCGAGTTGGGACGACATTGCAAAAGTTTTCAACAGGATAATGGGACTGCAAAAGAACAATTACATTGCGGCAGATTTCTTTTACGACGGAGAAGATAGTCGTCGTTGCTTTGAGTCGATCCTTAAGGGCATTATTTCAGGCTCAAGAAAAATGCCAGAATTTATGTCTCTTGCGAATGAGCTACAGGCGGCTTGTGGTTTGGATGTTGCAGAAAGTGCTTGAGGACACACAAGAGTGCACCTCATTTTTCTGGTCCTGCCTTGCTAGAATATACATGATAAATTTATGACCATCAGTTTGAGCTTAAATGTAACTTTTTTATGCTTTCATTTCACGAACAATGTAGTGCAGGCTTTCTATCTGGTCGAGTTCTATATCTATCGTTACATCAGATAAGACTTTTACTGAGATGAACCCAGTGACTTCAAGGTGATATGTTGCTGTACCAATAGCTTTTATCATAGACGCCAAATAGCATTTGCAGTAATCGTAATCACCTAACAAACTCTCTGATACAAAGTTTTGAATTTCTTTCGCACCAAAACCTTTTTACTTCATATTATGATTGTTTATGTCATTATTCTTCTACTTACTGGTAATTCACGACAACGCGTTGATATACATTTTCGAAATCAAGTCCCGGAGTGGTTACCAAACCTGTTGCCAACATAATTGCGAATCGGCGCTAGATTAAACAGCCTTTATTGCGGAAATCTAGATCTGCACTGGACTGAGCATCTTGAGCCACCGTCTACATCGCCCCGTAGTTTTTAACCATTTCTATGCTGGAATTTCACCGTTGATGATAGCATTCAAACGACGCTCTTTCTCTTCATCCAATTTCTTGGTGTTTATTTCGTCATCATTTTTAATACGTAGCTTGCTCAGTTCATTTGGAATCACAAATGGAGGGTGTTCCAAGTCGCAATCGGCTCTACCCAGCGGGCAAAATCCTGTGACGTAACGTGCACATATAGTTTTCTTGACGTGCCTCTTTTTACACCCCGATCCTGCCGGACAGAACCCCATCTTGTACTCTTCACACTCCTGGATTTTGCTGCTGGGATCCAGATGCAGATATTGACATTCTGGCGATTGTGTGCAGTAACCGTTTTTAGAGAAAAATACGCATTCCGGCATTTTCCGCAGGTTATATTCGTGAAGATACTCACATTGGTCGTTCTTCTTGCAAAGTCCTCGCAGCCAGTGCTTGCACACTATTTTGTTGTGAAATATGGGAAGAACATGCTTGTTCGGACATGAAGTTCCATTTGGACAGGACGATGGGCCTTCTCGTGGATTATAAAACTCGCAAACAGGACGATCGGGGTCCAACGAAAACGAATATTCTTGTCGCAGAAATGGTTCAAATCTGAATGGGTAGTTTGAGGTATCTAGATGGACTTTGGACATCTTCAAATGGTAGTTTTTCAAGATCCGAGAATTGAAAGAAGTAGGTGATGTCTTCCTAAATTTCAAGAACTTCTTATTAATTATGGACGAGTACTTCACGGAAATACCTTATGACAGATGACCATGGAGTAAAAGGTATAAAAAGGCGAAGCTTGGCTGAACTTTTGGGACTCAGAACTCAGTTCAATGTGTGGTCTTAGTTGTTTTTGATTCAGAAAATTTTGGCGCGCTGCTTTTCGGTTTTTTGTAGGTTAGTTTTCATGTCACGATTGCAACACTGACAGTTCTTGATGTGAACCTTGAAATGACGAAAAATTGAGCCTTCAAACACATACAGTAGCTCTGAGTCTCTGCGGTGAGAGTGTAGTATTTGGAATCGTCAAAATGACACCATTATGATCTTTTGAAGACCAAAAGACCTCATGTTCTTAGGATTTTGAGCCCGTGAGAGCGACCAATCAACTTCATGCCCTCCTGAAGCAACACGCAATCATCATATGTTCACTGCTGCCAGGACGAATGTCAGTAGAAAAGGGATCTTGAAACTGGGCTTTTCCCAGATCAACGTGTTGACGTCCACTGTCTCTTTTCCGGTTCTCAAAACGTATTTCGAAAGCCTCCACGTCGATCTTTTGTCAACCAATCCTCTATTTTCAAGCCATTGGATGCCCAGGAGGCCGCATGCCGTAATAAACACTAATGCCGTGGAGATCTTACCGACCAAAACACCGGCCACAACGCCAATTATTGAGCCTAAACACAACTGGCGATAATTCAGCTTGCGAACCTTACTTTCAACCTTGTTCACTGGAACGCCAACCTCATCTGGCAAAGTTTGGTGTCTTTGCTTGACATCGAGAATGGTGTCGTTTTTGATGGCATCTTTGCCCGAATAGTGCGAAAAAGCCAACGCCAAGCACGCGGAGCCTGCAAATCCGGCAATCTTGGGTGTAATTGAGAGTGGAACTCTTGCTGGTTTGTAAAAAGAGTGCGTCGAACTGAAGCGCAAAGGACCAGTTACCAGCTTTTTCAACTGCGTACCCGCAAAGTTTCTGGTGTAAAATGGTCTCATAATATTCATGATTTCCCGAGCTTCAATGTTACAAACGATATATACCTATAAAAACGATAAAACCAGCCTTTGAACTGGTTTGAACTTGTCTTTAGTTCTTCTTCGGTGTAGTGGTAAAATGCTTAATAGGTAGAACTTCCCTTTAAATTGCCATAAGTAACAGTACTTACGTACGATTGAAATGGTATCGAGAGATCCAACCAACTTTGAAGTTCGAGTCTTCAAAGATGCAATGCTGTGAGCGGTGAGACTAAATGAATTCTCAGCTCAATAACAGGACTATTAACACCATGGGTGAGAATGAAATAATAATAACCCCTCTCCGGTGACCAGCTAGCGGAGGAGGGGAAAAAAGTGGTCTGGTGGGAATCAACAAGCTTTTACCATCAGGTCTTGAGCGCTCTTTTGGCGTGTGCCATCAAAAGCGGCCGCCGGTGGGGTATTGTGTGAAGCTTTTCAGCGTTGATCAATCTTTTTTTTCATATCATTAATGCGTTTCGTTGATTTCAGTCATTTCATCTGTCCCCCCACCGTTGCTTATCTTGAAGTCCCTAACAAAGCCCTCAAGCTTCTTCCAGTTGACCTCACGCTCTTGCTTGCGTCTCTGAGTCTCTTTGACCGTAGTCAAGTAGAGAGAATTGCAATTGTCGTACAGCATTGGGTTCGTTTCCAAGAAAATCTTCAAAGCCTTGAACGCCATGGCATGGATGGCACGATTCCAAGAACCTGAACTGATGGCTTGCTCCACCAGCACGTAAGGGTCGGAGGTGCGATTTCCGCTGTCGTCGCCCTGAGACTCAAGGTCCAACTGTGATGTTAACTCGTACAAGGCAGGAAATATGATCGGAAGAATCACCTCAGCGTTTTCAATGCACAGATTGAGAAAGTATTCGTTGTTCCAATAGCTGAGCACCTTTTCGGACACTTGGAAATGTGGGGACGAAATGCATTTTGCAAGTTGGACAAATAAAGGTACTTCGATCTTGATGAACTCCAATGGCTCAATTACCTCGAAAATATCTTCTATCTCGTTGAGAAACATAATTTCCTTTGTAGAGTTGACCTTCGGCCAGTACCTCAGTAGCCCCATGACGACCTCCTCCGTTAGAAGCGGTTCTTTTTCTAAAAATTGAACCACGCAGTATGCCAATTGTGGATGGTACAATGACAGGCACCTAACCTTGTGCATAGGAATTAAAACTCGGACTAAGAAGATTTTGTGCTCTTCCTTTAGCGGTAGCGCAAACCCGTTGATGATCGATCCGAGTATCTCTAGTAACTCTGCAATACCGTTAAATCTCTCGCTTTCGTATACGAATTGCAGGAAAATGTAACTTATGGATCGACGGACAAAACTCCGAAGACTTAAAAATTTTCCGTAAATGCGATGCAATGTGGTCTTCAAACAGTCTCTCTCCCTGATGTCTTCACTGTCGAATAGCTCGAGCAGCCTCAGGATAAAGTCTTGATCAATGTATTGTTTAGCGATCTGGTGGTTGAAATCAGGACTCTCAACGAATCGCAAGAAAAATTCATAAACACATTGCATGTGAGGCCACGCCAGTTCGTTCACCGGTTCGTCTTCATCTGGGTCAAAGACCTCTCCAATAGGGTTTACAGGTGGAGGGATGGGTCTGAAGAGGTTATTTTTAAACATGTTCACAACATGAGCATACATCTCTTCCGTGTAGGCAAATCGATTGGTGACGACAAATTCAATCAGCTCTTGCAGAGTGAGTCGTTTGATCTCTTTGCCCTGGATATCGAAGCTCGGGTCTCCAAAATCAAAGATTGTGTTACACTGGTCCACTTTTGCCAAAAAAAGCGGAATTTGTTCTTCTGGTGAAACATCGTCAAAATGAGGCAGCTTCGTAACCTGCGTGTACCGCGACGGCTCGAATCTTGAAGAAGAATGTCTCTGTGGGCTCTTTATCAGTTCTAAGTCGGCCTCTGGATTTAGTTTGGATGGATTAGGCAGTCTCTCGAAAGAATGCGACGAGCGTGGGATGTCGACGCCGTTCGAAGCGACGCCTCCGTTTGCGCCCTCTTTGGGACTGCTTGGTGTTGCCCCTGGGACAGAAAGAGACATGGTGGCCGAACTCGGAGATAGTGGTAAGGATGCAGCGGCAATTAACGTGGGTTGGGAAGATTTCGAAGGCTGATTGATGTTCCCCATGACCTCCAGTTTTTTCTGGCTTGTCGAAGGTGTCATGGTGGAAGCCTCGCCGTGCGATCCGGTTGACGCAGTAGTGGAGCTTACACCACCAACAGAGGTTCTACTACTACCACTGCCACCGATTTTGGATTTACCATGCTTTGTGGTGCCCGTGGGCGAGCTTGTGCTCGAGCTTTTTTTCTCATTGAGGCCTGATCCGGAATTCGAGCCCGTTTTCTCGCTGGAATTTTTGCTGGACGCAGCCCCCGAGTTGCCATTGCTTGACGACTTCTTGGTCTCTTCTTTATCCTTCTTTTTGCCCCCGGAAGAACTGGATCCGGTGGTTTTCTTGATCAACTTTGGTAAAACGTAAAATGTTAGTATATTGTCCAAAACTCGACCAAATTTCACCGCAAAAAGCCCGGGAAAGTGGCTAGAGCACAATTAAGCCCATGGCTACATCTGTACAAACCTTTTGCTTGAAACCTCGCATCATATTGGGCACCTTTTATGTGTTTTCTGCCGTCTTTTGGTTCCCGGTTCCTTTATTTCTTGACATTGATTATTATGGTCTTGCTCAATCTTGATACATTTCTTTCACCACCCATGTCCGGGTAATGCCTCGAGCTTCGAGTCACATGACCATGCCAGAATCAACCGAAGGCAGCTAAAATGTCAAGGTTGCGAGATACCGCATTGTAAAAACCTCGTTGTGGCCACAGCGTCAACAGTGGCCTTTTGATTGACATGGAATTAGTGTTTGGTATTAATCTAGCCATTCAATATGTGTCAGTCAAACTTTCGTAAATTTTTGAAAAATTTTGATTGCTTGCTACCTGTGTCACACGGCTATGAGCCCATTTCATTAACTTCCTTGCGTCTGCGCGCACCTTCGCGTGCCCAAAATTCGTCTCTATAAATTTCCCATCCTTCGCGTACTTCAGCACTGAAAGCGCGTGGATTGAGTACCAGTTTGACGTCAATAGCACCTATTCGGGGCTGAGATCGCAGTGCTACAGCCTGCCAGAACCGTAAAGTTCCACTTTTCTCGGCCATGCGTGCGGGCAAAGTTTTCGCTGCCACTGCAAGGTTTATGGAAGCAGTGGTGCGACACAACAGTCGAACCAGATCAATTCCCATGTCTGAAACAGAACTTCGCACTTTGACCAGCTTCACGTTGAACTGACGAATGCCCTTGTTTGTGGATGTGAAAAACTTGCGTGGAATCACTATGGTACGGCGATATTCACCGCTCAAGTGGAATAAAATGACAGTCACCAGAATGAAGATCAGCATGAATTGCAATGCGACTTTGTACAAGCCTCGAACTGGCTCCTGTGTGAAGTACAGCTCGTAAAACGCAGCCGCTGCAAGCCCCAACAACAATGCCAAGAAAAGCGTGAACTGCCATTTGAGCGCCTTCTGCTGACGGGCCTGACGCCTCAAGTCGTCTTCGAGAATAAGCAAGTTGCGGAAAATCATCGACGCGGGCGAAATTTCCGTAGAGCTTTTGAGATTTTTGCTCGAGCTACGACTGCTGGATCTTCTTCTGCGCGTCGCCGTGCCATGTGCTGTGCCCGAACTGGCCTGTAATGGTGTCGTTCCCGCGTTCCTATGCGGTGTTTTAACCGGTCTTCTACGGCTTTTCAGCGGGGTCTCGTCTGCGAACTCCGTATAATGGTCGATTTTGACCACTGGGAATCCCTTGTGTTGTTCCACGTTTACCTCTTCGACCGTTGAAGAAACAGTAGAGCCCGTTTTCACACTCATTTTCGCCCCGTTTCCGGAGCTTTCACCGCTCAATTCGTCCGCTGTATCCATTGCGGTGTCCGAGCAGCGCTTGGCTAGTGTGTATTGCACACTCACGGACAATACTGGCTTTAGTTTCAGCACAGATTTTACAGGTTGTGAGCCGATGAGCTGGATCTCAGTTGTCAGATGCTGTTATGGTTATATATATATATAAGTTATATAAATTATGAATATAATTTTTATGATCAACATCACGTGTGTCCAAACGGTAGCTTATCTAATCATCTGGTCACATGCTTGAGTCATGTGATTGAAGCATGTGACAATGTGTACTTGTGAGTCACATGGTCACGAAGATTATTGGTACTCGTCAAAGGTCACATGAAAAGTATTGTTCTCGAGATGAGATGATGAGATGCGATGCGATGAACATACACACTTCCCTTCTCTCTCTCATAGCTTCACCCGCCCAAGAGCAGTAGCATGCCCGTCCACGACTCAATTCAGTGCCACACTCCATGATTGACTACATGCAACAAGTTCTGCGGGCGTTCGAAACATGTACGGGTTGGAACCGAGACAATAGCTACGAAAATATCACCAGCACATCTGAAAATGTGCTGAACTTCAGGATTCCCGAGGGTCTTAAATGCCAAGTTTCGAACAGCTCAACGGCCCACACGTTCTCGACATTTGAGCTTTCGAACCACTCGGTCATTAACGGGTCCCTGGCGTATCTTTACAGTAGTGGAAAAGGACTGGACCGATCTGTTAGCAGTTCTAAAAATGTGCTGTTGCAAGACGCAGTGGAAAGTTACCGGCAAATCCGTCCATTGTATCATAACAAAGAAAGTAGAAAGACATTTGAGCCCTCGTCGCTATGGTTTGGACGCATGTATTACCCGAGCTCTACGTTAGAGGCAATGGTGGTCAAACGATTGAATCCAGAAACACAGCTTGTGGCCAAGTGTCTCAGCAGCCTGGCACATACAAGCGTTTTGACCCTGTACTGGCAGAGGGATTCGGGTCAAAATTGCCAAGAGTGGGTTTTTTCGTCCAATGAAGCCTTGGTAGGGTACCGTGTCTTGCACAATTTCGTGGGTAGCCAATCTAAACTCAATACATCACTGTACAACAACTCGTCGCTTTCGCTGGGCGCAGAGTTTTGGTTTGGGGTCTTGAACACCAGCCCCGCATGCTCAACCACTTTGCGTTATAGCACGCACTCGGCAAATACAGGCAGACCCTTGACTCTGACGTTTTCCTGGAACCCTTTATTCGGCCATGTTTCGTCCACTTATTCCGTGAAAACCTCGTCAAACGCCACCATAAGCACCAAGTTCGATTTTAATCTGTATTCAATAGAGTCCAACCTATCGTTTGGATGCGAACTGTGGAGAAGTGGGCAGAAAGCAGCAACTGTCACAAACGAAAGTATGTTTCGAAATGCTACGCGACGTGCTCAGCCGCGACTTGCCGAGACAAAGGACATGTTCTATCACTTGATGGCAGGCTCTTCGAACTCTCAAAAATTAATGGAAGATCTCAACGTTACGTTTGCATCGCCGCTGAACAAGATACAAAAAGAACGGTCAACGATTCAAAAATTCGAAAAGTCGTTAGTCGATTCTGATTTCACCAGTGTTTGCAGGCTCAGCACCAGTCTCCGAGACCAAAACCTGAAAGTGCTATGGGAAGGTCGGTATAAAGGATTTCTGATTTCTGCTGGAACCGAACTCACGAATGCCCCTCTGGACTTGCCATCAAACATGGTAGACGAAGCAAAGAAAACCAGTTTCTTTAAACCTGCAAAGTTTGGTATTCAGCTACAGTATTCTATGTAAGAATGGAATTGACCTGTCGCAAATACGACGGTAGATGCGCCACAATCAACACGGCGTGGTATATTGGTACTTTATCGCCAATGCTGTATCTATTTTTTTTGACTTAAAACTGCTTGCGTTGACGCTTACTTCTGAACCCAGCTTCATAGTCCTTTAATTCCCCTCGTAAATTTTCCGCCAGCTCACTGTCATCATATGCGTCCAGCTGGAACCACAAATTATAACCCGTGAGCCTGGTTCCGCGCTCCAGTATTGCAGACATTTGCTTTCTTACTTTATCGGCTGGATTCACAGAATTGATCATAATAGTTTGAAACTTTTTATGGATGTTCGTTAGTTTCACGGTCATAGCTGTGTATAACGGTTCAGGGCACTGCGGATCTTCGAAGACATTGTATTCCTCTTCCACTTTTTGATCCTCGTCTTTGTTACCTTTAGCGGCGGCCAATTTTTTGTTCCTCTTTTCCTTGTACTTTTCAACCTCTTTACGATTGTGTATGAGAATCCATGACATCAAATAAGATTCTCCATCCTCTAACGGCTCTAGTATGGCATCTTTCGGAAAGCTGTATCTTTTATTCGGGTTCTCAACATACTCAAAAACAATGTCTGCATTGTCCATATACTTGAGCTGAAATGTTGTCAGCTGCATAGACTTATCTTCTTGTTCAGGTACAGTATCGACGTTTTTCCTCTTTGTATACTTCCGTTTCTGCCGCGGTACTGCCTCGCCATTCGCGGGAGTTCCGTTGGGAGACAGACTCGACTGTGTTTCCGTCTTAATTGGTGGACGTTCTGGTGGTCTGGAGGTTGGAAGTTCTGGTGGTATTATTGGTCTGCTTGTGTCCACAATTTTTCGATCTGTGACATTGGCTTGCACTACTCTTTGTTGCGCATCTATTCTATTTTGGGTCAGCGGTGCGGCCGTTGGCGGTGTTGCAGGCTTCCACCCGGGTGGACTTGGCATTTTTCTTGCCTTTTCAATGTATTTTTTGAACTCTTCCACCTGTTGAGAGGTTGCCCTTCCACCAGCTACTATAACCATTAGCGAATTTAGTTCTGCATTTTTCTGAGCCATAAGATTCAGGTTTGTAATCATTTTTTGATCTTCTGAAGACTGATGAAGAGTTCGCCTTTGTTGAGGCGTATGAGATCGTGACCTGGCTGGAGTAAGATTTTCCTCTTTGCGCGGGCGTCGTTTGACAGGCGGTTTTTTGGCTTCTGGCAGTGCTTGAGCAGCTGTTCCCGGGGCTTGTACTGGTGGTACTACTGACGATTTGAGCTCCAAGACGTGTGATTGCGAGTCACTATCCTGTTTTTTGCCCCATTGTTGCTGTTTTCGGAGCTCTTGCTTCATTTTCTTATCTTCCAGTTCCTGTTTCTTGCGATCCTCCTTTCGACGCTTTTTCTGCTCAATTGCGTCGTTCCACTTCTTCTCAGTCTCTTCGTTCTTTACAATGAACATTCGAATCGAAAAAGCGTGTGGTCCTCCAAACATAACGCAGTCGCAAAGTTTGTGCATTTTTTCTCTGGCAGCACTTGCATCTACACTTTCAGGATCTATCCCTTCTTGTTCTAAGCGCTCTTTTTCTCCTGGACTTAAAAACTGCTTGGACCACAACATATCGAACATTTCTGAGCTGATCCATGTTCTTCTGGAACTCAGCATGGAACTGTACAAAACAGCCGAGTCTCTCACAGAAAGTGGATGCGTGAGAGTCGCTTTGTACTGCGGTAACGATTCGGAAGAAGGAAGTCCCTCGATCAATTGGAATGGCCTTCCGCCATTTTCCTCTACTAACCCGTAAGTGTCCAGTTCTTCTTTCTTCTTGGACTTTCTTGGAGCTCGGGGAGTATCCGGAGCGCTCGGTCTAGTGCGCAGTCTAGTAGAGCGCGACATATGATACTTAGAAGGATTGTTTGGATCGGACTAGCTTGCTAGTTTGTCAAGGTGTGGATGTCCTCATCGCTATGACTTGATATTTTAGAAGCGTAATAAGGTATAACGTGTAATTTCAAACGACTGTGCCGTTAACCAAAATGGCTAGCCCTAATTCGGAAGCCCTAATGCGGAAGGCCTCCGAAGAAAGTTCCGAAATAATTCAACTGGGCCAGATATATGCTTTCAAAAATTCAAGAGATTGAAGGGTTAGTGTTTGGCACTGGAGACACAGCTTTTTTTCAATACTCTTTCCGTCCAGATAAGTAATGACAGTTTATAGATGTCGAAAAAAAGAGGAAATAGCTGAAAGTGGTAGGTGGATAATCTAGGAGCTTGTGCTAAAAAAAAAACCAAAGTGCTGGAGTCACCATATATCATAGACACGGGTTGGGAACTCATTAGCAGAAGACGTTCCATGCAAATAGGCTATCGAGTAAATAACGGTCACGTGATTAAGAATACTCGCGACAATTAGATAAATAGTGATAAGCCTATACTGTGTGAGTTAAGAACATGTCGATTCAAATAGCACATAGTGTAGTATACACTTTAATCACGTCAATTTGAAGCAATTCTTTTGACGCATTTCACATAAATTTCACTGAGAGACGCGTCACGTTTCTTCGATAAAGTAATTTACATATCACTATGTACTAAACAACGGCATCGCGTAACTATATATTAATATATATCTATCTAAATCAATCGCGATGACCCGAGCTAAAAGCTGACCACCGTCCATAAGCTTTCCGTACCCATCATTTCCATCTTCTATTTGTATCAATGAGACGCTCTGCGAATGCGGAAGACTCGGTGGGCGGGACACGAAACGCGGACCAGGACAATGCTACTCTCTCGAAGAAACTCAAGATTGGGCAGGAAGACCTTTCACTTTTCAAACCAGGCTCTATTGTGAGATTACACCTTGAAAACTTCGTCACCTACGCATTAGGTGACTTTTTCTTGTCGCCAGCCCTTAATATGGTCATTGGGCCAAATGGGTCAGGAAAATCGTCGTTTGTCTGTGGTGTGTGTCTTGGTCTAGCAGGGAAACCCGAGTATATTGGGCGCAGTAAAAGGGTGGATGATTTCATAAAAAACGGCGAGAATACAAGCACTATCGAAACAACACTCATGCTTGGTCCGGAAGAGTGCTTCCAAGAATTTGCAAATGAAAATCATACCGCTAAGATCACCCGTATAATAGAGCGTAACGTGAAGAAATCTCGCTACCTTATAAACGGAAAGGAAGTGAATGAGACTAATGTCAAATGGCTGGTGTCGAAACTCAACATCCAATTGGATAATCTGTGTCAATTTCTATCGCAGGAACGAGTCCAAGATTTTTCTAAGTTGAAGTCTGACAAGCTTCTCGTCGAAACGATACGATCCGTCGATGTTAGCATGTTGAACAATCTTGAGGATCTCAAAGCTTTGCAAACAGAAGAGCTGAACTGTGCCAAAGAATTGCAAATAAAGGAGATTCGCCAGTCCGAATTAAGCGCGAATCGTGAAAAACTGGAATCATCTGTGCGCACGCTAGAGATATTTCGCCAAAAGAAGCGAGATTTAGCTATTCATGAAAAGCTTTTACCTTACGCCAAAGTCAAGGATCATAAACTCAGAATTCAAGATCATAAAAACGTCTGCGAAACCTCTAAGCGACAACTCAAGTCGTTGTTGTCTGACAAAAAGCCATTCGGAAATGCGCTGGATCGCGTTAAAAATGAATGTAAGCATAAGCTTAACAAGAAGCTCAAGCTAGAAGAAAAATTCAGAAAAAAGAAGGAGGCGTACAACCAATATGTTGAAAGGTTAAACAACTACCAAAACGAGATAGCTTTGAAAAAGAACGACATTGAGCACTATAAGGGCCGCACTGATAAAATTCGGAAAGACATCAAAAGGAAAACACAAGAATTGCATGAAAAAGAGGAACTGCTGGCAAGTCTCTCTGAGCCCGATGAGACGGAGGTGAATAATTTATTTGACCAAAGGAAAGCTCTTCAACAGAGCATAGCTGATTTTCGCGACAAAATAAGAGATTTAGAATCTGCGAATGAAAGTCTCCAGTACAAGCTTGCGTCTCAACGGGATTCGTTAGCAAGTAAAGCTCAAGGTCTGAAATCTGATGACAAAATCAATGTCCTCGAAGGAAGGGGAGATGGCTTAAAAGATATCCGTGGAGCTGTGCAGTATATTCGGAGCCAGCCCAAGATGTCGGGACTAGTACTAGAACCCCCCATAATGCTAGTTTCTTCAAAGCAGCCCGAGCTCGCAAAATACATTTGGACGTGTGTCGGCTTTGCAAATTCTGTCGCGCTAACAATGGTTGATGCAAACGCGTACGATCGATTCAATGACGAGATTTTGTATAATTTCGGTGTCAACTTGAGGCAGCTGACTGGACAACAATTAAGGTCTCCGCATTCGCTTGCTGAGTTGAGGAGTATGGGTTTCGAGGGCTACATTTCCGATCTGTTGACTGGAGACGCTAGGGTATCGGAAATGATGTGCCAGGTTAGCGGTTTGCATTTAATACCTTTTACGCGGAAGCATCTCAGTGCGGAGCAGCAAGAATTCTTAGCAGCACCCAACGCGAAAGGAGATGTAAAATTCAGGAAAGTCATAGCGGGTAACCGCGTTCTTGAGTTCAAAAGGTCAAATTATGGTGACAAGCAGATATCTTACATTTCCTATCTGGTCAAAGAAACCAACTTTTATCAATCAAAGCTTATATCGGATGAGCATAAAGAAAGAATACTTGAACAGATCCGAGCTATTGAAAATGAAATCAAACGTTGTGACGAAGACACTAACCGAAACAAAAAAAGCATTGGTGAGTTGAAGGAACAAGTTCATACTCTAAAAAATGAGGATGAATCTTTGAAGCATAGAGCTAATCAATTTCATAGTCAAAAGAACACTTTCACCAAGACAAAACAACTAATAGAAACCGTCGGACGCACATTGAAAAGCCTTGAGCGGGAGTCTCTGAAAGACGTAGCCCCAAAGATCAAGGACTGTCAAGAAGGTATTGTTGAAATCATAGCGCGTAAAACTTCTTGCATGAGGGAAATAACCGAATATATGCGCAGCTTACAAGATTTGCAAGATGAAATCGTTGCTGCGACTGTATCCTACATTGAGGCATTCAACAGCGAGCGGTCCATGAACGATGTGGTTGAATTTTTCAATGAGAAAGAGCGTCATTTGCGGGCAGAATACGACGACGCCAAAAGGAACTACGCGTCAATGAAAGAAACACCAGAGTACCAAAGTTGGCTTGCAGCGATTAGACAATATTCAAATGCAGAAAAGCAGCAATTGGCTGCGTTGGCGGAAGAGTACCAGGCCGAAGAAAACTTCAATCTAGCATTTGTTCTTCAAGTCATTGACAGACTGCACTCAGAGATTGCAATGGTTAACGAGGATGAGTCCGCGCTTGAAATCCTTCGTCAGACCGAGAGTGAGCTCGCGTCACTGAACAACACTATTCCACAAATGCGTACAAATCTGCAAAATCTGCGTTCACAAATGCAGACAAATCGCAGTCTGCTGGAGCCGTTTCTCGATAGCACGGTGAAAAAAATCTCAGGTAACTTTTCAGAGTTATTCAAAAATGTTGGAAGCGCCGGAGCTGTTCAATTGGAGAAACCCGCACTGTATAGCGAGTGGGAAATGAATATCATGGTAAAATTCCGCGACAACTCTTCGCTCAAAAAGCTCGAATTTCACACCCAGTCTGGGGGTGAAAAAGCGGTTTCGACGGTTTTGTACATGGTCGCACTACAGGAATTCACGTCTGCGCCTTTCAGAATCGTCGACGAGATCAACCAAGGCATGGACACTACGAATGAGCGTATAGTTCACAAGGCAATCGTGCAGAATGCCTGCGCTGAAAACACCTCTCAGTATATTCTGATCACACCAAAACTGCTGACGGATCTATACTACCACGAAAATGTCCGAATCCATTGTGTCATGGCAGGACCCTGGATGCCGAACCCCAGCGCTGAACCGGAGAAAGCTCAGTTGGGACGAACATCTGCCTACCTAATTTGAAGACTTCTGCAACAAACCCAAAGCCGTGTCAAATCACACTGGGAGTTGGTAACTTGGTATAAAGGTGTCTTTTTGTCTTGCTTGGCTCCGCTAAGATGACAGTATGAATTTTTTAACTGACGGGTCCCAGGAGCATATTAAACAAGCGGGGTCAAAACTACAAATATCACAGTAGAGCATTGATCTTGGTGATTGGATTGTGAAACTGATCTGAGCTGTATGGCAATAACCTTCTTCTCTACCATTGAGTGTCAAGTGCTCATCGACTACTTCGAGGTTTGGATTTCCGTTCATGGTGACTGCTATTACATCGAATTAATAGCATGCCATCGAGAAGTCTAGTCTCAAGAGATGGTGACAAAGTTCGACAGCGATCTAAGCTTTCCTTACGTTGGTCAGCTAACTGTATCATGCGGTGTGGTAGCACAATTCCCAAAGCGCTTTCTGCTGTTTTTTCAACGAGTCGAAAACACCACTTGAGAGCTCAGAATTACAGTCTTCTGAGTAACGGCAGATCCATCTTGTCGAAGAAACCAGTGCGTGATGTTCATCCCAAAAAACCTGCTAGAACTAGATTTGCACCATCCCCAACTGGCAAGCTGCATTTGGGATCTCTTCGAACCGCTCTATACAATTATTTGCTTGCGAAGAGCACTGGTGGATCGTTCCTGCTACGGTTGGAGGACACAGATCAGAATAGATTAGTGCCAGGCGCTGAAGAGAATATCTACGACTCACTAAAATGGTGTGGGATCTCGTACGATGAAGGTCCTCGTGTCAATGAAGATCAATACGGGCCCTTTCGGCAAAGTGATAGAACCGAAATATATCGTAACTACAGCGAAAAGCTGCTAAAGACGGGACATGCGTATCGGTGTTTTTGCTCCAAGGAACGATTGGATGGTCTGCGCGAAAGCGCTCAAAAACTACGTCCTCCTGCCACTTCCAGCTACGACAGGCTTTGTGCAAACCTTTCAGAGCACCAAGTCCACGAAAAGCTCCAGCAAAATGTGCCCTATACAGTGCGCTTGAAATCTCCTGACCAGTACGCACCGTTCCAAGATCTTCTGCATGGTACGGTGAATGTTCAACCGCAGACCAATGTCAACGACAGACGCTACGACGACCCGATCCTTGTGAAATCGGATTCGTTACCAACCTACCATTTTGCGAATGTGGTTGATGACCATTTGATGGAGATCACGCATGTGGTACGGGGCGAAGAGTGGCTTCCTTCGACACCTAAACACATCGCGCTGTACCAGGCATTTGGATGGAAGGCTCCCGAATTTATCCATATCCCGTTGTTGACGTCGTTGAGCGACAAGAAACTCAGCAAAAGACGTGGGGACGCGAATGTGATGGCCCTCAAGGAGCGAGGCGTTCTTCCAGAGGCTCTGGTCAACTTCAGCGTGCTCTTTGGATGGTCGCCGCCCCGTGAGGAAGCGGCCAAGACCCATGAATGTTTCCGTTTGCCGGAATTGATTAAACTTTTCGATCTCAATAATTTGACCAAGGGCAACGCCAAAGTTGATGAAAAGAAACTGTGGTTTTTCAACAAGCATTATCTGTCGGAAAGATTACAAGATCCCGAGCAATTAGACCGCATTGTCACGGAAATTCACGAAAAACTCTGTGCCACGGTTGGTGAAATCGACAGGTCTCGGGTCAAAGAAGCTCTGGTGCTTGTGGGTAACTCTTTGACAAAACAAGACGACCTGCTTTCTGACTTTTACTACCTTTTCGCGAAACCCAGGTTTGAAAACAACCCGCACGTCACCAAGTTCATGCAGAAACAGAATCCAAACCAAGTCCGCGTGATTCTTCATGACGTCGACAACAGCCTAGCAGAATCATCTGATATTACGGCACATATCGATCAGATTGCAGAGCACTCTGGTGTTCGCAAAGGTGTGGTATATGAAGTTGTGCGCTTTGCATTGGCCGGGTCGATTCCAGGCTTAAAAATACCGTATTTGGCTCAATTTTTGGGCTCAGAAGAAACTAAAACCAGGGTTCGTGAGGCCTTGAATTGGCTGGATGTACTGGACGCTGCCAGTTGATCGAGTCGCGGATAGTGGCTCGATACAACTGTTGAACTCTGAGCTTTGCAAGATCTTGGTCAGTCACGAGACCTTTATTTTTTTCCCAGTGTGCTAATTTCAATGAATTTACTAGAATTGAACTCTTACCAACCTAGGCCTAAGAAGCTCACCATAAGATCTAATCAAGATCAACAACATTATCGATTGCAACGACCCTTTGAGCCTTTTAAGTGTTCTTAAAGTCACCAATTTAAAGACTTACCGAGTTCTCACCAACTAGCAAAAAAACGAAAAGACGCACACCTTATGTTCGCTGCAATTGCATCGGGAAACCCGCTGCAACTTTCTACAGAAGTTCCGAACTCAAACAATCTGCAGCACACAATTGTGCTTTCGTCCACGAAACCCAAGTCTTACTCGCATATTACTACTTTCATCCTCCCAAATGTGACGTTTCCAGCGGAATTTGCAGGTACGGTTTATTTCAAGTTGAGCCCTGCTGAAGAGTTCAAGTTTTTTGGTTATTTGAGTGCCGATAAGCCTAGTGCGATTTTCAAAGTGAGGATGCCCAACTTGAACGTTTCTGCGGCCACTGAGCCGGGCGACGGTCTCGGGGAAATCGACATGGAGGATGAAATACCTGGTGAAGAACCCACATCGGGAAATATCTCGGAAATCATAATAGGGATTTCGATCGAACCAAAAGACCAGGCCCTAGCCAAAGCCCAAGAGCTTAAATTGCAACAAAACGCCCCTGCAAGCTCGACGTCGCTCGTTGTGGCCCGTGCCAATAATCCAACATTAGCAGTGACGAATCCAGGCGAATTGGCTAGAATGTATCCTTTGGTGACTCAACAGCTGGCTGCAAGAATTGTCAAACACGCCCATAACTACCTTACCGGATTCTTGGACCCACAGGGCAACGTTCCCATCAAGTGTTTCGATAACTGGTGGACCAAGTTCAAATCACGGCTTCAGATGGACGCCCAGTTTTTGAACGAGGTAACAGAGGACTAGCGCTGAAAACCCAGCCTTACAATGCCGTTGCGGCACGTATTTACGATCACTAATGACACTTACTTTAATAGAAGAACACCTAGATACTTTTGTTTTTTCTCTTTTGATCTTACGGGCCTCTAAAGCTCGTCGTCGAATCTCTTGATGCGTTGGGCAAGAGGATTACCAAACACCAAGTGTCTGCTGTCTATCAATGCTCTGTCAAACTCGTCCTGCTCGAGATCTCTTTCCTGCAAGCCGTTGCTGAGACGCTGTTGCCTGTGCTCGGACTCTTTGGCCAGCCAGTTGAGGAAGGAAGAATCGACTTTGACGCTTTTCCCAAATCCCTGTTTGATCCGTTGCAGGCTGTTAAGGAAATTGCGGACATGCAATTCATCTACGTCCTGGTCTTGAATTCCCATGGCGAACTCGTCAACCCATTTCTGGGCTTCATGTGCGGAATGACTCGATCTTTTCTGTAAAGAGTCAAGATTGCTGGCAGAAAACAGTAAAGATGCAGTCTCGAGTGCTCTTATCTTGATTTGAGAATCACCCCAATGGCAAAGTCTTAGTAGAACGGAATCGTCGAGATCTGATGAATGCTGGGACATGGCTTGCACAATAGACAAATACCGCTTAACCAGGACACCACGTTGGCCCTTGGGAGGCCCCGTTATCAGCCCACCTATTTCTCTAAAGATGGCCTGAGTGAAACTTGGGTCAACGCTTTGGACATACGACACAGCCGGTGGGTTGTTGCGCAAACAGGCCGTCAACATGCTAGAAACAAGCACTTTGCTTGACAATGGGGTGTCCTCAGACATGAGCAGTGATTTCAAAAGTCCAAACTCGTGGCTGACAATCTTGTAGCCGTGTTTGAAATCGTGCGAGAATTCGAGCAAATCGTCTACCGTTGCATCGATTGTTGGATAATCTTTGGTCTTAAGAGAAACTCTGATTTTGGTGAAATCTTGACTAAATTCGTAGCTCGAGTTTTCATCAGAGTTCTGGGTATCTTCTTTCTGTTCTTTTGGCTTCGAGCTAAGTTTGGCTTCCCGCAGTCCTGTTTCCAGGTCCATCCTGATGTCCAAACCAGCTACAATTTGTTGTTCTGGTCTAACTTCTTGCCAGTATTCTTGAGCTTCAAAAAGCTTGGGATAGCACTCGTCTTGGTTGCAAATAATGTCGTCTTCTATGAACAATTGGTGATCGTTGTGCTCTTCTGAAGACGTTTTAACAACGTTAACAGAATCTTTGTTCGCTGAAGTTGTTGGTGAAAGCGTTATAAGTTCGTTGGCCACAGTTGCTCCTATAACGAAGGGTATCCAAAGCATTCTTTGAGCTTGACTAGCCTGCTGTGAGGTGAGTTCTTCTAGCTTTCACGAAATACGTCTACTTCTTGTAAGAATATAGGTTCATTAGATATAAAGCTAGTGAACATCAGAATAGGACAACTTGTCTTTTAGAATAGAGAAAAGCGGGTCCTTAAGATCCCAACAAGCGTGTAGCCATCATCTAAGAGTAGTCTATCATATTTCACAGTTCTATATAGCTTTCCAAGCGCTCATTTCGCAGCCTTTTCGATAGCAGACTTGATGTCGTCGAGCAAGTCATCGGTGTCCTCGATACCGACGGAAAGTCTGACGAGGTTGTCGAAAACGCCGCTGGCTTCTCTCTGGTCCTGTGGGATGCCGCCGTGGGTCATAACGGCTGGAACTTCCAAGAGAGATTCGATGCCTCCAAGAGATTCGGCCAATGTGAACAGTCTGGTGGAGGAAGAGAATTTGGCGGCTGCTTCGGCACCGCCCTTGATTCTGAACGAGATCATACCACCACCCAAAGCATCGCGGTGCTGTTTCTTGACCACGTCGTAGTTGGGGTGTGTTGGCAAACCTGGGTAGTTCACGGACTCAACAGAGCTGCTGTCCGCCAGGAATTGGGCGACCTTGGCAGCAGATAGAGAGGCTTGTCTGACACGCAAGTGCAAGGTCTTCAAACCTCTGTGGGCCAACCAGGCGTCGAATGGCGAAGGAATGGCACCAATGGCGTTTTGTAGAAATTGCAGTTTTTGGTGCAGCGATTCGTTGTTGGTGGCCAAAACACCCATTACCACGTCGGAATGGCCGTTGATGTACTTGGTGGCGGAGTGGACCACCACGTCGGCGCCGAAATCCAGCGGGTTCGACAAATAAGGCGACAAAAACGTGTTGTCGACGACAAGCAAGATCTCAGGGTCGATTTTGCGCACGGTCTCGCTAACAAGAGCGATATCGGTGACCTTTAGCGTTGGGTTTGTTGGAGACTCAATCCACACCAGTTTGGTGTTGTCCTTGACCAATTGGGGCAGTTCTTTGACCAAGTCGTTGGTGAAAGTAGTTTCCACGCCGTGGGCATTGGCGACTTTGGTGAAATAACGGTGGGTACCACCGTAAACGTCGCCAATCGAGACCGCGTGGGATCCCTGGGGCAAAGATTGCAAAATGACAGCCGTGGTAGCAGAACCCGATGAGAAGGCTAGACCGTATTTAGCATTTTCCAATGCTGCCACGGCGTCTTCGAGGTTTTTACGGTTAGGGTTTTGAGAACGCGAGTATTCGTATTGACCCACAGGCTGAGCTGGAGCATGTTGTTTGAAAGTGGTCGACAACGAAATTGGTTCAATCACCGATCCATGCACATCGGTGTGAGCACCGGCGTGAATGGCTTTGGTAGCGAATTTATCAGAAGAAGAAACGGTCATTGTAAAGAGAGTGTGGTGAAAGAAAAGCGCGGATGGTTTTTCTCTGAAGTTGTGGTAGTAGCACAATTGTGAGAATTTCAGAAATAATACCGATGCTCAAGAAAACTAGCCAAAACTCACGCCCGATGGTTCTGTTCTTACTTTCTTTGTCCAGTTTTTATTCACCAATTTTTCACTGGCACGGCACACTCACTGGGCGCGCCAAAACCTGGATGGGAAAGCCACACCGAAAAAGACTTCTCACCCTATTACCATTGTGACGCTGAATTGTCACGAGAGAGGTCCTCAAGGTGTTGGTGGTTCTTAGCAGCTGACAAACGACGAGTGTTGAGCGTCAGCATTGGGAAACGGCTACACCAACGACAAACAATTAACTTTACGACAAGAAGGGGTTTTAAGATGCGGAAAAAGAGTGAATGGGTGTTTTGCAATACGTTTGAATTTTTACATTTGTCAGAAATGCGGTAGGAGCGATGGGAATGGCGTTGTAGTGCGATTTTGGAATGCAGGTCTGTGAATAAGATGATTTTTCAAAGATAAATTGGAAAATTTATTGAGATTGATTAATTAGCTGGGTAGAGAGAAGGAGGAGAGGGAAGGAAATTTACGGTTTGGTTTAGGGTGGGTGAGGGAGAGATTTTTTTGATGTGCGACAGAAATGGAAAAAAGTGATAAGACGGGTGAGAGAGAGTTGAACGAGAGAGACATATGGGATTCAATGCTAGAAGAGGTGTGTGTGGGTGTGGGGGTGTAAGGGTGTAAGGGTGTGAGGGTGGAAGGGTTTTTTCATTTTCTTTTTTCTTCTTCTTTTTTTTCGTTCAATATGTCTAAGAAAAAGACGTTTACCAAAAACATGTGGAAAGAACCCGTTTGGGTGGGAGAAGGTGGAGACCCGATGGATGAATCATCCTGTACGAACAATTGTGGGTCTTTCTTGGTTCGGGGGGGGGAAACCAAAAACATCATCATCATCATCATACTTTACGAACCAAATGGGTCCTCATTTAGAAAGAAAAGACCCGTATCATACTTTACGAGCAAAATAAAAAAAAGGTGGGTTCCTTTTCACTTTCTACGGGACCCATCCGGGAAATGGGTCGTCACTTCAAACGGAGAAAAGTGGGTCTCATGTCCTATACCCACCCACTCACACATGACTACAACTCCTCTATCCTTCCTTCCCAATTCTCTTAACACATTCCTAGCTCTCCTCTCCTCCCCAAAAGCTTTCGTTTCTTGTTGTTCGCTTTCTCGTTATCACTTTGTTCCATTGTGTCACATCAAGCCTATAACACACTCTCACTTTTTGCAAAAGCAAAGGCACACGCACACCCCGTTTACATTTTGCAATAGCACAAACCCGGCATTTTACACCCCATTACTCTTTTCCATCATGGGGCACGTGACCTGTCTCTCTTCTTCTTTTTTTAGTGGAGTATCACGTGCATTCCGCTTATTTTCCCCTTTTTTTTGCTACCGGTTCTCATCACGTGAAACGGGCGCGCCCCTTTTGGCTTACCTAATTCATGGAACCTCATGGAACATTGTTCGTCACATGTCCTTTTTCCTTTTTCCCTCAAAACAAGTTCCAAGAACTATAAAAGGGACAAGAGATCAACTCCAAGATCCCATTAACTCAAAACCACTTCTATCTTCTACCGTTTATAGTTCATCTTAAATCAACTAATCAGTACTTTATAGTCCTACTCCCATTTCATCGGATAAAAACTATAAAGCTTCACTACTGTCTATATTCCCCCACACATCTTAATACCAAAACACAACTCACAATGGTTCCTCCACAAGAAAAGAAGCTAAAGCAATCCAACTCTTTGGAACAGCTAAAGGCTACCGGCACCGTCGTTGTCTCCGACACCGGTGACTTCGAATCCATCGCCAAATACACCCCTCAGGATGCCACCACCAACCCATCGTTGATCTTGGCTGCCGCCCAAAAGGAAACTTACGCCAAGTTGATCGACACTGCCGTCCAATACGGTAAGAAGAGCGGCTCCACGCTAGCAGAACAGACCGAAAACGCCGTCGACATGTTGTTGGTGGAGTTTGGTAAGGCCATCTTGCAAATCGTTCCTGGCCGTGTGTCCACCGAAGTCGACGCCCGTTTGTCCTTTGACAAGGACGCCACCGTGAAAAAGGCTCTCCACATCATCAAGTTGTACGAATCGTTCGGAATCAGCAAGGAGCGTGTGTTGATCAAGATCGCCTCCACTTGGGAAGGTATCCAAGCCGCCAAGGAATTGGAAGAGAAGCACGGAATCCACGTCAACTTGACCCTATTGTTCTCTTTCGGCCAGGCCGTTGCCGCTGCCGAAGCCAAGGTCACTTTGATCTCGCCATTCGTGGGTAGAATCCTCGACTGGTACAAGAACAGCAAGAAGCAAGAATACACCGCTGAAACCGACCCTGGTGTGATTTCCGTCAAGAAGATCTACAACTACTACAAGAAGCACGGCTACAACACCATTGTGATGGGTGCCAGTTTCAGAAACACCGGAGAAATCCGCGCTTTGGCCGGTGTCGACTTTTTGACCATCTCTCCAGGCTTGTTGGAAGAGCTCATCAACTCTGAAGAGCCTGTTCCTCAGGTCTTGGCACCTGAGTCTGCCAAGGCTGACGGTGACAGCAAGGTTTCCTTCATCAACGACGAAGCTGCTTTCAGATTCGACTTGAACGAAGACGCTATGGCCACCGAAAAGTTGTCCGAGGGTATCAGAAAGTTCTCTGCCGACATTGTCACTTTGTTCGACTTGATCGAGACCAAGATTCAACAGGCTTGAATTCCAGAATAAAAAATCGCACACACATTAGCGCACTTACACCCTCAATAAGGGTTTATTAATGAAATACTTTGAGATGAATACAAATACAGATCACGAATGTTAAACCAACTTAACCAAACCCTTGGACTACTCCACTCCTTCTATGTTTAAAAACTTATATAGTCTTGAAGAATGAGTTCAAAAAGCATGTTCATTTAATGTCGGCGTGTGTTCGTCGAGATCGGTTGTCAAGAACGATAGGATCGTGCTTCAAAACAAGACTTTTTCGATTGACTCTAAAATGTGCTTCGGTGATGGCTGGTTTAATTGTTTTAGTAGCTGGTATAAGCGATTGCTCAATTATTGGCTCTTGTAGCGGCCCTTGTGCATTGTGATTAGAAAAGCCGGTTGTCAATTTTGAAGTTAAAACATGATCCGGGTTCTCAATTGTAGCTACCTCTTTATTGTAGGATTTGGGAGCTTTAGGATGCTTCTTGGATGTGGACATATCGATTGCTAGCGATATAGGTTCATTCTTGATCATCGATTTCGCTATTTTCTTGTTTTCCACCTCAGAATTCAAATCCAAGCTCTTGGAGCTCGATGGTGCTTTGAGTTTCGAGCGAACGTTAATCTGGGTTCGTTTGGCAAGTGGTCGTCGGAATGGCTTATTAAACTTCAATGCCAGACTATCGTTATGACGAATGACGGGAGTTGTGAATTTGCCAGATTTCGCCTGACATGGTTCCGAATCGATAGCATCTTCAGTGTATTTCTTGATATTGTAAGAGACTGACAATTCCCTAGCCTTCCCACTGATATCTCTGTCGTATTCGCACTGTAAGCAATCGATCAAAACCAGAAATTGACCAAAGATCTTATGTTCCTCTTTGTTGAAGCCGTTGGCGTTCAGAATATGCTCTACTCGACGAGAGCTCGTTATGATTGTGCTGCCCAGCAGCATTCCTCCCTCCAAGGAGAAAAGTTGGAATTTATGGTTTAGTTGGTAATATTTCATTCTTCCATCGTGCCATGACTTGTGTTTCTTGTGTATTTGATCGGTGTATTGACAGTAGTACTCTCGAACATGCGAGATTTGCGTACCGTACGTTGCCATCAACGTCCAGTACTTACACGGCAAGACTCCAGCCTGTGTTTTTGGTATAAGATCGGATTTGAGTAGGTTATAATTGAAGATCGCTGTTCCAATGTCCAAAACGATTTGATGTCAAAATCACCAAAAGGTTTTCGAGTTGGTACCAGAAGCTCCAATCGACCAGTATTTTGAATTCAAAACGGTTTTGCTTAGTCTCGTTGCTCTTACTTGTATTATTTAACTTGTACTCTAACGTCAATGACTTTCATTATCCAACAGTGATAAAGTCTCTAGACGGCGTATGATTATGGGATGGACATTGAATTAGTGGTTTCTTTCCAAAATAGTGAATTAGAGGAGTCCTTAGATATCCTTTTCTATATTCGCATTTTTTGCGCGGTAGTGCTTTCCGTACTTCGATGAGAACTGACACCGATGGCATCAGTGACATTTTAGCTTCACACCTGCTGGTCTTGCAAGCTCATCATCCGGATGGTGAAAACGAGCAGACAGGTATTGCTGTTGTGTGTGTTGTTAATTGATTCTGGTCTACACAGTGGTAGGCCTGCATTGCTGTTGTGTATCTTGTTATTTGATTCTTGTCCTCACGAAGGTAGGCCTGCATTGATCAGAAATCTCTATGGAAAGCCAGAGTTTGCTTGATCGGTAGCTTTTCTTGTGCTTCAAACACTCTGTACTTCCAATCTTGTCATTGACGCGATAGCCCAACGCCAAACCCGATTCCGATGCAAGCCAGAATTATCAAGATTTCCAAAATACCCAAAAACAAGCACAAATTGCGAAACCATCGCAAATTCACGTTCCATATAAATCCTCCCGCGATTCCCTTGCGGTACTGCTCGTTCATTATCATCTTCATCAGTTTCTTATCCGGCAAACAGCGCAGTGGTCCAATCCCAATTATGAAATATAATGGAGGCATCAGAGCGCAAACCAGTAAGACGCAAAGTATTCGCCAAACACTGAACATGTGCTTGTATCGGCCAGCGCTCGACTGAAAAGACGATTCTGATGGTGTATCATTATACTGACCGGAGCCTTGGTGTTTTTCTGGATCTTTGCCTGCTAGAGCATCCCGGTACTGATATATCTGCTGCAGACTGCCATCGTGGGTGTCTCTGTAGGGATTCGCGACTTTTTCTGGATCGGGACCTACCTCTTTTTGAAGCACTGCTTGTCCTTCTCGTACTTTAGACTTATCTCTCCTTGGATTGTGCGTACTCGCGGACGGCTTTCGGAGTGCAGGTATGGTTTGAGGCGTTCTCCCTATCACAGCTTGTGGCTTTTCTGGTTTCTGATGCGGCGCCACTAATATTGAGGTTAGCAGAGATGAATGTCGGGGACCCCTTCTTGCCTTTCGCGTTTGAGAGTACTGCGATGTGCGGTCACTTACGTGACTCTGCAAAGAGCTCTGTGAAGGCTTCTTCGAGACTGTACTTGACGGTGCTGTAGCGGTTCTTGGATCTGTGAGCTGCGCAATAGGAACAAAGGATGCTTCCTGTCTAAATAATCGCACAGCTTCCTCGATTGATGGATTCGAACCCTTTTCATGACTCTTGTCACTTTCCTCATCACTAGCTTCAATAATTTCGTGGTAAACAGGAACTATGGGCGTTGATAGGTCTATGTTGGCGGCATTGTCTTCCCCATAATGAGATGATGACCTGGCATCTGGTCGTGATATGTTGGAAGATCTTCTGATGCTGTCCGCCTCGAGCAGTGAGGTAGATATGGTTCTTCGGCTATCGCGATCAAGATCCGGAGGCATGTGCTTCAAGCGTCTGAGAGGCAGATCGTTTCCCCAACTGTCATTGTTTCCAGAGCCTCTGTTTGAGCTATCTCCGCTCAAAACACGGCTTCTAGTGCCACTTGACTTATCTGAAGCATCGAGAAAGTCCGTGCTAACAGTGTCGGTGCTTTGGTTTCGGAGACGAACAGGAAACCCTGGACTTTGCAAAACTTGTCTACTAACTTTCATAGCAATACCTCTCGAGGTGCCATGGGTTGATGTTGTTGGGGGTTCTTGTACGAAAATCTCCGAGTGTTCGCTGTGCTCATGGTTATCTTCAGAGTGGTCAGAACTGTCGCCCAAGTCCGAAAACCTGGCATAATCGACGTATACGCTCAAAGATGGTGCTCCGGAGTCGGTGGATGGCTCGAACGACTCCTTAAAGTATGAATCTGGTTTGGTAGGTGCTTCCTGACCCGTTAGCCATATCTGGCCGTCTGTGGAACCCGAAGATCCGCTCGTGTCTGCGCTGGAGTCTTGATTTTGAGACATAAGAACTGCTCTTGAATGTATTTTGAAAAATCACTGATTAACGAACTGTAAACGGATCAGACTCATGCCAAGACACGCAGAGAGCTGGCGTGTGAGTGTTCACGGTAAAAGCCTACCAGCAAGCTAATTCTATTGACCTCGAGATCCTGCTCGGGCTCACTTTTGACTTGAACTTCAAAAGTGAAGTGTTTTTCTTTTTCTTGACGTAAAATAGGCTTCAGTTGCCCGTTGGAATCGGAGAAAGTTCCTTGGTACTATCTCCTGCCACTTCTAGTCCGCTTGAACAGCCAATTGAGTCACCAGAGCGTCTAGTTCTGCTGAAATGTGGTATCGATGCCCTTTATCAATGCCATTCCTGTAGTGATGGGATAATTAACATTTTTCACCGTAAACATTCAAGTCCTTTCGTCGTTGACGATGTCCTGATTGGGTTAACATATGGGAATAGTCAACAGTAGGCAAGAATCCAGACTCTTGACGACAGTAAAAAACGAAGATGCTTTCGATTGTGATACAACCGTTGAACTCGGCGGTAATAATTATTCTCTAAAGGCCATATTATCACCAGGCTTTTTTTTGGCTTCTCAAAATACCCAAAAAGTCGTCGACTGGGAAGTTAATTTCAATGATGACGTTTTATAAAAAACTTGGTAGTTCTTCCAGCCTTGCAGGTGAATTTAGTAGTTTGGGCAAATATCCTGGACACCGAGTTTTCTTAATTTGAGAGTACCGGATTAGTCGTATGCTATATCTCGGAGTGTACAAAATTTGTCTTCCGGAATATGCAAGCCCTTCCCGACACTACTTGCTTTTCAAGTGCGTCTTTCTCGTAAGTCATCCGCGATTTGAAATATAGCTTCGAGATGTTCTTCTTCAGAACGACCCTGTCTACTCAAATGCAGGGCATCTGCGTCTCTTTGATCGTCCTAGTTTTTATTATTTGTGGTAACTCTCAAACTCATAATTCAAAGACTTGAGGTTTTGATGACAGTGGCTTCCCTAATCTTGCGTCTCAACTTCACGATTTCAGACTGTAGTATCGGTACATGCCACGCTCCAAACATCCGAATACGTTGTACTCGGTAGCTACCACCAAATGCATGTAATAAGTCTCCGAGTACCCACGCATTTCGCTGCGTGATGAAATCTCGGAAAATTGAGAACTACTCGATCTCAAGAGTCTGGCAATATCCATCTCGGTCTTTCGAGAGTCAAGTGAATGCTCACGCCCAGCACGGTCGTTCAACAGGCATAGCGCCGACCTGCGACGCTGTAACTCCGGCGTATCAAAATACTCAGCATCTGTTTCGACCGGTGGCATCTGTTCCTGTAGGTTGATAATTGAGCGATCCCAGTACAGACCATTCCTTGAGTTTGGAGGTGTTGGGTCTACGCTTTCCTCCATAGTGCTGTTTCCAGATTCTTCATTGTGCTCATTATCAATCACTCTCCACCCACCGGGCAGTGACACTGGAGTTTCTTGGGGCGATGCGATTACAGGGCTAGTTGCCAGACCCTTATTTCTGCTCAGAAACCGGGAAACTGGCGGCTTGTGGTCTCGGTAGGTGAGGTTTCTTCGGGCTCGACTTTGAGCGACAAGCCCGCAGCCAAGCATGATCTTCGTTTGTGCAAACTTCAAAAAATCAGGGTGTGACACAATATCAATAATCTTGTTACCTTGGGAATCGTATCTGGTCAAAAACCCTCTTGTCTCAAGGTCACCTCGGTTCAGATAATCGTCAGTCTTGTAAATCCAATGCCTTCTGCCATATGCAGATCCAATGTAGCATTTCCATTTCACAGGCGGTGCCAAAGAATAGTCCTGGAACAGCGAAGATCCGTTTGATAGTCTACAAGTGATTTCATGTCTTGGGTTAGATGCCTCGATTTGCTGCCAAGGATCGAACGACATTTCGAGGGCACATAAGCTCTGTGAATGAGAAAAGATTGTGGGATCCTGAATACTCCATCTATTAATGTAGGAGTTGTTTACTATGTTGAGAAACTTCAAATGCTGATCTGTAATCTCTTTGTTTTCAAGTGGAGACAAAAAATGCGTTAGCTTGGGAATGGGAACGTTGTTGTCTCTAATGCTCAGGCTTTTCAGTTGGGGGAAATTTAGTTTGATAAAATGGAGAGTGTCCTGGCATTGCCAGTAATGCGTAGACTTGACAGCAGTAATATCGTCGTTGATGTACATGGGCATCCCGCCAATGTTTAGATACTGCAGGGTTTTGTTATGGCCATAGAAGCACAGCTTTTTCAATAAAAACATCAGTTGTACGTCTGTCCAAGAGGACGAGTGGGAATGAACCTGAACATTAAGCCACTGCAGGGTCGAGATGTTGTCTTTGTCTGTTACTGCTGGGTGATAACTGAAGAATTCTAAAACCCCCCTAGGAGTAAGCTGCGAGCACATTGCCAATGACAAATGTGTTAAGTTCTTTAGATGTGGAACATCACTAATCAGGGTACGATCGTCTATTGCAGTGCGGGTCAGGTCTAATTTCTGGAGCTCTGGAAGCGTCATCAACAGCCGACCTAAAGTTTTGGGCTCAATTGTGGTACAGTCGTTGAGACCGAGCGCTGTCATTTGATAATTATACGCAATTGGCTCACTACTGCTGTACAGTTGATCTACTGCTGCCGTGAAAGTCCTGGTGAAGCTGTCTTGAGAACAACCACAAAAGTCAACAACGCTGAGGACTGTGCCTGGCCTCAAAAGGAAATTGATGATGCGTTGGTCAAGATCTGCCTGGATATGCTCACTAGCCAGAAATTCCCGAAGACTGTTGCTTGTGTAGCCCAAAAACTCCCATAGTGTTTCATTTGTGAGATTTTTGATGCTTTTGTTCATTTCGCCTGTTCTTCCGAGCCCAATAGATGTTAGTTCTTGAAAGTCCGCAACTTCAATGTAACGCAAAACCTCGGGACTGCTTCTTAACGTTTCTAAAAGTTTGTGGAAACCTCTGGCAGAGGTAAAATTGAGGTATCGATACAGCAAAACTCGGCAGATGTGGTAGAAAGTCCTGTTCACCGTTAGGTTACTCCGCAGAAATATTCGCAAGTTTGAATAGAACTTCTCGGGACTGCTGGGGTGATCATTGGACATTAAGTCATAAAACTGGAATGTCAGCACCTCATATACTATCTCAGGTGGCAGAATCATGGTTGCTTTATATACTTTTGTCGTCAAGATCCTCAGTTCACTGAAAGATGCAACTTTCGACAGAGGTTATATAATAAGATGAGATGAGATGAGATAATGCTAAACAAATGCTTTAAAAACGTCAAAGGTAGAAACCGAGGAAACCACGGCTTATAGGCCTGGATATACCATCAATGAGCGCAAACTATCTAGAATAAAATGTGACGATATGCATTGCAGAAAAACCCGGATCGATTACGGTCACTGCAAGGGCTTTCCAACTTCTTCGAATAGCATCTGCTTCAAGGTATCCATGGAAAGCTCGCTTTCTTCGGAGGGCTGTTTGATGTTGTTATCCATTTTCCAGAATGGGTCGTTCAAGTTCAATGACGAATACACTGGCTCGTCTTCAGGATCGTGGTACACTTGCAAGTACGGATGGCTGAGAGCATCGGCAGCGCTGATACGTTTGTCTGGATTGAAAGTAAGCATTTTATCGAGCAGATCCGCTGCAAGCGGGTTCAAATTCTGGGTTTGCAGCACCACTTGCCACGGGAGCTTTTGCCGCAGCGGCAAATTGGCTATGTATTCCTTGGCCCGCTTAGAATTGATGTTTTCGAAATCCTCGTAAGATGGGGTTCCCAGCACCTCCAGAATCAGCCACAGTTGATGATGATAGTCACGGCCAGGGAATAAGGGCTTCCCTGTAATCATTTCTGCCAAAATGCACCCGCAAGACCAAATATCCATAGCCGTTGTGTATTCCTGGAATGTCAGCATGATCTCGGGGGCTCTGTACCAACGTGTTGCCACGTACTCAGTCATGAAACCAACCAGGTTTTGTCGAGAGTGCGTGCTGGACGCCAGACAGCGTGCAAGTCCGAAATCACATACTTTGAGATCGCAATTGGAATTGAGCAGCAGGTTGGAAGGCTTGATGTCTCGATGGATGACCTGGGCACTGTGGATCGCTTTCAATGCCCGCAGAATTTGATATGTAAAGTACTGGATGTGGTCATCCGTGAGGCGGGACCCGCTACCGTTGATAACCTTATGCAAATCTGTTTCCATCAACTCCTGCACCAGATAAACGGCCTGGAACTTATCCATCGAGAGTGGTCGCACCACGTCTAACACGCTGATGATGTTTTCGTGACTGTGGAAAAGCTTCAGAAGTTTGAGCTCCCGCAATGTTCTTGTCACGAACATGGGCTTACTGAACGGTTGGATCTTTTTGATGGCCACTTTCGTAGCAGAGGGCTTGTGAACAGCGGAGCAGACCGTCCCGTATGCCCCCTCTCCAATGAGCTCCACCAATTGGTAGCATGACGGAATGTCAAATGTGATTGTGCGAGCCATTGAATTATGGAAACGATGCAGCTGAAACGTTGGAATGAACAGTAAAACTCGATAACTTCTCTAAAAGCACCAAAAGACCTCGGATTCGGCTGCAGAAAAGTTCTGAAAGATCACAAACACTACGCTCGAGCCAACTGGTTATTGCAGGAGACGGAAAATGAAGTACCCTTCGCAGGGTTTTATACTTGATGTTCGAAAATGTGAATGAAACATTTCGTAACTTTTCCATGTAGTAATAATTATTGGTGATGCCAAGGCCTGTTTGAACTTTAGAGATGAGGTCACATGGGGGAGGCTAAAAACAAACAAGAACAGCGTTGGGTAAATCAAGGCTTGAATGTAATGGATGAGAGCGTGCTCTCCTGAGATTTCATGATTGTCATGGTGTTTCATTCCGTGGTTGAGTTTGACAGAAAGCCAGATGAGTGGAATTCCATTTTCGTGTACGGTGAGCTAACGTCAAACGCAACCAAATGTATAAGTAAGACTGCGAAACTTTAATTGTGGGCCCTGATTTTACAGTTACACTGCTTAATTCTGAGCTCTTAAGCAAAAGCGTCAAGTAATAGAGGCTTTCAGGCGTTTTTAGAAATACTTCGGAGGTAGAAAAACCCATATCACTATGTACTAACGTGTCGCCCAGGACTTCATTATTCGAACAGCGCTCGAAACACAGTTTCAAGTACTGTTGAAGAACAGCTGAATTTTACTCAGGTATATTTTCTTGGTCTACATTCATTGCTTGATGTATTGTAACATTTTTAGCCTCAATTTGATTTTCTCGGCCCCTTCTCCGCTCAATTATCTAGTCGAAAGTCGAAAATCGGATAGATGGCCAAGTAAGTTGATTAATAGCTTTCGTCATATCTCTCTATCTATAAAAGAAGATCTCACCAACGTCTTTTCACTCAACATCGCTCATCAGAAAGTCCATAAACCTAGGATTATAGTGAAACCGAAACTCGATATTATATCTTCCTTCTGAATCTATCTCGATTGGAATTTTACCAAACAAATCTCGCGATTCAAGCCTGCTTTCAGCTCTATTTTCAAGTCAGCGAAGTCCATATCTCTCCAGTGATCTGCAACAAGAAACCAAGAACCAGAAAAAATGAGTGTCTTGAAGAGCAAAGTTAAGATCGCTTTGATCCAATTCGCCTGCGGATTGCCCGATAAAACTGTGAACTTCCAAAATTGTCGGAAGTTCGTGGCCCGGGCTATGAAGACTCAACCTGCAACGGAGCTAGTGGTTTTACCTGAATGTTTCAATTCCACGTATTCCACCAGCGAATTCCGCAAAAACGCTGAAGTTATCGAACCATCGTCCCCTTCGGTCAAGTTTTTGAGCGATCTAGCTCGCGAACATAAGATCACGTTGGTGGGAGGAAGTATCCCTGAACTAGAGCCCTCGAGCAACAGCGTTTTCAACACCTGCTTGATTTTCGATAAAACAGGTCAATTGATCGGTCGCCACCGCAAAGTGCACTTGTTTGACATCGACATCCCAGGCGGAATCACGTTCAAAGAAAGTGACACATTTACTGGCGGAAGCACAACCACAACGGTGAACACTCCATTCGGCAAAGTGGGCGTGGGCATTTGCTATGATATGCGGTTCCCCGAATTGGCGACTGTGAGCGCTAGAAAAGGTGCCTTTGCCATGATTTATCCTAGTGCTTTCAACACCACAACGGGGCCTTTACACTGGCATTTGTTGGCCAGAGCTCGCAGTGTCGATAATGAGCTTTACACCATCCTGTGTAGCCCTGCAAGAAGTCCCGCTACTGATTACCAGGCCTACGGTCACAGTTTGGTGGTAGATCCACAAGGAAATGTGATTGCCGAAGCAGGGGAAGGCGAAGATATCGTGTATGCTGAACTCGACCCTGAAAAGATCCAACAAATGCGCAACAACATTCCAGTGACAACGCAAACGCGTTTCGACGTTTACCACGACGTGAGTAGCGACGCCAAATAGGTCGTCATTGCGATAAGAACGCTAGCTTTAATAGAAAGTTTAGGTTAATGGCGGATAGAAAATATATACATATTGTGTATAGCCACAATACCTATTATCCACGTATGACCGGTAAAAGAAGCGGCTTTGGGGTATGGTGGAGTCATTTGATTTGAGCCGGGCCTGTTAGAAATGGAATGGTTATTCTGAGCCTATGCGTGAGAGGAAGTTTGGGCACCACGGCCACAAACGTTGTTAGGAAAAAGTTCAGGACGAAAAGCTGTAGATCGTAGCGGGAGTAGTGCGTGCTCACGAGAAAGAGCACTATGGGTACCAAAATGAGAAATTTGCGGCTAGGAGTGTAGAGCATCCCGTCGTTGATCTGCTCCCACATTGTAAGGTTGTCATATGCACCACCGTTGAAGTCAAATGGTGTGCCTTTCACGAGGTGGAACATCACGTAAGAGCCGATCACGTACGTGGTATTGGTCAGCGTCCAGGACCATTCGTTGGTAATGCCAGGCATCAAGTTGAAAAATCCCTTTAGTAGCATGATAATCACAACATGCACGGCCCAGGCACCGCGTTGATCGACCCATGAAGCGTTCATGTTTGGCAGCATTTGCTGGTCGTTTTCCTCCTCCAAAGTTTCTGGCTCCACGTGCGAAATGATACTCGACGATCTTCTTCTACGCCGGTCTTTGACCGGTTCCAGGTTGTTGTTAGGGTTTCCGCCCGAGGGCATTCGTTTTAGTGTCGGTGGGGAAGATGTTTCGGTCATTTGAAAGCGTTATTGATGCAAATTGGGGTGGCTTTTTGTTAAGATCAACTTAGATTTTTGGTTTTCAGACCAGCCTGAAAATTCGTAACCGTAGAAATAGTATGAAAAAAAAGAGAGTGCGAACTTCAGACGACTTGTGCGGTGTTTAAGTTGACGATCTTGACAATCTAAATGACTTGAGAGCCCAGCTTTCCGCGTAGATGACTGCTATTAAGTAAGGTCAGTGGCTTTGAAATGGGTTTGAGATGCTTCTTATATGCTCTTGGCAGGGGCCCTGATCTGAAATATAATTCATTTCAATGAATTTGACATTATCGTATCTAGCGATGTAGAAAGTACTAGAAAAAAGTCACATGCAAGGACCCCAGTAGGTTTTATTAAACTACACATCGACGCGAACAGCTAGTAAATAATGTGGGTTATGTTTCTGCAAAGCCCAAGAGATCTTGAGAGACGCGCTATCCTCTTGACTAGTTTAAAAATTCCGCGAAGATTTGTATTCGTCCTGAGTGATTCAATTATGTACTCGAGTACATATGCCAAATTTGGTAACAAAGCTTGATTCTATTGTGTGGAGAGGCATGCACAAATCGACACATCTTCCCGGGGTACACGGTGTCTACAGCTCTCTCTCTCTTGTATCTTGAATATGTTGGAAAAAGTGTTTTTTTCAGTGCCAGACTTGCTTTTTTTTTCAATAACACGTTTCGTGACGGTTTTCATTCTGCATCGTCCGTGTACTGCCTCTGTACTCAAACGATTCTCGACACCTCTAAATGATCTGAAACGAACACACACCGAGCGAATACTTCAAGTCGCTAACTATCCTGCTTGCTCAAAAGATCGACACCCGTACAGAACGATCTTGAAGGTAAAGCTCATTTCAATGAACCAAATTGTCTGTTTGACGTCAATTTTGTTCCTTATCCTCAATTAAGCTATCCACGAGAAACCTCATCTCATTCCAAGGCCTCTTCAATGGCTTATATTTGCCTTTTCCCACCTGGTCTTGTCTCTTCATCTTATACGTGATCGTATAATACACGTGACCTTCTCAACCCTTCTTCCAAGCCTAATAATATAAATACCTGTTGATCCTGCGCTGCCCTTACCTATTTCTGCCTCTCTTTACAAAGCTTACTCTTCCGACTATCATCCCAACCAATCGACAACAGCACCTTCAAACGACGCAATGGTCTCTCCAGCATTCGAACAAAAGGCTCAGGCCGTCAAACAATTGTCCTCCACCCCTTCGAACGACGATTTGCTCAAGCTTTACGGGCTCTTCAAACAGGCCACCGTGGGTGACAACACCACTGCGCGTCCTAGTGCTCTAAACTTCAAGGACAAATACAAGTGGGACGCATGGGAGGCTAACAAGGGCAAGAGTCAAGAAGATGCCGAGAAAGAGTACATTGCATTTGTCGATGAGTTGCAGGCCAAGGACCAGTAAAGTGGTTTTAATCTGATCGCTACGTATAAAGTAATTTTTTTGTATGTTCAACATATATAGCTAAGGTAAAGTAAAGACAAGAAAGGAAAGAAGCGGGGGAAGGAGAAAGGGAATGTGTTGTTGCAAGGCAGCTTTAGAATGTGCAGTCTTTTCGATATTGTTGGTAAAGAACAACGTGTACGAGCTAGTTTTCTGCATGTGCACGTGTTTCGTACATAGTGATTGTGTGACGACAATTTCAATTTTGGGGTAGAAGTTAGGGCAAGGTTGGACTAAATGAAAGATTTGTAGTTCTTGTTCTTCTTACTCCGGTGCTTGAGAACGATTGATGTATCTATCAAACCAAAATTGAAAATTAAAATTTGAAAAAACATATTTCGTCTAAAATGACATCTAGTCACACATTGCCATCAAATACCTTTTTTTCTACTTTTCATTTTGTGGTCTGCTGGGGCTTGTTTTCTCTCAATCTTGTCCAGTCTAATACCCCCAAATTTTGTTTGCTTCTTTCTGTACTCGCAACAAGTCCATTTCTCTGGACGTCAGATGGCTTACTTGTCCAGTATTTCCAGAAAACTCTCCTCGTACAAAGCTACACATTAATCTCCCAAAGATTTTTCAAATTTGTGTTGAACGTCTTCCCTCTCTCTCTCTCTCACCCGATAAAGTCACCAACTTGGCTCAGTTTCTCAACTTTGACTGTCACTGGACTGTCAAAAACTTCGCGCGGCCATAGCGAAAAGCTCTGATTCAGTTTCTAGTTCTTTTCACACCGTTACGACCCTTTTAGACTCGTTGGAAGGCCCCCCTTTTTGAGCGTTTTCTCAGCTGCCCTAAAAGCCTTCTTTCAGTCCTTTTCCAGTAGTTGAACCAGGCAAAGGTTTTGGTTTTTCGATTGAGATTTAAAGACAAGATTTCGGTTTATTTCGACACTAACGACGCGTATTTCTGATTTGACTTCCTTTAGAGACATTACCTGATACACCGCGATGTCTACAGAAGCTGCACAACTTGCACAAGTGCTGGAACAAACAATTCTGAGCCCTGATGCTACCGTGCGTTTACAATGCGAAACACAATTGAAAAAACTATCAAACGAAAATTTTCTGCAGTATGTTGGCTTGCTAGCGCTTGTGTTGGGCGATGGAAGCAATAGACTTGAAGCCCGAATTTTGGCTGCTCTTACACTGAAAAACGAGCTTGTCAGTAAAGATTCAGTAAAAACGCAACAATTGGCTCAAAGGTGGGTCTCACAAGTGGACGAATCGTCAAGAAGTGCGATCCGTAACTATGCGTTGTCAGGCCTCATGGACCCAGAACCCCGTGTGGCCAATGCATCTGCCCAGTTGATCGCTGCCATTGCAACAATTGAACTTCCTCGCAATGACTGGCCCGACTTGATGAAAATTATGGTTGACAATACTGCAGCTCAGCAACCGGAAAATGTTAAACGTGCATCTCTGTTAGCCTTGGGATACATCTGCGAAGCTGCCAATCCCGGCTCCGAAAGCTTGGTTGCTCAATCAAATAACATTTTGATTGCTATTGTTCAAGGTGCTCAGGCCAGTGAACCTTCTAAAGCTGTGAGATTAACAGCGCTAAATGCTCTTGCGGACTCGCTCGCTTTTATCAAGAATAACATGGAAAGAGAGGGAGAACGTAACTACCTCATGCAAGTTGTTTGCGAAGCCACCCAAACGACTGATGACTCCGAAATACAGGCAGCTGCATTTGGTTGTTTGTGCAAGATTATGTCACTATACTATTTCCTCATGAAACCGTACATGGAGCAAGCCTTGTATGCTTTGACCGTGTCCACAATGCAGTCTCAAGACGAGAAGGTTGCGTCAATGGCTGTCGAATTTTGGTCCACTATTTGTGAAGAGGAGATCGACATTGCTTATGAACTAGCCCAATTCCCACAGTCACCCTTGCAAAGCTTCAATTTTGCGCTAACCTCCATTCAAGAAGTCATTCCCAATCTACTAAATCTGCTGACACGACAGAATGAAGACGCTGAAGATGACGATTGGAACGTGGCTATGTCTGCGGGCGCCTGTCTACAGCTTTTTGCTCAAAACTGTGGCAATTACGTGGTTGAACCCGTGCTACGATACGTCGAACAGAACATCACTAGTGAGGACTGGAGATGCCGCGAAGCCGCCGTCATGGCCTTTGGTTCGATACTGGATGGACCTGATAAAGTTCAGCTCACCAATTTGATTCACCAAGCCCTCCCGCCCATTCTGAATCTGATGAAAGATCAATCTTTGCAAGTTAAAGAGACTGTTGCATGGTGTACCGGTCGTATCGCAGATCTAGTTGTTGGAGCTATTGACCCACAAACTCATCTGCCCGATGTCGTACAGGCCTGTTTGCAAGGTCTCGAAGATCACCCCAAAGTGGCCACTAATTGCGCGTGGACAATCATCAACTTGGTGGAACAAATGGCCGACACGCAAGGCTCGCCCATTTACAACTATTATCCTATCCTTGTGGAAGCACTGATAAAGGCCGCAAATCGTGTCGATAATGAAAATAGTGCTCGTGCTTCTGCTTTTTCGGCTTTGACCACATTAGTTGAGTTCTCTACCGACCAAGTTGCAGACTCGGCCATTTCAATTTCTTCCTTCATTTTGGATAAACTAGGACAAAGTATGACGGTGGACGAAACCCAGCTCAACATTGAGGAGAAGCAAAACTTGGAAGAGTTGCAATCTAATGTATTGAGCGTTTTGTCAGCCGTTATTCGCAAAAACCCCGCCTCTGTGACCTCGGTTTCCGATATGTTGATGGATCTCTTCATCAAGCTGCTAGATAAGAAGGACACCACCTACGTGGAGGATGACGTTTTTTACGCCATCTCCTCATTAGCCGCTGCACTGGGCAAGGGTTTCGAGAAGTACTTGGAGACGTTCTCGCCATACTTGGTGAACGCTCTAAATCAAGTTCAATCGCAGGTGTCAATCACAGCGGTTGGGTTGATTGCAGATATCTCGAACTGCTTGGAAGACGATTTTAAACAGTTTGCGCCTGCATTTATGAACGTACTGGGCCAAATGATCTCCGCCAACAATGCCAAAAAAGAGCTAAAACCTGCAGTGCTATCGGTGTTTGGCGATATCGCATCGAACATCGGACCTGATTTTATCCCATACCTCAACCAGGTCATGGCACTTTGTGTTGCCGCTCAGAATAGCAGACCTGAAAATGCGTCTTTGGAGGCTCTTGAGTACAACGTCAAAATTCATGAGTCTGTTCTGGACGCATATGTGGGAACCGTTGCGGGTCTGCATGCCAATCCCGATGCCCTGTTCCCTTATGTGGGTACGCTGTTCCAATTCATGAGTCACATCGCCGATAATCCTACCCTCAACAGTGAGGATTCCACGGCCAGAGCAGCCGTTGGGATCATTGGGGACGTGGCTGCCATGTTCCCTGACGGCAGAATTAAACAATTCTACTCTCAGGAATGGGTCAGTGAGTTTATCAAGAAAACCAGAAGTAATCCTACTTTCAGTCAATCTACCAAGGATACCGCAAGATGGGCCAGAGAACAGCAAAAGGTTCAAATTGGCTTAAGGTAATCGACACCGCAGATTCTTTTGTTCTCACTTTGACCGGCCTTCTTCTCCCAGTCACCACCACCTCCCCATTCCCCTCCTCCTCCCTCTCCTCCTCCTTCTCCTCTTCCTCATCCTATTCCTCTTCCTTCCTCTCTCTTTCTCTACTCTTTTAAGTTTACGAAGCATCTCTTTTTTTTTTTTCAATTTTCCGAATTTTCCTGCATTCCGCCCTTTTCCTGTACTTTTATATCATCCTCATCAGTTTTAAAAACTACTTCTTCTTTTCTATTCCGGTTGCCATCTCCTTCTCTCCCTCTTCCCTCATCGGCATGTCTATTCCTCGTCCTGGACATGTCTGGCATCCAAATGACGAGCAGAAACCTTTCATCACCTCATGGGCGTCTTTGAGCCTGTGTAATCCCGCTAACGATTTTAATGATACACACGAACTACAATAATAAGATTGAAGATGTTTGGACTCCGAATATCGTCTGTTTTCTCGAATGACAGTAGGTTTTTGGTTTAACATCGAATTTACGTCAAGTTTATATACTTTCAATAAGAAAATAGCATCAACATACATTTCAACATCTCGACAAGAACGGTTATAAAAGAGACAAAAAGCGTTTGTATTTAGCTATATAATATAAGAACAACCCAGGCGAGTCAATTGAACTACTATGAACTTGAATGAACTGGTGGCTGACCCTATTTTAATACCATTCGATGATACATATATACTTTATGATCCTTCTGATCCGATATCGTATGTATTGGTGTACTTTTCGTTGCTTCCAATCGGTATCTTAATCTTCTACTTCTCGTGGTTCGTGGCGACCCGGGAGCTGGAAGCCGTGATTATCGCAGGCGGCCAATTGATCAACGAGATTCTGAACAATGTTCTTAAGAACATCATCAAAGAACAGCGTCCCGCGTCTTTTGGTGGCTCTTTTCAAAAAGATACGCTGAGATCTGCATATGGTATGCCAAGTGCCCACTCGCAATTCATGGGCTTTTTCCTTGCGTACTGGTCGCTAAAACTGGTCCAGCAATGGTCAGGAATTGGCAGTATACGCAAGGCCTTGAGTATCTTGGCTGCCGTCTTGACCACGGCAATGGTAGCAATATCACGAATTTACTTAGGGTACCATTCAGTGGCCCAAGTAAGTATCGGAATAGCCTTAGGTGGATTGTTGGGATCTTTGTATTATCTAGCGGTCGGTATCGTGCGCTATCTGGGAATTGTGGATTGGGTAATGTCGTGGCCAATAGTTCGGCGTTTGTGGGTCAAAGATTCTTTCAATTGTAGCTCATTGAGTTTGAAGGAAGAGTTTGAAGCTTGGAACCTACGAAAAGTCTCTTCAAAGCAGAGAAAAGAATCCTTGACTAAAAAAACCCTGTAGAATAGACTTTGCCCCATCTTGCGTTGTTTAGACCACATTAGCATGCAAAAAATTACGTTAAATCCTTTTGAATATATGTTATCTGAGGTCGTTACTTCAATGGTTACTCGTACACAATTGGTATCCTTCTGACTTTGTTCTCGAAGGGACTGAAAGAGATTTCGATTAGCTCGTCCCTTGTGAACGTGAGGCTCGGAATGTCAGAGCACGAACACGCCATTAGGTAGCCATAAAGTACTCTTAGAACCGACTCATGACCGATCACTAAAATATCACCACGCATTCTTTCCATCTCCAGTAGTAATGGTTCCATGCGTACCGCCAAATCGTGGTAGGATTCAGCGCGCGGAAAACGATAGTGATATGGATCCTTTAGCCATTCCTTGAACTCTTCAGGATACTTGGTTTTGACCTCTAACTCTTCCATGTCCGCCACGACACCGGGGTGCAACTGTTGCAATTGGGATCTCTGCCTTACATTTATTCCCTTATCGTAGAAAAACCTTGCTGTGTCGAAAGTACGTTTTCTGGCAGCAGTCCATACCACGAATGAGTCTTCGTCACCGCCATCTCCCGAAACGGGTTGCCGCATAGCGGCATTGCCGGTAGACTCTGTTCTCTGTAAGGACGCACGCGTTGCAATCAAAGGCGAAAGCGAAGGGGACATTGAACGAGAGCTTAGCCCCGATGAAACTTGAAGTGTTGGCGGGGAACGGTTTTGCTCTGGAGTTTTATAGTATGAAGTGCGTATGGCATCGGAAGTCTCGCATATTGAAGATGATTTATCGGATTGGGATGCACGCCTTTCGTTTATCACTTTCACCACTAGCTCTGTCAAAGCTTTTGAATATTCGATACCTTCGCTATTGAGGAGTTCGTCGTTGACGTACTTGTCATTGGTACTAGTACCGCAACGTGCAAAATACACGCAACCCTTCTTATTTCTCAAGTTCATTAGAAAGAACACAATTTTGTTGATGAGGTAGCCGAAATGATTGTTGTTGACTATGAGTCTTTCGCCAAAATTGATGTATTTGACGTACGCCAGTTCTTCGTTAGGTGTCATTTCTTCATAAAGCTCTTTGTTAACTTTTAAGCGATGCATGTAATTGGCCAATGCATCCTTTTGAGACCAGCCCACATAGTCTGCAGATTGAGAGGCCATATCGACATTATGCTTGATCAATTCTGAATCTGTCATGACAGATTCGATAAATAAAACTTTAGTGTTCATCTGGGAGAAAACCCGCTGTAGATGAAGCCGTTCTTCCACCAATATATTCAATGCATCGTAAACTGCCAGCTGTCCCTTGCTTTCGTTGAAAAACTCGATCATGTCTTCCTGAACCTTATCTAAAATTTGTTTCCGTTTGGTGCGGCCCTCAACAGTTGTAGGTTCTGCCGAAAAGTAGTCGTTTGGGAAGCTGGTGCAGTCCATGCTTGCCATCATTTTTCTGCGGTATTCCGATACGTGGAAGGAGCTGGTACGAACGCCAAGCCATTTTGTGTATCTGGTGATTGCCACGGACAGTAAAGTTTTCGAGGTTGCTGGAAGGCCAACTAGCACAATAAGGATCTTTCCTGCGTGGAAAAGACGGCCCGATTCTGTGGAATACAGCTGTCCCGGTGAGATGAAATCAAAATCGACGTTCTCATGCACTCCATCTGCCAAAGCAGAGGGTTTAGCAGGCTGATCTTGCGAGCTTTTTGACCATCTTCTTCGGGTTCTGGCCATATGATTACCGGCGTTCAAGGTTGGGGATTGCAGATCGGAAAAGTCCACGGGGCCATTAGCACTCATGGTGATGAAAAGAGAAAAGGATTGGTGCGACGTGGGATGTCGTTGAAGTCTTGTTGGCTTCTAGGATGGTTTTAAAGATTGAGTGTAGGGTTCACAAATGGATGAGTTTAAGTTGTAGACTTTGGGCACGATCACTTTGTACTAAATTACTGTCTATGAAAAACGTCACGTGATCCGGCTGTTCAATAGGGTCACAGAGGACAATTGCCGTTTGTATCATGAGAAAGAAGAAAGAAATAAAGAGCAAGAGCGAAAGCGCTGACCTAGCAATATAAGCTGTACCTGTTTCAAGAAAATGCCGTTTGACTCCTGCTGTTGTTGCTTTCTTCTCAATATAACATGGATTTCTCGTTTACTATGATCTTTGAGATAATCACGTGCCTTCTTTGCTGCATTCTCAATGTTTCGTATACAGCTATATAAATAAGATCTTGCTTTTACTTCTACAAGCCGCCGTCGCAAGCAAATTCAATGACAACAGAGGAGACTGGAAACAAAGGAAACGGGAAACAAACTGGAAACAAATGGGAAACAATTTTGGAAAACGTTTACAGGCCCACTAAGAACAGATTGTTTGGATTTTTACGACAATACTGACTGAGCAATTGATTTATTCATTATTGAAGTCCGTTTTCTTGTGCAAAACAAAAGCTCATTCGATGTGCAGTGGCACTGGCATCAGTCACGTGATGCCCTTGCTTCCAACATTATCAGTATGAGATGAATGAAATATTGCAGAGTATAGTGCAGACGCTTAAAAGTTAGGTATTAAACGTCACAAGAGGGTATAAATATGCTTTGCTAGATGTGTTAGAGTGTGATAGGCCTTCTCTGGGCTAATTCGAGACAATGTGGTTTTAAATTGTATTAGTATCCGTGAAAAGTAGGTGTTCACGTGACCTCTGAATCAGTAGCTGGACGCCAAGTGTCACCAAGCTTCAAGCATGAGCTTATTTCTTTCCTCTGAATGTGTGGCCTGCTAATGCCAACTCCATGTCTCGGTTGTTCTTACAACCAGAGGTGACATTTAGTCCTAGTGTGCAATGTACATTACAAGTTACGTATAAAGAGCTCTCAGCAGAGGCCAAAGGATTCCCCCGCGTACAACGCTCTCTTATGGATACTTTATTGAGGTGGTAGTATTAGCAAGTTGTATTTACTCCAATTTACCGCCCTTTCTCTCGATCAAAGCCTTTCTGTCCTTGTCGATGTGCAACTTGGTGATGACGATCTTGGATGGGTGGACGTTGATTGGGATGGAAGCACCGCTGGACTTTTCCTTGGTCAACTTGTCTAGCTGGACAGCGAACTTCAATCTGTAGACGGAGGAGACCTTACCCTCTTGGCCCTTCTTGGAACCTCTGACGACAACGACCTCGTCGTCGTGTCTGATTGGCAAAGCCTTGATGTTGTATTGGGCACGCAACTCCTTGGACAAAGGAGCGGACATCAACACACGGCGCTCGGACGAAGGAGCGGTGAAGTATGCCTTTCTGGCCTTTCTTCTGTCGGAGGAAACGTCTGAATGATGAGTTAGTAAGCGGGGCTCGGGCATTTGAAAATAGCCGGATGTGGAATGGATGTGACCGGGCGACAAGCATCAATAACGTCAATTAACAGGATGGAGGTCTTTGTATTTCCCAAATTCATGGTTTCCATAGCCTCAAAATAATGGAAACCGACCTAAACCAGTGGATTTAATTTGCGACTGCAGCCGATAGTTTTGATGAATTTCAAAGCATCTTTTCCACTTTATAAGTACTAAAATTCGGTTTTGTTTGTTCAAAAGGTCTCATCAGATGTAATCTCGAATATTCACTGTTCGCGCCCAACTGACCTCGTCTTGAGTCGCTCGTTCTTCCAATTCTCACTTGAACGCGGGCATCGTAATAATTCGCTCTACCACATACCTAGAGATTGTTTAGCCATTTTGGTATTGCCTGTCTATTCGTCTTTGCAAGCCCTCTGTAACGCTAGTTCGTTAACTGGAACTTTTGATATTTTCGATCCTGTCTATTGCAGTTACTCACTGGACAGCGAACGGGAAAGAGAGTGAACGGAGTGCTGGAAGGAACCTCTGCCTAGCGGACGGACAGCTAGGCGGAGCCGATAGCAGTTAAGCTCCAACCATAGGCGGAAGCCCAGGCTGGAATGGAGGATGTCTGGACTGGAGCCCTGCTTAGAGTCCAGGCGGGATTCCAGGCTGAGCTGCGCGTTTGTTGAGCTAAGGTTGCAGGACTCTGCTCCTGAACCCACGCAAAATAATAATTATTTTTCGGATAAAAATTGGGAACCGCGGAATTCTAGATGTATGGGTGTTTTGAACTGAAAGCTTTGACTGCTTTAGAGTCGCTTTGGACGACGCCTGTACTAAATATCATCTTCATCATCAGAAGTGAACAACAAGACCAGAATTAGCACCAATATTGCCAATGGAAGACACACCTCTATTTTTGATTTATAAATTTCCCGGTGCTGAATCTTTTGATAAATCTGAGTTCAAATGCGTAACAGAGTATTTCTCCTGCTCAATCCGTATATATAGTCTCATTAGCTTTCGGCGACTGATTATAAGTGTCATATTAGTACAAAGTGATAACGTTTTTTTCAAGCATTCAAGACAACCAAACCAAGAAGTACCCAATGGGAGAGAAGATCAAGACGTCTGAGGAGCCGGAAATGCACTCAATTGAACGCTCCTCGATGCTTATTATTGCCAATTTGAACCCCAAATTATAGAAATTTTGAAGCACAAATTGAGGAGAAACGAAACGAAACAGGATAATTTCAAAAAGTTATTCACTGTCGTCCCGTCAAACACACCGTCTTTTGTCCATTGAGCCTTCTACGATAAGGTTAAATAAGGCTTGCTTCCAAAAAACAAAAAATGATTTCAACAGTTTAATGCGGAACTGTTGAAATGGGTTTGAATTGAATGAGCCCCTCCCGGGATTCGAACCCGGATCACATCCACCGGAAAAATGTATGCTAACCATTGCACTAAAGGGGCGTTGTAGAACGCTTGAACGATTATAAAACAAAACAGAGTTTATTCTTATAGTACGGTAATATGCCGCTGGAATTTTATAAGAGCTTTTAATATCAAGATTACCATTGATGATGGGTTACCTGCGAAAGAAGATGTGAACCTTTAAAAACTTTGAAGACAGCTAGCTCTCACACCAGTGTTTTTTCCGCTGCATTCTTGCGTTGTCTGGCTCCGTCACCTTTTCTCGCTTTCCAATGCTACCCAGATCTCTACCAACGCCCAACTTTTGGTCGAATTTGAAGCCATCAATTTCATTCACTGCTCGGACGCTAGCGGTCGGTTTGGCGCAGCGTCGTGGGTATGCTGCAGCTCAATCCAACAGTGCAGCATCGGAGCAGGCTAAAAAATCAGCCAAGAGGAAAACGTCGCCTCTGTGGCCCAAAATCAAGTCCTTTACGTCTTTCACGGTCTCTGGCGCTCTTGTAGTTGGTGCATCCGGCTTGGCCGGATTGGTTATCTACCTTTTACTCCAAGAGCTTTTTTCTCCCTCTGGAGATACCAGGCTGTTCAACAATGCGGTTTCAATGGTGGAATCTGATCCAAAGGCTCGTGAGCTTCTGCTGTGCAACGATTCGGCAAACTCCAAAGAGCGTGTTAAAGCGTACGGTGAACTTCTGACTGATGATCGTTGGACCAGAAACAGACCTATTATGTCTACAAGACGCATAGGCAAAGACGGCAGAGAACATCATTATCTGCGGTTCCATGTAGAGTCCAAGCAGAAGCTTGCATTGGTACATGTCGAGGCCCGTGAAAGCGACAAAAACTACACACCAGACCTGGTTTCTATGTACATGGATATTCCGGGCGAAAAACGTTACTATTTCATCAAACCGCAGGTCGCAATTGCCAAACCAAAAGGGTTTCTGGGCGTCAACTGGGGCCCTAAGACGTAATGACAAAACAGGCCTATAAATGAACAATTTCTTTCAGCTCGAAAACAAGCCGGAGGAACATGGCTTTTAAAGCAGTTCATGTACGCAAATCGCGAACGCTCATTTACATCCCTTCTTCATCTGCATATTCTGTCAAGCTTGTGTTTTGATTATCCTATGTCCTGTCTATACAATCAACCCTGCCAATACCACAAATGCTAATTCCAATAATACGCTCGGTGCTATGTTGCTTCCGCTGGATGTATGGTCTTCAATTGGACTTGGAACTCTATCGTCACTTTTCCGTGTTCTTGATGACCTTTTAACAGACTTGATTAGAGATGCGCACTCGTCGTTGTTTGGACCATTTTTACTATCACGATTGAAGTAAACGTGCCTATCGTCCACCGGACAAATGTCGTTCTGCTCAGCGAGGCTGAAGTATAGTTTGCTTATTTGCAGGGCCAGTTTCTGGTCTGGCGTGCAGCCCGAATATTTCCCATACTCACCGTTCTCCCCATCTGCTTTGATGTCAGAACAATCCACTTGACCACAGACATATTCAAAGTATTCTTTGTATTTGGACTGGTCGCTAAATGGAGAAACGAGACAAGGCAAAGATCTCGTCAGACAGTCACAATTTGACTTTTCAGGTCTTTCGGGCAGCTTTTCCGCAGCTTTCCAAGCTACTGAAATCGACGGACATTCCCTCTTTGTGGTAGGTGCATTTGGGGACAATCCCAATCTTCGCAAGTATTCGGACTTTGTTATGCCACTGGGCTCGGACCTCTTGAATTCATCTTTGAGATACTCGAAGTCTTTCAACCGAACGACTCGGTTTTTAGAATCGATCTCAACAACGCCATATTGGTTCTCTTCTTCGAAATACATGTACGCCAGACCACCCGACCAAACGCTGCTCATCTGTTTACTGTAAAGTGCTTCCACCTCTGTGAACGGTCTCGGTCTGACTAAATTGCATCCAAACTCTGAAAAGAATACCGGGATTGGATAGTTTTTGAACTCCTGAGTTCTTTTGTCGTAGCCACTGTTATGGAATGATGAGTAGCCGCACCACTCATACATGTTGATGCCATAAAAGTCTGCTGTGTCATTGCCGCAGCTGAAAAACTGCGCGAGGTTCTCCCTGGTCTCCACATCGTCATTTGTGGAATATCCTATAGGGATTGCTCGATAATTCATGTTCTTTATGTGTTCTTTCATGTCGCGGATAGAAGCCTTTACAAATGGTGAAGCATTGGTATTGGTTCTATCGTTGGTAACTTCATTCCCGGCGAAAAAGCCGAGAACATTTGGATATTGATGCATAGCATCTATTACATCTTTGTATCTTTGATACACGCCAAAGTCCCAGCTCGGCGAATCTCTCGATATGGAGGCATCTGGTTCGGAAAGATCAAGCAAAACGTAAATGCCATTTTCCATGAGCGCTTCCATGCAAACGTCATGAGACTGCGTAGGATCGATTGCGTATACTCTAATTGTGTTAACGCCCAACTCGGCCAAGTGAGGAATGTCTCTTAGGCAAATTGCTGGTGTTGCCAGAGGGTCGATATATTTTGTGTCACTCATCGGCAAACCTAGACTAATGGCATCTTCTTGGGAATACTGTGGTTGATACGCTATTCCCTTGATGAAGAACTGTTCGCCGGTTTCGCTGCTGAAAAACTTGCTACCCGCGGTCTCAATCGGTGGCAGAGCATGTTTGGCAGACGAATAGTCTAATTTGAACTCTTCAGCTCTAATGACGCCGGATGCGAACATCACGTAGGTGATAAAGAGGTTGAATATGATGAGAGTGAAATTCATGTTGGGATCGCTGCAAGAACTTACAAATGCTGATGTGGTGTTGTGGTTGGATTTCTTCTTCAATTCTATGTGAAAACAGGATTAAGACCAGTAAGTTGACCAAGTAAAGTGACATCGCTTTTATACGTCAGGGCCAGAAGCTGACCTTTCGAGCTCAATGACAGCGTCACAAAACCATGCGTTCCGCTTGATGTCAAACGGCTGACAAGAGTGGCAACGTCAGTCTAGCCTTGTTTTGACTATTTTTTGTTCGTCAGCTAAGGAATTGGACCTTTAGTTATTTCCAATGTACGTGAGAGAGAAATCATCATACGTGAACTTGAAAGTCCGAGAAATAGTCTGTTTTAGAAAAGGAAACATAAAATACATAAAAATAACAAGTACCGAGAGGCAGCAAGCGATTCTTTCCAATCAGATTTTAAGATCAAGCCTTGGTGGAGTATGAGGTGGTTGCCAAAGAAGATGGAATGGTGTAATAGAAGTGGCTTCCAGACTGGAGACTGGAACCAGAATCATCGTGACCTTTGTTCTTAGGCTGCACCAGGTTTTGCAACATCGGCTGTCCTGAAATGTTGTCATTCAGTTTGCCACTGATGTCAGTCTTCTTGACTTGGCCGGACGCAACTGCAGGGCCGATGATACAGGCAGCAAACAGCACGAGAATTAAAAAGTACAACGAGCAGTACTTCTTAACCATCCGCTTACGCAAACGACTTTGCTTGAGGGAGTAGATTGGGGGACGGATTTGACGAGAAGGCTTTAGCCAGAACAACATGATAGAGTGGAACTTGTCAATGTATGGGATCAACAATATTGGCAACTGGCAGAACAGGATAAAGTGGCCTAGCACGAAGTCACCAGCAAAGTGCGACAGCTCAACAACCTTAGCCAAAAATTCTCTGGCAGGTTGAGTCCAAGCCATGTAGCCGTAACCGGTTCCGTACCACTTACCAGTCCAGAAAGCCGTGTTGGCATGATCGTTCTTGAATTCACGAGTCAACATGAACACAGTGATGATCTTGAAAATCAACCTTTGAATGTAGAGACATGTCAAGACACCAACCAACATGCGACCGAAATTGAAGTTCTCTAGCACCCACATAACGATGAAGAAAACAATGTGCACGATAACCGCCACAGCGTGAGCGAATCCGGCCATAGAGGAACCAGTCTTTTTGCAACATAGACCAAATAGAGGGCCCGAGCAACAGGATAGACAGACACAGAAGAACAGAACACCCATGTTGACAGCAATCGGCGCTAATGTACAGATAACAATACGCAAAGTGGAGTTGACATATTCGGCGTCCTTCACACCAGTCTGTGCATTGATGAAAGTGAAAGCAACGAAACAACCGGCAGCGTAGATGGCACATGGAATAATGTCTGGCAAAAGCATGTTGGATTTGTGAGCTTTGGGGGCATCACCAGCTGCTTTTTCAGATTCATCACCGGTAAGCTTACGCTTGAAACCTGTAATTCTCGATCTTGACATTCTGACATATCCAATCCAAGAGTTTCTGTGGTATTTGTTGTTACCTCTTGACAACCATCTGATGAAATCACGGTAATCCAAGAAGAAATCTTGCCAAGAGAATTGGTGAGGGTTGAAGATGAATGGCGAGAAGATCAAAGCGGTCAAAGAGGCCCAAAACCATAGAAGAGGAGCTTGCCAGTGAATAACGGAGCCTGCAAGTAATGCCAACATACATCTTCCACCCATGTAGATTGCAGATCCAGCAAACCTGGAGTACAAGATCGAAAATGGAATACGTGATGTAGCAAACCCACGACCGGTGGAGATATATCTGGCACCACCAACAGTTAAATCGCTCAACAAAGACGAGGAATAGATTTGACCTGCGAAAACTTCGAACATAGGAGAGAGCGAAATAATGTGTCTGAAGAATCTTTGAGTAGCTTTCCAGATACCACGTTCAATGAGCTCTTGAACCACAATAGGAATAAAAGAGATGAAGAAGACAATGAAAATGGACAGAGTGTAACGTCTAATCCAGTCAATTACAGGTGCAAAGTTGTAACATCCGATAGGGTGTAGGACATCGGTGATAGGCTTGTACCTGTTGTATTCACACATGATAGACTCATGCGCCAATGCATTCAGGTTCACCATAGTCAACATGAAGAGCTGAACCGAAATCTGGATAAACAAATTGTTCAAATGGAAACCAGGATGCGCATAGTAGAATGACAAGAACCTGTCGAGAGGCAACTGTGTACCAAGGTAGTAGTATTCACGAGACAGCATCTGTTCACCCATACCAGCACCAATTTTAGTGGTGAAATTCAAAATTGTACCAAAACCCAAATCTCTACCTTTACCACACTGGTAGTATTCACAGTGCTTGATACGACCACCACGTAAGATAGCGGTCATACCAGCGTAAATATCTTCATTCAAGTGCAAACCCTTTTGAGCCTTCGAGACACCACCTCTTGTGTTCATGTACGTTGCGTTAATAAAATCTGGGTGACCATAGTGGAGCTTACCACCAATTTGAGCAAGAGTACGTGCGAATAGAGTACCAAAAGTCTGTTCCTTACCAGCAGCGACATCACCCAACACACCCGAATTTTCAGAGAAAATATATTCTCTGGCACCAACAATGGCAACAGGGTGATTCGTGGATTGATCCTCGTACTTCAAACCGGGAGCATATGGGTTAATCTGTTCAACATTCAACTCTTCAAACTCAGCCAGCACAGATCTAATCTTCAGACATTCTTCCAAGTAATTGTCTTGGTTAGCGTCAATCAACTGCAAGTACTCACCTCTGTAGAAAATCATAGCATGGTTCTGGTTATCGGATTTACCGTCACCCAAAATCGGGTTACCGGATAGTTGAATTCTGAATTTAGGACGTCTGCGACCGTTCGCTAACAATTCACAGTGACCGTCAATCAAAGCAGAGTAGATCCTGGGCTCTTCGCCTTCGTTCAAAGGTGGTTCTTCGTCCAAGTATGCAATTTGTAGATCAGGGTAGGCTCTCAGCAAGAATTCAGCGTTTTCCATCTCATGTGGCTTAAATTTTGCAAGTCTTTGCATAGACACCAAAAATTTAAACTTTCTCCGGGCCATCTTCTCAAGTTCCCTTTCTAAGCCCTCCGCATTGCCACCAAACATCTGAACAATTTCAGGATTTTCAACTCGGTAAAGAAGCTTGATAGCTCTAGCGTAGTTCATGAAACCGGATACAGTGCGGTACAACGTTTGTGACCTCAACGAAGCCCAAATTCTGGTACGCAAGGTGTATTCAGGGGCAGCAGATTTGAAACCAATACAGTAAAATGGCAAATCATCGATTTGAGATTTGATTCCGACTTCGCCATCTTTTTCCAAGTCTTCAGTGGTTCCCTCGTATGCAGCTGTTTCTTCTGCCAAAATCTTAGTGTCTTTAACAAAACAATCCCATTCGACAGGATGTAATTGTTTCAAGTATTCCAACAAAGTCACCCTAGAAAACTGATCATCCTCACGAATAATCTCTCTCAAGGATAATAGGATTCTCTCTGAGTAGTGAGGAGTCAAGACAGTAAAGGTTGGCATGTTATCGACAGGAAGTGGCTCTGGAATTGGTGTTGCAAGCGACTGAGCAAAAAAAGAGATACGACGTTCGGCCTCGGAATCTTTTGGAAAGAACTCCGTCTCGAAGTTGTTATCATCCTGGGACACGAAAAAGGTTGGAGCTCTCAAAGTTCTCTTACCTTCAATCTCGGAGGGAACCTGATGATACAAAAGTTTTTGGACGTGGTCGATAGCAAGCAAATGTTCCCTGTACATCGAAATAACGATTGCATTCCAGATTTGGGAAATCAAAACCTTGGGCTTATACTTGATTTCCATGTCAGTAGTAGCCAGAATTTTGGAGTATATTCTTTTTGGCAATCTCGTGAAAATGTTTCTCCATGGTGTCAGAATCGAGATACCTAGATAGAACGATCTTCCGATGGAGTAAACCATGTTACAAAGAACGTACCACATAAATGTATCCAAGAAAAACAGAATGAAATCTGTGGCGATCATTAGACCGAGGACAATCTTGGGTTGAACAGTACAAAGTTTCGCGTGAAACCAGTATTCACCCTTACATCTCATAGAAGTGGTTGTCAGTACTCTAATAGGGTCTCTCAATGATTTGATCAAAAAGAAGTAGGATTCTGAGAATTTAGCAGCGAAAACAGTGACCCAAAGTAGGTAAGACATCCACATGTCTAGGCCACTCAAAGGAGCAAAGGAAGCGGTGAAAGTCTGCGAGGCAACGTAGCGTCTAGTCGACTTCTTCATGTAAGAAGTGAACAAACCTCCCAATGGCATGACGGAAAAGAAGATAATCGTAATAAGTGCAACGAAAAACATCACAGCACCAACGGCATGCGAAGCTTTAGACTTGACATCCAGACTGTCATAGGCGAAAACAAAGATAATAGGACCCAGATTGACGGCAGTGATCAAAACCAAAAACCAAAATCTGCGGGATAAGTGCTGAGCACCAGCCCATTTACGGGGAACAAAAAACCATTCGGAGATAGTGGCGACAAGTTGAATAATACAAGCCAAAGTACCAGCCAAGGCAGGTGCACTCCATCTGTAAGCCGCCATGGGCTGGTTATCCAGAAGCTGCTGATAGTTCTTAGTGTATAATGTGGGCGCGTTGTAAGCAGCATACATCCAGTAAATGGAACCATGAATAACCCAAATACGGTTAAAGTTGGTAATCATATGGAACCAAGAACGAGTCTCTTTGTATGTCTTGAAAAAGACGTCATTCCAGCTGACTTCGCCAAGTCTCAAGTAACGTTCTTCGGCTGGCAAATCGATGAGTCTAGTGCCATCTTCGAACACTATTTTGGCGATACCTTCTGGATACCAGAAGAGCTGATTGACATCGTCGTAACCAATGACCTTGTTGTGATCTCTTTCACGCTTAACAAAACGACCATCTACAACCTCGTAAACTTGAGATCTGATGTAATGGTAAAGCGGAGTAATGACTCTGTTCAAATAGTCTCCTTCTGGCATTGGTTCGGTACGTTGCTGACACAGAGGGGAATCCAAGTAATCAGAGGCACACTTGTATAGGAAACACAAACATTCGGATGTGAATCTCACTTGATTGGCTTCACCCCAGATCATGAGGTACAAAGCGACGTGACGAACCATTTCCAATGGAGAAAGTTTGTTCATCTTTGCCTTCCATCTGAAGTCGGCGGCTTCCAGAGAATTGTCGCCTTCAAGTTGGTTTAGCATGGCTTCGGTGTCGCCATTCTCTTCGTTCTGCGCCTCCTTCATGGCCTTCTTGTTCTTCTTCTTGGCTTTTCTTGCCTTTCTAGACAGTTTACCCAAGCTCATGTTACGGAACCCAACTTCATCGTCCATATCCAGCTGGGCAGCGAAATACCATTTTTTGTAATTTGCGGTATCGCCACCAATGTAGTCCGCGTGCAAGGATAGAAGAGCTTGCTGTGGGGACATTCTGGAAGCTTTGGAGTCGAGAAGAGTCATGAAATGATCGAACATGTTTCTCATGGAATCTCTCTGGAAACCAAACCTGTTAGCAAGGTCGATGAAAGCATCCTCGATCTGCTCGATTGTGGCTGGAGATTGATTATCCGCAGTCCAAGCTGGGTAGGGCTCGTTGGGCAAAGCCATGGCGATAGCTGAAGAGTCGAAACCTTCGCCACCGTAGATGGGCGTCGAGGCACCAGACGACCTGGGCTCGCCGTAGCTCATTTGCGAAGGCGTGTATTGACCCGCACTTGGTGTGCCGTAGCCATCATAGCCGGGAGTTGCAGGAGGACCGTAACTGAAGTCAGAGAAGTTCTCCGGATCTTGGCCCCTGCCGCGAGGTTGTTCGTAGTAGCCGTTGCCTTGCGCATACTCCATCGACTCCGGGTCGTAGCCCTGTTGGGCATAGTACTCGGCAGCGTTGGGGTCGTAGTGCGCAGCAGCTTCCGGATCATATTGATCCTGAGTGTAGATCGGTTGTCCATACTCGTCAAACTGGGCTTGTTGGCCGTAGCCCTGTTGGTAGGCGTCAGCAGAGTACTCACCACCCTGTTGAGGTTGCTGGTGCGGTAGCTGCTGACCCTCCTGACCATAGTAGTTGTTCTGGTCGTTGTGGGACATCTTGGAGCTAAATCCCGACGTGGAACAAATACACTACACTAGTTTTCACTCTCTTTCTCTCCAGACAGGAAAAGATGATGGTTTTTCTTAAAACAACGTTAGTATAAGCCTGTTGAGGTGGGTGCAAACGGCCCTTTCGTGCTAGAACGAGTGTGTGGTTGGGGCAGTGTGAGTGCGAAACCTGGTTTTTTAAAAAAAGTTGGATCAAGATGTCAAAGGATCAAATCAATTCACCAAGACGTTCAAAAGTTTGGCGATTTTTTGACGAGAGAAGGAGACAACGAATTACGGTACGCGATCTACCAAAAAAAAAACTGAAAAACCCGAAAGAAAAAAGAAAGGTAGAGTAGTAAGCTGAATACCAAAACCGAATCAAATTCAAAGCCTAAAAATCGACCGAAAAAACTTATTTTTAGTGTCGAAGCAGCCGTGGGAAAGATTTGTCGGGATTGGCGTTTTTACTCTCTTTTCTTTTCCCGAATTGTTTCTCTTCTTCTTTCCGTCGTCGCCCGTCTTTGAGCGTTACTCCGATGATCTCTGTGGCTTGATTCAGGCGATCTGAGGAATCAAAGTTCTTCGAGTACACGGAACGCGAGCGTGGTTGTGGAGCAGACGTTTCACGAATTGGAAAAAAACTGCGGAACAATCTTGAGGAGGAGGAATGGAAGTGCCAAAAAAAAATTTCGCGCAGTGAACGGGTTTTGGAGGGACGTTTCCAGGAAATAGGAGGCATAGCTGCGGTCCAAAACACTTTGGATGGGCTTTTAGCAACCGAAAAAAGAAAGGAGAAAAAAAGAACGGGAAATCAAACTTCAGTTGCCGGAGCGATCAGAGCGAATCCGCGAATTGGAAGAGATGGAACGCCAAAACAAGGATAAAACACGGAAACCTTACTGGGAATTTCGGGTTCGAGACGCGAAAAACCTTTTTTTTTCCCTTCCACATTTTCTTCTTTTGTCATGTCCTTGCTCTGTTTCGCGTTTCACATTTGATCCATTACACTTCCCAAAACGGCTCGTTTCACATAACAATGCCACGGGCAAAAAGAAGCAGCCAAGCAAGCACATATTGGCAACGAAATCAAACGGAACCGGAATTCTTGTTGGTATCACCGGTAAAATTTCGACTTTTTTTCGCATTTGCATATGCACTTGCTTGCTTACTCATGCATTTTTGACCAGAAGTAGTAGTAGTAGTAGTATTAATAGTAGTAGCATAGCTTCCTCTTGAATCACGTGCCCTTATCTTATTTCCACTTCCCATAAGGTTCGAACTGCAGACAAATTGTTTTTTGTCACTTCCACTGTTCAAGGACACACCTATAACGCGAATTAGCTTTTGATCCAGTGGCGTAGGACAAACCCATATCGACCCACACACACACACACACACTGATGTAGCACATTAGTAGTTCCTGTTACTAAAACAGGTCACATATACATACCTTGTAAAGTCCCGCAAAAAAGCCAGATTTTTCTTCTTTACCTATATTTTGATCCCTGGCGGTTAAACAGATGGGAAAACACACGTATAAAAAGTCCGGAAAAAGGTCCAGTTTTCGGTGAAATAGCTGGACTTGACGCGTTTCCCAGTGTCTATAAAAGATAAACGCGTAAAGTGACTTTAAAAGCAGTGGTTTTGAATCCCGCTGGGTTTCTGCTGATGTTGTGTTGTGTATAGTTCAAGAATAGGACTATCTTATTTTTTTTCGTCTTTACTATATACTATGCAATACTGAAATTACCCTTTGGCCTCGCCTACAGGGGGAAACTTTTGAGAATATGCTTTTTATAGAGGTCGCGTGATCTCGAGAGAGAGAGAGCGGGAGAGACGATGTATCAGTTGAAAGTGACTAAGAAAATGGAGAAAACATCTTTATTGGACTTGTTGAATTCGAAGCTGAACATTTATAAGAAGAAAAAGGAGGTGGGGTTTTATGGTTCGTTCATAGTGATGTATCTATTTTTGCAAAATGGGGGGCTTTTGAAGAATTCCAAGATGGTGGGTTTTTTATTTTGGTGTGTTGGTCTTTTTCTTTCGGCTGAATTGGGTCATTCTTTCCCGAGGACAAAGAAAAGATAGTGAAAAGGTGATTTTTTAGTCACTTCATACGTGCATGTCGCTCTGGAGCTAAGATATTACTGTCACCCACTCCCACCACAAGGTCTCCCAAGCGAGGGGGAAGCAGACATATGAAACCTGTAGCACTTTGGAATTGCTCTACGTTTTAATATATAATCTTAGCCCTCAATGGCACAATCCTCGTCTTACAGCTCGTAAAAACAACGTCTCAGCTACACAATTCGTATGGCCGACTAATTGGTGGATCAGGTACGCGGAAACACCTGTCCATTCGTTGGAGGGACCTTGGTTGCTGCGCCTGCGCTTGCAAAGCTTGCAAAGCCTTCTGCTAATTCACTACATTCATGCTATGCACCGCCGCTGGCCACCACGAAGCTGTACCTTCGTACGATTGTGACGCCATCCCCAGGGCTATGCAGACGATTATCGTTGCACAGCAACTACCACGACTTCAAAACTCAATCGATTCCTAAAGCTCAACCTGACTTCTTTATCAGAAATGAATCTACAAAATAACAATAACATGTACAAGGTGAGCCACTGATCCCCCACAAATTAACTAATTCGTGTTCGATGGGAGCCCATGTTCCCCCGTGTTCTGCATATTTTCTCACAGATCCTCGTTCCTTTCAACAAAATCTGCAATCAAATCGCTGCACTCTTGGGGCTTTTCGGTGTTGACCCAGTGCGTTGCATCGATATCCCGCACTTCAAACCGCGGGAAAAATCGGCCCACGTCTTGCAATGACTCGTCCGAAATATAGTGAGACCGCGTACCACGAATAAACAACGCAGGGCAAGTGTACTGGTGTACCCATGGGTTGAACTCCCAATTGGCGATATTTCCCTTCACAATGGCGTCGTTCAAAATGCCCAGTGGGATCTTCGACTTAAAACGGTGTTGTCCCGGTGTGTCGTTGTCCTTCACCCTTTGCAAAATGGTGAGCAAAAATTGCCGAACGACAGGCGAGTTTTCAACGTCACGTAGAGATTTCTCAGCCTCGCCAAATGTTTGAATTTTGGGGTTTTCAACAATCTCTTGTAATTTTTTCACATATCGTGGGAATGATAGCGTAGGCATCGTGGCGACTGGAGCATTATCAATGCTCACTAGCATAGAACAAAGCTCGGGCTTGCGTAGTACCACGCTCATGGCCACTTTCGCGCCCATCGAGTGGCCCACAATGATGGGTGCATGCTCGAATTTCTGGTCCTCGATAAACATCTCCACATCTGCAGCCATCGATGGGTAGTCGTGGCGTCCGATGTGCGGGGAAAGACCGTGGTTGCGTAAATCTGGCAAATACACGTCACGCTCGAGCCGTTCGTTCAATTGCCGGGCTATAGTCCTGTTGTTGGCTCTATTGCCAAACAGTCCGTGCAGAATGATAATCGGCGCTTTTGGGAAATACGTTGAGCTGTGTTCCGAGACCACCTCGTATGCCAATTTCACGCGAGGCAGCTTGTCGGATAGGAGGTCTTGGTTGAGAACCTCTGTACTTCCGTAAGCGCCCTGTCTTGTAGTTGTACGGAACGTATTGTTGTGGTTTCCGAAAAGAGGGCCAGTGGAATAAAGCCTACCGGTTGCCAAGGCACTTTTCTTGCCGCTGATGCGGCTTAAGAGCAATGCATGCTTTCCTGGCGTGTGGGAGGAGTTATTAAAGCGACTGAAACAGGACCCACACCCAACTGCTAATTTCATGAAACGACTCGAAAAGGTACCGGGAGGACGATTGAAAACGTTCACCCTAAGGCTGACGTTTGATATCAGTTCGGTGTGCTTGTGTGGTCGTCCACACTTGTCAAACTGCCGTTGTGGTTTTCAATGATTTCAGGGTTTAAACTAGGTTTTATATCCCCAGATCTTCGAGCTTTTATAGTATAATCGAAGCCCTCGTCCCCTCGCTGTCGATAAGGAAAAACAAAAGGTGCACGTGGCCGGTGATATTTTGGGGCAAGGGAAATTTATCAAAGGGTTCCCAACTTTGACAACTTCAAGAGATGACATATACAATTGCCAAATTTCCACCCGACTGACAAGACTTCCATGCCTTGGCACTGAAATTTGGAAGGGTAAGTCGACCTTTGCGATCACAAAGAGACTCTTTTCGCCAAAATCCGATATCTTACCGAATTCCAACAAGAACACTGGCAAAGAAACTACATATGGGAGTTGCTGCACGGCGAAAAATAGACACATCAGTGTTCTAACGAAACGAGAAGAATAATAAAAAAGATTAAAAAAGAAAGTAGTTTAAACAAGTGTTCTCTTGAGGCAGAGTCTGTTGGTTGTGCACAGCCCAACCGGCTTTTCTTATCAGATCACTTTTCTTCGCCAAAGAATAAGAACATGAATCGGTCTTTCTTGCGTCTTAGGTTTTCGTAACGACGTGGAATCTGCTGTTCATGGAAAGTCGCACCATACGTGGTTCTGTCAAAAGCTTCTTCGAAGCAATAAGCGGGTCTCGTGGAGGCAGGGGCATGTTGATTGGCAGCGGTCTTGTGCCAAGCGCTCAGAAGTGTGGGCCCCTGCTCTTTGTGTGACACCTTATGTGCAAAACCTTTCAGTTTTTCCTTGGCACGGTGACATTTTTCCACGATACGATGTTTCTGAACCACATCTTGGGGGCGGAGACCCCGTTTGATCCAATTCCGGAACTGACCTGGCTTGTGGTGATGTGTTTTGTGGCGGGACCAGAAATGTTCGGATTCCGGAATAACGTTCATAGTGGTTTCGTCTTCCATCATGGAAAACTCCCCGCCGTATAGTGCCTGCAACTGTCGAAACTCGTCCGTCACTTCATCTTCTGATGAGTTGATCTCACAGGTAATGGCATTCGCGTGATCTTCATGGGCTTGCTCGCCATCATCACCTTCTTGGAAGATCGTTAGCCATCCCAGCCCGCTAGTTGGTGCCTTCTCTCGCATTGTCAGCGTCTCCAAGGGTTCCGACCTTCGACATGTACCAAGTGCGCAAATGTCAAGGACTTCATTGATAAACAGCCGTACAAGGTCAAACTCGGGACTCGTGGCTTCACAGCTGTTTGTTGTGCTAACCGTCGCAGTGCTGCCTAAGCCGCCTGTGTTTTTGTCAGTATTCCAGTTGGCGATAAACCGAGATGCCCATGCCTTCGTGTTCTCTTTGAAAAATTCATTATCCTGAGCCCAGACTAGAACCAGTTTATCGAGATCGACAAGCAACTGAGAAGTGCCACTAATGAAGGAGTTACGCAAGAATCCTTCGAGGCTTTCGACCAATAAAGAGATGTCCAAGTTGCGGAGAATTCCTGTTGTTCGCGAGACAGAAAGGACAGATTGGAAAAGCTTTTTGATCTCCGTCAAAAAAATGGCGTAAAGAGAAGTGAAGATTTCCAAAAGCTCTATCTCACCTTTGCGACTCCTCGCATATGGTGTTGCGTTGGCAGGCATTGCAACATCGAAATTCAATGATTCCACAATGGTTGGTGGCACACACCTGAGTTTCCGCATTTTGTCCATGATCCAGTCTGGCTCGTCGTCAACTTCATGACTATTAGATGTTCTAGTCTGTTTCCAATAGCAGGTTTCGGTACCCAAGCTTTTGAGAAGCGATACAGATTTTTCGAATTGAGGGCACATCGCTGACAGCTTGGCTTGTGGTGCGTACTCCAAGATGAAGGATCTCAAAATGGAAGAAATCTGGCGCTCGAATGTGGAAATGTCCTCTATTCCCCAGGCTTCGACATGGCATTTTTCTTGAAAAGCGTCATTGCATAGGAAACTCGATAACGTCTGTATGATCTGATCCACAAATCCAATCACATCCACGAGCTTCCCCACGGAGCCGGTGATGTCGTTAATCAAAATTTGTGGCGAGGCTTTCTTTCTGATCCACTCATCAGCAGATTCGGTGTGTTCCAAATCTTGAGCAAAGCTGGTGTCAGTAATGAATAGCGCCAAATAAACGTTCAGCAACCTCAAAGTCAGCCTGCCATTATCACCAATCACAGTTGGTGTGAAGATTTGTTGCTGTAGGTCAGCTGCAGAAGGACCTAAAGAGTAATGTATGACGCTACCATTCACAGAAATGACGCCAATAGTTTCTACGTCGGTTGTATCGCTTTCCAAGCGCAAATTCTGGTCTTGCTCAATTTGATCTTCGTTTTCGAGAAAGGCTAGGTTTTGTGGTGGCTCTGGATTTTGAAAAGCGTCCTGTGGAGGGTTTCTATCGATTGTTCTTGTTCTTTCGCTGTCGTGAGAGAGCGATCTGGCAACGTAAAGTTTCGAGTCCTCAGAAGCTCGCAACGAGTTCATGTAACCCATTCTGGATTCCCTTAGCTCCGAGAAAATCATCATATGGTGCGAAAAAGTGTTTGGTGGGATAAGCTCAATCTTGTACCTAGGTGTACAATGAATCGATAGTCACAAATCTTTTTTTCTTATATGCAAAGCGTCGTCTGGCGTCTGACGCTGGCATTGGAGCTCGCTAAAACTCGAGCAGTGATTGGGACTAGGACAACCAGTTAGCTGCTACTGAACAAGAACTGGATAAGGCTGAAACTTTTTTTGGTAGGCCTGGAAACAGACGGCAGCTTTTCGTAAGCGTTCAGACGCGGGATGGCAACTTGTGCTGCAGGTACTATTGCATGCATGTATCCATGATTCAGAGATTCGCTTTAAGTATTGATATCACTGATTTACACCTCAATTCGCATTTCTGTTAACGCTAATCATCCGCTGAGCCATGCTCATCGCTATCCATGAGGCGTTTAGGCACTATCACCATGACAACCAAACTCCGAGAGCTCATGAACCTGGCTCGAGACGCTATGGTACTCGAGTACTTTATTACCTATGCGTCAGTAAAAACACATCCCGGCTGGAAAACCTGCTACCTAGCCATGATTATCATACTAGTAATTCATCCAGCAATCCAAATTTATCAATGCTGCTGTCTGCAAGAATTTCCACCAGATCGGCTGTTCATGACAATTTCCGTATGATTTCACCTTATGAAGCGTTTGCCTCCATTTCTGCAAGCCTCTCTGCAACGACAGGACGTTTCTTCTTGTATTCTCAGCAAACTCACTGATTTGGACCCATTTTTAAAAATATGTAAGGAATAAACTAGTGTATGTGAAGAGAATTCTCAACTACTATGCGTTTAATCGAACAAACCGAATCCCATGTCGTCGTCCTCAGACTCCTCAGCCTCCTCAGCGGCGGCTTCCTCAGCTGGAGCCTCAGAGGCAGCAGCGGCGACAGGAGCAGCAGAAGCGTACTTCTCAGGGTTGGCGATTCTGTCGGCCAACTCTTCGATCTCAGGGTAGATGTAGTTGGAGGCAACGGCAACGGCCAACAAGTCCTTGTAGTTGTTGACAACGGAGTGGCCAACGGAAGGAAGAGTTGGGTAACCAACGGCCAAGGAAACACAGGCGACGGTGTTGATGGCAGAGACAAAGTGGGAAACAAGCTCGTCGTCGGTGATGTCCAAGATGGTGGATGGGAACACCTGGCCGTTGTCGTAAACTTGCACAATGGTCAAACCGAAAGTGAAAGGCGAGATGTTCAACAAGTTCAACAAAGCGGCTTCGGAGGCACCGACCTTGTTACCGGACTCGACGACCTTGACGTCGGAGACAATTTCAATGGTACCTCTGGCAATCTTGGTTGGGACACCCAAGGCCTGGAAGAAAGAGGTCTTACCAGGTTCCATACCGGTGTTGACGGCGTTGACCCAGATGTCTTCTGGAGCCACGGCACCGGCCTTGGCTGGGGCAGCGACGGTGTTGGACACAATCACTTCCTTGATGTCAGACAAGGACTCGTTGCTGAAAACGAAACCAACGTTACCCTTGACGAAAGGCAACAATTTTTCGTAGTCTGGCAAGTCGGCCAAGAAACCTCTGATGGCACGTCTGACCATGGTGTTCTTACCCATGAGCACGACACCGCGGCCTCTTAGAGCCTTTCTGACCTCGTGCATCTGCTGGGACGAGACATTGTCGACACCAACAACGAACACGGACTTGTATTCCTCGAGGTACTCTCTTAGCTTGGAAAAGTATTCAGACTTCTTTTCACGGATACCTCCCATTTCGAACTTTTTTGGATTAGTGGTGATAGGATGTTTAAAGGTTTCCTTGAAGATGGAAGAAGAAGAAGAAGAAGAAGAGGAGCTTAAAAAACGTCAGTTCATTTTTCTTTCTTGAGAAGAAGCGTTTGAAGGTGAAAGTTGGGTAAGGTTAGGATAGCTAGAGCGGTGAAGGTGGGAGTGTGTGTGAATTTTTCCATCGATCTCGTAGAGAGTGAGTGAAAAATTGCAAAGCTTGGGAAACATATGCACGTGATCTTGGGATTTTTGAGTGGGTTCCGATTTTGGGAAATTTTGGTTCGTCGGTGATGATCTAGTGGTACGTGTATGGTGATGTTTGAGAATTCGGGGATTTGAGAATTTTTTAGGAATGTGAAGTTTTGACAAGATTGGTGTGTGGGTGTGGAAAAGCAGTCACAAGTGAGAGTATTGGCAATGGCTACAAGTACAACATGAACAACTGAGAGCGTTAGCGATCAGTTGTGATCAGTAGAAACTATAAGCATGAACAATTGAGAGCGTAGCGATCAATTGTGAGTAGTAGAGTTACTGAGTATTGTAGAGCAGCCGAGAGCGTTAGCGATTAGTTGTGTATGCTAGTGATGGCTACGAGGACAGCCGAACATCTGAGAGCGTCAGCGATCAGTTGTGAGCAATAGACGTATCTACAAGCACGAACAAATGAGATTGCTAGCGAACAATCTTGAATAGTAGAGGTGGCCGAAGCATGAATAATTGAGAGCGTCAGCGATCAATTGAGAGTAGTAGAGGCTAGTGAGTTTTGTAGAGCAACTGAGAGCGTTAGCGATCAGTTGTGAATAGAGCGATGGCTAAAAGCATGAATAATTGACAGTAGCAGAGCTTACTGAGTATTGTAGAACAACTGAGAGCTTCAGCGATCAGTTGGAAGTTGTAGAGAAGGCTATAAGCATCAACAACTGAGAACGTTAGCGATCAGTTGTGAATGGAGTAGATGGCAACAAACTTTGTTCAACAACCGAAAGCGTTAGCGATCAGTTGTGATCAGTAGAAACTATAGGCATGAACAATTGAGAGCGTCAGCGATCAGTTTCGAATAAAACAGATGGCTTCTAGCGTATTTCAACAATTGAGAGCGTCAGCGATCAATTGGGAATAGTAGAGGGGAGTGATAACATTGTAGAGTTACTAAGAGCGTCAGTTCAGAGCGACAGCAATCGGTTGTGGTGACCACAAGCCGAGGTGACCACGAGCCCAGGTGAATAATTGAAAGCGTCAGCGATCAATTATGGGTAGTTGAGGCCACTGAGAGTATTGTTCAACAACTGAAAGCTTTAGCGTTTTCTTTTGAGCAGCACATGTGGAATTTGGTGCAATTGAACAATCGAGAGCGTCAGTTGAGGTCGCTGAGAGCATTGCTAAACAACAAATCTCTGACGTTCTTGATTGTTCAACTAAGCTTATAGAACTCTACTACTCACAACCGATCGCTGGCTCTCAGTTGTTCTCCAAGTATCATCAGCACTATTTACTCCTTTTCACAGCTGATCGCTGACGCTCAGTTGTTCTACAAGTGTCTCGATCACTAATACTATTTACTCTTTTTCACAACTGATCGATGACGCTTTCAGTTGTTCAACTAAGCTTATAGACGTCAACTACTCACAATCGATCGCTGACGCTCTCAGTTGTTCGACTGTGCTTGTAGCCATTCTCTCATCTAACGACTACAGATTCAAAGGTCACATGCAGCTGTACCCTTGCCGTACACAGATATATGGGTACTCTTCAAACCTCTAAAGTGTCCGTTCTCTGTGATACAAACTGACGTACCAGTGCTGTCCAACGGGTTGCAAAACTGGCCGGGTAAAAAAAATTCATAAAATTTGAGGACCCATCTGCTAAATAGCTAGGTACCTGAAAGAACCCGCTTCGGGCAAATCATAACCTGTCGTACAACCCGCTTAGAATTGAACTGCAACCTGAGAGGAACCTGGACGCGTTTTTTCTAAAATGTAACGCGTCTTTTTTAAAATGCAACGCGTAAACTTTTGAAGATATAAAAGGTGACAAAATTCAGAATTCATTACTTCACATTCAGGAACATGGCTCAGGCCACAGTTTCTACCAACAATGGAAGCCCCTCTTATGATTGCACCACATGAACTAGCGCCGAGTCCCAGTACTGATCTTGAAGGGGATACGGTTCTAAGTGATCCTGAGAACCACCTAGGTGACTTGCCCCACCACAATACAAAAAAGGCTCTAGCGCGTGGAAAATCACAATGGATGCAAAGGTCCGCACTTCGCAAGCACTTTCGACTTTCTCAAACAGATGGTTTGACCACAGCTAGCTGTATACATTGCGGAAGAACCTTCTACGAAAGCAATTCTACGGGTAATCTCTCCAAGCACGTCAAGAACATTCACCCCTGCCAGTACAGATCCCAAAAGGCTGCAACTATAAAGGAGCGTTCACTAGACTCTTTGATCATGAAATCTCGCTCGCTTCCGCTGCCGGGAGAAATTGCTCGCGAGTGTAAGCACAGTCCTGGCTCCATCGGGACAATTGGCTTTTTGACGGAAAGACTGTTGCCGTTTTCGTTTGTCAGCTCTAGAACGTGGAAATGGATATGTAAGGCATGTCCAGAAATGTCATTCATTCAATCTCGCACCACGATAAATACAAAACTCGAAACCTACTCCCAATGGTTTGATAAGGCACTCGTTGCGGCTCTAGAACAAACCGATTTCATAAACTTAGAGCTAGATGTGTGGACTGGAGGCAACGGTCACTCTTATTTGGGTATTGCAGCTTCATTCGCTCCGAACTTGCTGAATGAAAAGATGTTACAAGGCGTTGGAGAAAAGGCATTACTCAATAACTGTGAAGAGACCAATAACAGTCACCTTTGGATTTTGTTGATATCAGCGGCTCACGCCATACAGGTGAAAGTCTGCATACCACGGTCGTGGAGGTTTTGAACCGATTTAGAATAACAAATAAAGTCCTCTCCTTTACCTCTGACAATGCTACTAATAATACGGCCATGCATTCTTTCCTTCTTCACAATCTCATAAAACCTTCGAGGACGACGGCATTCAAGAAGACAAAAAACTTTCATCATGTTCGCTGCGCAAGTCACATCTTGAACCTTCTGTTTCAGGAGATCGTGAGAAAGCTGAGGGAAGATGAGAGGTTTGAAAAAGGCTTGAGAGATGTTAGTGCGTTCGCCAAAATAATCAAGAGGTCATCTCTTTTAAGGTCTGCTATAGCGGAAGCTAGATTACCCTTGGTGCCTTCGGCTCCCGAAACGCGGTGGATTTTCATTTGGAAACAGGTCGCTACATTTCTAAAGCATCACAAAGGATATTTAGGGTGGGCTCAGAGTTTGAAGTCAAATGAACAATATCACAATGTCCTTCCGAAGATAGAAATGCGGCTGCAGCTCACGGACGAAACAGTACAACTCTTAGAGTATTTTACGAGCTGTTGCTCGATCTTCCAGCTAATGAACGATACTTTGCAAGACAACAATGCAAGCAACATAGCTAATGCAGTCACTTTCTATTCCACGATGAAGGAATTTTATGACTTATGCAGCAGGGGTGAAACGGAAACCATTCCAGCTTCTCCAGAGGGGTTTTTGATTTCACCTTCATTAATGGAAAGTTCGAACTCTCTGAAGAGATAAAGAGTACTGTTTTGAAAGCCATCATCTCTTCCAGGTCAAAATTCGACGAATACTTCGAGTTGTATGAAAAGAACGACATCTACTTTGTTGCGGCGTTCTTGGATCCTAGTATCAAAGGCGATTATTTTAAAGAATTTTTGGTGATAATGAGGGATCAGAGCACTTTCGAAGGGTAGAGGCATATGTCAAGGGCTACCTCAAGCAGTGCCAATCCGAAAACCATCCGTACATTGACAATATGCTCAAGCCAGTGAACACGAATCGCGTCACCAAGTTCAAAAGGCTAAAATTGCATTTCAAGCAGCCTCCAGAAAGAACCTCTAAAGCTCTGGAAGAATGGGAGAACTATAAGGCTGATTCTCATTTAACTTCAGATTCTTTGACAGATGCCGTGAAGTGGTGGTACTCGCGGCGTTTGACCTACCCTCATTTGTTTCCGTTGGCTTTATCCATGTTGTACACAAAGTTCAGCACATGCGGTATTGAGAGAACATTCTCTATCAGTGGAAAACTAATGAGAAGCGACCGCAGAAGTCTCGGGAGCGCTAATGCGAGGAGAATCATGCTTTTAAGAGACCGCTTTTTTAACTTCGGCCTGTACGACAAGGAACTTCTACTCACGAAACCGGGCGATGCCGATGATTTTATAAATATATCATCTGATGAAGAACCCCTTGAGGATGATTGTCAGGATGATGATTACGGTGTTGATGATGATGATGCCTATGATGATGATGACCATCTCGACGGTCGCTGGGCGGCGTAATTAGTATTTTGACCAGTATTTAGCCCAGGTAGCATTATACAATTCATATCAAGTCTAAACGTTTTTTAGCATCGCGAACAAACATGAGCTGCTCCTCTTTGTCACCGAGGCGATGTGAGGTGTTCCCAACCCGTTAGCGACGCTATTGAATGTGATTGAAACTCACTGAAGGATCCGTAAATATTAAATTATTAATACTCAAAGACCTGATTGAAAAAAAACAGCAACCCGTTAAGTACCCGAATTTTGCAACCCGGGTTGCAAATTTTTGATCCGGGTCAACCCGTTGGACAGCACTGTGACGTACTTTCAATGAGAACGACAAACACTTGAGGTTGAAGAAAGAAAGTGACAAGAGACTTCAACGAGCCCTAAAATATAGTAGCTATGACATTCTCCTAAACCACGTACCCCATTGTTGTTCTTGTTGTTCTTATTCTTGTTGGCTGTCACGTGACACGTGCTCCCACTGCTCCATCTTCACCACTTGCAGCACCCTCTCTCTCTCTCTCCATGTTCCTACCACACTACTACCCATTCACGCCCGTGCTTTTCCAGTCTTTTCCTTTTGAGCCCTCAGTCATACACGAACTTTATTATGTTTTTCTATAGACAAGTACTCCCTTGGCTTTCATTACCAGATAACTAAATGTCATCACTTCCATTAAAAACATAAAAACATAAACTTCCCCTTTCACCACATCCGTCTCCCAACACCGACTTCACAAAATCTTAAAAACCTAGCCGACCCAGCTTTACACACAGCCCGTCACAACAAACCCAAATACCCACTTACAAAAGGCCTCCTCTCCACACCACCAAAAAACTCCGCAAAAATTCGTATCTTGCGCACTCTTGCCGCCCCACGACACATATTCAAAATTCCACACTCTAAACACTCACAATACCGTCCTTTCCTTCTCTCTTTTCTCCAGTGACACACATTTTTTATTCCCACTGGCACTTTCGAGCGCCTGTCGCTGATACCTAATAAAAATCAATTTGTACTTTGGGCGTTAGAATTGAGCTCATCGCCTTAGACCAAGTAGAAAACCCACATCAATGGCCAAAACTACACCCTCTCAGGACCCCAGCACGGTCCTCAAGACTCAATCAAGCACTGTGCTGTACCGGAACACCGAAACAGGGCTGAAAATCGCACAAACCGTGGACTGTAATGCCTTTATTCGCGATAAAGTCGTTCCATCGGTGATTGCAGATCGCAACGTCGAGCAATGCCACGTACGATACGCTACAAAGAATACAAAGACACAAGAGTATGTAGCGGAGCTGACGGAACAGCTGAAAGAGGGGAAATGCGTGGTGTTGTTTGCGTACGGACCGCACGTCCAGCGGGCGGTGACCATTTTGGAACTACTCAAGACCCGCTGGGACGAAAAGACCACTTTGACGCAACAAAACAGCCTGGAACGGTTTGTGAATGTTGTTCCGGGCAGAAACGAGCTGCTGGACCGTAAACTTAACGTTCCTATACTGGTGAGCGTGGTAGAAAAGAGGGGCCGTGAGAAGTGATCAGTAACACTAAACAAACAAACGGGGGTGACGCAGTCAAATATCGAAGTCTAACCCAGATTCTTCCACGGTTCCAAGCTCTGGATATTCATATGTCGAGATCAAATGTTCCCTTAGCAATTCACCATGTTTTTTCACTTGACACACCGAAAAACAACGCGACCCAGAACTTTGCTTCCTCGTCTGAAGTGATGACAGACCCCACCATCATCATCACCGTTCAAAAACTCATAGCACACTATGTTTTCTTCTTCTTTCCCCGCCCATTCTGTTTCACAAACGCTGCCCATCGCATCCCATCGCATCCCATCATCATCATCATCTTCCAGAAGAGTCATATGGCCTATTCTCTCCCCACCTCGTCCATCGTTACATCTTCCATATTGGGCCTTACCACTACAATATCATGCTTATCACACTACTTATCACTATCAGGCCCTACGAAAACCATTTTATTGGACAAGGCCAAGCACGCTGGTGCCGGCAGTGCTTGAGTCCACCGGAATTCAAGATTGAATGAATGAATAACCAAACTGAATGCACGACGACAAGATCTCACCAGCTGGAGTTGCGTCTCCGGGCCTGGGAAAAAAAATCTTGATGGTGGTATATTTAAACTATCAGAAAGTCTGGTGTGGTGTCTGATTCCGGGATTTAAGCGATGAGTTGGTCTGTCTAGAGTGAAGCGTCGAGACTGAATTCGAGAGTAGTTTCTCTGGTTAGGCTACAACAACTATGCTTGATTTAAGTCCAATATTGGGTAAACATGTCACGTTTCCTTTAATGTGCTGTTTCCTCTACCTAATCTATAAGGATCTAGCGGCCAGCGACAGGAAGATAAAGGAAGGACATTCTGGGAACCAACATCAGCAGCAGCAGCAGCAGCAGCAGCGACAAGATCCAAATAATGACTGGAAATCAAATATCATTTTGACAGACAAAGTGAGCGCAACCGATAAATCATGGGACCAAACTAAACCGTTTCCTTACCAGCCTTTTAAGGCAGGCGAGTATAAACTCAACATGGGCATAAAGACAATTCCAACACAGGATTGGCTCGTTCTCGATAACACATACAGGAGCAGAATCGAGGCCAAATGGCAAGTGGTGAGAGAAAACTATCAGGATGTAATTTTTTATTTGGATCCCGCAATGGTCAATACCACGGCGACACAGGAGCAGAGCGAAAACGAAGGCGATCCATTATATGAGGAAACGGCCATCACCAGCCAAGACGTCAAAAATTGTGAAATCGCGCTTTGCGAACTCTACGAAAATATCGTGGTCTTCCTCTTGCAACGGTATCCACAGCATTTCCAAGTGTCACAACCACCGTCCCAGGACTCCCCAGGCGTCCTGCACAACCAGATTCTCGACGAGCACCATCCGGTCGACCCACGCAAATATCTGGACCTCGCAGAAACCCGGGTCAAAACTTTCAGTTATCGGTGCACTGACGCAGAAGTTATGCCATCCGACACTTTTGTCGCCAACAACAACAACAACAAGAACAACAACAACAACAACAACAACAACACCACCAAAAGTGACAGTGTAGGGTACAGATGTCTCATATCGTGCACGCGAACCCAACGAGCACACGAATTGATCCTAGCACTCAGCAGGCTGGTGGAAGAGGATCTCATCTTATTGTTCCCCAACGACAAGCGCCAGTTCAACCGAGAATACGTGCTCATGGCCGGCATATTTGCATTTGCAGCTGGGTTCAACCCAAGAGAACGGTTTTTGAAGCCACTCACGCTGCTGCATGGCCCAGTTCCAGAGTACCGGAAAAAGCTGCAAATGCACATGAATAGATTCTTCGAAACCCACAACATTGGCAAGCTGGTGATGCGGCTCAATTTCTCGTTCCAAACCCATTCCAGAATGTATGTGACCAACGATAACAAGGGCTTGGCCACAGAACAGATTTCGGCCAAGACTTTAGAGCAGTTGCGCGGTGGACGAGATTTGTACTACAGATCCGAGCGACAATGTTTGATCAAGCTAGGTCCTCAATCGCAGGCCATGTGTTTTTCCATCAAGACATATCTTTGGAACATGGCAGACCAGTTTTTGACAGACGATTTTTATTCTCAAAATGGCGTTTTACAAGACATGTACGACGCTGTGGACGGTATGCAAGAGAACGTTGGCCAGTACAAACGTAAACCCGAATGGGGGCCTGCACTGTTAGAGTTGGTACGAAACAAAATCTACAGCCAAAAGAACCAAACAAACTAGATTGATATACTACTACGAATAAGCACTTTTTTAATGATGTGCCATTGAGCCTTTATGATAGCCGAACAGAAAAATCAGCGTTATCACAAATGCACACGGTTCTTGTATATAACATGTCCCCGCGATGCTGACCCAAATGCCATTTTTACCTCCTTCTGCGCATCGCTTTGAATTCCCAGACCATTGGCGGACTACGAATCTTCGATGATGCACATTAGGACCCCTCCCGAAGGAAGAATCCCTGGTTTCAATTTTTTTAAGAAATAAAACTTTTGTTTAAGAGAAAAGTGGTAGTAAGAAGGTAACGTTAGGATTATCGTTGTGATTTTTATAGGGTTTCTTTTGAGCATTGTATACGAAGAGTGTTGAAACCAACGTTTAGGTTTTGCTGGGAATTGTCAACTCTTTCTATCAAGCATTTACGCTGAGACCCTTGCTGAACTGCATATGAGGAGCTGTGATTGGGACCTTGGGTTTTTGGAATCGATTGGACATGCCGGACAAAAATTAGAAGAAAAATACCTGAGGTTCATGAAATTCAAGAAAATATTCATTTGTTTGATGGAGCACTTGACTAGAGCTTTGTAATATTTCGATCGGATTCCGCGTACTTCTCTTGTTTGTGAATGAGCTGAGAATGTATAGTTTTCTTACTTGGTGACAGTGTGGTTCAAAGTGATCTCACAAAGAGGAAAGAGTAAAGCTCAATTGAGGGGTCCTAATTGCATTAAAGACGTAAAGGCTTGAAGAATTTGTGACCATTCTTCAAATGGGTCCTAAATCCTCGATTTCATCGGCACCAAACGTTGAAACAACTGGTTTTGACTTATACACGTGACCTAGAACAACGACTGAGCAGGAGGAAAGTGACATGGCATGCTTTCTCACCGCATAAACTACTTACCATGGTCTGTATCGATCAGACAGGTAAGAAATTGGCTTAAAGGAATATGTTGAGAATTACACGGCGACGTGTTAAGTCCGCAAGGGCTCACCGGGGCTATGTATTGTAGCACTTGGTCTCAATGCATCTGCGAAGATGAACACTATTCGCTACAATGAATGAGTAGCTAGCTTCCGAGAGAAACAAAAATTACAGTTACAAAGAGTAAATTTATGAGATAGCTTGCGACATGTGCTATCCTTTTCGAAAGGAATGATACAATGAGAATCTGAAGAGTGCTGCGACAAGTGGCTATTCATATCATTCTTTCCTACACCTGACATCGGTCACGTGATGAAAACGAATTGAAATGCGATAAAGGGATAAAGTGTTTTCGAGCGTGAAATGAGCGACCGAACCCGCCCGATTCCAACAAAAAAGTCTCTTTTAATGTAGGTGTTAGAAACTCTATGTTCATCTAAATCTGAATTCAAGAAGTGAGGTATCACTACATACGAATAATTTAATTGCTTTGTTGTGGCTACATAGGCAGAGCCAAAAATGCACACACACAGAATGGCCAAATAGATCCAATCTAATCTTGAAAGACCTTACACACGAACATAAATCTCTGAAAGCTACTTTTTGCTTAGGAGATCTGAAGAACCAGCAGTTATTCGTAAAGTTATATAACAAAATAAATTCCGTATGGAGTGATTTAATCATACGCGACATAGACGTACATGATGATAAAATACAAGACCTCATAAAACCATCAACTCACAATTCTCTGTTGAGCTAAACTTTAAAGCCTGCATTCCCACGATTTGGAAACAACAGTTAAACCTTGGTCTCATTTCAAGCTGTTATAAAATAAAAATATTTGCTCGTTAAAAATGATACATGTCAGTCACTACCAACGACACCGACATCAGCTCAAATCTTGAATTACATTTATGTTTAACAACTCTAACCCTTTCTCATCACATCCACACAAGTTCAACTCGAATAAAACCTCAAGAATCACCCAATTGACCACCGAAATCCGTCCAAAATGGCTGGTCCACCTCCTCCACCGCCCCCGGTTATGGGTGGTATGAATTCCAACGGAGGAAATCCGACATCTGTGGCATCTGCGAGCGCTGGCGGAAGAGATGCGTTGCTGGGCGACATTCGCAAGGGAGCCCGGCTAAAGAAAGCTGTTACCAACGACAGAAGTGCGCCCAAAGTGGGAGGGGGAGTAGTGGGTGCTTCGGCGCCTTCCTCCGGCGGTTCCAGCTTACCTGGTTCTCGCCCAACGGGCGCTCCAGCGGTTCCGCAAGCTCCACAAATTCCCACGGGACATGCTCCACAATTGGGCGATATTTTGGCTGGTGGAATACCCAAACTGCGCAGTACGAGTGGCGGCGCTAGTTCAGTGCCCCCCGTTCCACCATCAGTCGCTCCCGTACCCCAAACGTCATTTTCCACAGCTCCGGCAACTACAGTACCGCCTATTCCAGGATCAGCACCTCCTATTCCAGGGTCTGCACCACCTATCCCAGGAGCTGCACCGCCTATCCCGGGGTCTGCGCCTCAAGTTCCGTCTTTTAGACCACAGATGCCGTCTTCAAGACCTACTAGAAGATCTGTACATGCCTCAGCTCCACCCCCACCTTCAAATTCCGTACCGCAAGCACCTTCAACACATCCGGCTCCGACCGCTCCCAAAGTGCCTTCCACATCCATCCCTTCGGCACCACCTCCACCGCCTCCAGCACCTCCAGTGTCTTCTGCTCCCAGTGCACCAACAGCGTCTGCTCCCTTAGCACCCCCACCGCCCTTTCCCAATGCATCTGGCTTAGCACCGCCAGCACCACCAGCACCGCCAGCGCCACCTATCATTCCTAAGACATCGGCACCTCCAGCACCTCCAGCACCTCCAGCGCCACCTATCATTCCTAAGACATCGGCACCTCCAGCACCTCCAGCACCTCCAGCACCTCCACGCACCGCCAGCACCGCCAGCACCGCCAGCACCACCAGCGCCACCTATCAATCCTAAAACATCGGCACCCCCTGCACCTGCTGCACCTCCAGCACCTCCAGCACCTCCAGCGCCACCTATCAATCCTAAAGCATCGGCAGCTCCTGCACCTGCTGCTTCCTCTGCTTCCCAAGGCCTACCCTTTCTTGCCGAAATACAGAAGAAAAGGGATGATCGTTTTGTTGTAGATCAAAGCTCTAGCTATACTACACAGACTGAACAAGCAGCGGGATCAGAGCCTGTTAAGGCTGACGTGTCCCAGCCTCCAAAAGCAGCAGCTCCAGGAACTGGTATGTCTTTCCTAGACGAGATGAACTCAAAACTTCATCGGAACGCTTCAGCAAGTATGCCACCGCCAGTGCCGGCAAGTGGTGGGGCTCCTCCAATACCTGTAGCAAGCGCCCCGGTGATACCAAAAACATCGCAACCGCAAGTCGCCGCTCCTCCTTTGCCCCAGATGTCAGCCCCACCTCCACCACCAGCATCTGGTTTAATTCCAAAGCCCCCCTCAGCACCGCCGTTACCACAGGCGACTGCCCCAAGTAGCGGCGGTGGATCCAAACCTCCATCAGCTGCTCTTGGTGGGGGTTTGCCGTTCCTTGCCGAGATTGAGCGGAAAAGAGATGATTCTCATGTAGTGGAAGGCACAGGAGCCTCAAATCATGCCAGCGCGGGTCGTTCGTCAGCAGGAGCTCTTTCGGGTCCACCAGTACCTAAGGCTAGTGCTCCTGCACTACCTAGAGCACCTGAACCGCCGTCTATCCCAAGCGCACCAGCACCACCATCTATTCCCAGTGCACCAGCACCACCATCTATTCCCAGTGCACCAGCACCTCCCTCTAATCCTAGTACAACGGCACCGCCGGCAATAATGCCTACCTCACCACCAATTCATGCTTCTGAATCAGCCGCCAAACTTCCACCTCCACCACCACCTTCTGGAAGCTCAGCTAACAATCTAAAGCACCGGTTGTTCTCAAATGGTGACTCTAGTGGGGCTAATCATGCGACGAATCCTCACACCAATCAACCAGAAATTGAAACTGGTAACTTTACCATCAGTGGTAGTTCAACAACCACAGGCGTGAAACTAGACAATGCAAAGTTTGTCGTCGATGACAGCAGATTTAAGTGGTCGAACGCTTCTCAATTGCCCAAACCAAGAGTTTTCTCCAATAAGACGAAAATGTACCCAAGTGGCAGGGGCAGTAGTGTTCCTTTGAATTTGGCACTTTATTCATAAACTATGATCACTTAAGATAGGACGGAGACACCAATCCCATGTTATCACTCTATAGAATCATATCTTATAGACCTACTCATTAAAACAATGCTGGCCATGTACGCATACCCTTTTAAAATCAGAACTCAACTCTCCGTAGTCCCATGTCTTTCTGAGACACTATATTTACGTTCATGAGAGCCCTCTGTTCTGGCTTGGTCGTCAAGACCATATCTTGTGTACACCATTGAGTTTACACGGTTGGAGATACAAGCGAAGCCGGTAATAGGTCCTGGGTGGTTCCGAAATTTAATGATGCCACCTTGCGATTAACCATCATTCATCAATAGGGACCAAATCAATCAGATTATGCCAGTGAGCTCACAAGATACCGCTATCAACTTGTTATCAACGTATCAATCCAGACCTGCTGAACCAAGAGGTATACGGGTTTCGATGTTCAAATTCTTAGCAAAATCAGAGGTTTTGAGCGGTCTAATACCCTTGGGCATCTCTGGCGCTTCTGATGCGTTTTCAGAAGCGGCAAACTGCCGTTTTTGACGAATGTATTCGCGGGCTGCGTTCAAAGCAGCGTCGCGACACAATTCCTTCAGATCTGAACCCGACATGTTGCGCGTGGCAGTCACAATGAGATCCATGTCGAACTCTTGAGGGTCCAGTTCAGAGTCCTGCAGCAGGATCGTGAGAATCTGGCGTCTTTCTTGAGCTCCTGGCAAAGGAATGGCAAATCTTTTGGGAAGACGTCTCAAGAACGCAGAGTCGATATCTCCCATTCGGTTGGTGGCTCCCAGCACCATCACACGGCCATTGGACGTTAGGCCATCCCACAAGGTCATAAATTCTGCTTTCAACATCGCAGTCACCTCGTGGTCCGAGGAAGCCCTTTCACGCAGAAACGAGTCTATTTCGTCGATGAAAACGATGCAGGGTTGAATTTTGTTTGCGAGCGAGAACACTGCGTCGACGATCTTGTTAGACTCGCCGTACCACTTGTCTAGAATCGATGACATACGCAGCGAGACAAACGTGGCCCCGCTTTCCTTGGCAAGCGCTTTGGCAACCATAGTTTTACCGCATCCAGGCGGTCCGTACAGCAAAACACCGCGTGGAGCCGTGAGAAGGCCCTCACCCTTGCTAGAGGACGACACGGAATACAGTTCAGGCATTGTCAGCGGACAAATCACCGATTCTGTAAGCTCTTCCACGATCTCTTCGAGGCCTCCGACGTCCGCAAACGACACTTCGATGTCCTGGGGCAGCACCACGGACGACAGTACGTTCCGCTCGTATCCGCTGAGCTTTACCTCGCGAAGCTGGGGTCGAACTGCCACTAAATTGTCCCATGTATGCGATTGTTTTTCGCGGGACTCTTTTGACCTCCCAAACAATGGATTTCCATCCGTTTCGTTCAGGAGTTTCGACACTAAGTAGTACACAGAGATACCTGTTCCCACAAGGACCGAAAGGTCTGCTATAAACTTAAGATCGATGCTACGAGCCATGTCTTTTTGGCCTTTGAAGCTCTACATTTTCTATGCGATGAGCTAGGTTAATAACTTGGTTTAGATATTTTTCACTAATTTTCAGTATGAAATTTGTCAAGCTCATCTCATCGCATCTCATCGCACACCTTCAACAAGAAGTAAAGTCCTTCTGATAGCTTGGTGTAGCCTGATTTTAAAGATATAAATACCATGCGCAATGAGAAGCACGGCATTCGAATTCCTGGCACTCTTTTGGACGAGTTAAAACGGCAAGATTACGGTGAAGATGGACGGTTTAACACAGGGAAACGGAAACGGACGACACAGGTGGGAAGGAAAGAAAGACGAAAACAACAGCGTCGCGAGGTGAAGAATAAGACTGCAGGATCTGGAAGAAGTCGTGAAAATGCGAAAAATGCTGAAAAAAAGGTAGAAAAGCCGCCACAGAAGGGCAAGAAACCCTCCAAGAAGGCGGCTCGAATTGAGAGTCGGGAAGAAGAATCTCAGGACAGTCTTGAAGCGGGAGGAGAAGAGGTGGATGCGGAAGGAGAAGAGGTGGATGCGGAAGGTTCGGAGACACTGCCCTTTTCGTCTGACGATGAGCTTTCTTCTGGCGATTTTGACGATTTTGAAGACGAGTTGGAAGAATCGGATGTTGGGAGTGGTGATGAGAGTGCGGAAAACGAAGGACCTGACACGGAAATGACAGCTGAGGAGACTATGCGGGCTTTGAAACGAGCCAAACAGAAGAAAACTGCCGGTTTGCCAAATCTCGACGTGGATGATGAATCGACGACTGAAATGACTGCTGAGGAAACAATGCAGGCTTTGAAACGAGCTAAGCAAAAGAGGTCTGCCGATTTGCCAGACCTCGACCTCGACATGGACGACGAACTAACGACTGAAATGACCGCTGAGGAAACAATGCAGGCTTTGAAACGTGCCAAAGAAGCCAAGAAAACCGGTACAGCAAACTCTGAAGTCCGGGCCAAGACCAAGCCAAAAGACGTGGCTTCGAAACCCACAGAAGATCGTAAGCAAAAACGTTCCAAGCACTCTTCCACCACCGAAGAATCCACTGTGAAGCCATCATTAACACCATCACAGCTCGCTCAAGCTGAAAAAGATAAATGGGACTACGACTACTACGCCCGTAAGCTGGGTTTGAAGGGCAAGAAAAAAACGCTCAAGGCCAGCAATGAATTTGATGCCGTAGGCGGTTTGCTGGAAGGTCTTGATTTCTTTGAAAATTACAACAGTGATGCCAGTGATGAATCTCCAGTCGAAGAAGAAAGTGAGGTCGGCTACGGCTCTCCAGACGAATCAGATAATGTCTCAGAAAAAGGTTCCGAGAGTGGCCCGGAGAATCCTTTCTCTTCTGATGACGAAGTGTCCGAAGGCGATTTCGAGGAGTTTGACGAGAACGATCTGGACGAGCAGGAGTGGGCGGAGCTTCGTGAACTAGAAGGCGAGCCCTCGGATCAAGATGCACCTGCAAAAAGAGAAAACCCATATGTTGCACCCACGTCCGAGCCGGCTGCATATATACCGCCTTCTCTGCGAAAAAAGAATCTGTCTGCTGAGCCGTCTCAAGTTGTCGTTGAGCTCCGTAAGAAGGTCAAATCCTCTCTCAACAAACTCTCGGAGTCGAACATCACTGTCATTGTCAGCGCACTAAATGAACTTTACAATTCTTACCCCAGACAACATGTAAGCGATGCGCTTGCCAACCAAATCCTCGAAATAGTATGCCACCGAGATAGGTTGTTAGACAGTCTCATGATCAATTATGCAGCTGTAGTGTTCAGCTTGTGGAAGCTAAGAGGAACGGAGGTAGGTGCTTCATTTTTGCAAACGTGGGTAGAGAAACTACTAGAAAGTTTCCGCCAGGGTCAAGCAGAGTTCGAGCGATTGAATAGCGAAAATGATGACGAGTCTGCGGTGGTCATGTCCAAGGAGTGTACAAATCTTATTTCCTTCCTCTCCTACTGTTACAACTTTGGTATGGTGTCATCCAGGCTTATCTACGATGTGATCGAGCTGTTGATCAAGACGCCTAATGAATTCACCTCTGATCTTCTGCTAAGAATAATCTCGATATCGGGTCAACTAATTCGTGGCGATGATCCAAAGGCTCTCAAGGAAATCATATCAGAACTTTTGACCAACGTCAAAAATGTCAAACAGTCCACGAGGATGAAGTTTTTACTCGAGGTAATGTCAGACCTGAAAAACAACAGATTGAAACCTTCGCTACTGGCAACTAGTCATTCAGGAGTCAAGAAAAGCATTTCCAAATTGACCAGTGGTACAGCCTCTTCTTCTACCGAACCACTTCAAGTGACACTTGATGATATCGAAAATATCGATACCAAAGGGAAATGGTGGCTCGTCGGAGCGTCTTGGAAGGGCAACCAGGAATCCGCTTTCGAGCATAAGAAGAGCCAAGACATTACTGAAAAGTCTAACAGCAGGCTTGTCATCGAAGATAATATTCTTGATGACATTCCCGACTGGAGCGAGATAGCAAGGGCGCAAAGGATGAATACAGAGGTTAGAAGAGCTCTTTTCGTCAGTGTCATGTCTGCGCAAGATTTTATGGATGCGTTCGCAAGAATTGACAAGTTGAATCTGAAGAACAAACAGAGTTTGGAGATACCAAGAGTATTATTGCATTGTCTGGCTATGGAGGGCGCTAAAGAATCTTATAACCCGTTCTATGCGCTCTTAGGTGTTAAACTAAGTCAACAAAGTCATCATGTTGCCAAAGCGTTCCAGTTTATGTTTTGGGACATGGTCAAGAAATTCGAGCAAGACGACTCGGACATGGAAAGCGCGGCCGATGAAGATGACTCAAATGAAGATGAAAAGTTGAAGAAGGCCTTATGTCAGGGTAGATTTTTCGGGTCCCTTCTAGCACAGGAGGTCTTAAGACTCGACATTTTCAAGCACGTTCCACTCATGGGCGGCCTCAATGGAGACGGCACACTGTTCATTGAAGTTATGGTATTTCAATTTTTACTCTCTATCGCCAAAAAGTGTGAAGTTAAGAAGAAGGCTGGAGGTGTAAGGAACATTAGCTACGATCCCGCCCCATTTGAAAAGCTGGCTGAACACAGCAATAGCTTTGAAAATAGCGGTTCAGTTTTCGCTGCTTTGAGGATGTTTTTGAAGAAAAGATTCAGATATCGAGCATTCATCACAGAGCAAGAGGGCACAAAAGAATTTGAAAGGCAGATTAGAAGATTGGAATGGGCTTTGCCTGAGTTCTTAAGTCTATTAAAAGTGGGTTTAAAATCTCAGGAGTTGTAGAATGAATGCATTATGTAGACTACTTTATATATTTAATAAAACAACTTACGGAACGACTCTCCAGAAGTCAGTGCTTGTTTAAGGTTATGTGACGGGCTAATGTTACTGCTTTACATGCCGTCTTGCGCTTCTTTTATAGATTTGCACAATTGCCGACCATCTGCTTTTTGCTTGACTTGAAGAACGTAATTTTCAAGCTTTCCTTCGCCATTGACTACCGGACATTTAACGAAGTTTTCCCTCTCTGCATCAGCCGGAACGTATTGGAAGGCCTTCACGACGCTCGTGTTGAGAAGCACATGTCCCATTCCATCTGATCTGCACAATATCCTTACCTTGGTCTTGTCATCTTTGTCCTGTAGAAGCTTCAACTCTCCGGTACCTTTCGAATCGTAGCCTTTTGTATCAGGGTTGACCAATAATAGCTTGGCGCGCTTGGAGAAAAGTAGAGCTTCCCCTTCTTCACCATTGGTCATAGTCATCGTCTTTGTTTCTTCTTCTGGTTGCAGTTCCGTGGCAACAGTATTTTCGGGTTGTGGTTCTTTAGTGTTATTAGAGATTTCTGTCGACGCCGAAGCCGATGAAAAAGGCAGACTGAACTTGAAGCCACTGGAAGGTGTTTCCTTGACCTCAGCTGGCTTACCAAACGTAAAACTTGGAGCTGAAGAAGTATTGGCTGATCCGAATGTGAAGGAGGGCTTAGGCTTTTCAACTTCGCTTTGCTGCGTTTCTGACTTTTGGCCGAAGACAAATGAGGGCTTTGGCTTTGGCTTTGTGGACTCGTCAGACCCAGGTGTGGACCCAAAAGAGAACGGTGCTGGCTTAGTGCTCGACAGATTGTTTCCATTGGATCCCGAGGTGGCGGAATCGTTCGAAGAGGCGGAAAAGCCAAAACTGAAAGAAGGTTTTTCAGTCTTTTCTCCAGAGGCTTTTTCAGTTTCTTTTGTAGGAGTTTCCTCAGCCTTCTCCCCAGATGCTGTGGATGCACCAAACGCGAAGCTGGGTTTCTTAACCGTATCATCGCTGTTGACTGAGGTGTTCGATGCTCCAAACTTGAACGCGGGTTTTTCCGCTGCCTTCTCGGTGTTCGCGGTAGAAGCAGTTTGTCCAAAGGAAAAAGCTGGTTTCGACTTCACTCCATTGCTATCTGACTTCGCTGCTGTATTAGCGCCAAAAGAGAATGAAGGCGTCTTAGCTTCTTGCGTTTCAGTGGAAGTATTCAAGTTCTTGGATGGCTGAGCAAAACCGAAGGAAGCTTTTGGCGGCTGTTCCGAACTACTGGTATCAGAAACAGAAGTTGGTTTTTCCGTAGAGCCAAAGGGCTTTGACGATGCGCCAAAACTGAATTTGGGGGCCTGCTTAGTGGTCGCATTGATAGTTTCTGCATCACCAATATTGTCAGTGGAGCTTTTGCGAGATTCTCCAGAACTGAACTTGAAAACAGGCTTGGCAGTAGCCGAGGCCGCAGAGGGTTTGAAGGAGAAAGAAGGGCCCTTGATCTCAACGTCACTTTCTGAATCACTGGTATCCGCCTTTGTGGTCTTTTTAGGACCAAAACTAAATACAGAGTTTTTAGCGGTCGGTTTTTCACTTAATGTGAATGTAGGGCCCTGAACTTTAATTTCGGCGTCAGATTCGGAATCGGAATCGGATTCTGGGACTGCGTTGATCTTGTTGGCAGTAGAGTCAGGAGCCGGAGCTACAGCAGGGGCTGTAGACTTTGGTTCCGGATTTGACGTGGTAGTCGCTTGGGTCTTGGCAAGGTTTTGTGTGCTCATGATATCTTGAAAATGACTTTTGTATTGATCGCATACACTTGACAAGTCAGCGCAGGGATCATTGGAGATGTATTCAGAGAGTTTGGTTTGGAACTGCAAGTTCAAAGCATTGCGTTTAGCGGGTATATCGGTGCTTGAGACGGAAGCTGGCTCACTCACGCTCTTAGGTGCATTTACGCTAGCGAAAGCATTCGATGTGGTGGCATTAGAGGATGCGGCGGGCGACGATTGACCAAACGAAAAAGCATTTGCCGCAGGGGCTTGCTGGTTTCCAAAGCCATTCCCATTACCAGTGCCGTTGCCAAAGCCCAGGTTCTTCCGTTTTCTAGGTTGTGCTATTCTGCGTTTGCTGAGCACTTCACTAGACGCTTGCTTGAATCCTTCTTGAGAAGGAGTTGTCGTGTCCTTTTCGTCACTGCCAGCTGCCTCGAGTGCTTCTCGAGTCATCTGAGTGTCCGCAATACGTTTAGCCATACTTTATCGTTGTGTTGTGTAGGAATAGCGTGCGGAGAAACTAATGTATGTTGTGTGTGCTTGTCACGCTAAAGAACCCACCAAAAAGAGTCGGTTTTGAACAGTTATTTAGCGCTTGCCAAACAGCTTGAAATGCTGAAAAGAAAGGACAGCTACACGGTGTCTATGAACGCGGCGCTGTTGCAATGTAGCAGTGATGAGTTGCCTCATGTTTGTTCTGAAAGGTCATCTTGAGCTTCACTTTGTATATTTCAAGATCAGCTCACTATATACGGCAATTACCAAAACAAATGACAAAAATTATCTCCGATACGGGGAGTCGAACCCCGGTCTCCACGGTGAAAGCGTGATGTGATAGCCGTTACACTATATCGGACTGGAGATGAAAGTTGGAAGTGTTACAGGAATATACTGGCAATAAAAACCCACGGTGCCCAGAAATTTGCTAAACTTAAAGGATCCGTTTTACGGACGTTGAATTGAGCCTAATTCGATGGGTACTGAATATTCGAGGCTAGATTCATTGAGTGTGGATTATGTTGTTGGTAAAGTCTGTGATTTTTGCGTCCGCCATTAGATCGGTAGCTCGTAATTTAGTATCATAAAAAATCGCTGAACTCACCCTGGACAAAATCTCAATCATAGCCTGGCAATGCACCTTATCAAGATAACTTCGGACCCTGTCTAAGGTAAAGCATATCGCAGATTTCAAAGGCTTGCCACAGACGTCAATCTTGTTAAAAGAGTGCTCACGTGACACCAAATCATCTTATGACTGCTAAACCCATACACCAAGAAAAATTCAGAGAAAATTAATAAAAAGTTGCGTGGCTTTTGAATTTTCGATCGCCGTACGGGGGAGGGCCTTACGCGCCACGCTGGGAGTGCCCGCCCACTGTACTGGCTAGAAGCGCTAGCGTCTGCTGAATCCCGTCTAGCCTCTAGACAGCTCTCCGCGTGGGTTCCTGCCTGGAATCCTTCCAGGTTCGTCCAGGCTCCGGCCGGACGTCTGTCTAGCGCAAGATTCTGCCCTCACCCCACGCCGCGCTGGCCTGTGCTAGTGCTCATTGAATAAAGACAAAAACAACAATTAACTCTCTACACTAGAAATCATAGCTTTTGGTTAGACCAGCAACGGAAATTAGAGTATGTGACGGGTGTACATGGATCAGACAAGAAGAACGAATAAACAACAACAGTGGGAGTAGTTGACACACGATGGGTCTTTCGAACGGTGGATTTGGGACGAGTTTGGAGCCCATACGCTAGATTTAATCGAAACGAAGCTGGAAAGATTAGTGAGAAGGTGTGGAATGCTAAAGAGTGAATCACAGCACTGTTTGTGTTCTTCATAAGCTTCTCTCAAAGACCTGCTGAAATAGGGCTACAGAGGCCCCTACAGTTGTTGTTTTGAGACCTAAGATTCTTGTGGGGAGTTTCCATTTTTTACTAACATCTATCTCCAGTAACATGCCTCCAAAACAACAATTGTCTAAGGCCCAGAAGGCCGCCGCCGCCATGGCCGGTGGTAAGAAGTCCAAGAAGAAGTGGTCCAAGAAGTCTCACAAGGACAAGGCCCAGCACGCCATTGTCTTGGACCAGGAGAAATACGACAGAATCATGAAGGAGGTGCCAACCTACAGATACGTGTCTGTCTCCGTTCTTGTCGACAGATTGAAGCTCGGTGGCTCTTTGGCCAGAATCGTCTTGAGACAGTTGGAACAGGACGGTGTTATCAAGCCAGTCTCCAAGCACTCCACCCAGGCTATCTACAGCAGAGCTACTGCTGCCTAAGTGCAAACAGCAAGTCTGCCCCAACAGGATTGTAGCAGGAAAGGCTTCATCCGTGTATAAGAGAGTATTTTTTTAGCTGCACATCACGTATAATCTGTTGTATATGCAACACTCATTCATATTGTAACAAAACCCGGCTACAGCAGGCTGGGAGTGGTAGTTGCACAGTAATGCGCCCGCTGCTAGTATTACATGACACTTTCACTGTTTCCGTCGTCGTCCAGCCCTAACTCGTTGAAATCTTATTTCAAGCCCTAATCGCAAAGCCCTAATTTTCCGGCAAATTTTTCAGAAGTTTACTATATAAACTGGAACCTGTTCCATTATCCACCGATTCACTCTTCACATTTCAAGAACAAACCAGGGCCATAGAGAATAGTTATGATGTCTGGAAAACACACATTAGCGTGTTAGTCGGCTCTATTTCTTATTCTTACATGATTATGAAAACAATCTTTCAAGTCTGAGGATGTATATGCAGGACTAAATTGTTAAGGAATTCTTCGTTTATGATGTGGATTCAAGGAAAAGCAGTCGCTGCAAATGCGTGCGTACGCTCTTCGCGTTCACGACTCATAAGTACTTTATGGCCCGTGTGTCCATGAGTTCATGGACCAACTCAAATAATGGAACCAGTTAGTTTTCCCGAGTGATGAACGACTTTCCACGTCTTTTTTATAATCCGGCGATGATTCTTCGGAATATGTGCCACGGATAAACATCATGCATCACCATCTGACCTGGAAAAACCGATCCATTATTAGTGTTGGCACATTGTCCTGCTTCTCTGCAGCCGTAGTGTCAGTCGAACAGACTAGTTCGAATCTCTCTCTTTTTTATTAGTCTTTGCATGATGAAAACATAAACATCAGTTCTGCTTCTGAACATACAGGAAGATACTCAATTTACCAAAGCTCAAAAATCTGAACGCAAGACTAATAAACCTCGTAAGTGTAATCAAGGGACTTCTCTTTCCGCGCATCACAGTAGTAGGAAACATAGCATATTTTCGTCAAGAAGGGCTAACAACTTTTCTATTCTAGTCTACCTAATGTGCGGCTCATTTGCTGGGCCCGTCTAACCTTGTTTGCGGCTCTCGTCCATTCTGAGGTAAAGGAACTGCTTGATATCCTTCCATTGAGAATGGTACTTGGGAGGAATCTTCTTGTCCACTTTCAAGATGAGTCTCAGCAGCGTTTCTTGCGCGTAGGGCGAGAAGTTCAGTCTTAGCCAGTAGATCGACAAATATATCACCAGCACAAATCCACCAACACCATCCCGGAATGTGATGATGTCAAAAAATAGGCTCACCACCGTAACAAGCTCGGAGTACGCAATTATGTGCAAAAACGTAGTGGTGTTGTCCTTTTGTTTTGTCTTCTTGTCCTCGTTATCATTCAACGGCCTCTTTTCGTCGTCTTTGTCGTCGTCTTTCTTCACGTCCGCTTTCTGGTCGGCCTTAACTGTGAGATGCAGAAAACTGGTGAGAATAAAGGGTACCAGCTTGAAAAGCGACGCTCTGCTAAACAACCACAATACTGCAATCAGAACACCTTGAAAGTTTTCTCTGCTCAAAAGGTCGTACCAGGAAGGGTTCAGCGAATACCATTTTTGATAGCTGGCCACGGAGTAAGCTAACAGTACACCAACCAACGACAACCGGTAGCTTATTTGAGGCAAGGACCGCCACAAAAGCTGCAACCATGTCTGGGACTTGACCTGTGGAGGTCTGGCAATCAAAAATAGGGTTTTCCAGGATCTGTACCGGTACATGGTCAAGCATTGCCAAAGATAGAACAGTGCGTAAATAGCTCCCAAACCCAGTGTCATTCCGTGGCCAACAACCCACATCAGCTTCTGTCTAGCTACAGGATCACCATGAGCCTTTGACTTCTTCCTGATGACATCTTGAACAGCCATTGCGTTGTGTTTAACGTGTTCCGATGTATGGAATGTTGTTAAACATATTTTACAGCTGGAGTTTTAGCTCATTCATATATGTCCTTTTTTTTACCTGATGGTGAAATATAAAGATCGGACGTCAGTAAAATCAAAGCCGTGAAAGAGATGGAAGAAATCTAGGAAAACAGGGCACTCAGGACTTGTTGGTATGCTCGTTAGCGTCAAAATTATAGAGCGGATCGAATTAAACCATTTTTCTGACAACTTCAATGACTCGTCTACAACAGATTATGCGAAAGTTATGGGTAATCTATGAAAAAGCTTTGAAGAATTTTTGAGAGTTTTTGAGACCTGAAGCAGGGGTTTAAAAGACTTGCAGACGATAGCTTAAAATGTGAGGAATTTAACGCATTTTTTTTGTTGGAATGAAGTGAGTAGTGAAATGCACGAAAATCCAGAAATCATCGGATGACGGAGAAGAAGCATATCTTCGGGTCGCAGGTGTGCTGAATTGTCATGTCTATATTGGTGTAATGCTTTGAGACTAGTTTTTGCTGTCTGAGGGACAAGCCTGCACTTTGTCAATGGTGTGCGAAGTGTATTGTCGGCTAGTGACAGCAAGTGAGAAAAGTGATTTCAATTTGATTCCTTTTTGATTCTATACATATATGAAGTCAGACGTCAAGGTCGTAGCAGCAGAAGGATTCGGTGGAGACAGGTTCGGTTGCGCTAGTGTGAAATAAATCTATACGATGGTGCTTAATTTGAAGACTGTGACAACAAATTATTGTGCATTTCTAAGTTTTTGATTAGTTGCACAGCGAGTCTAAAAATTTATTTGTATGTTTTAGGCTGATAATTTATACCAACAGTTTCTCGAAATCTGAATGCATCGAAGTCGAAAGAAAGTATTTATTTTAGGTGTATTCAAAGGGTGATTTCACCAAAGACACGCTCGTAGTTATGATTTAAGTTCGTTTAGCCAGAACAGAAGCCGTAGGCGTTTCAGTCTTTTGGTTGAAAAGACTTGTGGTCAGACCTTAGAGTCCATTGTATCGATTCCAATGCCAGACTAAACTGACAGGCATCTCGTAGTCGTTGCAATACTGATCATGGTGGAAGAATGCTGTCTTGATCATTTTGTCCTCAGATGACACCGCTGTCACGTGACCAGAGCTGTGACTGAATGTAGACCTCAGAGGATGTACTGGTTGTGAAAATACTGATACACATCATAAGAGTTTCTCAACGCTCTTTCGAAATGGTGAACATCCATTTATTGTTAACACACGGATGTTGGCAAAAGGACTCGTTTGAGACGACATATATTCGACCAAATTTTCAATCTTCATAATACTCATTTCAATTCCCATTTGCTTCAACAAACTGCTATCAATCAACTTGGCACTTCTATATGCACCTCATTATACCTATGCCATAATAAAAAGTCTATTATTCAAACAGATGACACATTCGTGCAGAATGACCAGAAGAGCTTCTCTAAAGGACAGCGAAACAAGCATCAAGCCCAGAAAAACGTACCCGATATTCCCCAATAGAAAAAGCGCATGTCTCACTTTTATATTTGACATCCAGCGCAACCGTTTTCTTTTCGGCTTTCAATTGACATTTTTGAAAGGCCATTTTTCAGTGGTATGTTCGTGAGTGTTTCACAGAAGCAACAATGAACGAAAAAGTCCAGGCAACCCATGGAAAGTTTATCCATGCTAGCACGGACATTTCAAAGCGATAAAAACCCATGTTTAACACTCACTGGCACTGTCTTTTAAACACACCGTACAAAGCGACACACAGAAGATTAACACCTTTACAAGATCAGATCCATCTTCTTTAACGTAACGTGTAATTCAGCACCAACACGACAAGACAAGTGAGAATTCCTGTACCCAAGCCCTTGCGTTTGCTGGAAATTTCACAATTTATAAGTCTGTATAGTACTGTTTAAACTTCTATAAGTATAGTCCCGATGTCGGTTTGCCTTGCTGTTACGAAGACTATCGCGGTTTCGAGTTTAGGGATCTATTGTGGAACAATGTGTTCTGCGACCATTCTGGCGCAATTCACGCCGCTGGACGTTGTCAAATCGCAGCTTATGGGTCCCGCCAAGATCGTGGCTCGCGTCGCAGCGTCGCTTGCCACTGTGTCGTCAATTTTCTTCGGCCTCAGTTTTTTTGGCGCTCCCGCGTCACTGCACCATCCGTACCTGTTGTACGGGATGCTTGTGGCCCCTGTTTCTGCAGCATACATGGGCTTGACGATGAGTTTCCGGAGACCGCGTAAATGTCGCGAACAATGCTCCAAACGCGCGGAAAAACAGTCGACTACGGCGCCCACTTCTGTTGCCGCTACAGAAGCGCAAGAAACTCCAGATTTGTCACTGGACGAATCCGTGGTCGACTTAGGCCAATCCACTGCTTCTCACGATGAAGATGAAACCACTGTTGCTGCTACTACTGGTACTACTACTGGTACTACTACTACCACCCAATCAGACCACGTGACCGCCCATTCCTCCAAGTGTTTACGTCCAATACCCGTTTTGTTTGGCATTTCGGTGCTTGGATTTGTGCAATCCGTGCTGGGACTTTACGGTGAGGGTCTTTTTGTCTGAATCCACTCATTCAATAAGTGCGATTCCATCGACTTTCCCAAATTTTGTTATTTTCCAAATTGAAGGCCTATCTATTCTCTCTCTTCATCCTTACCAATACTACTACTACTACTGGTCTAACAAACAGAAATTCAAACAATTTTCAAAACTAAGCTTTCCAGCTTATGCTTAACATCCAACGCACAACTCACCTGCCCTGCAATTTTTCCAAACGGCGTTATCGCTCTCACCACCCTGTACGGCGAATCATGTACGTCTTGCAGCCCTACTTTTATCACCTCGTGCAATTTTTGCCAATCGTCAAAGGGATCACAAGCTTCAACCGGAAGCCCATCGGTTGCCATGAAGTCTATTCTTTCGCAATAGTTGTGGAAAAAAAAACGGTTAAACGCAAGATCGGGGTTCAGAGCAAGATATTTTGCATTCGGTGGAGTGCTGTTTATTTTTTCTTTGCTTGTCGAGCGATGAGATGGCTTTCTGCACTGCGTTGGATTGGGTGACTGTTAGCAATGACGAAGAAGAATGGGACGACAAGTGAGTGAGCAGGGTTTTGAGAGGTCGAAAATGAAGCGCAATAGCAGGATCTGAAAGGTGGCAGATTGTTGAAATCTGTATAAAAATACTGGGGGACGGTTTGATTCCAGTGACGGTACCTGATTATACCTGCGAAAATGTGGAAACTATAGTCTGTTGTTTCGTAGGGAAAGTTGAGAAGAGACCTGTACGTTGAAATAAACTACAATTCATTAATACCAAAGTGGTGGCCGAAGAAAAGATCTTCGTCTTATAGCTAGGGATCTAGTGTTGGGTCTACTGTGGGGTCGAATAACTTTGGGTTCTTTTTTTGTGGAAGGGTCGAGCTGCATGTCCCATACGAGCAAAGTTCTTCTTTCTTGTAGTTTGCATTTGCATCGGCACTTAACATAAAAGGTGCGCATCTGGTTATTTTGTATCTTCACTGCAGTCTTGGTGTCCATCCATTTCTATGTTCACGAAGCTGTCCAAGATCCAAAGCGGATCGTTTAGCACCGTGTATCGAGCGTATGACTCGGTTTCGCAGCAGGATGTGGCCCTCAAGATCGTGGAAAAACCATCAGACCCGGATATGGCTACAAAACTGGCCAAGCTTGTTGCAGGCGAATACGATATTCTCATGGAACTCGGCAACGATCATCCCAACGTTTGTGCGCTTTTAGATTTTTACGAACGCGAAACTTGCTACGTCTTTGTCATGGAGTTCGCAGCCCACGGCGACCTTTACGAAGTTATTCGGCGTTGGAAAACCCAGATCGAGTCCCGATTTCAGGTTAATATCGCTCGGTTGGTCCCACAACTCTGTTCCGCTATAGAGTACGCCCACTCACGAGGTATTGCTCATCGCGATATCAAGCCAGAAAACGTGCTACTAGATATCCACGGCAATGTCAAACTCGCAGATTGGGGTCTCAGTTGTCGAGAACGTGTTTCCCAAGACCGTCGTGTGGGCACCGAAAAATATCTTGCCCCCGAGGCCTATAGTGGTCTTTATGACACATTTTTAGCCGACTACTGGTCGTTAGGGATAACGCTACTGTTTCTACTCTTCGGTGCGTGTCCCTTCAAGAGTGCTCAATTATCAGACAACCCCAAAAATGCCAATTTCGCGCATTTTGTAGCCGATCCTAAACAATTCATGTTGGAATACTATCTCAAGCCTTTGCACGCTGGTCGTGGCATTGTGCCCATGAGTGTCCGCACACCTAAGGGAGACGTTACCTACCTCGATGGTCCGACTGGATGGCTAAGTCTTCCTGAAGTCGGTCATCCGGTTCTGAACCGAAACCAGCTTTTGGCGTTACTGGCAACCTGTATTGTTACCAATCTGCTTGTGGTATCGCCAGCTGCTCGAAGCATGCGATCTTTTCTGATACAACTCAGCACTTTGCTGTTCTCTTCAAGAGCATACTCGTCTCCTCAGGACATTGGAAACGAGGCGGCCATGTCAGAGCCGCTTCCTTCTGATGATGTTTACTCCAAGTTCCAGTCCCCCGGTCCGGTAGCGGATGCAGGCGCAGAAGCAGATGCAAATGCGGCGGGGAGTTCCAAGATGAGCCAACAAAATCAGAAAATTTATTCTGGAAGTGTCAGCTCAGGATCTACCAATGTGGACAGTTTGAGTTCTGAGGACAGCAGATCGCCCAACTACAACGGGCAGTTGCAAAATGCGCCCGAGTTCAAGAAAACGAGCTCTGAAGACTATCTTTCGAATGAACTTGAATGTCAAACGGGAGTGCGTCAGTGCTAGAAAAAGACTCAAGGACAAAGATTCTTGATTGCATCTCGCAAGTAAAAAAATCTGCTAATTGCGAGCATTTGATATTTTAGTCTCAAAGAAAATGTCTTGTCAGAAAGAGAAAACTCGACAAGATTGGTGGGTATTTTTGAATATATTGATGTTAAAAAGTGTAGGTGTATGTATGCTGATAATTAAGTTTGATGGTGTTTTAAAAACGTGTGATGGTGAGACTTGCTTCAGCTAACTTGAGTGAGTCAATCTCGAACCGTGCCATCTTGGAATGATTGAATGTCCGTCCTGTGCGGTCTTTTGTTATTTTTTCTAGGTCGTGGCAGTTGAACGGTTCATTATTATATCTTGTGCGAGTGGTTTGGCATTTCGAACAAATTTAACATGCCAGAGAAGCTCCGGCTTCTTGCTTCTTGCGTCGCCCGTAGAACTCTACGTTGTCGATGGTATGTACAAGAATCTTGGTATTATTTTTGTTGAGCTCAAAAATGAAAAGGCCGTGGATAATTCGGGGATAGTCCATTTGACGTTTCAATTCGCCAAGTAAAGTGAGCGGATACCCAGAAAATTCGCGAGCCGATTTTTGGTCTGGGCTTACAATGCAATTGAGCAGTTCTTGGTCTGGTGAATGGGTCGTGACATGTGTCGTTTTACCTGTCGTTGAGGGTCCAAATTTGACCATGTTCGCCTGCGAAAATGGATTTTCAAATTTGGACTCAAACTGGTCTTCATTCTCAGCAACACCCTCACAACTCTCCCAATGGACCACAATCTTGTCGTTACCACTGATGGTGTTGTAGCGTTGTTGGCCTTTACTGACGCCAGTAATAGTCTCGACTCCCGTCACGTGCAGACCGCTGCCCTCGTGCAAAACGAGACGTCTGGCTACCATGGTGAGTAAAGACATGGAGTGTTTGTACCTGGTGATTCCGTGTATTCTGGGCAGATACGCATAGCTTGTCGGAAACAGTCTGAGAACTATTTCGGCGTCCAGTTTCTCTGCATTTATTGGTTTTTGCAAAAGATGAGGAACAGCCTCTGAGCTGAGGTATTCAGTCATCAAACCTAGATTGGCCACTTTGGCGGCTTTAGAGTCATTATATATATACCGTCGCATGGCATAAAGAAGCCACGGTCTACAGACTAGCCGCATCGGTATTTTGAGACTCACTTGTGTAAACAGTTGTGGATCTAAAGGTCGATGAGCTAGCATCATTTGACATATATAGCTTTATATAAGGTATATATTGGTATTTTAGACGAATTTGAGGCACGTGACCGAAGACGACTGAGATGACAACGTGCGTATTCAAAGTTCAAATGTATGATTTTGAGTCTGTATTCTGGCTTGGGGATGGAAGTTGGTGGCTCTGGTATGAGCCAGGTCAAGTTTGAGACAAAACTGGTGGCCGAAGAAATTGATAAACTCCAAAAAAAATGCACAGTTGAGTTCGTCAAAAGAGGGCCCATCCGTATGTTTAGGCATGCTGGTACACTTTGGAAATACACCGGGGCTAATTTGGATGCTATTCCTAAGTGCCGTGTGTGGCTGAGACTTATGGAACTGCGAGATCACTTTTCACGTATAATTATGCCGTCGTCACTATGACCACGTGATTAAATTATAAAAGATGGGATTCTGCGTCAGATGAAGCAAAAGTGATATCCAAAGGCCAGTTTATTTGAATTTGAAAGGCGTTATTCTTTTTTTTAGCCTACCATTAAGGAGCTTTCCCCAAAATCAAGGCACATGCTTCCACCCATAATCTCGCTACCTTAAACGCTCGAGATTCCTCTCAAACAACGGTGCTTCTCACTGCTAGTCACGTGATAACGCATTTACTATTCTTTAAACCTAGTTCCAGAAAACAAGCACCAGTCTTTTTACTAGACTAGCACAAGACAGCACCACAGCCCACAGCTACTCTCGCCCATCGCCCCATTTTTTATCTGACAAGATCTCATGACTCAATACCCTCCCATTTTTTACATTTTTTTTTAGCTCAAAACACTTCCCAATATCTACACAAACCTGCTCATAAGCTCCACCGCATTTTCAAATACCCAACAAAGCTCTCATTCTATTTAGAATTCATTTCTTTGCCCATCGCGCCAGGACTCTTAACTCTTCAAAAAATCTCGAATCTCACGATTTCGTACACCGGGATCCACATCTCACTATTAAAACAGCATGGAAAAGTTTTTGACTGGATCCCGCCCACACAAGCACTCTGCTTCCAACTAAAACCAAGCCAATTGGCCCTCAAAGACTTCGGGACATTACGACTACCATCATAAAACGATGTCTACTCAGTTTTTCGCGAAAACTTCGACGGAAATCAATTTGTTCCAAGGATACCCTTCGTTCGATCAATTGACGAGAGATGAAGCTGAGAAGATCCAAGTTTCTCTTCTGTCGCCATGTGGTCGATTCATGGCTCTTTCTACAGCAGAAACTGTCCAAGTATTCACAGGGGTAGAGTTCTCGCATCTGCTGTTGAATTTGACTCTCAAAGATGTTTATGACCTGCACTTTTCACCATCTGGCAACTTTTTAAGCACTTGGGAAAGACCATCACTCTCTGAACCAGATCATAAAAACGTAAAAATCTGGGAACTGAACTTGGAAACGCCGCCAGAATCGGCCAGATACGCCTACCAAGCTAAAGTACAAAACGGATGGGCTTTGCAATTCAGTAAGCTCGACAATTTCGCCCTAAAGCAGTTTGGTAAAGAAGTGAGAATCGTGAAAATAGACATACACGATGCCAATGCTACGTTTAATTTCGACAAGCCTTACAGCAAACTCGTACCAGAACAGCATATCTCCAGTTTTCTCATTTCACCTTCGGAATTCCCCACGATTTGCACCTTTTCACCAGAAAAATCGGGTAAGCCAGCTATCTTGAGCATATACTCGATCACGGAAGGCGTTTCTGACAAGAAAATTGCAACCAAGACTTTTTTCAAGGCGGATTCGTGTCAATTGAAATGGAACCTACAGGGCAACGCCGTCTTGTGCATGGCGATCACAGATTTCGATTCTTCAAACAAATCGTATTATGGTGAAAACACTCTATACCTTTTGTCCTTCCAAGGTGCTAACGGGACTTTGGGTGGTAAATCTGTGCGTGTACCGCTGTCCAAAGAAGGTCCTATTCATGATTTCACTTGGTCGCCGACATCAAGACAATTCGGTGTCATATACGGTTACATGCCCGCCACCATCACATTTTTTGATCTCAAGGGCAATGTTGTGCATTCTTTACCAGAGCAACCGAAAAACACCATGCTTTTCTCGCCATCTGGTAGGTATATTTTGATAGCAGGTTTCGGAAATCTACAGGGCTCGGTCGAGGTTCTAGACCGTCACGATAAATTCAAATGCATTACCAAATTCGACGCTGCAAACACTTCAGTTTGTAAATGGTCACCAGGGGGTGAGTTTATCTTGACCGCAACTACTTCTCCAAGACTAAGAGTCGACAATGGTCTCAAGATTTGGCACGTAAGTGGTACCTTGTGTTTTGTGAAAGAATACAAGGAACTACTGAAAGTGGACTGGAGACACCATCTTTCTTCCAAGTTGGCTACGAGCCATGTCCTCAAAAGCGGCGAGGACTCCATTAGCGAGCCCTTCTCGGACCCCAAGCTGGGCAAGATCGAGGTGCAGGTTCACTCTTCGGCTACCGAGTATATGGCCAAACGTCAAAAGAATAGCTCCACCAATGGAGCTGCCACCAAGCCAGCTGGAGCTTACAGACCGCCTCATGCAAGAAGAGCAGGCGGTGCTCCATCTGTTCCAGGTGCTGCCATCAGACCGGCTAAGGCCATTCCAGGCATGAGCTCTGCCGTTCCCGGAGTTGCTGGGAAAGAGTCCAAGAGTGCGGCCAAGAACAAGAAAAAAAGAGAGAACAAGAAAGTTGAAGCTTCGCCAGGAGCAGGAGAAACAGCTTCTACCGAAGCCTCCACCGAGCCAGCCGCACAGCCCATTGTAAACAAAGAGGCTTCGCCTGAAGAGAAAAAAATCCGGTCACTTTTGAAAAAATTGAGGGCCATTGAAGCTCTTAAGCTCAAACAAGCATCTGGTGAACCATTGGAAGACACACAAATTCTTAAGATTCAATCTGAAGATAAAATCTCCAACGAGCTCAAGTTTTTGGGTTGGAAGGACGACAATGCCTAGTGATTGCAGGAACCAATCTCTCCATTGGCACCGAGAAAAACTTCTGAGCCAGTTGTTTCCACAAGGACATCCAATTGAAACGTCGATTCCAGGCTTTTCATTGGGAACAACCCATGCATTCCATCCAAGTACATAACTAAGTCAGAATACAAGATTTGTTCATTTTTCAACTCAAGGTAATCTCTTATTAAGGCGTCGCTATTATATTCGTTATATAGTTAAAGAGTCTTGTTTTCAACACATGGAGGAACAAAAGAGCCAGAAAATAGATCAGATAAACCAATGGATACTTCAGCTGAACAAATTCACATTGGTGTTGGTTAGTTTTCAACACAGGCCTATCTCTTCAAGATCTCTAAAGTACTTGGATACTCGTAACACCTGACACATCAATTGAAAGTCGTTATCACGTGTTTGGTGATACTCGTCTAAAGTGACTATGTGGTTCAATATTTCTCACAGAAACCTAGAAATCTAGCTCATCGCCTAACGTCTGAAAACGTTTGAACGCCTGTCCTTCCACACACAAGGGCTCATTTTGCGCTTTATATGACCACCAAATCCCTTTACAAGCGGTCTCCCACGACTCCCTCGACTCCAAGCGTCCGAAACGGTGCAGAACCCAAGAAATTGAGGCGAGATGAGAGCTCATCGCCGACGCGAAGCAAAAGACGGTCAGATCTATCGATGGAGGATCTAACACGCCAGAACATAATCAATTCGCGGGAAGTAGGGCGTATGCAGGATCTGGTGAAATTTCTGGAGCTTGAACGCAAGTTTAAGGCGTAGGGGTCAATTTTATTCGTTTCCTTTGGTCATTCTGTTCATCTTAGTCCATGCAACAAGCGCACAATATCTTTCGAGGTGGCTCTTCTGGAGGATTCAAATGGTGTCATCTGCAGTAAACAGCCGACAAGAAGCGTTCTGGACGGCTCACTAACCTCTTCCAATCGTGGGAATAAGTGCAGGCACTTTTCTCGCTGAACGGTTTCTGGTTGAGACTCGATGTAACGACCGTCACCCGAAGCTCCAAACATGCCTTCGAATGCTGGGGATCCATGATCACGCACTTCTGGCCATTCTTGCAGCGCAGGAATGCCGAGACTGTGGAAAATAGATGAAATCAATCGGATATCACTGCCTTGGTCCAACTCTTCAGATCCGTCGTCCACAAATGCCGGAATAAATTTCTCACTCGAGCTGCTAGTTTGGAACAGTTGCGATACAATTATCAGTAGAGCCCAAATATCAACGGCAGCTGTGTAGTTTTTAACGCTAAACAACAACTCTGGAGCCTTGTAGATTGAAGTGGATACGTCTGTGATCTTGGTGTCGGGAAGTTCCTGGGACACTTCAGGGTGATACGCGATCCCAAAATCAATCACCGAGAGACGCGGAATAGCGTTTGCCGTACTCACATCCACCAGAACGTTTTGCAATTTCAGATCCCGATGTATAATGTCCTTTGAATGTATAAACTCGAGAGCTGAAGCCAATTGCTCGAAAAAATCAATGGCTTGCTCGAGAGGCAGCTTGTTTATACGTTGAGATGGCTGTGTACTTTGATTGACATCCAGGAGGTAAGGATTCCAACGACGTTTTTGATAGAATTCCAGTAGGTACTGATGCAAGTTCAATTTGACATATGGAAACTGTAGCGTAACTACGCCGTTTTCGACTTCAGAAGACAGTAGCTGGATAACATGTTCGTTTCCTGATCCTTGCAGCCGACGTAGCAATTCCAGCTCGACAAGCGGGTCGTGCGGTTTCACCACTGATGCTATTGGTGTTACTTTGATGGCCCGGTTTCCTTTATGGTAGATACTTGAAAACCGAGTAGAAACGATAAGCTGACCAAGATCAGTAGTCATCGTGAAGGAGACAGTTTGAAGATTTGGCGACAATTCTGGATCGCTTTGATCTGTGTATTGTGTCTGTCCGTCTGTCACCTTTATATAGGCGATGAGCTATGCTCTTAGAAGGGTCACATAAGACGTACTACAAGCGATTACCACAGGACAGTTTAACCAGCCAGTCAGCATTTGAACAGGGCTTTCCAGTAGTATGCGCGATGGGCAAGCTATATTCTAAACGTCAAGTCATGTTGTAAAGTATAAATCGATAAGTGTATGTATAAGTCGACCAGCCCGAAAATGGAGCGAAAAGTTATGCAAAGTGAAGAGAATTGGCCATCACTTGGATCAATTCTAATTGATCTTCTTCAGACTCTCTTCGGTTCCATAGATTCTGTCGTCCTCTTTACCTTCGACCTTTTGTTTGATGACTTCCATCTTCTTGACCTGTTCTTCCCAGGTCTTGGTGCTCTTTTTCAATGATTTGTTGAACAGTTCTCTGTCTGGCTCACGGTACGAACCTCCCAATCTATCCCATAGAGTGGTGAACTGACCGTAGTTGTAGTTGAAGTAGAGGTGGTGGACGGTGTGGCACGCAGCGCCATTGACGACCGGATCGTTGGCCAAGTACTCGCCGTCATGAATCATAACGGTCCAGAAGTTGACAAAAGTGAAAAGAATCAAGTAGGACACCTTGTGCAGAGGAAATAGCATGGGGTAAATGTGGTATGGAAGCGATTGGAAGTATCCATCGACCGGGTGGAAAGCGTGGGAAGCGTATGGGGTGGTCACCAACCACTTGTGGTGTGGCTTGTGCAACGCTTTGTACACACGAGGCCAGTGCAGCCATCTGTGCAGCAGGTAGATGCCGCAATCTGTGAAAAGCAGGAAATACGCGTATTCGAGGAACCACTGGCGCACACCGTGGTTTTCGGTGTCAACAGTCATGTACAGCTTCGAGTAGCCTTGCAGTTCCACCAAGAACCAGGGCACGGTCAACAAGACCATAACGGGGATCGCAGAAACCGCCTGCTTGATCTCCAGCGACATCTGGTTCTTCAAATACCGTGGATGGTTGAAGATCGCCTTGTCGAAGATGAACACGTACGAAAACGTTGCCACACCCAGATACAGCGCCCAGCCGAAAACCGTCATGATAGCCGTGAGCGACAAAAACTGGCGGAAAATGTTGTAGCGGGGCAGCAACGACGCTCCGACGTATTCGCTGAATTGGAACAGATATGGAGCATATCCGTATTTTCCAGCAGAGGCTGCTGCCGAAGCTGCTGCCGAGTCCAAAAGGCTGCTGGCGTTGCCCTGATTCAAGGCGAACATTTGATGCAGTTGCGCAGGCACCTGCGACGACAAAGAAGCCGGCAAAGTCTTGGAATACACATAGTCCAGACCATAAGAGTCGAAAAACTCAAGAACCAAATCCATTGTTAAAAACTTATGCTAGATCTCTTCAAAATGGTCGTATTCAAGTGCTTGAAAAACGCTTTTAAAGCTGAGGATTCGCTCTTTAACGTTAAGTCAAGTCTTCTTTGATTGAAGTCGATCCAACTCTGTTTGGCTTCGAAAATGGTTGTGCGATGAGCTTCATGGATGAACAATGTGGCTCTTTATATAATATTTCAAATATCGCAGCAGTGATATTTTCGTTCCTGGGTTTTTCTCGGTTAAATCTCGAATAGTATACTAAACGATAAGACCGATGAAAAATATAATCATCGAGAAATGGGCAGTTTCTCAGTGGAGGGCAGTGGCTCAGAGGTTGTGGGGGAAACAGGAACGAGTCAAGATAAGACAGGCGTTCGTGTGTCGGTTGGAAAGAGCGCAGCGAGACGAGCACAGATATGTTTTCAGATCCGGGATCGGACCACTGCAGAGAGAGTTAGCGCGGCTGTAAGGTGAGCAACACGCCCACAGAACATTCATTCAGATCGACAATCAGCGCTGGCTGTGTTTCTGCTGGGACTCGTCATTGGACAACCAGTCCACTGCGAGCGGATGCAGGGATTTGGCGTACCCAAGAGTCACGGCATTGTCGTTTTCGCGGACAGACGCGGAAACGCTTTGCACGGGAACAGTCGGGTCGAACTTGACGTCCTTCGCGTACGACAACCGGCGCGCGATACGGCCCTCGCGGAGGTGCAGAACAACATCGGGCCACTCTGCAAGCCCGTCGAAGATATGGGTTGCGTATACGACGCTGCAGCGGCGAACGGTGGTTTCGTGGTGGAGAAAGGCAAGCAAACGGCTTCGGGCCAGCACGTCGAGGTCCACGGTGACCTCGTCGAGCAGCAGTAGACGCCAGGGCCTGAGAAGGCCCATTGTGAGCTGAACACGCCGTTTCTGGCCGTCGCTGAGCCTGTGCATGCGCCAGCGAACGTCGACATCGAGGATGTCGATCAAGGTTTGCCCACGTTCCCGGAAATCCTGCAGTCCCACGCTGTCGAGAAGCTCTTGCACTCCGATATCGCGGTTGATGATACTCATATGGCACCATTCAGTGCCCAGGTAGGTAGTGATCTGGCATTCATCGTTCTGCTTTTGTTGCATCGATGCCGGGCTGAACGGGTCCAGCCCGTTCACACGGATGTGGCCTGTCAAACACAGGTTTTTACCGCTCAGTAGCTTCAGCAAAGTGGATTTTCCGGCACCATTGGACCCCACAATCAACGTGCGTGTGTTCCATTCCAGTTCCAGATCGATGTTCCGCAACGTAGCTTCCTCGGTGTGAGGAAACTTGTAAGTGAGATCTTTGATTTCAGCTGCTAATGACATTTCCAATGACAATTCCAATAGAATGAAGGAGAGAAGGTGTCTTTTGTGTGATTGATGGGCTTCAAAAACAGTTCACGAAGGTCCAGCAAGGGTATACGAACAAAATATGTCTTGAAAAGTGGTAGAATTGCACGATTTTTGCGGGAAAAATCGGGGAAAAAAGCCAATTGAGATGTTGAGCTAAATGGGAGTATCTAAAAGAAGGTTTCGGTGACTTGTGGACACTCAATTGTCTTACGTAGTTGGTTTTATTTGACTTTATTTGACTAAATTTCATATCGAGAGAGTTGATGTCCAGAGAGAAAGGGCATCTATTAATTTATATCAAAGTCCATATAGAGAAGAAACAAATGTGACGGTCGAACAGGAGAAAGCGATGAGCTATCGCGATATTTGAATCTCGACTTTGAGTTATTTGAGATAATCTCAACAAGATGGAATGTGTTTTCGAAACTGGCCGGTTTTTCTTTACTGGAAGCCAGCGATTTTCGTTAGAAATGGTGTTTAATTTCGATTGGGATCATGAGAAGATCGCAGTGGGGGGGTGGGCGGATGATAACAAAGAGAGCGAAAAATAATAGATATTGTTGTGCTTTGAATTTGGTTTTATGCGGTTCGCTGATCATGTTTATGAAGTCTGCTTTTTAGTTGGTGAATTTTAGCTTTTATTATATATTGTCGAGTCTTGCTTGCTCTACTTACCTTGAGAATTACTTTCTAGGGTCAATTGAGACAGTTTTCAGCGTCCTTGGAATCGAAAGGACTATCTGCTCGAAGAAAACTTGAAAATTCCTCGAGAAACCTTTCCAATGCTGCGATTATGTGAGTTTAAGGCGACAGATGCCAGATGACAGATGACATACTAGTAAAAAGTGATATCAGATTGTGGTGACTTAGAAGAGTTTTGATGGACATAGACAGTGAGCCAAGGCCAAGGGAAAGTATGCTTCAGAATAAGACATACACTTGTGCCCCCATTTATATACCTTTTTTCCGGTGTTTTCACCGTTTGGACATCCGACATGGTATCTTGAGAATCACCACAGAGCAAAGGAAAAGAAGCAAGAATATGCTGGCAATTGCGTCCGATACGCTCGAACAAAACCACTGGTTCTAAGTTCCAGATGCTGTCATTGTTAAACTGATGGTTTTTGCTTATGGAGTGTCGAATCCGTACGAAATGACCATCTTTCCCCTCTGTATGTTACAATAGTGAGCTAGCTCATCACCAACCGCTCTTGACACCCTTTCACAACACCAAAGACGCTCATTGCCCACCAAACAGCGTGTTTTAAGGCTCAAAATGGACGGCGTGGATGACATTTTGAATGAGAACCAAGTGGCCGACGAAGAGGAGGACGAAGACGAGGAATTGGACGAGGAAATGGTCGATTTAGCGGGTAGAGATGAGAACCAGGATCGAGATCAAGAAGGCGAACAAGACGACCAGGACAATCAAGACGATCAGGAAGATTACCCCGAGCAGACCCAGGACCAAGACCAGGATGACGATGATGAGGATATGGACGGAGAAGATGACGACAATGACGACAACGACGATATGGACGATGACAACAACAACGGGGAAGCAGATCTGCGCAGAAATAGGGAAACGGGAGACAGCGAGGAAGAAGAAGAAGAGGACGATGACGATGACGATGACGGCGACGATGACGAAGATCAAGAACAGAATGAGGCCAGAAGAAAAAACGACAACAACGACATCACGTCATCGGCTGAAGCAAGACCAAATTTGGGCGTCTCTGTGGAAACTCACCAACCATCCATCCGCAAACCAACCTCGGCGTTCGACAAAATCCATGAGTATTACATACAGCTCTACAATTCTGCAAAGCTCGCTGACGTATACTCGATATACCCAACGGCCGCCATCCCCATCCAAACCCATGTCCACAGCATAGCCATGTCCAAAGGGCTCAAATACTTGTTTTTGGGCGGTGAAGACGGATTCATAAGAAAGTACGACTTTTTAAACACAATCGAGGGTAAACTGTCGCTAACGATTCTGCAAAAACACTCACTGGTGGAGTCCATTTCCAATGCAGGGATTTTGCTGTCATATTGGGAAAACGAAGTCCCCCAAAGTCGTGACAATATCAAGCTCCTGAAATCTGGAAAAGAATACGAACCTGTTGTGTCCCCTGTGCATGCTTTGGAAGTGCAAAGTGAGTGTATGTTTGTTTTGGGCGGTCTCGAGAACGGTGGGATCACAATGCAAGGATGTCGGTTCATGGAGGGACATATTGCACACCTTTTTCAAAAACACACGAGTACTGTAAATCAGCTAAGACTAAGCAATGATGAAAGCCGCTTCATGAGTGGAGGTTGGGACAAGCAGATTTTGGAATGGGATCTACAGACCGGAACTTGCAGTAACGAGTTCAAAGGCTCCACAGCACAATTATCATCATTAGAATTCAGGCCACTCTATTCCACTGTGGATGTAGGTGAAAAAGCCAATTTGGAGACAGGAAACGAACAGGAGGATGCGAAGAAAGAGGATGATGATTTGGACTCGCTGTTTGGTGACGAAGAAGAGGAAGAAAGAGTAAAAACTCAACAAAAGGAAGATGCAGGTGACACAGCACCGGATAACAAGTCCCCGGAGGTTACGCAGACAGACGAAATCTCAAAATCAACACTGAAAACAGTTTTAGACGAAAACGTATTTTTGGCCTCCTGCACTAATGGCGCCGTGCAGATATGGGATCGCAGAATATCGAACAGACCTGTACTTAACCTATCCCGGGGCCCTCAAGTACCGCCATGGTGCATGTCAGCATGTTGGTCTACTGACGGAGATCGAGTTTACGCGGGAAGAAGAAATGCAATTGTGGAAGAGTTCGACCTCAAAATGAGTAGCAGTCCGTCTAAAGTACTGAAATTCCCCAGTATATCTGGTCCAGTTTCGTGTGTTCGTGCAATGCCAAACAACAAGCATGTTTTATGTGCCTCTAATGATAATGTGAGAATCTACGATGTTTCTCAGTATGGATCATCAAAGGTGCCGTTTTTGATCGTACCAGGCCATCATGGAGGAATGATCTCAAATCTGTATCTTGACCCTACCTGTCGATTTTTGATAAGTACCAGTGGTGATAAAGGATGGCAAGGAGTCTCGACCGATGCCACCCTCATTTACGACATTGACGTTGAGTAGTGTGGCTTACAAAACCATTTTAAAGTGCATTAATATACGGCTCTTACAAAAACGTTACTTAAGAAGTGAAGGGCCTGCCGATATTCTTGAGCACGCTTTTCAGTGGGTCTAGCCATATTTTGGGTGGCTGCTGCAGTCCAGCGAATTTGAGAGCTTTCAGTTGCTCTAGACAGGATCTGAGGGGAAATATATGATAATCGGCATGAGTTTCTAGAGATCTCATGTATAGCTTCAGCAAGATCGCAGCTATACCCACCATTAATGACATTCTGATTACGAAAGGTCCCCCGCGGGTGGCCGCAATCCTCCACTTTGTAACCGTGGAAAGCGGCTTCTTTGACGTGCTGGTGCGATGACCGGACGTTGACTTTATTTCGTTCAGTTTGATCTCGTTCCCCAACCAAGTAAGCGCATCTTCAATGGAAACAGGTACTTGGGATTCGGTCAACAAAACGCTGTACTTGTTGACGATTTTCTTCATCTCTGGTGTAAGTTTATCAGATGAATCTCTCGAGGCCTCCAGAACCTCATTCCAAAGACGAACACTAGAACCAACAATCATCTCTTGTTGTATGACACCATGTATTAAATCAATATCGTTGTCAAAGTTCTCGAGGTTCTCATGAAGCCTTGTCAAAAGGTCATCCTTCTTGGCGAGGAGTAAATTGCTGTAAATAATAAGCGGCATTAACATAGAGTTGGATGCAATGACAAGATCGAAAATCTGGAACACAATGCTCAAGGACTCATTGCTTTGAGGTCTCAAGTCATGAGAAAATAGCGTCAGAACCGACGAAAGGGCGAAAAAAGGATCAATCTCGTTCAACTGGAAAGTATTATAGAGCTGTGGGTCGTTCTTCTTGACTATGGTAGGGATCAAGGCCAGCTGATCGATCGTAAACGTTAATGAGTTCATCATGAAGTCCCTCAAGTACAGCAGTGTGAAAATGGCGACGGATTCGAATAATTGTTGGCTATCAATAGATAGCACCGAGTCGTCCGAGAGTTTTGTGGAAATCGAACTTGAGCTCATGGCCCCGTGATATTCAGAGCCATCGGTGGATGGGGTCTCACTGGTAGTAGAATCACTCAAATCCGCTTCATCTTCGGATCTTTGGGTGTGCATGAACACCAGCACGAAAACGGCCACGACATCATGGTAGCCTTGATAATAACTTAGTTGCGGGAATGTTCTTAAAACTCTTATGACCGTTTGTTCAAGAGCTTGGCGCAAAAACGCTTTGGTTACGCTGTCTTGTACGTCCCCAAATGACCTCTTGACGTCGAGCGAAACCTGGTGTTCATCGGAATGTTGAGGGAGCTCTGCTCCGTCTTTCCCCATTTCACCATACACGTCAAGGGACAGTCTGGATTTCAAAATTTTGAGCCAAAGGGGTCTTCTTAGTTCGTGCTTCGCAAAACCATCCTTGGATTTGCCAAGAGACAAAATCGTCTCCAAATCATCGTGCACAATTGCACTCGAAATCTTTTGAGATTTCAAGCTCAAACGTTCGTCCTCCCGGAAGTATAACACGGACTTCTCGTCCAGAACTGACTCCCCCAGGAACTCATGATCATTCACCAAAATGCGATATTGATCAGACACCATCTGAAGAGATATGGCAACAACAACTAACTATTCACAGAGCAAAGCCAAGAACATGGACCAAAGCCTGAACTATAAAGGAGTGGTACTTTTTTGAGAAGAATCCGAATGGTTAGGCGTCTTTAAAGTTGGCGAAAGAAACGGGTCTTTTGTCGTTGAGTTGTCCAGGGGACATGCTTAGCTGTGGGATGGATGGATGATGGGCCTCTTGAATTTATTAAGTGATTCGAACTGGAAGAAGACATGTGACGCGAAACCCAAAGCAGCAAGATGAGAGCGTTTTGAAATCTTGGTGGAACAGAAGAGATTTTGGGTACACTAGGGTGCTTTTATATGGTACGAGTGAATTTTGCGGTTTTTTAGAGACACTTGGGCTAAGATTTGGGTGCTTTTTGGTGGAATTCTTGCAAGTGACAGCAAAATGGGAAGGATAATTGAAGATCATCGAAACTCGAGATGATGGGATATGTGTGGATAGCTGTGAGTACTGCGGATGGCCATAAAAACGACTTGAGACGGTGTGGGAGGGCCAAATCCGCGACAGAGGGCCTGTTTCTTGGCAAATTGTTTTTTTTCGTCTCTTTGTTTTTTTTACATTCAAAGTTTCGAGCCTTTTCGGGCGTTTGTTTCTGGTGCACAGAGTGAATCAAACCAGCTTCCTCCCAAGATCTCGTACCTCTGTTTGGCTCGGATTGGGACTGTAAAGGTCCTAGAGCTTTCCCGACATTTTGCAGCGTTAGATTAGTACAAAATGACCAGATATCAAGAGACACTACTATATGTATATGGTAATTCCAACATAGAGCTGAGAAGGATGCTATTTTGATGTTTTTCACCCGTTGCTGGGCAAGCCTACACTTCTGCTTATGTTGTGGAGTGTTTTCTTTGCATGCAGCGTTTGAGCTGTGAGAAATCGTGCGTCCCCGTCCGTTGCAGAACCAGGCTCATTCATTATTCTTGAAATCAAGAGTTGAGGCCAGAACCCGATAAAAAAACGACCCCGAAGATCCTTTTTGTTGGCAATGAATTGCATTCTCCAGTTGGATAGCAGGGCAACTGGCCAAGCCTGCGACGATCGCGCGCAACAACGATCGCCCTTCTTTTTCTTCATACATACATACATACATACGTACAGCCGTTTCAAATGTTACCAATAGCGAACTCGATGGAAAATGCAGCTGAGACGCTGGAAACTGTAGAATTTACCCGGTAGCCACGTCGCCCACGAGATTCGTTACCCTAGCAAGCTAGCTCCTCTCCCTCCTCTCTCTCTCTCTCTCTCTCTCTCACATACTGCTTTTAGATGTTTTATTTGAGGTAGCTTCCCGTAGACTGTGAGTCTGCATACAATGATCTGCATGCACCACTAAACTACTCTCGATCGTAGGCGTTTTGGCATATTCGGGCCATTATGTAGATATGTGTTCATTTTATGGCAAAGAGTATCGTCAAACAGTTCAAAACATAACTGCTATTCATGTGTTATTCGCCATCGTTAGAAATCGATTGGTGGTTCGTAGGGCTTGATTCTGAGCTGTAAGATCTCATCAAGAACATGACAAGAACGTTTGAAAAAATTACCGGAACATATCCTATCCACAACCGTTGGTGTTGCAAACGGCGATGAGATTTCGAGGCTTGTGGAAAAGATCTGCAAAATGCAAATTTTACAACGTCGAAGCAGCTTGCATATGCACTAATCAGAATTCTACTGCGATTATCTACTTATATTTTAGTATTTTTTTTTTCTTTCTTGGGTTGGCTCTCTAGAATCGATGAGCAGCTGTAAAAAATCAACGGTAAATACGTAAGATCGCTGTAGAACCTCAAAACGTAAACTAAACAACATAGATCTTGTGCTTTGGTTGGAAAGAATCTGAATGCTTAGAGATTCTGACGTTGGTGTGGAAATAACTGGGAAAATGAAAAGCCATAAAGATTGAGGAAAAATTGGTCACGTGAGGAAATCGATAGTTTTCAGCTTGGTGGAGAGAAAAAAAGAAAAAGTTTCAAATTCAGAACTATGATGCTCTTTATTTCTATACCGTCAAGATCAGTGTCATGAGCTTGTGATATTCTTGTAAACAGATCAAAAGCTTAGTTTATGGCCAGATTGTAATCAAGTCACTATGTACGGCGAGTTGTCTTTTGGATATTCCTCATTTTGAGTCACCGACCTGGTTTAGGCTCACATTACTAATACCACAATCATTACCATCAAAACAAAATCTTCACAAGCTTCGACAGCTTGCAATATACCCTCCGCCACCCCCTTTTGCACCTTAGTTTTTCACCCCAAAGCATCACTTTCTACGGTATAGCGACACCGTAGTACGAAGTGACGGCATTTTGGAAATTAAGCCATTTAATTCTACTGGTCTGTCCCAAACTAACTCAACCAACTCTCCACAAATCCAAGTGCCTCTTCTTCTTCTTGTTCTCCCATTATTTTTTATTAATACTACATCAATAACATCATAGCGCATAAACCTTAGACGGGTGCTCTGCAGTCCCCGGCCTGCAGCAACAGCAACGTCTAATTTTCCGCATACTGCGGGTAGCGAAACGTAGGTGGCTCGTGCGCTGGAGGCGCTTGGTAGTCCAGCGGCCAAACTTGCATCCCCGTGCAAGAACGGCGTGTTTGATCCGCCACGTACTGGCCAGCAGTGCGTTCCGCAACCACTTCATCCCGCGGACACAGCGCCATCTGCGCCACTTGCGCGACCGTTTGCGTGAGAGTGTCTAGCTGTTGGGACAGCTGGCCCAGCTGGTGCTGTAGTCCTGCAATTGCAGTGCAGATCGTTTGAATTTCGAGCGACGACAGTGTCGTGGAAGATGATATCACGGGCGACGAGGACGACGACAAAGGCGCAGGAACGGTATCCTCCTTTATTGGCGTCATAGTTGAGCTGTAGAACGGTTGCAGCGGCGACGACGACGACGACGCCTGTGTCATTTCAGAAGCGTGGAGATCTGCAATCACCAGCTCGCGGTTCTCGTTGAAGCGGAAAACACGGGTGCATTCGTCTCCGAGCGCCTCGGCACGGGACGCGGGCGGCAGCTGCGTACAGTATTGGGCCCTGGATTGAGATCTTTGGTATAGTAGTCGAAATCTGTCACGACATTGTCGTCTGTTCATTTCCACGTGATGCGTTTCCAGGAGCGCGGCTCGTACGTGATGCCAGAATAGCTTACGTGAGCGCGGATACTCGGCGATGTCCGTTACAGTGAGCAAGTGTTTGTGTTTTAGAACGGTTTGTAACAGTCCCAAGTCTTCACGTGACGACCATTGTGCACGGCGCCGTTGGTGTGTGGGTGGAAAAAAGGGGAGCTGGGTGGCCGCTGCCGTAAGCATTGTACTCGAGTCCTTATATTTCTTTTTTGGGGGAGGAGGATGATGCGATTTGGCACGTGCTTACGTGTCACGTTTTTTTCTCCCACTTCACTTCACTTCACTTCCGTACACCACGACTAATTTGCACCTGCTAAACTACTTATTATCTACGCCCATCTTGATAGAGGTTTCTTTAGCCGAGGCCCACCATTATATAACGTAGCGCTAGACTGGGCAAGATCAGGGCTGGCTGGTTTCCCCGCCCAATGTGCTGCTGCAGATATCGGGTAACTTTGATGTGTTTTTTTTTCTTTCCAATCCCATCCCCAAAGTCTGCGCCAGATGCAAGTAAAGTGGGTAAGGAAGGTAAAGAGGGTAAAGAGGCCAAATCTCTCCCCCAAAGTGTGCAAGTAATAGTAGTAGTAGTGGCAGAAGCTGCAGTAAAAATCCAAAATCGGGAGCGCAGCTGAGGCTATTCCAAAGTGAGGAAACTCTGTGTGGTGCTGCTGAGAACACCGCAGAATAGCTAGCTGGGTGTTTTTTTCTTCCAGTGCGCCTTTTGCTGTTCAATGCAGACGTAAACTGGTATAGGGTCAAGATCCAAAGATGGCAATGCACACGCTATTTTTGTGTAGCTCCGTCGATGGGCTTGGCTTCGTGAGGTGCATTGTCCCTGGAAACAAACGCAGCCCGGTGCCTTTGAACCTCTACAGGCACCGTGCACAATGGATTACGAGCCCGTTGTGCGAGCGCTTCTGGAAGCATGCATATGCATCTATATATGGGCAAATAGGCAACTTTAAATCCTCAACAGGAACACAAAGGAAACGCAGAGAAAAGAAATGAAAAGAAACGAGAAGCCGGGAAAAAAAAGAAAAGGATGCTCTCTTCTTTCTTTTTTTTTTCTTTTCTTTCCACGCCGTTTGCCTTTCCGGGGCGGGGAAAAGGGAAAAGGGAATAACTCAAAAAAAAAAGGACTCGAGATGCCGGTTACCCCGACAACAAAGGCGCATCAAAAACAAGTTCCGGACAGATGGAGTTTAATCTAAAAATAATCAAAGCGGAGAAGGAAAAATAGAAGGAAAAAGAAAAAGGTAAAAAAAACTTGGAATTTGTGGTAGTCATTAAATACGTAGCGCACGTGTAAAGCACGTTCTGCTTTTTTCGGTCTTTTTCTCACTTTACGTAATCGTGCGTAGGTGTCAGTGTGGACAATAGTGATTTATGCTGATGGATAATGATAATGATAATGATGATGCTGATGCTGATACTAAGCGCACTGCGCTCACTGGAAGATGAAAGAATATGAACAAAATTTCTTGAGCAGGGCAAAGAGAAGACGGAAACGCAGTGCAGCTCAGCTGGAAGGGATTGGAAACAGTAACGAGTCTCCAGTAAATGCTTGATGAAATTAAAACGGGAAAATCAAACGACAAAAAAAAACATGAGTGTGGTGTGTGGGTTTGTGTGGGTGGTTGGGTGTGGTGTATGGGTGGCTAGTGAAGCACTGGTGCTCTACCAAGCACACACACTCTCCAGAATATGCATTTCTCCCAACTCTATCAGTCCCGTCGGGCCAGTAAGTACGGAGACATTGTGTAGCTACCGCTGGTAGGAGCAGTCTTGCCATATCCGTTGCCCGACCGGCAACATGCATCTGCAACGAACATTGGCTCTTGTCTTGTCACGGGCGGGTACAACCCCATACCACCACCAATGCTGCCAACACCAATGCTACCGCTGTACATCCCATGTTTCATCAACACGTCAACCCGCGACCGTTCTTCCGCCACCAAGCCTGACAAGTCTTCTACTTGTTGCGTCAAAGCACTCACCTGTCGCTGCAAACCGGAAGCCAGCTCCGCAAGCGACTCGTAGCCCATGTCTGGAGCACCATCGCTCACCGAGCTGTACATTGACATGGCAGGACTGTGCAGGCCTGTGTCCTCGGTCAATCGAGGCATTTCGGGCGCCGCTCCCAGAGTGTGGTTCATGCCCAATTTGTCGTTGACACCATTTTCTTTCAACATGATCACATTGTTCTTGTCGATGTATAGCAACGTCAAACATTGTGACAGTAACGCATCCAGGCGTTTGAGTTCGCCGCGGCTCGTGTTACGGTCCCGCACCGCTTTCCAAAAAAGTAGGTTGAACCGGTCCCGACACTGCCGTTTGTTACGGGTTATACCGTGCTTATTTTTCAGCTCGAAGCTGATATGCAACCAGAACCGACCGCGTGGCCGATTACTGTTATCACTGCCTTTCAAAATGGCTGTGTTATCGATCACTGTGGACACCAGGGCTGTATCTTCGTGCACAGACCAGAAATTACGTGCTCTGCGCAGCGAGCTGGACGACGTTGAAGAAGGTGTTGAAGTGCGCGACACCGAAAGCGGTGTCAACTGCAGTTTGTGAGTCTCTTCCAGCACCGGAGCTGCGTAACTCGATGCCGTTTCCATTTGTTTGTCCTCCGCGCTGCACGCCATCGCAGAGAGTGTCATGATTCCCGTGTCGCTTGCAGACATCGAGAAAAGATCTCTTGAGTTTTGGTTGTGGTAGTAGTAGTAGTAGTTAATTTGGGAATTAATGAGTCGCGACCAGACCAAAACTAGTACAGGCCTACCCTCATAGACGGAGTTTTGCCTGCGCTAATATACAATTTTTCGATCTCAACTCTTATCCCTCCAAACTGCTTTTCAAGGCTTGTTCATTCTGCATATTTTGCGTGTCACAGCTGTTTGACGCACCGATGCTTCCATATGCATGAGTATGCATAAGTTAATTTTTCAGGCTCGAGCACAGAACACCCTGCACGGCACGCCAGCGCCGCGCATGGCTCTCGTAGTACGTTTACTCGCGTAACGGTAAATTTCAAGTCCAAACTGTTGCGAAAGGACCCATACGCATCAGAAGCAGCTTGGGATTGAGAAGTGCTCGGAACGGAGAATTTTTTATGCATTGTTGCGACAAATGGTAAATACGTCACGACAAGCACAACACGACGAAGAAGTTCCAGATCCGAAAAACAAGACTCAATGATGGATGGTTTAGTCGACTCTTTTTCCAGCCTGGACTTTTGGCGAGACGAGTCAAGCAGTCGTGATGCAGTTGTGACGAAGCATGGTTGGTTGTATTTAATTTTTTTTTTTCGCGGGCAGTACGTTAGCGTGAAGCCTGGCGACGCTATGAGCTATGCATGGAAAAAGCCCTTTCCTCTCTCCCATTTTGCGAGGCCTGTACGACAGACCGTCCAAGCGTTTTTTGGTGTTTTTTGGTGTTTTCATGGAATCATGACAACGAATTTCGAGAGCGTGTTTGAGGACCCGTACGCGGCTTGGGGCTGGTCGAGGGCGGTAGGGCAGGAGCATCGGAATGTGCCGAAGACGCAGACGTATTGGAAACTGGTCGTGAAGTGTGCTTCTCAGCACGTTGTACGGGGGGAGGGAAGGCGGGACGGAACGCAGCGCTAGCAAGCGTGCGGTGATGCCCCTGAGACTGCTGTAGCTGTTGGTGTTGGTGATGCAGCGGATGCATTTGGACCACCGAGTTCGGTACGTTCGAGACCGGTGCTGTGGTCGTATTCATAGATCCGGCACGTGATGCGTAGTCTGTTTTGTCACCTAGTATTTGTTCGAAGCGGCGATGCGTACTGTCGCCCAATTCATCCAAACGAGCGTAGAGATCGGCCACCTGGCGGTCAAGCATCAGAACCTGGTCCATGAGCATCTGTATCTGTGGATCCTGATACACCGGAGCAAAAGGCGGCGGCGGTGGTGGGCCAGACATGTCTGGCATTTGAGGCGGCAGAGCTCCCACTACGGGGTCCGTAATTAAAGGCATCGTTGTGGGATTGATTACGGGTTCCGTCAATATCGTATTGCGGTGAATATGTTGCGGAATGGGCTGTACTTGAGCCTTCTCTTCGTTAATAGCGATCTCGTCGCGTGTGTCGTTCATTTCATCATGGTCTTTGGAGTCTTCGTCCTGGCTTTCGGTCTCGTCTGGAAGACTTGATTCTTTATTTTGAGGTCCCCTGTGGCGCTGATCGTCTTCCAAGACCAAACTAATGTTGTTTCTGGCGTCCAGGTAAAACATCTTGTTCAACTCCAGGCATAGGGCTTCCACACCCGTTTGCGGATCGACGCCATTGTGCATGTTTCTAATTCCTCGTGTATACAGCAGTCGAAAGCGGTCTTTGCACTGACGAGCATTGCGCACTATATGGTATCGTGCTGTAAGCTCACGGGCAATAAGGTCCCAAAACTGCTTGAGCGTCCGTGCCGCATGATTCTGGGCGTGTGTGCGATTATCCAAAAGCGAGCGATACTCTGTCAGAAGCGACACCAGCAGCACGTCCTGTTCATTGCGCCAAATGGTGCGTGCGGGCCGCCGCATAACCGCATGGTTCATGGACGCAACGACGAAGATGCTTGGTATAGAGCCAGATTCAAACGAAGGTCACGTGCCCAGTTTGAGTCTTCACAACAGACACTTTCTTTACAGTGTGTGTGTGTGTGTGTACCTCGTTAAGATCAGCAAAGAAGCAACAACAACGCTGCTCTTAGTTATCTCTGGTTTTTGGACGCCTGGGGATTAGCTGTTTCTCTTTCTGAGTCAACTTACCACTAAACCTTCGTATGCAGCGGCCCAAGAATTCTTCTTGGGTCGCTTGGCTCTAGGTCTTCATTCCTACTCCGCCATGCTTCTTTTCATTGTATATTTCAAAGGAGATGATCTGATTATATCTGTACAGTTCCGTGGCGTAAAGAGGTGTTTGGCCGCATTAATGCGCCGCAACTCGCTCCAGCCGGAACTCAAATTCGTGACAGGCAACGGAGATAGAAAAAAAATTAACAAGCGCTGCTGTTCCACCTTCGATGGCCGCTTCTACAAGAGTCTTTGAAACGCTTCAAGAAACAAACCGAACCTTTTACTGTGTTTACCGTCGACTTGACATTGATCTGGCGTGGGTTAGGCACATAGCTATCCCGTTTGGGTAATAGAATTTCCCAATTAGGCGATGTGCATAGAAGGTCTCGAGCATAGAACTTCGCGGTCGTGTACTGATGGCCTGCATGGAACACGCGGGTGTTGACCAGTGCGTGATGTAATAGCGCTTCAACCGATAAACGTACGGTTTCGAGGGACAGCAAAAGCGCATTGTTGGATTCATAGCGGACTCTTCTTGGTGCCGTTGTCAAGGACTTGAAGAATACCTGCGATGGTGGGCGAGCCAAAAGTGAACGGTACGATTTGGAAACGATCTGAAGTTCAACGCAAAAGTTTCAGATCCGCAATTTTTAGAGCCCGGGGAAAAAGCAGTCTACAGCTTCAGCACCCCAGAATCGGCCGTATAAGCGGGATCCAAACGGCTTATGATTTCCTGTTTATACGTAAGTTCAACTGTGGATGGATGTTCTCTCAACGGGAATCACATAGATATGACTTCTTGCAGCAAATAGCGTGAAGCTGCGTAAAGATTCTGCACGCTATTGGACTTTCGTGGGCAGACCCAGGAATTATTCAAGCAGCACTTCTCAAAAAAATGATCTACCAAAGAAGCCACGAAGCCTAATTGATCTTGAACGATATGAAGAGCTTGTGAGCCATTTTCAATACCAAGGGTTGTCGGAAATCACCCCACGCGCAACTCCTTGTCAATTTCCTGCGTGCTACGCGACTGAATACACACACTACACCGCTGTATTACTGGAACGAGTGGGTCAAGTGAGTTATTTTCCGTCAAACAAGAAAACCTCAACGTGGGTGCTTTCGAAGTGACAGCAATGATCGGCTGAAAATCTCATGGCAAATCGTTAGAACGCGTATCTGCCACCTACTCCCGCGTGCAGTTCGCTTTACGAGCAAACCAGGCATGACCGACAACTCGTTCGATAACGTCAATGCAGGCTAAAGGTAAAAAGACCCGTCATTTTTTTATGAATCCGGTTTGAAGCAATTGCGGGAACAAGCAATGGTGCGGCTCAAGTGTAGCTCGTCGGGGTTGGTTCCCCTTGCCAGCTTTTTTTCGTCAAACACACTTTTTCATATTTTGGACTTGAGATGTCATTTTAAGAAATCAAGCAGGTACTCACTTGTATTCAGCTCAAAACAAATCTGGATTTAACGTCACCTGGAGGCTTTGATGAAAGGGTTGTGTTTGTAGTGATGCATAAAATATCAGTGCTTCCTGACTGGGTATCAATTGCAGGGTTTTTCCTTTGACTACCTAACTCAACACCAATAGGTGTTTGCTTACTTATTTAAATCAACCAACGACACTCTGACAATAACAATACGTACTTTCGGCGTTCCTTGGATTTAAGTGACTAAAGAACCTGCCTGTCACCATTGGTGAGTAGCTGATTTATGTGCTATTCGTGGTCCTTGTTTCCTTAAACACCAGTTTTTCATCAATGTGCATCGCATATCTCAAATTTCAACCCTATTTCATCCAAAAGGGCTCAAATTGATCACAATTTTTCAATCCAAAAGATAAAATCCCCACCGAAAACTTGAGGAGGAGGTTGTGGACCCATCAGAAGACTAAATAGTAGCTTCAGGCTTCCAAGTTAGACCGCCCAACATCATCACCATATTGATCGTTTTGCACGTAGAAGACAATCAATCAACCCAATTTGTCTTGAATCATCACCAAAATTCTAACCCGCTGTTAAGACTTGATCTCGATCAAGCTTACCATTGCAACGCACGATTGAGTCCTGGAAAACCCGCCTCGTCTGCTTGCATTCACTGGATGAAGCTGCTGATATCATTCTTTAGGAGACTTAGGTCAGTTTTGGTTCTGTGCGTCACAGTTTCGGTGCTGCTGTACTACAGATTCCAAAATGAGGTAAACACCCTTAACTCGTACGCTGAAACTGAGTCACTACCGCAGATAAACAAGCAAGGTCCGGTTGTACCCAATACAGCATTTTTGGCTGGCCAAGATGCTCACAATAACTTGGGGTCGCTGCCTAATGCTGCGTCACCAGTGGTCTTGGATGAAAAACTGCGAGATCCCAAAGTTTTGTTGGACAAGAATCGGTATTTCCCACTGATTCATAAGCAGAAAGATGTTTTGTCTATCTACCCGGAGCTAGAGTTTGATACCCGGGAAGAAGCCACAACATCGAAACCTCAGTACGCTGCGCGGTATGCAGCTTCATTCAAAAACCCATTAACTGCCCATAAAGCGGCCAAATCAATGCCCCGACTTCAATCTTTGAATTTTCATGCGGCTGAGGAATCGAAGTTTACAGAGCAAATGGCCTCAACGGTGCGAGACCATTTCCTGTCCTCGTGGAAAGCATATAGCAGGCTTGCTCTGGGGAGTGATGAAGTCAAGCCAATTTCTAGAAACCCGACTTCTAACGGCTTATCTCGGGCTACGACAATGCTAGAGTCTCTGGACATGCTGTACATGTTGAACCAAACGCACGAAATTTCCAAAGTTCTAACTTTCATCTCCAACATGGATTTTACACGGTCAGAAGAATCGCTAATTGACGTCTCCCAGAGCACTCAGCGCATATTAGGCGCCCTGCTGTCCAGTTACGAGCTCTCTGACTATAGAGATGGCATTCTTCTCACAAAAGCCACCGAACTGGCAGATTTTTTATTGGAGTCATTTAACACTCCTAATCGCATACCACTATTGCATTTCCCCTGGAGATCCAAACTGAACAATCGATTCCCTTTTCAAGACTCAAGTATAGGTGAGCTGGGTTCCCTTTCCGTCGAGTTTCTTCGATTATCGCAATTGAAAAAAGATGAAAAATATGCTAAAGCTGTCGCACACATCTACGAGACCGTTTTTGATTCATTGGGACAGTTCGACATAGACTTTCTCTTGCCCACACACGTCGACGCCACAGGCTGTCAACTGATACCCAAAGAGCGACTGGAACAGGGTGAACACGTCAAAGTCAACGTCATGAAAAGTATTTTGGACGGAAAATACGTTCATTGCTTACAGACAGACAAATTCACGGCCATCCCTGGCACAAGAAGCTTGATCACCGCTGATAACAAGAGCTTGCCCTTCTATAGCAATATGATCAAGTTTTACCAGCTTTCGAATGGCGCGGACACCTCTGGTGACCTTCAATTTTCAAAGTTCCTGGTCAATAGCTTTGATAGAATACGCAGACTGATGACTTTCACTCCAGCATTGCCCAATTCTGATCGTCATAATTTATCGTTTGTCAACTCGCTTTCCACAGTTTCATACCACGATACCCACTTGAACGAGGAAATTGTGAGAATTAGTCCTGATTATACTATGCACCACTCTAGTTGCGCCTTGGCCTCTAGTTTTGCATTGATGGGGAAATTGTTAGATGACGAGCGATTTTTGGACCAGGCTAAAGCGATTGCCCGAGGCTGCGTCCACATGTACAAACTGATTGGTGTGATGCCTGAAAGTGCACATGTTGCCCACTGTGCAGAGCAACCGTGCGACTTCAATAATCCGAGCGACAATTATCAGAAGTCTAAGGTAGGCGAACAGCTTATAACTCCAGGCGTTAAAGTTGAAAACAGCAATGACCCCGGCAAAAAAATATCAGACAGTCCTACGAAAGTGTACGTTCACGAAGAAGAACAGAGGGTGGATCCTATACAATCCTCAGCTTCTTGGGATGTTGGAAACAATTTGCCGAAATATATCGATGGAGCAAATCCAAGATATGATCTATTTCCTGAAGTCATCGAGTCCTTGTTCTACCTCTACCGTATTACAGGAGACGAGAGTTGGCGTCAGCTGGGCCAGGATCTGTGGATTTTGACGCTTGAAGCAGTCGACCAACCATCCGCCAAGGGCGTTGGTAAGGTTTCCGCACTCGAAAATGTGTTCACGGGGGAAAGACTTGATTTATTACCTTCAGATTGGTTTTCGAGACATTTGAAGTTCTACTACCTTCTATTCCAGGACCCTCAAGAGTATGCACTTGACGACTACATCTTTACGAATGGTGGTCACTTGCTCAAGAAACCACCAGTGGCACCACAGGCAGAAGTGAGTGATAAACATGGGAATGCCTTGGCATCGCTGATCGAACATTTGAATGTAAGAGTGTCGTAACATTCGCAACCTCCGTAACATTCTTAACATTCCGGTATTAATTTAACGTTCTTGCAGGTGCCTGGATCTGCACAGAATTACGAAATCAAAGACTCGAAACTGACAACCCCCCAAAATAGAAGGTTTGCGCGAATGTACAGAAGCCAGACAAGATTTTCCGGAGTTTGGATTGCTGTAAAGGAGCTCGGCAAAAGGAGCTCGGCAGAAGGAGCTCGGCAGAAGAAGCTCGTTTAGATTCTGCTGCGCTAACGATATGAACACATTTCGGTGATAAGTCAAAAACACATTATGTTGAATTTAAAGATATGTGATAGTATTTAAAGTTTCGTAGCCGAAATATTCCCCGGTAGTCCGTTATTTGTTGAAAATGCAAAATTGATTCTGTTTAGATCAATTTGGTGGTCAGATGTAAGTCTGCTTCGATGAATTGTTTAGGTGCGCTTACACTGGTAGAGGGAATTCACCGGCCCATAGGTAAATTTCCTTCTTTAGAGGCTCTAGTTCACCTGTTAGTTGGTCGATCTTGGCCTTGAAGTCCTTTAGTCTGTTGGCCTCCTTTGGCAAAGACTGTTGAACGTCGTGAGCGAAGTGGACAGCCTTGTCGATGTAGCCGACAATTCTAACAAAGTCTTGTTCGCCGAAACCTCTTGTGGTCATAGCAGGGGCACCGATACGAACACCACCTGGGACCAAAGCCGACTTGTCACCCGGAATAGAATTCTTGTTCAAAGCGATGTTGATCTTTTCGCAAACGTATTCGACACGAGCACCGTCAACACCCTTTTCTCTCAAAGAGACCAAAACCATGTGGGAGTCGGTACCGTCAGAGACCAGTCTGTAGTTCAACTGCTTGAATTCGTGCTCCAAAGCCTTGGCGTTCTTCAAGACCTGTTCTTGGTATTCTTTGAACTCTGGAGTGGCAGCCTGTTTCAAGGCGGTGGCCAAAGCAGAGATGGTGTGGTTGTGAGGACCACCTTGGTGGCCTGGGAAGACCGAGAAGTTGATTGGGTTTTCCAAGTCGTAAAGCACTTCCTTGCCGGTCTTTGGGTTGGTGGATCTGACACCTCTTCTGAAGAAGATCATGGCACCACGAGGACCTCTCAAAGACTTGTGAGTAGTGGTGGTAACGATGTCGGCGTATTCGAAAGGCGATGGGATAACACCCGCGGCGATCAAACCGGAAATGTGAGCCATGTCGACCATGAGGTAGGCACCGACTTTGTCGGCGATTTCTCTCATTCTCTTGTAGTCGATCAGACGGCAGTAGGCAGAGGTACCGGCCACGAGGATCTTAGGTCTGTACAAAATGGCGTTTTGTTCCAAAGTGTCGTAGTCGATAATACCAGTCTTTGGGTCCACTCTGTATGGGAAAGACTCAAAGTACGTGGACACCGCAGAGATCTTTCTGGTGTCGGTTTGGTAACCGTGCGACAAGTGACCACCGTCTGGCAGATGCAGACCCATCAATCTCTCGTGAGGCTTCATCAGCGCCTGGTAAACTTGCAGGTTGGCAGGGGAGCCCGAGAGCGTTTGCACGTTGACGCCCCACTTTTCGGGCGACAAACCGAACGCCTTGAGGGCTCTGTCCTGGCACAGAAGTTCCATTTTGTCGATCTGCTCGTTACCACCGTAGTAACGGGCGCCTGGGTACCCTTCAGAGTACTTGTTGCACATGGGCGTTCCTAGGGCATCGAAAACAGCGGTAGAAGTGAAGTTTTCGGACGCGATCAACACGATCGAATGCTGTTGTCTGTCGATTTCGGCCTTGATGATCTGTTCGACCTCAGGGTCCGATTCGCTTAGGTGCGATGAAATCAATTGCTTGTGGGAGTCTGACAGAGCGTATGGCATGGTTGGTTGTTGTGCTTTTAGCTGTGGAGTGGATAAGAAAGAACTAAACAGCTACAAAATATGAGTAATATTTAGAATCTAAACTAGTTAGCTACCAAGATATCTACAAACTTTTCCCCTTTTATACTTCCGTGAGATTGATGATTAGATGATGCTGTAAATTTTCCAAGATGTTAATTTTTCAATCACTTTTTTTTCAAATCACTGTCAAAACCTAATTTAAAAATTATTTGCCCATATCACTATCACGTAGAGATTTTCATTCAGCTATGTTAATAACACATGCGGCTGATGGTCTGGCGACAGACGACAACAGTGGAAAAACCGCCATTATGGTTATTTCAGCAGATAGTAGAATTAGATAGAGGAGAAAAAACGAGATCTGGTAGTGGTACTCTGGAGCAACGAAAAATTGGTGGTTGATTTTAAAGTATTTGTGAAGTTTTTTGGGTAAAAATGGTGTTATAAGAGAGGGCAAGCCGAAAATGAGGGAAACACGTGAATTGTGAGTTGAATTGGTTCGTGGCGGTGGATCGCTCGCTTTCCCTTCCTTAGTCGTGTCTGTCTGTCTGCCTTACTATTCTGAGATTCTTGATTTTTCGATCTTTATTTTTTTTTGACTCCGGACGTGGGGTGTGCTTTGACTCGTATGAAAAAAGGCATTTGGGACGAGACCTCGGGGAGGGGTAGTCCGGTCGTGAAAAGTGTTGCGGCGGTATCTCTTGGTGTGTGGGTGGATGGGTGTGCGGGCGCGAAGAAGCCGGGGCGGTGTGGTCCGGTCGGTGGGGAGCACTGTGGCAGTGGCTTTGGGTGCACGGGCGATTGGGTGACCGGGTTTAAAAGTCTAATCACATCACCACTAAACTCCGAACCCTGTCTTGCTGGGCTCTCAGCAGGTCGAGGTGTGGGCCTCTATAGTGATGATATCCGACGCCTTTTTGGTCTCCCAAAGGATGCTTGGCATTTTAGTTCTGCATGCATCTGACAGTTTTAACCCGCTGATCCCTTCAGCTCGCAAACTAAGAGAAGAATCTTGTTCACTCCTTCACATTTCTTCAGCTACGTGTCTTTTGTAGCCACAAATTCAACCCACGATTGACCGATGTCACCTAAAAACTTTAAAAACACCGGTCCTTGGGGGAGGTTTTGTCCCCAGTTGACCCCAATGCCACCTTAATATGTTCCCAACCTCTCAAATATAGCTCTCATCGTAGCATGTGTCTTTCTCTAGTACAGTCTTGACGAACTTTACACTACTACCTAACATTGAAGCTTACCTCGACAGATAGATTCCTTAAAATACGCTAGCGATCACCTACCAGAATACACTTCCCCGTTCGACTCTCAACATACCTTCTCATACCAAAGCAGCCATATTTCATAAATTTCCTAACCACTGCAGGGCCCAGGGCTTCACGCTTCTTTGCCACCAATAGACACTTTCAAGGCTTCAAAACAAGTCTGGAGGTGCTGTAGAGAGGGCTCACACGCCAGCTCCCCCATATGGCCCACACGAATGTATTGATTCTTAATATCCGCATGGAGACCACCGGCTATCACAATCCCCGACTGTTTGAGCGCTCCGATGATCTCAGCGGGGTTCTTGACGTAAATCGCGGTCAATCCGTGAGCCGAGTCTCTGGCACTATTAGTGACCAACTCGAGTCCCAATTCCTCCGTGACCTTGTTTTTGAACCAATCACTGGTAGCCCAATGCTTGGCTATACGCGCGTCCAGTCCGTAGTCCAGAATCTCAGCCAAAGACACATCCAAAGCGTTTACCAATTGCACGGCCGGGGTCGCAAAGTAAGACGCTTTACCCATTTCGTAGTTTTGCATCACTGGAATCCATTTCTTCAAACTAGCGAAAAAAGACGCCGGTGCTTCCCGGTTGAGGGCCTTTTTCACTGCTCGTTCGCTTAACAGTGACACACTCAGCCCTGGAGGCGCACCAAGCGCTTTTTGAGACGCACTCAAGGCGTAGTCAATACCCCAAGCTTCGAATTCCAGCCTCTCGCACCCTACAGAGCAAACTCCATCCAGCACGATCAAAGCTTCTGGCGCCACTTGTTTGACCACTTGGCAAATGCTTTCCACATCGTTCAACACGCCAGTAGACGTGTCAACATGGGTGATGGTTACCATTTTGTAATTCACACATTCCAAAGCGTCGCGAACATCGCTTAAGGGAACCACATCACCCAAAGATGCCTTCACTTTGTCGACATGAGCACCATACGCTTGCAAGCACTCCGCAAATGACTCAGAGAAAAACCCGGTAGATATAACCAGTACTTTGTCACCCGATTCAATCAAGTTCGAGGCTGCCACGTCCCACCCTAGGGTGCCGCTGCCGGCCAAGATAAGTGGTTGTGATGTTTGTCCGCCTTTGAACACAATTCGAGTATTCTTCAAAACTCTGGAAAAGACAGCAGCAAATTCGGGACTTGTGTGAGCAGCTGATGCAGAGCCTAAAGCTTGCCGGACATTATCGCTGATCGTTACTGGACCTGGAATGAGTAGAATGTCGTTTGCCATTTTTTTCCAGCTTATGTCGTCAACCTTTGGATAAATGCAATGAACAACAGAGGAAAATAACTGGGCTTCAAAGTCAAAAGCTTCTATTTAACACTTTGGATTGGTGGTACTTGTTCATGACAAAGTCGCATGCAACTGGGGTCGTCGGAGCAGCTCCGAGCCCCTGATGTTGTCTTCGTCCATACGTGCGTGTGTGTATTCGTCATGGTTGCTTATGTAGCAACGAGTACTTCGGACTATTGGGACCTCATGTAGAAACAACTAGCGTTTTCTCTTGATGATCTTGGCTTGAAGTTTCTCAAACTCTGCGTCGTCAATATCAGCGTGGCTTCTCTTGGATTTGGTCTTGCCTTTGGTCTTATTCTTGGACTTTGCTGTTGCTTGAGATTCCAATCTTGAGATGAGGGAATCGAAAGAGGACTTATTCTTCTTTTGAATCAGCTCACGCAAATTTGCTTCATCACCGCCACCAATTGGTTTAGGATTGACTTTTTTGTTGTTGTGCATACTAGCCAACATTTCGTCTGCCAATTGAGCTTCTTTGGCAAGCCTTTTCTTGAGACTTGCCAAGTATCTCTTACGATTTTGACCCCAACGCTTGTAGCTCCCATTGCGGTCCTCAATCTTGCCATCCTTAAAGAGTTGACCTGTTCTAGTGAATACATAGTCCTCGTCATCGCTATTGGCTTCGATATGTGGAATTTCTTGAAACAACAACGTGAACTGGTCTTCGTCCGGAACGTATTTTTTCCCAGGATGTTCTTGCTCGTTAGACCGCCACGATTCGCAGATATCGTTGGTTTCATCCACACTGCCCCTGTATTTCACCTTGTCTTCTTCAATGGTGTGTTTGTCGATGACTACGTCCATGTCGAATAGATCTTTCCAACTGGCCAAATCCGAGTCTTGAAAACAGGCCTCCACAGAACCCGTTCTATCGTACACATCTTTGAAGTTGTTAAGGACCTCGTACGCAAACTGGATCTTATGGAACTTTTCCTTGGCTTCTGACGCCCAATCTTGCGTCTTATCCGGATGGTATCGTAGCATAAGCTTGCGGTACGATTTCCTCAACTCTGCCGGTGTTACCGACTCTGCCGGTGTTACCGACTCTGCAACCTCCAAAACTTGGTATGGATCGATGTCTGGAAACGGTATACCACTGTTGTCTGTCATTGGAGTCTTAATGGAGGGTTAATGGAGGGTTAATGGCTTCCCAATGGCTTTTTGGTGTTTGGAAGTTTGGTGCTAAACAGTGTGCTCATCGCTTATATCAAGTAATAATATAGATGTTAAGAGCTTAACCATTAAAAAGATGCCATTTCGTGAAAGTCGAACCAATACAAGAGAAGAATTGTGATCTTGACCAGTTTCTAACCTATTGGCCACTCTATCAATTACTATCTCGAATTGGGCGCTATCAAATAAACCTGTTCTTGCTTACCCATCGCATTCCATGCCCGTAAAGTATCTTTAGTACAACGTTCCGAAATTCAACCTTTCCATATTACATAGCTCTTGTAGAGATCCTTGCTCTTGCAGGCCTCACTACCGGAACTATCCTGGGACTATTTGGTCTGATCTTTTTTGGCTTCAAAACATGTTGCGCGGTTTCGCTTGGCTTGAAAATGAGATCCAGTAGTCAAGAAAGACTACTGAAAAAGGTCAGTATCTATATATGCATAACAGTTCAGAGTGTTGTTCGAGGTTCGCTTTCTCCTAAGCTCCGATCGATGGATTGTGGGACCTTACTACCATTTTACTAATTCCAGATACATTGCCTTCAAGATGCGTCTCAAGTTGAATCTGAAGCCGATTTGTGTGTGTGGCGAAGGCCTCTGGCGTAGTTGATCAAGAACGATTCAGGTAGCAGAATCTGCCACGTCTGTAGCTTTATTCCATTGAATACTTCGATAGCTGCTTCACTGAAAACGGTAGGCGACAACTTGAAAGATACCTTTATCGAAGACACTTAGAAAAGACTGGGATAACTCATCGCGCTTTCCACCCAAGATAATGCAAATGACCCTCAGCTACTCTGAATATCAGGAACCAAAAAAAAAAAGAGAACTTACTAACCAACAACATAGTCAAACTAATTTACAGGACACGTCAATCTTACCTTACGATTGACGGCTAAAGCCGATGCTCTTGACTACCATAGCGTCACATTGAGGAATAGGGCGCAAGCAAAGCAGAAAAACCTTACAACATTTCGAGGGGGTCGTCACGGGTCAGCGAATGGTTTCGTCGTTATGACCAGTCGCTGCTCCTCAGCCGGTGAGAAGCGCGCCATGTGTCAGAGGAATTATAAGTCCCATTTCGCCTAACATGTAACAAAAGTAGTGTGTATTGATTCTTCGCAAGCTGCAAGATAAACCGCAAATGGCACAGGGGTCATTGAACAAAAGAAAAGAAAATAAACTTACCCATCCCTTTGTATGTCAAAGGGATATGAAATCATCTAACTCCAGGGCTGAACTTGACTGCGCGTCGGGCAGTACAAGCGGCACATCGAGAAAAAAAAAAATCCATTTGAATAAAGCTGTCGCATCAACATGAATGAGGAATCGGGCGGAAATGATTTCATTATTCGACGCGAACGTCGCGAAATGATTGCAGTCTGAGATTGTTCAGTTAAGAAAACCTTGCCAGTCTGAAACATTGTATTCGCGAAAATCGAGTAAAACAAAATGGACATTCGTTATTGCTGTTACGCTGAAGCTCTATTCATCCAAAATCTTTTTTTCTTCTCTTTGTGCCTTCTCATATAAGTAGCTTAATCACGGCTGGATTACGCAATGGGTCAAGGCCCCAGGAGTTATCAGTCACGTCTAAGACGGGAAATTCTTCCTCATCGCGGGAGTATGCAATGAGCTCGTCGTGATTGTCAGTCAGCAGCATGTTCCAATTGGTTGCTGTACATGTGGTGGTATTTGCCGCAGCAGAGTCGAGAGTCTCCAAGATCGGAGTCTGAGGATTCTCAACATTGTTCATGAGCAGAGAGTCAAACGAAACTTCACCAGCGGACAAGTTCTCTGGTACCGGTTCCAAAAGAAACTGCGCCGGTTGGCTTTCTTCAATTTGTCCATCTTTGTCTTCAATGTGCAAGGGCGACGATACAGCCGAATTTGAACATGGTGTGAGCTTTGAGGACGACGCCGACAACAGCAGGGACTCCGGTGTCCTCTGACTGTTCAAAACAGCGCTGTCCGGGCTCTCATGACCGGCCACAGGTTCGTCTTCGCGTTGTGACGCAGCCAAAATCTGATATTCGTCGTAGATGCCACTGAGAGATTTGTCGCTCTTCACAAGCTTCGCCACATGGGGTGATGCCAAAATTTCTTCCAGAAGTGTCGCTTTGCGTTCCAAGTGCTGCAAGTGCAGCCTCTTCTTCTCACGACTTTGATGCGCAGCACGCCGATTTCTCAGTATGCGTTCGATGCGTCTCTGCTCTTTCTCCTCCTTAGTCTTCGCTCTTTTCCTTGGTGGTAAAGTCGACTTGAAATCAACAGGAATGTCGTTTACAGCAACAGCATCGGACATGGCGCCCGCGATGCTGGCATGGTTATAGTTTTTTAACACACTCATTTTTCCAGTGAGCCAAGGAGGGAAGTAATTGAATAGCTCTTAAATATCGTTTCCGCCCGATTCCAAGAGTATTCTTCGATTTTCGATCAACGTCAGCTATTGGTAAGATCAAAAAAATATGGTTTAAAGAGGAAAAAGTCCGAAACTAAAAAAAGCTCGCCTTTTATAGTCAATTTTTTTGGACTTTGTGGCTGGTTTTGTGAAAAGTGCGTATTTAATGATATGAAGAATTTAGAAACGAGCACGTGAAAAAATGAATACACGTGCTTTAAGACGAGCGTTATTCATAGAAAACGACACGTCTTCCTAAAACAGCGCGTCGTTGAACGTAAGAGAGAATGGGTACACTTCTGATGCTAATTCTTTTTATGCGATGCATTACATTCATATCTTCCGAGAGTTCCTGATATCTTTGATATCTTGGCGGCTTTTGAAAATATATAATTTGGTTGCCGAAATGCTTATGGCACCTCCCGCCACGCTTGATTTCCATCTACTTTGAAGCTCATAATCGGCTGTCACCAGGTGAAAAGTTGTACTCTTTTGAATATTCATTTCAATCCAGTCTCTGTTTCTTGACTGGGTTTTCTTCATTTTGGCCGTCTGTAGAGTTCTTGTCTCTGGTTTCGCTCCTCAACGAGCCGAGAGCCTGCTGTGCGGATTTCTTGACACCTTGCAGAACAGAACTTAGCGATGTTGCGGTATCATTCTGCTTGTTTTCTTCCTGCTGTGTCTCTGGCTTGTTCTCAGCATCGAGCTCCGCTCTCCGTTGAGCGACGAAATCTCTTGTCTCGCTACTGTCCTTCAGGTAGTGTTTTCTGTACCACCGTAGCTGCTCAATGCTTTCCAAAATATCGGCTTTGGCGGTATGCGCGCCCTTTTTGCGAGGAAAAACGCTTGCCAACTCGGGATTGTGCCGGAACGATACTTCCATGATGGTGCTCACATCGATGATCCGGTAGAACAAATGTTTGACCACTTTGGGGAATTCTCGCAGCATGAACAGACGATCCATGTGGACCGTGTTCCCTGCTAGTATTCCGCGGCGTTCTGCTGGAACCCATCTTTGCACGTACGCCAACAATTCGTCTTCGACCTGCTGGGTGGTCTTTGTCGACTGAAGAACTTTTTCCGTTAAACCACTGGAACCGTGGTGTTCAACACACCACTCGTCCATTCCGTCCAATAAGCTTTTATCACAGTGCACAACACTTTCGTAGCCATCTTCGTCGACAACATTAAGGTCTCCATCGGTGATAATGCAGCAAATCTCGATGATCTTGTCTTTGGTATGATCCAGACCCGTCATTTCGCAGTCGACCCAAACGATAGGCTTCGAGGTGGCTTTGGCAGGCTCCTTAGTAGTATTTTCAACGCTCATCGTGAAGGTTTTCGGTTCACGAGCTGTTACTTTGTTCAGATATGGGTTTCTCGAAGCTGGTCTTGAACCGCGAGTGTTATTGATTGGGTTTCTTGCTAAACTATGTGGTTTGGAAGCTCTACCGGTTACCAAGGAGCGATTAGCGAATTTGGATAGAAAGAACTGACTGGCTAGTTTTTCGAACGGCACGAATGTTCGCATCGACTTCCACGGTTCTTTCAATAACGATGAGAACTTAAAGTACGGTCGAGGAGCTAAAACTCTGGACATGAACATCACTACGAACCAAAAATCCGATAGAAAAAATTTGAACCGATTCTGATGGCTTGGAATACTTAACATTTTACATTTTTAAGATTCTGCTACAGTTGAATATACACCGTACTCTGCGGGGTTCAACGTAGTTATATCTTTCTAAAGCGTCCGCGTCAGCGCTATTAGCTTTCTACATCAGTAACATACATAGCCAAAAAAGAGTCCTATTCATCGCACTCTGCACGCCGCAAATTCTACGTGAAGCTTCCCAGAGTTTGGATAATTGGGAAAAGATAAATCTAAGTCAAGAAACGCTTAATGAGGGTTCTAGCGGCTCCTTTATTTCGTTTACTTCAGTTGCACTAGTTAAAGAATATATTTAGTTTATTTAAGATCATATCTCAATAAGTTTTGAGTAAAGGGCATTGACACATTTAGACATTAACAAAGCTTAAAAGCTCTTTTACAGAGATCTAAGGATCATCTGTGGTAGCCTTCTACCGTGGAAATTGGAACCTTACTGTGCTGGAATTCTTGCTGCTTTGTTGAGACGCCGATTTCCATAGCATTGCTCCTTGTATCTTGATCGCAAGACCGTTAACAAAGAATTGAGAAAAAGCTTTTATTCTGTTTGAGTACTATGAACGTAAGCTCTCTGTCTTTGGAAAATAGTGCTGATCTATTGAGTAATTCTATAAGCGCCTCCCCCGACTCATCTCGATCTCATGACTCTGATCCTTCATCCCCAACAGGATCGACTTTATCCTATGATGAATATCTGAAGGTTGCAACTGATACGAGTGCAAGTATTCTTATGGAGCTAAATATGGACGGCCGCATCCGATACATCAGCCCAATATGGGAAGATATAGTTGGAACCAAAGTTGATGATGTTGTGGGTCAAGCAGTATCGGACATTCTGGTTGGCACAGAACAAGACCGGTCGGTTTTCCAAAGAGCAACTGATCTGATGATACGAGAAGACTGCAGCTATAGGGTGAGGTTTTTGGTGGAAGCAGAGCATTCCGAAAATGATTCAAAAATTGATTCAGACGTTACCACTGTGTCCACCACGTTAGAACCGAATACAATCGAGCTTGAAGCGCAGGGCGTCGTCATTTCAGATGCTACAAATAACATTCCAACGCATTCAATGTGGATTGTGAAACCGTTTTGCGAAATGGGTGCCATGGACAATCTTCCCCAGGATCTTGTCAAAAGACTAGGATTTGGAGCCAACATCTTCTCCCAGTTCCTTGCCAAAGTGGAGGAATCTATGGTCGTAGATGAGGAAGACCTACCTACTCCAATGAATGAGCTTTGTCGTGTGTGTGAGTCCCTCATTCCCGCTTGGTGGTTAGAAACTCATTCAGAATCCTGTATCGTAGAGCACAAGATTGAAAGTGTCGTGCAGCTTTACCATGACAAGCTCGCAGAGCGCAAAAGCTATCTCGAGGAGATGTGCGTGTCTTTAGAAGCCAACGATGGACGGATAACTCAGTATAAAGGCCTACCGCTTCCAAAACCCGATGATCAATTGAAAAGAGATGAAAAATCGACATCGCCAATCGCGCATGACTTGAAAGTGATGAGCGTTTCTAACAAGCCAGCCGATCGTAGTAAAATTGTGACATCCACTTTTCAAAAGTTAGGTTTTCCTTTCAAAGCCTTGGTGTCATTGATAACTCTCTGTGAAGACGCTCTTAACACAAACACAAGTGAGCTCAAGGAACTGCGTGATGAGCATGATCCCCAAAATGGTATAGATCAATGCTATGAGTTCTCTCCAAGAACAGAGAAAAATATTCGAAATGTCATGGAATGGCGGTTCCAAGATGATGTATCCTGCCCCACAATCGATTTACTACAAAAGGACACAACCGACCTCGTATTGCATAAAATCGAAAATCTCTTTAGGCTTGATAATGCCTTGAAATACTCTCTCAAGATAAAGAAAGAAATTGACAACTACGTTTTACAACTTATCAAAGAAAAACTCGATCGCAATAGGCTCAATGTTGTACCGAGCCCTGTTATTCCTCAGCTGCGACCCGGGAGTCCTTCAATGAAGCGTGCTGATGCAGATAAGAAAGGAGGGTCGTCTGATGAACAAATAGCGTCTCCGCAGCCGCAACGGGCTCAAAGTGAATTCTTTTCAGAGGCCTACGTTAACACAGATGAAATACCTCGGCAGCATAATTTACACAATAGCGATGGAAATACAGAAAATGAGAGAAGAGACAGCCCACGGTCTATCACTCCTAAACAGCCCGTTCCTGATAATAGAGAGGGTAGATCTGGTTCAGGAAACGAGCACCCTAAAATATTTGAATCCGTCAGTGGGACTCCAAAGCTAATCCTGCCCGATTCAAGTGGCAATCAGAAATTTAACGGTTTCCACGAGTATACACCCCGGAGGGATTCGGCCGCGTCCACGGCAGGCCATAGCACTCCACTGTCTTCACTTCAAAAGAACTCTATTTTCAGGCCAATGAACTCAGCAAGTCTCGACAGATCCCCAATAACCTCGCCCTATGCAGTCTCCTCTGATCGACTGACACCCGAGCTTCATTCCGCTTTTTTACCAAAACAGCCTTTATCACCACTCCTTTTGGCCACAAATCAAGCAAAACCGAGCACGCCGAGTATAAGAGATTACGACATCATTAAACCCATCAGCAAAGGAGCGTATGGCAGTGTATTCTTGGCCAAGAGGCGGATAACTGGCGACTATTTCGCGATTAAGGTCTTGAAGAAGTCTGACATGATTGCAAAAAATCAGGTTACAAATGTCAAGTCAGAGAGAGCCATCATGATGATACAAAGCAACAAGCCATACGTAGCTCAGCTCTTTGCTACATTTCAAAATCGAGGTAATTTGTTTTTGGTGATGGAGTATTTGAGCGGGGGCGATCTAGCGACGCTTATAAAAATGATGGGGTGTCTTCCTGATCAGTGGGCAAAGCAATACATCAGTGAAGTTATCTTTGGAGTTGCAGATATGCATCAAAGTGGTATCATTCATCATGATCTTAAACCCGACAATTTATTGATAGATCGTCGCGGTCATCTCAAATTAACAGATTTCGGTTTATCTAGACTAGGATTGGTCACAAGGCATCGAGGAGGTGATCATAAGGATGGAGCGAAGAATAGTCGAGAGGGGAGCACTGCGTCAGAAGAGGGAAGCAATGACTTTTCCACAAAATGGCCTTTCAAAAACGACTCGGCATCCTCAAATAATACCCTTGATGCCATCATTTTCAAAACAGAACGCTCAGGTTCGAATTCGAGCTCACAATCAATTCAGGAAGTGCCGGCACTTCGCAGATCTGGGTCACAATTATCGTTTTCGATGGCGGATTCTCCCGGAGGTGGGTCCCCTCCTCCAATGAATTTACACAAGCGTGCAAGTTCCAATATCTCAGAAAGCTGGGACAATGGCAGTCCCACTCCGGATTATACCTTGTTCAATCCCGATGATTCAAGAAATGACAAACGCTTCTTTGGCACTCCAGACTATTTGGCCCCCGAAACAATAGAGGGCACGGGTGAAACAGATGCTTGTGACTGGTGGTCGGTGGGATGCATGCTCTTCGAATTTTATTTTGGGTATCCTCCATTTCATGCGCCGACAGTTGAGGAGGTGTTCAGTAACATACTCGCCGGAAGAATATACTGGCCAGAATTTCCCGACGAGGAAACGGAGCTCGAATTCATTTCTCTGGAAGCAAAAGATCTCATCAAAAAGCTTCTTGTGGTTAATCCTAATGAAAGGTTAGGAGCAAATGACGTTCAGGATATTTTCCAGCACCCTTATTTCAAGGATGTCGATTGGGAGTCCTTGTATGAAGAAACAGGGTCGTTTGTGCCTGATGTAGCTCATCCTGAGAGTACAGACTACTTCGATTTGCGCGGAGCTCAATTAGAGGATTTCAGCGATTCCGACACAGAACCACCAAAAATTTCAGAGTTAATGACAGGGGAGGTTGAACGAGCGCCGAAAAGGACTAGCAGCGAGCGTAGCAGTCATTCGGGAACTCCTGTACATAAACTAACCGTCGGGTCTGTTCTAGAATCTTCCTCCTGGGACAACCACAGTAACCACAGCTCACCAACGGCAAAACAGCTACCGCTAGCTATCCCTCCTCATCTTAGAGATCGGCGAGTGAGCAAGCTCAACGAACTTCAAACAGAATTTGGATCCTTCAATTTCAGAAATTTACCTGCGCTTGATAAAGCCAATAAAGATGTCATCAACAGGCTCAAAAATGAACATCTTGTAGAACAGGGTATTCATCATTATCACCACCATCGGACTTCTAGCGGGTCCAGCTCTTCGTCCGATTTCTCTAATAAGCTCAAACACGCTAAAGCTGGTGGCATGGGTAATTCTCTCAGCAACTCGGTTTTATCACCTAGGTCATCAGCATCGCCAAATGCATCTAAGAACCAATCCCCAAGTCGGAGGGGCAGTGTAGAGATAGCGATGACGAGCCGCCGTCGTAGTGCTGGCGGCGCCACTGAAAGCTCGCTTAATTTTCTGAATCCTGCGAGTGATAACAACGACTCGCCCTCGCCAGTTTCCCGCTTTAAATCCCCGCTATCACCCCAACATACGTCATCAAGAAATAGAGGTCACTCGCACTCTTCTTCGAAACGCCCTAGCTTAGAGGAAACTGTCAGCGATGGAAGCGGAAATGTCAAAACACTGTCACGAGCTCCAAGCTCACATAGTCGCCGGCACAGTGACGACAAGATTCCGCCTGACGTGAGCACTCTTTCATACAACCTCGACGTCCTTGTTTGCGAGCCTATCCCGATACATCGTTTCAAGCTAACTAGGGATCTCGAAAGTCTTGGCTGCTCTGTAATAAGCGTCTCGATGGGGGATGAAATGGTTCGCAGAGCCACAAGTGAAGTCAAATTCGACCTTGTGTTCACCGCTCTCAAACTTCCCAAGCTGGGGGCGATAGATATTGTCAAGCTTTTGCGCAATACCACTAGTTTTAACAGAACCACCCCAATCATTGCTGTGACAGCATTTTACCAGGAAGCTCAGCAAGCTTGCGTTTTTGACGGAGTGCTCGAACGCCCCGTCAGCATTCAGCATTTGCGTTCTCTCCTGCTTGAATACACCCTCAAGAAAAACCAAGAAGCCGATGATACTATCATCAGTGATGCCGATTCTTAAATGTGCAAATGGTATCAACACAACAACTAGCAAAGTAGCTGAGAAAGACAGAATGGGTTTACGATGAGGCATACTCTTGGCTAAGTTCAAACCTGGTCGTCGAGCTTAGAACGCTTTACGCACAGGCTACACAAATAAAGGAAAGACCTCACTTCAACCTGAGAAGGATTCCCCAAAGTACTCAACAGAGTTTTAAGGCACGTCTGAAGCAACAGCTAAGCATCCCTCATACAATACAAACCACTCATAACGACGGGCCTTGAAGCGTTGATTATTTCGTGACGCCGTCGTCGTTGTCGAAATCACATAATCACTATTCACGAAGCTCGAAAATTTTTGAAATTGGATAACTTGACGAACATCAGTGACAAGATTAATGATTCCAACCATATTTTAACAGGAAACTACAGCCACAATGCCTACCGTTTCAGTTCCAAAGCAGCATTTCTTCGATCTGCTAGGTAAGCAGTATACCAATGAGGATTTTGACGAACTCTGTTTTGAATTTGGTGTAGAATTGGACGAAGACACTACTGAAGAAGCGTTGAAGACAAATGAAGAGCCAGAGTTGAAAATCGAGGTTGGTGCAAACCGTTATGATCTACTTTGTACCGAGGGTATTGCCCAGTCCTTGAACGAGTTTTTAGAAAGAAAAGAGACACCAAACTACAGACTCTCGAAGGCCACTACTAAGCTTTACATCGAGCCCTCCACGGAACAGATTAGACCATATGCGGCTGCAGCGTTTCTCAGAGGTATCAAGTTCACCGAAAAATCCTACCAGTCTTTTATCAACTTGCAGGACAAATTGCACTCGAACCTGTGCAGAAACAGAAGCTTAGTTGCGATGGGAACCCATGACGCCAGTACCATCAAGGGTCCTTTTCACTACAAAGCTCTTCCTCCCACCGACTTCAAGTTTGTGCCATTAAATCAGACCAAGGAGTTTACCGGTGCTGAATTGATAGACCTCTACAAGCAACCGGACCAGAAAAACAACTTGGGCAGATTTGTTCACATCATAGAAGACTCTCCAGTCTTTCCCGTCGTCGTCGACAGCAACAACACCGTCTGCTCATTGCCACCATTGATAAACTCTGAGCACTCCAAAATATCGGTCAACACCTCAGACGTCTTTATAGAGTGTACCGCCACTGACAAAACTAAGGTGGAAATTGTCATCAACCAGATCGTGTCCATGTTTTCTCGCTACTGTGCAGAACCTTTCGTGGTGGAACCTGTGGATGTTGTTTCTGAGCACAACCAACAGTCTCGTGTAACCCCTAATTTCACTCCAAACGTCATGGAAGTCTCCACCGCATACATCAATTCGTGTCTAGGTCTAGAACAATCACCACAGGAAATCTGCCACAACTTGAAAAAGATGTCTCTACACGCCACCCCTTCCAAAAATGACGGCTATCTTGAGGTTTCGATTCCTATCACCAGACCAGATATTTTACATCCTTGTGATATTATGGAGGACGCAGCCATTGGCTACGGATACAACAAGTTGCCAAAGGGCGAGAAGCTGTCCAATGCGAACTTTGTTGCAGCACCACTTCCAATCAACAAAATATCTGATATCTTCAGAACTGCTTCAGCGCAAGCTTCGTGGATAGAAGTCCTTCCGCTAACGCTTTGCTCCCATGATGAAAACTATAAGTTTTTGAGAGTAAAAGACGACGGCAAGCAGGCGGTGAGATTGGCAAACCCTAAGACGTCAGAGTATCAAGTTGTCAGAACTACATTGCTACCAGGTATTTTGAAAACTGTAAGAGAGAACAGAAAGCATACTTTGCCTATCAAAGTTTTCGAAGCAGGTGACATAGTTTTGAAAAACGATCAGCTGGAGCGCAAGGCATTCAATGAGCGTCACTGGGGTGCTGTTTACGTGGGCAAAAACTCTGGGTTTGAAATCATACAAGGTCTCTTGGGAAAAATCATGCAAACTTTCAGAACTCAGTGGGTGGCAGACTTCGGCAAGTCCACCTCAACAAGAGGTTACTGGATTGAGGAGGATGAGTCATTGCCAACCTACTTTCCAGGAAGAGGTGCAAGAGTCATGTTTAGACCAAAGGAGGGTGAAGAGGCCAAGAAAATTGGTACTCTAGGTGTGCTACACCCTGAAGTCATGAAAAACTTTGACCTACCCTACGCCGCCTCTTATGTGGAATTGAACTCTGAGGTCTTTCTATAATACTTTCATGTTAGTATATCGTCGGTTATAGATACATGCTGCTTACAGTCTAGAAGTCATCTGAAAATGCAAAATCAATGGGCTCATGATCCTTTTTATGAAAACTTCTGGGGTCCTCTGGTAAAAGAACTTTCCCAGCACCCATAAGAGAGTTCTTCGTTGTTTCGAACTCACTCGTTTCCCTCTTGTCCTCAAGTGGGGTCTTACCAGTATTAGTCGCATGCTCTGAAGGCGAGCTGATAGGAGCCTCCGCCTGAAAACTTGCAGCTTCCTTTTTCAGTTTGTCAAGTTCCTGCATAAGAGCGCTGGCATTCACAATGGCTTTATCTGTTTTTTCTCCATTGTTTGCTGAATTGCAAGCTGCAGTGTCCGTGTCCACGTCATTCGCCTTATGGCTCTGTGCGATGGCGGACTCTTCGTACATTTCTTGCCATTTGGCTTTCTTCGGTTTCATCCATCCCGGAACCCAGCTAGCGCGCTTCTTTTTTGCGGAGGCTTTTTGGGCCTTCTCTATGTCATAGCCAATTTGCCTTTGACGGTGAAGTTGTTCGGGGTCAGAAGTTTCTTCAATATCTACGAACTCTTCGCTCAAAACTGATATACCCATCGCCTTCAGCAGTTTGGGCATGCTCTTTCGGTATGTCATATGGCCCTCAACCAAGCCTGAACAGTTGTAATTTTCGATCCCTTCGATTTCTTTGATCTCGGATATTCCAATAACACTTTTGAATCCACCACTCGTAGCCCTAAATAGATAACATAGAATCCAATCTTTGTCTGAGTATCCGTTAACCAGTCTTCCGCTAACAACTGATCGTATCATTACCAGCTGCTCACGATTATAGACTACAGGTGAACCAAAAAGGTAAACATTTTCTATCAATCCGGTTGCTTTCCTTTTGCAAAGTTCAACTAAGCATGAATAAATGACCCTAGCACCGAGCGAGAAGCCAATCAATGTTACGGGACGTTGACCAAGGTTTCGGGAAATCAAAGTGTCCGCTAAAATTAGACCGGCTGCCCATGCTCTGTCCAAGGAAACGTTCCAAGGGTTATCAATGAGATAGCCCAGCTTGGATAACATCATAGGCATCTGAACTGCTGACATGAAGGCCGTCAGTATCGTTGCGCCCAAGATCTGTTGAAGGGTCTGTGTAAAGATCTCACTGGCCAGAATGTTGATCGTTTGACCAGTAGACTTCAGCATTTCAGGCTCCCAATGTAGAGAGTATAAATCACCCTCTATTGGATCTACTGTGGAGAAGGGAAGCCGAACATCATCCTCATTACCAGTCATCCATCCGGATACGCTGAGAATCAAATTAACTCTTCTGTTATTATGCAAGGGACTAAATTCGAATGTCCGGACACTTCCCATCCGTTTGGACATTGCCTCAGTTCCTATTTTGGCTCCAATCGCAGTGCTTGTTGCTGCGACAACTGCAGTTCCTCCAACACCGGTCAAAAATCCCGTTGCACCCGTTATACCTGCAGTGGTTAATCCTGCAGCGATACCTGCACCAATCACCGGAGCCAGTAGTCCACCACTGAGGCCCAAGACAAGCGAGCCACCGATTGTGGCAAGTCCCACGTAACATAACTTTTTTCTTTTGTTCTTTTTGCGACGTGATTTCATATGTTCTGTTTCGTTCCACTCCTGCTCTTCCGTCGATTGCTCCATGTCCAAGGCATCTATGACACGCCTTTCAAACTCACAAATTTCGGTTTCCGAGATATTGAGGACCTCAGCGAACTTGATGAAGAGAGTTCTTGACCTGGCGTCGTATCTGCTTCCCGACACAAGAAGCAGAAATAAGTCGCACACAATCGTCCAAGCCACACCTATTCGAAGCTCAGACTCCTTTTTCAGATCTTCCGGGTTAATAATGTTTGATGGGGGAGGGTTGCTGATGTCTGTTTGTTTCAAATCGGGGTCTCTGTCGACCGTATTCTGTGTTTCCCAAGGATTTTCAACAACTTGAGCTACTTTGAGACACTTGCACAGGTCCTCAAGCGCTATCCCGTGCACTGCCAAGCGTTCTATCATCTTAACTTCTTCCGGTGAAATTTCTAGATGCTCACTTAGTTTCGACACTAAAGTACTTCTCCACAATCCCATGTCTCTTTGGATATGTTGCAGCCTTTGAGCGAGTTTTTTTCGACCCGTCACATTAGTGCAAATACAGCTTAAGGCCAATTGGGTGCACATAGTATTGGCCAGAACCGAAATGGATCCAACGTACGCAATTTTCTCCCTTTCACTCAGTAGGTTTTTCGTAAAAGATAATTGACTTCTCGAGTTGAGCTCCGATTCATGCTCTTCTGCATCTTCGTATTCATCGTACTGTTCTGATGGAGTACCTGCCTCCTTCAGAGATTGACTTGACTCATTCATAACTTTGTGATTGAACAAGAAGTCAGTCTTTTTGTTGGTCGCTTGCGACCTTTGAGCCTGCTGTTCATCTGCCACTTTTGTGTAGCCAAATGTAGAGGATTTTTTCTGCTTACTGGGCTGATCAGTATGTTCGGCGGCGGAATTGCCTAAAGAGGGACTGCTCATCGTCTTAAGGGGGTCTTGGTAAGCAGCAAGAGCAAGCTCGCCGCTTTTGTTGTAGATATCGTAGGTCGAGATTGCCGGTACAGTACTCCACTCTCGAGAAGAGTCCGAGCCTGTGTCAGAATCAGAATCAGACTCTGATTTTGCACTTGAAGCCCTGTTCTTTTTATCATTGATCTTATATTCTTCTTCAGTATTCGGTATTTTAATTGCCTCCGATGACTTGGATAAGGCATTCCTTATATTTGCGGTTTTGGCATCGGATTCTCCCAATGAAACTCTCGTTGGTTCACCTGGAGCGCTCACCCTTGGCACTGTTGGAGCAGAATGTGATGTCTTATTATTAGCTGCAATGCGATCGTCATTAACTCTCTTGGTGAGCTTCAATTCTTTTAGCCCAAATTCAAGGACATCATCGTGGTCAGTGGGCATGGTTCGCAGTCCAAAGGAGCCCACCTAGGCTCTTGAAACATTCAGGATATCGATGAGTTGAAGCGATTATCGGTTGACATCGGTTAGTTTCTCTATGATACATGGTAATAAAATAGATAAATAGCCGGGATCACGTGGGTAAGAATAAGCTTAGAGAAGGATAGTTTTAGACAGGGGGGCACAATCTCCACTCGAGACCATTTTCAATGTGATTCATGGCGTAAAATTCCCCCATGGGCTGCTGTGGTTTGGAAGAGCGGTGTTGAAGCATTGTTTTATAGATCACTTTGTACTAGTGTGTTACTAGAGTGCATTTTCCCATTATGAAACGACATCGTGAGCTATTCAGATCCCCAAGACACTTTGAAGCCAAATATCAAGCTAATAGAGTACGTGAGGCTCTTGGCTTTCGTGCTGGAGCGAAAAAGTGGCAACTTCTTAAGCAATCCACAATTTATGTGGCCGGTGACAGCGAGGTAAAAAGTGATATGGATGGAAGCGTTGAGTTGATGATACCATACCGGGTTCTCTCGACTAAACTAAACACCACGATTACATCGAAGCTTCCCTGCAGTCAGATTGCGGCCAAGTTTTAACGCACAATCAAATTTCTCACATTTTCTATCCCAGCTTTGGCTCCGTTGAACATTTTCTAATTCAGACAATTACCTTGTATCTCCTCGGATTTCACCCACATACGCTCTTAATCGAACCACCAAATCCTCACTGACAGAAGCCAGGCCGTCTCTTCGTCGTCGGCGTCTTGCTGTTCTGGCACTGCTGTACTCAAAGCAGTTCCGGTTGTGACTGCATTTCATATTTTTTGGGCCAGAACACCCAGACCTTTTTTGAAAAAACAGAGAATTTCAATTTCCCATTTTACGTGCTTCATGATCTACGTGTACCCACGCAAAAGTTCGTCAGCTGGAATTTTCCACCGGCTCAGCGAGCTGGCGCCAACACAGTCGAGATATTCAAGAACTATACCAACAAGTTTAGTCTCCAGTCTAACTTAGCTTTTCCCGTAGTTATCCAAGTACAAACAAACGAAAATGGCTCCAGTTGTATGTGACGATTAAAGAGGGACTCTTTGTCTACTCAACGGTATCAAATAAGTGGGTGTCGCTGCGACAACATTACTTGTGGGGACATTAACAAGAAGCTACGGCTTTCAAAGGACTTTTCATTTTGCGAACTGCGGTGACATGATCTGAGCTCACGAGAGCTTCCCGCACTTCACAGATAAAGAGGCTTTTCTGTTTGTTAATTATTTACATGGAGGGAAGAACCTAGCGCGAGCTAACAGTTTTTTCGCTACCACACTGTAATTGTTAATAGCAGTAGGCACTACGACGTTTGGTAACTGAACACCCTTTTGGTAGCGTTCGTTTTTTATACTAACCCAATTTTGCTGTCCTTTCAGACCTCCAGAAAGCAAAAGATCACCAAGACCTTCACTGTCGACGTTTCTTCTCCAACTGAGAACGGTGTGTTCGACCCAGCTTCTTACGCCAAGTACTTGATTGACCACATCAAGGTCGACGGCCACTTGGGTAACTTGGGTAACGCCGTTTCCGTGGAGCAGAACGACTCTGTTGTGACCGTTGTCTCCACCACCAAGTTCTCCGGTAAGTACTTGAAGTACCTCACCAAGAAGTACTTGAAGAAGAACCAATTGAGAGACTGGATCAGATTCATCTCCACCAAGACCAACGAGTACAAATTGGCCTTCTACCAAGTCACTCCAGAGGACGAGGAAGACGAAGAGTAAATGCATCAACGGGGTTTGGTCGGCGTTGCAACGATTTGACCTACAATCTCTAAGTACTTAATCTCTTCGTTTCTCTTTTGTCTCGGTTTTTTTAAACTAAAACGTTTGTCCTTTTGCATGTTTTCGACATTGCGAGAGGGACTCTTTTCAAGACGAAAGTCTGGTTGGCGTTGTTTGACTCAGGCTGCTTATCCAAGACTTTTGATCTTCAATTTTTTTTAGTAGCTACTTTCGTTAGCTTCGTGTATATTAGGCGAGTGTAAATAGTAAGACACTCTTACGGGAATAGCTTGGTTCTACTAATTGTTTGGTTCTAATGAGCTATAAGTCGTGCTATCTATGCTTCAGTCAGCGCCTTCTCGAGCTTGTGTTGGAACATGACTTCGCTACCGTCTCTTTTAAATATTTAGACTAGATGTTATAAACCGATGCTAATTTTCCAGATCTATAAAGCGATGAGCTGAAAACCAAATCTTCGAATCATGGTCAAAGATGAACTCAAGAGCCTCCCCTATCACCATGAACTGAGTCTATCACCGCAGGACATACTGGATTTGTTCAAGATCACCTTTGAAGAGCAGTTGTATCGCAACGATCGTCAAATCCTCAGTGATGATATCCAAAGTGTGAAATCTGAGCTGTTCAACAGAAACTACGTGGCTGCCTTCGATTCGACGGAAAAACGAACTGCATACTGTGCTCGCTGGTCTCCGTCTCGAGCCATTGCGTATAGCTCGTTATTTTGTCATTTGGACGCGGTTCGCGCCGTTATTCAAGACTCTCACGATGGTGAGATTCTGTGTATCGGAGGCGGAGCAGGAGGTGAACTGATCAGCATCGGCAGCATATTCACACCATCTGTCGATTTTAATGCCAAATACTCCACGAAAACATCCCAAGCAGAAAACAAAACCCTCAAGGTCACATTAGTCGATCTGGCGGACTGGACTGCAGAGGTGGCAAAACTGAAGGAAAGCATACGCAAAACATGGCTTTTTGACCATGCTAACGATCTAGCGATCCAATTCCTCAAGAAGGACGTGTTACAAGCGTCTTCTGCGGACCTGAATCTGCCATCACTGGATTTGATAACACTGCTGTTCACCACAAACGAGCTGTTCACGGCCGCAAAGGCCGAAAGTATCCGGTTCTTTCAAAGGCTCAACGACCAATGCCGCTCGGGCTGTCATCTGCTGATTGTCGAAAGCGCCGGTAGCTATTCCCACATAACGGTTGGCTCCAAGAAATTTCCTATTCAGTTTCTTATTGACACGCTCCTTATGGGAAAAAGTGGTGAGGAAGCCACCGGCCATTGGGAGCTTGTGCAGGGCCACGATTCGTTGTGGTATCGTGCCAAGGACGACGTGGACTACCCTCTGAAAGTGGAAAACATGCGATTTTTCTACAGACTCTACAGGAAGAAGTAAAGGTAGGAAGAAGAAACGGAAAATTGAGTAATTGACGTTGAATCATGGGCTCTCGGCTTGAAATTAAACAACTGCAAGATAATTCGGTCGAATCGACGTCTTTCTGGAGTGACACTTGTCTCGAGCTTGATCGCAGCTCATCGACTCACGTGACCCGTGAAATTTCGCGAAAAATTGTAATTTCGTATCGAGGCATAATTTCTTCAAATTTCATAACATTATCATGTTGGCATCCAGATCAAATGTGAACCACCATCAAGAGTACCATTTAGCGGCAAAGGCTTCCTTTTGAAACCGCCTTTTGACGCATAAATAATCACAGCCGTTTTAGTCACGTAAATGTCGTTCTTCAACACTTTCAAGTAAGTTTTCAAACCAAGTTTTTACGAGCCAAATTGATGTATTTTCGACTAACATTCGATATCTTTCAACAACAGAGGTTTTGGTAGAAGCAGTAAGAAAAACAAGAGTCAGAATGGTGGTACGTCTTCCACGCCTGTGAACTCGGTGTACACCAACTCCCACAGCAGTAATTCTAAGCTTTCATTGCGTCAAATGCAAATGCAGGCCTCACCGGTCAGACAATCTGGCAGTTCTCATAACAGTGGTAATCTTCCAAATCAGGGTTTTCAGCAACATAACAGCGCAACTACGTCCGGGGTAGTACGCGAAGCTCCAAAAACCCAGCAAGCCCTTTTTTTGAGTGAACCGTTCGTCAGAACGGCCCTTGTCAAGGGCTCTTTCAAAACGATTGTACAACTACCGAAATACGTAGATCTGGGCGAGTGGGTAGCTTTAAATGTTTTTGAATCGTTCACCAACCTCAACCTCTTCTACGGCATCGTGGCTGAATACGTCACGGCAGACGCTTATCCGACCATGAATGCTGGCCCGCATACCGATTATATGTGGCTGGACGCGAACAGTAGACAAGTGTCACTGCCGGCAGGCCAATACATTGACCTAGCTCTGGCCTGGATCAACAATAAAGTATCAGATCAAACCCTTTTTCCCACACAAAACGGCTTTTCTTTCCCCCCAAATTTCGTCCAAGACATTCAGAGAATAATGGTGCAAATGTTCAGAATCTTTGCACACATGTATCACCACCACTTCGACAAAATCGTACATCTGTCACTGGAGGCACATTGGAATTCGCTATTTGCCCATTTCGTGAGTTTTGCCAAGGAATACAACCTAATAGATCGAAGAGACATGAGCCCACTTGAGCCATTGATAGAGAATCTCGAAAAACAGGGGAAAATCATATGAAAGGAAGAGAAGCATTCCTTGCCGCACTAGGTGTGATAAATGCATGGTATTATTGTATGAAAGTATGTTTAATGAGATGAAAAGGTCGGGTCTTTATATACAGGAGTTTTAATATCAAGTCAGAGTCCGACAACAAATACAATATGCAAATTGTTGGTCCTTGATGGGCTTTCGCATCAAGAAAAGAAGTATTTGCTGTTCTCAAGTTCTCTGACATCAAAGTCCCCCTTCGGAGGAATTTGAGGTAATTTTAGCGGAGCCAAAACCATTATGCCGCTAGCATCGCTCGATTTTTCGAGCGACCCAATGTCTTCGATCTCGCCAAGAAGCGATACGGTAGTTTTCATGTCTGCACCCTCTGCTTTTTCAGTGGGATCTTCGGATTCAAGTAGTTGAACGCGCTTTTTTTCCATGTAAATCTCGTCGGCTAGCGTAAATGGACGACCAAGCTTTTGCGACAAAGTCCTTCTAAGATCGATGATGTTCGAAGCAACACTTGAGTTCTTGTCAATTTTGATGATCTGTAAGTAGTTTTTATAGCGCTCATCGAATTCATTTTTCAACCTCTCGATGAGATCAACTTCATGTAGCTTGATGAACTGCTCTCTCAAAAGCACGTTCATTGTGTCAATGTCACTCGCATGGGTCCAATAAGAGTCGTGGACAGCAGCGAAATCCAAGCCCCTCTCTCCACATTTTAGAGCGGAAAGAAGCATGTGTGATGCATCCAGCGAGTGAATAAAGTTTGGGGGGAATCCAGCTTTTTGTCTTCTCGCATTGATTGGATTTACAGCAAATGGGTCGCTTATAAAGACAGTCTGAAGATTGGTTGCCACCTGTCTTTTGCCGCTTTCGCGATATGGTTGAACAATGGGCAATCCTAATGGGGTAGTCCAAATTACAGACGACATAAAGTCAGGCTTATTGCCGTTCTTAAATGCTTTTTCATCAATGTCCAGTCTTATGGACTTTGAGATCCTTTTGGCGCATTCTCCAAGCCAGTCTTGAATCAAGTGTGCACCCTCGAATAGCTCTCTGACTGAGGCAAAGACGTGTTTCGTCAGGTACTTTGACATTTCGTAAGAGCTTTTGTAATCGTCAAACACATTGGATAATTGCTTCTCGATCTGATGAGTAGCACCGATGTAGGTGACACCATAGACGTTGGTCATCACGGTTTGCTTGACAACTTTGCGTTTTATCATGCCTTTAAGAAGCTCAGCTTTCTCATCGCCTTTAGCTGCAGCTGCTTCCAACCTTGCTACGACCAACTTCGCAACATGTGAATAGACATCCTGCGGTCTGTCACTGGGCATCAAGTTCACCTGCTTCGCACCTTCGACATCACCTCCGAGTGCCGCGTAATGCTGCAGACCATTGCAAGTTCCATCTTGGTGGACAGGAACGTGAGAGATGAAATCGCATGGATTGTCAAGCTTCAAAGCTTCGTTCAACTCGATACAGGTAGCAAGAGCCTGCCAGGGTTTATCTGCTTGCTTCCACCAGCCTTTTCCATTCAAAGGATTTTCTGCAGAATCTTTGATGTCTTCAAGATGACTTTCGGTGAAAGATACACGCTCTTCAAGAGGAGCCTTATCAAAGCCAAATAGATTTGAAAGATGGACCTTCAACCATTTCAGACCTGTCGAACCCAACCTTTTCCCGTTCCAAAAAATCATAAGCCCTCTGCTCATATCGTTACCCAGGTGGTTGAAATGGGGCGACAGTGGATAAGCACGGCCACGGAAGTCCAAGTTGTGGGGAAAGTAGAACTTTTCGCCGAGGAAAGCTCTCGCAATCTCTAGCTTATAATTAGCATCACAACGAGCTGACCTGCCGCTCGAAAATTCATTGGCAAGCTCTTTGTTCTTTAGTTTCCACTTTCTATGAACCGAAGGATCTGCATCTCTGGGTGGCTGGGGTGTCAGTATGAGTTTACTCTGATTGCCTGGAATATCAAGAAAAGCTTCACCTGTGTTCCACACATGCGACATAATATCAAACATCTTACGATTCACTGTCCAGGCAGTCTCGCCCAAAACGTTCAACCCGTGATAAACATTATCGATGGCACCTGCATCAGACACTGCTTTCAAATATGCGACTTGTTCTGGCGATTCCTTCGATCTGATAAGTGTTGATTGGGTGTAGAAATATCCACCCGAATTCCAGCTCTTCCATGGTCTCGGTTTCACCAGCATGGGGAGGAGCTGCGGTTGAACGGCGGCAACTAAACGTTCGCCGTTCAGCTGATGGACGAGACTTCTGTGGATCTTGAGTACACCCAATTTTGAGCCGTTGTGGTATTGATATCCATGAGAGAAAGCTGGGGCTTCGCCTTGGATCTTTTCTTGTGTTACTGGATCGACACCCTCTACCCGCACTCTAGCAACATGAATCAACATCGAAATCAAAATGGAGCCAATTTTGGCACGAGATTCTTGGGGCCAAAGGATTTTGGATTCCTCGATTTTCATTGAGCGGAAAGTGTTCCTAGCACGCTGCACTAAAAGTTTGAATTCATGCGATTTCTTGTTGATATCTTTGAAAACAAAAGACTCGTTTTTAAGCAAAAGTTCTGCCCTGAACTCCATTTCAATTGCTTTACCAACAGAAATGACAGCTCTAGCAGTCCGCATACCTTCGATCACGCCTCCGGTGGAATTCAGCTTCAAAAGCTCCAAGATCGTTATAACACACATTTTTTCTGGATCGACAAGAGTCAAGTAAGGCCCATAATCCTGTCTTGCTTTGTTTTGCTTTTTTTCCTTGACACTAAGAGCACCTTCCTGTACTGAGTTGCTTGCTACTTCAGCACACCGCTTTACTTCTTCCTTCACCAGTGGCAACATCTGATTAAACCACTCCCATAGTTTGACATTCAGCTTCTTCTGAATGGACAGATCACCTCTTGCCTTAGCTTCCTCAAAGTCGTGTTTCCAGCGTTCTTTTGCTGCGTCTGTCGCTCTATGTTCTAGCTGATGTTGTCGGTCTTGGTTAAATTCGTCCAAGGCTTTTGCAAAAGCCTCTCTTTCTTCTGCTGTCTTCAAATTCTTGTGGATTTGAAAAAAATCAATGTTGTTCTGGCCGTCTTCGAAATTCAGAAGGTTGGAGGCACTCTCAAAGTCAAATTCCTTGATCTGTTTCCTTTGTGCATCCGTTAGGGAAAGCCCGAGTAAAGTGTGTCGTACTACCTTCATGCCGATGGTGTCTACAGCCAGCAGGTCATCCGCGTTCTTCGGTATAGCCTTAATTTGTTGCTGGAATGCCAATTCCGTACTTTCCTGGGTCTGTGCTGTCGATCCATTGGCACCGCCTGCGGTTCCTCTTGGTTCTTCCTTGTTTTCCGGGGAGGGGCCGTTGGCAACCACCAGGGGAGCCAAATCAGCGGGTAAATCGCTCACTTCTATAACTTCGAGTTCGTTTATCAAAGTTCGGTAGTCTTGCACTGTCAACACCTCGACGTTGTTCAGGATCCCTCTGTGACCACTTACGGCCATTCTCAGGTATGTTTTGCAATGCTTCAAGCGAGTTTCTTGGGAATTAGAGAGCCTGATCGCGTTGTGTATCAGAATCGCCAGGGTTTTGTCGTTGTAGTCCACAGCTGGGAACGATTTTTGGAGGTCGTCAAACAGCTTTTTATCAACGGCTTTCAGGTCCCCGGCCTTTTCGGCAAATTTCGCCAGATACTTATTGTAGTCGTCCATGAAAGACGCTCTATGTGATTTGAGACTGTAAAGCGATTTCAAAATCGAAAACGCACGATCCATATAGCCAGAGTGAAGACAAGCCTCCAGCAACGACCAAAGGTTCATGATATTTCGGGTCTCTCCTGCTTGTGCAGCAGCCTGCGCGTTATCAAAAGTTGAAAATCCTGGAGCTGTGGATACCACTGAGGATTTAAGAAACCCAATATCATCGTTACTGGCTTGGTTTTCCATCCCTGCAAAATCCATGGATGGTTTATGCAGATAAACCGCCTTTGAGAAAGGTCTCAGTATACGTGCCAGCCGTTTTGGGCCGTGAGCTCGACGACATAGGCTTGAATAGCGTAGCATGGTGTGTTGGGCTATTCAAATCGGCAAGAGAAGACCCTGTTGTGTCGAATTGATTCTGTTTTATGAACTTGAGATGAGCTCATCTCATCGCATCAAGAACTTATTCATTCATCTTACTTTTTCATCACTGTCATGAAAATTTTCGATGACAGCGACAGCGTCGAGAGAGAAAGAAAGAACTGAACAGGATTTACTTTCGAGGCCTAAGTTCTTGATCCAACGGTGTAGTCAATAGTATCAATGATGTTTGTATTTAGGTAGTTGATTCACCAGCTCTTGTTTGATGTGTTCTGCAATTGAAGCACATTGAAACACACATAATTAAATTTCGCGTGGTGTCACTCACTTCTCATGAAAAGTGAATGGATCACCGCAGTCGGAACCAAGATGAGCGGGCTTTTGGTACATGAAGCGTTTCCGGAACTATATGGATGGATTTTGCGTTCAGCGCGAAGAATCCAAGATCAAAAATTATATTATAGAAGATAATAAGGCAGTCGCTGCAGTCATTGCAAGCCTGGTGAACTTCGTCTTCTGCAGCAATGGAGGCGATAGCTGGGGTAATCGCAGTGGAAAAGATTGGACGCGCTGATCAACGTGCAGAGAAATAAAAGAAAAACGCATTTCAGAAGGGCCTGAGCGAAGTTGTATATGTTAGATGTGACCAGTTCTCTAGACCTGGGGAAAAAGCTGGACCATCGGTGTTGGGGTTAGTGGGGTATCAGAGAAGAAGACAAAAAAGAACTTTCACTTGTCGTTTCCGGTCGCTTTCTAAGTATTCTCGTCATCTCTTCTTGCAAACGACCGGCGAATTCAGAGTGGTGGCTCTTGGCAACGTTTTTTCTTAAATTTATTCGAAATTTTCAGGTATAGGTTGCTCGTCGGCGTATTCAAGCTCTTCGTCGTCCTCAACCGTGGCTTCCTGGTATTGCTGGTACTCGCTGACCAAATCGTTCATGTTCGACTCAGCCTCAGAAAACTCAATTTCTTCCATACCCTCGCTCGTGTACCAATGCAAAAACGCCTTTCTTCTGAACATGGCACCGAATTGATCACCGACTCTCTTGAACAATTCCTGGATCGACGTGGAGTTACCAATAAAGGTAGCAGCCATGTCAAGATCCTTGGGCGCAACGGAGCACACTGCAGTTTGCACGTTGTTGGGAATCCATTCCACGAAATATGAAGAGTTACGAGTTTGGACCTTGTGCATTTCATCCTCTACCTCTTTCACAGACACTTTACCTCTGAAAAATGCTGCAACAGTCAAATATCTACCGTTTCTGGGGTCTGAAGCAGCCATCATGTTCTTGGCGTCGAACATTTGCTGCGTCAACTCTGGAACCGTCAGAGATCTGAACGATTGGGATCCAATCGATGTTAGTGGAGCGTAGCCAACCATGAAGAAATGCAAACGAGGAAATGGAACCAAGTTGACAGCCAGTTTTCTCAAGTCAGAGTTCAGCTGACCTGGGTACCGCAGAGACGTGGTGACACCAGACATCACAGAAGATACCAAATGATTCAGATCGTTGTAGGAAGGCTGACTCAACTTCAAAGTTCTTTGACAGATATCGTATAGGGCTTCGTTGTCGATACAGAAGGTTTCGTCAGAGTGTTCGACAAGCTGATGTACGGACAAAGTGGCGTTGTAGGGCTCCACAACGGTGTCCGAAGTCTTGGGCGAAGGCACCACGGAAAAAGTTGCCATCATACGGTCTGGAAACTCTTCCCTGATCTTGGAGATCAGCAACGTGCCCATACCGGATCCGGTACCACCACCAAGCGAATGTGTGATCTGGAAGCCCTGCAACGAGTCACAGCCTTCCGCCTCACGACGCACAACGTCCATTACGGAGTCTACAAGCTCTGCACCCTCCGTGTAATGGCCCTTGGCCCACACATTACCGGCAGAAGATTGGCCAAAAATGTGGTTGTCTGGTCTGAAAAGGTTTCCGATACGCGAATTGCGCACTGCATCGATGGTGCCCGGTTCGAGATCCACGTTGACAGAACGTGGAACCCATTTTCCGGATGATGCTTCATTGAAATACACGTTCAAACGCGCTTTTTGAATATCGTCTAAACCATGGTAGTTACCGTTAAAATCAAGCCCGTGCTCGCCGCAAATGGTCTCCCAAAACGCCGCACCAATCTGGTTACCACACTGGCCGGTCGATATATGGATCTATCAGATAAGTTCTCCAGTTAGTATAACAGTTTTTCTTGCTTAACGTCAACGTGCTGTCAAAACGCGTCCTAAAATGCACCTAACAGGCCTCTAGAGGGCTCATTTTGAAGCGCTTTTCGTCCACGCCTAGCTTCTGTTAACATACAATTTCTCTCATGAGTCCTGTAAACAGTTTCTAGTCGATCAAAGAGCTCTTACTAGCGCTGTAACTAGCTCAAATCTCAACTGTTTGGGTTGGGATCTGGTAGAAGACCTTATTAGTACCGGTAGGAATTTTGTGTTTACGTTTTACCGCATCGTCTATTTGGGTAGGGTAACCCTTTTCGAGATTAGTATAAATAGGATGGACGACACAGGTAGAAAGAGACGGAAAGTGTTGAAGAAGACGACAAGTGGCTTTGAAAGTATGAAAGAACCGGGTGGGTTCTACCATTTCTCTTGGTTAGATATTGTAGGTTGCGTAGTGCATGTTTTGTTTTCTTGCTGAAGCTTTTCTTATATAAAAAACGAAAATTTGGCCATTTTGTAGTCTAGAAATGACAGTAAAATTGTTGTAACACACTATAGGCTCGCTACAAGAAGCAGTTTTCATGTCTGGTTCGCTACAAGAAGCAGTTCTTATGTCTAATTCGCTAATTTTGGTGTTTGCGACAGGTGATGAGATGATTCTATTTGTATGAGACGAAGGGCACGTTATGAAGATGTCTGTAAAAATTACGTGGTGATAAGAAATGGGCCATGATTCTTGTGTCGGAATACAGTAGCTCTTTAGATGTACCCGGTGAGTGAGAAGGAAGGGGAACTTATATTCACACTGAACGTATGTTGCCAATAGAGGACAAGGTGATCTGGAGCTCACGTGACTTGGTAATTAGAAGAAAACAGTCTTCAAATTCAAAGCCATGAGAGTGATTGTGCTCTCGAGCCCTTGTTAAGACTCTTGACCATGACTCGAAGTGTGTTTGCTTTCTGGGAACGGTTAGTGAGGGTTTTAAAAATCTGTCGAATTTCCAGGCCATTTTTTTTCTCTTTCAGAGCGTGAGCCTGAAGTTAATATGATTTACGAATCGCAGTTGCAGATGCAGAGACTTATTCTCTTCAAAGGGGTCCCCGGCTCTAAATGGTCTAGGAAATCCGCATTAGAGCTCTATTCATCTTCAATGGATGATTCCAATATCACGTGCCTTATAATGGACATTTGATGACGTTTTTCCCATAAAGTGATAGAGCTATACTCGCAATCATGACGGCCATAACGTTGCCTCGCCACAAGCAAAGTTTCCAAGTAGCGTGCACATGGTTGAGCAGCTACTTGGAAAGTACTTAGGTCCTTATCAGACAGACTACACTTTCACGTATACGGCAAAAAAAATTGACAAGAAAGCTCTTGTCTGCACCCAACGCTCATTTTTGCATACAAGGTATCCACCATAGCTTTCATTTTACGGTTAGTTATTGGGCATATGTTTTCGCATGCATGTCACTATAAGGCGAAAAGCAGAAATATGCATTTTCTCAGAAACATCTGAGCACACACCTGGGATATATAAATCACACAAAGGAACGAATCACGAAAGCAACTGGCATGAATCGAAATACGGCGCTGTTTTTTTTAGGCTGTAAATCATGAGCTGGAATGTAATCTACGAACAGTTGCTCAGTGTTCGAACTGTTAGTATAAAGTCCTTTCACACGTGATGCAGATGTCAGTATAAATTTTGATATTAGTAGTGTCAGTGCTTAGATTTAATTATTCGACTGCTATGTCAAGATCAAAGGTATTAGCACGATATACTGTCTAGTTGTTTTGGTGGATCCACTTTGGAATTAATCGCGGTATCGCAATTATCCTCGTTACCGTTCCATCAACCAAAAACCGAGACCCGTAATCCACATAAAACAAAAATAGGAATTCGTTTCGAATTGAAGGAAAATTCGAAACCCGCGTAGCTGTCAGTATCTAAAGAGCTCCATATAATTTACTTCACACCTCTCAAAAACCACTAAATCTTGCCCTCTGACGAGCATTTTTGAACTGATGCTTCACAGTGTGACACTCATCACATCGCACGAAAGCATCTAAAACTCGAACCGGTTTGAAATTGACCCCTGCTCTTATCCTCAACCAAACTACGTTCAAGAAACACAACAGCGCGCAAACTACAGGCGATACAGTTTGTGAGACGGCCTATACCAACACTATGAACAGCGAATATGACTACTTGTTCAAGCTTTTGCTGATCGGAGACTCGGGGGTCGGTAAATCGTGCTTGTTGTTGAGATTTTCCGATGACACGTACACCAACGATTATATCTCTACTATTGGTGTCGACTTCAAAATCAAGACTGTAGAATTGGATGGCAAAACTGTAAAGTTACAAATTTGGGATACGGCGGGCCAGGAGCGGTTCAGAACGATCACTTCGTCTTACTACAGAGGCGCACACGGCATCATTATTGTTTACGACGTGACAGACCAAGATTCGTTCAATGACGTGAAAATGTGGTTGCAAGAAATAGACCGGTACGCTACCGCTGGGGTGTTGAAATTGATGGTAGGTAACAAGAGTGACTTACAGGACAAGAGAGTGGTGGAATACGACGTGGCCAAGGAATTTGCAGACTCGCTACAGATCCCATTCTTGGAAACATCGGCGTTGGATTCTTCTAACGTGGAGGAGGCCTTTTTGACCATGGCGAAGCAGATCAAAGACAGCATGGCACAGCAGCACAAGGATTCGACCAAGAAGGACGACAAGGCCGGCGTCAACTTGAAGGGCCAAAGCCTGTCGAGCACGTCTAGTGGCTGCTGTTAAAGAACGAACCGGTGGTTTTTCGTTTTTTTGCAGTAGTTTCCAAAAGAGAGTAGGTGGAGCAAAAGTCTTTGAGTGATCTGCGACACATGGCTTTGCCAGTGTCTGGTCCTCATGCAAAACCTGTTTCTTCATTTCTCTGAAATATATGTTGAGTTCTGTATAAGGTGTAATTTTCGCAACTAGAGGAGAGCCGAGGCGTTTGCAATCGTGCAGCTTCTTTATTTACTTGTACCTGTAGCGTGTTTTTTCACCCTGCTTTTCACGCTTTTCCTGTCTTTTGGATTTGGCAGCTGGGGCAGAAGCAGAAGATGGACGCTGTGCCTTGGCGTTGTTCATACCACCAAGCATGGGACCTGCAAAGCCCTTGATTTTGTACCCAAAGTAGATTGGCACTAGCAGCATTATGTACCATAGTTTCAAACTGTTGAAGAGAATGAGTCCCGAGTCCGCCAACAACGACAAATAAATGATATCGAACATCCATTCAGTGAGACCCTTTTGACTCAGATCCATTCCCTCACGCGCAATATGTCCTGCCGCATCGTATCTGGGTCTCCCGTTCTTCTCCAAAATGTAAACACACGCGGCAGCTGGTGCATGAAGTACACTTATCCACATCCAACGTTTCCCGCTTGAGAAGAGAAGTCTTGGTAGAACGAGCACTGCAACGCCACCCAAAACCGTGTACAGCTGCTTTAGAGCCTGGAGGTTGGCTTGCGCCTGTTTTTTGGACGCTTTGCCGGCCATATTTGATGCTTTTGAGAGAGAATAGCGAGATCTTCACGTTAACGACACTTTTTCAGTCTTTAGATGTGTATGTATTAGAGAGCTTATATTAGAAGATTAATTAGAGGAAACTAAACAAATCGAAATCGCGAATGCTATAGCTCGCCAGGAAACACATTTATACAGAGCTGGGTAGCACTGCAACGTACATCAGATCTGTAGGACGGATATGCTTTTTTTCACGTCCTCAAAGGCCTACTGTGTCGTTAGCAAATGCGAATGACACGAAAAAAAACCCAAAACTCAGAAAAAGCCTTGAATATTACGGTCCTCCAAGTGCGCTTTCCAGTGCTTAAACACGCTGATCAACGCAACAACATCTTAAAGCGTGTATTCTCCAGGGCTTGTCCACGCCAGTTGCGCTTACCAGTGTCTGGCTTGGTTTCTACATACGTCTCTGAAAAAAAAGCCGGCACTTTGGCATGGTTCCCGCTCTACAAAATAAACTCTGTGGCATCCTGGGTGCTCGCCCGTCATCGTCATCATCGCTACAACGCTGGGCTTTACCTCCTGTCCATGCCACATTTTTATCACTTTTTCCGACAATGTCACCACCATTTTCCCGCACACACGTTACCCGGCCCTCAGCGACTCTTATTTTTTTTTGGCAATTTTCCGTACCAAGGCGCATTATGTTTGATATAAAAAGGTTGCCACCTTAACAACACTTGTTTAAACTGTCCCACGACACGTCTGATACAGGACAAGCCGATCAACAAGACTTTTATAAACAAAACAATGGATTCCGGTATGTTAGAAATGCAAATACGAAGCAATTGAGACTTCCAGGGCAATTTTTGGACGAAATTTGAACGTTTTAGCGTGATTTTTCGATATGTTTACCTCGCGCGTTTTACAATTTTGAAATCAAGATCTCGGGAAGTTTTATGGGATTTCAGGCGGCGAACAAGGGTGAAGTACAGTACACCAGGTCACACACCCAGCATGCTGTCAATGCGCGTTCTCGATGCTGTTCAGGAGGAAAAAGTTCCGGAGTTTTTTCGTTGTTGTTTTTTGGCTGATCTCTCCGATTTACAGGTTTTCAAGATTCTTTGACTCGCTTTACAAAGAGCTTTGGTGAACATTGTCGATCTGGAGATCAGAATCGTCCAGCCGTTTAGATCGAAACTCGTTGTTTGGGCCTGATTTTCATGTCTGTTCAAAATTGCACCAACTGTTAAGAGCCCCTATTCCAAATTTTGATTACCGTTAATTTGATCAAAAGACCAGTTGGAAAAAAAAACAAAAAATGATAACAGAATGGAAACCCAAAGACTTGTTGGGGGGAATCCATTCGGTGGACGTCGTGTCTATAAACCGTTGGATGCTTCAATTCCACCACCAGGTTCTTTTCAAAATCGTTTTTTGACTTTCTGTCGTGGAAGATCTTTGGTTTCACGTTGCCGTGTAGTGTCGTGGCCTGTTGTAAAAATCGCGTTGGGATCGTTTCCATAGGTCTCTATTATGCCCACATCGCTCACTAAACTCAAGTACTAACCAAATTATCACCACAGAGGTTGCCGCTTTGGTTATTGACAATGGTTCCGGTATGTGCAAGGCCGGTTTCGCCGGTGACGACGCTCCCCGTGCCGTCTTCCCATCTATCGTAGGTAGACCAAGACACCAAGGTATCATGGTTGGTATGGGCCAGAAGGACTCTTATGTCGGTGACGAAGCCCAGTCCAAGAGAGGTATCTTGACTCTACGTTACCCAATCGAGCACGGTATCGTGACCAACTGGGACGATATGGAAAAGATCTGGCACCACACCTTCTACAACGAACTGAGAGTTGCCCCAGAGGAGCACCCAGTGTTGTTGACCGAGGCTCCAATGAACCCTAAGTCCAACAGAGAGAAGATGACCCAGATCTTGTTCGAAACTTTCAACGTTCCAGCCTTCTACGTGTCCATCCAGGCCGTCTTGTCTCTATACTCCTCTGGTAGAACCACCGGTATCGTGTTGGACTCTGGTGACGGTGTCACCCACGTTGTTCCAATCTACGCCGGTTTCTCCTTGCCTCACGGTATTTTGAGAATCGACTTGGCCGGTAGAGACATGACCGACTACCTAATGAAGATCTTGAGTGAACGTGGTTACTCTTTCTCCACCACTGCCGAGAGAGAAATCGTGCGTGACATCAAGGAAAAGCTATGTTACGTTGCCTTGGACTTTGAGCAAGAAATGCAAACCGCTGCTCAGTCCTCTGCCATCGAGAAATCTTACGAATTGCCAGATGGTCAAGTCATCACTATCGGTAATGAGAGATTCAGAGCTCCAGAAGCTTTGTTCCACCCAAGTCTACTAGGTCTTGAAGCTGCCGGTATTGACCAGACCGCTTACAACTCCATCATGAAGTGTGACGTTGACGTCCGTAAGGAATTGTACGGTAACATTGTCATGTCCGGTGGTACCACCATGTTCCCAGGTATTGCTGAAAGAATGCAAAAGGAAATCACCGCTTTGGCTCCTTCTTCCATGAAGGTCAAGATCATTGCTCCTCCAGAGAGAAAGTACTCTGTCTGGATCGGTGGTTCCATTTTGGCTTCTTTGACCACTTTCCAACAGATGTGGATCTCAAAGCAGGAATACGACGAAAGTGGTCCTTCCATCGTCCACCTCAAGTGTTTCTAAGCCAATTAAAACAGGTGATGGGACACGCGGAAGGGGTCTTAATCAAGAAATTTATTCGCTGTTTCACAGCTTCTTTATATTTCTTGGCGTGAAGTCTTATTTTTAAAACACCTTATGATAGGGATAAAGGAACGTCAATGCACTTATATACATGTCTAGTCTATGTAGCGTGAATTTGACAGAAAATATTGTTATTGATGGATTCGAATCAATGTTTTTTCCAAACTTATGGTCATGTTTGTCCGAATGATGTATTGGGCGTCAAAAACATGAAATGACAGCTTGGTGAAATGTGTAAAACCCTAAAGACAATGCCGGAAAGTTGTTTTTAATGGAGCTCTGTGTCGTTATTTTTATAAACCAGGGGAGAAGGCGCTGAAGACTTAGATATTGCCTCACCACCTACACTGTCATTTTCGTCTTTGTCCGAATAATGTCCTGGTGATTGAAGGTTTGGTCTAGTTGTCTTTCGAGTCTCTGGAAACCATGCTGCAATGATGGCGGACAATATCAAGGTGACTGCTCCTAACAAAACAAAAGTTACCCATTTGATTTTACTGAGGAGCATTGGAGCTGCAAAGGTAAGACAAGAATTCAAAAACCAGCTAGTCGCCATGCAAAGAGCCATCCCTGTTGATTTTGCAGGAGTGGGCAAAACTTCATTGGTATAAAGCCAAGCACAGCAGGAGAGCGTGGATGCAAATATGGCAACGAACAAAAAACACAGGACTAATATTATCAAGCCGGGAGTCCCCGTTATTTCCCACACAACAGTACTATTGCCGTTAACCGGTGCAACTTCATTGCCCAATGTCCCCATTAGAATTCCAATCAATGCCATAGTGCATCCCAGTGAAATAGCTCCATAAACAATGACCAACTTTCGACGAAGGCGATCCAAGGTTAAGATTGGCACACAAGTAAAGATAACATTTATGAGATACGGAACAGAAGCAGCGCTTAATTTGGCCGCTCCCCGCAGGCCAATCATCTCGCAAATGTAGACCACGTAAAACATTAAAATGTTTATGCCACACGTTTGCACCAGAACCTGTACTGTTATTCCAACAAAGGTGTAGCTCAAAAGCGATTTAGAGAACAGATCCAAACATTTCATTTTCTGATGACCGTAAGTCTCCACCAGATCAATTTTTGTGAAGCTGTTCTTAAGGTTTTCATCCTTGTTGAAATTTTGGAATATAGTCTGAGCACGATCATACTCGCCTTGTGATACTAGCCATTCAGCAGATTCGCTGAGTTTGAAGCTTAGTAACAGGAATATCAGTGCCGGAACCAGTTCTAATCCCCAAGCAACGCGAAACGAAACATGGGTCTCCAAGAAATTGAGAAGAAAGCAGCTAGTAAAGGTGCCCAAAATTGCCAATGTCAGTGCAAATTGCACGATGGAGGTGGCTCTACCCTTTTTATCCAGCGGTATCACTTCTCCGATATAAACTGGCAACAAAACTGACAACAAACCCACAGCCACGCCGCGCACCAGTCGGCCGGCGACAAGCATTGCCACGTTCACCACCAAAGCAGAGATAATCGATCCCACAATCCAAGTTGACGCCACCAATTGGAAGGTCGAAACACGGCCCATTTTATCTGTCAGAAACCCAAAAAGCACGCATCCAATAAATCCTCCCACTGGGTTTGCACCAGTCATCATGCCCTGGGAGATGGGACCGGGATTTTTGAAAAACCTGTTGAAATAGTCCATGCCCAGAAAAACCGACATAGATGATATATCCATCCCCAAGATGGTTCCTGACACCGCCAAAATTGCGATAGTGTGTGGTATACTGTACGTTGTTGTCGACCACATCTTAAGCCCAAAAAGCAGGGATTGCACGAAAATTAATGAATTTCTATGAACACTTCAAACCGCCCAAAAATACTTGCAATAAAAGCTATCTCAAAAGTTTTCTGTGTTCTTGTTGTCGTCGCAGTTTCGATTAAAATGGCGCTCTAAGATCTATTCCTCTATTTTATTCTGTCGCTGACACTTTTAAAGTGTCAGCGACTTGTTGGGAAAAAGTGATTAAGGCTCGTCGTACTTGTACTTGTACTTGTACTCGAGCACGTGGCCTACTGCTAATAGACACGTAAAGACAAAATGATCTAGATTTATATACTCGAATCCATAAGGAATCCACGATGATACTAGATATTCCTTTAACATACCAGTTTTAAAGGTGGGCATCTCGACATCTCACGTCCAAGCTACCCGCAATTGATCGAGTACGTTGCCAATCTCAATGTTCTCCTTATCCCAGAGATTTCAACATATAAGTAACCAGGCCTTGAGCTTCGCCATCTTCGCCGCGGTGTTTGTCGTTGCAACAACCTGGGCACAACTTTACCGGGACAACGTTTTTGAGTTGAGCTCTGTTATAGGAAAAGTGGAACCGTAAGTGCTTACAAACCGCTAAGGAATCGTCTGGAAAAATCCATTTTGCTCTCTTTTTACTAACATTTGATCGTGATTCTCTTCCAGAAGCATTAATGTCAGAACCAGCCGCTACTATGGATCAGTGAACGGTAAACCCAAGGAAAATATACGGCTGACTTTCGATTTGGATGCAGACTTGACACCTCTTTTCAACTGGAACACTAAACAGATTTTTGCATATGTTACTGCCACTTACAATGGGAAGTTAAAGAAAGATGTGAAAAGCGAAGTCACTTTTTGGGATACCATCATCACTGACAAGGCTGATGCTCACATTATATTGGAAAACATAAAATCCAAATACACCATTTGGGATTTGGAGGATAAGATTTCGGAGAGAGAGCTTACTTTCCATCTACATTGGAACATCCAACCTTGGATTGGCACTCTGGTGTATGGAGAGACGACAGGACAAACAATGGTGACCATCCCAGAGCGCAAAGTACCCCCCAAACAAACTAAGAAAGCAGCAGCGGAATCGGTAGCCAAGTGAAATTTTCTATTTTCACTTTTGGCGAGTGCGGTTAGCGAATATCGTTACAATCATAACTATTAGATGCATATGTACAAGTTGTGCGTGACCCTATCTCCCACAAGTAACGAGTTGAAGCTTGTTTTTGAATCAAACTTTCAAAATGGTTCGTCCAGGGCCTTTTTCTCACTTCTCAGTTTAGAGAGGTATGAAGCATGTGCCAACTCAATGCTTTCCCAGCCAGGTATCCTTGTTCTTGGTTTCATCAAGTAACTTTTCATGAAGTATTTGTAATGACTGGTCAGTCGTTTCAATTCGGCCTCAACGTTCTCCAAAGAACCCAAATAAGTGTCCAGTGATTGATTTAGTCTCTCCAAAACGGTGGATTTTAAGTAGACTTTAGGTTGGAAACTAGCCGGGTCTTGACGTTTCTTTTCCAAGAACCAGGGATTCCGGTCGGTTGATGTATTGGCAGCCGCGTTCTTTCTCAATAGCCTGTATTTGTGAACGAGATTAAAACCGTGGATGAGCTTGGAGTCGACTGCCTGCAAGCCATAATCAATCGTTCGCCTGTCTGCGAATAGATTGACAATGGCTTCGTTCCAAGCTTCGTTGTCTATAACAAAGTTTTTGGACGCGATGTCCCTCAAAAGCTCTGGGATTTCGATAACGCAATCTGTGGCCACCAGATGCCTTATTTTGTAGGTTAAGACACCTCTGAGTGACGAGGCCAATTTCTTGTTAGGAACAATCGCGGACGGTTGGCTTTTGTAAAATTTTAGCTTGCCCATATATCTTTCGTAAAGTTTTTGAAAGTCGTCCCATTGGTGAACCTCAGCAGACAGTACCATGAGGCTTCTCAGCACAACGAGATTGCCTGCAGCGACATCAGCCTTGTCGAAAAAGAGTTCGTTATACTTGTTCATCAATTCGATAGCCTTCATAGGGCTATGGAATTTCGCAGCTGCCCGCATTGGCCATGCCATCACTGAAGGGTGAAGTTTTTCGAAGGTTATGTCCAGCGCCCTGTTGGCGGATCGACTCATGATGTTTTCAACAAAGTCTATCGCTTCTGTCAGATTTTCCTTCGATTTTAGCCTCTTCGTGAACGTAGCTTTAATCACGTAGTATAGTATTTTGGAGCTAACGGGAACGTTGTTATCCAAAATTTTTTGGTATAGCTTAAGAACCGCGTCGCGATTGGAAATTTTATCAAAAGCACCCATTATGACTTCAAAATGCGATGGCGAGGCCTTCAGATAAGGATGATGTAGGAGTTGGTCCAAAACATTGTCAGCGGTCTCAAAATCTTTCTTGAAAAAAGTAAGATGTTTGAGCATCACCGTGTAAAATTCGGAATCTGCTGCAATGTTTTTTTGCAGAACGTCATCAAATATTTTCTCGCATTTGTCCATGCGATTCATACGCATATAAGCTTCCGCCGCCTTATTATAGATGGCAATGCTATTTTCCAAAGGACGAGGCAAATCTCTGTATTTCTTGAAAAGCCTTATGGCACGTTGGGGCAAATCACTTTCGATGTAAACATGAGCCAGCGATGCGATCGAAGTACCCGTCGGAGTAATGTTATAATGCCCTATCATGACTTGGAAGAGCTCCTCTGCAATAGCATAGTTAGTGGTTTTCGCACAGGTCCCAATTATGATAGCGAAATGTTTTTCTGACATTTCCACACCCGAATCAGTCATTTTTTTCAAAAACCTAAGCGATCCATCGATGTCGCACAGGTTGCGGTACACACGCAACATGGTTTGACAGGTGGAAGCTGTGGGCCTGATTCCGTATTTGTTGAAAAGCTCAAAATGCTCGAAGCAGCCGCTATAATCACCACGTTTATAATGTACAAGTAGAAGGGCCTGAAGCACAGGCAAAGTTGGGATCATTTTTCTGTTTAGAAGCTGACGGTATAGCTTATCCACCATCTCTTTTTCACCCAAGACCGCGACTGAGAACATCACAATGCCGTAATGGGCTATACTGGGTAGCTCACCTACTCCGAACAATGCATTGAATTGATTCTGGAGACTTTGCCAGTCCTGCTGTTTGGCGTAAGCAATCAATAAATAGTCAAATTGGGAATCGTCGTGAGCTTCAGGAAACTGTGAATGCACTGTATCAACAAGAGAAAACTTTTGGAAATGACAGTAGGTTTTACAAATCTGGGTAAGGTCTGAAGTTGTGATGGGAAGTTTCTTTTCGATCTTGTAGTCCCATAGTGTCTCTGTGAGATCGAAATCCCTGTTGTAAGTTGTCAAATACATTAGCGTCGATGTGAACTGAGATGCGGCAAGCGGGCCCTGCGTTTTGTCTATCAATTTTACAGCATCTCGAACCGCGTTCACATCTAGTTTATGGGCTCGCAGGAAAAAAAGAAGCGTCTTCAAAAACGCTTTGTCGTTGTCATAATTCGTGAAGTTCGCGTGTCCCTCTAAAAACCTGTATAGCTTCACCCATATGAGCAGAGCTTCAGACGGGCCATAGCACAGGGACGCCTGTGTGAATGTGGAATTTACCACGCTCAGAACCATGCTTTTTCTACGCAGCGAAAACTGCCGCATCAGCTGAAACATATTGTGTGTCAGCTGCATGGTTCTACCCGTCGCAACGAGTGATGCAAAGTATTTTTTCAGTTCCGCACCAGAAACGTTATCTCTAAAGTTTTGGTTGGAGTCGAAAAGTGCAGAGTTGGCCACTGTCAACAAGTCCCGGTGAGCTCCGCGTCTATACAGCGCTTGAATCAGCGTTGCACGTTGTCGTATGGTAAGTGGCTGTTTTGGTTTTCGCACGAACGACAGGACAATGTTGAGCTCTTTTGTTTGCAGCGGCGTGCACGGTGTCTGATGCTCGCTCATCACAATTTGCTCAATTTTTTTGGGAATCCCACAAGCCGCATTTCTCAAGTCTCGTCGGCTCAATTTGCCGCCATACAGTGGCAATGTTCGGAAGATACTAGTTTTTAAGCCATTCATCTACCGTTCAACTACTTAATTTCTCGATATGCATAGGTCGAAATGGTCGAAATAGTCGAAAAATTGTCCAAAATTCGTCGTTTGAAGTTGCTCAAAAGTCCCTTGTTCAGCTTTCTTGTATTTAGCGTAAGTTTAATCGACCTTGAATAACGCTAGACACTCTTTTACGGGTCTTTTCAACTGGTTTTGGTGCTCAAAAGTTGTTAAAGTTGTATGTGTTCTATTATGATTTTTACTTTGAAAAATGTCAAAATTAAATAATTAGTATTGATAAAGCTAGCTCATCGCTCATCTCATCGAGTACTCATCGGTCTTCAACATCAAGATATACCACCACATAAGCTCAAGAAAGGTTGAGTTTAAGACGAATATGGCACCAAGAGTCGAGAAAAAGCATAGTAAAGAGTACAAGGTTCACGAGATCCAAAAAAACCTGGTCAAAAAGGCCCGGTTGAGGAAGGAATACCTGAAAGTTCTGAAAGAAGAAGGTTTCTCAGCTCCTGAGAAAAAGGCCAGCGAGGCAAAGCTAAGCTTCAAGGAAATGAAGGAGAGAAATGCGTTGGGGAACCGCAAAAGAGTGGACGAGAAAAAAGAGCTGAAGAAATTGCGTGGGAAGCAGCAACGGGAAAAGACCATAAATCGTCAGCAGCGCGAGAGGGAACGGCTTGAAGAAATAAAGGAAAAGGAGAAACAGAGAGGAGTCCGGTCCTCAAAGGTAACGCAGCGTACCCGCTCGGGACAACCGAAGATGGGCCCCAAAATTGAAGATCTGCTGGGCAAAATCAAATCGGACGATACATACACTCGTTAAACCAGCGCGACAAATGGAGGTGAGCTTTTGCTGCTGTTCTTTCTTTTGTAACATATATGCAGCTTCTCTTGAACTTACGGGCTATTTACAAATATTTTGTACAGGAATAGAATCATTTTGGAACATTATTATGAATGGGCTTCTTCGTGAATTAATCGGTCAGAGTAGTACCGACTTTTTCGCGCGCAAGCTCACTTCTTTTGTTGCTGTTTTTTCTCGAACTCAGAGATCAATTGTTTCTGCAAGTGAGGAGATGTGGGAGAATAGTGTTTGAACTCGAGAGAAAACTCACCCTTACCCTGGGTCGAAGATCTCAGCGACGTGGCGAACCCGAAAAGGGTGTTGAGCGAACATTCCGCGCCGATGGTGAATTCATCTTGACCGTTCTCGGTGTCTTGGATGACCGCTTGAAGCTTGTTTAGCAAACTGATCACATTACCTTGAAATTCGTTAGGCGCCGTCACTGTCACCGTCATAACGGGCTCCAAAATAACGGGTTTGGCCTCCAAAAATGCTTGCTTGAATGCCGCCATGGTCGCAGTCTTGAAAGCCAATTCGTTGGAATCGACCGCATGAATAGCACCATCGTTGATCAGCATGTGAGCAGACAAGACGCGGTGGCCAATCAAGGGTCCCTTTTCACAAGCTTCCTCGAAACCTTTACCACAGGCAGCCAAGTATTTATCAGGAATACGTCCACCAACAATTGCAGTTTCGAACTGGTTCCCATTTGATCCTTCCAGAGGGCTCAAAGATCCCATAACTCTACCGTACTGACCGGCACCACCAGATTGTTTCTTGTGAGTATAATCGAATTCCGCTGGAATAGTGATGGACTCTCTGTAAGAGACTTGAGGCTTCCCCGTAACACAGTCGACATTGTACTCACGCTTCATTCTCTCAACGTAAATCTCCAAATGCAATTCACCCATGCCTGAAATAACCGTTTCCTTAGACTCTGCATCAAAGCGTACTCTAAAAGTGGGGTCTTCTTTCTGGAAACGATTCAACGCTTTAGAAAAGTTTGTCGAGTCCCTAGTCGTTGGGGTGATGGAGAGCGATATGACAGCATCTGGGACATACATCGAAGACATTGAATAGTCCAGTGTACCATCAGTGAAAGTATCACCAGAGGCACAGTCGATACCGAATGTAGCACAAATTTCACCAGAACCAACTTCATCAACATCTTCCATATCATTGGAATGCATTCTCACAAGACGGGAAACCTTGACTTTTTTGCCAGTCTTAACATTCGTAATGTACCCGCCCTTCTTCAACCGTCCTTGGTAGACACGGATGTAGGTCAACTGACCGTATTTTCCTTCTTCCAACTTGAAGGCTAAACCGACAAAGGGCTCCTTGACGGAGGGAACCAAGTTGACCTTGGTTTCGTTTTTGGACACGTCGAGCGCAGTATTAAGAACCTCAGATGGGTTTGGTAGATAGTCGACAATGGCATCAAGTACGGGCTGCACGCTTCTATTGGCCAGCGCTGAACCCATAAGTACAGGGGTAAACTTTCTAGCAATAGTCGCTCTGCGAATAGCAGCTTTGATCTGTTCAACAGAAGGCGTCTGCTCTTCCAAAAAGATTTCTGCTATTTCATCATCAACATCTGCCAAAGTTTCAATGAGCATCGCTCTTCTTTCCTCAACAAGGTCGTTCAGTTCAACTGGAACCGGACCGGTGACAATTTGTTCACCCTTAGCACCTTCATTGTACAAAGCAACGCGGTCGATGATGTTCACAACACCCTTCAAATTGGACTCTGAGCCGATAGGAACCTGAAGAGCAGCTGCCGGGGTCTTGAGCTTCTTATTGATTTGTTCGATGGCCTTGAACGGATTTGCACCCATACGATCCATCTTATTGATGAAAGTGACTCTGGGAACATTGTACCTTCTCATCTGACGGTCCACAGTGACTGTCTGAGACTGAACACCAGAAACAGCACACACCACTAGCACGGCACCATCCAGAACTCTCAGCGCACGTTCAACTTCAATGGTGAAATCGATATGGCCCGGAGTATCAATCAAGTTGAAACGGTATTGCTGGTCATCTTTGTCCCACGAACAGTATGTAGCAGCCGACTGAATTGTAATACCTTTTTCTCTCTCCAAGTCCATGGAGTCCATTTTGGCACCAACATTGTCACGACCTCTAACCTCGTGGATAGCCTTGATCCGTCCTGTGTAGAACAAAACTCGCTCTGTGAAAGTAGTTTTACCCGAGTCGATATGAGCCGAGATACCAATGTTACGCAAACCCCTCGAGGTAGTTCGGTCCTCATCTGTCAAAGTAACGGCCATTTCATCCAGAACTGCCTTCTCCTCCTCGTAGGTCCGGAGGATGCTTGATGCATGAATTTGGCGATGAGCTGCGAAAGCATGTTTTCCGCCATATTCCAACGGTTTCGACCGCCAAAAAGGCTTGGAGGTATTTAAAGCACCCAGTGCGGTCCGCCTCAGGATAAACATTAAGCCGAAGACCTTCTCCTGCCAGAGTTTTTGACTTTATTTGAACTTACCTATGATCGATCTTCAAGTTCCTGTCATGCTAAATTTTTCTGTTCATTATTTCAAGATTCGTAGTAAGTGCCATCAACACTATGGCATGGAAACTCATTGGAAGATAGGTAAAAGTCGACCAATTCCTATACCGCTATCCTCCGATGATCATCTTGTTTCTTCTGTTTCGTCAAGTATATTGAGTAGCTTGTGGTACATGACTTGATCGTTTTGGGTAGACTCGCTCAATCCGTACTGCACAATTGTAAAAATGCCCCATATGCCAACCATGCACGAGACGGCAAATGCAATGTAACCTTTCAAAGTAAAGCCGTCCGGCAACGGTTTTGGCTGTCGTGGCAATCCTGCTAAGTTGAGCCAATCTTCTTCATTACCGGCGGCATTTCCTGAAAGTGGGTAGTTGCCCGCGGAACAGACCTGTTTAAAGCTCTCAGATAATACTTCTTTCTCTCTCAAGACCAAGGGCGCTTCGACGAAAACTGCTGCAAGACCTTGCTCCAAATGCCAGTCCACGTGGCAGTGGAAAAACCAGATACCGGGGTTGTCAGCGACGAAACGCAGAACAATATGACCATTAGGCTCTAACACCACAGTGTCTCTTTGCATCGGTATTTCAGGATATGGCATCAACGGAGCGGTTTCGTTGTAAGGCACCGGTTCTCCGCTGTCGAGTTCGTCTTTCGAATTCTCCCCGAGAAACGCTTGTGATTTTTGTACTATCTGAAAGTTGTGTCCGTGCAAATGGAATGGATGTCTTCCATCATCGTAATTGTTTATTACGACTTCGATCACCTCCCCATGCTCGAGAACAAAGGCGTTCACATTGTCACCATAAATTGCAGGATTCTTGGCCAAGTCCTCTGGCGCAGAAAGTGCAGTTATTAAAGTTGGCACTTTGGGAGCAACATACGTGATGTTGTTGAAAAACGCGTAATTTTTACCGTCCCCGAGATTGTCCATCTTGACATCCAAAGATATCTGGTAGTCGTAATCGGAAAGAAGTTCTTTTCCAGCCAAAGGCGTCAAGAAAAAATCGTTCGTAACTGCCGAGAAAGAGTCAATAAAATACTCTTTGGCTCGAGGAGCGTTTTCATCGTAAATTATCTGGTTTGTGCGGTTCAAAACAAGATCAGAAGGCACTTCATCTAACATTGTTTCGTCCATGATTTGCATAAGAGCGTAGTTTTTGGAGGCGTGGGAATGTGATTTCACCAGGACTGACATTCTTTGACCAGGCGCTAAATATAAGAGGCTCGTGGTGCTGGGATTTGTGTAAATGCCATCGACTTCAACAATGGTGAAATCGTGGTCTTCCATGTAGAGATATTGCGAGATAAAATTTCCAACGTTGATGAAACGCAGTAGATATACGGTATCAGGATCGAAACTTAGCGATGCGTTCACCGTGTTATTGAAAAGAATATTTTGCGGGATTGGCTCCGCACCTGTGGGGTTGTACCTAGTCAAAAACTCGTCCATAACCTCGTAGTAAGGTTTGTGGTAATGATCTCCGATCTGGATAACTTTTTCCTCATCGTATTGAAAAGGTTCATCCTCATCGTGCACAATAAGTGCGGTTCGCATACCATCTGTATACTGGGCACCGGAATGAGAGTGAATCCAGTATGTTCCGACTTGGTTGACAACCGTAAAATTGTAAACGTATGTGTCACCAGGCATAATCGGACATTGCGTGACCAGTGGTGGCCCGTCCATCTGATTCATGTTCTCGTCTGCTTGACGGTGGAAAAATCCATGGAAATGTAAGGAGGTGGGTATATCTTCAAATCCGTTTGTGAGTCTGACGATCAGTCGATCGCCTTTGTTGATGTGGATCTCTGGAATGGGCCATTCTCCGTTGAATCCAATCATCATTCGTTCTTTCACGCCATCGGGATTTCTTGCCACCCATCCTGTAGTGAAGTTGTATTCATGTGTTGTTCCTGTTGCTACAGCAAGTCGTGCCAACAGTAGTAAATCTGTTAGCAGCGCAAATACTCGTAAAATCATGCCGAAAAAAGCGTTATGAAGGCCAGATCAAGCAGTTTTTAGGTCGCGCGGCTTTCGAACAGTGGTATTGACGAAATATAGTGAAGATGAGAAGATCAACTTGTTCTTTGGCGGTATCTCTTAGGTTTGAGCACAAACCTGGGTGGAATTATATTTCATTGTCATAGTCGGCATCTGCGTCACGTGACGCTTAAATTGAGGAACAGTGATGAGCTCTGTCATGATAAGATACAGTGATCACTATGTCAGCGTTTTGGCCTTAGGAAGAGCAGGATTTGGTTGACGGGATTCGAATGCAAGTATAAGGAGCCCTCACTACAGCTTATGGGAATTAATTCACTATTTTGAATTGAAGGTTGGTGATTATTTATTTTCTGGAAAAATGTGGGAATGACGAGAACAGAAAGTTACATTTATCAACAAAGGTCCAGCACGCACTCAAGCTGTTTTCATGGGATTATGTTGCTCTTAGTAAAAAAATTTGTGACCTCGTTGTGGGTTGATAGTTGATTTACAGTTTCCAAGCGATATGAGTGAAATATAGGAGAAGATACGACTTGAAGTTTTAAATGAGACTTTCCGAGACGAGAAAATTTGCTGACAATGAAAGCCCACACTGATTCAGATATACCCAAACAAAGCAACTATTTGTTTTGGTAGCGGGCTTCTTTTTGGGAGATACTTACAATTTCCTATCCATTTTGTTCTGTCGCTGACATTTATCATGTGACACACTTTGGAAATCTCAAGTGAAGCCGCTGTCATCCGTGAGAGGAGCTATAGGATCTATAAAGCACGGAATGTTCAATGAGTAGAACACTCTCATTACACTAACCGCAACTCTTTTATTTGCCAGTCCGTTTTTAGTCTCACTCTGTACTAAGTTGGTTTGAAAATACTGGCTGGCTGGCTAGCTATTTAGAATATCTTTATGAGAGAAGACCTTTTTAGGAGTTACGAAATTTATACACGTATCTTCCGGCTTCTTTTAGCGTAACTTCAATCTTCTAATGACTCGAGCTTTTAGAGGGCAATTCTGTAGCTCGGATCCCAAAATTAAGAGGAACGCAAGTATCCAATAAAAGTTCCATATCGACTCCCGTATACGGCAAAAATAGTCACAAGCTTCTGCATGAGGAGAAAAAGCTACATTCTCCCAATACCTTATTCAGGCCCATCGATAATTGTCTTGATAACATCGGAGCCAGACTTGGCGTTGAACTCATATGCCTCAACTGCGTCTTTGAACTTGTAACGGTGCGTCACTAGCGGCTTGACGTCAACGTCTCCTTTAGAAATCAATTGCACTGCGTCTCTGTAGTCTCCAAACGCATACCTAAAGCAGCCCAAAACCTTGAGTTCCTTAGGACCGATTGCACTAATAGGAAAGTTCACGTCTGGCTTGCCGGAACCCACCTGGACGTAAGTGCCTCCGGTCTTGCATACCTTGATACCGGTCCTGATACATATTTCAGCTCCCGAACAGTCAAAGACGACTTCCGGCTGCTGTGCGTCCAATTCCTTCACAATCTCTGCAACCAACAGCTCTTCGTTTTTGAACTGAGAAGAGTTCACGAATTTGGTGCCACCGAATTTCGACGACAACTTCAACTTGTGCTCGAAAACATCGATGAAGATCACTTCAGTGGCACCAAAAGCACGCGCCACAGCTCCGGTGAGCAAGCCAACGGGACCAGCCCCGAAAACAGCGACTTTTTGATTGAACGACACATGGGCCAGCTTGTTGGCATGTACACCGACCGACAAAGGCTCCACCAGTGCACCTTCCTCCAGAGACACGTGATCTGGTAGCTTAACTACAAAGTCTTCTGGAGCCAGGTAGTATTTGACCAAGGTGCCGTCATAGGGAGGAGTAGCAGCGAAAGCCATCTCTGGGCACAGATTGTAACGGCCTTCTTTGGTTTCGTCGGAATATCTGCTAGGAATGCCAGGTTCAATTGCAACTCGATCGCCCACTTTCACGCTGGTGACTGCACTTCCGACTTCGGCAACAACACCGCTGGATTCATGGCCTAGAACCATAGGCTTGGTTACCACAAAATCGCCAATCGCTCCTGCAACATAGTAATGAACGTCGGATCCACAAATACCAGTTTTTTTGATTTGCAATTTCACAAAATGTGGGTCTTCAATCTTAGGAACTGGTCTACTTTCGATTGATATGTGGCCCTTAGATTTTAGAACCACTGCCTGCTGAGTTTCTGTCATGTTTTGCTCAAAGTTGTCGATAAATTGATGTTTTTCGTCGTTCTCGAAGCACTTTTTCCGACTGAGAGAACCATGAGACTATTTCCACCATCCTTGTCCCTTATATATCACCGTTTATTCCATTTCGTCAACATTTGCTCGGACTAGCGCATCGGTTGCTATAAAAAGGGCATCACGAGAACGTTAACCTCCTGTTGGCCCTATAGGAACGAAAACATCGAAAGGAATTTTTCAACCACGTGACAGGAAAAGGAAAAGTCGGCTCGAGAAGAGCAGGACTAAGTTTGATTGGACACAGCTTGAAAGTGGCCCAGAAAGTAGTGACTCCATCTTGATTTCAGAATTGAATGAGTTTTTGCAGTTCCTATTGGTGCTAATTGATTCGACCAAGTTGCTCAGCACTTTATATGGCAATTGCAGATTTTATCTCAATTCGAAAAAAAGTGCGTCATTAAACGCAGTCGACTTTCAAAACGTCATGAATATCGCCGATCACAGACGCTATGTCTACAGCATCACAGCAGACCCCATCTGTGAGCTTGATCAAAGAAGTGGCCTTGGTGCGCTTAGGCGAATTGAGAGTCGAAATTTCGTCACCAGCGATTATGGACGCACTGTCAACCATGAAAACCATGTTGCGGACCTTGTGGACCAGTGGATATGCCGGGCTTTTAGTGGAAATATGCTCGTCCTCTGCAAAATGAACAAAGTATCGTAGCTTCTTGGACCCATTCAAAAACACGTTGCGCAATTCTATCATGAGCGTGATTTTGGTATTGGTCTGATTATTGTAGTAGATTAATTCATATTCGGAAAGGTTGTGCAGCTGTAGAGATACCGTGGTGTACTCGTTTTGAGACTTTACGGGACTGCCGGAATTGGTCAAAATCGACTCCAAGACGCCGAAAAAGCCAGACGTGAATTGCAGGTAGTTGAACACGAAGTGATAGTCCAGTTTGTTGGACTCGATAAAGGGTTGGAAGATGTGCTGTGGGTTGCCGGGCGATAGCTTTATGTCCAGATTCTCAACGCTGTGATCATTGGTATGAAGAAGGATCCGACAATCGTACCGATCTTTGCTGTTCTTCAGATATTTGAAAGAAATTTCATTAGGTTTCGATGCCACAATACTGAAATTTTCGGAGTAGAAACCGTGTAGCTCTTCGATGACGTCCGTCAAAGTCACAATTTGCATCAGTTTCTGCTTGAATGTGTTGAAATGCTGCACGATGTCGCCAAGATCTGTAAAAGCTTCCGACATGTAGAATGAAAGCGCACCTTCTCCCGTAAAATGCAATAATGTTTCATTGTACTGGTTTCCTATAGCCTTGCAGTTCTGTCTGAACTTTCCAAAAAGCTTGATTTCACTGACATGGTAGTCGACCCGCAGGAACAGTGTATTTTCTAAAATATGCTTCAAAGCAGATGAACCTCCAATGAAAGATTCCAATTCTATGCCCAAAATAGACGAGTGATGAGATTGATCCTCAGGCAAGATATAAGTCGGTATTGAACCCAACTGCTTTCCAGAACATATTCTGTTGCGCATTTTGAGCCCGTTTAGCGAGTCGATGATCGTATGGTCGACTATCGTATGCAGGCTTGTTTTCTTCAAGTGAATTATCTTTTGGTAGGTCATGGACTCCAACTTGAGCGTCGAAGCATTCTCATTGTCGAGATACCTGAGTTCCCAGCTGCCTTTTGCCGCAGCGATCTTTCCTATTCTCTTTTCAATTATGCAAGTGGTGTTGGACGATATCACGCTGAGAATGAGATACCAATTAGAAGGCCAATTTTCGAGTCTGATGAACATATCTCGAAACAAGATTTTCTTTTGCGCCCAGCTGGGGTCTCTAGAGACCGGCGCGTCAAGCTGAACAACATTATTAGAGGTCCAGCCAACCTTCTCAAACATGTTTCGTAAAATTGAGATAATCTTGTCCAATTTGAGCTTATTGAGGACTTTGACAAAGTCCTCAGTTGTGCTTGTCTTATTCATCTGAGTGATGTAAAATGTCAATAAACTGCTGGGATTCCGGACGTAAAAAACTCCGCTAATTGTGTTAATTTTTATTTGGATGGGGATAACCGACGTAGGAGTAGAAGGAACATTGAAAAGTAGAGCATCTGATATTTCCTCATCTTCTTGCAACGCTCCGGTAGATAACAATTCTGTCTTTATCATTTGTGAGTGATTGAACATTATCTCGTCCAAAATGTTTCCCAAGTTGCTCAACACGTTCGTGTATCGCACAGGAACCACAATTTCTCCCTGAATGGCCTCTTCGATATTCCATCTCAGAATAATGCTTCCTGAAGCCTCTTCCACACCGATGACAGCATTGCATTTGCCCTTGAGTCGACTATTACACCAATACCTGAGATTGATAGTTGTCTTCCGAGAATCGTAATGGTGCACCAAGTTACCGCCGGCATACTTGCTGTTGGACTCTAAACTCAAGAGTTCTGCATGTATCATGTACATCTGGACCGATAGAATGTAGTTGTGGAGAAGCTTGTATAATGCAAAGAGCGGTTTTGAGCTTTTGAACAGCACCTCATTGATGACCTTTTCAAGCTTGTACTTGTTCAAAGGCAAAGCCTCATTGAACAATAACTTCAGATCGACAAAGAAAAGTGGAGATGCTTGGTCAGTTGTAGATAGCTGAACCTCAAATTCGTCCTCGACCACAATGTAGAGCCTGCCATCGTTGACAGAGTATTGTCTGAACTGGTCGGGAATATCCATGAGTGAAATTTTTACCGATAAGATGATGTTCATATCCCGTAGTGTCTTTAAAATAAGCTTGGGAGGGACAATCGATTTTTTGACGCCTTCTTCGACTCCCTCCTCGCCGCTGAGTGTGAAGTTGTGCGACGGCAGATTGGGTCTTCCCAGGGTAAGGACTTCCAAAGCTGTGATGAGGTCCGGGTTGGGCAACTTGGCGTTTGTCATGCCTGCCAGACTAGCTTTCAGAGCCCATATGCAGTTGTTGACGGTCATATTGGAGCCGCGGAACCAATTTAGCAGATCGATCATTGTGTTGAAGTTATTGTTCTTGAGAGTACGGCACCATTTCACCAAAACGTAAAGTTTGAGGAATTGGTTTCGCAAAAATATCACCAGCTGCAGAAATGATGTTTTTTTCGCACTAGGATCCTGGTTGGAGTGCACATTGGTCTTGAAAAATTGTGTCACTTCTTTCATGGAAAACACAGTTAGGTTTCGAATCAGCAGCGCCAGCGGTTCCTGATTCACCGCCACATGCGGAAGCTCACACGGTTCTGACCTTGCAATCTTTTTCACAGTATCACCAGTGGTGTGTTTTTTGATCTCGTTACCATTCATGGACTCTTTGCTGGTCATTTCTCCTGCTTTGAGCCCGTTACTTACGCTCCCCACTGTCTGCCTCTGAGGACTGACCAGCCCGTTGTTTTGCAGCATGCCAACCGTTGTTGTCATCCAATTGCTGGTGGATCCACCTTAGAACTGTAAGTCAGTGCAGTGTCACAGGTCCGCAAACCTTCTGGTCCCGGTTCAGATGTTCCTAACCTTTCAGAAAGTTTAGTTATAGGTCTCTTCAGGCTATATGTTAGAATGAATTATTACAGTAGATATAATGATGGACGATACTAGATGATGATTTGAAGTTCACAATTGACCACTTTTAGGTCGAACAAAGAGTATAAGAGTAACGATATTGGGCTTCTTGCATTGACTAATAGCTTCCCAGGGTAGAAATTGTGATTTGGCGGTTTAGTGTGACTGCAGAGTGAGTTTTTTGGGTAAGATTGAGCCGTTTTGGACTAATTACATCAAGCTCTGGCATAGCTGTACAAAACATACAGGAAAGGGGAAAACCAGTTGGCAAAAATCTGTAGAAGGTTGCTAGTAAGAATAAGAAGGACAGGATTAGCAGACTAGTGGATTTGCCGAGATAAAAAGGCTTCAGAGGGTCTTTGTTGTTTGAATTATAGACTGGTAAAGGGCCAATCTATTAGCTATTAATTTCTGATTAAAGGTGTGTATAGACACTACACCCAAAAGCCAAGATACTCACTTCAACTTGGCAAGAACCCAGTTTCTTTTGAAAAAGCCAGTTACTTGTCAGATTTACAATTAAGGCTCTAATCTCGATTGAATTACCAGGATCCGCAATTGTATGGGTGCAATTGACGTGCTTCTTACTTTACCAACGTTCGAATGTCAAACTCGGACTTTGATAATTGGGAACCTGTCGACGACAGCGAAGAGCACCATGCACGCGACGATCGAAGCCCAAGTGAGTCCTCTGCTACCTTAATGCCTTCCGAAAATAACACCTCAGACCAACACAAAATGTCCCGATCGCCCATCAGGTCCCTTCAGAATTCCAGCCGGAACTCCATCACCTCCGTCGACAATACAGGTTTGAAATCGTCTCCAGCGGACCCACAGCTTACCGCGCTTGATCCCATTGCTGGGGTCAACAGCCCGTCTTCTAAAAACGGATCTGCGCTCAATTCTGTCAATCAGATCATTGGGTCTTCAAAAGAAGCAAAAGAGTCAAAAGAACTACCAATTCCTGAGAGTGAAGAGGAAGTAGCGAACAACTCATTTTTCAACAACATGCTCACGTCTTTCAACTTCAAAGGATCGGCGTCTACGCCCGCCAAGCCACTAACACATTCAAGAGCAAGCTCAGAGTCGGGGACGCAAGCCTTGCCCAACATAATATCCCACCGCAAGGCTACGCCTACCAGAAAATCAAGACGATCTATCAGTAACGAAAGCAACGTTCCCACTTCCCCGCTGAGAGAGATGGAGAAGCCAGATGCATTGGTTTCCGAGTTCAACCGAAAGCTTTATGTTGACGAGCGGTTTTCTGGCACGAGTTATCATTATGCCATTGAAGAAAGAAATGCCGAACTCCATAAAATATTCAAGTCGGTGCCGGATGGCGACCGTCTTCTCGATGACTTCAGCTGTGCGCTTAGCAGGGAATTTTTGTTTCAAGGAAGAGTTTATGTCACAGAGGCCAACATATGCTTTAATTCGAATTTGCTAGGATGGGTTACTCATATCGTCATCTCAATGACAGACATAATCTTGATGGAAAAGACGTCTACTGCAGGACTTTTCCCAAACGGCATATCTATTGAAACGCGCCTAGGAAAGCATCAATTCGTTAGCTTCATTTCGCGCGACACGACCTTTGAGTTCATCAAAACAGTCTGGCAAAAATACAAAGAACGTTCCCTGGGTGATGGCGTCCTAGTAAATAGTACCACAGAGTCATCGAATGCCCTAGGGAAACTCCGAAGGTCTTACAGTGATCTCTTAGCCACTACTTTGGACAGAGCTCCTTCCTATGAGCCGCCCAGTCGCTCGTCCATCATTAGCGAGAACGATGCGATTATTGAGGATGCCATCCTTTCTGTAGATGACATCATTCCCACAATTGTCATGAATAGAGAGGGTCAGCCCGATGGTGATGTTGGTCTTGATGATGACGACGATGACGATTACGAAGATGATGATAGTGATGAAGACGGCGACGGAGAAGATGAAGAACTCAGAAGGAGAGGCGCTGGAAGTGGAAGAAGTGAGGCGGAAAAGGGAGCTCTCTTGCTGGAAAAAATTCGTTCGGATTCAGCTGCCACCAGTATCTCGTCTCTCAAAAGCAGGTTGCCATCTGACCAGAAAGCTTTTAAATTCAAGCCTGATAGTGGTTTTGAATATGATGGGCCCAGAGCCTTAAGGGAAACACAGTTTGCCTATGAACCAGAAAAGAACAATGAGATGATCTTGGCAGACAAAGATTTCAACGCCCCGCCGGGAGTCATTTTTCAATTGATTTTCAGTGAAGGCAAGCCCGATTTCTTGGTGGAATTTTTGACTAGCCAGAATTCCTCTAATTTTTCGGCTATTGGCGCTTTTGAAAGAACGAATGAAAACGGCGAGAAGTATCGGGAGTATACCTACTCAAAAGCTCTAAACTTCTCAGTGGGCCCTAAATCTACGAAATGCGAAGTCTCAGAAACTCTTCTAAATTTGGATTACAACGAGTGTATCAATGTTGTCAATGCAACAAAAACTCCGGACGTTCCCAGTGGGAATAGCTTTGTGGTCAAAACTAGATATATGCTACGCTGGGCATCTGAGTCCACATGCAATTTGAAAGTTTCGTTTTGGATTGAGTGGACCGGCGGAAGCTGGATCAAATCGATGATCGAGAAAAGCTGCAAAGCTGGCCAGGTTCAGGCCACAGACGCTTTGATAATTCTTCTAGAGAAGTATGTGCAAAACTTTGTTACTTCAACGTCTACTGCTAGTCCCACTTTTGAAGGAAAGCGGAAGAAACAATCTAAAGCCAAGCGTTCTATCGACAGCGTTAAAGACTCAGAGAAGCCAGTTTTGATGGTATCTGAAGCGGCAACTGTTATCCCCTCGGCGACTACCACTCCGCAAACAGAGCCTTTTTTCCCTTCTTTTACGAATGTGTTATTGTTCGTGAACATCGTCTTATTTTTGTGCTTGATTTGGCGCCAGGAGCGCATTTTCAGTCTAGTTCAGCGAAGTGTAGGGATTCAATCAGCTGAAAGCGTGGCGGCTGTCGATCAAATGTTGTCCCACTTCAAAAGCCTTTTCGACGCTGACGCTGATGATGTTTTGCCCAGTGGCTCGGGTGCAAACAAAAATGCTCAAAGGTATACGCTAAAGAGCTGGATCGATAAGCACAGTGGGAACGAAGAGGCTTTGGATTTTAATTTACACAAGAAGAGGCAGTATCAACGATACATGAGGTACATTGTAGACCAAGTGCTTGATGAAGAGATGTCCGTCAGCGAAACAGAGGACTTTTTGAGCAGGTTGAATAAACTCATGACCGTGGTCAAAGATACTAAGAAGAAAAGTGGTAATGTTGATGCATGCGAACTACAAAATGCTCTAAATTATTTGATTAATGCATGAGTTGCGAGCTATTCTTAGAATCGCAGTATTACTTTACCGACTAAAGTTTTCATTTAGGATGCATAGAACGGATGGCTAAGTTGAGGCAGCTCGGGGTATACGAGTGTTGCTTCTTTTTGATTGAATGCCAATGCCGATCTCTCATTGTTGCGTTGTAGTACCGAGATGGATTGCTTGAATCGGGCTTCGCTAAAAGTTGACGGAAGTTCGATTTTTTCCAGTTTTTCTCTAGAGAATGTTCGTGGTCGAGGAACGTTGGACGCCAGCGACTTTCCCTGTTGTGCAAATGATTTTTCAAGTTGGATCCTCAGGTCTTCTGAAATCCTGAGAATGGCAGGAACTTCCAATTTCAGCAGCTGCAAGAAACCTTCTCTGGCTAGAGCACGGTCTGGATCAGCTTGAAGCGGGAGCGTGTGCAGATCTGGGTGAGCAGGCAGCTTTTTGGTGCATAGATCCAGATAGCGAAGATACATCACGTAAGAGCGTTGCAAATTACCCAATTGGAAGGATTGCTGTGCTTCCTCCAACAGACTGACGCATGTTTTCAAGTACAGTTTCAGCGGCACTCTGGGGTTGAATTTGTAGTCCGATGCCAATTGGCTCAATTGGTGACAAGTGCTCATCATATTTGGTATCCTCATGCAAAATTTTATTGTCGAGGCTATGGCCCCCAAAAAATGATGCAATTGTTCCGAGTTTGAACTGCAAAATAGTTTGAAAGCGCTTTTCCAATATCGTCTAGGTCCAGGCTGGCTTGGTCTATCAATCCGCTTATGTTGTGCTCGAGAGCCCTCGAGTGAAAAAAATTTGACGCTTTTGACGATGCGATGAGCTAGGTGCTTATTTTATGCGTCCGTTCTCTGGCGACATAATTATCTTAAACGGGCAGGAAACGAAAAAATGAAAAAAAGTCAAGATCATACACCGAAAGGCCAGACATTGGCCTCTGTGATATTTGAGATTTGTTGTAGTCAGAAATTCACGGTTTCCTGACAGGCTATTTTACGTCGAACTTGGTCGGTTCAGAAAACTAAAAAATTGTAAATGAAGCGTTTTTCCATAAATGCCAGACGAACGGAACGCAGCTACTAGGACTAAATTCCATGTACCTCAACTGTGAACTCCGCTCAATTTGGCTAGGGACCCTGTTATCGTCTTGGAACCCGTAATTTGACTACGCGTCAGGGTTAGAAACTACGAATTTAGTTTTTTTTTTTGGAAGCAAAGAAAAGCCTAACTGCTGCACAATCAAATGTGTTGGTTTATGGAATTTATGGGATTCATGTTGAGTTTATATCCACGCAAGTCAGAACCGCTTCCACGATCTTGCCAGCATTGACATGATCACTCGCTGAATATACTCACGCCCATAAATGAACCATTTCGTCAGTAATGAGCGATGCAAGAAATGCTTATTAGATATAATGCTTCTCTACACTCAACAGTAACTTTCAGCACAACTTCACCAACAGAAGTTAGCCAATAGTCGACCGATTCCAGTAGATTTAGCAATGCGAGTAAAAGTCTCCGGTTCCGGTTTGGCTACCAAAGTTGTAGAGGCCGATCAGGACTGCGATCTTTCGGAATTTTTGAAATTGGTCTCTCAAGAACTGAGCAGCAACAACGCCATAGAATCTCTTCGATTCGGCTTTCCTCCGCAAACGGTACAAGTGAATGAAGAGACCAAGAAACAAAAGTTGGAGGACATCGGTATAAGCTCGGGAGAAAAAGTGGTGTTGACTGGGAAAATAGGAATAACGACATCCCAAAATGACAAATCACAAGATCAGCAACAACAACATGGAAATAAAACAACGAACGCCACTGTCAAACGCAAACTGCGAGAAAACCAGATATCATTAGACGGTATATGGCCAAATCGTATTCTACAGCTTCATTCGGTGCCCGATGACAATTCCTGCATGTTCCATGCAATCTCTTATTGCATGCATGGAAACTTATCGCATTCGCAGTCGTTACGAGAACGAGTGGCAGCAGAGGTGGTCTCAAATCCTTTTGAATACTCAGACGCTATTTTGGGTAGACCCAACGCGGAATACGCACAATGGATTTTGAAAAAAAACTCGTGGGGTGGGGGGATAGAATTGGCCGTCTTGTCCAAGGCTCTGCGATTGGCGATCTATGTGCTAGACGTCGATGCTGGTAAATTCGAAAAGTTTCACGAACAGCAGTATGATGAATTTATAATGGTAGCATTCAACGGAGTGCACTATGATGCTATGGAGATTGTGAATGAAGCAAACGGCCAGGTTTCCAGAGTCTTAAGTCAACACTCAGAACACATTGATCGTGTGCTTAGCAGGGCACAGGAAGTGGCAGTAAAATTGAAGAGCCAAGGATTTTCATTTAACACAGCACGCGACCGCATCCGATGTAATACGTGCTCAGAGATTCTTGTGGGTGAGCGAGACGTTGCACGTCACGCGGAGAAAACGGGCCACGTTGATTTCGGACAGAGTAAATAAGGTTTTAAGTTTCTGAACTCCACTGCCACTGATCATATATAAGGTCGGAGACTGGGCCAGACGGTGTCGTCATCATTTTACTTAGAGACGAATCACAGGACGAAACGTCTCCTGGCCCTACACTTGGATGTTGGAACAAAAGAATGGGCCGCTCTGCAGCTTTTTTTTTTATCGTTCCAACCACTTCACACGCAAATGCAAACACAACCACAAAACTCATTCCATTTGAACCTCGCCATTATTGGCGTCCTCGATACTCTGTTTCACTGGTTCGTCCTGCACAAGATGCGGTAGAGTGGGTTCTGTGGTGGCCACGTTCTCCAAAGTTGCATCCAAGTGTGCTTTGAGTTCAGTTTCGTTGGCTTCCTTCTGTGGACCTCTTTGCTGATTTATCTGTTCGACTCTGTTCAAGAACTTTTGCAAGTTTAGTCCCGAAGCCGCATCCGAGACTTCCTGAGTGTATGGGACACCTTTCAATTCCTTTACTCTGCGACGATGGATTTTACCCTTGAGATGCGTCTTGAGCGCGATGGCGGTCTCAAGATACTTGTCGCAATGTATGCAGTAATGCTGTCCCAAACCAGGTTTTGTTTCGTCTAATGGCTGGTTCAGTAGTTGTTGTATTTTGGCTGGAGACGTCAGATCCTCGAATATGAGGTCTAAATCTTTCGTTCTTCTTTTAGTCTTGTACCTTTTCACTGAGTATCTTCCCATGATGCGAGGAGTATTGGTTGTGAGCTTCTTTGAGACTAGCTGGAGACCTTTGTTTTTGGAGGAATGGTATGGCTATCTGTGTGTATGGATGTGAGTGGAAAATTTTGTTTAGATGTGATGAGATGAGATGAGATGAGATCATATCTCACGATAAAAAGTATTTTGGAGATGAGTTAGAGCATTACGGACGAAGAATACACATGAGGAAATTTAGCCGCCGAAGTCAAACAGATTAAAGCGCTCCCCTTTTCATGACTTTCTCGTACATGGTGACCGAGACGATAGTCAAAATTTATTCGTTATTTTGTTCTTTCAACAACACCTATAATCGATGTATTGAAGACTTAGTTGTAAGATCTAATGCGATGAGAGTCCGGTGTTTTTTTGATCTGTTCTACCTCTATTAATTACAACGCGTGTCTTTCGTAGTAGGTCATGACCTTACGCGTGAAGGAAAGGGAATTCTGAAAAGATGAAGCGTCCCCAAAATTCAAGTAAGAACGACCCAAGAAGAAGAACTCATCTCTTGCAGCCAACTACCAGCTTTTCAACCACATTTCCGAACATGACTATTTATCTCTTCTACTTTCTGTATTCTATGACTCAGTGGCTTCTTGTTTGTATGTTTCCGTCCTCGATTACATCTTTGTTAAAAATTCAATCTGCTCTCTTGTGACTGTCCAAACCCATACACCACGAGATCCAGGAAATATATTTTTCGGATAACCCATACACCCCGAAAATATTTTACCCGAAATTGTAAAAAAAAACGACGCATTGGAAAAACACTAGAAAATACTAAACACGTGATATAGGCGTGCACTCATCGGTAAGTTTTCTTTGTTATCGCTCTCTACGATTTGCAAATTTGTCAGCGTTTCTTACTGCTCAGGCAAGACTTTCAAATATCAAACCTTTCCCAATGTTCACCACTTTACAGACTGTTTTTGCAAGAATTTCTTGTGCTTTAGCTCTCCAGTAACTAACTCAACAATCCAAGATGGCTAGAAGACCAGCTAGATGTTACAGATACCAAAAGAACAAGCCTTACCCAAAGTCTAGATACAACAGAGCTGTTCCAGACTCCAAGATCAGAATCTACGACTTGGGTAAGAAGAAGGCCACTGTCGATGAGTTCCCTCTATGTGTCCACTTGGTCTCCAACGAATTGGAACAATTGTCTTCCGAAGCCTTGGAAGCCGCCCGTATTTGCGCCAACAAGTACATGACCAAGATCTCCGGTAGAGACGCTTTCCACTTGAGAGTCAGAGTTCACCCATTCCACGTTTTGAGAATCAACAAAATGTTGTCGTGTGCCGGTGCCGATAGATTGCAACAAGGTATGAGAGGTGCCTGGGGTAAGCCTCACGGTCTAGCTGCCCGTGTTGCCATCGGTCAAATTATCTTCTCTGTCAGAACCAAGGACAGCAACAAGGACGTTGTTGTTGAAGGTTTGAGAAGAGCCCGTTACAAGTTCCCAGGTCAACAGAAGATCATCATGTCCAAGAAGTGGGGTTTCACCAACTTGAACAGAGCCGAATACGTCAGAAGAAGAGACGCTGGTGAGGTCAAGGACGACGGTGCTTTCGTCAAGTTCTTGTCCAAGAAGGGTTCTTTGGAAGAAAACGTCAAGGAGTTCCCAGACTTTTTCGCCAAGGCTTAAGTTTCTTTCTTTACCTTGTGAAGAAATCTATAATTGCTAGTTTTTGATATTGTGTAGAATTTAAAACTCAAGTCTAGTGTATTATTGCCTCTGTTGGTGACTAAGGTCGGAAACCATCTCACAAGGACCCACTTCTCGTGCAAAGGTACAACCCACTTTATCTTTTGGGTTCTTTCTCTTGGGAGCCGAAAAAAGGTTCGGTACAGCGCGGTGTAGCAAGTGGGTCTTTTCGTTGCGCGTGATATGTGTTTGAAGCTGTTTTTTGAATTGGCTCTTCTCGTCTCTCGTGATATGATTTTTTCAGACAATTCACAAGACATCCAAGATGCACAACCACGAATCATCATTGTCACTCGAACAATGTATTCGAATAGACGTAAGTTCTATAATCTTACTCTCAATTAATCAGAAGATTCCCTAATACTTTGATTTCCATATTTTCACGTGCTCAAAGATAGAACAGAATGAGCTCTCAAAACTGCTTGCCACATGGTGAATCCAATATGCTCACTTAGCTCTGCAATTACTGATCCCAGTGTTTTTAAAAAACAACAGCTTAACGAAACGCGTAGATATAGTAGATTCAGATCACGTGACTACTGGGTCCTATCTACAAGGTGGATCCAATTACATCTTTTTTTACAATCATGCAGTTCAAAGAACTATCTCGAATCAATCTATAGTCCCAACAGTCTTGTCGCACCTTTACTGACATGTGTATTCATAGCCTCCCCACAACAATACCGCCAAATTTCGCCCTCGTGCCAGACGCGTAAACATATCTCGATATTTCGCGTTCTGCCTAAGCTTCTGGCAGCCTCATCTCATACGGTCAAAATTTTTTTCCGGCCTCTGGTTACCCGGTCAGTCACACGATATGAAAATAGATGTATTTAAAAAGACAGCGCATAAGATCAAGCCTCCAGTCGATCTCTTCCAGTGTTTATTTCAACTTAGTTCTACGAGCACCTACTCAACTCTCTTTCATTCGTTTCTAAAATGGTCCCCCAAGAATTTAGCTACAAAGAACAGCCAGAAACCCTAGTTCTTTTCGACGTCGACGGTACTCTAACTCCAGCAAGACTAACTGTGTCCGATGAAGTCAGAGACACTTTGGCTCAACTAAGAAAGAAGGTTGTTATCGGATTCGTCGGTGGATCTGATTTGAGTAAGCAGCTCGAGCAATTGGGCCCTAACGTGTTGAACGAGTTCGACTACGCTTTCTCTGAAAATGGTCTAACTGCTTACAGATTGGGTGAGAAATTGGCTTCTCAATCTTTCATCAACTGGATTGGTGAAGAAGAATACAACAAGCTATCGGTTTTCATCTTGAAGTACCTATCAAGCATCGATTTGCCTAAGAGAAGAGGTACTTTCTTGGAATTCAGAAACGGTATGATCAACGTGTCTCCAATCGGCAGAAACGCCTCGACTGCTGAACGTAACGAATACGAACAATACGACAAGGAACACCAGATCAGAGCCAAGTTTGTCGAGGCCTTGAAAAAGGAGTTCTCGCACTTGAAATTGACCTACTCGATCGGTGGCCAGATCTCCTTCGACGTCTTCCCTACTGGCTGGGACAAGACCTACTGTCTGCAGCATGTGCAGCAAGACGGTTTCAAGAAAATCCACTTTTTCGGTGACAAGACCATGGTCGGCGGTAACGACTACGAAATCTTCTCCGATGACAGAACCATCGGTCACTCTGTGCAGACTCCAAATGACACCGTCAAGCTTTTGCGCGAAATTTTCGACTTGTAATATGATGAGTGTTTGCTTTGATTATAGCATTTTTACGTAGATTTTACCTGGTCTTTTTCTTTCAGTACACCTTCCAACTCGTTTTCGCTGCTGCTTTTTCAAGAAAGTAACCGCACGTATGCAAGAACAAGGGCAAATGTACCGGTGCACACCCCAATAAGCCATTGCATTACCTGAGTTTTCACGGAATCGATCTGCATTTTCATGTTGCTAACTTCCTGGTCAATTCGTGTGTCAATTTCCTTGATCTGCATATCGTGGTGGCTTGATTCTTCACGTATTCTACCCTTTTCAAGCGACAAGTCCAGCTTGAAGCCCGCATTCGCCCTTGTGATCTCTTCTCTCAATTTTGTCCGCATTTTCTCCAAATCATTCCTAATACCTTCATGCTCGCTTTGGATGGAGTGAAACTCGCTGCGATCTGCCGATAAAAGCTGGTCTCTTAGTTTTGAGAAGTCAACTCGCTGCTGCGAAACAAGTTGAATAAGTCGCTGTCTGGAGGCCAAATCTTGCGAGACATGTTCGACACCACCCTTCAACGCCTCGGACATGATATCCACCAACGCATTAGCTTGTTGCGGCGCAAACTCTCCCTTTTCCACCAGTAATTGTCGAAATCGATTGGTATTTCGTATGTGGACCGGATCTTGGTCTAACAGAATGCGAGTGGTATGAAAAGAACGGCAAAATTTCGCAGATTGCAGTGAGCATCTAAAGCGAGGAGGGTGCAGCATTTTGAAAGGGTCTTGAGAGTTATTTTGATGGGAGGCAGACTCTTGATCAGATAGGTCTTAGCCCAGGGAAGTTGTATCTTTATATAGACTGTCTGGTATTAGAGTACTTGTAAACGACTTTGGGTTTATAATGTGAAACGACTTGTGGAAGGTTAAAAACCCAAGGTGGTCGGTGTCCCTTGTAAACAGGTTGGGGTTTACATTGAGTATTGAGTGTGGAAAAAACGCGTAAAAAATGGCATTTGGCGTGAAAAGGCTTTTATTTACGCGACTGCAGTATACATGAAGCGCTAGAAAAATCAAATGTAACCCATAGCAAGCCTAGTCTCGAGCCTACTCGAATTTCGTCTGCTCTTGATAACTACTCAACATGACGAGCCCTAAGGTAGAGTTACTCGTTAAGTTACATCGAGAGATCTGCGGTGTTCACAGCTTAACGGGATACTTGCAGTATCTGGCCCGGCATTCAAAGATTGACGGGCGCCAAGAGTTCCTACGAAACTATGATTCAGGCCAGTATTTTCTGAGGTACCAATATGGCAATGCTTATATTCGTCAACTAACGAACGCAACCACACGGCGCGCAC